GGTGCATGCTCACTAACCACAAGAAAGCAAAAAAAAAAAAAAAAAAAAAAGGGAAAAATGACTGAACATCTGCCAACCACAACGACGAACGACTACCAACCAACCCACAGTAAACAGACAGCCAACCCAAGCAACCAATTACGTTCATCCAAAGAGATCTCCTCCCTCCTCTCATTGTCCGTCTTCCCCAAGAACCTTTTTTTTTCTTCTTACTTTTTACAATTCATTCAAGTCTTCCTTCGAATGAAAGGCGCAAGCAGCTCTTCGTTATTATTCGGCAGTGCATGGCTCACCCTAAATCGCGGCCTCACTCGGCTGGTCCAATGCGCTCCGCTCATTCCTCACCCTTTCAATTATTGCCCCCCTCGCTTCATCACTCACTGTCAGATCAATTCAACTCGAGAGTGTGAGAACACAATAGTTCAAATTGCACACTGCCTCCCTTTGTCCCTCTTCCCCTCATCAGTCCCTTTCCATTCTTTTTACTCTTCCATCTCCTTGAGATCGGGGGAACTGAGAGATAAGTTGCCTACTATTGGCAGATTACTTTACTTGTTTCAATTATGATTTTTTGATGGGAGGAGGAGGATCAAAAATAATTTAAAAAAAACTTCTGTCAGCGGGTCAGGTGCATTTTTTTGTTCCATTCTTCCTGGATCGACGGGATTTTCATTAAAGCACGATCAATCAACACATCTCACTGCAATTGAGTAACAACTATAGTTATTTATCTTTGCGTTGTTCTCTTCTTCACTCCTTTCTTCCTTCCATCATCTACTTTCGTGCCCCCTGTACCTAAAAATTTGTTTAATGACCCCGAGATGAAAAACCAAAATGAAAATTGAAGTACGAAGCCAAGCATTGGCACTTAATGTCAATTGCATTTGCATTGCAATATGAAAAAGTAATGAACGACAATCAATTAGGACTGACCGATGGGCCTGACATGTGGTTAAAAACAATTATGTGCTCAATATTCTTTATTTGTTGTCGCCGTGTTGTTGGTATGAACGCTTTCACTTACCTTCTCACTCTTTGTCAATCGGGAGTGAATATTCACATCAAGTGTCCGCATCAGATGATGAAAACGAAGAAGAGAGGACCATCTTTCAATCTGTAGACAAACCCAAGTGGCGGTGATGTTTTATGTTAATGATGTTCCTGGGTTCGCCTTTTTCATGCTATTAATTCGAGATGTTTGGTCGTCTGCCAAGAACCTACTCACCGAAATCATTGTGCGTACGTTCTATCCCTCACTTTCTCGTCCGTTTCTCATTCTCGGCGTTCCCTTATGTTCCTAGTGGTATTGTACGTATGAAGATTCCTCACTTGGTATCTTTCTTTCTCCATTCCATTCCTGTCAGAGTCATCTCGATGACCCACCGCCGGGCCATTTTGTCTCTGGTTCCTGGATAAAAAAAGGTACAAGAATGAAGAATTCGTTCCTTTCTCATTCGACTCTCAGTCTGTTTTCTGCCTAGCCTGGTTTTCCTTCATTTTCTACGGTTCAACTCGGCTACAGCTCTCTCCCTCGTCCCTTTTTCAATTCGACCAACGAACCAACCACAGACGACCCGATGGACGCAAAATTTTAAAAAAAAAATAGTTAATAGAAGGAAAGAAGGAAAGAAAGAAAGAAAGAAAGGAAGAAACGGCGATTCTATTCTAAATGTCAATAGTTTTCCTTTTAAAGTTTTCCCCCTTGGTGCAATTCAATTGTGTTCTTCTTCGTTCGATTGTTTGTGTGTACTGTACCAATTTGATAGCCGTCTGTGAGCGTATGTGAACGAACGTGTGCCCTGTTAGTCTGTTTGTCGTTCTCTTTGTCAGTGCTGCTCACTTACCCTGTCAACTCACTCAGTCTGTCAAGCTATTATCCATTCAATCATTCGTCCATTCATTCGCTCTTTCTTGCTCTCGTCCACCCCTTCGCCTTTTATTCATTCTTCGTCTTCTCGCCCTCTTCTCTTCCTTCTTCCTTTCCCTTCCTTCCTTCTTCCCTTTCCACCTTCTCTTTCTTTACCCTTGCCCACAACCTTCTTTTTCTTTTCTTTTCCTTTATTCTCTTTCCCACCCTTCACCTTGCCGACGCACACAACCTTTCGTCTCGACCCACTCCTTCCTTCTCCTTCTCACTCACCACGACCACTGTTACTCACCCACTCTTTACCCCCTTTCCATCACCGCCCCCACCTTCTTCCGTTCCTTTCTTCTCCACTTTTTTTCTCTCCTGTTCGCGCACTTTTTTTTTATTTATTCTTTCGCTTCATCACCCTTCCCTTCCTTCCTTCTCCTCTCTCCTGTTCATCCCTTTCTCCTTCACCCTTTAGCGCTCTTTTCTCTTATTCAGTGATATCGATCGGGCTTTCTGCACATCGCACATCACTTCATACCGCATAACAATAACGATAGCCGTCTCTTTCCTTGAATTGAACAAGCTCGCTCACTCAATTCATTCGAGCACTTTTCTATCCTATCCCTATCCTTTTTTCCTTCCCTTCTTTTCCCTATTACTCTTCTTACTCTTTCGCGTTAATTTATCCCTCCTCTCCCACTTCCCGTTACCACTTCTATATAAACGCATCACATTTTGGGCGATCACCGACATATTTTGTGTTTTTTTTCACTCCTTCCCTTCACTCCTTTCACTTCAGCTGTCCCATCCGTCACTCTCCCAAAACTCAAACCCAGCCAACAATCGCCTTTCAACTAATCCCTTCCTCACCCTCTCCGATCAACACACACCAAATATCAGTCTGCGCCTCACTGACAAAATATTCATCGCCCTTAAACACCAGTATCGCTATCATCATCGCCTTCAGCATCGCCATTCCTTTCTTCCTTCCTTCCTTCCTTCCTTCCTTCCTTCCTCCTTTTTTGCCGACCAGTTTTTTTTGTTCGCGTCCGAGCGCTAACGCATTAGAGCAAAACATCGGCAATAACAAACAGCAGACAGTTACAACCATCAACCATTGTTTTTATTATCCCCGCGGAAGACTCAAAACGATAAAAACACACCGACAACCCGTCCAAGTCAACAGCAGCTTGGGAATACAGACAAGTTATTTGCCCATAGCACCAACATTCACACAACAGCGTAAGTAAGGTTCGCCCCATCCCATGTCATTTTCTATTGTTTGTCGTGAATAAGTTCATTTTTCATATGTCGTTGATGAATGCAACACACATACATCCTTCTCACATCGTGCCTTGTTGTCGTCTTCTCGAGAAAATATCTTGCCTCAGACGATATTCTTCTTTGTATCTACCAAAAAAAAATGAGTGCATCCCTTCCTTCTTCCTCGCTGCTCTCTTCTGATTATTTATCCTTTCTTTTGTGACATCAAAAGAAAGGAGTTGTTGTTTATTTTCTTTGGAGTTGGATGAAGAAAAGTTTAACTTTCCTTGCCTCGTATCCTGCCTCCCTGCCAGTGAGATCGAGAGCAGTATGCGATCGGACATCGTATACGATGGAGACACGGATGATCGTCGGTCGATTATGAATCTTTTTTTTTTACTTTTTTACTTTTGCCTTTTTTACTCTCTTCTCTTTTCTTTTCTTCCCTCCTTCCCTCATTCTCTCTTTTCTCCCTTTTCCCATCACCACCTCTCCCCCACCACTTCACTGCTCCTCTCCTTTTCACCACTCTCCCTCCTTTTCTCTATCTTCCACTTCCACTGCAACCTCGCTTCTTTTGCATTTACCTCTCACCCCTCACCCCTCACCCTCAGGTACCCTATCCCTATCTCACCCAGGCTCACCTCTTCCCTCCCTTCCTCCCCTCCTTCTCTCTCACCACGCCCACACCTACAAACAAAACACATTCAACCCGCATTCTCCTCACCCAATTGCCCGCTCTCTCTCTCGCTCTCTCTCTCTCTCTCTCTCTCTCTCTCTCTCGTCCTTTTTGGCGATCCTATTCCTCGACTCTACAGCGTTATTACTCAACACACTCAGTCTTCCTCTGCACTCTATTCTCTCTTCTATCCACTCTCCCACGTCCACTTCAGACGCCACAAACACCTTGGATCGATCTTTGTTCAATTCAACAAAGAAACAAGGGGTGTATGCAACCACAAGGCATTCTCTCAAGCGCACACAGAACACACATCGTGCATACACACACACATTCACAGCAAAATTCCCTCCCACCCATCCACACCTCAATTCTCTCACTCCTCTCTCTCCTCTCTTGCCTCAAGCAACTCTTGCGAGCTCATTCTACATGTTCATGTCGACGGACGTATTCGCTTCTCCTCTTCCTCTTCCTCCTCCTCACCTCCTGTTTTCCTCTCTCTTTCTCCCTATTTGATCTCGCAAGAAGGTTTTTTTTTCTCGGTTGAATGAGATATATTTGTATTCTCCATCTCTCCCCCCTTTCCCTTCCCCTTTCTCATTTTCTTACTTTCTTTCCTTCACTCCTTTTCTCACTCTTTTTTCAATACCGACAGATACATCGATTGCTCCAGCCAATACACTAACAAACAACTGTATGATCCCTTTCTTATCTTTTACTTTCTTTTATTCAGATCTCGCCCCCAAGTCGATCGCTCTGTCGCTTTGTTCGTTGTATCTGCAAAGCGTAATTCAAAGAGGCAGGGGGTGACCACAACGCACCACTCTGACAGGACAATCAGCAATTCGATCCTTGTTAAAAAAAAAAGAAAGGAGACAGGACTCTTCCCGATCTGCCGCAACAACAACTCTTTTTTTATATTACCCTTTTCCCTTAAACTTCTTCGTACTATCAAAACGTCATTTTCGATATCGGTCAATCCGCGCATCCACATCGCAAGTAACATCCCCCTCGCTTACGACCGACCGGCGTATCATGCTGCCGTCCATCCGTTACCTCCTCAAAACAGATTCTCCAACAAATCAAAACGACAACACAACCACCCGTCCCACCGTTTCTTCTCCTTCCTCTTCCCCTTCCTCTCCTCCCTCTCCTTCTGATCTCACCTCTCCTCCCACTTCATCCTCAATACCATCCTCCACCATGCCCACCACAACCGTCCATCCTACCCACCTCACCTCTTTCCACAAACAAGGCGGTATGGTCACTACAGAGGAGTTGCTTCCCCAACATCATCAGCAACATCAACACCGCCCAGCATACCGCCACTCAGACACCCCACATGAATCATACGACAGTCCACCCCAGACCGATCATCGTGTGTACTGCGGAGAACCGATAGCGCACATTGGCTTTGCCTCCAAAGATCGCAATCGATACCGTCTGTCTCCCACAAACCAACGCTCCGCAACCTCACGCACGGATGACTCCTCAACAAAACTACCACCCCACTCGGCATCACCTTCCCATTCTCCCACTGGTTCATACGGCATTGTCGGCGCTGGAGGTGAAGAATCGTCTGCCTGGTCAAGGTCAAGCCCACACAACCAAGACCCTCACGCATTGTCTCCTCCAAACGCTGTTGCCTTCCGCCCACTACCTCGAGCCTCGCCGGTCGACCCCTCGCTATCGTCCTCGTCGTCATCAGCCTCGCCGTCCCCTTCCATCTCTACGATCACCGCGGCATCAACACCCATGACGACAGATGGTATCACGGCCGTGACCAAGGGTACTGCGGCTGCCAGTCTCAACGACAGTCGGCCAACCAGGCATCAAGCCACAGGCAAGCCCACCTTTCCGAAGGAGGAACCTATTGACCGTTACGAACGCCCAGGGGACCTAGCTCACTCACCCGCAGGAGGACTTGTCCAGCCAGCAACAAAACCATTCTCCGGCAGCCATCGAGGTGGTAGTCATGAGTCCGACCCTATGGCCCTGGGGCAACAGCAGCAGCAACCTCCACGGCCGTCGTCTGCGTACGGCCCAGACCAGATCATGTCATCGAGCTCAGTTAAACTCGCACGAGAAGACAGCCCAGATTACCACCTGTACTCCAAAGACCTAGCTGAGCGCTCGTCAGCCCATCATTACGACACAGCCCGTGGCCCGTTTGCCGCTTATGAGCAGCCATATCAGCCACGTCCGTCTGGCAACCTACGACCCAGCGGTGCATATCCTCCTTCTTCCACCACACCCACCATCTCTTCCTCTCGATCTCGCCACCCTGACTACGAATCCAGACATCCCTCGTCTCATTATCCCCCATTGTCGCCAAGGCTAATGGTCAAGGAGGAACCCCTCACTAGGGAAAGGACTCGTGACTGGCCGCCAGGAGAGCTTCATCGAGACCACCTTCGTCTGAAGCCAAGCATGGCTGAAACGGGCCCCCACGACCAGGGGTACAGAGACTCCTCCTATTCTCCTCCTGGTCCCTATCCCTACGACGCCCCTCCTTCCTCCTCCACTCATCACTATCCTCCCTATTATCCTCATCATCAACACCCATACCCCCCACACCACCCATCCCATCCCTCACTTCAGCAACAGCAGCAACCGCCGCCATTGTATGACCTTGTCCGCGAATCGGACCAAAGAACCTCCCAACATGCTGATGGTCCTCCAGTGTACCCACCCTATTCTGAGCTACACTCGCCTCGCGATGGTTACTACCGAACTCAGCGACGTGGTTACCCAGAGGCCCACTCCCCCAGGCAAGCCAACTCGCAGCAGCCGCAGCAGCATGGATTGGTCGCCCGGCCAGAGAGATTGACGTCTCCCGGACCATCACACCCATACCATTCAAGTCGTTCGTACCACTCGCATTCAGCTGACGCAGCCTTTGTATCTCATCCGTCTGCTCAGCACCGCAGAGCAGAGGACGACATTCGCTTGGCAAGAGGCCCAGCCTCCCAGCCAGTTCGCTCACATGACCAGCACCACCATTATCAGCCACTGTCGCCTCAGTCTCATTCGTCAAGGTACCCAGGAGACTCGACCCATGCCCGGACTCTGACCCACGGATCACCCGAGCATGGTTTTGACGGCCATGGTAGTCTGGAGGGGATGCAAGGACAGAGTTTGGACGGTGGTCGGGACATGATAAGGGCATACGACGGTCGCTACGATACCGAGAGCCAGCACAGGATGAGACGGAGACGCGGCGATTATGAGACCATCTCGGAGCCCCAGTCGGCTTCCCTTGCAGCAGCAGCAGCAGCAGCAGGAGCCACCGCCGTCCCTCTTCGTCGGGAAGTCCAGCGAGGCATTCGTCCCTCGGTCTCAGAGTCGGACTTGGCATCGGTTGAGCTAAAGCGAGAGCGGGAGAGACGCCTTGGTAGCGGCCCTCTTGGCAAGGATGTGCACGGCGACTATCATCAGGAGTACGAAAGTAAGGAACGGTTTTTGGATGAGGAAGAGCGGGAATACAGGCGGATGCACTCTGCCGCCACCGCTGTTGCCGGACGCCGCCCTCATCATCTGGACGACCCAAGGCAGCATATGAGTCGCGAGGAGTACATGTATGCACAGCAACAGCAGCAACATCTCCACCATCAGCAGTACCCTCACCACGACCGCCAGGAGCAGTACCCTCCGCAGCACCCGTCGTACCCTCACGAGTATGATGCTCACTATGAGTCGCAGGGACTTGTTCAGCGAGGTGGAGAAGCTAGCCATCCATCGTCATCCCAGCGTGCTCAGGCAGGATCTTCTTCCACATCGTCCCCTGAGCATCAGCGAAAGAAACAGCAACAGGAGCAACTTCAGCAGCAACAGGCGTCCGGAGAACCAGCTGGGGCATCTTCGTCCACACAAGCACAAGGACAGCCTCAAAGACGTTCTTCTAATCAGATCCAGGGTAACTTCCCACTCCGGATGCTTCCTCCACTCCACCCTCGCCAGCTCCCGGCCTTGCTTCCTTATCATACTACTCGACCTGGGTCGACCAACTCTTCGCAGCCCAAGGTTCCCATGCGACGCGGCCCCTACCTGTCGAAGCAACGTGCCCTTTTGGCGGGATATGAGCTCCCGTCACCCTCGAGTCGGTACCAGTGCCAATACTGCTCGAAGCGGTTTAGCCGACCCAGTTCGCTCCGGATCCACACGTACTCGCACACGGGCGAGCGTCCGTTCAAGTGCAGCGAGGAAGGATGTGGACGTCAGTTCTCTGTGCAGAGTAACATGCGTCGTCACTTGCGTGTCCATCGGATGGGTCGTATGCGTTCCGAATACTCTGAGCTTGACCAGGAGCAGGAGCAGGACCTTGAGAATGAGCAGGATGAGCAGGACCTGGAGTAGAACCTGGTTCTTCCCTATCCTTTCTTGTCCTTCTTCATTCCTTCCTTTTCCCTCTCCTTCCTTCAGCCTATTTGACATTTGGTGGCAAATCTATTTTAGCTCCTTCTCCTCTACATTCTAATCATTTGCTTTCCATTACGCCTACTCCTGTCTATTTCTTCCTTTGTTTCTTTGTTTCTTTACATTTGTTCCCTATTACTCTACGACTTTTCTTGCCTATTGTTTGTACCATAGAAAACCTCGTCGCCTCTTCAAGGTGGCCTCTTTCTCTGTTTTCTGCTTCTTCTTTTTCTTTTACTTCGTTTATCTATGTATTTGCCTCAACATCTCATCGAGAAATAAAACACCAAACTACAAAACAACAAAAAAAACCCTCCTTTATCGTGTATAGGTGCAGCGCGTGTTTTGTGCAATAATGGATGTATATGTGTGTGTTGGGAATGAGAGCATCGCATCGGTTATCTAGACTGTCCAACAAAATAAAAATTCGGGCCGAGTGCGGGTTGCAGGGATGGGGGTGAAATTGGCGAACTTGTGTTCCCTGTCGTTACCGGGGATTGCGACTCAAAACTCAGTCAACAAATCCCTGTTTGTTCCTCTTTTTCCTTGGCTGGTGATGTCTGAGCCCAGACAAGAATAAGTCTGGAAGTCACTGCTGTTTTGCTATTTGTCGGTAAACGAACGAGGAACGATCTCTTTCTCTCTTCTCTTCGCTCATTCACTCCTCTTCCCACTTACTTCTTTCTCTTTCCTCTTTCTACATTCCTTCTTCCACACTTCCCTCTTGATCTCTCTCTCGCTCTCTCTCTCTCTCTCTTCATACAAAAACACCTCCTTCCGTATTCATTCTCTTCTCCAACCAACAAAAAGATGGCGGCCTCTTCGCCATTCACACCCATCCCAACAACACAACCTCCATGCGGCCCCATCTCCCTTCAAAACCCCTTCCCCCACTGCTCCAACACAACCACAGAACCCCAAGCCTGCTTCGTCCAACCCATGGGCTTCCTCTGCGCACCCCTGTCCACCACCCGCGGGTTCATCTACACCCTCAACAATAGTACCACTTCCCCCTTTCTCAATTCCTCCACTACCGACGCTTCCCCTTCCTCCTCCTCTTCGCCGTTCTTACCCCTCGTCCCTCGATTTTCAACCGCCTCCCTCGATATTTCAACAAACGCCACAGGAATCGACGGTCAGTCTATCAGGAGGGAAGGAGCCATCCAGTTAGGACAGCCCTGTTCCGGGATCCCGCTCCCACCGTCTACCGACCCATCGTATGCGGTCCTTGTGGCGATGGCGAACCAGAATCTTGTTAGCAGAGTCGGGTATCCGGGTCTAGGGGCTGGGGCGGATGTGTTGGCGTTGAGGAGTGATTGTGAGGCTGGGTCGTATTGCGATTTCACTCAAGGGGACAAGGAGAAAGGGCAGGGGTTATGCAAAGAACAGTATCCGTTGTATCATGCATGTGGGAACTATTTGGAGTGCATTTCGTTGAGGTGTGATGCCCCTGATGGGACTGGGACAACCTCTGCATCTGCGGTTGTTGTTGTATCGAGGAGACGGAAACGAGGACTTGGTCTTGGGCGGCGTTGGTTGGACAAGGACGAAGGGAACCAGGAGGAACAACAACAACAGCAGCATCCAGAGCTTCAGAACAACAACAACTACAACTACAACAACAACCTGAAGAAGCGGAGGTCCGAGCCAGTGTGTTTGCCACCCTCACATCAAACTCCGGGCGGTGGAGGGTTGGGAGGGTCGAACGGCGATTCAAAGGAGTCGCCCGTATTTCCGCATTGGGCCTATGTACTGATCGCTGCATTGATTGTGGTCGGAGCCGGACTGGTGTTTGTCTTGACCAGGCGACAAAGGCGCCGGAGGGATGGTTCCAAGCAGCTCCAATACCAGCAGCAGCAGCACAAAGGACGGCGATCTCGGCAGCAGTGTGAGGACGAGCACGGCAACCCACCGATGAAGACAAGGGAGAGGGAGCGGACTATGAGTAGTGACAGAACCGCTACCACCAGTAACGGTAACGCCACTACCACCGCCGCCGCTCAGAAGACGTCGTCGTCGGTTCTTGGACGGTGGTTCAAGAGCAACAATAGCAATATCAATATTGACACTGACAGGATTGACCTCGACAAGAAGGAAGGGAGAAAGATAACCGCCGCTGCTGCCGTTAACGATAACAATTACAACACAGGTGCATCAGGATCCGAATCTGTTACCGACAATGGATCAGTTTATTCTTCCAACTCCACTTTTACGGTGGAGGAACCACCGATGGCTGCTGCTGGAGTTGTTGGTGTTCCTTCTGTTTCGCTCAAAGTCTCGCAAGATGGTATCGATGGCACCAGTGTTTTGGGTCTCTACCACATTGACATCCACGGCAGTGGGTCTCGGGGTTCATTAGCACATGACAACAACAGCAACAACAGCATTCATTCGAGTGACGCTGGTCCTCCTCCTACTGCTATCAACAGCGGTAGAGATGAGATGAAGAGCCCATCGTCCTCGATCCATTCCGGTCCACCTCGACCTGCTGTCATCCTTCCAAGGATCATCACAACCTCCTTTCCCGAGACCAGCGTCGTCGCACCAACTCCCACAGCAACCGCAGAAACCGGCTCGCAATCCAACTACTCCCCTTGGGCATCCACACCCACGAATATGATGCCTTCTCCATCTTCGTTGACTTCGGCCAGTGGAGCGACTCCGACGCCGACATCCTTGGCCCCTGCACCTCCATCCGACTTCTCGGTCCCGTCATCCCCATCCTCTGCTTCTCATTCTTCGACATCCTCTCCATCCTCTCCTTCTGCCTTCGCGGCCGGCGTTGTAGGTGTTTCAGGTGCCGGTAGTCAGTCGCCTGCTGGAAGCGGACATCATCGACACTCTGCACGTCTCACAGGAGGAGGACGATCCAACAGCCACCACCAACACCATCAATTTGGTCGCTTCCAAGAAGGTGAAAATCTCCTGCATACCCAACAGCAACAACAGCAACAGCACTTGTCGACGGGCGGTAGCAGCAGTAACAAGAGTCGGAAGAGTAAACACTCATCGACGTCGACATCGACGTCTACGGGAACATCTTTGATCCCACCACCGTCACCGATTTCGCCAATTTCGCCGATATCTCCAATCTCGCCTGCTTCTGCCAATGGCGGCACGGTTGGCACGTCTCGCCTGTCCAGTCGATGGTAAAGAGAGTGGGAGAGATCGTTTATATACCATTATTTAAGCAGCATATAGCCACAACAACCACACACCATTGTACATAATCATACCCCAATTTCCATATTTCATTCTTCTCGTTTATGTTGAATGGTTTTTATTTTACATGGGCACGACTTTTTTGTTTGTTGTGTGTGATTGAAATGGTTTTGTGTGCGTTATGAACTTGAAAGATGAAAGTGCTATTTTATAGCTTTGAGAGGATGGAAGTTTTTTTTGTGGACCCCGACAGTGTCGATACTGAAAGCGAAGCTGTTGGTCCCGCTGCTGCTGCCTGTGCCTCCGTAGTGGCGGTGGTATCCAAGGTAGCAGGCAAGGGCACAATAGCCCCAACATCCCTCTCCTCTTTCTTCACCCATTCCTCCACAATCCTGATCAACATGTCGACCTGTTCAATTGTATTATGACTATGCAAACAGATTCGGACCCGTTCTTTACCCTTGGGAACGGTCGGGAAGCGGATGGGTTTGACGTTAAGACCGGCTTGGATTAGTTGTTGGGAGAGGGCGTTGACACGGGCGTTTCCCTCCATAACTAAGCCCTGGATTGGGGATTCGGAGGGGAGGAGGTGGATGTGTGGGGGGATGTTGATGGTTGTGCGGAAGTGGGAGATTAGGGAGCGGACTTTTTGGACGAGCTAAAGAAGGGGTGGAGGTAGTGGTAATGGTGGACAGTAGGAGAATAGGAGAAGAGACGATACAGGGGGTGGATGTTGGTTAGTTGTTTGGACTTGAGGTTTAGTCGTTTGGACTTGAGGGTTGCACGTTTTGCGTGGAGATAGAACGTGTTTGGATGAGTAGAGGAGGGCGAAAAAAAAACGACCAATGCAAGCATGATGCAGGCAAGCAAACAAACAAACAAACAAACAAACAAACAAACAAGCAAAAAGGGGTAAGAATGAAACAAACAAAAGTACGGATGACAGATGGTCGACTATGCATGCTCGTCAAGTGAATGGACGTCCGTTTTCCCAAAAGGATGATAATGAAGAGAAAAGGATTTACCTCGATGGTTTCACCAGCGATGAGCATCTGGTAGGCGGATTTGACGCTGGCGAGGTTGCTGAAGGAGGTGAAGGTCGAGTAGATCAGGGGGCGGGCATAGTTGATCAGGTACTCCTTGAGCACCTTTGGACCCACCATTGCCGCTATTCGATTGAGTTGGAATTGACGTGAGGAAAGGGAAATTAATGTTATTGCACGTATCAAGAGTAGATGAGATGGAAGCACAACGTCAAAACACGAAGAGCGTCTTTCCCCCCCTTCCCTTCAGTTCCCTTCTTTTCTCCTTTGAATGTTGGGTTGTATCCTTTCACCTCAATTCCTCCAGTATCCTTGTCCTCAAACATATCTCCAATAATTCTCACGAATTCCGTTCGAATCGGAGATTGCACCGCTTGAACATTGTCGTCTCCTCGTCCTATTGTTTTCTTCTCCATGTGTCCCGGCGTATTCCCCCAATGATGGTTACCTCCGTTGCTGGCGAGTGCTTTGCTGAAGGTGTGAAGACGGGCAAAGACTCTGCCCTCCAGTCCGAGCTCGTTGACCAGTCCGCGTCCCTGTTCTCCAAAGACGCCTGTCGCATGGGCCTAGAACCAAAACAAAGATAGTTACGCGTGAGAGATGTGTGTCAGAAGAGAGAGGGGCGTGACTCTTTTTGTTGGGCGGATCGGGCATGCAAGTGATTCAGCAAGGACCTCCCCACAAAACACAAATCAGATTGAGTATGAAATAATACTGTGAGAAAAAAAAATACAGGGACTCATAACTGCTGACTTTACCTCGTCGACGATGAGATATGCACCAAACTGCTCGAGAAGATCCACAATCTCCCTCAAGGGTGCAATATCGCCATCCATGGAGTACACACTCTCGACTGCCACAAATATGTTCCTCTGTTTGTACTTGTTGTTTCCTGACAATCCTGTTCCTGCTTGTTGCTGATCCTCGCGCCGGACAGTCTGGAGCAACTCCTCCAGATGCTCAAGGCTGTTATGCAAGAAGGCCTTCTTAACGCCCGCCCGAGTAACCTTCATTCCATCGTGCACACTAGCATGAATATATTCATCATACAAGATCACATCCCCCGATTGAGGAACACTACTAAAGAACCCGACATTGGCATCAAACCCCGAGTTGAAGATTAATGCTGCCTCTGCATTATGGAATCCAGCAATCAGGTCCTCGAGTTCTTCGGCATAACGCGAGTTGCCGTCGAGGAGCCGGCTCCCTGTGGATCCGAGAGGAGGGGTGTGGGTAGGGAAGGATTGGAGTTCTTTGAGGAATCGGGCGCCGAGTTGGGGATTCCGGGCGAGGCCGAGAAAGTCGTTAGAGGAAAAGTCGGCGGATGTTGCGGGGATGACGACGAGGCGCCTGAGGAGGGAGCGGTCTTTGCGGGATTCTAGTTGCTGTTGGAGTTGGTGCTCGATTTGGGATGGCATTGTTGATTCGTTGCTGGTGTGAGTGAGTGAATGAATGGAGAGGAAGGGAAAGAGAAGAAAACAGAGAACGGAAGGCGGAAGGGGAAGGAAGAGGAAGAAGAGAAAAGAGAGGAAGTGAGAGAAAGGGGCGCGAAAAAGAAATGAGGTGACAAAGTGACAACCAACCAACAAACCAACAAAAAAAAGGCTGTGGGGAAATGCCATGTAAGGTTGATACGATACAAATGATGAATTGAGAGTGAGCGAAGCACGGCTCAGGCACGATCAGTTGGAAGGAGATCCGTAATTGCACATCGGTACTAAGGATGACGGTCAATTAGAGAAACAAACAACATGGTGGCTGAGCAATTGAAGCACCATGCTAAAAAAAAAAAAGAAAGACGGTCCTTCGTTACAAACTCAAGTACACACCTTCACACCTTCTTCCTCGTCTTACTTCGTTCTCCTTCTTCAAGGCATTTGTCAGCACCTCCAACAACGGACTTAATCGCCATTAGCAGATATATAAAGGAGGAAAAGAACGACATTGCCCCCCTCTTCACTCTCAACCAAAACATCCCCATTCATCCCACTTACCCCTTCACAATATATAACCAGCCATGTTGAGACAAAAGGCATTCATGAAGAAGACAAAGTCCGGCAAGGTGCTGAAGGTCGTCAAGGAGCACTATCTCCGCGATGATATCTGGTGCTCGGTCGAGACCTGTAAGGTCTGCGAACATACTGAGCCCGTCCTCAGCGCTGTCCCCTCTATCAACAAGGCCTTCCGCCTTCCTCACTACATCATCCCTGATACCAACATTTTTATCAATCAGGTAAGAACTCTCTCAATCAATGCGCAGTTGAACGGGATATAGTTAATCATTTCACACAACAACGCGGGAGCCTTGTAACTAATGCGACCTTGTCAATTCGAATTAGATTGACGTAATGGAGCACCCATTGATCACGAATGTGATTGTGCTGCAGACGGTGCTGGAGGAAGTCAAGCATCTGTCATTACCGATCCATCAAAGAGTCCGGGATATGATCGCCAACAAGGAAAAGCGCTTCTATGTCTTCTCGAACGAGCATCACCGTGGAACGTTTATCGAAAAACTCAAGGACGAATCGCCCAATGACAGGAATGATCGTGCCATTCGCGTTGCCACAAAGTGGTATGGAAACCATATCAAGGATCTCAATCCCAGAGTCTCGGTCGTCATGATGACCGATGATGCCGGAAACAGGGACAAGGCAACCGCCGACGGTCTTCAAGCCATCTCTGGTACGTGTCTCACAGGATGGCGTATAGTCAATTCAGTCGTGAATATGGATGACCTGAAGGTTGAAACCTGGATTGCTAATGACATGATTCAATTGCAAATGTGTCGAACATAGTCAAGTGGTATATCGAGGCGCTGGATAACACCGAGATTTTGGACATGATGTCAAGCGCTAAGGATCTGGACGATGGACAAAAGACAATCTACGACGAGCACCTGTCGCCAGCTCATGTTTCAAACGGAATCAAGTCTGGAAAGTACCTGCAAGGAAAGCTCGGAATCAGCAGCCACAACTACTTGGAGGTAAGGACATATTCGTCAACATATAACTAGGAAGACAAATGATGCAGCAGAGAACATAGTATCATGTATTAAACTGAACGTTTCTTGTGGATTAATTAGGGCTCGATTTACACCAAGATCAATGGAGAGGAGGGAACGATTTTGATTGTTGGACGCTCAAACTTGAACCGTGCTGTCGATGGAGATATCATTGCAGTGGAGCTTTTGCCCAAATCAGAATGGAGAACCACCCCTACAGGCGTTGTCGTGGATGAGGAGGAGGAGCAGGCCGAGGAGGAGAGCTTGAAGGCCGAGCAAGAGGCCGCTGCTACTGCTGTAAAGGAGGACGCTGTTATGGCTGAACCCGAGGCTGAGAAGCCTGCTGCTGTGGAGACTCACAAGCTGGATACACCTCAACCCTGCGGAAAGGTTGTCGGAATCATTCGTCGCAACTGGAGACAGTACTGTGGTTTCATTGACCGCAAGTCTGTTCATACCCCTGCAGGATCAAGCGCCCCCGTCAACGTTTTGTTCTATGCCATGGAGTCAAAGATCCCCAAGATCAAGATCAGGACCCGTCAGGCCCACGCGCTATTGGGCAAGCGTATCATTGTCGCGATCGATTCGTGGCCCAGGACTTCTCGCTACCCTATTGGACATTTCATCCGCGCACTGGGAGAGGCAGGAGACAAGTCGACCGAGACAGAGGTTCTTTTGCTGGAGCACGATGTTCCTTTCCACGAGTTCTCCAAGCAAGTTTTAAGCTTCCTCCCTGTCGAGGGTGAAAACTGGGTTGTCCAGCCCGAGCACTTTGCTGGTCGCGAGGATTTCCGCTCCTTGAACGTTTGCAGTATTGATCCCCCAGGATGTACCGATATCGATGATGCCCTCCATGTCGTCCCTCTCGCTAACGGAAACTACCAGGTCGGTGTCCATATCGCCGATGTTACCCATTTCGTCAAGCCCGGCAACGTCATGGATCAAGAGGCTGCCAGTCGTGGAACCACTGTCTACTTGGTCGACAAGAGAATCGACATGTTGCCCTCGCTGTTGGGTACCAACCTGTGCTCGTTGAGATCGAACGTGGAGCGTCTTGCCTTTTCTTGCATCTGGGAACTCAACAAGGATGCCGAGATCGTTAACGTCCGCTTCACCAAGAGTGTGATCGCCTCTAAGGCTTCGCTTACCTACGAGGAGGCCCAGAACAGGATCGATGACGCCAACATGCAGGACGATGTCACTTCAGGAATCAGGATCCTCAACATGTTGGCCAAGAAGTTGAAGCAGCGCCGTCTCGATATGGGAGCTTTGACTTTGGCCAGTCCCGAGGTTCGTTTCAGTTTGGAGCGCGACACCCAGGACCCCGTGGACGTGGAGATGAAAGAGCTCAAGGAGACCAACGCTCTGGTCGAGGAGTTCATGTTGTTGGCCAACATCTCTGTCGCCCGCAAGATCTACGAAAAGTTCCCGGACTCGGCCATGCTGCGATGCCATCCCCAGCCACCCAGCGCCAACTTTGAGAAGCTCGAGAAGGCTGTCGCTCGTTTCGGAATTGATATTGACCACTCGACCTCAAAGACGCTTTCAGACTCGCTGGACAATGCCGTCTTGCCCGAGGAGCCCTACTTCAACAAGCTGTTGCGTATCATGACGACCCGTTGCATGATGCAGGCCTTGTACTTTTGCTCGGGTGCCCAGATTGAACAAGAGTTTAGACATTATGGTCTTGCCACCGACATTTACACCCATTTCACCTCACCCATTCGTCGTTACTCTGGTAAGCATTCTCGCCTTTGTCGTTATTTTCCTTATGTATATCGTTCAAATATACTCGTAGAACTAATCCTTTTTATGTGTAATTTCTTTGTTAAAAATGATAGATGTGATGGTCCATCGTCAGTTGCATGCTGCCATTGACTCGAGCCTTGCCTATGGCGATGAGTTGACCGACAAGGAGAAGATGAACGACCTGTGTGGAAGTAAGTCTCTCAGGCATCGTTCATTTCAAGTCTCGTTGTTAGTTATTATGCCTCCCCAATATGCTAATCACTACATACTTCTCGCCTCGAATAGACTTGAACCATCGTAACCGCATGGCCCAGCAGGCCGCAAGAAGCTCAGTCGAGCTGTTCACACACCTGTTCTTCAAGAACAAGACCGAGGAGGAAGAAGGATATGTCATCCGCATCCTCAAGAACGCCTTCATTGTCCTCATCCCTAAGTACGGTATCGAGGGTATTATCTATGCCAGCGCCAAGGTCCCCAAGACTGCCGACTCTGGAGATGCAGCAGCACAGCCACAGCCTATCTTGGTGTACAATCCCGAGACGGATTGCTTGCAGTCGACTGAGACTCTTGCAGAGGGCGAGACGCCCAAGACGCAGGTGCAGCTGTTCCAGAAGGTGATGGTCCAGATCTCGATTGATGATGATCTCAAGGGCGGTGGAGAGGGTGGTATGCGCCAAAAGTTGAAGATGGAGCTTTTGAAGCCCTGGATTGAGGGTATTAGTGTCCATGGTATTTCTAACAAGGATGATCCTGAGGCCCATGCTCTCACCTCGAAGAAGCGTGAGGAGGCGCCGGGTCAGGATCAGGACAAGAAGCGCGCAGGGAAGCGTACCAAGGCTTGAAGTGAAGAATTGAAGTAGGATAGTGTATTTGTATTAAACAACCTCGCTTTGGCACGTCATTTGCTAAAGAACCCTACTTGATAAGAGCTTATTTTTGGGCGAACATAGATTCGACGCCACCAACTTTTAACCGGGAAGACTGTTTGACGAGGTCGAAAACCTACGCACAGTTGCAATCTGCAAGCGAGTCCTGGCACACGCAGAAAAAGAGGCTGGAGAGAGATAGAGGGCAAGGAGGGAAGACCATTAGTTTTTCTCTTGTTGCGATACCCCATCCCCAGTCCTTTCTTGTCACGCAACCTCCCCAAAATTATGAGTGTACGATTTCGTTAGCTATGCCAAAAGAAAACGGCAGCAAGGAGAGTGGTGAATGCGGGTCGTGTTTTTTTTTGCCTTCGCTACACACACACCTCTTCACACTCTCCGTACACACTCCACACACACTCCAGGTCAATTGGGTGAGAAGGAAGAAAAAAGAAGGCAGAAAAAAGCGTGTCAATTGAAGAGAAAAGATGACAGCCACTTTTCTGTAGTGCAGAACCAATGCAGAAAAGGCACTGCCTAGAACTGTCCAGCACTTCTTTCCTCCAGTGCTCTCATTCCTTTTCAACTCCTTTTTTGCCATTCATTCACTCCATTTCCTCCATTGACATCTGCGCACCTCATCCACTTTCTTCTACTTCCATTTCCACATCACGGACCACACACGATGAAGGGTCTGTTCAAGACGAAGCGCGCACCCCCACAGGAACGACCTCGTTCACCCATCCATATCCCCGAAATCCTAGAACGCATCGTCTCCTTTATCGACACGCCCGCCGACAACCTTGCAGTCCTCCAAGTTTGTCGAGACTGGCACCGAATGTTCCACCACCTCTTTGTCCGCGAAGTTGTCGTCGACTACGGACTGGAACAACAACAGGGTCTCCTCTCGTTCTTCTCGTCAAAGGCATCGACAGCAGCACTGGAAAACCTTCCAACTGCGGGGAGCCTGCGTTGGTATGATGGGTTCGGTAGATACTATGGACTACATGATGTGGATCCGCACAAGGAAAGACGTTGGCAGGCATTGGTGGATGCTCTGCAGAGGAGCCATGAGTTGAACCAATGGCGACAGAAGCAACCTTCGAACCCGCGGTGGCTCCTAAAGGATGTCAGCCCACTTCGACACCTGGAGATCAGCGGAAGACAAGGCCTCAGGGACGGCTTCCCGATGCTACTACCCTTCCTGGGGTCCTTGACGCGGCTGTGCCTGCAATGGGGTGGACCCAACGCCTCCGTCTCGATGTCAGACGTGTTTCGATCCTCTCCTCTCCTCGAGACAGTCTCGTTCACAACCCGAGGCTACCTACTCGTTAAAGGACTCGAGTCCATTCCTGCTGGAGCCCCTCTCCGACTGCGGTCCCTCAGTCTGCGAAGAGTACATCTCTTACAGTGGCACTTCGAGAACCTGCTCTCGGCCACACCCAAGCTCGAAGCCCTGCGACTGGTCGACATGCGCACAAACAACACCGCCTCGGCGCAGTACAGTCTCTCACGGCTCGTTCAGTCCCTCCAGAATCGGTCCATCCGACTCTCGACTTTTCATGTTCACCCCACGGCCTTCCGCGATGGGGTCCTCGACCTGGAGTTGTCAGACGTCATGTATGAGCTGGATCTGACTCTGACTGGATGGAGCTTTTGGGGTGGCGACCTAACAGACAAGATCCTTTCTTCCCTGAGAAGCCTTCACAATGTGGTGACAACGCTCGAACTCCATAACATTGACTTGAGTGCGACAGGACCTAACTGCCGCCTCCATCAATACCTCTGCAAGTCTCCACACCTGCTTCATCTACGGGCGCCTAGGACTGCAATCATGGTCGAGGCCCTGGACGTTCATGCTCGATCTCATATCATCCACAAGGGGTATTTGGAGGTCGAGAGGGACAAGGGCAAGGTGAATTCCGACCGAGAGTGGAACCAGTTCAGGGTCGCTTGTAATCATGGACAGACACAGGTGTGGATGTGTCGAAAACTCCGGACGTTGCACTGCTCGATCTACAGTCGAACAGAGCCCGAGTTCACGTCGCCAGCCCGGTCCCGAATTGTCTTTGGCTACTTCTCCAGGATCTGCCCCAATTTGCAGGACCTTCAAATCAGCATGCCAATTCAGCACAACGTGAACGGAGCTATTGTCTATCCGAAACTGGATCTGAGGTTGGAGGGTGGGTTATGTCTCTTGACAAGGATGAAGCACTTGTGCATCTTGAGGCTTGAGTCTCTGGAGAGGAAGCCGTCTTGTCAACCTAAGGACCTCGGTTGGATCTTGTCGTGGGAAAGTCAGAAGGAGAAGAAGGAGAGTAAACAGCAAAGGGCTTTGAGGAGTGCGACAGTCGAGGGCTGGATTGACTGGCTCAAGACCGAGGAGACAGATGATAATCACTGGAGGAATGATTTTGCGACTGTACGATGGAGGCCCAAAGACGACCCTGTCGATGTTGATGAGCCGTGGCTGAAGGAGGACTTGAAGACTATGGGTCTCTTGCTGGACGTCAAGTTGTTGCTGGACGAGATGGATTGTCCGGATGATGGTGTTGAATATCGTTGCTGGCCAGCACTTCGTCATATCTCGCTGAATTCCCCTGGAGAGAGTGCCCTGTCCCCCGAGAAGGAGTTTCGGCGCCTCTTTCCCTCTCGATTCGACATTATCCGTCCCATCCGTTAGCCACTTTTTCCCATTTGTGCGCGTGGACATGCAGGGTATGGTCTAAGAGAATCCTGTAAAAAAAAATGTACCTCCTATTTAATATATCCAGTAACTCCATACTATTTTTTCGGACTACACAAAATCCTCCTTTCGCACTTCTCACTAACTTTTCTTTCTACTCCCTGCTCTCTCACTTACCCACACAATCACACACATACAAAACAAAACAACTATGAAAACCATAACAGTCATCACACTCCTCGCGGCAGCCCTTCTGATCGTCCAAGCAACACCAGCCGCCTCTGTCATCCCCAACTCACACGACGACAACGCCCTTCCCACTACTAGCACTAATGTTCAAGCCTACGACAAGAACAGAACCCTCTCCCGTATGACTGATTTACCCGGCGTCTGTTGGGGAGGCGAGATGAAGAAGCGCAGTGGAGGCACGCAAGCAAGCAGACAGATGGGCTGGAAACTAGGCGGGTAATCATGCGCGCGCGGTATCAGGTGCTGAAATAAGGAGGACAGTCCTGGCATTCGAATGCTCCTTTGTTTTTGTTTGTTTGTAGTCCAAGATTCTTGGATCAAAAAGGGGGAGAGTTCTCTTTTTCGTTTTTTATTGTGCAGAATGAAAAGGCAACAACACCAACTATCATCTTTCCTACATCGCAGGCCCCCTGGGCGCCTTCTGCATAATAGGCATTGGCGGCGCAATCGCCCTGAAATCTCCTCCTCTACCACTCACACCACTCACACCGCTCGTCGTCGAGATTGTAGAACAACTCGTCACAGCAGCAGCAGCCTGCTGTTGCTCATACGCAAGCGTCTGCTGCTCCCAAACAACTTGAAGTTTCTCATAGATCGCCCTGAGCGTCGAATTGGCACCTTGCTGCTGGTGCAGCGTCACCTTCACCATCCGGCGCGGGAGTGTCGAAGGGTGTGGAAGGGGTGGGTAAGCGCCTCCTGTGTGGTGCAGATGATGATGATATTGGTGATGATGGTTATTGCTGGAGAAGGGGTTCCGGGCAGCAGCGAGACTGGTGGAGACAGCGGCCGCGGCGCTGGAAAGGATGGACCCTCCATCACTAGCGCGCCGTGCGGCTACGACGACATCTGGGACGGCAACCGATGACGCGATGGTAGAAGAAGTAGCGCCTGCGCTCGTGGGGCCCGATGCTGTCGAGGTTATAGAAGGGCTACCATGATAATGCCCGTGACGGTGATGGTCGACGGTGGCGAGGATGGCGGCAACGGCAGAGGAGGACATGATGTGGGAGGTGGAGGTGGAGGTATGACTGGCGTTGCTAACGCTGCTGAATGTGCTGGTGTTGCTGACGGTGCTTGAGCTTGAAGCGAGGTAGCCCGCCTTCTCGGCAATCTCAATCTTGAACTTGACCGCCTTCACCGGATGATCGTCAATCACTTCAAACACGAAAAAAGAAGGAAAGAAAATGACGCGTTAATAAACATGAACATCATTCAAAAGAGCCATAATCTACCGTCCCACTCTCTTCGACAAAAAAAATGAGATGACATGACTTACATCCACCTTCATAGCGGCACTTGACACCAAACGACGGCCTCTTATAGGACTCGATCTGAATACTGGACTGGAAAAGATCCTTCATGATCACCTCGAGACGCTCCTGAGTTTCGGCCGCAGACCAGTTACTTCGGAAGGTCAAAGGCTGAGGCTTGAAATCAAAGAGACGTGCAAACCAGGGTCGTTTCGGTCCTGAGGGCGACAATGGAGTCGTCGAACCTGGGCTAGGCGATGCTTCCGAATCTAACGTGTATAATTTTATCGTGGTTAGATTGTGACTGAAGATAAACCCCCAAAAAAAAAAAAAAAAAAAAAAGAACCAAGGCATAGGTCTCTCTCTCTCATCTCAAAAAAAAACCTACATTTACGAGAGTGCTGGGAGACAGAGACGTTCATGGTGGTGGTTCCGGCAGAGGCCTTCACATCCAGGGGGTGCAAGATCGGTCTCTGAGGTTTGGAGCTCGGCGCCTTGGCCGAGACTTCAGTCGACAAGGTGGTCGTGGTTTGGTTCAAGATCCGGGCGCTCGAATCCACAGGTGACGCGCGTCGTGCAGTAGGAGGCTGAGGGGGTTGAAGTTGACTTGTAGGAGGAGGGAGTGGAGGAGTCATCATGGAGGAATCGCGGATGGCTTCTGAGATCTGAGTCGACAAGACCTGGCTCTCGATCGAAGGTGTCACTGATGATCCAGAAATTGTAGGTCGCTGCTCGACAGCAGTCTCAGAGAGAATATCGATGACGACGGCGTCTGGCTTTTTCGATGGCGGCTTTGGCGCCTCCTCGACTTGTGCGGTGGGAGCAGCCATGGGTTCAAAGCCAGGGTTAACGATAAGACTGCGCTGGGCGATGGGAGATACGGGTTTGGGCGCAATGACCACGGGATGTTCGGCCTGTGCCTGGTGTTCCTTTGGCTTCTCAGAGGTTGTTCCTTTGCTGCTCCCACTATTGCTAGCGGTGATCTTTTCGGGTTGAGGTGGGGGAATCTCCTGAGCTGGTTGAGAAGTCGACTCTGGCGCCATAGCTTTGTCCTTCTTGGGCTCGTCAGCGCCGCGGGCAGACGAAGGGTGCTTCTCCTTGGTCACGGAAGCATCAACAAGTAGAGCATTGCTAACCAGAGAACAAGGGGGTGTAGGAGTACGAGCTGCAATCTTGGCAGCACTGGCTGCGCGAGCGACCGCAGCCTCCAACGGGTTCAACGTAAAAGGCGCCGGCTCTGCAGACGAAATCTTGGACATGGGCGTAAGCGGCGACACGGGCGATGTCAAAGGCGAGTCCCGCGGCGAACGCGAAGCACGGCTCAGATCCGGTGTATGAGACCTCGAAGCAAACGACGAGTTGGGGAAAGAGTCCGCCCTCCGTCGGGGTCCATCAAGCACAGAATCATTATCCTCGCCGGCGTAGTTCTCCAGAAGTTCCGTCTTGTGTTGACAGAGAAGGTGATAGAACAGCTTCTCCATGTTTTCCTCGTTGTTGGTCATCTTTTCCTCAATCTCCCGCAGTAACGCCTCCTCATCAAAGACTTCCTTGGCCTCGGGATCGGAGTGAGATGGTCCAGGAGCGAACAACCAACGCATGTGGAGAATAATCTCTGCATCCAGCTCCTCTGCCAACAGTGAACGACAACCCTCGGGATCCTCTGCTGGTTCTCCCAAGGTGTTGCGGTCTGGGTTGACCATCCTGAACCAAGGGTGCATCATCACCCCATGCATCTATTTTTTTTTGTACAACGTGACACCAACGAGTAATAAGTTAACTCTCACCCATTATTTAGTACTACATTTCTCAAGACCTATGTGTTCACACAACATACCGTGATTCTGCGTTTGGGATTGACGGTAAGCATGCGATTGATGAGATCGCGTGCGCCCGGGGAAATGTCCGTTGGCATGTAGAACTTTCCAGCCTTGACCTTACTCAGCAGCTGACGAATGTTTTCGTCGTCAAAGGGCAAATGACCCGTCAGCAGGGCATACAGGATAATTCCACAGGACCAGATATCGGATGAAGATCCATCGTATTTCAAGCCCTATTGTTGTTGCAATCGTAACGAAAACAAGACATTTAAGACGTTTAGTATCTGGTCCTCTTTAATTTCCCTGTGAAAAATTATACTCTAGACAACTCATTTTCTTCTATCCCGGCGAACAAACAGAAGCTAGAGGAAACTTACAGTAACAACCTCAGGACTGGCGTAGTGAGGTGACCCACAACTTGTCTCCAATAGTCGTCCTGTCTTTTGAAGCGACGCCATGCCGAAGTCTGCAATCTTGACATTCATGCGGTCGTCCAGCAGGAGGTTCTCGGGTTTCAAGTCACGATGGCTATATTTTGTTGACATGCACATTGCCGTCAGTGTCAATCAACGCATCCCCAGTCCACGTTTGTGCAAAAACAAATATAGGGGGAGAAAGAAGAAAGAAAGCTGCGTGGTTTGCTTACCAAATTTTGCGTTTGTGGCAAAAGGCGAGGCCGACGATGATCTGCTGGAAGAAGCGTAGGGCCTCGGACTCGTCGAGCCTGCCTTTGTTGACCAGGTACTCAAACAGTTCGCCGCCAGCGACGAATTCCATCACCAGGAAACTAAACGGACGGTTGGTTGATGATTGGCGAAGGTTAGTTGATGGTTGATCGAACAAAAATATATCCTATCAGTTTCAGGTTCCTGGTCTTTAGCAAAAAAAAAAAATTGGTGGCGACGAATCGTAACGCGCCGCAGTGAAACATGCCAGGCAACTCACGAAAAAAATGCAACTTACAGCTCTTTCTCTGTCTCATAGACGTCATAGAGACGAATAACATGCGGATGGTTGATGAGCTTCATGATAGCGATCTCGCGTTCGATACCTCGGTGAACAGCAGCCTTGTTAGCCAGCGAAGCCTTGGAGATGATCTTGACGGCAACCTTCTCATTCGTCTTGCGATGACGAGCCAACTTGACGCATCCTGTTTATTTTTTTGCGATTGAGAAATGAAGGGGAATGAATGAATGAATGGTCAGCGCATAATCGTGGGCATGAAGGGAGGGGAGATGTTGTTGCTGTTGTTGTTGTTGTTGTTGTTGTTGTTGTGTTGTTGTTGTTGTGAACAAGGTTTGAGGGGGAGATAGTGAAAATGTAAGAGTGCGTGTGTGTGTGTGTGTGTGTGTGTGTGAGTGTGGAAGGCGTATGTGTGTGAAGGTATGTGAGAAAGAGAGAGAAAACGAGGGGTTGACACAGATGGGGATGACGGTCGTGCATATCTCAACACGACGGAGAGTGAGGGAGAGAAGAAGGATGGTGTGTACGCGTGATTGCGATGAATGATAGATCTATTCCTCACAAGTTGTGGCATCAACAGAAGATTGATGTGTCCCCATGCCCTTGTCCGTGTGTGAGAGAAGAAGTGAAAGACAAAGAGAGGTGAAAAGGTATGCAACCGCGCAAATCGACAAGGGTTATTTTGCTGTCCATGCCCCTCTGATTGAAAAGTTGGATGTGGTCTGGCAGTGAAAAGACGGTGTTGTTTGTGTTGTGAATACTTCCCAGGAACCACCTCGTTCTCTTTTTACCTCCATATAACATTTATCGCAATCCAATGCCACCTTGAGATATGAAAAGGCGGTGATTGTTGTTGTTATGATTCTTGTTCTTCCTGTGTTGATGTGGTGGTCGTGTAAGGGTGTGTGTATTTATGTGTTTATCGGAAGCTGTCGATGTGCATTTGTTTGTGTGAGGATGTGTTTGTGCAAAAAAAGTAGAGATGTTGTGGGCGATATGTGTAGATGTGTAGCACAAGTTGGTCTAACTCTCTCTCTCCCTTTTTCTCCTAGACCCTCTTTTCTGGCATATTGGATGAAAGGAGAGGGCGAATGACGATGATGCATGTTGCTGGAAAGGTGAGAGATGGGACAACAAAACAAGAAAAATAAGGAGCGGGAAAGGAGGAAAGATGGAAAGAGAATCGTACCTGATGAACCCTTGCCAAGGGTTTTGCCGAGAAGGTAGGGTCCGACATGTTCAAAGGCAGCTTTTGGCGTCAACGATCTTGTCTTGAGAGACTCTTTAGTTCCTCGATCGACAGAACCCCGTCTTGTGTGATTCGAAGACGCTTTCTGCTGTGATGGTTGTTGTTGAGATTGTTGTTGCTGTGTGTATGTGTTGGCATGCTTCTGAGAGACCTCGGGAAGTTGATGTGGTGGGTATTGATGTCTAGAGTTTTGTTGAGGTTGGGGCGAAGCGGGGGCATTGGCATCGCGATGCTCTCTATTGGGAACAATACCGGCGACCTTTGAAGCGTTGGGCTTGTAAGGAGGGATCTCCGAGACAATAGGCTGAGGTCGTGCTTTCCTTTCTGCCAACATATTGAAGTAGCTGTTGAAGGTGTATGTGTTGAAAAGGGAATAGAAAGTGAAAGAGGAAAGAGTAACTAGCTAGAGGATGTAAATGTCAAAAGTTCAGAAGGTCAGAACGGGAAGTGCCGAGGTTGAAGTTGACGGGTGGTGTTGTAGGATATTAGAGAAGAGATATAGGTGTAAGGAGATAAAAAATGACAAAGGACCGGGAGGATTTAAGAGTGTCTAGAAAGATACAAGGAAAGGAAAGAAGAAGGAGAGAAGGAAAGAAAAAGATGGAGGAAGAAAAGAAGAAAGGAAGGAAAGAAGGGGAAGGACACTTCGAGATGGTGACCTTGAAAAATGGGTTCTTCGATGGGGTTTATCGTTTAATGGGCAGAGTGGAGCGAAGTGGAGTGGATCGTCAATGGGCCAGAGATTGGAAAGCAGGCAGTGGTTAGAACAAGAGAAGAGATTGAAAGAGAAAAACGAAAGAGAATGAGAAAAAGTAAAGGGAAAGACATAAGGAAGAGAAAGGGAGGATGGGTCCTTTGGAGGGGTTCGGATTCTGATTAGTCTTTACGAAGTGGGGGAGTTGGACACAGAATCGGGTTAAATACTATTGTTTTCTTGTTGTTGTTCTGTTCGGTGTTAACCCAGTGGTGGCATACAAGGATGTATCGCGAACACGAACCGATGGAATTCGTGATTTGGAGAGAAGAAGGATGGTAAAGAGAAGAAAGAAGAAAGAAGAAAAGGAGGAAAGGAAGGGGAAGAACACGAGGTTGAGTATTATTTCTTTTCTGTGCTCTGTCCTTCTTCATGACCTACGACATGCAGAAATACACCCAGGAAGGACCGGGCAAGTCGAGGGGGGGAGGGGAAGGTGTTGGCTTGTTCATATGGAAATCCGGTGTAGCAGCCACCACCATTTGAGCTCCAAAACAAAAGTAACGAGTCGAGTGGTGTAGGGAAGGGGGGTGGTGGGCGTGTGTATCAATGTGAGAGTGCAACTGAGTAATTGCAGATGAAGTCTGTGTGAGTTCTCCCTCCTTTTTTCTTTTTTCGCTTTGTTGTTGTGCTAGGCTGTGTGATCACCAGGCGAAAAACAAAGTACGTCAATAGGGAGGATGTGAACATATTTAGACATGCAGGCAGGGCTAAATAACAATTACCATAACAAAAAAAAGTTCGGACACGAGGGTCAATCCACACAGGAAGATAATGCGAGGGAAGGAGAGAGGGAAAGAAGGCTCTCTGTCACCCTCTCTTTTTTTTCACTCTCTTCAAGAATGGGTGAGTGGTTCGGTCTGAAGAAGAAAAAGAAAAGGGCCGAAATGAATGCCGCCACAACCACATATGAATAAAGACAGGCAAACAGACACAAGGCACAGAAAAATCCTCTATGCGCTGGAAAGATCCCAGTGTGGTTGGTGGTGGTGGGGGAATAGCACTGAAAGAGAAACGGGGAGAGAGGAGGAGAGAGCGACAAAAGGGGGGAGGGAGGAGACACACGCACACATTGAACAGGGAAGGCGACGCCTGTCTGTCTATCTCCATGATCCGATGGAAGCAAACAATGAATGAAAGGTGGATGTGGATGTGGATTGAAGGAGGGATGGAAGGAGGGAAGGAACAGATCAAGTTGGTCTTGGCAGGTTTGCATCAGAATTTGTGGATCAAGTTCATTCTGCTTCCCTTTGTTTCTTTTCTTTCCCGCAGCTCCTTTGTAATAATGTACCCTTGCACCTTCGCCTCCTTCCCTCTTTACCCCTCATGCCTTCCTCTTTAATTCTCCATATCTTCACCATTACTAGCCCCCAACGCCTCATCAGCCCATTCGCCCAAATCTGTGGCGCGGGTTCGTTCAATTTCTAGTCCAAGGATGTATGAAAGGACCCATTCTTTTCTCTCATGCACTGTAGTTTCCACACGATCTTTTTCAGTGTTTGAGTAATCAAACGATTCCAAGGGAACAAAAAGGGGAGAGCAAGGAAAGGAGGATATGAGCCAGTTGTCGTTTCGAAGGTGTGGTAGATGCATGAATTGGTTCTCCTCCACCCATCAAGAACCACTCTTGTTTATTCCTTGCACCTTGTCTCTTAACCGCAAACCTGTTTGTCTGGGGACCCATTTCAGTTCCGGACCCCAGAGATACATTGTGGGATAGAATGAAAGGGGATAGAAGAAAACAAAGGCACGAAAAAGGGCCCTCGTTTTCTCTACAACGAGCGGCTTTTTGCTCATTAGCCCGAGTTACTGTTCCTTTTTTTCTTTCTATTTTCCGTAGACGGAGCAATCTGGTACACGTCTTTCTGCAAAAACAAAGGCGAAATAACAAAAGGGTCAAACTCGTTCGTTACCTGAAAGCAGCGGCAAGGATAGTTATTTTAGGGGTGAGCTGATGTCGATGGGAACGTGTCAGTGGCGGGCTGTTTAGCGCGTCAGATGAGGAATGGTTGGAGGTGATACAAACCACGAGGGCAAAAAGTAAGGAAGAGTCTTGATGCGCGGGATGGACAAAAGTCTCGTGAAGTGATTGGTTGATATGACTGGGCGTAATGTGTGAAGACGGGCGAAAATTCTAATGTGAAAGGAGAGAGTTGTTTGTTTTTACAAGTTGTTGTCGTTTGTTGTTCGTTTGTAGCGAAGAGAGTGAAGAAGGAGTTGAATGTCGGTCGCGAAGGAGAAGGGTAGTTGTGGTCGTTTTTATTCTTTTGCTCAACAGGCACTTCGTTCAACGGGACATTGCGGACAGGTTGAAAGAAAAGGATGACCATTTGATCCCAGTTTCTAAGGGTTCAGGGAATGCAATCATAACATGCCAAGGATATCAAATAAATAAAAGGTGTCCAACCCCTTCGACGGCGTCTCTCACTAAAAAAACCATCGATCGATTGTAATACACGTAGTTTTGTTATGTCAGAAGAGTTGGAGGAAGGAAGGTGGAAGAGAGTGAAGGAAAACGACCGACAGTACGATGTTTTCATTTTTTGTTCGTTGTTACGTGATATGTATTTTGAACTGAGATTCCGTTCAGCTAACTACTCTGCTGGCCGGAAGGTTAGTGGGCCGGGTGAATGGAGGACTACTGACCATGGTGTCAGTGGTGGCTGTACTTTTTCGTCACAGTTGTATGCATGGAGTTGTGTGTTCAGTAGGTTTATTTTCAACCACTCATCGGAGGATAGCATCAAGTGGTCGATTAATACCCCATAAAACGCGTCGCGCCCTTTTCTCCCGTACGACAGGCAGAGGCGGGCAAACTGACAGAGACAAATAGACACGCACATCTTGCTCTCCTTAATACCAATGTTGACATAGAGTGCGCCTCTTTCCTAGGCGCTGTACGCCCTGTATGTCCTATGCCTGTGCGCCTGTTAATGCGGCTCTAATGCGCAATCAAGTCAAAATCGCTCATGCACCCCCTTGCTATACCCTAGCCGCCTTCTGTCGACCCAAGCGTGAGCCGCCTAAAAGAGCCTATTTTTAGTGGAGTAGTAATATCACGTGACGACTCTTGTTTCAAGCCCCTGCTGATTTCTTATGCGCTGACGAAGCACAAACTGGGGGAGAAATGACAACGAGGCAAGCGAGAGAAGAGAGAAACGAGGAGAAAAAGGGAAAAGTTGAGAGGGTGAGAAGCGATGAACAACAGGCAGCGAGGAAGAGCAAGTTAAGACAGAGTAGAAGAAGAGTGTGTTTATGGTTGTGTGTTGTGTGTATGTTTTGAAATGGCATGAAAGCAACTAAATTGATTGCCCGCTCAGAGTAATCATGAGAGCAATGCAATTTTTGGTCTGGGGCGGTGGACCAGAGTCAAGTGCGTGTGATGCGTATGATGATTTTTTTCGCTGTTTGTGCGTGCGTGTGTGTTGTGTGGTGTGAGAGGGAGGGAGACACCCCTTTGTTGGAGTGGACTGCACTGGGCTGGACCAGTCGACGCAAGACATTCGAATGATTGAATCACAACAAGAGCCTTTTTTTTTCTTGCCCCTTCCAGCCGCAGGACAGGAGAGGACAGAGGACAGGACAGGACTGGGAAGCGAAGAATTTTTTTCGTCGTGCCATCCACATACAAAGGACCTTCTCCCCCCTTCTTTTTCCACTTCTCTCTTTTCCTTACCCACTCCCACTCCCACCCCGTACACACAAAAGAGACACAACCACTCTCACACACACACACACTTCTTTCTCCCTTACACCTCTTTCACACACCTCTTACACTATGCCCAAGGAACCCAAGGCCTCAAAGGCTTCCAAGCCTATCAAGCCCAAGAAGAGTAAGCAAATATTATTATTATGTTGTTATTATTCACCCCGTCTATCCAACGCTGATCCGCGTCAAGCAACAACACCCATCAACACATCCATCCTCCTCCCTCTATCCTCTCCCTCATCCTCCTCCCATCCCTCCTCACTCCCCACCACATAAAACTTTTTTTTTACTTTTTCGTTTCTGGGTGTTGGTCGTTGCTATTGTGCTTGTTGTCTTGTTTTCAAACGTGGTGTTCCCTAGGGCACCAGTGCAGGAGATCAGTGACATAGTGACAAACCCATCACCTAGGTTCGGATCATCACCTCACTACCTAAGAAAAGACAAACACTTGGGCCTTTTTTGTTGAGGGGTATCTCGGAACCACAGGCTTAGACAGTATTACCTCGCCAGGGTTGGCACACCCCGGCCTGGACACCTCGTCGTCGCGTGTTTTATTTTCCTTTGTCCTTCTAGGTGACCATGGACCCAGCGCCACCAACGATGATGAAAATAGCATCCACTACCACCACCGATAACGAACGTTTTCTTGACTGGAACCAAAAAAAAACAACACAACTCGGGACCGCAGGAGCGCGTTCCAATTGTTTATCTTTTTGTTCTTTGGGCCTTTTCTTTTTACAAAGCCTTGTTTACCTTTTCTCACCAACATGAACGCGTCGTGGACTGGCAGCCAGCTTGGTCAAAAATACCGACGCGTTATCGACTCGTCAATGCAGCGTTCGCTAACCCTGTTCCGTTGCCTTGTTTACCTTTTGCTGACGTTATTAGTCACGGCTATCGCCATGCCCAAGCGTCCCGGTACTTCCTGGAACATGTTCTTCCGCGAGCACATGGAGCGTGTCAAGGCCTCCGGAAAGCCCGTTGTCCCCACCGTCGAGGGTGCCGTTGCTGCCGAGCTCTGGAAGAACCTTGGCGCCGACGAGAAGCAGGTAAATATATCGATACCCCATCCTATGAACAAGAAACGTCGGACATTTCATGGCGATATGTAACGCAACGCTGATGCCAACCTACCCAATGCTATGGGGAACATCATCAACAACGACAACCAAACTCACCATGACGATTCTTCTAATGAACGATGACAGGCCTACCAAGACAGATACCGCGCCAACTTTGAGGCTTTCAAGCAGGAGACCAAGGACCGTCTCGAGGAGATGACCCCTGCCGAGTACAAGCTCGAGAACCAGCGCCGCGCCCAGTTGCGCGAGTCTGGCAAGAAGGGTCTCCCCTCGCTCAAGGACCCCAACGCACCCAAGCGCCCTCTCTCCAACTTCTTCCTCTACGCCAAGGACTTGCGTGAGTCTGGCAAGTATGCCCACTTGAACCTCAAGGAGCAGTCCCAGGCCTTTGCCGAGAACTGGAAGAACCTCGCCGAGCCCGAGAAGACCCGCTACACCGACAAGAACCGCATTGCTATGGAGGCCTACAAGATCGAGAAGGCTGCCTACGATGCCCAGGCTACTGCTTAAAAGGAGGAAGACATGGAGTTGCACTTGAGATGACATCGCCCGCCCACCTTCAAGCATTCTTTTTCTTTTTCTCTCTCGCTTTTCATAGTTTTTTTCTTTCTCTCTGTTTATTACCTCTCGTTTGTCCTTTTTTTGCGCTGTTCCAATAATCATGTCATACATACTGCTTTTTTCTTCATGCACACCACAAGTCTCGCATTTGCTTTTAATTTGATTATGATACGAGGTGCAACGAAGCAGAACTTCGTTTGGGTGGGCCATGCGCCATGCATAGGTTGTGTGGAAAAAGGAAAGGGTATAGATGCTAGGCGAACATTGACGCGTCCTGTATGTGCTTTGTTTCTTATCCACGTCCTACTTTACGCCGTTGGAATCCTGACCAACGATGACTTTTCCTGCTCCTGTTGATCTTGGTCCTGCGATGTGAATTTTTCTATAGTTTCGAACAGTAGGCCACAGGCCCCTCAAGGGCGTGTTATTAACGTCCGTATAATTGCTTTACAAACACACGCATCAGGTAAGGTAGATGGTCGGTTTGGAAAGTTCGGAAAAGTTCTTTTGCTGTATTCTTTTTCTTTGTTTGTTTAACTGCTTACCTGTCAGATCGATGGTCCTGAAGACACCTGCCCAGTTTTCAAGCACGCTTGATGTCGCTATTTTTTTTGTTGTTGTTTGGTTGAGCACGCAACATCAATGGTTAGATATTTCGCCATAAGGAAGTTTCTGGTTTGTAGATTGAAAGACATGAGCGGCGCTCCTTATTGCTCCAAGATATGATGTTGGTTGTTCCTTTCGTTTTTCCTTCCCCCTAGCCATAGTTCCTGTGTGCGTCCCTGTTTGTTTGGTTTGAGTGCGGTTCAGAGAGGCGCTTGTGTGTGTACCTTGGTTGCCTTGCATGAGGCCATCAAACTTATCAGAGAGTTCATCAAAGTGCGTCTGGAGATGACTTGCGAGCTGACGGAGCGCGAGAAGGTGTTCCAGCTCCTGTTTCTTTTCTTGCATGCGTTGCAGGAGATGAGGCGGTGCCGTCGAGGACATGGTCTGTACTGTGTTGTTGTGAAGAGATTCTTTCGCGGCGATTCCAAGGTCATGTTGAGACGCGAAGAAAGGGGAAAGAGAGGATAGAATGCAAAGCCACCGTTGATCACGTTACAATCTTCTTGATATCGCGAACCCTCTCTACCTGAGAAACGGTTCGAACCCTACATAAATGCACATCTAGGGAAGAGTCAAGGGTGGAGATTTGATTCGCTAAGGAGGTAGATTAGCGGTGGTGTCATCGCGTTCGGAGAAGGCGCAATGGACAGGGATAGTCTGCAAAGTACTCCTAATCAGCAGTCCCCCCTTCCTACTCCTTCGTTCGTTGCACAGTTATTACATGGAACTTTGCTCATGCACCACGGACGGGAAGGGGAGTGGAGAGCGGAGAACCTTGTGTGTGCGTGCGTTTGTAATTGTTTTGTTTGTATTCGCCGCGGCAATTGTATCCTTTGATCACAAAGCAGAGTAAAAGCAATGGATAAGAGAAAACGATTGATTAGAAGCGACTACGCGTTCGTTTCCCGGAACAGATTTGTCAGAAGCCTTCGAGTTCTTTTTCATACATAAACCTTCGGAGATCCCTTCGTTTTTCCTCTTTCTTTTCTTCATTCTTCAACCTCCTTTCTCTTCATTCTTGACACCCTCTCCACTCTCTTTCTCTTCTTGTTTCAACTCAGCACTCTTCATTTGTATTTTGCCCACTTGCATTCATAACCTCATTCAATATCACTACTACCAACCTTGCTCACACTCGTATACATATACATCCTCATTCTCCACTCTCCACCCACCTCACCCACCACCAACACAACACCAGCACACACATACACATACATAACACAATGCCAGAGTCAACAGCCCCACAGGTCTCCTCCTTCTCGACCACCTTCACCCCCGCCCACCTCAAATTCATCAACGCCAAGCTCGAGAAGCTCTCCCCCGAGAAAATCATCGAATGGGCCATGATCTCCCTCCCTGGCCTAATCCAAACCACAGCCTTCGGTCCCACAGGCCTCGTCATCCTCGACATGATCAACCGCATCCACATCGACAACCAGTCCGCCGCAAATGTCCACCCCACCCCTGCCTCCTCCTCCGCCTCCGAAGATGAGAGCGACGACGGTGATCATCACTTCAAAAAGTCGGGCTACAACACTCAACGCCACCCTGTGCCGTTGATCTTTATTGATACCATGTACCATTTCCAGGAAACGTTGGATCTGGCTCAGCAGGTCCAAGATCATTACAACATCCCCCTCAAGGTCTACAAGCCCCTCAACTGTGAGACAACTGCCGATTTTGAGACCCAGTACGGCCAGCACCTCTGGGAGACTGATGACCTCTCGTACGATTACCTCGTCAAGGTCGAACCTGGTCGTCGCGCATACCAAGAGCTGGGAGCTCAAGCCGTCATCTCTGGTCGTCGTCGGTCCCAGAAGGGTGATCGTGCCCACCTCGACATCCTCGAGATCGAGTCCGGTACTGGTCTCCTCAAGTTGAACCCCCTTGCGAGCTGGTCCTTCCAACAGGTGTGGACCTACCTCCGCGCCTACCAGGTCCCCTTCAACGCTCTGTTGGATCAGGGCTATCGGTCGATCGGCGACTGGCATTCGACCAAGCCTGCGTCGAACCCTGATGACGAGCGGTCGGGCCGTTGGGAGGGCAAGCAGAAGACTGAATGTGGACTGCATGTTGACTACTTCAAGATGAGGGCCGAGTTCCAGGCGACCCAGAAGAAGAAGCAGGCCCTTCTTGCCTCCCGTGAGGCTGCTGTCGTTGTTGCTGCCGCTCCTGCCATCCAGGCATAGAGGCGAGTCAAACCCGACTAGCCAATCCTTTTTGTTTGTTGCCGATTGCGCGATCGTCTCGCCTGTTCCCCCTTTACCGAAACCCACGAGCAATTGAGTTAGCCAGGAAAATGAGATGTGATTATCGATTGGGTCTTTTTCTTGAGAAATCACACCATTTTTTCTTTCTATGGGTCTGCGTCTCTCTCCCCCCCTTATCTCTTTCGTTGCCCCCTCCATCAAAAACAAACCACTCTCCTCCACATTCTTCTCCTTCCCATGTGCGATCTTGTACTTCTATTCATCCCAACCCGCCCACACTTCCACGTTATACCACCACTCTCCTTCTCACTCTCCCTCTCTTGCCAAAAATCGTCCCTCCACACTGCATTGTAAATACTTCATCTAATTAAAACCACTATCTAAAAAATACGAACCTGTCCCCAATGCAATGTCTGCCAATTGAACACGATGAGCATAATGCAGAACATAGTGCAAGCATGAAGATAAAGCAATGAGGTGGTTGCGGAGGAAAAAAACACTACCGTGTGAGAAAAAAAATGATTGAAGAAGACCCCTAACCATGCCATGCCATGCATCAAGCAATTGAGATAGCAAATGGTCTTTTCTCATTTCTCCAGCGAATGAGAAACCGCATGGAAATGATATAACGATCGAGATGAAGGAGAGTGAGAGAGAACCAAAAAAAAAAAGCTGTTTGCCTATCGCGAGAGCTATTTCGGTCTCGGAGTGGTAGAGTTCGCATTGTGCAAGCGAATGCATGACAAAGGGGTCTCTTACGCCCATGTCTCCTTCTCTCTCGGCGTTGCTTTTCCCGAACAAAAAGAAAAGGGTGCAAACTCGACGTGTCGATCAATTGGTCGCCCGCACACACCCCATTGACACGCAATGCAAGTGAGTGTGACTGAGGAGAAGGTGCAGAACTCATAGCCAACCAAGTAAAAAAAAGATGGTAGGCGAGAAATGGCGTCAGATTGCGCGTTTGCGGAGGTAAAAAGCAGTCATGCGACTTCAGTCTATCGCCTTGCCTTTCACCCAATCAAATATCAGCCTCGTGTGAGCACAAGGTGGCCAAGGGGTAGCCAGTATCTACGCTAAACTATTGACCGGTCTTGAAACGACGGTCCTGGTCCTCGTACCATGTGTCGAATACCTGTACCATCGAAGGAGGTTATTACCGGATGCTTCCCTGGGAGACCTAACTCGCGTCTCTAGTGAGCAAGCGATCCATGTTGAGGTTGCATGCGGCAAGTATAGGAGGTTTGCCACCGCTCCAACTCTTTTTTTTGCCCTTTGCCACCACTCTAACTCTTCTTCCTTTGCCCACCACCCCATTCTTATCTCTGTCTTTTGTGGTGGTGTGGTGGAGTGTGGCGATACCATATGTGGAAGAACTCCGGCCTTCCTTAGCGATTAGGAGGCTGCGCCATTATTATTATTTTAAATGAATCCATGAAAACGCCTTTAAAAATGTGTTTGCCACCGAAGAGATATTTATTTCCTCGAGGAAACATTTTCCCATTCTCTTTTCTCATTCACTCATTCCATTTTCTTCTTCCATTCTCTCCATTCCCATTCCTCCTCCACCATCACACTCGTACTAAAATGGAGTCCCCGTTAAATTCTCTCACTTTCAACGTGCTGCAGGGCCGACCCGTTCCGGACACTCACGCTGCCAACTACGACCTCGCGCGTCTCGTTACCAGAAAGTGGGAGATCTACGCAGGCGACGAAGAACACTACCATACCAGCAGCATGGACGGCCGCAGTTTCTTCTTGCAAAAGAAGCAAGATGATAACATCGAGAAAATCGTCTTTCAAAGAGACATCTTTGCCGATCTCGCAACGCTAGACATGTCCTATCTAAGGGAGAGGATATGCTTCAATGCCATTGGTTCGCCCATGTGCCTCTATCGTCTGGGCTGCACCTTCCCCTCGGGCGTTCATATCGAGCCATCGGACAAGTCGGCGTGGTGGTCCGGGTTCACTCACAAGTCGACGGGTCGGTACTTTGGAATCATGGATATCAAAGGTCGTCCAGCCCTCAGAACCGTCCGACAGCAATCCAATCTCCAATTCCAGGATGGACAGTGGCAGCTCTTAGATGATCTAGCAGTATTAAGCAGCTCAGCGCTGAGGGCCATTTCACAGCCTTACCTCGAAGAGCTTCCAAAGGAGCTTGTCGATCATCTCTCAGATCCCGACACGGGCGATGTTGTTTTTCTCAAGAAGATGCAGGACCTTGTCTACACCAACAATATCTTTACAAGCGATATTGCCGAGTTACTGGGCTACCTTGCTTCCGACCAGTGTGTCCATGGATATGGAGATCTTGTTGCCGGTTGTGAAGAGCGAGAGCCTTAGGACGAGCTGATGGAAACAAGACTACTAGAGGATAAACGCAGACGGCATATCTTATGGGGACTACTTCCTCTTCTTTTGTTTATGTTCGAACCTGTCCTTAGGTGGTGCATTTGAAAATAAACTTTGATGGCGAATGATCCGATCTGTCGTAAACTGAGCTAAGGCAGCAGGGTTGACCCATTCTCAAGCAAGATCAGGGGGAGGAGATCAAAGGGAACAGGAAGATTTTCAGACTACTATATGTGTCAAATGAATACGTCTGTGTGTGTGTGTGCGTCCAACGATTTCTTTTTCTTGCATGATTAATGTCGAAACAATGGTGGCAAACAAGGTCAGCGGACGCGACACGGCCGTGTCGTCACCATGTAGGCTGTGCAGAAAAACTTAAAAACCAACATCCGCTCTTTTTTTTATTTTATTTTCCATCCCTCTTATCCACCCACCTTCAAACACACCCTTCACATCCTTACAAACACAAACATAAACACCCTCACACCATCTCTCCCCTTCATATACGCAAAACCATGTCTGCCTTGCTCAAGACTCTCACCTTCAACGCCCTCCAGCAGAAATCCATCCTATCAATACTGCGCCGACCACTAGCTCTTCCACCACGTAATAAGCAAATGGGACATCCTAGAGGATTGCACCTTCTCAGCCCTCGGTATCTGTAGTGGGATTGACAATTGTGTCTATCTCAAGACCTCTAAGGATGGCTCCTCTCCTGATCAACTCGTTTTCGATGGCAGCCGCGAGAGTTTCCGATACAACAGGACCACCTCGTTCAAAGATCTGGGCTCTCCATTCTGTATCTACCGCCTCGGCTGCACCTTCCCTTCCGCGGTCCATATCGAGCAAACGGACAAGTCAGCATGGTGGTCTGCACTCACCCACAGGGCCACCGGCAATTTTTTTTTGGATTTACCGATTTCAAGGGAGGAGTCGCACTCTGGGTCCGAATGCAAGAGGCGCACTTGAGCAAATACGTGCGCAAAAACGGTGACTGCGAGAGTGTCTGGCGCGTCATGAGAGGGTTGAAGGAACAAAAAACTAACGAGGTTGTAGAGGAGCCCTACTCGGATATACTGCCACAGGAGTTGGTCGATCGTCTCTCTGCGCCCGAGACGGGGGATCCGGCGTTGTTAGAGGAGCTGAGCAAGTTGGTCGAGGACAACAGGGTCTTCAAGGAAGATATGCTTGCCCTGTTGAATTATCTGGCCTCGGATCAGTGTGTGCATGGATACTGTAACCTCGTTGCCAGTTATGAAGCCTGATTGGATGCCCAAAAAAAAAAAGGCTGTCCGCAGGAATTTTCTTGGTTGCTTTTCTGCGTTTTGAGAAAGAAAACAAGAGGCATGAGAATGATCCTCCAAAAGTTGCCCGAAAGAATAAAAAATGCCTTTTTGAGTCATGGATTGACGCGAACTATTGGGGAAGTGACGAAAAGAACGTGTAGGAGTGGTGGCAAAGGCGATGAAGTAAAGGCGGGATAGGTATGCGTGAGGAGGGGTGGCAAAGGCGTATTATGGTGATGAGAAAGGCATAGGAGTAGTAGCAACGGCAAGTAACAAGGAGATGGGAAGGCACACACTATTCCACTCTTGATAGATACACGTGACATGTAGCCATAAACAACCAGAAGCAGGACAAGCATGAAGGCAAAGAATAAAGGAAAAGTAACACTGTACTCTCTACAGAAAAGAATGAAAGAGAGAAGGAAGGGTAAGGAGACTTTGGAGGCAAAGTAGGGGTTTCATATCCTCGAGATCCCATTAACGAACCAAAACCCCGATCACAACGAGAGAGTGAGAGAAAGAGAGAAGTGAGGGAAATTAGGTGAACAGGGAGCACTTGTGCTGTCGCTGTATGTTAGGGCACTTGGGCCATTCCACCCTGAGCTAACCCAAAAATCAATGCTAATTAGTAACAGAGATGAACACTGGACCAAGCATTCATTATTATCACTCTCGTATTAAAGAGTGGACGGTGTAGAAGTACAGTAGTGTTTTTTGTGGTTGTTTGCCACTATTTTATGCGAGATCGGAGTTACGATGAAGGAAGGCACGCGCGCCTCATAAACAAGTGAAAGACTAGAACTGGCAAACGACGAGGGTGATTGGTCCGACGGGTCAAAGGGGGATGGCAAAGAGAGAAAAAGAAAAACACGCTAACTTCAGTAAGGGGATCAGAAAGGGGATGAGGAGGAAGGAAGAGGAGGCCCATGTTTATGTTTGCCATTGATAATAATTTAGTTATATTTTTCACCAAGAGGATGTTGAATCTATCCAGCGAGCGGGGTCACTCGTGGGTCCAATGCTTTTTTTTTTTTTTTTTTTGGTGTTGCTGCCGTAAACGTTTTTCTTTTATTCTGCGAATATTGTTTGCACTCTTCATAATGCAACTTTAATGTGTTTGTCACTGTTGTTGACATGATCGAAGTAGAATTCGAAGGAGGATAACCATAGGGACTTTTTACCGTTTCAGCAGGACGAGTCGCGGAGAAGTAAGAGGTGGATATATGCGTTTCTATGATTTGCGCAATAGTGAAATAGAGCATTGGACATAATCGAGAAGCTCCATGCACATGCGAGTATAACCTCCATCCCTGACCATTGTCTGCTGTTTTTCCTTGCCCTGAACCTGACCTGTCGCTTTCTCGTCTTTCTTGTAGCCCCTCATTCTCTTGTGTGCTCACAGCACAAGTGGCAACCAAAATTATGTTCCCCTTCACCTTCTCTATCCTCAATCATGCCTCTCCATCCACCCTGCCGGGCATTCCAGGACAGTCTTTACAAGAACGAAAATAAAAATAAATCAGACGAGGCTGCCTTCACCTATTGTAGAGGCGAGTGGCGTTCTGGAAGTGAATTATGCAATGTTTAACAGTCCATCGTCGTGTCTCACGCGCATGTAGTCTTGCCCTTCCTTTCATGCTACTGACATAGGGGTACCTTATAGGGATCCATGTTTTACGTCTGCCGAAAACAAGCTGGAATGTTTTACTCTCCGGTTGTCGAGTTTCGTTCTTTGTCTTGTTGCTAGTTTGTCTTCTCAGTTTGGTCCATTGAAGACTTTGTTGGGCACTGTGTTTTGGGCGGCAATCTCCCATTAAACAATGAAATGAACGGAGAGACAGGAACGACCTTATCAATTTGGCTGATCCATTTGGTGACAAAGTGCTCCCATGTCCGTGATTGTTATGTCCTTGTTTCCTTGGCTTCCTTCTTTCTTGGTGGATGTGTATGTATGCGTGGATGTAGGTGTGTGTGAATGAAGATTGAGAGCAGGATTGGACAAGAGAGAAAGAGGGAGAGACAGGACTATGAACGCGGTCAGCCTCTTTCTTGACCCCGGAGGTAGTTATTTTCATTGAAGAGAAGAGAGGGCGTCCGGACCTCCTTTCTTTCTGTTCACTTTCCTCACGTCGTCGTCGTTGTTGGTATCCTTGACTTGACCAAGCCAAGGTACCTCTTTGTATACTTTGTGAATTTGTCCATCATTGGTTCACCTTGTTGAACCTTTTGTTGTTGCATGTCAACCAGTCAATCGCCTTCCTTCGACTCGTCCTCTTCTCCCACCTCTTTTCTTGTTTGTTTGGTCCTTTTTTTCTCACCTTTATGCCCGCATCCTTTTCTTTCCTCTACTTCTTCCTCCATTACCGCTTTCTCGTCTCTTTTTTCTTCCCCACATTGTTCTATCTCTTTCTCCGCTTCTCTCTCTCTTTCTCTCTCTTTCCCTCTTTCTCTCTCTCTCCCTCTTTCTCTCTCTCTCCCCCTCTCTCTTTTTCCTACTTAGCCCTCTTGCTCCTCTCCCTCACCTATCTGCCTTCTCCACACGCTTAATTCCCCAAGGCACACTCTCTCTCATACACAAAGTGAGCCTTTTTCTGTTCTTGATTTGTTTTAGCTTGACAACCCACGCCGCACGCGCTCATATCCTCCTCTCCTTCTCTCCTTTCTCTTCTCTCACACACTCTGACAGTTTCCCCACTTTCTCCCCCCTCTTTTTTTATCCTCGCATACTTTTAATACCTCCCTTTCTTCTTCCTTCTCTTCCTTGTTCTTTCCCTGTCTTCACGCCTTCTCCTTTCACCACCACCCTTCCCACACATACCCTTCCTCTCACTACCATGGGGAACCAGACGAGCAAGAAGGCGAGTCCAAAGGCATCCGCCCGCACCCTGGGCTCTGAGACCGATTACCTTTCTGCCAATAGTAGCCAACCCTCCCTCCAAGACGCCAAGCGTGACTCTCTCTCCACTAGACCAACTGCAACTACGACGGGACGGAATGGAGGCAGCTCCATCGAGGCAGCCAATGGGCGTGTCCAAGGAACAGCAACATCTCATGAGAAGAACACCAATGGCAACAACAGTAACAATAACCCAGTGTCATCTCTATTGGGTCGGTCCTCCCACGAGTCTGCGACAGGAGTAGCAGCACCAACAGCCTTATTGGCGTCCCTCCCTCGCGCCAGGCCGAATTCCTCGTGCGAGAGTAGCCCCGTTCAGGTGAACATCGATGTCGTCTCGGGGACCATCCTGCCAAGCCATGCCCAGGACTCGTCTGAACGAAGGCTAAAGTCGTCGCTTGTCTCGAGTGACCTGATTCAACCCCCACCAGCGGCCCATACCCAAGACAGCACACTACACCATTACCAACAGCAACAGCAGCAACAACGCCATTCAAGTCAAGGGGTCGTAGGCCCGAGCTTGACAGGCGTGTCAGGTCAACAACAACAACAACAACAACAACAACAGGGAAATACTAGTAGTCAAAACGGAACAGGCTCGACTGGCCCAGGAGCAGCTACTACCGGTGTAGCCACCACCAAGACGGCCAGTGGTATCAACAATAACACCAACAATACCAATGCCAATATCAATAATAATAAGGACGGCGTAGCCAATGTCGACTCGAAATTAAGACAGGAGCACTATGACCACATCAAAAACAACATTTTTGGACGCAGTAGTAGTAGCGACCATGACAACGACTCTGTGCTCCCTCCTGCCAATGGCAACGATGACCACCAACAGGCTCACCAGCAGAGTCAAGCAAACGGAGCCAACAGCAACAAAGATACCCAACAAGACCAGGAACACGACTACAGTCATCAGGAACAAGAACAGGAACCACCTGCACCTCCTCCACCAGAGCCAAGCATCCCCTTTGCTGTCCTGGAGCCAGGCGAGCCAATCCTGGTCAAGCGACCTCATTTGTCGCCATTGATCATCCCTTCGTCGCTGCCTTCCTCTGCCCGCTCGCCACCTCAGACAAAGTCGCTAGAACTCTCACCGACGGCGCGCATTCCCTTCTTGGGATCGGGCGACAAGAGCAACAAAGCCGTGGATATCGACGAGATGATTTCAAAGCTGCTGGATGCTGGCTACTCGGGCAAGATCGCCAAGAACATCTGTCTCCGCAACAGCGAGATTATCTATATCTGCCAGACCGTCCGGGAGGTGTTCCTCTCTCAGCCGACTTTGATCGAGTTGAATGCGCCGGTCAAGATTGTAGGCGATATCCATGGACAGTACACGGACTTGCTGAGGATGTTTGAGATGTGTGGGTTCCCCCCGTCAGCCAACTTTTTGTTCCTGGGCGACTATGTGGATAGAGGCAAGATGAGTCTCGAGACGATACTTTTACTGTTTTGCTACAAGATCAAGTACCCCGAAAACTTTTTCTTGCTCCGTGGTAATCACGAGTGCGCAAGTGTCACCAAAGGTAAGAACCATGAACATTGTGAGGAAAGAAAAAAAGAGAGTTTGAGTTGTTGGTGTTTGTTTGTGTGGGGAGAGAAGTGAGCAAAGAGCCTCACATGAACTTTGAGGGGCTGCAGTGAGGGGCATGGTTGAAGTAAAAGAAGAAAGCAATGGCCAGGGTACCAGACAAGCCAGACCAACCAGACTGCATCCTGTTCTCTTTAACTGTCGGGTGACGCATTTGTTTGTTACCCTTTCATTTGTGGTCGTATGGTCATTGTTGATACCCACCCCTTGCTGCCTTCAGATGACTCTTTCGCGGTCTGACCTTGTGTCACAAACGGCAAATGAGGGTTTGACGAACAGAGAGGCTGTCAGTACTGTTGTCGATGTGCTCAGACTGAAGATGACAAAGTGGAAATCTTTTCATCCTCTTACGCCCAATTTTTCACACTCCTTTTATAACCTCTTTAGTCTACGGATTCTATGACGAGTGCAAACGCCGAGCGAGTATCAAGATGTGGAAGGCCTTTGTTGATGTGTTCAACTGTCTACCCTTGGCAGCCATTGTCGCCAACAAGATCTTTTGTGTCCACGGAGGTCTCTCGCCATCCCTGGGAACCATGGACGACATTCGCGCCCTGCGACGACCAACTGACGTCCCCGACTATGGACTGCTGAACGATCTCCTGTGGTCAGACCCTTCGGACACGGCACTAGACTGGGAAGACAACGAGCGCGGAGTGTCGTACTGTTTTGGGCGCAGCATCATCCAAAAGTTCCTGAACAAACACGACTTTGACCTGATCTGCCGCGCACACATGGTGGTCGAGGACGGGTACGAGTTCTTTAACGATCGAGCCCTGGTCACGGTCTTTTCTGCGCCCAACTACTGTGGTGAGTTTGATAACTTTGGGGCTGTAATGAGTGTGAGCGAAGAGTTGCTCTGTTCGTTTGAGCTGCTCAAGCCCATTGACCAGGCGACGGCTCGTGCGCAGATGCAGAGTTTGGCGGCGACGAACGGCGGTTGGAGGGTGAACAAGCAGCGCCTCAGGTAAGAAGAAAGATAATATAGGGCAGGAGTGCAATGTTGAGATGAGATGAAATGTATGACGAGGTTTTATTTTCAATTGGACTCACCGTTGACTTTTCATCTGATTTTCATTTTCATAGCATACCCGATGGCAATTCTGTCTATGGGGTCACGCAGAACACGGGCTTTAGCAACTGAAAAGTTCGACCTCTCGCCACGAGTATGCAAGCACCGCCGCTCCATTTCTACCCCTCCTCCTCCTCCTCCACCACCACCACCTCTACTCTCTCTGTACTTTTACTTTAAATGCCTCTTTTTGTTGACAAGCAGCAGCCTTAATCATCCTCCTCCTCCTCTTTCACCTTTAGTTACCCTTCTTCTTTATATCCTTGATATCATTCCTTTGTACTTTTACAAGCAAACTACTCTTTTTCTGCGGCGTTTCTCCCAAGTCCAACAGCCTGCGAAGTCTTTCCGCTTAAATAAAAAAATATTCAACAACAATTCGCGTCTTCCCCTGGTATGCCTGGTTGGAGTAGAAGGCCGAGGCGGCAGGTCCATTGACAATATTTAACTGTCTGCTTGCATGATGCAGCGACCGAATGACAACAAGTGAAAAAGGAAAAGGGAAAAGCAAAGGTAGGGAGGTGAGGCGAGACAAAAAAAAACAACAAAAAGACCTAGACGGATAAAATTGTGCTCATGCGACAGTGGTTTCCTTTTTGAACATCCGAAGGATATGAGCGGGGTGGAGGCAAAGTTATTATAGCTGGGCTGAGGATTTGAGGCGGTGTGGTAAGCGGTACTTTTTTTTTTTTTTGCCTGGCATGTGCATACGTTGGGTACTTGGTAGAAAACAACATAGATAATGAAGAGAACTCGAAAGTCAGATTTGATCGCTTAAAAATAGGGGCATAGACAATCGGCGTCAATGGAAAGTAACCTTGTAAGGAGTGGACACACTTTGTTCGAGAGTCGTGGGCGGAGAGGATTGCCGAGGAAGAAGAGGAGAGAAAGAGGGCGGGGGAGGCGGAAGGAGGCTGTTGTTGTTGATGATGGGTTGGTATGATTGACATTTGATTCGTTCGCCCTCGGGTTTAATCGATCACTCTTCGCCAGACAGAAAGGTAGGGAAGATAGTAAGGAGTTGAAAGAGTAAAAGTCGAATGATCCTTGGGGAAGAAGAAGGTATGAAACCCATGGACAATGTTGACGATGTCAGTGTGCAGGAGCCGGGGTTGCAATTGAAAAGTTGGAAGGGTGAAGGCGTGCCCTCCTGCTCTCCATTAGGATCACGAAAGGAAAAAAGTAACTCCTCCTGACCTGGCTTTTCTTAAAATGATACGACCTTTTCCTCGGTTCTTCTTCTTCTTTTCTTCTTTTTCCTTTTTCTTTTTTCTCACACTCGCACTCACACTCCTTCATCTCTTTTTTTCTGCATTCCTCCCTTTCCTCTCTCTCATCACTCATTTATAAACCTCTGTCTCATCACAATGCTTTCACTTTCGTCCATCCAGGAAAAGATCTCGTCGTTGGTTCACCGCCACAAGACCACCGCTAGCGACATTGTCGAGACCGCCCAGGAGGTCATCCTCCCCACTGCTAGCAAGAACTGGGACTTTAGCATCACTTTTGTCGGTGCCAAGGTGAGTAACACATCTTTACAACGAGCAGCGCTACATGACGTACCTGCGCGACCAGGCTAAAATAATAAGAGGGTGTGCGTGTGCCTGAAAATTACTCTTTTCTGTCTGGTACGTGTCCACTGACAGCCCTTTTTCCTTTTTGCGAAACTCTTTTTTCTCATTTTCTCTGTCCGCTTTCTGCATGCTCCCTGTTGCCGCTGGCTGTTGCATTTGCGTCCGTGTCAATGTGCTTATGCTACTGTATGTACGATTTTGTATGATTGTTGTGTTTGCGTATTGCAGGATGTGCCCCGTGGTGATATTCTCTCGTCGGATCCTTACCTCGAGGCCTACCTTGGCGACCCCAAGGATCCCTTGACTCTCTCCTTCATGTAAGTGCATTTTTTTTCTTTTCTTTTTCGCTTGAAAAATGGAAAAAAACTCCCAAAGACATCGCCCTCCCCTTTTCTGAAGACTCACACTCCAATTTCCTCTGTTACCCTCAATTAGCACGGGCGTCCACTGGAACACGCTGAACCCTGTGTGGGACGCCAAGTGGGAGTTGCTGAACGTCACTGACGAGACCGAGTTGCTGTTGTACATCAATGACAAGGACAAGATGAAGGTTGATACCCCTCTCGGCAAGGTTGTGTTTCCTCTCGGCGCTAAGTTGGAGGGTTCTCAGGAGCACGAGCTTGACATCGTCCGCGCTGATGGCCGTATTCACGGTAAACTCATTGTTCATGTAAGTTATTATCCATAATAGTGTTTGTTACTTTACTTTCTTTTATGCGAGACTATGTCATGCGAAACGTAGAGAAGAAGAGGAAGGAAAGAGATGATCTGCAAGGCATCTCGAAGAAACGGAGCTGAAGAAAACAAGAGAGAGTCCAGGGCAAACACAAACAAAGCGTGAAAGAAAGGAACGAATACGAATGACCACAAAATTAACACCGCCTTCTTTTACTCTTCGTCTTCCCCACTGCACCTTCCTTTTTCTCTTGTCATTTTCTTGTTTAACAATTGTCCAGACAACCGGCACCAGAAGCTACGGAAAGTCCACTAGCTTGAGCAAGGCTACCACTGCCGGACCTGTCCGTTACTCGCGTCACACCAGCTATGCCGCCGGTGTCTTGACTTCCGAGAACAAAAAGTTTGAGTTCTATGCCTACCGCCTCCGTCTCTACCATCTCAGTGAGATCTTTGGAACTGACGCTTCGTAAGTTATTTCTTTATGATCTATGTGTTCTCCTTTCGTTGTTTTTATAGTCTCATCCTTGCCGTATTCCTTCTGAATTGAACACTCACGCCATATTTCACCCATTCCTTTTACCATACATAACAGTCAATACAACGGATGGAACAAGGAATACTCGGCCGCTCAAAAGATCTTTGGTGAGAACCTGGAGGGCTCCCAGATTCGCCAGGCTCTTCACAACCAGCACGCCTACCTTTACCGCCACGGTCGCTCCACCCAGTACAACGCCGTGGCCAACGGCACTGAATTGGGCGATTTGCTTCACGGAGACCGTTTGAAGAAGGACCCCGAGCAGGATTTGAAGATGATTGTTTTCACCTACAGCATTGTCCCCAAGGGCATGTATTTCTCAGAGACAGGAGCTGCCTTCTTCCAGGATTTCATGTCGAAGCACGCGATGCATGCCAACCGTGCTACGGAGGTGATGTTCTCGGGCGAGTTCCGTGTCTTCCGTGACGAGCACAACCACGACGACTGGACTTTAATGATCGACAACAACTCAGGAACTTACAGTCCCAGGAAGGAGGATTTGCACAAGGTCAAGAAGCTGTTTGAGACCAACTTCCCTGGATTGACTGTGATTACCCTTGACCACGAGGACCCCGTGTTGAAGGATATCCGTACCGAGACCAAGAGGATTGAGGCCGAGACTGCTGCCCGCCAGAAGCAGCGCTTCTCGCTCTTCAGCAGCATGAGCAGCAAGTCCGAGGAGCCCCCCTCTCCCCAGGAGATCTAGAGTACTTGTGCGAGATAGCCCTTTTTATCTTTCCCTGAACCAATTTTCCATGAACATACCTATTTGCATTCTCCACGTGACCTTAATGCGACTGGGCTTTTTCTTTCAAGAAACTGGTTGCCCACCAAGACGCTCTCTGCTTCTATTTCCATGTCTTTCTCTCTCTCTTCACTTCTCTTACTCTCTCCTTGCGACATTCCAACCATCCTACAGCCAACAATAACAAAAGAGTGCCAACGACAACACCGAATAACCCGCATATCTCATACTCGACCGCAAATACTCTCTCACTCTCACTCTCCTTGCTATTGCTCTTCTCATCACCCTTTGTCACACTTCCTCCTTTTTTTAAATATATACCTTTCGACATCACAACCTACTCCTCCCCTTCTCTCACCTCTTTCGTACGATAACACTCACCTAAACTCATCACACTGCTGCTCCACCACCATACAACAACTGACAGTCGCCCGCTTTCAATGTCACAGGGCGAAGATGGAGGAACAGCAGGAGGAGGGACAGCTGCTGGAACAACAACTGGTGGAGGTGGAGGAGGTGGAATACCAACATCGAGTGTAGCGGCAACAGCAGGGTCAGTCGCCAGCAATAGCGCCCATACCAACGGCCATGCAACTACAACAACTACAACAACGTCAACGACGACAGCAACCAACAATATTGGCAATGGGCGAAGGAGTCGTGGTGGAAGTGCCAGTACCCACCCCCATCACGCCGCGGCCAATGGTCACCACCATGACGGGCATGGTGTGAATGGCACTGGAGGTGGTGCGGGGCTGATGAATATGATTCGGGAACGGCAACGTGCTGCTGGCAGCACACAGATTCTGGATCTCTCGTATGCGAACCTGGAAACGTTCCCGACAGAGATTGAGTTCTTGAGGGATGTGCTTGAAAAGTAAGTCCAACTCCAGTGCCCTGTCCTTTCACCAAAAAAATATGGCATACGTTTATACGCGAGTGGGAGTGCGAAGCACGTTGTCGGCCTTTCTTTTGGCATGACCCACGATTACGGCCATGGGACACGACGCTCTGCCTCGTCTTTTTTTATTCATGTCACCTCACCTATATGTGCCCCTAAAAACTTTTTTGAAATGCGGGGGGAGAGCAGACGGAGAGAACCAAAAAAAAAGAACGATGCGAGGGGTAGGTAGGCGGGAAAGTGGAAGGGAGAAAGAAAGAAAGGAGGGGAGGAGAGGTGATGGAAGGGGGAGGAAATGGAATGAAAAGATGTATGCCTGTGTTTGCCTCGCCTCATGCGACCCACCCATTCAGCCCTGTGTGTGCTGGTTTTCATATTGCGCGCGGCAACGACGATTCACTCCCGGACGTTTTTGCAGGAGAAGGTCATGGACCACGTCAGGCGATCAGCATTCGATGGGCAACAAGTTTTTCTCCTGTCCGAAGGAAAGAGGGAAAGGCAGTAAAAATCCAAAGGAATTGTCGACAATCTTGGCAAAAGGGAGAATGGTATCTACTTTTGACACCTTGGCACTTTGGCAGGACAAAGAACATTGAGGAGTTTGCGTTGGTTTGGAAGACATTTGTTACGAAAGGCATCCTGCAATTAGAGCATTGAAAGCAAAGGTGTTTAATGATAGGGCGTGGTCTAAACAAAAACATCAATAGCCAACCTGTCCTGTAAATGGCTAAAATGGATAACAAAGTGGTGTTGGAAGCTGGAAGGCCTCCGCGCACGTGGAGGGGATGCAGGAGAAGGGACACTCGATCTAGCATGTTGTTTTTTTCTCTTTTGCCTTCTGCTTGTTTATTACTTGATCGATGCATCCGATCATGGTTTGACAAGGTGCAGTAATTATTGTGAACTAACCCATGCCTGTCCATTCATAAATATAGGTTGACCATGAGCCACAACTCCATCAGGACACTGCCCTTGCAGCTCAACATGTTCACCAGTTTGCGATACCTCAACATTCGTGCCAACTCGATCAGGATCTTCCCAGCTGTGGTAAAGATAAAAGGGGGTGCTCAGACAAGGACGGATGAAAGAGGAATATTCTCAATGGACATGTACTTCCAACCTGCTACTCCTCTTGTTTTGACGTGACAATTCAATCGACCACGCGCATACTATAGTCATCCAACTAACTAGCCCTTTTTATTTCTCCTCCTTACGGAATAGCTGTGTCATCTGTCAAGTCTTGAGATCCTGGACATGAGTCGCAACAAAATCTCGAGGTTTCCGGATAACTTTGGGAACCTGATGAATCTTCGAGTAAGTCAGCATGCGCTGGATGATATTCTCAAAATTTCCTTGCATAATTAAGCAGAGTCGGCACAAGGATCGATCAAGGATTAACACGCCGTATTCCTTTGTGATATGTAGGTGCTGAGCATATCGAAGAACCGACTTGAGACTATACCCACATACATTGGAGAGATGAGCCAACTCCAGTTTCTCAAGATCGAACAGAATCCTATTGTGTTCCCACCATCCGAAATTGTCGACTTTCCAGGAGAGGATATGGAGGGCTGGCTCAACAGCCTAAAGTCGTTCCTGGTGGCTCATAAGAGTAAGCACATGACGAAATTAGCTGCACTGCTTTTTTATGCTAATGGGATATTTTATCATTGGATGCCGAGATTAACATGGAGCGTTCATTTACTTAGAGGAACATGAGGTCTTGCCCGCGAGGATACGAGGCGACGAGCATTCAGCTACCCATCAGGAGTTGCCGCCATTGTCACAGCAGAGGACAACCAGGTCCGCGTCGGCGGATAACTTAGTGATCCCTCAAACACATCGCCAGAGCAGGAGCGAACCTGGTTTGCGCCTCAGTATACCTGTCGTGGAGAGGTCAGGATCTCACTCGGGAACGCTCTCGCCGGAACCTACGTCAATTAAACTAGCTCGGACCAACAGTCAGCATGGGAATGGAAACCATGGCGACGACCATTACCGGTTTATTAGTCACTCCAGAGGTATTTCGGGCGACTCGACAAGCTCTTTTGGAAGCACGACCTCAAACGACTGCGACAAGTACAGCGACATGTATTTTCAGCGACTGGCGACCCACCCACCACCACCTCACCCTTTACCTGGCGAGCGCGTCCGACTTGTCGAAGCAGCCCGTGGTATCCTCTTCGCCCTTTCGCAGATCTACAGGGCTGTCAAGCAGGTTGTTGGCTGTTCTACAGACGAAAAGTTCAGTCTTCTTTTTACTCGTCTTCTCCAGAGCGCCAACAGTGCTATGACGCAGCTTATTCAGGCGTTGGACCGGTTCGACAACTCAGCCCAGGTACAAGTGCCAGATCAGTCGATCTGTTCAGAGATTATGCGCTGCTGCGAGTCTAATGTAGTGGCATTCCGGAAATTGGTCCACGTTGTGCAGACTCAGATCAGGAGCATTAGTATGGTGGCCGACGCGCGCTTGGTCCGCAACCTTGTCCTCCTGCTGCATGGAGCTCTGTCAGAGATCAGGATGGCCTGGGACTCACTTTTGCCGCTCTTGCAGGGGTCGGGAGAGTTGAGTGTCGAAGTTGTTGAATCCAATCACCCTATGCTCAAGGACCAGCAATCTCACGCACATCACCAGCAACAACAGCAGATCCAGCAAGCAATGATATTCTCTGGCATGAACCACCAACAGCAGCAAGCTCAGCAACACCACCTCCAACATCAGCATCACCCCCAGCTTCAGCACCAGCTCTCGTCTAACAACCTGACCTTGAGCCATCAATCCCATCCGTTTCAGCTCTCACCGACCATGCCCACATCCTCCAGCTGGCTTCCAGTTCAAATCCCGCAGCGAAGCCAGAATATGTCGCGCGCCAGCAACCACAGCGCTCAGTCGACCAACGTCCACCACGACGACGAAGAGGACACTCAACTCTTGATGACCGTTGAGCATGCGATTGAAGCGGCACGGCGCCTGATCCAGTCGTTGACCGAGACATGCATGACGCGAGTCGAAAACCTGATGGCCAGTCCCCAACATCGCGTGTCACCTCGTGCTCGATCTGTGTCTGCGTCTCCCCCTAGAAGCGCTGTCAGCGGAAGCGGTGCTAGCAGCAGCCATGGGAGCGCTGGAGGGAAACAGTCTACTCTGGATCAGCAGGATGGCAGCACAGCGACTCTGAGCCCACCTCAGCTTTCGAATGAGCAGGCGTCGTCGTCATCCTCTGTTAACGGCGAGTCGGCGAAGCCTTCCGCTCATAAAGCCAAGTCAGAGACTGGAAACTTGATCCGCTCACCTCTCTTCTCTCCCGTGTCCGATACCGTGCCTTATTCGAACGGGATGTGCCTCTCCCTACCAATCAACCCTTCTACTACTACGCCCACGACCACAACTACTATGACCGAAACGACAGCAGCTGGATCTGCAGTATCAACGAATCACACTTCAGAAGACAACGGACCGACTCGACAGGAGAGACGAGCTGGGACTCACTCCAAAGGTTCGTCCAAGGCTTCCTTTGACCCCGCCCTTCCATCGATCCCTCAGGACGAAGCGCACGAAGTTAGCCAAACCCCCGCCATTGCAACGCCACCTTACCAGCCCGTGATGACAGCTCGCTCCGCAAGTGTTTCGGGTTTGCCCTCGATTTCTCAGCAGGCGCTCTCGTCTCATTACTCGTCGGCGGTTGTGGCGTCCTCTCTTCCAATTCAGGGCTTTTTGAGTCAGGGACCAGTCCAGTCGCATCACTATGGATCTCAGGCATCAGGATTAGGTGTTTCCCAGTTGCCGGCATCGCAATTGTGGCGCGAAATGAAGGAGTGTCTGTTGCAGATGACCGAGATTGTGAAGCGATTGGACCTGGATCTGACCATGATCCGCACAGAGGACGCTCATCATCTTCACTCGCACCCATCTCACCACCAGCACGGGCAGTTCCCGCCTCACCACCAACAGCAGTACCAGCAGAACCACACGCCTCATCCTCACCAAGCCTCGGGCTCGAACACCCTTCAGACCCAGCTTGGCCAGCAGCATGGTGCTGGAACCAGTTTGGACGATGCCAACATTCTCCGGCGACGATTCGGTATGGGTGTCAGCGACTTCGTTAAGTCTGTGGTTGTGATTTCGACATTGGTCCGACAGCTCTCCTCCGCGGCTTCCATTAACGCTGGTCGATCTGGGTCAGGATCAAGTTTTGCTGGCGACGGTGGTAACAGCAACGGCAACGCTCGCACGACGATGACGACAACCGTGACGACAACGACGACGTCATCGACGACTATCTTATCGACCTCACCCTCTGCGCCTAGGAACGGATCCGCGCTTACAGGCGGCGACAATTCTAACCTGACAACACCCACGACGACAGGAGCGACCTTATATTCTTCAGCTTCACACACCAACGACATCACCACCACCGCCCCTTCCTCCAAAGCCACGACGCCTCAATCTGGGTCGTCGTCGATTCCTGGATCATCGTCTGCTACCAACTTGGGAGCAATGTCGATGACGACGGGATCTCCTGAGAACCTGTCATCCTCTATGCATCAGCCCTCAAGATCCCAGACAGGAAATTTCACGACCTCAATAACACCACATCAGCAACAGCAACAACACCAACAGCAACACAACAACGGAGGGCAGACGGAGATTTTTTCACGACTTGTAATGACGAATGTATCGAATTTGACCAAGATTACCAAGGAACTGACGGTTCGGATGCCCCGGTCGTCGTTCCGAGACTATTTGCTCTCTCAGCAGGCATTTGGATCGTCCTCGTCCACGTCAGCGGCAGCGGCAGGAGGTCCAGGAAGTGGAGCAGGAGGAGCGACGGGCAGTCATTTTGGGATGATTACCTCTGCAGGCGGAGGTGGAGTCCCGAACGGAGTTGGAGGAGGAAGTGCGGCGCATGGTGGAGCCAGTGGCGGGTATGGGTATAGTTTTGGATACGGACCTGCGGCTGCATCTATCCTGGCGATGCGCAAAGGCAGCCTGATCTAAGCGTAGTGATCGCCTGGCGACGGTTGAATAAAATATCATCATATCACTGATGGTCCCTGAATTGTGAAACCAACCTGGTTGTGACTGTGCCATACTTATTTCGAGGCTGAAGGTGAACTCATGAACACAAGCCGAATGCTTCTTTCATTCTTAACACATCTCACATCCCTCATCCTTTTGCTAGCGTAGTTTCACATCTGCATTTAACATCTTCACCATAGTCTCTCTCACATTCAAACCCCCCCTACTCTCTCTTAACCATAGCTCGCAGTTACTTCTCACGTCGACTCATCTTTGGACATTCGACGCCTCACGCTCTTCAACAACCTTTCAACTCTCGACTAAATTCTTTCGCTACTTAAAACCAATACACGATATGCCGACGTGCGTAGAATGCGGAGCAGCAGTGTCGTCGCTCTACACCGAATACAGCAAAGGCAACATCCGCCTCACCTACTGTGTAAATGTCCACATCCTTCCTTTCCTCTTGACCTCATTTTTCCCGCCCAACACCAACATTGCGACTTGCCACGCTCCCTCTTAATCTTTTTTTTTTTCGTGCTGACGTTTTTTTTTTTTTTTTTTTTTTTTTTTTTTTTGAAGGAGCACTGCAAGAAGTTGGCGGATAAGTATGTGGAACACGACTTTGTGATCATTTTTGTGGACATGATCTTGCACAAGAAGCCAGTGTACCGACATCTGCTGTTTAATCGGTTACCGTATCGCGACCTTGGCGTCGATGTAAGCTTCAACAGGACACCTTTTTGTTTTTGTTATATCTGTGCGGTTCACTGTGTGTGCCAGGACGTATGTCGTAGCTAACAGTGTGGGGGGTCGTTTGCGTTTTTTTGATGATAATAGCCAAATGTGTTCAAGTTGGGGGTACTTTTAATCTTATTTGACGTCTGTAAGTCTTCCTCCTCGCCTTTTTTTTTTTTTTTTTTTTTTTTTGCGTTGAAGAGAAAAGGATGTATTTTATCAGGCTTGTTGTTTATCAAGGGTCCAGATACTCAATGATCGGCTATTTTGCTTTTTGTTATTTTATTTTTTCGTTGATGTTGCTTAGATATCAAGTGGTTCAGGCTGGAGCAGGAGCGGACGGAAATTGAAGTCGTCGGATTCTCACAACACGCACTTGTCTTCCAGTACCTCTACATCCTCTTCCTCTGCATCATCGGTAACTCCTCCTTCTCCCCTCATCCATTGTGGCCTATGCGAATGATATACACTCATACTGACCCCCCATCCCCTCCTCCTCCTCCTCCTCCTCCCTGCTAATAGAATTCCTGGCGTTCCATTTTGGAGTGCGCTTGATTGTGAGTCTATGGTATGGCGGGCGGTACGCGATTCTGAAGTACAACTATATCACGACAACGTTGATCATCTCGAGCTTTGGAAAGATGCTGTTGATCCTGATGGTTATTTGGGACTATACCGAGTTGGAGCATTCGTGGCATCTGGTCAATTTTATAGTTTTTACTTCGAATGTTGAGGCGCTTTCTGGTAAGTCTCCTGTTGGAAGGAGGAGATTGTTGAAATAATTGTACAGTTGACAATGTTACTGGGATGTCTAGGGTGTGTTCTGACTCGCTTTGCCCCCTCCTCCTTCTTCGATAATAGTCTTTTTGGAAACGGGGTATCTACAGACGACGTTGGTGATTATATTCGGGATCCTGTGCAGAGTCCTGATGCAGATCGCGTTCGCGAGTATCACGGGCGACTCGGCCCTTGTCACCATGGCCAGTATGTAGCTTCAAGAACCTCCCCCTCTTTTTCGTCTATTTTGATCAATATTAACAACACTGTGTACACAAGAGTTTTTTTTTTTTTTTTGATAGCTTTTTGTTGTTTATTCGAAGCGTTAGGGGAATGGTATCGTAATGCCAGCAAAAAAAATGATAATTCTATTATTTTCGAATATGGGGTTGGGTTGGATCATGCATATAAAAACAAGGGCGAAGAAGGGTAATGGATGTGGTAGGGGGGATGGAATGCTGCAATAATAAGTGGCACCAAAAGGGGGGAGGAAGAAATTGTTCAAGAAAAACAATAAAAAAGAAAACAGACAACGGGGGAGGGAGGGTTGGGGAACGAGTAACTATTAGATGACAAAGAACTGGTCTTGCTCCTTCTTTTGCTTCCTCTTTCCAGAGAGCAAGTACCCCAACGATGACAGCTTATCGGCCCACTCCCTCACCAGCGCCGTCTTGAAGAAGACAATAAAGATGATAGTTCCAATCGACGAGACCACAAATTCGGCGGCGATCATCAACCCGTAGGGCGGCAAGAAAGGAGCCAAGTTATCGGCGCACTCGTTATGAGGAGTTCCTTTCTTGAGACAGAAGACAAACAGCACAATGTTCTTGCTGAGAGTTGTGGGGTTGATTTTGCGGAGCTGGATGAAATAGAAGAGCCAGTAGAAGGTGACAGAGACCATGGCGCAGATGGCCATGAGGGCGGCACGCCATTGGATGCGGATGGCCATCATGACGTGGCGGCGGTGGGAGATTGCGGCGGCGGCACCGGCGGAGAGGGTTGAGCGGGACATCGTTTCAGAATCGGCGCCGGCCATGGTTGAGATGCGGGCAATGTGGAAGAAGGTGGCGATGTGAACCAGGAAGGCAGGGAAGATCATGGCCGCCATGGGGTAGAAGAAGATTTCTGAAGCCTTGTCCTGGGAGACGAGGCAAAGGGTTGCGAAATCCCATTGGATGTGGCCCATGCCCACAGCGACACCGGTGATGATGCATGCGTAGCCCCAGCAGATGACGTGGAGGAGACCGTACTTGTTGGAGAACCAAGCAGAGTTCCAGACGGTGTGGAAGTGGAGGTTGAGGATGAGGGCTGTGCACCAGGCGCAGGTGGCAACGGAGGCAAAGACGAGGATTGCACCTTGGATGCCGCATTTGAGGTTGTTATGTTGGGTTGAAGGGGTGATCAGGTCGGCGCATTGCATGGATTTGGTGTCGATGAGGGGGAAGATAATGACAACCGAGAAGAGGAAGACTCCGATTGCAAAGAACAAGATGAGGGCACTTGGGTGGGACCGCTTGTCGTCCAGGACGAGGTAAGTCAAGACCAACAAGAAAGACAACACCATCGAGACCGCACGCGCATAATTCGTGATCGTAAAGCCCGTTTCAAGCGCACCCTCTCTATACAAATGATACTGTGCAGGACAAGGAAGACAGCACCCGTACATGCAGTAACTAGGGTTTGCAGTTCCAGCAGGGTACAGGGGATCCGTGACAAAGGGGGCATCACATTCGGCGGTTATGTTGGAGAGGGAATTACCGGCTCCACCGAGAGACGTGAGTGCGTTACAATTTCCGTCGGATTGGAAGTTGATTCCTGCGGGGGATGCGTATTTTGTGGACTCGGGAATGGGGGCGTTGCAGTTGGGGATGGCGGCTTCCATTTCAAAGACTGTGAGGAGCATTGCGCATTGCTCATAGGTCTTTTGGCATGTCGATGCGCACGCAAACTTTACATCGAATTCGTTCTCTAATAGATGTAAATGGACACAAGAAATGATCGTGCGTTAGAAGATGTATGCATATTTTTCATGTTCCTTAGATAACGACACCATTTCAACAAGCGCTCAAATGAACGACGATATCGTTAATTATCCTAAAAGACTTACGGGTGCCGGCGACGGCCTGGACGCGGGGGTACGCAATGGAGCACATGTACTCCATGAGGGGTTCGGCACAGACAACAGGCATCTGGCTGGCCTTATCGGCACCCTGGGCTACCAACATGGCCTCGATCGTGGCCACCGTTGTGTTTGGGGGTAGCCAGACTTCGTAGTCGACATAGTTCTTGCAGATCGTGCCGGTATATTGGGCCGCTAGTTGGGTTAGAGGAGAGAGACGGGGAAGGAGAGGAGGTGGCGCGTGAGTTTGTATATTCAAAGACGAGGTACCAAGCACTACTTGGGATATTTGTGACCAAGTGCTGAGAGGGAAAAAGGGGTAAAGGTTATCCGGGAGACAAGAGGCCCCGACTGGCCCCATTAACCCAGCCGAGAAGGAATTAACTGGGATCCACTTTTTTCCAGATGATGGAAAAGATGAAAATAGCCCACACTGTAAAATAATAAAACTTTGTCTTCCGGGAGCCAGGCAATGAGTTACCCTTCCGTATGTTACCATTCATTGTCGGCTCTCTCTTTCAGAGGAGAGGAGGAGTGGGTAAGGAGAATATATTAACGGGCCATCACTGTCCGATTCTGGGTACTTGTCGGGGTGTTCATGAATGTTTCTAGTTAATACCTCCCTCCCGTCCGTGTGCTTTTTGTTATTCTTTTCATGTTTCTCCCTTGTTGCTCTCCCTCCCTCCATTTCTTTCATCTTCTAATCTCCATTCTCAACAGCCCCTCTTTCATTCTCGCGTGCAAATAATGGGGAAAAAAAAGAACAAAAATAAAAAAAAAAAAGAACGTTCCTGGTTGTGTCCGTAAACGTTCTTCAGTTTATGATTACGTGTAACCACCACCACCCCTTCCCCCGCTATCTCTATTCTTTTTCCCTTTGTCTCCCTCTGTCCATATGAAAATTCGATATCTAATGTCAACACATGTCAACAACAAAGCAAAAAACAAACAAATAAGAGCAGTTTGCTCGTCAGCCCACACCAGCATTCGCCCTATCTCTCTCATTGTTGTTGTAGATGATGTTGAAGTGCGAGGTTCACGTAATACAAATAAATTAATAAATATAAACCTAGTAGGCGGAATTGTGCGAAGGGAAAAAGGGGAAAAGGGAAGGGGAGAGAGGGTACTGTAAAAAAATACATCAACGACAAGAAAAAAAAGAGAGCCGTCTCGTCTCTGGTTGCATATAAAGAACCCCACGGGAACAAGAAGAACTACAAACAAAAACTGCGATGCAGGAAGATGACCAGACAGAGCACTGGACACATATTTTTTGAGACAGAAAGAGGGGAACTGCACTGAAACAAGATACTGCAGGGAACCAGACAGGGAGTTGATAGGTACGCTGGGTAGAGGAGAAGAGACATAAAGGGAAAGTGAGAGAGAGAGAGAGAGAGAGAGAGCTGTGGAGTGGCTCGTGGAGAGGGTGGAATGGGACTCACATGAACCAATGGCATCGGCGGTGGAGGAGAGGAGACCGATGGCCAAAGTGGCAACAGCGGCCACCTTGGTGAAGAGATGGACCATTATCGTTGTATTATATATGTGAAAGGCGAGTTACGGCGAAAGGACAAGGAATGAGGTTCGAGTAATAGAATGGGTGTGATGGTTGAGAGAAAGGTGGAGGTGTTGGTGAGAGAGCGTGTGAGGGAGTGGGAGTTAGGGTATGAGGATGGCGGTAAGGGTATGTGGAGGAAGTGAAGGAAGGAGAAGAAGCGAGCACCGGTGTCTTGGTGAGGTAGGAAGGGGTGTGAGAGAGTAAGGGGGAAAGAAAAGAAGAGAAGAGAAGAGGGGTGAAGAGGAAAGAGTAGAAGAGAAGAAAGAAAAAAAGAGGAAAAGGAGAAATGGGATGAAGAGGAAAAAGAGAAGTAAAATACGACCAACGGTGCGGTGGAAGAGGGATGAGCGAGATGATGAACCCTCGTGGAGAGAGTGAAGAGAAGAGTGTGCTCCAGTGGAGAAAGGAGACGAGAGAGTGGGGGAGATACAAGTGATCGGGCCGTTGAAGGTAATAATAACTAACTAACTGGGTTCCATTCATTGAATTGAAAGTTAGTTTTACTGTCACGAATGACAACCTCTATTTGTTCATGGAGTGAGCGAGAACACTTACCGTACTCCGTTACACTGTTTCCCTCCATCCTTGGAGGAGAATCCAGGGTGATCAGTTATGAGTGATCATTGCACTCAATCAGTCTCATTCGTCTCTCTCACCCATCCTTGATCACTTCCTCTTCTTCCTTTCTTAAGCCCTTCCTGCTCAATCAACGAACAACTTCCGCAGGTACCACTCGCGTATGTAGCAGAGTGTACCAAACCTATTCAAGCGTTTCCTTTGTATGACATCTCGTTGTCATTTGTGGTCTTGATGAATGCAATTGTGTAGTAGATAGATGTCTGCTGATTGTTGTTATCGTTGTTTTTATTGCAGCCATTGCTGCTATTGCCTGTTGTTTTTTCTGATGAAACACTGAACAGCTACCCCCTTATATCCCTGTTGTCCTCTTCGTTGTTTGTTTTTTTCCTTTTTTTTTATCTTTGCCTGACTGACTGACTAGCTCGCCTGAATATGAAAATAATCAAAGAGCTTCGCTAGCGTAAGTGTGCAACAAACAACAAAATAAAAATAAAGGACCAGTTGGACTTTTTTGTGTTCTTCCTTTAGCTTAAAATGCTATGTGCCATGCTGTAATCAGACATCCCGAAAGATGAACACAAAAACAAGAAGTAAACATACAATGCGAAGGTGGAAAGGGGAGTTGCTGAAATAAAATTGGCCGAATTGCCTAGAAGCGTGGACGGAGGGATCCATGCGTGCGCGATCGCTTTTCGTTAGATGACCGCCCACCGATTCCTTCCCTCGGGATGAAAATATGTGGGAGAAGAAAAAGGGAGGGGAGGAGAGGAGCAGGCACAGACATATGTTCCAAGGCCATCTCTCCACAACCTGCATGAGAGACAGACGCAAGACAATTCCTTGTCCCTCTTCTTCGGCGCTTGCGAAAGAGCTGCCTCGGACATGCACCGGACTGGTCAGAGATTTGCGACCCGTGTTCCTTTTTCGTCTTAATCAAACAAAACCATGTTTGTTATGCTCTCAGTTTTATTCCACACCACACAGGGCAAAGCCAGCTGTAGCAAGTAATATACGCAAACCAAAAAAAAAAAAAAAAAAAAAAAAAAAAAAAAAACCACAACGACAAAGGTGGTGTTGTTGATGTGCAGCTGTTGTGTGAATAAGCAAACAGCAAGAGAGAGGAAAGAGAGAAGTGGAGGGAAGGAAATTCGATGGATGTGTTTGTTCAGCTGGGCGATTACCGACTGTGGAGGAACTCTTTCATTTTTTGCGTTTGTCTACCTGTCCACTCACAGGGGGAGCCGTCGGAAGAAAAAGAGGAGGAAAAAAGCCCTTGTTGGTTGAGAGCACTAAGAGAACAACTTGGCCTTGATAAGACGGATCGAGCAGTTGTTGTTCCGTTCAACAAGAGAGATGAATGAAAAAAGAGAAACAACGAAGTTGTTCAAAGAAGGAGATCCAAGAAGAAGAACATAGGGCCTCGACCATTCTCTCTGCCCTCCCTCGATCACATTTTTTTGTGTTTACACGTTAGACACATGAGAGCTGCGTGCCCTTTTCCTGTCGTCAATTGCTGCAGGGTCAGAAAGTAAAGGTAGAGAAGGAAGGTGAGTCCTACTGGCTTGTTTACCTGCGGTGCCATTTTACCTAGTCTTCTGGTGGTAGTAGTTTGGTTTGTCTGGTGTGTAGGTGTAGGCGGAGATAGAGAGAGTAATGAGGACTTCAAACGATGAACAGGAAATAGATAACGTCGGAATAGGTGGTATTACGACGTTTGTTGTCATCCGTTCAATAGCCATTGCGAAAAGGAGTAAAGATGATCTCTTTTCACTGGAAATATGCATAAGGGGAAAAGGCTGTGAACACAAAAAAGCAATCGATGTTTGTCCAACAAGAAAAGAACAATGTTATGCGTTTGGACTGAGTGGGTGGAATGGGGGAGTGAAAGAAACACAATAGTATTTCTCACAGTCTCCTCCTTCCTCATCACCTCATCTCTCGTCCACTTCATCTCTTTTCATCATCTGTTCGCCATCTTGCAGCAGTTCAACTCAGGGCATATTCAGTTCAACAGGAATAACTAAAAGATGCCCGTGAAGACAACAACCTTGGCAACAGAACCAGTGCTGGTTCAGCAACACGAGCTGACCCTCGCCACAAACACCGGGACCAACAACAAGGAACAGGCGTTCTCAGCAACCATCTTGACCTATGGCGCAACATTGACCCATCTTACCTGCCCAGACCGCTGGAATCAATCACAGGATGTCGTCCTGGGATTCGACCATTGGCAGGATTATATCGCCCAGGCACAACCCGGCGCCTTGAACCCCTACTTTGGCTCCATAATTGGACCCACTGCCAGTCGGTACGTTATTTTATTGCTTTGCTCTAGGACCTACAATCGGAGCATGGGCATCTTGACGAGTAAAAGAGAGGGGTATACCGGAATGGCGCGATTGGAAAGAGGGAGAAGAGTATGTATTTCCTCTGTATCTCTCGTTCTCCACTTGACTGAGACTTGAGCCGAAAATTAAAATGAGAGTGAAGACGGCGCGCACAAACGCCAACGCACATGCCTATTGCGCCTGCCCACACTCATTCAAACACAACTCTCAACTCCACACTGTGTTTTCAATCTCCACCTGACAACACTCGGCTCGACTCTCTATCTTTCTTTCCCCTTTCTCTTGCTTCATGATGGTATGAAGTAGGAGGTATCAAGAGCTCAGCCAAAAAAAAAAAAAAAAAAAAAGGACTTTAACTAATCTTTGAGGAGAGTGCCATGGGAGCGGTTATTTCCATCAATAACCGTTAATAAAAAGAAAGGGGTCAAGGTTGAGAAGGCGAGGCGAGTGAAAGTGGGTGAATAAGAGTAATAACGAAGGAAGTGGTACCATACGACAAACGGGATACATTTGAGGATACATACATTGGCCACTCCACTTCTCCCCCATTTCTGTAATGCTCTCTTTTACATACTATCAAATGAGCGAGAGAGCGCAGTGGAGTGGTCTGTTTGAACTTGAGGAACATGTGCCTCCGCCTTGGTAGTTGTAGACGTGGAACAGCCAACAACCACAACCTTCAAGACAAGAAAGACAAGAAAACCTTATCCTCCTCTCTTCTTCTCCCCTTCCACATATCCCAGATGCACCCTCAACTGTTCTTGTTTCGGCAGTTGAATTATCCCCATACTCACATATCTCGCTCTTTAACACATGCCGCACCCTTTTCACGATCGACTAACAAGACAAAAAATGGCGCTTTTGTGATTACAAAGGATTGCCAACGCCACATTCCAGCTCGAGAGCACACATGCACGCAGCTCCTCTACAACTACAACTACAGCTACCGCCGCGTCGCCATCACAAGCAGCAACACATGTCTTGCAGGTCTCGAACGGACTCGATTGTCACCATGGAGGACCAAAGGGGTTTGACAAACAGCACTGGACTACCGTCGATGTCAACCAAGAGGAAACGTCTGTCACGCTCGAGTGGGTCTCACCTCATGGAGATTATGGCTATCCTGGTCGATTGGTCTCTCGCGTTCAGTACAACTTGACTAGTCAAGGAGAGCTGGCGATCGAGTTCTCGGCGCAGTTACAAGAAGGAAAGGAGGGAGCACAGGATATGACTAGCATGAATTTGCATTCGACAATCGTCAGTTTGACCAACCATGCGTACTGGAACCTAGATGGAGTTTTGAATCCCTCAGAGGATCAAGCATGTCAACTTCAGTCTCTCCTTGTCGAAACACAATCAACATCAGAGGTCACCACCAACAATGACGATGACAAAGTGGCAGTTGTCAAGAACCCTTGTACCGTCAAAGGCCACACGCTCTGGCTTTCCACCTCAACCCTCGTCGAGTTGGGCAACAAACATCCAGTCCCGACAGGTATCCTCCTCGATGTCACCCAAACACCCGAACTACATATCCAGAAGGAGCTTTTGGACTTTACTGGAACAGAGACACGTCCAGCCATCAAGAACAAGGCGCTTGGACATGGACTCGACTCGATCCCCGGAGGGTACGGATACGACCACGTCTTTGCATTGGACGGGACAGATGCCACCCACACCACGCCTATACCAGTCAACGATGTAGGAATCCAAGCCTACTGGCCACGCACCCCTCACGTCGCGACATTGTATTCTCCAAGATCCGGTATCCGTCTTGACTTGTCGACCTCTGAACCAGCAATCGTCCTCTACGCCGCCGGATACCTCGACAAGGCGTCCCTCCCACGGACCAAATCCAACATCCTTGACATCCCCAGCAACCCACTCGTCATCTCCCCAGCGGCGGCCACATTAATGCCTACAGTAGCAGGTGGTGATGAAGCCAAGATCAGGATTGAGGCCGAGTTTGACAAGTTTGCAGGCTTTTGTTTAGAGCCTATCCGGTTCCCGGACGCCATCCATCATCGTGATTGGGCAGGGATGGTTACGCTGCACCATGATCAGGTCTATCGCCAGCGATCCGTCTACAAATTTAGCTCTGAGTAGAAATAAATACAACTGTCTCTTTTCTTTACCACGTTGCAGTTCTGCAACGCCATGGTGTTCCTGGGGGTTCAATGGGAACTGAAGAGGTAGGAAATTGATCGGTCCTCGTTCAGACGTTGGGGTGGCACGGCCAAGGGGAAAAGATAGGCCAGTCACAATTTCGTTCCATCGAATGGTGTTGCGCCAACGAGGTTATTACGTTCACACTGTGCCACCACCAAACCGTTTGACATCCCTTTGACTTACCCATCGACACTACCAACGGAGAAGAAGAGTCCACTCCTCTTCAACCTCTACCTCCTTCGCCCTCACCTATCCTCGCTCTCACACTTTTGCAACGCAACAAACATAGAAAAGAAAGCAAAGGGGTGCATCGAAGCATACTCACTTCCACACAGACCTGATGGCACAAAAGACCGTCCGGAAAAGGGTCCTCCTAAGCTGCACAGGTACACCAACAACCCGCCCGTCCATCCCCAACAAAACTGTCGACAAGAACAACAATAGGAACTCACACTCGCAACTATATCAACCATATGTCTAAAACGTGTTCTCACGACTTTCATTCATCCATTGTCTCGACCTCCACCATGCATGCATTCACTTAACTAGTGCTTTTGGCAGTGGCCCTGTTCGTCTCCGCTGACGCCGGTTCTCAGGACACATTCAGCCTTGGCGTGGAAAAGTTCCAGGAAGGCGCCGAGACTCAAAACAAGATCGAGAATGGTAACCAAAACAGACAATTCTCTCCTAGAGGCAGTTGGAACAATATCGGAAAGCGATGCACCATCATTCGTGGATGAAGCGACGAAGCGTTAACGGTCGACTAATGTGCCTTCGCTATGATTTAACTTTTAGGCAAAAAGTTGTATCAGGAGGCAGTAGAACTTCTCGGGGCATCTCCGATCAAGGCCAACCAACGTGTCTTTGTCAAGCAGCACTCATCCCTTGCACGATCGTTCCTGTCAGACGAGCTCCAGAAACAGAAGGGTATTCTCCCAACAGCCCTTCGACTCGTTACCCAGGGAGTAGTATCGTTCTTCAAGTCCAACCCTGCCAATGATGATGGCACAACACCAACATCAACCTCTACCTCAACGCGTACTACTGAGAACGAGAATGAGGATGCGCAGGAGTCTTCTGGATCTACATCCGGCAACAATGCAGGAAAGGCGACAGTCAGGCGGCACCGGGATGCCAACATTGCAAAGGCCATGGATCTCCTAGAGAAGGCTGGATATGAGTACAATAATGACGATGCTCTGTGGACCCTCGCCAACATGTACTTTGTAAGTGCCACGTCAATACTTACTTTGGTGTTAATGAGGACGTAATTCGAATCACTGACAGCTATGCATGTCCTCACACTATCACTCCTTATCTATAAAATAGCACGGGCAATACAAGACCAAACGCGACTTGGGTCAGGCTTTCGACATGTATGCAGCACTTGCGGATCGGTCAGGAAACGGGACAGCGCAGCAGATGGTTGGATTCATGTACTCGACTGGACTTGGCAATGTCGTGGAGAGGGATGAGGCCAAGGCTATGTTGTACACAACGTTTTCTGCGTGGGCGAATGACACCGCAGCGGAGCTGACGCTTGGGTACAAATACATGCATGGCATTGGCACGAAAAAGAGCTGTGATGACTCACTCTTCTACTACAAGCGTGCCGCCGACAAAGGTAGGTCTCATTCAAAGTTGAAAATAATATTTAAGCCCGAATACTTTGGCAGCTGGATTACCAGCACTCCTTTCTGACATTGAGTTACACTCTTTTTTGCAACCATTAGCACATGCAATGTACATCAGCGGGCCTCCTCTGGGACGTAACATGCCGCCCATCAAGGGACGATTGACAGACGATGATGGGGGCACGTACGGATCTGGCGCCAGTGGACCAGGAGAACCTGAGGACAGTGCTTTCGCTAGCAACATCAAAGATTTCATTGAGTTTCATCGATACATCGCCGACCACGATAACCCGGAGGCAAGAGCAGCACAGGTACAATTCAAGACATTATCGACTTGTAGCCACTTGTGATTCAACTTGCTCCTGAACAGCGCGTTAATTGACGTAACTACTTTATGTATGTGTATAGTTTCAGCTCGGGATCCTCTTCTACACTGGAAACGCGGTGAAAGTGACAATTCCTCGGGACTATGTCAAGGCAGGAGGATACTTGAAGAAGGTGGCGGAGAGTTTCTTTACACCTAAGCTGAACACCAATGCGGCGATTTTGGAAGCCAAGGAGCAGAGAAAGCGCGAAGGCCGCATCAGGGACGTGGAAGACGCGGCTCTTGCAGCTGCGCTGCTTGGCAAGATGTATTGGCGCGGAGAAGGATTCAAGGCTAGTGAGTCAGAGGCTTTGCATTGGTTCAACAAGGCTGCCATATTAGTAAGCGAGCTATGCCTTTTGTGAATATTGTGTGCGCTGTGTGGTAAAGACAGTCTTGATACACGATCTCTGACATTTCCTAATTTACTTCTGTATAAACGTTTTAGGATAACCCTGTGGCGCTCAATGCATTGGGAGTCATGCATTTGAAGGGCGCGGCTGGATTCAAAGCGAATCGTGCGACCGCGATCCAGTTCTTCTCAAAGGCAGCTGAGCTTAAATACCCCGACGCCAAGGTGAACTTGGGCTTGATCTACCTTGGTATGATACAGTCGCGTTGATACAAGGCTATGTTTCCTATATGCGACCCAAACAAATGATCGGTCCAAGTATTAACGCCTTTTGATTTCCGTGGTTACAATTCACTAGAGGATCCAAAGAATTACAATCAAGCTCATCAGCATTTTTGGGATGCGGGTCACCAGAACTTTCAAGCAGTGTATTATCTTGGAAAGATGTACTATGATGGACTGGGCGTGACTAAGCAGTGCGAAAAGGCCTCGAGGGTAAGCAAAGGCATGCGCTTTCCGCTCCCAACGTGTTTCATGGCATGGCATTGAAAGAATGGTATTGCTAACGGATCTCCCATTTTCGCTAACGACTGACTTGCTTGGAATAGTACTTCAAATACGTCGCGGAGAGAGGTGACTGGGGCGATACGCTCTTTTCGGATTCGTACGATGCATACCAGGCAGGAGATGTTGAGTATGCAGCCATTGGATATCTTCAGGCGGCTGAGCGAGGTTTTGAGATCGGACAGTCCAACTTTGCCTGGATCATTGACCGAGGTGAGTTCCTTGTCCACAGCTCTAATACCGTTTGATAAGATTCAGCTACAACCATCAACTCAATATTAATCTGTGATAATGTCGGCTCACGTTTGTACTAGAACTCCCAACCACACATTATCTGACCATGTTGACGTCTCCCAAGAGGTCTCCACTGATGGCGATGTCAGAGACGGCGCTTGTGAGTTTGGCCAGTCCATCGAGACTTTTGGAGATGGCGTTGGTCTACTGGACCCGTTCAGCCAACCAGGGAGATGTGGACGCACGAGTCAAAATGGGTGACTACTACTATATGGGAATCGGCACAGAGCAGGACTACAAAAGGGCGACGGCATGTTATCAAGTCGCTGCCGAATCAGAGAGCTCGGCCATGGCCATGTGGAATCTTGGCTGGATGCATGAGAATGGCGTCGGTGTCGCTAAGGTAACGTTTTTTGGTGGTTGCTTTATTGTGAAGAAGGTGTATGTGAGGCTGTAGGAGAGAGGCCTAAAAGTGCTAATTAAATATGTTGTTTTTGTTGCTGCTATTAGGATTTCCACCTTGCCAAGCGATGGTATGACCAGTCGCTGACGACTAACAAGATTGCGGTTTTGCCTGTGAGTCTGTCGTTGGCGCGACTGAATGCTCGCTTTATCTGGAGCTACTTGACAGGAGGCGAGACTGGCGCGGATGCATCGTCGTTCTGGTCAATTGGCAGTGGCAAGGCATCATCATCAGGACGTGGATCTGCCAAAAAGGATGCCTCTGGTGGTAGTGATGCTGCTGCGGGCGCTGGAGAGGGAGAAGGAGACCAGGGTGCCACCAAGAACGAGAACAATGGTGGTGAAGGCAGCGGGAACGGATGGGATCTGAACGAGATTGGCAAGAATAATGTGAAAAAGTGGACGAACCAGAAGCAGGCTGGACCAGGTGAAGATGGCGACTATGATGATGTGGATGGGCTCCAACAGAGGCATCATCGACAGCCTGGTGGTGCCGAAGGAGAGGAGGAGGAGTTGTTTATGGATGATGAGGAGTTGGTGGAGAGTGTTGTTATCATTGGGTTGTGTATGGTGGTTGGGTACTTGATTTATGTTCGTCAGTTCAGGTTCGGCAACCAGCAGCATCCTCAGCAACAGCAGCAAGGCAACCAGAACAATGATGGGAACAACAATAACAACAACAATGTCAACAATCAGCAGCAACAGCAACAGCAGCCGCCGATGGGAGGATTGCCGGGCGATCCTAACGCACCTGGCCGCTTTGCCTATTATGCCGCCGGTGGATAAAACTTATAACTAGAAAACCAAAAAAATTAGGCAGGACCATCAACGCGCACTAAAATAAACAAAAGACACCATCGCGAGCCGCTCGAACCTTATTTGTTGTTTTTGTTTGTACATGCCGTGCTAAAGTGAAGCGATGGAGAGGGGGGGCTTCGTTTCCTATTTTGTGCTTGAATGGCGAAAGCCCACTCTGCCTTCCTCTCACACTCTATCGGATCGACGAAAAATGCACGGTATTTTAGCGTGTGAAGGAAGGTATGTCGCCTTCATCTTTTTTTTTGATCGATAAAGAAGTCGATGCACGCCGCTTGGTATGCGATTAAGATACCGAGCGATACATGATCAATGGTACTTTTATTACATTGTACTACTGTCGCCACTGCTACTACTGCTACTGCTATGTCGGCAGCTATGTGTGTACCTCTCCGTACATTGGATCGAACCAATTAAATAGAGTTTTTTTTTTGCCTTTGACTCCTGTCCTTTCTTCTCCTTTTTTTTTCTTTTCTTGTACCATGTTTTTCGCGATTCGATCAGATTGCGTTTCGCCATTTAAATAGATGAAGAAGAAAGGAAAAAAAAAAAAAAAGCGTTCAATAAGAGCTCCGGATTCATGCTAGATACCTTGAAAAAGTACCTCTTACAGGACCCGAGGTTGAACGTAATTCTCGCTCGGGTTGGGTGGTTTTGCTTTTTGTTTGCTCTGTGAAACTTGTTCAGTGGGGTGTGAAGTATGGGAAACAAAAGAGAGGGGGGGGGGGGGTGGAAAGGAAAGGAGGGGTTGCTCTTTTTTATTATGTTAGGCTTCGTTGATTTCAAGGCTGGATTGATTTTTTTTTTTCCTCCTTCAATCCCTCTACTCTCATGTTCTTCACACGCTCGGGCCAGGCCCATTCCCCAATTTTTTTAAGAAATTTATTGTGTCGTGGGTGTGCGTGCAGTAAGCTAATACTCCCTTTCACTGGGCAGTCCTCACCGTTCAAAAGGATATAAAAATTAAATGCCAAAGAAGCATGAAAGTTACATCTAAACTGGGAAACAGGCCCATTCCCTCAATCCCAATACCAGTTTCTTTACCTAGCACGTGACTCAGACATCACCTGACCATTACCACAGATCGGACTAGAAACCTTGAGTTTATAGTCCTTCCAAACTGTGAATAGATATCAAGCAGCAACAAAGCGTGGTTGGTTTAGTGGTATAATTACCGCCTGCCACGCGGTAGACCCGGGTTCGATTCCCGGACCACGCAGCTTGATACAATGAACTATGATGAGAACAGCCCGGATCTCATCCTGATGATCCAACACTTGGCTTCGTGCCTTGAAATGTGGCAATATATGAGTTCATTCTTTTTTTTGCATTTTGTTTTGAAAGAGTGTCGCGTCGCGTGTGGATGTAGGATGAAGATATTCTGTTCTGACATCCAATGTCATATTATCTTATTCTATGGAGGAAGGTAGCATAGTCGCGTTCCTTTTTTATTGTGATACAGAAACAGCTTTTATTTTTTTGCAAGCGATGACTGAACGTATAGGCAACATGTATTAAGATACGAGAACGGAGGAAAATATTCTAAAATAAAAGAAAGGACAAAAAAGAAGACTAAGCATAGTAATAAGGACGATCAAAGACATGGAATCGATGACCACGAACACCCTCCCCATAAAACATGGTCGGGTACCTCAACCCTACAGGAACCTGGTCCTCCTCAATTTGTTCATACGCCTCTAGCTTCTTAAACTCCTCCAATGGTATCCTCCGATGCTCACTACTCGCCCGCGTCTCCTCAGGAACTACATACTTTCCAACCTGGATCTCTGTATCTGTAATACCACCATGCGAGACGCGCGCATACCCTGTCCGTTTCAGACCCCTAAAGGCGAGGTACTCACACCACCGGTCCCAATCCTTGGGTTCGATATCGTGCATTCTCCCGCCATCCATCAAGAGCTCATAGATTTCTTCTCCTTGGCCAGGTTTTGTGACGACGTAGCCAAGGAAGAGGAACGGATTGTTGGACTCGCGCATGATTCGACCCAGTTCTGTGGTTTGGAGTTGTCGGTCGCGGAGGTCCTCTTCTTGCCCGTTGTGGGAGACAATCACATCGACGTCCTTGCCGTAGACATCCAGCGTTGCGTGGATTGCACAGGCGAGTTCGCCCTTGGGCGAGGGGAGGAGGTGGTGGGTGGAATGTTTGATCGGGAATTTAGAGAGCATCGTGCATCCCCAGGTATGCTTGGTCGGGCCAGGACCATAGTCGGCGTACATGTTGAGGTCCTCGGCCAGGAACTGTGTCAAGTCGCGGTTGCCCATAATCATGCGTTGGAGGTCTGATTCCAACAACCCAATCACGTCCAGCTCGAGGTCCCGGATCGCATCGCGCATTCGGAGTTCACTATTTCGCATCTCGTCGTCGATCGCGAAATGGATGGTCCAGATCCCTGCAGTGATCAGGCGGTGCTCGGGATGATAGGGTTTAGGGCTCTCCCTGGGCAGACGACGGAGACAAATAAAGACAGAACAGAGGATGAGACCGACAAGAGAAACCTTGCTATAGAGGCGAGCGATCGAGAAGGCAGACCGCTTACGGGTCTCGGTGAGGAAAGTCCAGTTGGTCGAATGAGTGTTGTGGATCCCCAGGGCCAGACAGGCCTGCATGGCAAAGATGACAAGGTCCGTCCGTTCTCGCATAACCTCCCCACCAGGGACGAACGCATAGGCCACCACCCAGACATGAGCCAGTGCCAAAAAGTTGTAGACCAAGACTGTGACCAAGAAAGCACGACCAGGCGATTGACGGCCCAGAGACCGGAAGATAGTCGGGAAGAGCGACAACACAAAGACAGTAAACAGAATCCCTCCAAAGAACCCCACATCGCCTTCAACACGATGCAAGATGAACAAGCCAACCGTCCCAACTCCAAACCAGATCCAAGAAGTAACCAACTGCCGTTTCGACGAAAGTGCCAATCCCCCAGCCATGGCCATAATAACCATCAACCCTCCCGCGATAGGTCCCGGTCCTGTGTTCGGATACCCGCCCAAAGACCACCGACTGATCGTCGCAGCTTCCGTAAACATTGAGTGCAGACAGAACAAATATCCTCCCGCACCAACCGCCGAAAAGATCCAGCTCTCGCCTTGCTGTTTCCTGACAACCCCCGGGATCTCATTTGGCTTGGCCTCGTACTCATGAGGCTCCTGTCGCCGAATGACCTGCACGCTCGCCAAGATGCCCACCACAAGTCCCAACATATTAGCCCCACCTGTCTTTTCATCCATGATGGGCCAGATCGGGTTATTAGCCCACCAAGCTTGCTTGATGACATTATGGAGGATCAACCCCAACGCCAAAGTCAACACTCCTCTCTCCGCCCGTCCATTCTGAGCACGTTGACTGAACAAGGTAGCGCCCCAAGTCAACAGCGAAAGCGAGACTCCTGCAGCAACCGCCATGAGACGATAGGCTGGGTCGAGGACCTTGTAAGAGTAGATTCCAATAAGTGAGGCGAGGTGGAACCAACCCCTAGATGTGTCGACTTTGCGTCGAAGAGAGGCAAAGCCCAAGAGTCCCACTGAGACGTTACAGAAGAGGAACGCTTCGTAGCCCGAGAGACCCATGTGCCAGAGAGGGAAGTACCAGATCATCAACGGCAGCGACGTCAACATTGACCAAAACACAAACGCAAGATAGACATCGGCAACAAAGGAAAGCGAATCCATAAGCCTGACAGGACTCACGATCGACTTTGACTTGCTCCCACCCCCAAACGTCTTGAGCTCGTTGAAAGAACTGCTGCCGACATCATAGTTGCCACTCCCGCCCATGCCGACATCAACCACCCGGATCTCGAACGCCTCAAAGTCGATCATGCACACTGCGTCGAACGCCAAATCCGAAAAGATGAGCGACCACTCGAACAGCGCGTAGTATGTGTATGCTATTGGCATTGAGGGGTGAGAGGATATGATATGTTAGTACGTCAGACCGTAGCAAAAAGTGCTCTCGTGAAAATAAAACAAAGGATAGGGAGTTACCTCCAGGGACGCGGTGGATATTGTGCTGGATAAAGAAATAAACCATCGGGAAAAGGGCACCAAAGAACGAATACGCGAATTGGCGTCTCAGCCTTTCAGCACGCGGGTTCTGGGGCGCGCTCTTGATGGTCCCGATGACATGAGGGATCGTGCAGAGTAAGTAAATAATCATCGCAAAGTCGTGGATGCCATGGTCGTCCGAGGAGGTGACATAGACCCAGCCTCCACAGGCGACTGTCCGGATGACATCGTTGGTGAAGAGGAATTTTGCAAAGCTGTCAGATCCGCTGGTGGGAACGTTCCTGAGGACGAGAAGGTACCAGAGGTAGCAGAGCATCAAGCGTGGGCCTAGATATTTTTGTTTTTGTTGGCAACAAGCAGATCAAGAAAATAAAGGATGAGGAGTGGAGGAGAGGTCAGTCTACTTTCTTCTTGGTCAATTGGTGTAGAAAGGGGAGAAAGGAGGACGACAAACACAAAGTTAAAAAGTGAAAAAGGACGAAGGGAGTGAGAATGGACTCCCCTCCTCCTTCCATACCCTCTCCTCTGCATCTTTCTTCGTGTGTGTCTCTCTGTTCATACCTGATGCGAGGGCAATGAGAATTTGACAGATGTTCCTCTCTGGATACCAGTCTCCTGTTGTGGCACTCACACTCGGGAACCATTCCTAATAAGTGACATATGGATACACAAATGTAAACAAAATTAGCGACCTTCACATATCTCATCCCACGCCGGAATGGCGTACAAAATAGTTGTTTGCAGATTCCCGTTTTTTTTGTTGGTGGTGATGGTTGATGCGCAGTGAACGAGGAAGAATAGTTAACCCACAAATACAATATTAACGCAGACCTTCATACTGTGAGAATAAAAAAAAAACCAACTTACGTCTGGGTATGTGGCAACACCGTTGGTGACAATCTTGTAGTAATGGCCATAACATCCAATGATGAGCGCAAACACAAACGCAGCTATAACACGTTCCCCCCCCCCCAGTATGTACAAAAATATGGTCGTTAAAAGGCGTTGCCCTGCAAACGATAACGTCGTGCCATCGATATCATGGCAAAATAGGGGAGGCTGTAGTTGTTTTTTTGCCAATTCCTGTTTCTTTACAGCCACGTTAGTTGCGAGAATGACGTGAGGAGAGTGTCAAGGAAGGAAGAGTAACAAACCCCTCTTTTCCTCTCAAACATATAATCCAGTCCTTTGTTGGTCAGTTATCCACTGAGTAGCAGTTTTGTTGTTCCTGCTGCCTGCTGTTCCCATTCATATTCCTGTTCTCAGCGGGGGACGAAAGGGAAGCGATAACTTACAGGCTCCAAAGATAGTGTGGACGTACGGTATCGTCGACGCCGGAATCTACATTCACCCCAAAAAAAAAAAAAAGAGAGGAATGAATGAATGAATGAATGAATGAATGAGCGACATGAATGAGTCTCATGGAGTTGAACCACCGTCGTCCCTTTCCTTCGTCCCCTCCCTTCATATTTTCGCCTCCAAACTGAAAGTGGACCCCACCCCAAGTGCCGGGTTCCTGAGAAGCGAGAAATGAACCCGACTGCGTTTATGTGGGGACGGTGGGGTGCTAGCGGCGGATAAAACCTTACCCTGGAGAGGACGCTCTCTTTCTTGTCGGAGAGGTTGACCATGGGGGTTATTATTTCCTGTTCAGGTCTTAGGAGGCAGTCGATGTGTTCTTCTTCAATGCTTGGAGATAAAAGGAAGAAGAGGAAAGAGGAGGGGAGGAGTGAGAGAGAGGAGTGAGGATGGATGAAAAAGGAGTCAAGGTAGAAATAGAAAGAAAGAAAAGCAGGAACGAGATGACAGCCGAATGAAAAAGTGACAAAAGGGAGAAAGGGAAGGGTACACAGAGAAATGACGTTCAGGAGCACACTGGGCACACACATCCGTGTCTGCAGAATGAAGTACAAACAAACAGACAAACACAAGAGACGCCGCCAACATGGAAGAACTAGTAGCAAACTCAAGTGCCCCTGGGGTACTGGACACAAACAAAACACACGAGCAAAGAAAGTAGGTTGTTTTCTTTTTCACAAAATCAGGTTTTTTTTTTTTATTTCTTTGTACTCATCGAGCGATTATAATGAATGAGGTTGGGGAGAGTGGGGAAAAAAATAATACCCTGGCACAAAACAACTTTAGAGGGGAGGGACGGGAACTGTCTTGACGACACATCCCTCCTTACCACCATCAACAAACACCACAAACCGCTCCACGTCCGACAACCCATTTGTCCGTCCAACCGCTGAATTGTAAGATCCACCATCCGTTGCACCCGTCGACACGGCTGCATACGCAAACTGGCCAATCAAGTCTGTGTACCCGTCCTTCCAGAAGGTAGTGTTCTGGAATCCACGCTTCATCTCTGCATAGACCTTCACATACGCGCCCCGGATGGCCCTGCTTCGGACCTTGTTCTGAGTATCGGCCTTGGTCGCGATCTTGATGGTTCCGGATCGCTCGTGGCATTGGACGGTAATCGTCTGGGAGTAGTAGGCCTTCCAGGTCCGGGTCGCAGTGGGAGGGGACGTCGAGACCGAGACCATGAGGTTGGTGTTGCGGTACTTTTCGAGGATGGGGACGATCAGAGGTGTATCCTGGGAGAGGGCGCGTTGTTGGACGGTGTGCTTGTCGATGCCGTTGGGTTTCAAGAGACGGTAGCTGTTACTGGCGACGACCGTGCTGCCAGATCCTCCACTGGCGCTGACGTTGTTAGATGCAGTTTGGGTCTCGACCTGGCTGTGCTCGCTGAAGGTCAGGGGGGAGTTTGAGAACATAGTCTCGGCATCGATGACATAGTACTCGACCGTGACCTCGTCTACGCCAGAGTGACGGATCTCGATCTGGCTATCAGATCCTATCTTGAAGTCGACCGTGACGGGTACCTCCTTGATCCGCTTGACTGTCGCGCTTTCGGCGTCATCATTAGAGGCGTCCTGGGCGGCCGGGGCAGCAGCTGTCGAGTCATCAGCATCAGCTGCCTCTTCAGCCGTGGCGTCGATAGCGCTCTTCTGGATAGCTTCCACATAGACCCTCATGTCCTTAAAAAGACGGTTCCAGCGCTTGACGGGGTAGTTCCTGTATTTGTTAACAATCTCCCGAATGCCCTTCAGATCCAACTCAAGGTCAGCAGCTGCAGAATCGACCTGCACCTCAACACAGAGACTGAGGTAGGCTCTCAGGTAGTCATACTGGATCTGTTGTGCGTTGAACTCCCGTTCCTGTTCCTCATCCCTGGCCTCGGCCTTGGTTTGTTCTTCCTCGACCAACTTGGACAGGGTGAAAAAGTGATCCTTGGCCTCCATGATCCTGTCCTGGGCCAGGAGGTAGACAATCAGGACGAGAAGGTCGCTGGCATCGTGCTCGGGCTTTTGGCAGAGGAGGTTCAAGAACCGGTCGTATTGGGCCTTGAAGCGGTCGTTGAGGATGGTCGCGTCCCGCTTCGCCTTGTGAACTAAAATTAGATTTGTAAACGAAAAACGCAGATAGGGACGTTAGTAAAATGAAAGCATGCGAAATGCACCAACGCGGAAAATCTCCTGTGATACGTACCTCGGGCGTTGATGAGAGGGAAGTACTCAAGGTAATGGAAAGCCCCATTGCTGACCTCATAGCGACTCCGCGTCCGGCGCTTCAAAAGAGCCGACGTGAACCAATCGCCCACTCTATGATAAATCGGCTGCTGAACAATATACTCGCCCACCAGCTTATCCTCACCTTTGAGGACCAAGCTGACGCTCCAGATCCGGTCATTGTACTCATGTCGGTCTCTTAACACATCAGTAACGCGTCTCAAGAACGCGGCGTCTCTGTAAAGGCGAGGAATCAGAATCTCAACCCTCATACCGTCCAGAGGGTCCTTTGCCAACTTTGCCAAGACATCCTCCTGAGTTCCATGTGTAAGAACATAGCTCCAAGTGGTCTTGTCCAGAGTGTCACGAACAGCACTACCCGGTTGACAGGTGCGAACCTTGAGGACCGAGGGTTGGGCAAAGGCAACGATATCGTCATAGTCCGAGACGTGTGCGGGGTAGTGTGGGTAGTCTCCTTCCTTGGGGAAGTAGAAGGTGTATTCGTACTGGAAGCTATCGTGGGCTTCCAGCATGATGTCCTGACCTGCCTCGATGCCGTAGATCGGCATTGCTCCCTCGGGGAGCTGGACCTCCAAATGCAACTTCATTGGGTTCGGTGTCGCGTCTAAAGAGTGAAAAATGACATTTCGATGGTAGTTTAGCTGCTGCAGGAAAGTAAATTGGATGCATACCAACAAATATAGATCGCAAGGGTACGTACTCATTAGAACCACATGGGCTCCATAGGACTCCAACGGCCTGAGCTCGGCCCCAGGTTGGATGTAAGAACGGACGTAGGCCTTCAGTTTGGCATCGTACTCTTCGCGATCCAACTGTGAGAAATACTGCTGGGTCACCAGAATCGATCCAGTAGCTGGGGGCTCTTTTGTCTCCTACATATGGTATAATAATAGTAATAAAAATGTGAGTTTCATGAACTGTGCTTTGAGAACGACAAGTCAAAGTAACGAAGAGTAGTTGATGGTACCTTAGTGGAAGAGTGGAAGATGATTGCGGGCGAATTTGACGAGATGGCCAAATTGCTGTCCGGAGTGCGGCGGACGTGGGTCTCCTTGGGCTTGAAGGTCAAATCCAGCAACGCCAAGGTGGCCATAGCATTCGTGAACGAATCGGTATTAACTACAAAATTCTATTCATAGGAAGAAAAAAGGTGTGAAATAGTAAGTTTTGCATGTTACTCAAACACAAAAAGCACCTGTCCTTATCACAATAAAAAAGCAGTTAGGAAGATAACTATACCTGTGACAGGAAAGATCCTCCAAGGGATTCATCCCACTCTGCATAGTCGAGCCAGAACGCATTAACATCGCCTGCGCCGAGGTTCTTGTCGAAATCCTGTCGTCCATAGTAATAAGTCTCGGCCATCTCCTTGGTCAAATCGATGGGCTTGAACTGGCTCTGGACAGTCTGGGCAGTCTTTTCGCGAGCCTCGGCGCTGTTGAAGTACAACGATGTCGCTAAGTACCGATTGCGATCACGACCTTGATCTCCACCTGAATCAAATCCAAGAACATCAACATCGTTTAGAACAGAGAAAAGACTAGTTCCAGCTGGAGAACCGAAAGGATCAATTTTTGGAGCACTTGAAGTATTGTTACTCGCACCAAAGCCCCCAAACAAGTTGCCAGTAGTTGAAGCAGCTGAGCCAAAACCCCCAAAACCCTTGCTAGCAGGAGCTGCAGAACCAAACCCCCCAAACCCAGTAGCAGAAGCAGGAGGAGGAAGGGCACCACCAAACAATCGACCGGTGGGAGCAACTTCACCAAAAATGGAACCAGTGGAAGAAGGTGCTCCGAAAGCACTTTTAGTGGTAGTGGCCGGTTGAGCAAAGATACTCTTGTTGGAAGAAGGGGCACCAAACAAGCCGGAAGTGTGTACAGCAGGAACTCCAAATTCAGATGGACGGGGAGCGCCACCAAACAAACTACCAGAAGAGGGAGTAGAAGCTACTGCTGCTGCTGTTGCACCAAAACCAGTAGGAGCAGCAATTGTGGAAGAGGCTGAACCAAACACATTGCTGCTACCAATCATATTGCCAGTGGTAGAGGTTGTTGTTGTTCCAAACAAACCAGCAGAGGAGGGGGTAGAGGTGACTCCAAAGGCAAGTGATTTGGACGGAGGTTGACCGCCAAACAAAGGAGTGCCTCCAGGAGGGGGAGCACCTCCAAACAAACTACCTCCCGTGGAAGGGGTTGTACTTCCAAACAAACTACCACCTGTAGAAGGAGCCGCACTACCAAACAACCCACCACCACCACCACCACCAGTCGTAGGTGCCGTAGCAGGAGCAGCAAATCCACCAAATGCATTGCTAGAACGAGCTCCAAACGAAAAACTAGGGGTTGTAGTAGTGGCATTGGAAGCAGAAGAACCGAACGAACCTGGTGCAGACGGGGCAGGCAAGGCAGAAAGAGGAGGAGGTGGTGGGGGCGCCGCGGCCCAACTCTGTTGCTGCAACTGTGCCTGTGCTTGCGGTTGAGGAGGAGGGACGGCGGCGCTGACGGCGGTTTCCACGAATTCGTAGTCGTCTGAGTCTTCGTCTTCGTCCTCGTCCTCGGATACGCTCATTTCACAATTGAGGAATCGTCTAAAGAAGAGAGGGAAAAAAAAAGTTGAAGTATATCATAGAGATCAGGAAGGGGGGGAGAGTAGGCGAGGGGGAGAGACAGACGCGTTAGAGTTGATACGGTAATCGTGCTTGATGAGCAGAAAGAAAAAAAAGTACTTTGTGGTTTTTGGTCATAAACAAGACGAGGTGAAAAAGACGACTTACCCTCGGCTATGCTTCGGAGAAGTAGGCGAATAACTCGGAGAAGTAGGCGAATAACCCGGAGAAGTAGGCGAATAACCCGGAGAAGTAGGCGAATACTTTGGCGAAGAAGGAGCTGGGGCCAACTCTTGAATAGCTCCTGATTTCATGATGGTCTGGAAGAGCTTGATATCGGCCGCGACTTTAGTGTTGCCGGCTCTGCTCCGGATCCATTGAGCGACCGAGGGTTTCAGACGGGGGATGCGTTGAGCGAGGAGACATTTCTCCATACACGTCAGGAGGTTGAATTCCTTGAGGGACGTGTATTTTTCGAGGGAGACGCCGATCAAGTAGTCGTCCACGAAGGACTTGATCAGCTTGTTCTGTTGTGGTTCAAGAAAAAGAAAGGAAGCAATAGTTGGTGGTTAGTATTTGTTCAACTCTGAACCATGAAATAAAAACCTTCGTAGTATATATGTTACCTTGATGAAGGGAGCGACGACATCGTCAAAGTACTTGCGATCCTTCTTGTACAAGAACAAGTTCAACTCATGACAGGTCCACTTGGAGAACTTTTCGTTCTTGTCTGCAAGCGAGAGGCGGTCCCACTCGACAACGAACCCAAACTTGCGAAGCGTCGCCTGTGCGGAATGCTGCAGGAGGGTCATCAACAGGTCATACACCTGGCTGACAGAGTTGATCACGCGAATTGACGAGGCCGAGCTTCCGGTCGAGCTCAGCTGGATCGTGTGCGTTTCCGATGTACTGGCTACTCCGCTGCTGCTGATGGTGGTGGTACGCAACTTGGGATCCAACTGAACTCCTGTCCGTTCACCAATATAGTGCTTGTTGTGGACCAAAGCACTCTTGAAGCACAGATCGCGCTTCTGGTACTCGACGTCACTCAGTCCAGGAACGACCAAGGTCCTCAGAAGAGACTGGTGGGCATCACTGACAAAGATTTGCAAGAAGTTACACTCGCCGAAAGCGTCATAAGAAATACTGACAAGACCGGTCGACTGGTCGGGGACCAAGTTGGCGATAACAACATTGGGGTTCGCCATGAAACCCAGAACGGGGTGCAAACCTGGAGGGATGATCTTGCGGTGACGAAAAGCACCTCCCTTACCGAGTCGTTGTCCTCCTGCTCCTGCGCTTCCGAACGCGTTCGATCTGGCCGTCATGTTGGTCGTGTCCTGGTTCGACATTGATTGATTCTTCATAGTCGTATCGGCGATGCTCTAGAAGAAGGATAGTAAATGAGTTAATTAATTACTGGAGGACCTGCAGGGAAGAACATAGCAATAATATGCAACACTATTATTTGAAACTTACATATGGCGCCAAAAGCGCGCTGGGCTTAGTCAGAAGGTTGCCAGCCCAATGAGTGGACTGTGCCTTCCTGTTCAAAATATACTGATACTCATCACCCAACACTCGTCCAGTCCGATAAGTAGTCTTCGTGAGCTCTGCCTTGGCCTTCAACGACGACTTCTCAAAGTCTATTACAGAAAGCTTCCCATACGCCATTTTGGGTGGCAAGAACTTTGTCGCAACTATAAGAACCCTAGTATCCGGCGTCCAGTTGCGGACCTGGATCTCGACCGTCCGAGTCTCCTCGTTAGCGATAGGGGATTGGACATAGAGCGGGTGCTTAGCGCTATCGGGGATCTGGACCAACCATTGCGAGTCGATGTTGAACTCTCCCAATCCTTCGATGGTGGGCTTGGTAGGCGGGTGGCAGATGGTGATCAGGATCTCCATGAGATCCCCGACCCTGAAGGTGTAGTATCCTGCAGCGAGGTTCCGGATCGTCACAACACCGTTGTCGTACTTGGCCTTCGAAGTACAGTCCTCAAGAAGACATCTACAAGTAATTGAAAATAACAGCAGCGTGTTAGTTCCATTTGTTAAACCGGCACTCATGGTTACATGGTACGAAAAAAAAAGGTGAGATAAACTTACTCGTCGTTGCCAGTTTCAGGTGAACGCCTGAAGAGCGAAACGGTCCGGACCAAGCTCACATCCGAGCGGCCCATAGGCAAATGAATGGGCTGGCCCACAGTTGCATGGATACTACCCGGGAGATTACTGATAGTCAGCTCATGGAGCTCCCAGACGTCTTGTGTAGGTTCGCAGCTCAATTCATCAATGTCCAGAAGTGGTCCAAGGTGCGCAACACCATTCTCGTCCGAGCGCAAGAAGATGGTGAATGACTCTTCCCAGATCGAGTGGGTGAGTGTGAACTGAAGAGGGATGTTGGGTCTCTTCTCGCCTATTGTAGTTCACATGAAAACAAATGAGGCATCAATACGTACGTTCTACAAGGGTAAGCTAAATTAGCGAGACTAGAGTCGTTCACAGTGATGGCCTACCGTTCCTTCCAAAGACATGGACCTCGTAGCCGCTCTCGGTTTTCTTCAGCGAGGTGTAGATCTCTCCGTGAACTTGAACCGCTTGCTTGCGGAGCTTAGAAACAACATTCACAGACTTGTCGGCTCCGTTACTATATCCAAGAAAAAAGAACAAAGAAATAAAAAAAGGGGAGAATCAATACACTCTGTCGGCGACTCGTACGGTACACCAAAAGTTCGACCCATGTCCAAGAAAGACAACATATAACGAGGCACAATTTCTTACGGTTCGATTTTAATGTCCTTGGTATCCGATAGTTCAACAAAGTCACCAGTGGCAAGGACCTTGATGCGCGCCGAGAGTGTAAAGCCAACCGACACAAGGTTCTCAGGAACCTGGAAGCTGTGCTCTGACCAGTCGGCATCGTAGATCTTGAAATCAGACACGGTGTTGATAGCCTCGATACAGTTGGTATCAAAGGTAGCAACTTCCAAAGTAACCTGGTCAAGCAGCTCGACTGGGCAAACCACATCAACGCCGTCGAGAACCACGACTGGCTTGAGCAAGACCTATGGTCAAAAAAGATGCAGGCATTAGCTTTGAACATGCTGCTTTTCCTGGTGGGAAGATTTGAAGGGCGCTGCCTTACCTTGGCAGTTGAACCAGCGACAAGAGATTCGCTGTTAATGTGGAACGACAGTGTCATTGAGTATGACTCGGGGCGCTGGAAGAAAGGTCGGCGGGTTGTGAACTCCTTGTGGTTGATGTAGATGAAAGCCGCCGGGGTATCCCCGCCTTTGCGGCGGAAAGGGATCACAATGTCGCCCCTCTCGTTCGTCTATAGTACCAAAGTCAAAAACATTGCATGGTGTGAATGCCAGGCATTGAAGAATGTTTCTTTTTTATGATGACAATAACTATTGCTATCGAGTAGGCGGCAAGGAACACTTACCTTGTAGTAGTATCCGTTGAACCAGACAGACACGTCCTTATCAATCTTCTTTTGGTCCTCGTCAATGATGGTCAATACATGACCCGCCGCACTTGGTCTCTCTATGTAGTCAAAGAATCCCTAAATAACATAAAGCAGTTCATGTCAGTCTACCATATTATATCATCTAGCCGCCTGGAAAAGCACGCGTCAATTATCGATAAGATACCTTGGTGAGGTAGACAGAGCTGTTTTCACCACCAGAGATGACATCCATGATAAACGATCCTCGACGGTCAGCAAGCTCAGGCAAGTCGATCAGAACCTCATGCATCTCAATGGGCGGATGGTCAAATGTCAGATTGTGTTCCCAGTTGGGAGTCAGTCCATCCAAGTTCAGAGCTTGGCCCACTGGACCGTTGTGTTGCTGGAGGTACTCCAGTGTCTTGACCTCAAAAATGCGAACCAGGACACGGTTGGCATTCTTGATCTTCAGCTTGAAGACAACGGGATCTGATGGCAAAAAGACGTTGGGGTTGTCGCTGGAGAACTTTAGGATGGTTCGGTCGGTGAGTGAGCTGATGTTTTCGCGGGCGTCCAGCATCTTTGACCTGAATTACAGAGACATCCAAAAGGCAAAGGCGGACGATATTGTTAGTACTAATTAATGACCCTCGCTAAACAAAGTGCATTTTCTTAAAAAAAGCAACAAAAGGCGCGCTGTTTACCATTTCTCGTCTTTGTCTCCAGAGAAGAGCATCACGCGACCGAGAAGGGCATTGAGGAACGGCAACGAGAAGTAGGCTTCGTAGGCTGATGTCGACTTCTCAATCTTCAAAAAGTGCTCCAGGTACTCGTCCACGATTTCAGTGTCGCGCTCTCTTGTGGCAACCTTGACTCTCTACAATATCCGCGAGGAAAAGTATGAGTATGCGTTAGTTTTACTGCATGGGAAAAGTAAAAGCTCGATATATATATACCCGTATTACCATCATGAGTGATTGCTTACATTTGACCAATGAGGCAAAGGTCCTCTGATGCTCATGTCGACATAGTCATTTCCTTTCAATGTAGTGCTGTTGTACTCGTAGTGGTTGCGATAAATGGCAGCATACCTATTAGAAACACAAAAACATGGGACATGTTAGCGAATGGCGGATGCGTTGGTAACCACCGAGCAAATGGTAATGATGGGTCTCCTTACTTCAAAAACTTGACTTGATTCCAAACGCCCGAGGCGAGATCGAACTCTAGACTCATCAAGTAAACAGACAGCTTGTGCCGGTTGAACTTTGACGGGAGCGAGTCAACAAATGCAGTCATTCGTTCCAGCCACTCCCGATGACTCTCGCCCTTCTCAACCTTGGCCGAGTCCATCAGCGGGAGAGGCAAGATACGTTTCTCCAGCAGACCGATAAAGCCTTCGTTGGCCATGACACCGGGAGTCTCCTGCATGATGACGTCGAGTTGTGCGTTCGTCAAATTCTTGTACGCCTTATAATTCTCCGAGAAATCCAATCGCTTGTGGTCGTAGAGCTTGAGTATGACCTTGACAACCAATTCATCCAAGCGGCTGGTGTCTGCCCTGCCAATGATGTGCAGACTCTTGGGCGAATACATGATGTCCATGTCTTTGAAGAACGCCAAAAGGCGGTCATGCTGCAGCTTGTTCAGCAGGACGTCCTCGATGTCCGGGTGGGATAAAAGGTGAGGCCAAGCTGTTGCCTGGATGGACCCCCATGTTCCTTTGAGGGCCATCTCGTCAACGACATTCTTGGTAAGGACCTCGGTCTTGAAACTCTGCTGGTCCATGGTCGACGGGAGGGTGTCGATAATATCCTGCGGTTGTTGCTGTTGTTGGGAAGTGTTAGTATCTGACGTACTGACGATGGTCTCGAGCTGCGTGACCGAGGTGGGATTGAAGGACAGCTCTTTGGTGAGCAATTCGGGGTCGACATCGAACCCAAGGATCGCGAATTGAGCCTTATACTGGCTGAGAATGTCTCCACCGAAGGCGATCTTGGAGTCCTCGGCGTCTTTGAGGAACTTGACCGCCTCATCGACCTTTTCCTTGGTGGGTGGCGTAGCAGGGTCCTGAAGGCTCTGAGACAGCTTTCGCAGGCCATAGAGATAGTATTCTTTGGAGAACTTGCGGTGCTTTTTGACGATATCCAACCGCTTGTCGGGATTCAACGCGTACTCTTCGAGGGCTTGCAGCTCCGTGGCGCGAGGAGTCGAATTATAAGGGTTCGTGAACATGATAGTTGAGAAGTGAAAAAAATATAACGGTTAGAATAAAAAGGGCTAGGTTTGAAAGGTGGAGGGAATGGAGGAAGGGGATAAGGGATAAAGAAGAGAAAAGAGGAAAGAAAAAAAGTGTGGGAGTGGGGAGGAAACTCACCCCTTTTATAGACAAATCACGCTGCTAATTTTTCATGGATGAGGCCCCTGACCAGAGACACAGCCCAAAGCGTAGCAGAAAAGAAGCAGTTTGCTTTGCCACCAGTAGCATATTTATGCTCTCTCTCTTGCTATTTTTTTACAAAATAACTGCTGCATGATTATGCTGCGCCCTTACGAATCTACGTTGCTGGGCTTATGCGTACCGAGATCTATAAAGTGCTAACGCGCTTTTACAATTCAACTTGTTTCTTAATATCGAATTACTTTATTTTAAATATGCAATGGAGGAATGAGTATGGTACAGGTGAAAGGAGAGAGAAAAATTACCCTAGGAAGGTATAATGCATGTCTATGTGAAGGCCAGTAGTGATTTTACATGCGACCGCGCTCGTATTGGGCAGAGAACTTGGCCTTGACGTTCAGTTCCAATGCAGCATTGAGGACAAAGTTGGGGCTTCTCAAGAAGGCACGACCGATGGCAACCAAGTCGGCCTTCTCCTCCTCAAGGACCTCATTGGCCTGCTTGCCTCCAGTGATCAAACCAACAGCAACAACCTCAAGACCAGGGACCTCCTTCTTGACTCGCTCTGCAAAGGGAACCTGGTAGTTGGGTCCAGCATTGATGACTTGCTTGGCCGAGTTGCCGCCAGACGAGACGTGGAAAACATCAACACCGGCCTCCTTGACCCACTTTGCAATCTGGACAGTCTGCTCAATCTCCCAGGAAGGTCCATCCAAGTGCTCAACATAATCGGTGGCAGAGACTCTGAGGAAGACGGGCTTCTCGGCAGGGAAGTTGGCGCGGACCTCACGGATGACCTCGAGCAAGAAGCGGGCACGGTTCTCGAGCGATCCTCCGTACTTGTCGGTGCGGTGGTTGGAAACGGGGGAAAGGAACTGGTGAATCAAGTATCCGTGAGCGCCGTGGATCTCAACGGTGTCGAGACCAGCCTTGTGGGCTCGAGCAGCAGCGGTTCCAAAAGCCTTGATGGTTTCCTCAATATCCTGACGTGAGAGCTCGCGGGGGACATGGTGGTTGGCATCCCATTGGAAATCGGCTCCACCACTGGGTCCGACGACGTTGTCCTTCCAGTAGGCGGACTCGGGCAGGTCAGCGTAGTATGCCTTGACGGATGCCTATGTGGATTAATTAATGGGTTTGGTGGATGGGTGGGAAGATTAGTGTTGTGACTCCAAATGAAATGATGCAGTTCAGACCAGAAGAAAAAGTAAACAAAATTAAGCTTTTTATACCTTTCTGCCAGCATGGGCGAGCTGGATGCCGAACTTGCTGCCCTGGGCATGGATAAAGTCGGCAATGCGCTTCAAGCCAGGGATCTGCTCGTCCTTCCAGATACCAGTGTCAGAGGGGGAGATGCGTCCCTCGGGGACGACAGCAGTGGCCTCGGCCAAGATCAATCCAGCGCCCAAGGTAGCAAAGGAGCCGAGGTGGACGAGGTGGTAGTCGGTGAAGAAGCCGTCAGTCGAGGAGAACATGCACATGGGGGCGACGACGAATCGGTTGGCGATGGTCAAGTCCTTGACGGTGTAGGGCTGGAAGACGAGGGGGATCTTGTCAGCATTGGGCTTGGTGGCATCGATGGGTCCGAGGTATGAGCCGGGGGCATTGGGCTGGTCGATGAAGTAACGCTCCTGGGGGTATTGGATCCTTGTGTTCTTTTCCACGGTGATATCGACGGTGGTGTTGTTGTTGTTGATGTTGTTTGAGACGACCATTGTTATATCTTTTTCTGTTTGTGTATTGGAAGGGGAGGAAGGATTGGGTATGAAGATGAGCTGGTTGTTCTGGCTTGTTGTTTGTTGCTGTTGTGGGAATGAAGAAAGAAAGAAGAAAAGAAAAAAAAAGAGAGGGGGAATGGAGCCTTTTATGATTTTGTGAATGAAATGGTCGTCCAATCACAACGATATCATTGGCTGGGTGAATCCATAGGCTATTTTCTCACCCTTTTGTACTCTTACAAATCAACTCGACTGAAGTCCAATGTCGCAATTGAACTCCTCTCTGCACTCTATCCTCTTCTTCCTCAATCGAAGACATGCCATTTCCTTCGAACTTATCTTGTCCCCCTGGACACCTCTACACTCGCTCACTTTCCGACTATTAAACTATTAACAGCCTCAACTCGCGCTCGCTTACTTATTCCCGCACCTTACTCTGTTTCTTTCTTTCCCGTCCTTGCATCGGGCAATTGACCGTTAGCAGGGCCGGCCATGTTCTCCAGAACCCCGAGGTTAATCTTGCTGGCAATTCTTTTTTTTTCCTTCTATCGGGCTATCCTCCCTCAATTCGCTGTTGTTTCTATTCCATCCCATTCTACTTTCCTTTCCTTTCCTTCCTTTGCTGCCCTTTTAGACACACCACAAACAGCATCATTTATCAGCCAATGAACCACATTGAAACGACCTCCTCTGTTAGCAATTGAACTTTGAACTGCATAATACCCGAGAATACGCCTCGCTTGTCCATCCTATTCAGTTTTTCTTTGGACTCTTGCCCTTTTTAGAAGCATGAATAATATCTTCTTCTGTAGCGTGTTGACCACCATGATGCCCGAGAATACGCTGCACTCTCTGTGTGTTGTCATGAAAACAACAGACATGACAAATCCATGGGCTGATTGTTTTGTTTACCCCTGAAGAGAAAAAAAACCCTTGCAGTAAACAAACAAACAAAAAAAGGGGACCACGCGTGAGGTGTTGATCTCCTCGAACTCGATGCATCAAAGACGCCGGTTTGAATGCAAGCTAGCTTCGAATGGTATGACAGCGAACAACAAGCAATCAATTACAAATCGACATGGGTATGAACGACTATCAACTGAAGTTTGTTTGTTTTTTCATTTTCGAGAAGGGGAAAGATGGCTGCAGCTTCTTGACAGTTCCCTCTTTCTTCCTCTAAAAGTACAGCAAAGAAAAGAAGAAAAAAAAAGAGTCCAGGCCCCGCCGGTAGGAGTTTATCCCCTCAACCTGGGAAGAGCCATTCCTGATCCATGTGGACCCCAGGAACCCCCTCTTCTCCAGATTCATTTGATTGAAGACAACTCCGAAAATGTACATTGAACCACTTGCAAGACGTTCATTTCCAAACCTTGAATGTGACGGGTGCCCTGTGCATTTGTCAGCAGTCAAAAAAATTCCCCTTAGAACGGCCAAACGTAACACTGGTGGGAACACAGAAAAGGCTTAAAACAAACAAACAAAGAAGGGGTAATTGTGGTGGTCATTGGCTGTAACAATAGACACACATTTCTAAAAGGAGGTTTCATTTTTCTTTCTTTTGTTTAAAAGGACGCTTGCATTCCACCTTTTTTTTTTTTTTTCCTTTCAATCCTATCTTCACCATCATCATCAACAACAACCAACAACAATTATACCCCCTCCCTCTCCCCAAGAAAAAAATGCCGTCGATCAAGTCCTCAACCGTGGCCCCCATCACCCACATCTCCAAGGCCGCCATCCCAGAGCTAATCACCGAATACCCCCAACAACGCTACCACGTCGCCCAACCCATCGCCCCCGGCACCTTTGTCTCTCCCAAGACCTCCACCGATGAAGAGTTCAAGGTCCCACTCCTCTTCCAGCCCTTCACCGTCAAGAACTTAACCCTCCCCAACCGGATCCTCGTCGCCCCCATGTGCATGGATTCCTCCCAGGACGGTTTCGTCTCAGACTTCCATCTTGTCAGCATTGGAGCTTATAGCTTGCACGGTGCTGGGTTGACGATCATGGAGGCTGCGGCTGTTACGGAATTTGGAAGGATTACTCCTGGAGATATTGGCATTTATAGGGATGAGCATGTCCATGGGTTGAAGCGGATTGTGGATTTTGTGCATGCTCAGGGTGGAAAGATCGGAATCCAGTTGGCTCATGCCGGTCGTAAGGTAAACAATTTTTAGTGAATGATGTGAACCAAGTGCAAGCTGTAGTACAAAGTCCAAAAGAAAACGTGGAAGCTAACCTTTACTTTTATATACCCAATCAAAAAAACAAACTATAGGCATCGGACACAGCAGGATACACACAACACGAGCAAGACGAGTTCTGGCCCGAGAACGTCGTCGGCCCTACAGGCGAACTCGCCTGGGGTAAGGACCTCTTCCCCCCACGCGAGCTCACCGTCGAGGAAATCCAAGACATTGTCAAGGCCTTTGGAGCTGCAGCAGTCCGGGCCAACAACGCCGGTATGGACACCGTCGAGATCCATGGCGCCCACGGATATCTCATCCACAGCTTCCTCTCCCCCGTCTCCAACAAGCGTACCGATCACTACGGAGGGTCCCTCGAGAACCGGGCTCGGTTCTTGTTGGAGGTTATTAAGGAGGTTCGTGCAAACTTCCCTGCCGAGAAGCCCATTATCTTGAGAGTTTCCGCGACGGATTATGTCCAGCATTTGGAGGGTCCTTCCTGGGAGATTGAGCAGACGGTTCAGATCGCCAAGTGGGTCAAGGACGCTGGTGTGGATGTCTTCCACGTCTCGTCCGGTGGAAACACATATCAGCAAAAGATCAAGGCCTTCCCCGGGTACCAGGTTCCCTTTGCGGAGCAGGTCAAGAGGAATGTTCCTGGGCTTCATGTGGTTGCGGTCGGATTGATCAATGGTGGTGTTCAGGCAGAGGAGGTCTTGCAGGAGGAGAAGGCGGATCTGATTGCGATTGGACGTGGGTTCTTGAGGGATCCTAGTTTTGTGTTGCAGGCTGCGCGCCAGCTGGGGTTGGTTGCTAAACATACCCAGCAATACGGCGCCGTCCAGCGCACTTAAACACGCATAGTTTACGACTCTTCTTCATTAATCTACTCCAACTCCTTCCTCCAACACATGTGTAACATAGTAATCTCATTCTCATTCAGCATAAAAAAAATTCTCTACTTCATTTCTTCGTCATTTTACTGCCTCGGGTTGTTGGGGTTACAAGTCATGTATGGTGTATCTCTAGAGCTCGTCTTTCTTGGCATGAGGATCCTGGCGAGACTCCTCATTTTTATCCTGCTTCTGCTCTTTCTGCTGCTGCTGTTGTTTCTCCTGCTCCTGTTGACGACGCGCCTGCTTCAACTCAGCATTGACCTGTTTGGCAAACTCGGTCGCCTCGTTATCCAAACTCTCCCATTCCTTGATCTGGCGTCTTGCTCGATCCAATTTGGGTTCCTTTGTCAACGGGTTGTTGCACTATAAAATTCGACGATTATAAGGTGAGAAAAAAAAAAAAGTTAGGATCATACAGCTACGCCAGCAAAACAACATCATACAAAAAAGGGCAATGTAGCTCATTTTTTTTTACCAGATCAATAGTCTTGGCTTTAGCAAGCCCCTCATCCCCACACCAAGTCTCGCACCAAAGCCACTCCTGGGGCAACGAAAAGATCGGCACCTCATTCTGCATATTATTCGGCAGATCCTGGTCCAAATTCGCCAACGAGCCCGGATCCCTCGACAGTTGTTGATAATGGTTCCTCAACCGATCGCCCGCCTGCATTTGACGGAACCGGACCAAGTCGATGACATAGAGGGCAGAAATGTGGTAGGGTTTGGAACGGAGGTGGTCTTTCCAGTAACCTTGGTTCCAGAACCGGAAGCCTTCCATTTCTTTGCGGTCTTGACACATGGGTGTGTAGCCGTAGGGGGCGCCCTTGAGGTCGAGGTCTACCAATTCCTTCATGTCTGCGCGCACAATCTATGTTTCGAAAAGGAGAGGGAGTAGAAAAAAAATAATTTGTTAGAGAATAGTTTTGTAAAAGCAGAACTTCCCTTGAGCAAAAACTACAAGAGGATATTACCTGATCGGCGTCGACAAAGATGACCTTGTCGAGGTCCAGGGGGAACAAGACATCCAAGAACAAGATCTTGTACGCCCAAATAATCCTCTGCTTCTCGGTCTGGGCACGGAGCCAGTGGGGCCAGCTGTAGGTGACCAGCTCATAGTCAAAGTCATATTTCTCCGCCATATGAGGGATAAAGTCCTAATAGTTGTAACCATAACAAACTGTGTTAGAAAGCACGAGCTACGAAAAAAGTTTTTGTTCGTTGAAATACCAATATTCTCAATACAGAGAGACACATTTATGACACTTACCTTGAAAGAGGGCGAGAGGAAGTTCTCGATGAACCAGAATTTGACGCGACTATCGGTGTTCTTGATGACACTCAGCATCATGATGGACAAGAACCGTTCGTACAAGTGACCTGAGGCGACCGAGAAGATGTTGATGTCGGCCTTCTTCTTGGTAGGGGCCGCAGCGCTAGGGCCAGTGAATCCCTTGATACTAGACGCCCTTGGCATGTAGGAAGAGGTGGTTGAGATGCATTTACAAGTTAGTCAAAGTTCAATCAATATGCTCCGTCGTCTCGTGGAAGGAGGGAGGGGCATAGTTACTTCTTTTCAGAGCAAAACTTACGTGGATTTGATAGAGTCCCAGAGGCCACCACCCTCCTGAACAAGCTCATCCTGAATATCCGCCCGCTCCATACCCGGGTTACGTACCAACCTCGGGTACAACACCAACCCTTCAAAGTTGGCAATCACCACATCCCGCTTATCATTCTTAACACCTCCCGTCACCCATCCTTCACTTCCAATGCTCTCAATCGAGAACACCTGGTGTGTCCTGCCCGGTCGAAGAACCATCTCCCACACACCCGGGTTGGCCTTGAGTTGGAAGTATCCCATGTTGGCCATGACAAGCGTATCCGAGACATGGGGTTGGGCCTTGGTGCCGAGGATGAACTGTGCGCCCTTAGGTGGAGTCTTTTGTGTCATGTCGCGAGCGAAACCCTCGATGAGGATTTGTTGAAGTTCGAATTCGGCTTGGACACCTGTGATGCGGGAGGATCCGGTGAGGCTGGAGAGTTTGAGGTTGTCGAGATCGTGGATACAGACTTTGGAGGTCACGACCCAGGCTGGGTTAACGTCCACTCCCAGGGTGAGCAACGTTGATTCAGGGAGGCCACCAAAGTACGCAGTAGGAGGAACAATAGCACTATTTCAAATAAAGAAACCGTCAATTTTTAGAATCCTGCGAATATCTTGACGATCCAAATATCATATCTCGTTTCGTCGTACAATGGCAGGAAACACTTACCCGTGGACGTCAAAAGTGAGTTCGGGTTCAACGACATAGCGGTAGAATCTCTTGATGGGGGCCTGGGTCAAGCGAAGGGCGGGCATGAGGACGACCTTGACCTTGACATTGTCCATCCGAGAAAGCGTCTCCAAGAGAGGGGCCCAACGCTGCGTCAACTCGCTGGCAGGGTTGAGCACTGCTGTGAAATGGAAGAGTGTCTCGTCGTCTCCAGCCTGGAATGTGGGGTCCACCACAAAGCCACTATTGTTCCAGTATCAAAACATAGATATAAGTAAATACAAGTCGCGTCAAAATAGCGCGGTTTGCTTCACGTACAACAGAACAGTGAGAGAGGACGGGCCAAAAACTTACGCTTGCTCCGAATCGAGTTTCTCAAAGGTGCGGTCTCTGCTGATGACGGGGTCGTTGATATCATAGAGACTCTGGTCCAGCTGCTGAGTCGCGCCAAAGACAACCGAAGATATCTTCATTACCACACTATTTTCAGATCATAGAGAAGGAGTACCTCAATTAGTCAAATGCTCATCAAGAGTAAATCCTTCTCCTCTATATCACTAACTGTCAAGCAAAAACTTACCTGGCGGTAGGTTTGATATCAGCCTTCTCGAGCAATGCCTTGACCTTGGTCGCACGGATGCCGTTCTCGTAGTTGATCAACAACTTGACGTCGCTTGCCGAGAAAGTGTCCTTGATAGGACCAACAACCTAACAAGACGAGAGATGGAAAGCGGATGTGTTAGAAATGTAACGCGTCCATGGTACTGGGCGAACAAATTACAAACCCACAAGCTCAAAAAACTTACTCTTCCGTTGACAATGAAAAAGGTTTCGCCTTCCTGAATCTGAAGAGTGTCTCTCAAGAATGCAATCCTGGCCTTGTGACTCTCCTCTTCCAGGCCCTTCCCACCCTCAGTAGCAATCATCGCGACCTCTGGATGAAGTCCTGCCGACTTGGCGAAGCTGTCAACAAAGTTCGCACCACTCTCAATACCTTCCAACAAATCCTTCCAGAATCCGAAAGGGAGTGTCTTTCCATCGACAGAAGACTGACTGATAAAGTTGCCCAAGGTGGCGTCCTCTGGAGACTTTCCGTTATGAATAAAAGCGATCCGTGCGGTATCCTTATCAGAATCCAAAGCGCCCAAAGCCGAAAGGGCGGTATCCAATCCTGCGTTGACGTCGAAATCGGCGGCAACAAGGACGGTAGTCGTCTGAGCTGCATCGTCACCACTGGAAATGTAGGAGAGAGTATCAACAAAAGGACGAGATTGACCCTGGACGAGATCGACCATCTTCAAGGGGTTCTCATCGCTGACAAAGATATAAGGGTTGCGGCGCGCATGGACACTGGGGAGGGACAAAACATAATCGTAGACATTGGCATCCGAGGCAAGATCTCCACGTTTGAGACGGTTCGACAAGAAGCTGTATTGCTGAGGAGCTTCCGTCATCAGACTTTGGGCATGGTCCTAAAAAAACAGGTTGCACCGTAGTCGAGTGTTAGTACCATGACCGCACTCGAAACCTCCATAATATGGTTTGCATGAGGACCGTGGAGACATACCTCGTTCCAAGCAAAGTATTTGCCGTTGACAAAAAGCGAGGGTGCGGTGATGCCAATGTTGTCGCTCATATCCCGAACAGTCTTCACCCAAGCGCGATAGATAGATCCAGGAGCAATAACCTCGCTGTAAGATAACTCGGGGATTTCCGTATTCTTCAGCTTGGGCAACTTGACAGCAGCCTCATATGAGTTTTGTGACGCGGTGGCAAGATCCTGTCCTGACTGAACCTGGTTAAGCAAGGTCTAAGAGATAAAAGGATGTCAGATACGTTTAATCATTGACATGAAGCTTATGATTGTGCATATGATTACAACAGCAGTGAGGGCGATAGTTCTTACTTTCTTCAAGAACTCCAGTCCTCCTTTGATGCCATGACGGCTCACGACGTGTCTCCAAAGCATCGCCATCCTTGCATCTATGAGGAAATATATGCAGCAACACTAAGATTAGCACACAGTCAGAGCAAGAATAGCCCTGCCACCTTAATTGTATGGAAACTATACATACCCTCGCCATCCTCGCTCCTGACAAGAGGGAGAATACCAAAACGGAAGGGCACCATCCTGTGGACCCAGTTCAAAAGCTCAAACGACAAGACCTCCATCGTCTTTGACGAGCTCAGATCCATCGCAAACAGCGAGTTGATGACATTGTGACGGATCTGATGGAACTGGCCGCCGTAAGTGGGCTGCATAATGTAGAACAAGTTGGGGTTCCAGTCCTTGTAGCGCTGATCCGATCCGAGGTCGTTGATCCAGACGATAATGTTCTTTTCCTCCGACTTGTCGCGTACGTCAAACACACCCTGAGGCTCGTCTGATCCTGAAGCGTTGCCGCCCTCGGCATTTCCAATGTCTGTCAATAAGTCAATCGCCTTTTTGCTTGATACGCCTATGGTCGCAAGGGAGGAAAGTGCGTTACGTTCCCTGCGAATAAGGCGAAGCAAGCTACGGTGTGTAATGATCAAAAAAATAAATCAAAAGTTAATATCAGTACTTGAGACGGCAGCAATTTGAAAACGTAGCACCTGTATGAAGAAACGCTCGTACTTGAAGGGGTTCATCTTGTGGTGAGGAACGAGCTGGTTGTTGAACCAGACTCTGGCACGGTCATCACGGGTCGACAAAGCGTTTGCCTGGAACGCCTCTCTGAAGGTTTCGTTGACAGAGATCTTGGAGATATCCCGCTGATACTTGGGGAAATCCTGCGCGATCCCGACAAGAGTCCTCAATGGGTCCTCCGACTGAAGGACGAACTGAGCAGTAGCCACGTCCAAGTCTATTCACAATACCATAATAAGGTAAGTCATGGGTATTGTGGCCTCTCTTCAATCACGCAGTAAGAGCGATATCAAATGTTGCATTACCTCCGAGATCCTGTTCTCTGACGGGCTCCACTGTAGGAACTTTGTCACCAAAGAGTCCCTGTCCTGAAGAGCCCTTAAAGACAGTCTGTCCTGACGAACTGGAGTCGTCAGAGTGGCCAAGATCACGGTCATCAATGACAATGTAGTCAGTACTCTTTAAAGCAAGCTCGACTCCGTATCCCGACAATGTCAAAGGATTCTCCGTCGCGGACTTTGTCGAGGGGCGATAGCGGATCGAGTATTGAAGTCCGTGATCCCGAGCAAGGGTGTCCAGGTACTGCCTGAACTTTGTGAACTCGGAGTCGTAGACGTCTGCGTACAAGATGGTGAACAAACTAGGATCCTGAGTCGATGACTGGACGTGGTCAAGGTCCATAGTGGACGGCTTGGACTTTGATCTGCATCCAAAAATAGATTCACCCAGGTTGTTAGCCAAACGCGCAAAATAATTTACATGCTTCTCACGATCATGGCACAACAACACTTACTGTTTGGCAAAAGATCCCAATCCTCCGTCAACAATGGTCTGCAGCTCGGACAGATTACAGATCTGACGATCATACCAGTCGACCCAAACGCCACAGTTGTCATTAAAGTTGGACTTCAAGATCCTATCAGGCGCAATGGTCGAGTTGTAGAGGTGGTAGTGTGCCTGGATCCAGGGGGCAGAGGTGTGCATGGCGAGAGACCACTTCAAGATCGAGAGTGCGTTGGGTTGAACGTGCCCCTGTGTCTGAATGATGTCTAAACTTTTTTGGTAGAGATCCTTTTGCGACTTGATGCCGTCCAAGAAGGTCTTGTCGGTCAATTGACGCATCAATGGAAAGTAGGCAGTTTTGTTCTCCACAGCCACGGCCTCCCTACACGTCAGAATGTCGTAAAAAAGTAAAGGGTCAGCTCTGTTTTCAGATATCCATCAACCACTTGGCATTCTTTTTGAAAGGCGTTGATTGATGTTCTTACAAAATCTCGAGGAGCAAGGGTGGTGCTGCCCAGTTGGTATGGATGGAGACCTGGATGGGGGGTGAGGGTGCAAAGTCGGCCATTGCTTGCATGGCGACGAAAGCCAAGGCCAGGACGGAAGTCCGCATGGTGAATGCAGCGGCACGCATCGAGAAGAAGAGGGTGTGGTTTTTCTTTCTTCCTTTCTAGGGTGTCCTGCTTGTCGGCGACGGATGAGGGATGTTGAAGAGGAGAGGATGAGGAGAGGTAAGAGGGGTGAAGGGAGGGAAAAGAAAGGTCGAGGAAGGAGGAGGGGTGCGTGGAGAGAAACTGTTGGCTCAACTGCCGTCCTCGTTTATGAGTGACTGTCGACCGATCAATTGGACGCGTTTCGCATAGAGTTTGCACGTCTTGATTGTCCCTTGGTGCGAGGACTTCATTAATCGATCAAAGGCTCCCTCCTTTTTCTTCCTCTCACCAACCCCTACTGAACAGCAGCCATTGAACACGCGAGAAAGCGTCATGTCGACCGCAAACTGGCGTCACATCGATCGCAAACTGGCGTCATATTATCCATAGCGCAGGTTTACAGTGACCGTAAGAGGGAGCGAGGCTTCTCTTCTTCGCTCGACAGTGGCAATGTCGCTGGATCGCAGGACTTGCGATTCGACGGAGTTCCTTATTAAAGTCTGAACAAGAAAAAAAGGTGATCCCTTTGGCTGCGGGGACCTAGACACAAAACCGAAATCTCTTCCTTCCTTCCTTCCTTCTTCACATCATCTCTCTACAAATGACCAGCCGACGAGTCTTGAGCATCCAGTCGCACATCGTCTCCGGCTACTGCGGGAACAAGGCTGCAACATTCCCTCTCCAGCTCCTCGGCTTCGACGTCGATGTCATGAACACCGTCAACTTCTCCAACCACACCGGTTCGTTTGCATTCCCTTTGACCTTTTAACAAGCTCGTTTTTTTCTGAATGATTGCATGGCAAACCCATTGTTACAAACCAAGGACGGTAGCTAACCATAGGTATCTTCTTTCCCTTTTCGTCCTTTCTCTTTCACAGGATACCCTTCTTGGACAGGAGAGAAGGCAACAGGAGAACAGCTCACAAAACTTTTTGAGGGGCTGCAGACCAGTGGTCTGGTCGATTACACTCATATTCTGACGGGTAATTAATACACTGCATGACAGATTACTCTCGCGTGGTCACCAGCCCCAAGTGACAAGCAATTGCCCTTTGACCTACCCTCTCTGTTCGGACCAATTGACGTTTCTGCTAACGATTTGTTACATACGCCTGTTCTTGACGATCATAGGATATATCGGAAGTTCCCAGAACCTGGCGGCTGTGACGGACATCATTGCCAAGCTTGAGGATCATGGAAGCCCATTCTTGGGTATGTAGCGTGGATCTACTTCTAGACACTGGTCATCAATTGCTCCGTCTGCTACGTTACTTACGTACGTCCTATTGAACATTTTCTAGTGCTGGATCCGGTCATGGGTGACAACGGTCAACTCTATGTCCAGTCGGATGTGATCCCTCTCTACAGGGAACTTATGAAATTCGCCAAGGCCATTACTCCAAACCAATTCGAGGCTGAGTAAGTTCTCATCTGACTTCAGCTGACATTTCCCCCCTCTACAACGTTTCTTGGAAGCAATTGAGCTCACTACTGTGAAAACACTCCTGCCGTAATTAGGGTCCTGGCAGACAAAAAGATCACGGATGTGAAATCGTGCATGGAAGTCATTGATATCCTGCATGACGCAGGAGTGGAGAACGTTGTCATCACATCCGTCTCTCTTTTCCCTAGCGATGTTACTGCCCACCATGCGGTCGGACAGAATGGAGATACAAGCAATGGAACAAGCAAGAGGGAGGAGGCTGAAGAAGAGTCCATGTACTGTGTTTGTAGCAGCCGGCGCTCAAAGGACGATACCCCAAGGGTGTTTGCAATTGGATTCCCTACCTACGACGGATACTTTACAGGAACAGGAGACTTGTTTTCGGCCCTACTGGTCGCAAGATTGGACGAGGCTGTTCAACAAGAGGCTGGATCCAGTCTGGAGGGTCAGGAGAAATCAGATCACGGAGCAAAGATGGAAACGGCACTGTCGAAAGCATGCATTAAGGTTGTAGGTACGATGCGTGCGGTCGTGTTGAGGACCTATCAGGCTCAGAAGGGATCCACTGGGCGATCGTTGGACAGGTCTCTGGCATCGTCAGCGGCGGTGGTCAAGAGATGTGAGCTTCAATTGATCCAAAGCAAGAGGGATATTGAGCAGCCAGACGAGACTGATGTCGAAGCCATTGAGCTGAGGAGGTAGAAAAGGAAAGAGGGAGAGGAAATATATAGAGTTGGACACAATAGCATAGATCATCATACAACTATTATGGCATGCGTTCATATTTATCGAATTGCTTGGTGTGTATGCACAATGGATTATATATATTATTGATGCCAGAATGCCCCAAAGAGAGAAACAGACAGAGAGCAGATTGTTGATTTGGTGTGTCTCTTGGCGAAGAATTCAACGACGCTTGTTTCGCCTTGTTCCGGAATGACGATCGCTCTTACTGGTGCGAGGCTGTAGATGGGTGGGTCTATGCTCTTCTGGCATGTGTTTGGTCGTTGCTTACTCACTGCAACTGCCGTTTTGGCTTTCCCTTCTTTTGACGGCATGGATGCACGAAATCTACACGGTCCGCGAGCAGACCAGCCGACTCTTTGCATCAGATTACTGTTCGTTCTGTCCCCTTTTTCTTATTCCCTTTGAACCCTCTCTAAACTCTGCCCCATTACTGCCTCTCTGCTATTCCCGCATACTTTTACTTGTACAAAGCACGACCGTACCCTCCCCCTTCCCTCATTCACACATCTCTCAAAAACCCATTCGCACATCACACAAACCCATCACTCCTGATTTGACATTCTTATTCCCATTCACCCGACCTCTTCCTACAGCATACCTCTCCATCGCGCTTTTCTTTTTACTTTTCTTTATTCACCTGAGGGCCCATCCGTCATATTTTAACATTGGCCTGTATTCGCCCCACACCTGCGAGTAATGGTAATGCAGCGATAGGGGGTGCAGCCAATGCACACAGGCCTCATATCAACGAACTTACCATTCAAACAGAGAAAAAAATATATTGGTGGCGCTAGCCGACTGAGCCCATCCTTTCTCGCAAAGCAAAAGCAAGGGCAATCAATTGCTGACCGACACTCCGACAAACCTTTCATTTCTTTTACGAATAACTAGTTGGTTGTTTGAGCAACCAAATGCCATCATTGAGCGCGCTTACACCTCCACATGAGGCCATGACAGCGTCGCAACCACACGATCATTGTTTCGAGAATCGTTCGTCACCATCATCAAGGCATCTTATTCAACTGGACGAAAGCAAGGAGGAAGAGGAGGAGCAAGGGGATAAGGAGCTGGAGCAAACCAGTAGTACCACTCAGCAACAACAGCAACCCATGACGCCAGTGTCGCAACCACAACGAGATCACCGTCGCTGTCATCGTCGCCCATGGTTTCACTCTGTTATTCGAATGGTACTTCTCCTGGCATGGATATCATTCGCCGTTCTCCCAGTTGTTGATGCCGGTAGCGAGGACGATATCTTTGAGGACCTGCCGCTCATGGACAACATCCCTCCATCCCACCCTACCTTACATACTATTAAACCTCCTCCTAAACTACCTTCAGCACCGCTCCAATCGCCAGCCAATGTCACCCAATCAATGTCTCCTCAGAACCCATTCGTCGATCTGGACCACGTCGCCGGTGACGACTCCCCCTACGACCCGCCATATCAGATCCCAGGACTCACTCAGGACGAGTTTGACCAAACTTGGTATGGTGGGGTCGATACTATCAAGATTGGAGTTCTCTTGCCTTTCGCCTCCAACGCACAGTTTCCATACATGACCCCTATCTCCAGGATTAACTTGAGCGTATGTCCAAGCACCCGTTTCTTGTATTACACTCTATTGCATTGTCTGCCATGGCGACAATTGGACTAACGGCTGTATGTTGCCTTTTTGCCGCTGTAATGACTTTAGGTTCTGAGAATGGCCGTGAGAGACATGAACGACCAAAACGTTATACCTGGTAAGGCATCCCCATCGCTAATGTCTTCCCTCTGTGAATATCGACTGTTTATTAACACGCTGTACTTACACTGTGGGTAGGAATGAACTTGTCCCTGGTCGTTCGGGACAGTCAACAACTTATACCCGGAACGAACGTGTCAGGCGGAGCGGCCGCCATTTCCGCAACCACCCGGATACTTAACCTTGGTGTAAGGTCTTTTGATTCTGTGATGTTTTTTTTGGGCCATTTACTTATGCAATGGACATTGACTCAAACCTTCCTCAACATATGTCTCCTTCATTAGGTCGGAGGTGTTATTGGAGACGTCCCTTCAGACCTCACGACAGCAGAGGCCATCATGACTTCCAGTGTGGGAGTCCCTCAATGCTCTTTCGCTTCATGTAAGTTCTCTCTTTTCATGTACACTACCCGCCGAGGTACATGGAATTTCAGGAGGAAAATACTCAATGCATCATTGACGGTTCTTTTGTCGCCTACCATTGCTAATCTGTTCCTTCCTATTCTCGTGGGGATATCTTAGATAACATGGACACTACGGTGCTGTCGAACTTTGTGTACTTGTTTCGTACAGTGCCTGGAGTCACAAAGTACTTCGAGTCTCTAGCGCTGGTGGTCAAGCACTACAAGTGGACCAAGGTGTCCATCATACATACATCTGACATCCCTGGAATCATTAGTAAAGCAAAAACAGTTGCTGGGTTAACATGATGTTGAGATGAGCGCTGACTGATCTTGTTTATTAACATGGTTCTCATTTCCTTTTGACGCGCTTTTGAAGGCGAAAAGGCATTTTCGGCTGCGGCAGGCGATGTTGAGGTGACGAGGTTTCCGATACCGTTACCACAAGGCAAGGATATCCTCGAAACTGCCCGCAGTGTCATCTGGAACGTCAAGAACTCGGATACACGGATCCATATCCTAGCAGCACCCCGCGCAGTACAAATTCCTCTCTTGAATGCCATCAGGTAAACAATGAGCGGTCTCTTCTTTCTTGAAAGTTACAACTTTGCAAGAAGCAGCAAAGAGGCGTCTCTAACATTTATTTCTGAAAATGTTAAAAAAACAATAGAGACATTGGATTGTTTCATCGCGACCATGTGTGGATGACTGCGATCGATCTGACAGACTCACTAAGTCGACTCTCCAATCCTTCTGACTTTAATGGATTGATCATGGCCGATGCGCTTTGGAATATGCCTGGCGATCCGGAGTACGATAGGTTCGTGACCAATTGGGAGGCCCTGAACCCAAAGGAGTAAGTCACTTTTGCAATATTTTGTAGTTTGAGTATGAGAAAAAAAAGGGATGGCATGCCTATCGTGGAATGCTGAGAGACTTACAATTATATGTTGTGTATTGCTTGGTTTTTGTCTGCTTTCTAAAGTTACCCAATGTCGGGGTCGCCACAACTGACATGGCACGAGACTTTTGCGTACACCTGCATTCAAGTCTTCGCCGAGGCATACAGAGATGTAAGTACAATAAATATCCGCTATGAACATGGTAAACATCTTGCTGAATCGCAATAAGCAAAGGCAGCAGTCGTTGATATCTTTTCTTGCTGTCATGAAAAAAATAAATTCGTAGCTGGTGGCAAATGCTATGGCATTGACCAACACAACGGCACGAGATCGGTTGTTGAATGACATCCGTCTAGGCAAGCGGAGCCAGGACCTGACGATGAAGTTCTTGAGCGCGAGGAACTATAGCACGCCTGTGGGCAAGTTTACAGTCTCTAAAGGAGGCGAAGCCCTCAAACTGTATGTCGATTTTAACATGCATTTTGTATCTGTTGTGAAGCAAATTGCCTTTGCCCTGAGCACTCTTGCATTTATAGTTATTGACGCGTCCTTTTTTTTTTTGAGCAGACCCATATCGATCTCGAGCTTTCAGAACAGTTCCAGTATGCCGAATGGTAGAGCCCTAGACGACAAGTTGGACATTTTCAACGACGTTGTCTTCAATGGCGGGTCCACTTCGCCTCCATTCGATGTACCGAGCTGGGATGGTAAGTCGATTACTTTGCCATGATCCATTTGGGGTCTGTCCTCCGCAAAAAAGAAAGGCGCGCACAGGGCACGCCCACCCCTCTTTCGATATTAACGCGCGTCTTCAAATGGTACGAATGTATAGACTTGAGTCCGTCGATTAGTTCTCTGTTTGGGATCACGATTGTCCTTCTGACGACTCTCTTGATGCTGGCGATCATCATCACGGCCATTATCGTCGTTGTCTTTCGCGAAAACATCGTCATCAAGTCTGCAAGGTATCGCCTTGTCATTTTCTTTCTCATTTCATGCTGACTGTCACAGTTCTCAACCAACGAGCCCCTGACTCACTCTTCACTTTCTTTCACATTCATTCATCTATCATCCCCTAGTCCGCTGTTCTGCATCCTCGAGCTGTTCGGGCTGGCAGTAACACTGTCATGGATTTACCTTCGAGTAGACCAACCATCAGAAGCAACCTGTCGGATGGGCCTGTTGCTTATCGTTGCGGGCTTGTCGATCAACCTTTCGGCGCTGGTGGTCAAGAACTATCGGATCTACCGGATCTTTAACAGCGTCAGCGTTATTAACCATGCCGTCTCGAACCGCTACCTTCTCCGCGTCGTCACCATCCCCGTTGTCATCACCCTCGTACGTCTTTCTTTTTCGTTTTCGTTTTTATTCATTTACGTTTTTGCTCGATATCTTTTGCAGATGGGATTGCATGATGTTCGTGTCGCGTACGTTTACCGACTTTTCTTCTCACGCTCCCCCCATTCAAACAAATCTCGTAGATCCCATGTCTGATCAGATGCTTCTACAAGTACCTGACGCCCACAGTGATCCGGACGAACGAGAACGAGTACTGGGTCATCTGCGCGTCCCCGGACGCATCGAGTTTCTGGGACATTATTGTGGGAGCCATGCCTATTATCATCAACATCTTTGGGATCTACTTGGCTTTCAAGACCCGGAATGTCACGCGGCTCTGGAACGAGGCTCGGTCTATCGCCATCACCATATAGTAAGTCCTATCCCGTCGGAATGGCGACTTGTAGACAATCCGTTAAGACGACGATGAATGTTTGTTTTGCTAACCATACACTTCTACACTTTTATTTTCAAGTTTGGTGTCGTTCTTTGTGATAATAATCGTCATCGTCCAGTCGTTCCCGGTATCGCTCTACAAAGTAACGTACCACGTCACACTCGTCTCCGTCTTCCTCGCAAGTCTGATCGAGTACATCATCCTCTTCTACCCAAAGCTCCGGAACCTCTTCCTCCACCGGCGCGGGCTCCACGTTGCAGCTGGACGGGATGATGATAGGATGGATAGTATCCTTGGAGGTGTCTCTGCTACTCTTGGAGGTACTGCCGGGGCGAGGTTGAGTGCGACGACTTTGTTGGATGGAGGTGGGGATGATGGTGGGGGCACTAGGTTTGTGGAGAGGCGGTTTGGATCCGTGGCTGCTTTGTTGGGAGTTAGAGATGGTGATGGTGGAGGAGGAGGAGGATCTGCGCAAGATTTGACTTCATCGGCGGATATGCAGCAGCAACAGGGCCACAATATCTCGGATTTGGTCTCGTCGTATCCGTTTGGGCAGCTCAATAATGATGGCGTTGCGTTACCGATGGTTTTTCCTGTTCATGGACCCACCATGTATGAGCCTTCGTCGACACTTATCAACCGTGGCGGCAGAAAAGCAGGTGCTGGTGGTAGTGATCAGGAGGGTGTGATTGACGACATCAGACTATCTGATGCACACCGGGCTTCAGGTCGTTCCACAGGTGTCAATGGAGGAGGTGCTACCATTGCCTCCGACAAAGCAACAGCGGCGGCAGTTGCCGGTGGAGGCGGAGTCATCCCACCTGCAAAGGGGTACGACACCTTTGTCCGGGACCTAACCGCAGATATCCGAAATAACAATCGGGACGCCACCCAACCTGCCGATCTCCATGACGCCCCCATGGTTTCCTCCAACACCAATGGGCGGTCGAACGATGGGCTGTTATCCGCCGTCAGTGGAGGCGGTGGAAGATGGGGACAGGATCTGTTGATGTACGACTTTCTGGGCACGAGTGCAGCAGCGTCAGTTGGGGACGACCCGTACTCGAGGAGAAGTAGCGTGGTCGAGTATGATGCGCTGGGGATGATTCATCGGCTGAGAACTGGGAACCGGAGTCCGAAGCTGTACCCGCTCCAGACTAACTACGCTAATATTAATACTGGACCTTATGGCCTTCAGTCCAGCAGACATTCTCTCAAGGAGCGACGCGTAAGTTTTTCTTTTTTCTTTTCTGCCTTTGTTTTTTGCGTTGGACACATGAGACTGAATGGAAAATATTGATCTAATATTTTTTTTCTCTCCCTCACACTCTCGACTTCCAAACACATAGACGGACTCGTACACGGTGACGGCGCCAGTACAGAGACAGCGGTGGTACGTGATGCGGTTCCTGGCACAATGGCGCATGTCCAAGATCATCTTTGTGCCCTACTCCAAGCTTTTCGTCATGGTCGACGTAAGTCTGCATTGTTACACCTTTGGATTTTTTTTTTTTTTACAAGAAACATTTTTTTTTCTAGATGGGCGTCGTACTAACTCTTGTCTTTTTTACCATTTTATTGGCGCGTAAAAAAGTTGGAGACAGAGAAATCAGAGAGTTTGATCGTCCACACGATAGAGAAGGGATACTCGACATCAGACTACTGGACAACTACAGAGGAGGCTCAGCACATCGACACAACAATCTACCCCACCGAAGGGCTCATGGCCCCTTCACCCTTGAATGGAGGAGCACAGCTGCCGCCTATTAAGTCCCTCCATCTCTCCCCACAGCAGCAGCAACAGCAACAGCAGGGAGGGAGGTCTACGCTCTCGCCGTTAGCGCATCCTCCAGCTCTACCAGGCGCAGATGTGGCGACAGGAAGGGAACAGGCACATATTAAGCCGGTCCTGTCGTCGAACCAAGTCCATCCCAACATCTTGACCTCCCCACTCTCCTTGAACCCTAACACCAGCAACAGCCACAACAGCAACAGCGGTACGAACCAGGAGCCTCGACCGCAATCGACAGGTCTGACGGCTCCGGAACTGTCGTACCAGATGTTGGAAGATACTGTGTTGATGCCCCTGAATGATGGGTTCTTGAAGTCGCCTCCGTCCTCGAGTGCTCCTGTTCAGCCAACGGCGACGTCGGCAGGTGGGACGATGTCTCCTTTGCGTAATATCCTTGCTGAAGGTGGTACCGGCGGCAGTGGCAGCGGCAACACGACGATGGTCGATTCTGTGGGTAGCGGGGTTGGAGTTGCGGCCATAGGTACTGGATCCGGAGCTGGTGCGGTGACGAATACGAACAGGGTCACGATTGCACCAGGCGCAACAGGAGGCGCCGCCAGCGCCGGATCTGGATCTGGACCAAGATCCGGAGTAGTAGGGGATGTGGAGGAAGGCGGATCTAGTGGCGCCTTCCGTCGTCGAATTGGGTCTATCTCAGGGTTCAACAGCGGCGTCCGCCGCATGTCCCAGTACCTTGGCTTCCCTGCCCGCAACCCTGTCGACCCCTCCAACAATGGGATGGGTGCTGGAGGAGGAGGGGAAGGAAGGAGTACTGAGGTGGATGATACCCAACCGGCGACCAAAGGAATCGAACCGGGGATTATTAGTGAACATATCATCCGAGTCATTTCGATTCATAACGAGGTCTGGAGGGTTCAGTTGCCTGACCAGGATACAATGGACCGGTGGATTGAGATAGGACAGCAGATCAAGGATGAGAATTGGATTTCTCGCCCCTTCACGATGAAGGAGAGATTGGGGGATACTAGTGGGAAGAAATCTGGGGGCGGGAATGGTATGAAGAGGGGTAGTTCGAGCTCTGGAGACGGTTCTGGGGCAAGGGGCGGTGGAGGCGAGGCGAATGAGAGTAGTCCGGAAGACAAGTATGAGTTTGCACAACGCCCGCCTCGCCGGCCTGCTCAACAAATGATGCAACAGATGATGCAGCAGCGGTCGTCGTCCTTCCACCCTTTACAAACCGTGCCCACCATCATGACTTCGACTTCTTTGGGAGCAGGGTCACATCTCGGTCACCAGCACCTGTTACATCAGCCCGAACCGACCGTTACGAAGTCCTCCTACTTGTCTGGCAACAACCCTCTAAATAGGCATGACCCAATGCGGTTCGATAGCGACACGACAGAGACCAGCTATGTCACCAGCACTTCTCAGGGCACGGAACGGAAGCAGATCCGTGAACAGGCTGCGAGGATTAATCAAGAGGTGCGCGCTACTACCCGCTATGTCCCTCCACTCTTCCGTGGGCTCCTCAAACAACAACAACAGCAGCAGCAGCCACCGTCAGCAACGAACAGTCCGCGTCTCAGTGCAAACGATGGCTCGTTCTTGGGGCCTCCAGAGTCTGGGTCTCCACGTCCAAACTCGCTAGGCCACCGGTTCCGGAACATACCCAGTTCATTATCAATGGCACCCATATCCTCAGTCGGCCAGAAACGGTTCGGGGTTATTCCTCAAACTTCCTCACGCCTGGGGGGAGATCAACAACAAGGTCCTCTTAGCGTCCCGCCCGTCACCCCTTCCCGCCATCGCCTCTCCGAATCCTTTCTCCCCACCCCATCCTCTCCATCCTCTTCCACTGCCACCACCCCAGAAGTCTCTGGAGCAGATCACCGGTCGTCAGAAGAGACGAATATCCGCGACATCCTGGCAGAGACGAACGTTTCTTACGACCACGGCCAACACGCCGTCTACGAAGACCCTTTCCCGGGGCATGAGCACCGCGGCTACAGACACTTCAACACCCTCCAGTACAACTACGACGCCCACCTCAACAACAACTCCAAATCCTCCTCCTCCGCCGCCTCTGCCGCGGCCATAGCCCACGCGCGACGGAGAAGGATCTTGATGGAGCAGCGGAGACGGCGGTCAGGCGGAACTGTAGGCTCTGTAGGGACCGGAACCAGTTTCAACGAAGCTGACGACAAGTTGGATTTGGATTTGGATCTGGAGTTGGAGTTGGATTTCGAGTATTTGGTGAATAACCATCATCGTGCCATGGCGGCGGGGTCGTCGCCCGAGAGCCCGCAGTGGCATATGACGTCTGTCGAGTTGGTCAAAATGGAGGCCGAGAACTTGAAGCGGAATGGTCTTGCAAGTGGTGGCTCCGACGGTGGCTACGGATTAATGCCAGGAGGAGGAGGAGGAGGAGGAGGAGGAGGAGGAGGTGGTGGTGGAGGTGCGGATGATAACCGGTCAACGGGGAGTGGTGGGAGTTGTGCAAGCGCGGCATCAGCCCACACAACCTCCGCACCCAGCCACTTTGTATTCACCACCACAACCTCATCCTCAGCACCAGCATCCACATTTCCAACATCCAAGACCCTAACTCCAACCGGAGGTCCTCCAGGAAACCTCAACAGACCCCCTCTAGGCGGAACAAGGTTCTCCAGATTATCTCCAGGAGTTCCTGCAGTCTCGTCCTCAGACTTGACGATGACGACGACGAGACCCGACCAAGAAGAGTTCCCCTGGCAACAACAGACCTCAACACCCCTCACGAACCCAGCCATCATCTACTCCCCGCCGCCGCCCGAACCTGGAGATGACGATTATCAGAGCCCAGAACACGAGCAAGAGAATTCCCATCCCCGGGATGATGTTCCTCCAGCTCCAGCAGTAAGTGAAGGAAATGGGATGACAGCAGCAGCAGACGCAGGAGAAGACGCACCACCGCTGGGGCGGTTCCAATTCCTCTCGCCCGCAATCACGCACATCCCTCAACCGGCGATAGAATCTTTCGACAGCCATGGCAGCACTGAGGCTATCATCGCCTCTGAGCTGAACACACTTCCGCTAAAAAACCCTACTCGCGCCACTGACGCCTGATGTTCGAGCATCATCACATACCTTCTCTCCCAGGTCGCAGGGTCAACAACAACAACAGCCATAGTAACAGCCACAGACCGAGTACACCAATGCCGTGCACGTCCCACTCTAGACATGCACACAAAACAACCAATTATGAGAAGCCTGTAAAATAAAACACTATTTATTCACTGAGAAGGAAAAAAAAAAAAAGTACATCGGGTATTTGGAAAAGGGCGTATGTCACATAACAAATAACAAACAAAACGAATAGAAACACAATTATGAGCGCATACGAATGCTGTATCGGATCTTACTCATCATCCGTTCAGTCTCGTCCATCTGCTCCTCCAACATCTCGGCCTTGCGGCGCATCATCGGCCCACCTCCAGAAATCGGAATCTTGCTCAAGTCCGCCTGAAGTTTTTCCTTTTCTTTCATCAGTCCGTGCAACTGCTCCGTCAACTCATCCACCGTCTAATTAGAAGCATCAAAGAAAAGTGTCAATGGTATTGTCCAACATTGTATCGTACAAAAAAATAATAATACTTGGTAGGGCTGAATAGGGGTGTGTGTGTGTTACCTGGAATGGACCAGAAGCGGGGGCCGCTGTTGCAGAAGAAATAGATCCAAAGAACATATCACCATGCATCGAATGGCGATTATTGATACCATTGACAGATCCCGAACTGACACGATGAACCATCCCGGGTTTGACCTCAACCTCACCACTAGGGGCCGAGGCCATTCCACCCACAGGTGGTAGTTGTCCACTGGGTGGTAACCCAGATGCGTTGAGCTGGTTCGACAACATCGACATCTTGGGTCCTTGTCCGCTCAACGGTCCTCCAGCCATGGTCGGTGGAGTCGATGTCAGAGGCGACGAAGACAGATTGTTATCAGACCCTAGTCCACCACCCATCGCCATACCCATGTTCAAGTTCAGACCCATACTCATGAGTCCCAGTCCAGAGCCTGGAATTCCTGTTGGCACGCCTATCGCCGACGACGGCGCTGCGGAAGAATCGCCCATAGTGAAAGATCCGTTGATATCACCGTTTTGGTCATGCGACACACGTCTACCAAATGAAGTAGCATAGTTCAACCGCTGCTCCTCCTGGTATCGCTGCTGCCACAACGTCGATTGCCTCTGTTCGACCTCTAGACTGGCACGAAGGTTGACAATCTCAGTCTGTTGTTGATGGAGTTGAGTTTGGTGTAGTTGAAGCTGTTGTTGGAGCTGGTGTGTCTGGTACTGATGTTCCTGTACCGCCATCTCTCTACAAAACAATGTTAGCCAATGTTATGAAGTTTAGTGGGTTGGTTTCACCAGATTGTAACATTGCATGCATATATTAAAAAAAATGGCGTTCGGTTCGACTTACAACATCGTTTTCTGCTCTTTTTCCTGCGCGAACACCTTGTGCTGACCTGCGAGCTCTTTCTATTACGGCACAAATGAAAATTTGCGACACACGATATCATTAGTTTCAAACGCTGTCATGCTGCAAAAAATTGACGACAAATTAATCTCAGTGTCAATGGCGTCAAGTTACTCACCTGCAATTGCGCGATCTCTTTCTTGTGCTGGTACTCGACCGTCTCCGCATTCTCGGTGCACTTTTCGTGATCCTTGACAACTTCCCTCAAAGAGTTATTCTCCCTCAATTGGTTCCTATCGCAAAAAGACATGCAAAAGAATTGTGTTGGGTTAGTACCTGTTTATCGTCATCCACATGTTTGAAAAGGAGACGGATGAAAAGAAGAATGAACAAAAAAAAATAACCTTACGCAATGGTATCTTGGAGTTGACTCAGCTTGAGGAGAAGTTGTCCTGCATCTTCCTGCTCCCGTGCAATCTTGACCTTCTCCTCAGCTAGCTCAGCCTTGAGCTTCTCGACCAAAAGTTTCGATTCTTCAAGATCCTGAGTTGCAGAGAACAATGACTGCTGCACTTCCTGAACCTCTGGGGGTGCGGCCTGGAGCTCCAATTGTTCAATCTCTTGTTGGGCCTGAGTCAATTTTTGTTCGAGTTCTATTGGCGACGAAGTAACACATTTGTCGATTAGTAGCCATTCATTAAGCCTGCAAAAGGCCACCCTAGTCAACTGCGTAAAGTTACCTTGGTTACGAGACTCAAGTTGGGCTAGTTGCTCCTTCTGGTTAGCTGTGGCGTCCTCCAATGCCTTCTCCTTTTCACCACGGACAAGCTCAAGATCCGCCTTCAATTGTTCCACTGTTGCTTCGTGCGCGGCCAGTTTCTCCTGAGCATCTTCGTGATCCTTCATGCCAGTTGACGCCGACTGTTGCTCGCTCCTGAGTTCAATGACCTTTGCTTCCGCAGACTGCAACGAATCAAGCGCAGTCTCGAGATCTCTCTCCAAATCCGAAATCTGCTTGCGCCATCCATCCGTCGCCACGCGTTCCTGTCTCAGTTCCCTGACCTCCATCTTCCACCGCTCCAGTTCCTCTTCCATCTCCTTCACCGCCATTCCAGATTCATTGAAAATTGATATAGGTGGGGTCGGGAGCAGTGCTGTAGAAATCTGACTGTCGGTCGCATTCTGTCGAAAATTATTGTTGGGTCGTGCTGCCAAGGGAGATTGCTGAAGGCTGGCCAATTTTCGAGCTGCAGTGGTTTGCTGAATCGCGTTGGGAGATCCTGGGATTCTTGTAGGCGAGTGTGTGCCCTGTTCACGTGAAAGAGCGCTGTTAGCCTGCTTGATTTCCTGTCGTGAACTTGCCGAAGCACTTGAAAGCGACGCACGGTGTTTCAAACTTGAGGAGGAAGGGATAGAGAGACGAGATGATGATTTGGGTGGAAGTGCTGCTACGTTGGTGGGTGAAGAGGGCGAGTTTGGCGAAGGGATAGAGGTTGGTCGACGAAGCATTGACGCCCCGTCTGAACTTGCGGCTGCAATTCTGCTGATGGAGGATGAAGAGGACGACGAAGGGATTCCTGATCCGTTTTTCACTCCGGGTGCACGAATACCAACGCTGTTGGCCCTTGCCAGGCCTCCTGCCGCTCTGGGCCCTGTTGACGATGATGAAGAGTTGCCTAGCCTTTGAGCTAGAGCCTGGGCTTCAGAAAAGATTTGCTCCATGTCGTCAGGTTGGTTGCCAGTCCTGCTCAGTCGTTTCGCTTGCAACGGTGACCCATCGGGTTGGTGATGTCGAAGCCCAGCAGGTCGAGCCGAGACACCGCTTGGAGGGATACCATTGGGGTTACCCTTATTGCCGGAGAGAGGCCTTTGTGGCCTTGGCATCTGGGAGCCATAGAGGCTATGCATAGAAGAGGAGCGGGAAACGGGGGTACCACCCTGTTGTTGGCCCTTTTGTTGCCCAGCTTGCAAAGCGCCATATGTAGATCTTGGTCTAGAGGCAAGCCAAAAATACAACAAGAGATCAAGAGATGGCGAGACACACCACACCAACGGATGTTCCATATCGACAGTTAATAAATGAAAGGTGTCCTCAGGAGGCAAAATAAAGAAGGAGGGGGGGTGGGGAGAGACTTCAAAAAGAAAACAAACGGGTCATATTGGCAATTGGCATCGCATGGGATGGATACCAAAAGTAGCTTTTCTCTTTCGACAGGGAACAAAAAGCACACGGATAAAGCCGAGCGGATGCATATCTCAAGGAGAAGGAGGTGAACAATCCCCTTGGATACCCATATGAATATGTATGTGCCCTGTACCTTCGTAGCCTGGACGACAGCTCTCGCACAGGAACAGACTCGTCGTCGCTGTCCTTCAGCATCCTTAACAGCCTGACCGACCCTATATCGTCCTTTGAGACTGAAATGCAGGCAATTGAAAGGGAATACAGAGTAGGGTGTTGGTGAGCTGGCTTCTTTTGTTCTGTTTCTACAGCATTCCCTTCTTGCATGCTCATTCATTCCTCACTTTCAAAAAGTTGCTTCTTGCTGTGTTCGAATGAACAACGAAAAAGCAAGTTTTACCATCGGTCAGAGAGCGGTCAAAGTCCGAGTCATCGTCGAGGGAGATGGCAGCGAGCTGGTTGAGGGAGACAGGCCATCGGACCTGGTTTGCGTTGGCTTTGAGTGAGTTGCGGTTGAGGTTGCTGTTGCTGGACTGGTGCGTGAGTGTACGGTGCTGTTGTCCTCCTCCTCCTCCAGCGACGGGAGCAACGAGCTTTGTTGCTGTTCCCATTTTGCGGTATCTTTTGTTGTTGTGATCACGAGGGAATGAAATGAATGAGGAAGTAAAAAAGAGGCCGAGGTGTGGGAGCGAAGAAGTGAAGGGGAGAATGGGAATGGAGCAGCGTGTGAGAAAGAAACAGGAAGGAAAGAGGATGTTGATCAAAAAGAAGACAAGACGAGAAGAAAAGAAAAAAGAAGAGAGCCAGGAACAAGAGACAAGCAGTCAAGAAAGTTGTTTCTCTTCTTCCGTGTGTGTGCACCTTTACCGCAGCGGCAGACAGTGTCGACAGGAAACGAACGAGCCCGTTGACCCATCACCCTTCTTCACCCACCCTTGTTTGTTTGCCCCAACCCGCACGCACGCACGCACGCACGATACACACGATGCCCATACAAAAAAAAGGTATGGCTCACGCGTCAATGCTCTTCTTCACATCCATTTGTCCCACCCCACACACACCATTTCATCTGGCTTTTCTCCTTTTTGTTGTTCTTCTATTTCTATTTTATTAACGTGTTCTATATATCTAATGCGTCTAGTAACGGCCGTAGGGTCCTTGGTTGTAATCAGAGTCCCTCGCAGGCGATGGTGGCTGTTTATAACCGTTGCCACCTTGCTGTTGCTGGCCATTATACGGCTGCTGCTGCTGCTGTTGGTAGCCACCATAGGGACTACCACCACCGGAGGGGGGTGGAGGACGGTACGCGTTAGGAGTCATGGACCGGTCATCGGGGTAATCGCTGTAAGCACTCTCGGCATATGGATCAGGCGACATGGGTGGCATTGGGCTCCTTGCTGGGGGGGCAAGGTTGTTATTGCTGATGCCGTTGGAACCATATGGACTGTTCGGACCCTGGTTCTGGTACTGTCCAACAGCATTGGGAGAAGAACGCTCCAAGAGCATATCTACCGAGGAGATACTCTCCTTGTGGCCCATCATCTTGTTGTTATGGGCCTGCTGGGCCTGCTCCAGCGTCAGGTAGGCGCTCTCGCCGCCTTCAGAAGAGTAAGACGATCGAGGGCTATCGGGCTTGACCTTCTTGGAGGGGCTGCTATGGGGGCCCATGCCGCCGGTGGCGGCAGCGGCAGCGGCGGTGGCAGCAAGAGAGACGGGAGTTGGGGTCAGGTTGCCCTGAGTGAGGTTCCGGGGCTGTGGGGCGGAGCGCTGTGCACCCATGGACTGATCAGGAACGACGGACATCGACTCGTCGCCGTAGTAATCGTTGACGTCGTCGTAGTATCCATCCGAGCCAGGGTGCGAATGTTGCTTCTGGAGAGGAGGACGGCTGTTGTCTGGGTTGGCCTGGTTACCTTGGTTGTTGTTGTTGACTTGGTTGTTGTTCTGGTGGGAAGGAGGAGCTGGAGGACGAGGAGGAGCACCAGGCGACGTAGGGGTCTTGCTCATGGTGTTATGAAGAGCCGACCCAGGCTGGGCAAGCAATTCTTCGCGCATCCCAGGCCTGAACTGCTGCTGTTCACGGAACTGTGCCTCAGGACGATAGGCGGGGGCAGGATCCCCATCGGCTGGAGGGGCGAGGGCCATAGGTCCAGAGATGGCCTTACTGGGTCCCGTGTATGCACCACCCAACTCGGCCATTGCCTCGGCATCCTTCTTCTTAGCAGCAGCAGCGGTGGTAGAATCGCCCACAGCAGCTCTTTTACGTCGTTTGTAACACAAGAGTCCGATGATTGCGACAATGGCAGCACCGCCGGCAGCCATGCCACCGATAGCCGCGCCAGACAAGCCTCCAGCCTCAGGGACGGGAGAGATAGTGGGTGTTGGCGTGCGGGTTGTGGTCGAGCCGGTGATGGATGCTGTGATGGACCGTGAGTTTGCACGGGTGGTTGTTGTTGTGCGAGCTCCGGTGGTTGTAGTGCGAACAGATCCAGTGGTCTTTGTAGGAGCCACGGTCTTGTGGGGAGTAGTGGTAGTTGTTTCGTGTTCGGCGGGCATTGTTACAGATGTTGTTGGTTACAATTGGTGAGTGGAGAGGGCGAGTAGTCGAGTAGTCGAGTGTAGGAGAGGCGAGGTAAAGAGGGGAGAGAAGGGGGGGTGATAGGAAGTAGAAGATCGACGGAGGAAAGGGGGCAAAGAGTAGGGGAAGGAAGGGACCAGATATCTTTCAATCCGGGACAGGGGCACCCACGTAGTATTGTGGATGTGAAAGGAAAGGAGTGGGGAGGGTAAGAGGAGGTGAAGGTAAAAGGAAGAAAAGGAAGAAAAGGAAAAGAGAAGAGAAGGAAGAAGAGATGAACGGCCAAGAAAGATAGACAACCACAAAGGAAGGAAGATAGGGGGCATTGTGCGGACAGGAAATGAGGGTCAGGGGATGAATGGGTTGAATGGGTTGAATGGGTTGAATGAGATGAACGGGATGAATGGATGGTCTGAGAGCACTTGGCTGAGCAAAGAAATGGACTAATAGGAAATAAAAATATCCTTTTGATTTGATTGAAATAGCACTCACTTAGTTAGGGTTTAGTGCGGTGGATAGGATGGAGAGTGGAATGGGAAGAAAAGAGAGGCCAATTGGCCATTGGAGTGGTGACAGTGTATGGTGGTGCACAAGGTGAAAGCAATGACCATTGAACCGTTGACCAGGGTACATGGCAAAGATCAGGCAGATGGAAAGAAACGGTCGATGTCGCCATGTAACAGTCAACTCCAGCTGTGTTTTCAGGCGAGACATGAAGGAATGTTCATAAATAATAAATACATACATCGCCAACGGACACTGAACGCTGGAAATGGATGCTCACTTTGCCTTGGTTGTTATAATTGTTGGCAGTAGAGACAGGTTTACTCGGGATCCATTGTCGTATTGCGTTCACACAGATAAACCATCTTTGCCACTGCTCTGTACCACTTCAGGAGTACCCCTTCATAGACTTGACTAGACTTTTCCTCCTTTTACCCCTGTAAGCCTGGATGGATCCCTCCTCCAGGCAGAGGGAGAGGAGCACCAAGAGATCCATGGAAACTTGCATCTTTTGTTCACCAAAAAAAAAACCAATAGGATGCTCTCAAACTACTCCAACCTTAGGATCTGCTCAGACCTTATTATTCTTTTCTTTTTTGATCAACAGCCGTGAGCTTGTTGTTTGCCTATCTTGAGGGCACGATGTCCACGGCGCTGGTGCAAGGTGGTACTGACAGACACCACAGGGGCCACAGCGTCTAGGGTTGTTACACCATGTCTGACCTGAATCTGGATCTTCTTTCTTGTCGGCTTTTTTCTCTCCGATGAGACGTAATTAACAAACATAAAATCCCCGCCCAAATGCAAGCCACACTAGACTGACATGGCATGCATGGTAATATTAGAGGGCGCCTTAAGCTCCCTTTGTAAATGGCGGATATACTAGTATACTGTAGAAGGCGCCGGAATGTAGTGGCCATGGGAAGATAAGCTCCGAAGGATAGGACCATTGCAACATCTACTACTATGTGTTTTAGTTTCTTCCTATCGCATGATTCTCCTTCGCCGCATTATCTCAATTGGAACAAAAATCAACAACAGATGGGCCGGTTTCTAGGGATCTCACGGTGTGGGTGCGAGTCTCCGACTATGCGTGTTTTCTCAGCATACCTTCCATTGATGGATGTGGGTACAGTACCGGTACAAGTGTATCTGGGAGAAGCGGTGTTTCTTCGTGACATAGTTCAGAGACAGACACGATCCAAGCAATGGCGCCCTTATACCATGAGATCTGATTGGCGCTAGTTGTTCGTAGTCGCGAAGGCGCGAAAGCGCGGAAAAATATTTGCCGCCTGATCTCATGATGATCCCCTCTCGCACGTTCCAGATACGGTCAAAGCTATGAGACTGATCCGGTTTCTTCATTCTTCTTCTCTTTCATTCATTTCGAATGCACACGCACATTCATCATCTTGTCCTCATCACCCAAACAACAACAACAACACTTTCCCGCCTTTACCTCAGAACAGCAACACAGACAGAAGCAAAACGCTCAATATTCACGTTTGCAAACACTTTCTACCTGAACATGTCGCCTACAAAGAGAAAAGCACAGGAGAAGGAGGACGGTACTGTCGACCACACATCGTCAGTCAAGCAGCTCAAGAAGCACGTATCCAACTACGCAGCCACGCCTATCATCCATGGATCAGGATCACATAGCAACATAGCAACAACAACCACCAAGGTCGTTGTCAAAGCGGAGGAAGAACACAACGGCCCGATCGTCACAAGAAACGCCCTCATGTGGTTCAGAAACGACCTCCGCATCCGCGACAACAAAGCCCTCTACGCCGCATCCATGCGCTCCAAAGTCGGTGGCACCGGCAACAACCACTTTCTCATCGCCCTCTACATCATCTCGGAAGAAGAGTGGGCAGAACATGATGAGGCGCCCGTCAAGATTGATTTCTGGATGCGCAACCTTGTAACTCTAAAAGCTTCTCTGGATAAGCTGGCGATCCCTCTGGTGGTCAAGACAGCTAGGAAGAAGACGGATGTTGTGAAGGTCGTGGAGGAGGTTGTGGAGGGGATGGGCGTTAGTCATGTGTTTTGGAGTCAGGAGTTGATGGTCGATGAGCGAAAGCGGGATCGGGTAGTTAGGGAGGCACTGGCGAGGAAGCATCCAAGTGTTTATGTGGAAGAGCATGAGGATCAGCTTGTCGTTCCTGCCGAGGATGTCCGCACAAAAGTACGTTGTCTTGAAGCTGTCGTCTTGTTTTAATAGACTCTTGGATAACCTGTTGAGACTAACTACACACATACTCCATTTGACGATTAGACGGGCAATCCGTATGCGGTTTTCACACCATTCTACAACACTTGGTGCAAACTAGTCGAGACCGAGTCTCACTACCTCGAAATTACCGAGATGTCAGACGCCAACCCACTCAAAGCCAAGGAGATCTATGTAGAGTACTTCAAGGCAAAGCCTCCATCATCTCACCCTCACCCATTGGATGTCGACGAGATGAAGCGCCGGTACCCTGCAGGAGAAGACGAAGCCCACGCGAGATTGGATAAGTTTGTCCAAGAAAAGGCGAAAAAATATCACCAGGGACGCGATGTGCCACATCAGGATGGCACCAGTATGTTAAGCCCATACTTGAACGCGGGAGTGCTGTCAACTCGACAGTGTATCGTCGCTGCTCGGATTGCCAACAAAAACAAGATCCAGAGTGGAGACGATGGACTCAAGACCTGGATTAAGGAGCTAGGCTGGAGGGTATGTCTCCTCGATTGGATGTTAAGGGTGCTTTATGATCGTAGGTTTTGTGCTTTTTCCTTCGTTGACGGGTCTTTTTTTATTTCGCTGAAAGGAGTTCTATAGGCATATATTGGTGGCGTTTCCAAGGGTATGTATGAGCCGTGCCTTCCAACCAAAGACGGAGCGAGTGCAATGGACCGATAACAACGAGCACTTTCAGCGGTGGACTGAAGGAAAGACCGGCTTCCCCATCGTCGATGCAGGCAAGTGCCATTTTCCTCTTACAGTTTTTCATTTTTCATGTTATTGTTCCTCCTTTCTCTAACTAGCTGACTTTTGCGTATTGCACGTTGTAGGAATGAGACAGTTGAAGGCAACGGGATACATGCACAACCGCCTGCGAATGATCGTGGCCTGCTTCCTTGTGAAGGATCTTCTCATCAACTGGCAACAAGGCGAGAAATACTTTATGAACAACTTGATCGATGGCGATCTTGCCTCCAACAATGGAGGTTGGCAATGGGTAAGTTCAGAAGTAAGGGAGGGAAATCAAGATGCCATGTTTTCGTATACTTTATAGCCATGTCCATAAGAAGAGAGTTAGAGTGAGAGAAAAGTAATTATTTTTACGTCGTCTTCTTATGTGCGTGCGTGATATTTTAGAGTGCATCGACGGGAACGGACAGTCAGCCATACTTTCGCGTGTTCAACCCACTGCTGCAGTCGCAACGGTACGATCCCAAGGGCGAGTACATCCGCAGATGGGTTCCCGAGCTCAAGTCGTTGACGGACAAGCAGATCCATGATCCCTCCCAGGCGCTCTCTCCCAAGGACTTTGCCAAACTCGGGTAAGTGAAAAGAGAGGTGACTATTCCCGTATGGCGTGTTTTCTTTTGTTGAATGGATATAGACTGATATGATATTTTTTTATGTTCTATGTTCTATGTTCTATGTACGCTGTGGTGGTACATGGACGTTTGTCGATCGACTGGATGGAAATATATTATAGGTATTCAAAGCCGATTGTGGAGCATGCGAAGGCCAAGGCTAGGTATCTCGAAGAGTTCAAGCGAGCGCTTGGCCTTTCCTAAGTGGACGCAAAAAGAAGACCCGAAATCCAAAAAAATCCAGTTTTGTTTTCTTCCATGTGTGTGCCTCCCGTTTTGTTTGTGTGTGTGTTGGCTTCTATGTTTATGTGTGTGTGTCGTGGCAGTGGCAGATCAAAAGCAAACAAAAGTTGTTGGGGTAAAAGAGTGAGAAAAACACAACAAGGTTCGCGTGGCGAGCTAAGGACCGCGGAAGGGGATACCTAACACTTGAAAAGGGATCTTTGGCCAATCACATCCGTCCAGAGACACGCCCGCAAACAAGAATGCACGCGATATTCTCTTACGGGGTGTCCCTTCCTTTCATGTGCAGTTGGTTGAACGAAGCGAATGAGGCCTCAACGGGAGGGAGGGAAGGTGATGGATACACGAAGGAATAGAGGCAGTAGTGTGTGGATAGTTCAATTGCTTGTAGGAAGGAGGTACCATGCAAAAAATAAATAAAATGAGAGAAAGGGGAGCCATGACGATCGAATGTGTGCCCCCACCCCCATTTTTTGTGTATATGTCCGCCAATGTGGCTGTCAGCACGTACAGGTACAAAGCAGGTTTTCTATTTCCCTATCAGAATAATCGAAGCACGAGCTCGTCAGAGCACCAAAGGAAATCGGTGGACAAGCCAGGGCCAGGCACGAGGAGCACGAGCAATTGAAGGCTCCCCTTCCTGTCCCTGTCCCCTGACCCTTTGTCCTCCCTCTCCAACCGCTTGTTTTCCTTCTTCGATTTCCTTTCACTTGTTTGCTTGCTCGTCTGCTTGGCCATAGATCTCTTTGGAAGCTAATCGAAATCCCCCTCTCTTTCGTTTTTGTTCATTGCCTCGGCTCTCATTCCTTCATTCCTTCATTCCTTTTTCCAGGTTCCCTCTCGTTCCTTCTTTCTTCTTTCTTTTCTTTTTTTTTTCTTTTTTTTTTTTTTTTTTCTTTCCTTTCCTGGTTGTTCATTCCTCACCTCTTTTTGTCCTTTTCTTTTCCCGCCCTTCCCTCCTTCTCTCTCAAGAAACGAAAAAAGGAATGGAATTCGAGATTCGCAACAGGAAGACAACAACCGTCGAGTCCGTCGTCGACAATGGCGTCTCCACCGCCAACAGACTCCACGCCTCTGCCACTCCCTCAAACAACGATAACAGCGGGACCCGCGACTCGTCTGAGGATTTGTCGTTGAACCACTCCCTGTCGGACTCTCAGAAGCAGAGCCTTGCCAAGGAGCAGGAGGAGGCTGCCTTTGGCAAGACCCCCAACGGAACCAGTATGTCTCTCCACCTTCCTTTTTCCTCTTATCATTTTGCTTATTGTTGCTAGTTCCTTTGTGTTTGCTTGTTCAATTGAACAAACGATAGCACGAGCATGCACGAAGCATGCCCTCGTTCACCCAGGGACAGGACTCTATCTGCGTTGTCTCGGGATCTCGTTTTCCTTTTGGTTTTTCAAAGTACACACACGGACAACGATATAAGAATCGAATCTCACACCTCCTCTCTCTCTTTCTCCACTCCCCTTCTTTCACCTTTTCCATCTCTCTCTCTCTCCCAAATGACCTCTTACCATAGTCTTCAGAGTCCCTGTGACAAAGGATATGTTGTCCGAGATCTTTGACATGAGCAAGAAAAAGTCGGCCTTCGATATCATGACCCTTGCCGTCATGGGCTTCCAGATCTTCCTCTTCTTCACCCTCCCTACCTCAGTCAAGCGGTGGCTGTTCTTGGTCCTGTTCGTGTTCTGGAGAGCAGGCTATAATGCGGGATTGGGTTACCTCTTGAAGCTGCAGAGTGAGCGCAGAGGTCTGGTTGCTTGGGCCAAGGAGAAGGGGATCTTTGACAAGAAGAGTGGTAGTCCCTGGTATGACTGGCTCAACCGGGAGCTCACCTGCAAGATGGACTCTGACTACGACTTTGAGGTAAAGTAAAAAAAAAAAAGTACTTTATTGTTATCAAGAGTATTGAAGCTTGAGTACCATTGTCGAATACTAACAATCAACAAAACACCGGTGCCCAATGCGAACTCTCTATAAAATAGACGGCGCCAATCGAATTCAACACTTGGTTGTTGTACCGCCAGTTGGTGGATCTGATCTTGATGAACGATTTCACGACGTATGTGTGCTTTGCGCTATCGTGGTTGACCTTCCCCGCCGGATCGGGTTTCTTTAGCCACCTCTTGCGCTGGATCGCCGGTTTCATCCTTGTCTCCTTCAACATCTGGGTCAAGCTCGATGCCCACCGCGTCGTCAAGGACTTTGCCTGGTGTAAGTCGCTCTCCTTTGTTTTCATCATCATCATCATACATCATTTGTTTGTTCGTTTTGTTATCTGAAGTGAATGTTCAGGAGTGACAAGATGGACTGGGCATGGAAAAACAAGATCTCAGCGCACGCACGGCAAATAACGCAGGTTTTTTTGTTGCTGTTTTGCGTTGGGGTGAGTTGCGAGAGTTTGAATGAGAAAGAGGAACAAGAGAGCCACTAAAGAAGGAAGAAAAGAAGGCAGGGTTTTACGCTTGATAAACATGAGATTCGATTCCTGCTCACTTTTAAATGTGCATATTATGATATGTGCGGGTGTGTACCTGTCCCCTGCTTTTTTTTTTCTTCTTGGTTGTTCCCGCCAGCATTCATATGTTCTTCAACAAAAAAAAAAACTAACCCCACACCTTCACACGATTCAAACTCCTCCCTCCTCTTTCATGTCCTTGGGTAACATAGACTGGGGCGACTTTTTCTTCTTGATCGAACAGTCGCTGACGTTCGATGGTGTCTTCGAGATGGCACCCCACCCCATGTACTCCGTCGGATATGCGGGTTACTATGGTATCTCGCTCATGATGGCTTCCTACATGGTCCTCTTTGTCTCCCTCGCTGCCCATGCCGCCCAATTCGTCTTCCTCACCATCGTCGAGAACCCCCGTAAGTTCCTCATCTCTATTTTCTTGGAACACTTGCAAATTGAGAACAGGAAGAACAGAGAACCGTTGTACTGACAAAGGCGTCCTGAAAATTGTAGATATCGACAAGACGTACAACCCTCCTACGGTTCACAAGAAGCGTGCTTCAGCCGCCAACAGCACCGCCCCCGGTACCCCCATCCTCTCTGCATCAGATGTCACTGCCACTCCCGCAGTTGCACCGATCGACCAGGCCGCAACATTGGTTCCTTGCGGATCCAAGGACATGTACAACACCTACTTCCGTCGGGATCTGATCGTCTTCAAGAACTTTGACATCTTCCGCTCCAACGACATCTTTGTCGCCCTCATCATCTTCTACGCCACCGTCGCTCCCCTCCTCGTCTCCAACACCGGCCCCCGGTTCTTGACCTTCGTGATGGTCATCCAGGCTTTCCTCTGGAGAATCTTCCATTCGTATGTCTTGGGAGCTGTGTTGAAGCAGCAGAGTGTCAACAAGTTCTATACCAAGCATTTCATCAAGCACGGAGGAACCGTCCAGGATGCCTTCCAGAGCTGGAAGAGTATTTTTAACCTGTCCAACTCGATGACCTATGCGACGTTTTTCCTTGCAGCCTTCAAGATGTACTCGATCCCTGATGACTGGACTTATGGAACTGTGTTGTTGAGACACGTTCTTGGGTTGGCGTTGATTGCATTGCATATCTGGGCTTCTGTCTCGGTCTTTGAGGTCCTTGGTGACTTTGGATGGTTCTATGGCGATTTCTTTATTGAGGATTCTTCCTCTGGTCTCTTTTACACCGGCATCTATCGGTAAGCGAATGGTTGTTTTGTTAATCCATTTTTGTTAGTTGTTTGTTGGTGAATGCTTCGAATAACTAACCCACTATTTACACCCCTCCACCCTCCTTTTTATGCTTCCAAACAGATTCGTGAACAACCCTGAGAAGGTGATGGGCCACGCAGCATTCTGGGGCATGACACTGATCTGCAACAGCTGGTCAATCTTTATCCTCGCCATGTTCTCCCAAGTCTCCAACTTTGTCTTCCTCCACTACGTCGAGTCCCCCCACATGCGCAAGATCTACGGCGACAAGGTCCGCAAGGACGCCGGAGTGGTCAAGACCGTCAAGGCCGCCCAGATCCTCCCCAAGAACCTCAAGAACGAAGTTGTCTCCAAGATCCGCGAAAAGATTGAAGAAACGCCCGAGATCAAGGATGTGTTGCAGAGGACGAGGGAGGTGTCGGAGAAGGCACAGGATTTTGTGGAGGGTACACGGGGCGATTTGAATGAGTTGGTTCAGAGTGTTGCGCCGAGGTTGCAGGAGATGGTGACGAGTTCCAAGGCGTTTTTGGAGTCGAGTAGTGAAAAGTTGATTGTTGCCAGGACTTGGGAAGATATGGGGGTGTATGATATGTCGCAGTACTCGATCAAGGTTGTCGACTCTTTGGCGAGCCAGGACGAGAACGGTGTTCCTACGTACGAGCTTGGACAACAGTTGACGGTCGAATGGACGGCGCCTTTGAACCATGGCACCAAAGACTGGATCGGGATCTACAAGACCTCTTCCAACAACTCGACAAAGGTCACGACCGTCGCTTCCAAGAACCGGTACCTCTATGTCGGCAAGGATTTGGGACTGGGCGAGGCTCTGGAGGGTGTTGAGAACCATGCGGGCATGGGCGATGGTGAGGTGATTGAGGAGGAGGTTGTCCGGATTGATGACAAGGAGTTGTGTAAGGGACGTGTTGTGTTTGTGGGAGACAAGTTGCCCTGGTTCCAGGGTACTTTTGAGTTCCGGTACCACCATCATGGACGGTACAACGTCATGGTCCACACCACCCCCTTCAAGATCGCCCGTAAGTTATTCTTTTTGTGATGTTGAAAATCTGTTCATGCTGCCCTTTTTTTTCTTCAAAGAAATGATCTTTGTTTTCCTAACTGCCTACCCTCCTTGATTTCCCATGCAATTTCAATAGTGTCGAGCCTTCAGGGAGAAGCCGAACACTCAGTCGCATCCATCAGCCAATCCCTCCTCCCCTACGTCCAACGCTGCTACAACTCTGACGAAGAAACCATGCCCTGCACGGTCGACGAGCGGTTCATCATGATCAACGAGCAGATCGCAGAACGGATCGTCAAGGGGATCCAACTCATGTACGGGATCGAGTTTGCATGGGAAGTTGTTTCTCTGGATATGTCGTGTTTGCATTTGGCCTTGAGGATCTTTACCGCTACTAGGGCTTTGGCACCGTTCTCAAAAGTCGTTCCCCAAGGTCATGCTGTGGGACAGCCTCAGTTTGCGGCCTTCCCCGAACCGAGCTTGGTCGCTTCTGTTGCTGCCGCCTTGTAAATCAAACTACAAAAAATCAACTTCTACCCCCGCCCCTTTGTTTTCTATCCCCCCTCCCCCTACCACCACCCCCCACTTTTTTTTTCAGTTGTAGATAAGATCCTTTCGTGTTTTTAAAAAAAAGATAGACAGTTGGTAATGCACATCAACATGCCCCCCCCCCCCCAGTACTAAAAAAAAATATCAACAAAAAAACACGTCGTTTGATATCATTTTTTTCATGTTTAATTTTTTTTTGTATGGGTAATTAATCCATGCAACACCTCTTCTCCATTGTACCTCAGCTACTACGCCTTTCTTTTTTTCTTTCAAGGCGATCCTGGCCCACCACCATAAGACCCTTGATGCTGATGTCCCTGATGATGTCCTTGAGGCTGCTGTTGCTGCTGCTGGTGTCCTTGTCCCTGGTGGTGGTGACGTTGCGTGTTAGCATTGGCAGCAGCGGCGGCAGCAGAGGCCGCAGGAGTACACCAGTACCTCACACGATTATCATCTCCACAGCTAATGACCGCATTCTCGACCGGCGATGCAGCCACAGACCGGATCAACCCCTGATGTCCTGCATACCGCTTGACCAGGCTTCCTGAACGCGAGTCCCAGCAGACGATCGTGTTGTTGGATTCGTCAGAACTGAAGACAAAGTCTTCGTTGTATGAGAATACCGTTGATTGCTTCTCCATCTATTTCATATTCGTTGGTTAAAAAAAAAAAAAAGAAAGTCAAGGATTGGGTTAGGTGTTGAAAAAAAAAAAAAAAAAAAAGCTGTGTTCCCTTTGTATAACAACCAACAACCAACTAACAAAAAAAAACATTACCTTCTGAGTAGCACCCAAGAAGTTATGGATCAACTTTCCACTTCCCAAATCCCACAACTTCCTAGACGAATCCATCCCTCCACTCAAGATATACCTCCCATTCTTTGAGATGGTAGCACTCGTCACTCCCGAGAACTCCCTTCCCTTCCCGCTATGCGCACCCTCAATCGTCCTCACCACCTTGCCCGAAATCGCATCCCAGACTTTAATCGACCCATCCTGTGACGCACTGATAAAAACCGATCCCGTCGGTGCATATTCAATATGATTGATCCCTCCACGATGAGGACCCTGTTGTTGGACTTGGTGTTGATGTTGTGCCGCTGCTGCCGACGCTGCAGAATCATCGTTGCCAGACTGGCGGTTGGTGGGCGGTGGGGGTGGGGCAGTGAAGGCTTTGGGTGTGAAGCATTGGAGAGTTTTGACGTCGTAGATTCGGACGGTTTCTGATTCAGATCCGACAAGGAGGAAGTCGCCTGAAGGGTGGAATGATACCGAGGTGATCGGGTGAGAGTCCTATTAGGAAGCCATGTGTACGAGATTAGAAAAGAGGGTCAATACAGGACAAGCTTGAGAGGGGGGTTTTTTTTGGAACAAATAAAAGTAAAAAACTGCAAGGCGTACCTGGAGGTAGCGGAAGGAGCGCTTGACGGAAGGCTTGGAGAGATCGTAAAGCTTGACGACAGTGTCTGAACTGGCCGCGAGGACGAGGCCGTTAGGATGGAAATCGCAATCCGTCACAGGCTAACAATACAAAAAAAAAAAAAAAAAATAGCAGCAAAAAAAAAAAGAAGGAAGACCGTTAGTTCCGCAGAATAATCCCGTTTTCCCAATTATTCTTCAACCTCCTCAGTCTTCTCTCAAATCCTCAGAAACCCCCCCCTCCTCCCTTCCTTCATCTGTGCCACCAAAAAAACAAACAAACAGCAGCAGCTCAAAATAACCAAATCCTCCAAGTACATCCTCGATGAGATCCTTACGGTGGTATGGTCATAAAGAGTGCGAATCACCGGATGAACATCGTTGCCGCCATCATGATCAACGAGCTTCATTTTATTCACGTCCAAGATCTTGAGCGATGTATCTGCGCTTCCGGAAGCCGCATACCGCCCGTCTTTACTGAACGTCGTACAGGTCACCGATTCCTTGTGTGTCGTCGTGTAAACCGTCTTCAGGTTGGGACCTTTGGTCCGGTGGCTCGATTTCGGGTCCATGTCCAGGTTGAGACGGGTCATGACCGGACGTTTTCCTCCTTTTGTTTTGGTGTTGGTGTCGGCGTCGGTGTTGGTGTCCCCGCCTTCAGAGGGTCCTGTTGGTGCTCCTGCGGTGGCGTCCTGCATTTCCTCGTCATCGTCATCGTCGTCATCGTCATCTTCTTCTTCCATTGCACCGGAGGCGGCTCCTTGTTGGAGTTTGGTGTGGTCTGTCGGCTCAATCTCCACCGATTCCTCTATGGATACCAGGTTATGTACAACGTATGTTAGTACATTCAAGCGAGTTGACCACTTTGTTCAGCAGCAGTAAGTCGATTGGTGATGTTGTCGTTTACCTTGTGCGATAAAGAGCATCTCACTGAGACGTGGACTAGGCTTAATCGTCACAGAGGTATGAGTTTGTTCGGCGACCACCTGTGCCAACTACAACAAGTTCAAGAGAAAGAAAAACAAAAAAAAGGTCAGTTATATCTCTGAGATTTGCCGAAGTTATGGTAGCCAAGTCGAACAAAAAGTCTCCTCTACTTACCTGTGCATAACCATACTCGGCAAGTTGGCTAAGTGTAACGAGAAAGTGTGAAAGAAAAACGTTAACGAATGAGGTAAACGCGAAGAACGACGAATGCATGTGCACTGGCAAGTGTGCAATTGGGCGAAATGATAAGCTGAGTGTGGCGAGAGTGGTTATACCTGACGATCAGAGGCAGGACATCCTCCTGCCGCATCTGGCTGAGTTCAGACATGGTGTTTTGTGCGGTTGTGTTGGTTGTGTCGAAAAAGTCAATGTATGAAGTGAGCAAAGGAAAACGATGTGTGAAATAAGAAAAGATCAAGTCAGTCCAGTCATGCAGTCGAGACCTACCGCCACCACGAGAAGAAAAAAATGTCTAAGCCCCCGTTTCTAGAAGAAAAGAATTAATCATACGCGCCAAAAGGTTATGATGGACACAGGAGAGAACAAAAATGCGCGTTTCTTTTATTATTATGTTGAATGAGTAAAGGCGTCAACTCGCTCCTCATTAAAGAGAGAAGGATCCCGAATCGACTCCGTTCTGATACCGCAAAACACCCTCCTCCGCATCGGGTATGCTTCCTATGTACACTGACCCACCGCCACTCGTCGTCGTCGTTGATGTTGAGTGGCTATTCTCCATCACCATAAACGCATCCACCCCGTGGCTCTTCTGGATCTGCACCTGCGCCGGATCCTTGTTACCAACTCCAAAACTAGACAGGATCAATCCTGACTCCTTGATATGTGTAATAAGACTAGGCACTTGGATCTAATATAAACAGGAAACGAACGCGTTTAGCATACGAACGAATAAAATGAGTTATTCAGATCATGTACAATTACAATATCATATCGCGTCAACGTACCAGGGGTGTAGCTTCGCAGATGACTCCGAGAAGGTTGTTGCTACGGGCAAACTTGACAGCCTCCTTGATCGATGTGCACCGCTTGTCGTCCTCATGGAACTCGGGATCACTCGCGCTCGTTGTCACTGAGACTGCCGACGATCTCGCCAACAACGGAGATCCTGCTCCACTGGATGTTGTAGGAGATGTCACAGACGATACACTGATTGAGGCTGTCAGACTAGGGAATGGCGCTGCTGCAGATCCATGCTTGGGCGAGGGGAGCGACTCGGGGTCAATGGGTTCCTTGCGCTTCAAGCCAACCATTGTCGATCCCTCTGTCGATCGATACGCTATCGCCCGCCCCTTGTTATATCCACAGTACGTGCTGAAGAATACCGCATCTATTATTGTTTATGAAAAATGTCGTTAGTTCCAAGTATTCGCCAAGAGTGGAACCGGTTCGACAGGTCATAAGCGAGCACTTACAGTTAGGCTGCTTCCAGTTAACGGCGGAGCAGATGACGGGGTTGAAGGACGATATCATAAAGCTGCGGTGGTGGGTGGCCGAAGAAGAGTCGTAAACAGTCTGCAGAATAGTGTCCACAAACTTGTTCACCTCTGCGCTGTTCGTCAGACGATAGTGCGCCCTCTCCGACAATGTTGGATACTTCAGCTCCAGGTTCACTCCGATGTGCTTGGGAAGAATCTATCAAAACATGAAAGAAGAGTATAAAGATGATGAGTCAACCTAGTGCATTAAGAACGAACCATCCACCATCAAACAACAAGTAAAGTAGAAACGCAGATTACCTTCAGGACTTGCTCCAGGCTCATCCATCGCTCATACACCTTGCGTCTCCATTCGCCACTGCGCCAGCTGCTGGTATTGCATGAGCTGATGTTATCTAGATCATCTCCTGCCGCCTTCTGATGGACAAGCTCGCCAAACTTCTTGAACTGACTAAAAGTCACGTCCGAAAGAGCAAGGTCAAAACCCTCAACCGGCAAGTGCCAGTTTGCAAACACGACTGGCACGAAATCCCGCGTCAACTGAACAGAAAGCTGAATGTACTCGCCAGACAATGAAGAAGCCGTGATAAACGAAGGGATCATGTTGCCGACCAGCAACGACTGCGATGTCGAATGAGGTAATGCGCTTCCCGAGGTCGAAGTGCTGACAGGCATGACCGAAGGCGTTCCCACAAGAGGAGTTGTTGCAGCCGAGATGGTCGAGTCAATGCTGTTGGTCGATTTCCAGTATGTCTCAACGCGACCTCCAACCTCAAGTCGCACGCCCTGGAATGGCCTGACAACCGAATACTCAAACGCGAGCTCACCAACCACCTTCAAATGGGCATCGAATAGGGGCAAGACTCCATTGCCCATGGAGGACTCCAAAGACGAGAACGTGCTTGGGAGTGCAACTGCTCGACCAATGGCCTTGGATCCAAAAGTGGGGAAAATATCAAACTCAACTGTGAAGTGCTCGAGCGAGTCCACTTGGAACCCAAAGACCTCTCTGTCGTCACCCAAGGGGAGGATGACGTTGTGGGGAATCATGCCGTTGTCAGGTCGCGAGGAGATGATGAGCTTCAGAGATGAGATCTGAGCTGTGCCATACAAATGCACAGGGCCGTGGCGAGAGCTCGACTTTTCCTGGCTGCCGTGCTCACGGTAGTTGGGATGACCAAGAGTCAAGTTGATTTGGTACTTTTTGTCGAGGTAATTGTGTCCATAGATCCGGAAGGGGATGATGGGTGGGGGCAGAGAAAGGGAAGGAATGAAGTCCATGTCGAGGTCATCCATGCTGGGAGGGCTGGACAAGACTCCTGATGCTGGGAGAGCAGAGTCGGCAATCGAGATAGTTGACGAGGCGATCGCGCTGGTGCCCGTCAATGGGGCTAGTATGTCCATTGAGGTATCCTCGCTTGCCGACGCCTTGCCCTCGATCTTTCCGCCGGCCTCAACCAACAACTCGACGCAGTCGGCATGTCCTTCACTGGCAGCATAGTAAATGGGCGTCTTTCCGAGCTCGTCCACCACATTGACATTGCATCCAGCCTCCAGCAAAATCTTGACGCATTCGACGTGTCCCTCACTGGCGGCATAGAACAATGGAGTCCAGCACATGTACTTGTCCTCCTGGTCCAAACGAGCGCCACGAGTCGTCAATGTCTTTGCCAGTCGAGTATGACCCTCTCTGCAGGTGATGTGCAGGGGTTCCAGTCCATCGGCGTTGCAGGCAATAACGTTGGCTCCACGTCCGATCAGCATCATGGCGATATCCTCGTGCCCATAGTGACAAGCGAGACTGAGAGGGATGGGATCGCCCTCCTGGCTAGCTTCAATCTCGACATTATTTGCCAAAAAGATCTCGACGCACTTGGTATGGCCATTCATAATCGAGTAAATAAGCGGCCGGAATCCGTCGTGGTCCGTAGCCTCCATGGACGCCTTCATTGACAGCAGGTAGGTGGCACAGTCGGCATGACCGTACATCGAAACGTAGTGCAGGGGTCTCCTTCCATAGACATCAGTGCACTCGGGACTAACGCCATTCTCAACGCCCAACTTCAGCAACGAGAGTCTCCCAACCATGGCCGCCTCATGAAGACATGTCCTGTCGCTGATGTCGTCCACGAACTTGAAGTTGATGAGTCTGGTCTTGACGAGTTGCTGAATGACAGCATCTGAGGTCGTCGTCTCGGAGCAGCATCTCCAGAACACCCGTGAGACAACCTCGCGAGCATTCTCCAAACCGATCTGGTTGCTATTGTTGTTGGCGTTACTAGTGTTGGTCGTGGTAGTGTTGGCGGAATTGTTGAGTGAGGACTCGGCCGAGACAGAGCTATTTTGAAGAGCCGAGGGAGTCGCCAGACGCCTATCCAGAATCTCCTGAACCAAAGATGATTGGTTGGTGGTCAGGGCATTGAAAAGGTCGGTCTCGAGCTCGTCCATCTGCTGTTGGACTGGGGACGAGATGATCCTGATGCCAGTTGCTGGAGACGATTTGGTAGTGATAGGGCTAGAAGGTGCGGAGGAAGACCGGTTGTTGCCCTGTTGAATGTTTTCAAGTCCGAGGAGATGGTAGGCGGCGTTGTCGGCCAATTCGACCATGGCATCCTGGTTGAAGCAAGGCTGGAGTTCGACCTGGCGAGACAGATAGAGCTCCTTGGTGCTGGATTTCGACCGCTTGTCCCACTTTTTCAAGATCTTTCGGAATCCAGTGCCGTTTGTCTCGACGAATTTCTAGTCCCGACAATGAATGTTGATAAGCGGTTAGTGTGCGTTTTTTTTCAATTGTCCATTCAGTTGAAAAGGTCATCGGTAGACCCGGTGTGTATCCTCTTGGACACTTTGATAGTTTGTAGAAAAGCATATGATTATCGCGATAAAAGTTGTCATATCGTTTTCTTACCTGGAGTTTGTTAAGATCCTGTTCGAATTGACGGAAGGCCTCCTTGAGCGAATTGATAGAAGAGCTGGTCCCTGGTCGCCCTTGGCGTGAGAGAATGACCTTTTCCTTGTCAATCAAAGACCGCAGCCGGACTTTGAGCTCTGATTCCTTCTGCAAGTAGAACGTATTGACCTAAGATAGAAAAAAGGAAGAAAAAAAGGCAGGCATAATCCCCGATGGACCCGTGTGAGTTGGCGGTTGAAAAAAAAAAAAAGAGGTCGATGCGGGGTCACGTCGGGCGGGAGCATATTCCAAGAAGTTCAATCCGGCTTTTCCTTTGAATGTCCAAGGTGGTTAAGGGAGATAGGATGTCCTTTGGAGAGGCGGCTTCCTGAGTGTTTAATCCGACTTTTTTTTCTTCGAATGTCCAAGATGATTGCGAGAGGTAGATGGATAGCATTGAAGACCTAGCCTCCAGTAGAAGGATCAATTGGTTTATCGACTTGTCGCCTATCGCATATCGGTGTTGATGATTTTTGCTTTGCTTGCTTGCATTGTACCTTTTCCAGTTCACGTTCCAGTTTGAAGAAGAAAGCGGCCTTTTGAGACTGCAAGAACTTGGAGTATTCATCCTCTGGAACGATGGGGGATGATCCTGGAGGTGGCGAGGCGGCGATGGTGACGGAGATCTGGGCCTTTTCCTGAATAAGTGAGTTGATAATCTTCTTGAGACCCTTGTAGCTCATGTAGTGGTTCTGCCATTCCGTGATCTGTTGGAACTGAATCTGCTTTCCGAACTATTTGTGGAGGCGTGTTATGTTGAAGAGGTTCATGGTGAGTATCATTGTGTTTATCTCTGGAAAATCAAGGGTATAATAAGGGTAGGCGTGGTTGGCGAATGATACCTTCATGGTGGGCTATGGGTATGTGTGCGCTTGTGGGGTGTAGGTGAAAAGTGTGAGTCGACACCGCGGGCGACCTTGGACGAGTAAATGGCGAGGAAGTGGTGAGGTGGGCAGCGATGAGGCAGTGAGCAACGGGGGAGATGCGCGATTGCGGTGGAGTAAGCGTGAGCAGATGGCAAGGGGAAGAGGGAAGTGCCAATCAGTGAAAGCAGAAAAGAAAAGTAGAAGAAAAAGAAGAAAGACGTGTGAATAGAAAGAAGGTAGGAAGCGAAGGTGAAGGGAGGGAAGAGTCACGTTGACATGGTCAAGAGAGGAAAGGAATGGAAACAGCAAAAGTAGAGGAAGATGGGGGTGACAGAAAAAGGAGACCAAGAAGAAAAAACAACAACAATAAACAAGCAAGCCCACCCACGCCTCCTTCTCTCTCTCCCTCTCTCTCTCTCTTTCTCTCTCCCTCTCCCTCCCTCTTGCCTCCTGTGTCCCTTGTCCACTGCAACGGACATCATATCCCCCACCGCGATTGTGAGCCCTCTTGTCGTCTGGTCTCCTCACTTTTCCTTGGAGGAGAAAAAAAAAGAACCTTTGTCCAGCTTTGTTCGCCTTGTCCTGTCCTGTGGGCGCATCTCAGTCAACAACGTGCTCCCATCGCGCCCTGTCACTGACCCAAACTTTACTCATGGTCTTCCCTTCTTAGAGTGAACGAGAACCAACCCTTCTTTTATTCCTTCATACAACAACAAACACCCCTTTTCTTCTTCCACGCTACTCACCACCTCGCATCGCATCGCCTCTCCTCTCTCTCTCCCTCCACCTCCGACTCCCAGCCCGCGTTTCCCGCCTCCCCCGGATATCCTTTTGAGTCGGACACATGTATCACGTGCATTACAACAGTTAGTGGCGTCAATTGATCACCGGCCTGGACCGCTCATCAAAAAAAATGTGTAAAAAACCAGTGTGGAAAAAGACGCGAACCTACAAGTCGCTCCTGCTGTGCTAATCCCGATGTCGCTCAAGTAGCAAGTGTCCAGTAGTATTTTGGTTGGTCATACATAGGATAACCTGATGTTTGGATCACTGGGGGAAAAGAACAAACTATGCCGCGACCCAGAACAGGCCAATGGACATAACACCCATTATTACATACACGGCTCCATAGTAGGTAGCCTTACTGGCACATGCACCCACCCCAGAGCCACATTAACACTCACCATCTCTTAGTCGCCATAGGGAGGATATTTTCCCTTTCTATTCAGTTTCAGGGTCCATGAAAGACAAAAGAAAGGAAAAAAGAAAGAAGGCCAATAGTGACGACTTATGCCACATGGCCCAAGGGCTGCTGAGTCGGGCTCCCCTCCGGAACTGAACCCCTTCTTATTTTTCCGACTCTCTATAGTGGCCAGCTCCCCCGTCAGTGAGGTCGCTGACGGGATATCTGGCCAGAGTGTGTTCCACAATGTAAATAAAGCGAGATAGTGCTCCAAGGTCATGGCAGCCAAGTGGTGACCGGACTCCTTGCAGACCAGCTCCATCGACACATCCCTTGTTTGTCCTTTCCCCTTCACCTTATTTCGTTATAGACATTCATCCAAACCCTCAGTAACCCTGATACAGCTCAATTTGCCTTTGCAGCCGTCCGCGTAGCAAGGTTATTGTTTCTTGAAGGCATTAAAACGGCTACATCGTCGTTGGCGTTAATGAGTATTACACTTCGAAGAAATGCCCATTGTGCTATGAATTCGTATGCAAGTCAACCTACGGCGGCTCTATTGCCCGAGGTATAAAAACTACATACACCGCGACCTCATAGCTGCACACGATATGTGCAGTATGGCCCAGTGCTACCTCCTGCATCAACAGCGTCCACTTTATCTCCAGCCTGTTGATGAAGATGGACGCTATCCGTGGATGAAGGAGGACAGCGACCCTATCAGCCTTGCGGACGATCGAGTCTTCAAGAGGAGAGCCACTACGGATTGAATCGATCCCTGTCCCGCCATGAAGGGCGCGTAGTCTAGACTTTTTTTTTCATAGACCAGGATGTGTATTAGTAGATACATTGGTCGAGTTCCGGTCCGGGAGGGTGTATGAGGATGACTTTCAGGTACCGTACTTGTGAAGGCGAGTTTCTCAGTTTCAGTCAAAATGCGAGGATCAGTGTCTGATACGATATCTCGGCAGCTATCAGTGATCATTAGCTTTCGCTTTCTTTGAGGGTCGCTGTGTTCTCGATCTTTGACAACCAAAAACGTTGCGAGTTGAGGCTGTTCTCAAAGCTCAAAGCCCAAAGCTATAGCATTACTGCAATTAAAGGATATCTCTTTATTTTCAGTCTTTGAAGTGAAAGTAGCATGGTGACAAGAAAAACATGCGCGAAGAGGAACTATCAGAACCGGGAGTATACATTTAGATACTGACGTGCTTGAAAGTAAGAGGGGGGGGGGGGGGGGGGGGAAAAAGGCAACTAGGATCCATGTTGAATCTGATGCTTGCGCCTGCGTGAGGGTGGATATGATACTGGACGTGCTTCCGTACGAGACTACAACGTCGAACGGAGACCTTTGTAGTCCTCGTTCAAGTACGCATGCGTTTCTTCATTCTCCACAGAAAGTACGTTCACTTTCTGACACATGCAAAAAAGGACTTCTGGTAGATTACCGCCAAAAAAGAAAATACATGCTTCGATCCAATTGGTCAATGCGTGGGTTGTGGGTTGGGTTGGTCTAAGGAAGCGTGGCTATGAACCTTCAGTAAACGCTAGCATCAATTGATAAAAAAGGGCCGGTTTGAATGGATTCTCAGAGCCAACGAGTACGTCTTTTTTCGCAAATGGTCATATTTTATTCTCTATATGTTTGTAAGTGGGTCTGTGAATAGCATCTTCAAAAGTAGGCGGGGGATGACGCCTGTCATGACCCGTTGAGAGGCCGTCATTAGGTGTGGAAAAGAAAAAAAAAAGAAAAAAGAAAAGGGAGAAAGCAAGTTGACGAGAGCTTGTCGCTTTCTGATTGGACGATGGAGAATTGAATAGTGTCCATTATGGAGGGAGAGAGGAGGGAACAAGAAGGAACGAAAGAAAAAGACGACACACTGTAGTAGGAAAAAAGAAGAATGAATGTATTGTTACAAAAGGTTGTATCCATGAATCCATGGCTCTTTAGGCGACGGTGTTCATGTAACGGGGATCCTTCCATGGGCCAGGCTCGCCTGTTTGGCATCCTCCGGCGCACTCGCAAGTACCACCAATGACCTTGGGGAGGTTGGCGGCATCGATATCCTGCAAAAGTGTTGACTGGTAGTTGCTGCCCAAGATAACAATCTTCTTGACGGTGACCTCGTCGAGGAGAGGCTTGACCATGCCCCAGACGGATGTGAACATCATGGGGGCGTTGATGACGTACATCTTGCCCATCATCTCGGGGTAGTAGTTCTGGGCAATGGCGGAGGTGCGCTTAATGAATCCGAAGGCGTTGGCGAACTGACGGAGGGAGACACCCTTGAGGTCGAGGATGGTGCAGCACTGCTCGATGTGGCGGCCAGCGAGCTTTGAGCAGGCGGGCATGCGGTCGCGGATCAGCTTCTCGTATGAAAGGACGTGCTGCTTTGTCATGCGCTCCTCGTCAGTAACCTTGAAGAGGGTCTTGATATCGATCACACCGACGTGCTCAATGTAGATGGGACGACCGGCCTTGTCGATGTTGTGGTAGTAACGGGGGTAGCAGTTGCGGACGGCATCCTCCTCCTCAAAGACAAAGGTGTCGATCAAAGTGTCGACCTGGAGCTCCTTACGCCAGTTTTCGCAATCGACAAACATCTTGTGGGTGTTAGGGATGCTGAACTTGCGGGCACGCAAGAAGCGGAGAATGTAGTGGTCGTCGTGACGTTCAGGCACAAAGACTCCTTCGGCCTTGATCAGGTCCTTGAACTCGTCCAAGGCGTGCTGCTGCTCTGCAGTCAAGTTGCCGACGCGACCGGGAAGAATATCGATGGTGAGGTCGGACATGCTATGCATATGTAAATGTAATTATGAACGGAAGGTTAATATATTAATATTGGATTACCAAATGCGGGATGCCAGGCAGCCCATTGGTGTCCACCTTGTCAAAGGCCAACTGCAAACGCTATAAAGCTGATCAGTAAGCATGCAAGCTGCAACTTGCAACAACAACATCCTCTTTTTTTTTGCTCCCTTCTTTTTTCCACCGGGTTGTCTGCTCTTTCTTCCAGAGTGCTATTCCTGTCTTCCCAGTTGGAAGGGAGCGTTCGTCTTCAAAGTCGGTTCTGGATGACACACTTCCACACCATGGAAGATGACGAAATGAGGAAAAACGGTAATCCTGTTTCCTTATGCATGACTGACGTGAAGAACGTAGGTTCTTTTTTTTTTAAAATCTCCTATCGGTGGTTCACATGGTGAAGACATTATCGACGGGAGAAGAGTCGAAGTGAGGCTGTTCTTGTGTTCGTGTTTCCTTGCTGGTGATATGTGGTGTCTGTCCTGGGATGGGAAGAAAAATATTCCTGGGAGACGAGTCATCCTGGATGAGTAGAGTAAGGACAGAGCTTGAACAATGGCGACTGGAGGGCAAACTTACGTGATGTAGGGATGGAGGAAGGAAGGAAGGGTGGAGGGTTGAGTTGATGAGGGAAGAAGGGATGTTGATGATGAAAGGAAAAAGAAAGAAAGAAGGAAAAGTAAAAAGTAAAAAAAGGGTGAGATAAGTAGAGGAGTCCGCGATTTATTTTTACATTTTGGAGGTTGCAACTTGACTGGTGCGCTGGCACACATTCACGAAATCAATGAGAGACGAGAACGATTATCAGCCAAGTTCAAGGGACCAAGGGACAGGCAAGCACCCGTCTGTCCCCATGCACAAGTACATACAAATTAGCTATTTATCATTTGTTCGCAATTGCATTGATAATAACAGCAACAGACCGAGAGCCATTCCTTGCACCTCTCGAGAAAGAATCAAGTCCACAAGGAGCCATTCACATTCTCCACTCTAGACTTCCTCCTTCTTGCACACAGCCCGACTATTGGTCGTTCAGGTACACATAAACACTGTGAGCGGAGCGATGGACAAACAAGCGCATACAAAACAAACATGAGTGGGAAAAACAAAAAGTCCTTTTTGACCCTTCCATGCCTTCTTCCCATTGAGTCCCTTGCCCCTCTCATTCAGTCAATCCTTCTATCTACACCATGTCGCACACTATTTTTACCAGTTTCGCTCATATATAGCTTTCTTCTATCTTTCCTTTCTCTTTCTCTCCTCAGCTCAACAAACCCTTTACTTTCCACTCTCACTTTCGTGCTTTCGTCGGCCTATTTTGCTCAGTATATCTGGTTGTCATGGCCTTGGCATTCATTCTCAATTCAGAGCAAAGAGAGAGAGGAAAAAATAGCCGTTGACATGCTATGTAACAATGCCAACAAGTTGGCTGTATGTCAAAAAATGGATAAAAAAAGCGCGATCCAGTTCTATTGCGCTTTATTGTTGGCACTCGTATTGTTAGCATGGCCATTCTCGTCATCCATCATGTCATGCCAGTCCCGTTCTCTTTTCTGTCACTCAGCCCGTCTTTTCTTTCCTGTAGATCGATCACAAATGGCCACCCAATCGTCAATCGCTTTTCTGGTCAAGACCAGCACAAAAGGAGGGTCTGCCAAGGCGAAAAAAGGGTGTTTGTATCCAACAACAGGGTCACCTCAGGGTCATACATTGGATGCCCCCTTCTTTTTTTTCCTTCCGCTCTTTCGCCCTCCCTGCGAACACGTTGGCAGGGGGTCGAGTCTTTGGGGTCAACAGATCAACCAGTTGTCGTTTATTGTTTTTTTTCCTCTCTAGAACGGACATACACGCCTTGCTTCAACGCCTTGTCTGTATCAAATGTGCCTTGTGCTTGCCTGCCTTTACTTGCTTACTTACTTACCTGACTTCTTCATTTCTCAATTTTTTTTCTATTCCCGTTTCTCGTTGTCTGTAGTCTGAGAGCCACTTCATTAACCTAAAAAGCATCGTGCATGGTTCCTTTTATTCTCGCCCTTCGACTATCACCTCTATCTTGATGTATACATCTAATGGTAAGAAATAAAAATCAAACGCAGTTTTTTTGTGGTATTTCTGGGTTCTCCTAAACCCAAAGTATTGATCGGTCTTAAGCTTCACCCAACGCTCCAAAAACAAAGAGAACCCCCCCCCCCCATTAATCTTCAGCAAGAAATGAAAGCAAGAGAGAAAGAGAGAGCTTGCCCATCTATTTTGCCGTTGGAGAAAAAACCCAAGAAGGAGCACAAAGGAACAAAGTGCACAGGGGTGGGATAATTTTATTATTGCTGTTGTCCAAAGGCTCACTTTGTTTGTGTGTTGTGTGTTTGGTATCACGTCCTATCGATTGGATAGACACAACCTTGGATTCTCCCACCCTAAAAGAACTGTCTTCTCCGTCTATTGGTTCCCTTGCTGAACGATGGTCTTTCTTCGTATTGTGTATCCTCCTGCTCCTTCCATAGCGAGGTCTACGATTAATCATCGCTAATGAAACGAGCATGAAGAGTCGGACGCGTTCTCTTTGTCTGCGAGGAAATATGGTGGCAAAGTAAGGGTTCAAGAGGTGGTGGATATACGCAAGACATGCGATGAATGATGATTTCGGTGATCAGTATTGTTTATATGAGAAGCGAGTCACTTCAAGTCTGTTTGGAGTGAGCCCTTCTTCTCTTGTCTTTTTGATTTTTTTCTTTTTATTCTGCCTCTCGTGGGTTGCAAAGTGCTCTTTCTTCGCAAAGGGGTGGCGGGTGGTCAAAAATGAGACAGAGAATAAGGCGGCATATTTTTTCTTTTTCTTGTTTATTCTTTTCTCCCATCACTCCATCCACACACCATGACTGAAGGTGCATATTCATACTTGTCTATGCCATCGCAGGATAGCAGGGATAGGAGCTCAACCATGCGACAAGCTCACTCAGCACACACGCCTACATACACATATCATCCTTCAACAGACACTTATCCCGCTTCCTACGCCCCACCACACTAATAAGCTCCGTCTCAACTGCACTCATATTTTACACTCGCCACTTCACACTCTGCTCCTGCTCCTAATACACCACCCTTCCTCAACACTCACCAGTCGTTATCTCTATTCAGCATACACGCACTCACAGTCCCAGCCACCCCCCAACACTATGCAACACCATGTAACAACCAGCAGGATCGAATACAAGCCAACACAACAACACTGACACCCCTCTCTCTTGACATCTTTCTGAAATCAGTAGGACAAAAGAAGCAAAAGAAGAAGGTCACCAAGATGGCCCTAAGCGACTTCTTGTCGGATCCCAGTATGTAGCATGTCTCCTTTCGCCACCCTTTTTGCTCCATGGACTCCAACGGGTCCCTCGGAGGACTGACAATCTATTTGGACGCTCGCAACTCAACACTCATCGCTCTTTATTTGTCTTATATCACTTTTGTACCTGATGTCTGTGTTTAACCCTATCTTGCCCTCGAAATAGCCACGGGTTCCTGGGCTGATGAGATGGACGATTTGCCTTCTGCCCCTGCTGGTATGTATATCTCTCTATGTCCTTTTGCATCTATACAGTCTTGTTATTCGACATGATATGCGAGTTCTCAATGCTGACGATCGACCTCTCTTGTCCATGTCAACTTCTATAGCTGTCAACCAAGGTAAACCAAGCGTGATTACCACTCCCTTCCATTGATCCGGCGACGTTCATACCTCCCACTTGGTTCATCATGCATTGGAGCGCCACAGCCTTTGAATTCGCCCAGGGACTAATGCTGTTGATCCGACGATTACGGGATATATCATTTATTTTTCTAGGCGACAACTTCCGCTCCGGTGGATTTGGCGATGATCGCGGAGGTCGTGGCTTCTCGAGCCGTGGTGGTAAGTGCAGCTCTTCTTCGGTTTATTTTATTGGCTAGATGTGGAAAAAAGAGTGTACATCGGCGCGCTTTGTCGCAAAGAAGGACCGATGGCTTATCATTGGAAATCCTTACATTTTATCATATAGGATTCGAGGAGAGAGAGTCGCGCTACCCTGCCCGCACTCCCGTTGAGCTCCCTACCCGTCCCCCATACACCATTCATCTCGGCAACATCTCTTTCGATACCACCGATGCCGACGTCGAGGGCTTCTTCAGCGAGTCCAAGGTATGGATCAACCAGAATCAACAATTGCAGGAGTACATGCGGATTCATGGATCGAAGTACTTGGTGTTGGACTAAATTACATCAGAGACACCAAGGCAGGTTTAACCGACCAACTTGTATTCTCAATGTGATAGGTTACCAGCATCCGCATCATGAAAGACTTCGACGATAAGCCCAAGGGTTTCGGTTACGTCGAGTTCGACAGCCTCGATTCCTTGAAGAAGGCTTTGGAGCGCAACCAGCAGAGCCTTGGCGGCAGAAACGTCCGCGTCAGCGTCGCTGAGCCTCGTAAGTGGTCCCTCTGAATTGAACCGCAGGAATGCTGAAACAGTATCAGTCAGGAGATGCAATAAGACTCACCATCGAATTGTGCATTTTTGCACCTTGTTCTTTGAAAATAGCTCGTGAGCGTGAGGTCCGTGATGATCGTACTGCCGGAGAGTGGCGCCGTGCCGAGCCCGTTGCTCCCCCAGCAGGTCGCTTCGGAAACGACCGTTATGCCGATCGTGGCGACCGCGCTCCCCGCGCCGATCGCGAATTCGGTTCCCGTTTCACCACCTCTGAGCGTCCCCCAGACCGCACTTCCGTCAACAGCTGGAGACGCGATGAGCCCCTCCCCGCTTCCGAGACTCGTCCCGGCTGGGAGAAGCCCAGAGAGCGCGAGCACAGGGACACCTCCTGGGGAGCTGGACAGGGATTCGCCAACCGTGCCCCCCCTGGTATGTTTTCGTTTTCAGTGTGGATCAATGGTTCATAAGCGGTATGATTTTCTCAATATTTGTTTGTACGAAACTGACCTTTCTCCTCCCAATTCTGTCATTAGCCACTGCTACCCGCAAGAAGTTGGAGTTGAAGCCCCGTAGCGCTGAGGCCCCTGCCGCTGCTGCTGCTAACAACAGCGCTGTCAAGTCCAGCCCCTTCGGTGCTGCCAAGCCCATTGATAATGACGAGGCCATCCGCCGCGTCGAGGAGAAGTTGAAGCAGGAGCAGCAGGAGAAGAAGGAGGCCGCCGATAAGTTCCGCAAGGAGAAGGAGGCCAAGAAGCCCGCTGCCAAGGCTGAGGAGAAGGAGGCTGAGCCCGAGGCTACCGCTGAGGCTACCGCTGAAGCTACCGCTGAGGCTGCCGCTGAGACTCAGGCCTAAACGTAGCAATTTTGTTTTTGCTATGATCTGATCTGATGTCGGTGGTGCTTGGTGTTTTGTCGTTGTCGTCGTTGTAGTTGCCGTTGTTTTTTCTTGTTCGTAATGTTTAGACCACACACGCAGGACATCTTTTCATCCATTTTTCCTACCCCATTTTGTTTTGTTTGTTTGAAGTATGAATGCATTAAAAAAAGTTGTTTTTCACATATCTCTTTGTCACTTTCGCAAGTAAGGACGTTGCCATGATTTTCACGGACAAACGCCAGATTTCTCTCGTGGCAGTGACTGTCAAAGAGATGACAAGAGGGCTGGAAGCATGGAAAGAAATGAAATTGGCCAAGCCACTGTTTGTTTGTTGCCTCTCCCCGCAGCTTTCCCAGCGCTTTTTTTTTCTTCTTTACCACAAACAAGCTCTCTTCTACACACGCCCAAGGCAATTGCATGGGCTCAAGATGGACTACGACGACGACGACTACGACCAGTACAGGCAGTACGAAGATGAGATGTACAAGGACCCAACCGACGAAAGGTGAATACGCAACCTCTCAATGCCGTCTCTTTCGGGCTGAAATGCAATGACTCATGGATAACACGAGAAGAACAATGCCGGTCAGTGGCGCCAGCATTCTTTTTTTCTTTCACCGCCTTTTACTGACTCCCTGCTCCTCCCTTTTCTTTGACCTTCTTGTTGCTTCCACCCATTCTCTTCGACACGCCACTCTCTTTCCCTCTCCTTCTTTTCGACCCACCACTCTCCTGGTGCAACTCCACCTTTTCGAACGGCAACTGCAACAATCGTCCAGTGAGGCCAGCGATGAAGTAGACAGCGAGTTGGAGGATACTATGATGGGTCACATTCATTATTCGACCAACGTCTACAAGAAAATCGGAACTGATGCTAAATCGACTGATAATCAAGAGGTAAAAGGGGTTGAGAAAGAAATTTTGGTCCACATTTTCTCCGTGCACAGGGACGTACATATGGATGCGTATTGTGCGACAGACGCTCGTAACCATGCTAACTAGCCTGCCGATTTGTAATGGTATATTGTGTGATAGGCGGACTCTGCAGATGAAGGAGACGATAGCAGCAAGGAGTCGAGTGGACATTTAGCAGAGGCTAATACTCCAGCTGAGGATTATTTTAAATCCACCAAGCAGGGCACCGGGGCGGACTCGGACACTGAGCAACAGAGCAAGAACTCGTCGTTGCCGAACGGAGCCTCGTCAATACAGATCGCGGATGACGACGGCGACGGCGAGGAAGAAGAGTCCAAGTACAAAGTCGAGCGAAAGCGAGATACCCAGAAGAGCTCGTCGGCTGCCGAAGCCAAGATCGAACAAAATAGCAAGGGTACCAAAGGTGCAGGATCTGGATCAGACTCGGACATGGATCTGAGCGACAGCGATCGCGAAGGCGATGGTTCCCAGGAGTGGGCAGCCTCCCAGGATGACGAGGACGATGTCGTGAGTGACGATGAGGGTGCACAGTCCGAGACTGACGGCGAGAGTCTGGACGAGCATTTCTTGGATCTGACTAAAACGGTCTCTGGCGGTCAGGACGACGACAACGACTATGATCCTGATGCCGAATTGGGACATCTCGACGACAAAAAGTTTCAGGTACTTGCGTTGTTCGGATATTTTGATGCTTTCATTGACATTGATGTTCTTGAATACTGATCTTTGATTATTTTACTTGAACGGGAAACAGGGTCGTGGGCGTTATTATCTGGAAGATGCGCCAGTGAGGTTGTGCAACAATTGCCAGATGCCAGGACATTTGGCGAGGGAATGTAGGACGTTGAGGTGCCATATTTGTGGTGCTCGCGACTCCCATTTGGCAAAGAATTGCCCTGTCTCCACATGCTACAAATGCAACAAAACCGGACATATCGCAGCAGTGAGTCACGACGAGTTTTTTTTTGCACTGTCATGCCTCAGACATGCGACCTTTGATGGCTAACGCTTTTCTATATTATCTTGCTGCGTTTTGAACAGGACTGTACCGAGCGTCATTCATACGGAAACCGCTGCCACAAGTGTGGTTCCCACAGCCACGCCACAGAAGTATGTATATTTTGATCCGCACAGGAGGAGGAGCCTTCATGAGTTGTATCATTGAAGGAATCACGGGCAATATTAACACGTTTTCAACATTTTATCCTCCATGTGTGTGTGTAGGATTGCCCGAAGGTTTGGCGAGTCTATGTCATGTCCGAGGAGAGTGCCCCAAGCGATGTTGTCCAGTACTGTTACAACTGCGCCTCCCTTGGACATTTTGGAGATGTAAGTTATTCACAATTTTCACTGGTTGGATGCGCATGTATATCAGCAACGTTTGACAAATGACTAAACAACCAAAATTGCTGGTATTCTGGAATTAGGCCTGTCCAAAACGGAGACCGATGTATGCACGAGGCGAATCGGCGTTCAATGACCAAAGCACATCATCGTCAAGTAGCAATCACAACCACAGCAGCAGCAGCCACCACGGCCAAGCATCATCGTCAATGCCAGGGTCAATACGAAGCGGTGACAGGAACGATCGTTACCGGGACCGCGATTCGGATCGTGGAGGCGACAGGGATTATCGCAGGAGCAGTAGAGACTATGACCGTGATCGGGATCGGGACCGGGACAGTAGGGACAACAGGGATCGTGGCAGCAGTAGCGGTAGTGGCCGTGATCGTGATCGTCATCGCGATAGCCGGGACCATGGCCGTAGTAGCCACCATGATCATCGATCACACGAGAGCAGTCGTTATGATTATGACCGTCGGGATCACTCAAGGGAGCGGGAGCGAGGGCGGGAGAATGCTAGGGAGCGTGATTGGGAGCGGGAAAGAGAACGGGATCGTGATCGTCGGCACAAGACCTCTTCGTCATCTACGCTAGCAGTCGCAGGTTCTTCATCATCATTGTCAAGCAGGTTGCCAGCTTCTTTGCCATCAAAGCCTAAACCAAGGCCGCCAACAACGAACCCAGCCTTGGTTCCGACTATGGCGACAGGATCTTCTTCCTTATCATCTCCAGCACCTTTGGGTTCGCATGACAGGCCTATCGACCTATCTTCAGCTACTTCATCCCCCGCCCCAAAGTCATCGACTCTGTCTTCACGACCTAACAGCTCCAACTATTCTGCTTCGAGGCTTCACAGTTCATTGCCACCCAGGCCTGGCAGCAACAACGGGAACAACAGGCCGTCGATCCTGGATCGACCCTCGTTTGCGGATCTCAATGCTTTCCCTCGTGGAGGCGGCGGACGGGGTCCGCAAGGAGGTGAACCTCCTGCTCCTGGTACTGGCGGTGCTCAGCCTGGACCGATGTACACTGGTGGATACTCTAGGAGACGGAAATAAAAAGAACTTCTTTGTTTACCTATGCTAAATGCTAGCCACTGTCGCGTGCAAAAATAAAAATAATTAAAACACGACGCAGAAAAAGGTCCCTTCTTCAACACCTTATACTCTTACGAACTCGCGCAAACTTCTGCTCAACTCGTGTCAAGTTTTTGTTTCACAAACAACCTCCCCCCTCTCCCCTGCCTCCGCCAGGTCTCTGCATTCCAAGCATGCTTGTTCTCCAGGCACACAGATTAGTAATGATTGTTTTTGTTTATGTAAAAAAAACGAAGAATAGTACTGCTACTCTAAACTCCTCCAAAAATTCCTCCTTCCCTTCTACCGGACGTTCTTGCGCGTCAAACGGGGCGACAGAGATTGGTCACGCTCTAAAGAAGTGTTTTGTGAAGCCCGATGGTGAGCATTGCCACCGTGACCGGCGTGACGACCATACGAATCGGCAGACGACTCGGTTCCTGCACTCGCAAACGACTCCTCGACATAGCTATCTTCTTCTCGTTTGTTGTTGTTGTTGTTGTTGTTGCTACTCGACATGGCAAAGAGAGGGGCCTCAGAAGATGAACGGCCATATCGTTGTGCTTGTGCTTGAGGAGTAGAAGGCCCAGTTCCAGGAGCGGCGCCAGAGCTGCCAGGAGCAGAGATGGACGCAAGACCCAGGGCCAAAGAACTGCCACCGACGACATACCCCGGCTTCTTGAACGGGCTCAAACTATCTGGATCACCACTGCCTTCAACTCCAACATCGGACGCAAAGGAAGTAGAGTTGGACGTCATGGGCGACCGGCCCTTCATCCGGGAGTATTCAGGGTCCAAGGTTTCGTACGCCTGATCAATCTTCTCGGTCGCGACCGCAACCGCAGAACTGACCCAGGATCCAAAAGACCAGCTGCTGGATTTCGGAGGCCCCTGTTGTTTCTGTTGGACCGCCGATGGTGGTTGACTTGACGCTGCTGAGGGCTTCTTGGATTCGTAGTCGCTTCCGAGGTTGGCGCCACTGGTGCTGCTGCTACCAAATCCGGTAGAGGAAGAAGTAGGAGCTGGGTTCTTCTTCTCTTGCAACAGACTGTTGATATCGCCAACAAGGCTGCCTCCACTGCCACCGCCTCCAAAGAATCCGCCGCCAAAGCCGCCACCGCTACTGCTGCTGCTGGTCGTGGTAGTGTGACTAGTGTGGGCCACTTCCTTGATGCTACCACCGCCTCCAAACTTGCTGCTACTCGATAAGTGTTGATGGTGAGGGTCATGACGATGGCTCATGCTGGTAGCAGAGGTTGGCGATAAGAGCGATACTCCATGAGAAGGAGCCGACCGGCCAATCAGAACTTCGTTCGCTTCTGCGTACGAGTCCCGATCCTGGTCTTCGAACGAGGACTTGGCCTTGTGAGAGGCCTTGGGTCCGTAGGGATCATAGTCGTCCGCCTTCTTGCTGTTCAGGTACGACGACGTCGTCGAAGTAGTTGTCGTAGTAGTGTTGATATCGCTGGCGAAGGAACTTAAGCCGTCACCACTCGTCGACTTGACACTCGGTTCTCCAAAGTTATTATCATCATCCAGGCCAGGAACCGACTGCTGATAGAACGAAGACGACGAGGTGGACGAGAACATCGCCGGACGTGACACGACCTCCTTGCGATCAACACCCTTACCAGTCACCTTGGATTCAATCTTGCTGCTCTTCTTCTCCTCCTCATTTTGGACATCTTCCTCAGGGGTATCATCCCACCCAGAGCCCACCGTTGACGACGACATCGACAACCGCGAAACAAGTCGGAAGGCGTCATTCTGTGTCGACTTGACAACATTCGACTCGCTTATCTCAGAGAAGGTCGCGCTTGTTGGAGTCGTGGCCGCAGAAAACGACGAGAACATACTGGGACGGTTTCCTTCTTTGCTTCGACGGACGACACCGTCGCCAGTAGGAGTCAAGGGCGAGGTAGCCTGAGCACTCTGGTTCGACGACACGCTCAAACCTCGGCGACGGGTAGAGTGACCAAATTCCTCGGTCGAGAATGTTGATGAAGTAGTCGTCGTGGTGTCTGTTCGATCCACCAGGTGAACAGACTTTCTGACACTAGTGGGCGAGGACAAAGTGTGCTTCAAGACCGAGGGCAACACTGCCTCCTTGATCAAGGGAGATGTAGGCTTGATGGAAACCTGCGAGGAAGAAGACTCAGAAGGTACTAGGCGACGAGCAGCGCTCAAGGGTACTGCAGCGGCAGCTGCACTGGCGGCTCGTTTCTTCTCAAGTCTTTCCCTTTGCCTCTGCAGCGCAGGCGAGAGGTACTTTTGATCACTAGCAGCAGGCGTAGGGTTCAACGCAGGGCTGACAGGGGTCTTCGTGGGTGAAGCGAACGAGATGCCAGGGGAGACGACGGCGGCAGCGGCGGCGAGACGAGGAGAAGCTGAGCTCAACACGGGCGAAGACTGCTGCTCTGCAGCAGTCTCCTTGGTGCTCTTGTACTTGGAGATCGGAGGCAGGGGCTTTCCTCTAGCTGCAAGACGTGCGCGTTGTTGACGGATAGCGAGGGGCAAATGAGAGTCATCTTCGATCTCTGCCGCTGGGATTGCAGGTTCAGCAACCTGGCTAGGAGAGGCAGGGGTTGATCCGACCATGCTAGATTGGTATGATGACAAGACCTGTCCGGGCGACGACGTGATGCTGCTGAATGTAGGGGTCCTGTTCTGAGGCGAGGGCTGAGATCCAAACGAGCGGCTTTCGGTCATGTCAGGCGTCTTGAGGGATCGCGAGAAGCTAGCTCGTGTAGATGCGGGCGTCAGTCCTGCATACAACGAAGACGACTCGGTTTCAATGTCATCATCCTGGTCAAAGTCCCAATTGTCAGCACCGCTAATGTCTGGAAGCTGCTGGGCATCGGCGCTGTTATCAGTCTCCTTTGTTGGTGCAGAAGTCTCCTTGGAGTCGGTAGGAGGGTTGATGGGGCCAATTTCAGGAAGGTCATCGTCCCATGCATCGTCATCCTTGAGATCGGTCCAGGACATCGTAGTCTCCAAAGCCTTCTTCGTCTCAGACTCTGCCAAGGATGCACCTGTGTCTTGTCCATGAGGCTGGTGGCGATCAAAGGCTGACGAGACATGACCGTCCTCATCCAGCGACCGCACAGAATATTCCGACTCAAACTCGGATCCAATGCTCATGCCTGCCTCGCTTCTCTTGGATACAGACCCAGGCGAGATATCTTGCCAAGGACTCTGAGTGGCGCTATCAGCCTCACCCTCGCCACTGTCGGCTCCTGCGGCAAGACGCTCCTTTTGGATCGCCAAAGGGGGGATGTTGTTTTTGGGCGTCTCAGCGAGCACTTGAGTAGGCGAATGTGCATCGGGTGTGGCCTTGTCTTGAACAGTTGTCACTTCCTCAGCGTCGATAGGCGAATAGGTGTCCATGTGCTCGGCTTTGTCTTGGTCGTCCTGGGCAAATGTGGTGGCCTCGTTGTCGTTTTGGATCTCAAGATCAACACCAACCTCGTCCTCATCCCACCCCCAGGCATCCTCGACAATATCAACCGCCGTCTTGGCGTGAGGCTGGTGATTGATAGATTCGATCCTACTGCCTGTTAACGATGTCCGCTCCTCGGGCTTTTTGGCATCAAAGTTTCGAGACTTTATGACAGTCGCAGCATGGGTATCCTGGGTGGTATGTGCAGGCTCGATAGATTCAAGGCCAACGTCAGCGTCCTGATCATTCCAAGCATCGTCCTCTAGAGCCTTGTCAAGGTCAAACTCGACCTCCGCGTCAGTGGGAGTTGGGAGGGCAGGCGACTCGAAGCTGGGCAGAATCGGCTGATCCTCATGCTCGTCAGGTTGGTTCGATGCGGGATTATGCTCAGTCAATTGGGTCTCTGCAAGAGGGGAGGCAGGGATGTCATCACAAATGGGGTAGTTGTCCTCTACGACGATGTCTTCCGAGTGAACAGGCTCGTGGGAGAGCTTGATAGGGTGGTGTTCCTGGCGGGTCTCGAACTCTTGGCCAAATGTAATATCCTCCTGGTTGTCCCATGCATCCTCTTCGATAGCGGCCTCAAGGGAATGACCAATGCTGAGGGTATCCGCAGTTGGCTCGTGGTGCTTGTGGGCATCTTCCTGGGCGAGATCCTCGACTGGCGCAGTCTCTGGAGCAATATGGACAGGCTCGTGCTGAGGTCCCTGCTGAGGTTCCTGCTCAAGCTCATGCTGAGGAAGCAAGGTCGACTCAAAAGTCATGCCATCGTCCTGGTTGTCCCACACATCGTCTTCAACCGCAACATCAATAGACTGGTTAATGTCCAAGGCGTATGTCGTCTCCTGTGTCGAGTGGGATTCCAAAGTCTGCTCCGAGGTGTGAGCGATATGCTCATGGACCTCCTGGACATCAACAGCTGCAGCGGGTGTTTCAACGTGAGGTTCTGCCTCAGCAGGCATGGGCTCTTGGTCGAACTGAATATCTTGATCTTCTCCCCATGCGTCACCCTCGGGGGCGTCGTCGATAGACTGTTCGACGTCGAATGCGGTTGTCACCGACTCAGGCTCTAGCTCTGGCTCAGACTTGGTGGCAACAGGCAGGAGTTCCGACTTGGTAGCAACAGGTAGGGACTCCTCGTCAATGCGAATGTCCTGATCGTCCCATGCATCCTCCTCAACAGCATCCTTCAAAAGGTCGTCCTCGACAGGTGCAGTTGCGGGGACGGGTAAAGGTGTAGCAGGCTTGACGGGGTGTTGCACAGGAGAATCAGAGAAGAGATCCGAGACTGACCTCTCCTGCTGGTGATCAGAATGGGAGTAGGCAGCATATGCTGCAAACCCGCGAGTTGGGGACGCGGGCTTGAAGTAGGACTTCTCTGCCTTGTCGCCAAACAAATCTGAGACCGAGCGCTCTTGAGGGCTGGTGGGAGAACGTGCGAAAGCAGAGAATCCACGAACAGGCGATGAGGCCGATGCGCGAACAGGAGAATCAGCTCGTGCAGGTGAGAAAGCAAACGCGCGGACAGGAGAGGAAGGCTTGCTGTAGTGCTGGTCAGACTTGTCGGCAAAGAGATCGGAGACAGAACTCTCTTGGCTCACGGCGGCGGCAGGTACAACAGGCACGCCAGGGATGTCGAAAGGGGCTGCGTCTTCCTGATCAGCCCATGCATCCTCTTCCAAGGCAGTGTCGATACCAAGAGCATCGGTCTGGTTGTCCCATGCATCCACTTCCAGCATGGTTTCCTTGGGAGTCGTTACCGGAATATCCACGTGTTGAGAAGCAGGAGTTCCGTAGACATGGACTGCGGAGGTCTCAATATCCAGCAGTGGGCTTGGGACCTGTGCTTCAATGGCCACCTCCTTGACTGCAGACAGCTCCGACAAGTCATCATCGGCTACTTCCTCCTTCAAGTCGTCGAAAGGACCAGGCTGGGCAGCAGTCTCGACATCATGAACATCCACGTTGGGCTCGACCAAGGGTTGCTCCGGCACCTCCAAGTTATCCAGCTGTCTCTCGTAATGCTCAACGACAGGCAGCACCTCATGATGAACTGGCGCCTCTTTCGACTCCTCAGTGATCTGAACGAGGGTGGAGGAGTTGTCCGCGATATCCAAGTCCTGATCATCCCAGGCGTCGCCGTCCAAGCCATCAATAATATCCTGATCGATGTTGTCAGCAGCAGTTTGAGTCTCCTCTGCCTCGGAGTTGACATCCGTGTGTATCTCAGAAATGGAGTGCTTTGTTGGAGGTGTTGAAATGTCGAGTGTAGGCTCGACAGCCACATCTAGACCCTGATCTGCCCAAGCGTCCTCCGCACCTTCGTCAATGGCAGGACTGAGACCCTTAACGTCGACAGTCGAATCCTGGGAAGATGCGTCGGCAAGAGGCTCAGACAGGAGTTCCTCCTTCTCAGATTTTTCAAGCAACGGCTTAGTAGCTTGCCACAAATCAGTGTCGTCGATGGCCGCAGCGTCGCTGAATGGGTTGGCTGGATCGCGATCATCACTGGCTGCGTCTACAACAGCCTCAACAGCCGTCGCGGGCCCTTCCTCTTCCAAGATGGCAACCTTGGCATCTCCAACGGGCAGTGCTTCAACAACCTGCTTCTCGACAATGCAGGTATCGACTCCATGCGACATTAGGCCCGTCGTTGTCTCCACAATAGCGTCTGGCAAGCTCTGAGAAACAGTGCCATCAGCAATAGAGAGCGCCAGGTCTGATGGGGCTACGACCTCCGAGGTTTCGATCGCACGCTCAGAGGAAGAGGAGGTGGCCTGGGTATCATCTGAGCTGTCATCATCCTCGTCCTCCAGAGTCTCCAGGTGGTCAGTAGGCGCGCTACCAACTGACTGAGGTTCGCCGCGCTCCATCAGTTCCACAGCATCGTCCTCCATGACAAACTTGGGTGTCTCGTCATCACTGAAAGGTGTACTGATCGATCGATCCATAGGCACTCCGCGCTCCATATGCTCCAGATAGTCGTCGTCATCGAGGATTTCGTTCAAGCGGTTGGAAGGCATATTCCTGCCAGTGTAGGCAGTCGAAAGGTCGCCATAAATGTCGCTACCTTCTGAGTCAGACGCGGACCGCCTCGGTTCGCCAATGCTTCCTCTAGAATCAGGCCGGTGCGATGGTGCGGCGTCTTCCTTCACAAGGAGGTTTGAAGTAACAGCGGCATCAGCGTAATAAGGCTTGCTGTCGTCGAAAGACACCGAGTTTCCAGAATGAGCTCGAGAGTTGGTTGCGAATGGTGAGATTTCGGAGCTCTCGCCCTCCTCTGGAATGGCGACTGGGGTATGCTGAGTAGCAAACAAGACCTAAACAAAGCAGGTGATAGAGTGGTAGAGAAGGGTTAGCAAAATGTTTGAAATCGTTGTTAGCAATGACTTCAATTTCTTGAAAAGCAAATCTAGCACGTACCTCTCTGACTTCAGAGTCATGCTCATCGTCGCTTGCTTGGTCGGCGCGCTCAGTCTCATCAGCAATGGCTGCTGCTTTAATGTTTTCAATAACGCCTTCAGTCGCCTCAACTGTGCTTGCCACGAAAGATTCCTGTTCGATCTGGCTGTTGGTGTTGTCGTCTGCTGATGATACGACATGGGCTTCCTCATGCTGGTAAGGTTCCTGAGCAATTTCACTCAAAGGGTTGTCCAGCGCGGCCGATTCGAGATTTTCGCCTCCAATAACCTCGCCCATATCAAACCCCCATGACTGCTCGGCTTCAGTCACCTCAACAGCATCGCTCGGTCCAGCAGATTCAGCGCTGTGGGCGTCGTCAGGCACCGTGTGATACAGATTGTGATGGTTGTCAGATTCAGAAACAGTAGCGTCGGCGTGTGGGGGGTGTTCTTGAACCAGTTGGTGCGATCCGTCCGTTGTGGTATGATCAACAACTACTGCCAACTCCCGGTCGTCCTCGTAATTGTCGGCGGTTGGTGTCGCTGAATAGGGTGGCATCACAACATGCTCTGAGAAGGAGTCATCCGTCGTGCTGGCGTGAGATGGTTGGAAATCCTGTCGATCAAGATTGTCGTCCTAGAGAAGAAGTTAAGGGTCAATGGCGCAGTGTGAGTAAAGAGGCATAAATAAATATAACTCCTTGGACGAGCTGTCAAAAGCTATTTTCGACTTACATGCTCATCGGCGGCAAAGGAACCAGAGTGAATTTCCTGGACAGCAGCCTCCTCGATGAGCTCGATAGCTTGGTCGTCATAGTCCCACGAATCTGCATCACTCTCGTGAGCCTGGTGCATGGTAGGGTAGGTTGGTTCCACAGCGGCGGTAGAGTTGTCGGCCTGCTCAACCTCGCGTTCACTGATATGTCCATCGACCGCGATAGGCTCATCAAAGCCCCATGCAGACTCGATCTGCTCAACTTGTGGAGTGTCGTCGATCTCAATTTTGTCCTCGAAACCCCAAGAAGCTCCGACATGATGATCGTCCGATGCCGTGCTGCTCATGTCGACGCTGGCCCCCACTTCGACGTCTGCAGTCGTTTCCGGATGCTGATGCTCATGAGTAGCAGTAGTGGTGACGATATCGATGGTGTCGTCAAAACCCCAGGCTGACTCTGCTTGATGTTGTCCTGGTTGAGCGGTCTCGTCGATATGAATGTTGTCGTCATTGTCCCAGGCTGACCCTCCTTGATGCTGATCTGGGTGGGCGGTCTCGACAAGCTGAGTGGTGTTTTCGACGACTGCGATGGGCTCTGGTGAGAGATCCTCTGCCTGGATATCGCCTTCAATGTCAGTGTTATCATCAAAGCCCCAGGCGGCCTCGACTTGTTGCAGATCCGGCTGCATAGTCTCCTCCACATGCAGGTTATCATCGAAGCTCCAAGCTGTCTCGTCATGATGGGCGCGTGGTTGCTCCTCCTCCTTGACATGAGCATTGTTGGGGTCCTGGGCTGGCTCTGTGTGTGGCTGTTCCTGCACATTCTCTTCGACTTGGATATCATCGTCGAATCCCCAAGCAGCCTCTGCTTGTTCTCCCGAGTGGGCTTCTCCTTCAACGTTAATGTTGTCGTCAATCCCCCGGGCTGTCTCCGCTGCTGGCTCTGCAACCTGAGGCAAAGCCCCTCCTTCAATGTCGACGGGTTCATCAAAACCCCAAGCCTCCTCCACTTGTTGTTCGGCAGGCTGAGCGCCACCCTCAATGTCGATCTGGCCGTCAAAGCCCCATGCAGTCTCCTCCTGGTGGTGGTGGTCTGAGTGAACTTGGTCCTCGTATTCGTCCTCATTCCACTCGTTCCAAGATTGCTCCGTGTCGTGCTGATCCACAGGTGAAGGTGCCTCAAAACTTGGAACAGGAGCAACTATAAGAAAACAATATTTAGAACAATTAGCAAACGGAAAGGGGAAGAAATGGTGTGAGGAGTAAGGATACAGAAACTTGTTGGTGATGTGCTACCTTGGATTGGTAATGGCACAACTGGATGATGGACGACTGGGATGTGCAAACGAGTGGGTGTGGGACGAATTGGTGAAGTATGTTGGTGTTCCTGTTCCCGTTCCTCCTCTGTGTCATCTTCACTGCTTTCCTGATGAGCGTCCTGCAGCCAAGCCTGACGGACATTCTCGGAAGATACGTGTTGCTGCTGTTGACGCTGAGCCTGAGACGCATTGGGGTCTAGATAGGCCTGCACAATTCTTGAGTGAAGGACAGGACTCTGTCGCATCCGTTCTCTCAGTTTGGGTGCTGCTCCGCGAGGGGGTTGTGAAGGGCTTCCCTGTGGCCGCGTCGAGGACGACGAAGAGGACGAGAACTCGCGGTGAGCGTGATATGTCCTTGGGGTTGAAGCATCAAGCTGGACAGATGTAGGGGTCCATTGCTGCTGCTGTTGTTGGTGATGTTGCTGTTGCTCCCATTGTTGATCTTGTTCGCGATGCGAGTGAAGATGAGGCGAGGCATCATGGGACTGTTGCTGGTAGTGGTAGTGTTCCTGGCGTCCTTGGTCAAAATCATGCTGTTCTTGGTGTTGTTGTTGCTGCTGCTGCTGCTGCTGCTGCTGTTGTTGCTCATAGGAGCTTGTGGTAGCTGTCAAGGCCCGTGAGGTCGTCGTAGTTGTGGTAGTGGCGACACTTGAAGACGAAGAAGACGTGCTTCTCGTTATTGTTGTTGTTCCTGTCGTCGTGGTCGCGTTGGTAGGGGTGGCGATAGCGTGGGCTGGACGAGGGGTTTCGACCTGAACCTGAGAAGAAGACGGGGCGGGGGAGATGGGACTCTGCCTGGAGATGGTTGGACTCCTGATGACGACGGGTTCCCATGGCAGGTCATCGTCACCCTCGGAGGCACTGGCAAACTCTTCATTTGAGTCTGAGGTGTCTTCGCTGTCGTGGACGTATTGGACGTGGTGGTGATGGTTATGGTGGGGCGTGGCCATGGTCAAGTAGGTTTATTGCGTGCTAGTCCTGTACGAGGGTAGTTTGTTGTATTGGTGTATGTATGGTGTGTCGTATGAAAAGTGAGAGAATCTCACGACGTGGCTAGCTGGTTGCGAGAGATGTGGCGGTGAAGATGATGAGGCCGGTAGAGGGGAGTAAGTATTAGGAGGAGGCGTGTGTTTGCAGCCAAACGTGACGCGACAATAAAAGTAGAAGAAGAAGAAGAAGAAGGAGAAGAGGAGAAGAAGAAAGAGGGGAAGAGGGGCTGAGGGAAGTGTGAGAGAGTCAAGAATCTCAATAATAATACAAAGAGCACACACTCACACAAGGACACTTTCTGTCTGAAGAGAAAAAAAAAAAAGCTTTGATGGTGACACGTATTCTAATTGGCCGAACTTGCTGCTGCGTGCCACGTACATGCAAGGTACAAGCAACTATAGATGTGATGTCTTCATAGAAGGGGATGGCTTGTTCAATCGCGTTCAATGCCTACCCAAGGGATGTAGCACTATCCTCCCTTTCTTACTTCCCCACGCTTGGTCGACAGATGCAATATCCACACCTCATCATACTGACAGCTACAGGCATTACCACCACCAACACCCCTTCCCCCCTACTGGTGTAGCATCCGAGGCGCAATCCATATGTTCACCACACCCTGCCTTATTTATTTTATGCCGCTTTTTTCATAGGTCTTGAAGCCGCCAATCCGCCCATGACAAGTTGAACCCTCGATGGCCTCAGGGTCTGCATCTCCATCGACTATCTTTGTCTCTTTGACATGAACTCGTTGTTCTCTTTCACAAATTCTCCCTCACCACAAACATCCTTAACCACATCGTTGCTTTTGCTCTAACCTACCATATCGCATTTACTTTGCACAACATTTTTTCTTGAGCCGGACACAAAAGACAGGCGGCAACATTGTTTTCATTTGCCCTGAGCCGCCTTACTAGAGAATCGGATGGCAGTGTGCCTTTTCACCTCTTTTGTTGATGTTCGCTTGGCTAGGCTAGCTCTTTGTTCGCCTGTTGTCGAATCCTATCCGTATCATTTTTTTTTTTTTTTTTTTTTTTTGTTGGGTGCTTGTTTGTTTGTGTATTTTTCTTTTCTTTTCTTTTCTAATGGGTTTATACCCTACCAACCAACGGACCCCTACACATGGACACATCGTAGTGACAAGTCAGTGCGCTTTTTTGCTTCGGAAATTGTGTTTTTGGGGATAAAAAAAGGAGTCTGAAAGAAATGGATCCAATTGATTCGTTCGTTCTGTTGGGGTTTGTCCGAAGCCACACATGAACACACTTGGCCAGTGCCACCACCTTTTTTTTTCATATAAATACAATCCTCTCCTGTCGTTCTTCTTTCCATCTTCACTTCCTCCTCCCCACAACACACATATACTCCTTCTCCACAACAACAATGGACAGAACCGAAGCAGTCATCATCGACCTCACCTCTGGTGCCGAGCTCAAGAACTCGGTCGTCCACCAAGTCGACACCGCCTCTCCCGTAACCCAACCCCACTACCACGAGATCTCCATGGTCGAACTCCAAGCACCTCGAGTCAACTCATCGACCCCCCACGACCTCTTTGACGAAATGGAGCCCTACTTCAAGTCCCAGAACCGCAACAACTCTCAAGCACATACCGTTCGTGCTAAGCTCTAAAGTCCATTTCCTTTCCTTTGGTTCTCTCTCTGACCCACCTCAGGTCGAGTCCCAAAGCACCCTTCGTCAGGAACGGAAAACAATAGCTATTCATCTTTGTCATATCCCACCATACATCTTAATACATTCTTTGCTATTTTTCAGCACCATAGTTCAACAATAAAACCATCATTTGCATTCTTAAAATTTGACTCTAGCTAGTAGCTATGTTAGCAAGAAGGAACGAAGTTGACGAAGCAAATCGGCGAACAGTAAAAAACCCCTTTCAACAAAGAGAAAAAGGAACGACATATCGACATCAAGAAGGTTTCCTTTTTTCCACCTTTCCCACGGAAGGACGGATTAGATTTGGGCAAAATGGGGAGACAGGGGTTATTTTTGTCTCCTTGCCGGAGTGGGCGAAACAAACAAGACAAGGAAAAGACAGATAAGGAAACTATCAACTTGACCAATGGTTCATGCATGAACGTGGAGGAAAGAAACAAAAGAAAGAACAGGGCATCCTCCCTTTAGCCTCTTTTCGTACGTACAATACACAATAGGTCAGAATTAAGCCTGGACAGACAGAAGGGACGATACTTGTTTTCTGCTTCACTTGCATGAATGTCAATTCTCATCAACGAAGATCAAAACTTGGTTGCGAAAGAGAGCGCTTACCAAGGACATCGTTGATAAACATACACTCGGCATTAGGAGGAGATGAGGCCTTTTCTCTTCCAGGACGGGAAAACAAAAGACAGGGGTATGGGTAATATCATTTTTTTTTTTTTTTTTTTTTTTGATATCAGTGAAACAGGTTGATTGCTAGATGCAAACAAAAATAAAGATGGCTCCATGACTTGACAAGTTCCAGCCTGGCCATCTTCTCAGCTCTTCCGCCCATCTGCCCACAAAAGTTACATACAGTACCACTTTGTTAGAACAAGCGATGTGGATTCAAAAAAAAGGCAAAGGCAGCCACGCTTATGTTACAATCCCTGGCCTGCATTGTCTTCGTGCATTATTGTAGGTAGAGCACCCAAAAAGAAGGTTGATCCCCATCCAGGCACCATCACCCTACCTGTTTTCGACTTTGATATTGATCCCAGGCACAATCACTGACGGCTGTGTCTGCCTCCGTGACCCCAAGGGATCAGATATATAAAAATGGTCATCGTAGAAAACAAAAAATCGAGGGTTTCAGCCACCCTTTTGGGCGGAGGCAATTTTGCAACAACATAAAGAAGAACAGGACGAACAGGGAAACGGCCCTACCGAGATGCAAATAAGAATGGAAGAGAGACACAATTGACAGACGAAGGTGAGAGAGATACCAGCCTTGTTTTGTTTGTTAGTGGGCTTGTGCGCCACCAAAAACCAGGAACCTTGTTGTTTATTTTTCGACCTACCCAAAGAAGGAATTGGTTCCTTCCTCTCTCTGTCTTTGCATCTCAACGCACCTTGTTTGCTCTTCTTTTACATTCACAACCTGATTACCTCCTACTTTTCCTTCAACTCGCGCAATTGTACATTCGCCTAAACCCACAACCCCCCTCGTGCGTGCATGAAGCATGTCCACCTTTGATGGGCTCATTCGCGAGTTCCCCACAGTGTCCATCGACAACTTCCGGGTCCGGCCCGGCGTCAAGGTCTACCTGCTCTCACACGTCCACAGTGACCATCTTGCTGGACTCGCAGCTCTAACATGGGATTCTCCTATATATTGCTCACCAATTACGGCTCGATGGCTCCCGATGCTGGCCACTAGGTCTAAGCAGCTCGCCTTTGAGTCTGGCGAAGATGGGGTCCTCTGTCGAAAATATGCACATCTCACACCCTTTATGGTGGGTACCGTTGGCTCACCCTACGTGCAATATCGGAAATGTTAGTCTTTGATCCAAGAACTAACGCGCAATACATGTCTTGTTTGTACTAGCGTCCTCTTGTCACCGATGAATCGCATTACCTGGACTTGGGAAATGGTCGGAGGGCAAGGATCAGTCTTATTCCGGCTCATCATTGTCCAGGAGCAGTCATGTGCGTAGTTTCCGCCTCTTTGCGTGCTTGCTTTTTCATGCACCCTATATGACTAATGCTCTTTTCTTTTAATCTCACATAGGTTTTTGATACAGGACGACCGCTGTTGCATATTGTACACGGGAGACGCCAGGAACGAAGCAATTGACTTGCAAGGACTACGAGCTATGCCGGCATTCTCGTCATCCAAGCAGCAGATCGACCGACTCTATCTCGACACCACTTGCTGTCATCCTGCCTTTGAAAAGTTCCCCAGCAGAGTGAGTTTATTGACCTACCTTCTTTTTTCTCGTCAATTTGCTCCGCATGACTCGAATGTCGCCAATTATTAACTTTGGCATATTTTTTTGCATAGGAATATGCAATATCGGACTTGGTGACTTTTATTAATCGGAGACCACGACTGGCGCATTACTACATCGACGCCTGGACGTTTGGATATGAGGACATTTGGATCGGGCTCTCCAAGGCGTTTCACACGAAAATCCACGTCTCGCCCTACCTCTACGAACTTTACGAGGCCATTGACGATTTAATTTCACCCAAGATCTTGCCACATCTGACAGTCGACGGATCCACTGCCAGGTTTCATTCGTGTCGATTGGACAAGACTTGCGGATATGGAGGAGCAGGAGGCGAGCATGCTGGGTCGAGGATGCTTATTCGAATCCAGCCGAATGTTTCTTGGTTTTCGCCATTGCTTCGACAGGGACGACAGGATGTTGAGGAAGGGATTATTGCGAAAGGTATTGTCACCGGAAGGAGCAATACTTACACGATCAAGGAACGATTGCCGCCGTCCATCGGAAAGCGTGATGACCTATTCTATGTAACGCGACCTTTTGTCTTCTCCTCGCTTGACTTATTGCACACCGTGTAACACATCAACTGACCATTCTCATTTCTGTATCATACTGAATAGTATTTTAATTATGGTTGTCACGCGAGTTTATCGGAACTGCAGCAGCTGGTTGAGCTGGTCTCCCCGCGGGCTCTGTTCCCTTGTGTGTTACATCGCGACGCCATGACACATACCCTCTTTCGATCCAATCGCGAGATTGTCACCCTGCTTGCACCCTACATGCCACAACGATCAGGTGTGTCCTTGGATGTGGAGGAGTACCGGGATCGAGAACCGCTCATGACAGACGGTGTGACGACAGACTTTCAAGACTTTCAGCATGTCAAGGCCGTCTATCAAATTCTGGACATGAACAACGAAACGGGTGGTATCGTGACGCCAGATGTGGGATCTTCACGGCCTCGCACGGGCCATTATACTACAACTGGCGTCCATCGAGCTTCAGACGGTACACCACTGTCACCGCGGTCGAGGCACCTCCGCAAAAAGATGGACAAGCTGAAGCGCCAACTGCGGAACACAGCAAGTCTGGAGAAAGAGGAGAAGGAGGAAGAGGGGTCGAGTTTGGAGGATGGACCGCTCTCAGTGGATCTGGCACTCGTCGAAAAGAAACGCAAACGGTTGTTGTCGTATTATGGAGGACAGAGTAGTATGGCCCAGGAGACGACAGAGGAAGAGTTTTCAGAGCTACACAGCAGGTCTGGCCGATACAATAGCGATATGTTCAGAAATGGTCATCGATCCGACGTGAGCAGGACTGAGGAAGACAGCAGTCGGCAGTTGGGAGGAGGAAGTGCATCAAAGCAGTGGTATAACCAGAGTACAGTCATCCTTTCTCGAAGTGTGATCTTAAATCTCGACAACGTCGACGACGACGACGAGGGAAGGGAGGAATATGGAGAGAGCGATCTAGGACATGATATATCGACGGGGAGGTTAACGGACAGATCGACCGACAGATCAAGAACTGAGCCGGCGACCCCTGAGGGGTATGTGACTTCCAGTCCAGACTCCATCCTGAGTTCCCTTGGCCTTCCAGAAAAGACTTTTGATGTTAACTCATTCAAGTCTGCTGAGGCTGGGTTCGACAAGAACAACCCCATTTCCCTCTCGAGCGACCTTTCTGCTGCCCTGTCTATTCTGTCTGCCGCTGCAGAGGTGGTTGATCCTGACATTACCGTTGCCGACTGTCTCTACTCCTTGCCTCCTCCCTCTTTACCAAAGACGCCTCCATCACGGACACCCTATCACGGCAAAGTCATCGCTCTCGGAGAAAGCCCTACAAAGTCAGGAGATGGCGCTACCCCGCGTTATCGATCCACATCCCCATCTGCTGCAAGGCACTCTCGACGTGCTTTAGAAACAACTACGAGGATACCTCGTTCTTCTGCATTCGACTCGATGGCCTCGTTGACGTCGCTGCGGGTAGAAAAGCCACGAGGGAGTAATATTTTTGCACAATTGGCATGGTCCCCTCCTCGCAAACGAACGTCGCGATTGACGCGTGCCCAGACTGATCCTCAAGATGGAGGAGGACCGGAATCGCACTCGCGGCGCAACACTCCTGCTGTCACGTTGGTTAGAGAAATTCGCCGTTCGCGGACTAGGGAGATGTGTGCTGTCTCTAGTGATGTGGTTGTAATTGAGAGTAGTAGTAGTAGTGACGAAGGTTAAGCTCCTTGTACTTTTCTAATGTACTGTACGACTCCACTTTTTTTTCCCATCAAGGACGTCTTGGCAACACAACGGACGGTCTCAATTTGCAATTGGGAAAAGTGGAGGGAGGAATCTGCTGCTTTGTTTTTCCACGTCCACGCGTTCATTAATGCAGATGGAGTGGGGGAAAGGATGAAGGGCAAAAAGGGAAAGGCAATGGAGTCTCCACGAACCACATTATATAGCCTTCCCTTGTTTCTTCTGCATGAAAAATTGAAATATTGTTCCCTTCGCCCAATATTCTGCGTTCATGAACAAAAACTACCCTGCACGTGCCCTCACATTTTTTTTCTTTCTGAACAACTCAGAGGGGATGCGAAGAAGGAGTGGATGGATGGTCCAGGAAGAAAAATAAAAATGAGAATCCGAGACAACCAAAACACAAAACAAAACAAAACAACGATTGTATCCCCTGATCGATTGGTGTAGGTTTTAGTTAGGAGACCTGGGGCCGGGTAAGACAAAGAAGAGCCTGCTGGATTTTCCATCTATACTCTGCCACCTGCGTTTGGACCAGATTCATGCAAAGATCTTTTTCCCCTTTTCCTTCGAGCTGGTTCTTTTATGTCCGCATCCCTCCAGCCTATCGTGCCTCGCGATCCAATCACAGAATCTTACTAACAGCTGGTCCAACGAACACAAGAGAAAAGAGTCCCTTGACCTTGCTACTAGAGTAAGATCGTTCGCTTGCACGCTTTGTTTTTGCCCCTGGATCGAAACCCTCCTATAAAAAATGACAAAACCACCTGTATCGTGATGGGGTTTTATGGAGAGGAGTTGAAGGTTAGGAGGGAGGGCTCTCAAGCATCAGAGCGTAATGATGTAACTGTTTATTTGTGCACCCTTTTGAGTTCAGGGATGGTTTTGGCGGGGTAGGGCTATTGTTATTTTTTATATTCGAGTGAAAGAGAGAGACAGAGAGCGAATGGTGAAGGGGACATAACAAGCGCGACACCCAATTGGAGGGAACAAGAGTTGCGGAGGTTGGAAAACGAAGGATAAATGGACGAAGGAAAACGACGCAGCATCAACTCGCCATCATCGTCCTCCTCCCATCAGATGTATTTCAAAGGTAAACAAAGAGTTCCGCATCAAGAAAAAAAAAAGTGTACGGAAGAGTAAAGAAAGCTGACTATCGTTGAATGGGGAGATGCAAGGATGGATCAGCGGATGCAATGAGCTCGGCCCGATCTGAATGAATTCAAATAAACTCTATTGAGAGCGCAAGGGCGCCATCTTTTTTTTTCTTTATTTCTTCTATACTCTCTGGGTGGACCACTCTGTTAGCCAGAGAGTGAGCAGATACACCTGCCTACTGACGAACAACAAAATGGGGAGTTTGTTGCGTGTATAAAGAAGGCTAGTGATAGATTAGCGTTGTTGTTTTGATCGAGTGTGACGAATTGATAGGGACCCAAGGTGTTGGTACCCTATCTTTACTCTTTGATCAGACACCAAAAAAAAAAAAAGCTTCGCCATTACCAAGAAGCATCGTTGTTATTGTCTCCCTTCTCCACTTGAACAAAAGCGAAGATGGACCGCAGGAACAAAAACAAGGCAGCAGCGGTTGTTGACTGTTGTGGGCCAGTATTAATCTGTGGAAATGCAAAGTGAGCTTTTTGATTTCTTTTTGACAGTCAGCTCACCAGTCGACTGCATTTGTAGCGATCTGCACAGTACAGTACTTTCGTTCTGTTCTGCGTGCTCGATATATCTCTCCCCCCTCCTCCCCTTTCCCGGATTCATTTCCCACATCTCCTTACGCCACTTCACTTTTCATCTCTGCTTCCTTCATAACCGTCCGCACGCACTCTTTTCTCTCTTTCTTTGTCTCTGTCCCCCTCACTTGTCCACACCACCACTCCCACGACTCTCTCTCCCTCTCGCTCTATCTCTTCTTCTCTCATATCTATTCTCTCTCTCTCTCTCTCTCCACTCTCACTCCCACTCATACACTTGTCCACACACTCACCCACACTCATACACCTTTGTTGATCTCACTCCACCTCCTCCTCTCTTCTGCATTCACCTTCACCTTCTTCCACTCCATCCACTTCTTCCTCCACTCTCTCTCTCTCTCGGTAGGTGTCTCTACACATCAGCATCCAACCCTCCCTCGACAGCAACAGCATTCACCCTTCACACCACTTCTGCATCCCTCCTAGCACTCCCTCTTATTATTTTCCTAGCATCTTTGTCTCTTACCTGACTCGACCTACCGCTGCACACACGCGCACATCACGCAAACACACAAACACACCCATACCTCCTACCGATCACCTTTTTTCTTCTTCATTGTACAAGGCCATTACGAATGATCTCTTCGTTTGGTCCATTCAATTATTCTTTCCTCTCCTCAACGATCGGTGTGTTGCTTCTTTGTATGCAAGAAACCCCTGTGCACTCTCTTTCCTCCCTATACCCTTCCCTCTGTCCTCTCCCTTTTTACCCTTACCTTTCTCCCTCCTCCTCCTCTCTCGTTCTCACCCTGCCCTGCTGTGCAACGGTCTCGGGTCAAACTATTATCCTGCACAAACACACACCTGTCAATCACCGCCATACATTCATATACCCTTTTCCTTTTCCTTCCTTCCTTTCTCCCTCGTCCTCATCCGCCATGTCTCCACAAAAATCATTTCCTTTTCCCACAACTCGCCACTTTTCCCTATATGGTTTACAGCATTCCAGCATACCCAACTGGCACTCACTCCTTCCCGCATCTATATAAAAAGACCAAGTGGCGACTGAGACCATTGGAAGAAAGAAGAAAAGACGAGAGCAGTTCCGGGGGTACATACGAGCAGTGTGGGCATGAACAGAGAGAAGATGAGAAGGAGAATGAGTGAGCCCTCTATCCTCATCTTTTTGCCTCTCTTCTTCTACTCACACACTCTGTTGTGTTCAATGCGAGCTCACCTCGATGACACCTTTTTTGGAGTTCTTTGTTTGTATCGTGGTGTAATTGTTCAATTGGCCTCCATGCGCATGCATATGAGTGTCTTCTACGTGCAAGATAGACGGATGCGTGAACTCAAGGGTCCATTGAAATGCTTCCTCTTCTCTCTCCTCCCTTCCTCCGTGCTCTCTCCCTCTCTCCCTCTCTCCCTCTCTCTTCCCTTTCCACTCTTTTTCGCCCCTCTCCTTTGGATCGCTTAATACCCCGCTTGTTGTATACTACACGCCATAAGCTCAAACCTTTTGCACCAAACCTTCTCCTTATTTCCTTCCTTTTTTTGTTCATCCTTTGTCCTTGGTTTGTTCCTGGGCGGCATGCGCACCCCCTTTATTCAGCCCTTGTTGTATTCGTTTTTTTTTTTCTGAACCATTCATAATCTACCGTGTTCACTCCTTGCCAATCCTTCTGCCTCTCAAAAGTACTTCTGTTTGTGTGTGTATCGAACCAGGGCGAGGCGAGGGGCGTATTCTTTTTCAACGTGGGTTGTGCAAGTGCAGGGACCATCTAGTAGTGGTCACACACTTTCTGATCTCTTCATCCATGTGTCACCCACAACAGACTGATTAGACCATTGTTTTCATTTATTGACACGTCCCTCTTCCCTCTTCCTTCTTGCCTTCTACGTTTAGCTACGACTCAATTCATGGTTCACAAAATAACTGCATCTTCACCATCTTCATTATCATCCCCACCAATCTCAACACATTCTTCAGCTCGTTGCTGTTGTGTGGCCTCACACTCCAATACTCCATTACTGCATCGTCAACCCCAACCTCCTCCCGCGCGACCCTCACGTCGGTCGTCAATATCCAAGCCAATGCCGTCCTCTCACTCCTTCTCTTCCTCGTCAGAAATGTCGTGGTCCTCGATGCTCTCATACCTCTTCGCAAAAGATCGCTGCCCTCGCAGGGCTCGCTCCTCCTCCACCAGCCATACCCGCACGTCTTCGACTTGCAAGTCATCACACCGCCCAATGCCTTCCGACTGCCAAGCAGCCACATCTTCCTCATCCTCATTATCTTCAAGAGCACACTCAACAAAGACCCTGTCAGAGACATTGCCACTATCGACATCGCCATTGGCCCTCACCAAGCATAGGCCCCAGTCATCACCATTGCCATCGCTCGCTCCGAGCTCATCAAGAACGACTCGGATGGACTCGGTACTCTATCTTCTACTCCGGCTCGCCTTGATTTTCCTTGTGCCTCTCGCGCTCCTTCAGGGTACTGATGCCTTTCCATTAGAAGGTCTTCGAAAGCCATTTGGTCGGAGAGAGGTTACTCTGGTGTCCCCGCCTCCCTTCAATTCTTGGACTGTCCAGAGCAACGCCGTGGCAATGAATCTGTCCAAAATTATTTCCTGCGACCCTGATTCGATGACCGGCCTGAATGGCAGGCTCCCTTCGGTACCAACCAACGGCCCCATTAGACTGGCGGGTATCATTCATGGTAAGCCGTGCACACTCATGTTTTTTAGATGCTCTTCTTTTGGTCATATAGCAACGAGTAAAGTGCACAAGCTAATTTTTCCGATCCTACATGAGGTTTAGGAACGTCCACGTACTGGGATAGAGTGCTAGATGGAGCCAATGACGCCGCTAATCTGACCGGTGTTGAGGTAGACTGGTTCTTGCCCGAGAACAATACTTTTAATCCTACCATTATGGCCAATCAGATCCATGCCGCCGCCAATTCGAGACTATACGATGGCCTTTTCTTGACCATCCCTAACGCCGAAGTCGCCGCCTCCGTGATGCGGGTCACCAGGGAGCAAGTAGGGATGCCGGTCGTGGTTATCAATGTGGGTGAACAGACCGCAAGTCAGCTGGGCTACTTGTCCGTCCTTCAGAATGATACTTTCGCTGGCGAAAAGCTTGGGTATGCCCTTTACGACCGAGGTAAATAGTCTGCGTTGAATATTGCATATGTAACAAATTCAAAATAGCAAGGAAATCGTTCGCTAATTCATCATGTGTTAATGGCAAATAGGCGCCAGGAACTTTTTATGCATCAGTCCCACTCAGACGGTCCAGTCTCTGAACGATCGATGTGCAGGAGTCATGCGAGCTTTCACCAATCGTGGAATCACGTTTGAGGAAGGCTCTGCTTTCAACAAAACCATCTTCACTGGACCGACCAACATCAATACACCGGCAAACCTCGACAGGATCAGGAATTATCTGCGGAATAAGACATCCGTCGACGCGATCATCAGTATGAGCATTGTGGTCATGCCACTCGCCTTGGAGGCCTCAGTTTTACCGCGCAATGTCACTGTGACTCCAGCGGTCGGTAGGACAGGGAACTATTGGGTCGGCACGTTTGATCTGGATGACACTGTCGTCGCGAATGTCAAATCGGGTGCAATCGCCGTTGCTGTTTCCCAGACACCTTATCTCCAGGGAGCCATTCCAGTCATTGAGCTCTTCCTCCAGGTCGCCACAGGACAGAAACTGGTGGAGCCCGTTATAACCACAGGACCCAACTTGCTGACAGCAGAGACGATTGAACACGAGTACCATCTGGATATGACCGCCAGCCTCCAGGACTTTGCCAAAGCGCAGAAAACGGTCGTCGTCCTCAACCGCGACATCCCGCTCGAATCCACCCGGTGGAATGAAGCGCTAGGAGGATTGGTCCAGTCGGCCTCCATGCTTGGATATGATACCGTATCAGCAACCTCAATGGGTCAGCTCAACACAATTCACGCAGATCTAAAGAAGAGCCAGACCAGCGTTTCTTCTTCCGTCAACTATGGACCTTACAGTGGCGTTCAGGGCGTCGTGGTCTCTCTCGCGGACACAACGCAGTACGATGAGCTCATGAACAACACTGCGACTCTCGGTGCGGACATGCCTGTCATTGGCCTGGGCAGTGTGTCAAACACGACCGTACTTCAGAATAGGACTGTCTGGCTTGGACCGAGTGACGAGGCCATGGGATCGACCATCATCAAGGAGCTCTTCAGCAGCAGTTACAGCGTCCCTCTGTGTCTTGTGGAAGAGAACGGTCCTTGGTGGCAATACAAACACTGCGAACAGCTGTACAACACCCTAGTCCATATGTACGGAATGGGCCGAGTGGGCTCAAAAGACAACATGATTCTTATCATCCAGGCGAATGCGGTTGACCTCGCCTACAACATGACTGGCTCGCTTGCAGGAGACCTCGACATCAACGGCGACCTTCGACTTGAGCACCAAGCATCCGCCCAGGCGGCTACGGGCAACAGTGATACAGCACCAAGCAGGAACGCAACACAGCAGATCCTGGACGCTTTTGGACCTTCGGCTGTCGTGGCTTATGATTCCATCATCTGCACCTCGTTGGCCTTGTACGCCAAGGTCGACGAGGTCTACAATGACCTCACTAATCTGCGACGGAACTCTGGAGAGTCGATGGGGCCCGCATTGAAGAGGAATGCGTCCACGTTCGCCGCCCTTCCCTCTTTGTCCAAGATGTCCAGTGACCCGAACACCCCTGGCGTCTTTGTCCTCGGCCTGTCGCCCAAAGACCTGTTCTCTCTGGCGCGCGACGAACTAGTCACCGGTATTCTAAACCCGCAGCAGTATCTCCAAGGCTTCCACTCCATCCTGAGTCTGACGTCCCGCATGATGTTCCCAAGCCGAGCGACAGTCTTTAACCAGTTTTTTAATACGGGCCCTGTTGCGATGGACTACGCCTGTTCCGCAGGCAGCTTTTACTCCTCATTCAACCAAACCCCGGTTGATCTCGGGTCGATTTACGGTTATGTCGGTGCCAATCTTGCAGCTCTGGCGTCTGACCCTGGTCTGACTGGATTAGCAGGCGCTACATCCATGCTTTGCTTGGACGCCCAAAACCGTGTCCTTGTCCAGTCCATGTGCACGCGCTGTGCGAAGGGCAAATACAGTAACAGCACAGACTCTAGTGAGTGCACATCCTGTCCTTCTGGTCAAGTCACTTTGGGCATCGGTCAAACGCAATGCGAGATCTGTGAAGGCGAGGAGTGTTCAGGTTCCTCGGGAAGTAAGTGTTCCTTTGTTTTGATCTCATCATAATCTTGATATTCAGCATGCATGCACGTATGCTCCGCCTTTTGCACCGCAAAGACCTCTGTTAACCTTCTACCTCGTGTATTTTTTTTTGAACAATAGTGAGTATCACGACTCTCTTGCTTGCAGTGCTTATCCCTGTCTGTGTGACCATTGCCTCAGTTGTGGCCGTGTATTGCCTGTGGGTCCGCCGCAAAAAATCCATCAACCTCAAGAAGTTGAACGACGACTCTTGGCAGCTGGATCTTGCCAAGCTCCTTTACAGCGGCATTGGAGGCGAACCTGATGGCACATTTGGTCCTCCTCGCATGGATGGAGGTGATGGTGGTGGCGAGGAAGGAAGCACCACCAACAGTCACAGCCTCAGCAAGAGGATCAGGAATAACTACAACAATATCATTCTCCCAGCCATCACGGTCGGCAGTGGATCGTCCCAGAATACACCGTCAGCTACGCGACAGCTCTCCATTTCGGAATCCCAGGACGCACCGGATATCCCTCGCAGCGGCAGTCGTGCCGGATCGGCCAGTATTAGTGCACGATCCGGTTCAACGTAAGTGAATACTCCTCGCATGTATCATCAAGTAGCTTGATATGTTTTTAATTGCATACTACTATACACGAGACTGACTGTTATTTAACATGTTTGGTAGTAACACCAAGGGCATGCAGGGACATAGCAACAGCCAGTTCTCCCTGGTGATGAACCGCGGGTCTTCGGCTGTAGGCACATGGAGGAGTATGCCCGTTTTCATCAAGAAGATTGGATCGAGGAAAGTCACTGTCAACGCAGAACTTCGCAAAGAGATCTTCAACATGCGTGAACTTCGCCACCCCAAGCTTGTCGAATTTGTCGGTGTCTGCCTTGCCCAGCCCAACATTTGCATCGTCACAGGTAACCCATGTGCAACAATCTCTATCCATGCAGCAAAACACAGCAAAGACATCAATGTCTAACAAAAGTCTTCAACTCTCCCGTCAACCAGAACTCGTGCCCAAAGGAACATTGGCGTCAATTTTGGCCAACACCGACCACAAGTTCACTTGGCTGTTCAAGTTTAACTTTATGCAAGATCTTTGCAGAGGCATGGAGTTTTTGCACATGTCCAAGATTGCCTTCCACGGACGTCTCACAAGTATGAATTGCCTGATCTCATCCCGGTGGGAGCTCAAGATTGCGGGTTATGGTCTGAGCGAGCTCTACAGGTCGCAGCAAGAAGGATCAGAAGTCAACCAGTTTAATAATCTGGCTCAGACCACACAGTCTACTTCTTCGTCCAACCAGCAGCGCAGTATTGGATCAGGATCAGGATTCGGCGGGTTCCGTCCTAGGGCGTCTGACTCGGATCGATCCCAACACCTCAACCAACATCTCCAACAACAGCAGGGCATCTATGACCTTGGTTACGAGGCGCCTTCTCCTAAGATCCGCGACTTGACTGATACCATGGACAAGGAGGAGCGTGCGTTTTATGGGCAGGAGAACGCTACTGCTGCTGGTGCTGGGACACCTATCACAGCTACTTCGACAGCAGTTTCTCCTCGACTCCACCACAGACACGGCAGCTCCCGCAATGGTTCTATTTACCCGGCTGCACCCCCATCCCACAGCGGCATATCGTCTATGGCCGAACATTCGGGCATTGATTACAGCACTGACTCGACGCCCTTGCTCTGGACAGCTCCCGAATGTCTACAGCTTGACAAGAATGGCGACTATGAGGCCATCGGCAGCCAACGTGGCGATCATTATAGGTATGACATGTGCATGTGACAGGTACATTGCATGTCATTCAAGAAGAACGCCAACGCAAGTTACTTAGCCTTCCTCTTTCTTTCAATTACGTTAGTGCTGGAATCATCTTCAACGAAATCTTGACGCGCAATTTGCCTTACCATGACTACAACGACGACGCTAACGTGTTGGATATGGTCAAGGATCAAGACTTCCGCCCAACTTTTATGGCCCCCACTGACGGTACCTTCACTGAGGAGGATCGTGAGAACCTGGAGCAGATGAACCAACTGATCCGACTATGTCTGTCAAAGGACCCCAGCAGCCGCCCCCACTTCACGGCCATGCTGACTCGTATCAACGACATCAACCCCCACAAGTCGAGCGACTTTATCAGCAGTATGTCTGCCATGCTGGAGAAGTATGGTAACGACATGGAGGAACTGGTCAGGGACAGAACCCGCAACCTGCATGAGAGAACCGTTCAACTCGAGGCGGAGAAGGCGAGAACCAATCGGTTGGTCGTCGATCTCCGAAAGGCCAAGGAGGGTGCAGAGGCAGCAGCAACAGCAAAGTCGAACTTTTTGGCCAACATGTCCCACGAGATCAGGTATGTCCACGAATTATGATATGGTAGGATAGCCTCTTTGGTATCATCGCGATACAACGGTATTTTACTCACAATGGAGATATACCATGTCCCTAATATATTTACTTTAGAACGCCCATGAACGCCGTCATCGGAATGTCGCGAATTCTGCTGGACTCCAAGCTCAACCCGGAGCTAGCAGAGTGCGCCGAGACTATTGAGTCGTCCGGAAATCAACTGATGACTGTCATTGACGATATCCTGGACTTTTCAAAGATCGAGTCTGGCAACCTCAAACTGGAGCGTCGTCTTCTGGATCTCAGCTTTGTTATGGAGTCCGCTGTCAACCTCATCAGCTCCCAGGCGTCTAACAAGGACCTCAGTCTCATCTATGAAATTGACCGCAACTGCCCCGTCGAGATCATGGGCGATGTCACACGAATCCGACAGATCCTTTTGAACCTGATGAGTAACGCCGTCAAGTTCACCAAGGAGGGTGTTATCCATGTCTCGGTCGCTGTCGAGACTCAACCCGAAGTCCGATTTGAGGGTGAGGAGACCATCAACGGCGCCGGAAACAGCAGGACAACTACGGCTACCGCAGCGGACCCCACACGATTGATGCCTCCAGGAAGCGGCGGTAGTAACAAGAAGCCCTCCAGGAAGGCCACCGCAACAGAAACCTCAGCAACACCACCTGCAGTCATCAGTGAGGAGGAGACCCAAGCAGATTTGCTGGAGTCTGTACCATTATCAGATGCAGCAGATATGGGCCGTACAAGCTCCGGAACCCTGATCCCTCCCCAGACCAAACCCATCAAGTTGGTCTTCGCCGTCAAGGACACAGGTGTTGGTATCCCAGCCGATCGCTTCGACAAGCTCTTCACCAGCTTCTCTCAAGTGGACGAAAGCACAACTCGCGAGTATGGAGGAACGGGTTTGGGTCTGGCAATCAGCAAACGCCTTAGTGAGTTGATGGGTGGAAGCATGTGGGTCAAAAGCACTCCCAACGTCGGCTCAACCTTTTCCTTCAATATTGTCCTCGACAGCCCTGTTGGATGTCCCTCGTACGGTCAGCAATTTGAGCTCTCCAAGCTAGCGGACAAGAAGCTGGTGATTGTTCAGGACTGCCCCAAGGGACAGGAGGAGTGGAGGCGACGCACGCAGGCCTGGAACATGAATAACGTCAAGATCCTGGGAAGTGACCAAATCTTGCCCTACCTCCGAGACGACCAGGAGTCCAACGAGAGCGACAATGTTGTCTCAAGTACGTCTATGGCCAAGGCTTTGACACGCGAGGCTCTCCAAGCGAAGGTCGAGGCACTGATTATCGAGACTGAGCTCCAGGGACTGGTCTCAGCTACTCCCGAAGGCATCTTGAACGCCATTCAGCGATCAGCAGTCGTAACGACCCATCTTTCTGGTCCTAACCGAAAGTCAGCTCTGAACAGACGCCGGGCGTCGATCAAGGCCGCCTCCATTTCTTCAGGCACTGGAGATCTCAGTGGGACTGTCTCCCCGACTGCCCTGCCCCTGATCCCCGTCATTATCTTTAAGAATATGAGAGACGTCCGCACTGCGGCATCTGTCTCGTCCTCGTACCACGGCCATGCTCGTAGAGACGCCTCAAGGTGGAGTGGAGAGAGAATCTCGAGCAGTGATACTGGGGATGAGGAAGCTGTGTCGACAAGCTCTGGCTCGATCCACCACCGACTTGACCCCCAGGGCCGATGGAAGATCTATGGTGACCTGTCTCAACAGCCACAACAGCAACAACAGCAACAGTCCAAGTATGTTGGTGCTTCCACGTCTTCTTTGCCCTCGGAGAGGTCCTCTCCTCCGTTTGCACATAACGGAGTCGAGGGTGGTTCTCAGACCGGTCGACTGACTTACACAACCGGCCCTGGCAGTCTGCTGACACCTCATACCCAGGCGACGATCTATGAGCACAGCATCAGCAGCGTCGACCACCTCTCAACCAACGTCCCTTCACCCGCACCTTCCCTCGGCCGTACTGGATACTTTAGCAACAGCGACAACGAGTCAGTCACGACGACCAGTCCACCTTTGCCTTATCAAGGAAACGAAGGAGTTGGCGGCTCCATGTCTTATCATCACCGTCGGGTGATGCAGTATGGAGGCTACAACGGCATGGGCATCTTTACCACGCCGGTTTACTTTACCAAACCCATTCGTCACTCCAAGGTGCTGCAGGCGCTTGGCGAGGAACCCATCCTCTTTGATCCTCGAGACTTTGAGGAAGAAGAAGACGAGGATGACTATAACGACATTGATGAGGAGGATGAGATTGAGGACGAGGAGGACCATGTCAAGATCGAGGACGCCTCGGTTCCGACCAACGACAACCCGACCCTCTTCAAAGACGCCCTTCGTGCCACTGCCTCTGCGAACCCCATGGCTCTTCTCCCGCTCATGCCCTTGGCCATGAAGAGGCAACAGCAGCAACAAATGCCACGGGCAGATTCCACGGAGCCGTATTTCGTTGATCCCATCCAGCCGAATGAGCAGCCAGTCCCAGGTCAGGGTCAGTTCTTCCCGGCCAATACCCTCAAGATGCCCATGGGCGGCGACAAGACATTCATCGACTCTGTGGATCCCACAAGTACTGTGGTGATTGATATCCCTTCTGATGATAGCAGCGGTATCGCGCCGATGGCTTCGGGACCTGCCCCTACAGTCACCACAAGATCAAGACAAACCTCGACTGGGTCGACAAGCGGGCCGGAGATCAAGTTCCTGGATCAACCCCCGCCTCAACCAGAGCCCCGCTCTCGTTCCAACGAGAACAATGAAACCATGATGACCTTGAGCCCGCAGCAACAGCAACCCGTACCCAAGCGACTCCTCCCAGGCACGCCCAAGCGTAGGTCCATCGCAGCCATGAATATGTCGAGCCCCAGGTCATCGATCATGTCCCCCACAGGATCTGAGCCTGGAATCACCACACCTCGAACTGTCGGCATGAACGCGGCGACAGGAGGCAATGGCGGAGGAAGTGCCTACTCGTCACCAGCGATGGCAGCAGTCGCGGCAGCGTCTTCGTCGACTGCGCGTAAGATGGCCAAGATCAAGGTCCTGGTGGTCGATGATAACCCGGTCAACCTCAAGGTCGTCTGCAAGATGCTGGGCCGACTCGGAGTGGAACCAGATCTCGCCAACAACGGACAAGAAGCTGTTGAACTGATTGAGAAGAAGATTGCTCTCCTTTCTCTGCAGCTTGAAGGCTCATCTGCAACTGCTCCAGTTGACGGTAACGAGGCTGCACCCTTGCCCTTGGCGTTGCCCTCGCCTCTCGAACACTCACTCTCAGAGTCGAACGTGCAACTGCAGAGACCAATTTTGGTGTCGAAAGCTGGAACTCAGCAACGAGTCCAGTATTCGGATTCGGGCAGCGCGACTAGCAGTACTCATGGTGTCGATTCCGGACTGGGTCTCCTCACTGATACTGACGATCAACTCAATGTACCTCACCCACCTCGTGTTGCTTCTTCAAACTCCACCATGATCGCCGACCTCGCGTTCGAGTCCCTCAACTCAATCTCTTCCGACCTCCCCGCAACCACAACCACCTCCGCCCCCCAAAAGTCAGCCGGTCCCGGTCCTCATATAGTCCCCTACGACCTGATCTTTATGGACATCTGGATGCCCAAGATGAACGGCCTCGACGCCTCCGGCTACATCCGCAAGAATCTCTCTGGCAACACCCCCGACCGCCCCTACATCATCGCAATGACCGCATGTGTGATGCCAGGAGACCGTGAGAAGTGTATCGCCTCGGGCATGAACGATTACATCTCGAAACCGCTTCGGAAGGAAGAATTGGAGCAGTGCCTGAGATTGTTTACGAACCATTACTCGAAGCATTCTCGTTCTCGGTCATCGTCTTCGGCGAATAGAGGTTGAAGCCCATTCCCCCCCCTTGGTGCTTTGTCAATGCCATAGTCTGAATAAACTCAAACCCTTAGATTCATTTACTTTAAAAAAATTGCACCCAGCATGGGAGCCGTTGGCGATGATGAAGAGAGTCAAAGGGAAGGCAGCGTTGATGACAGTGCCCCTGACGTCCTTATGGTGGCGGCAGAACCCCCCCCTTCTTCCTCGGCACTCCTTGTCACAGCCGCCAATTTTTCACTCCCTCTTGAAGCTCGAATGGATCATTTTGGTGAATGCGATGTGCAACGGCACAGATAAACAGGAACAAAAATGATTGGGGACACGGGGTCAAGTCCACTTTCCGAGATACAATAGGAGGTTGGGGAAATAAAGAGGGAGAGAGAAGATTGACAATGGTCTGGGACATGTATGTGCTCAAGTTGTAGATTAGATCCTTTTCATTGCTCTTGCAGAACTAGTATCTTTTTTTTCTTCTTTGTAAAGGAGTTTGTGCGATCGCGAATAGCCTAAAAAAAAAACTTGGGGATGGGGAAAGAGTTCAGTGGTGAAAAAAGAGGCCCGAAGGAAGTAAAGCTGCTAAAGAAAATAAAGGGAGGGGATGGTTGGTCCGTGCGACGGATCCACTCGCAGCCTTAGACACCCTTCAAAGTCTTCTTGATAAACGCCTCAATATTATCAAGACGCGTCTCCTTCTTCTCGTCCCCTGTCTTTCCTTCCAGGTTCATCCAGTCGGTAACAATCTTGAGGATGTCACACATATAATGGTTTTGGATATCCTGCAAGATCTCATGCGCCTCCAGCGAGTGGACAAAGTTGATGGCCACCCCACGTCGACCAAATCGGCCCGTACGTCCGATTCTGTGCAAGTAGACCTCGTAGTCAGCAACCTTCTTGCGATCCGGACCGCGCAGGGTGGTGGGGAGATCGTAGTTGACGACCATGTTGACATCATAGATATCGATCCCGCGCGCCAAGACGTTGGTCGCGACTAGGACTTTTGTACGCGTGTTTCGGAAATCATCCATGCATTTGTCGCGCTCGTTTGGACTGAGGCCTCCGTGCAAGAGGCTGACATAGTGTCCAGCTCTAATCAGTCGTGCCGTAATCTTGTCTGCCACCTCGCGTGCCTATTTTTTACAAAAGGTTTGAGATAAGCAGGATGGTAAATACCCTTGAACTAGGTATTGATTCCAACCAATCGCAACAAATGGTCAACCAGCAGTTGTAAGTAAAAGAGCGAACATACGTGGACAAAGATAATACTCTTGGAGATGGTCATGACCTTGTAGAGGTCCGACAGGAGGGAGAATCGGTCCTCTTCGTCCTCGCAGTCAATGTAGAACTGGCGGATGGTTCGAATTGCAAGCTCCTCGACCTTGCGAAGGCGGATCTCGTTCTTGGGCGCGTTTCCCAGGAACTCCTCGATGTACCTCTCGAAGCGAGTCGGGTACGTTGCCGAGAACAAGACCAGTTGTGCTGTATTCGGTATCAGCCTGCACAATAAATCAACGCGAAGAAATATAAGGATACGGTTAGCGCTCTCCTTTTGCAATTTTACTCAACTGGCTGTTTAAACACAAAAATTTCGCACGGACCAAGACACCCAAGCACGCTGGGGATAATGGCTATTTGAGCAGAAAAGATAAGGGATACCTCTTGATCTGGACGCTCATCTGGCCAAGGTTCTGCATATCCAGCATGGAGTCGGCTTCGTCCAAGACGAGCATTCTGACCTTTGCAACGTTCAAGTGGCGGATCTTGATCAACCTGCCGACTGTTCCGGGCGTGCCAATCACGATTTGTCCATCGACGCGGCTGTAGCATCGGTCGCTCTGGTAGACCACAGGCGCAACCGTCGCCGTTGTGTACCTCGCCAGTTCCTTCATCACATCGACCGTCTGCTGGGTCAACTCGCGCGTCGGTGACAAGATGATCGCCTATGTTTACGATCGAGTCAAAATCAATGTTGATCAGCAGTGAGCATCATTGAACGATTCCTGCAGTTTGATGTAATACTCGAGTTTGTTTCATCAAGTTTTCCCGCCACCATCTCTTAAACGATTGATGTTATTTACCTGGCAATTCGGATCGTCAAAGTTAATTCGGCTGAGAACAGCAAGACAGAACGCGGCCGTCTTTCCCGTGCCAGACTGAGCTTGGCCGATCAGATGCTGCGGCGGGTTCTTCATCAGAAGTGGCAACGCGTGTTCCTGGATCTTGGACGGGCGATCAAACTTTTTGTTGTACAGACCCTTCAGGATATCTTCGTGCCTGTTGTAGATGCAAATACAAAACGCCAGACAAAACAGTTAGATGACCGTTGCAAAGAGGTTATCGATTGTTTGTTTGTTTATGTAAGAAGGTATATCCATGCCCGCTTGATCACAAAAAGCCAAAAAAAAAATTAACAACGAAGTAACATACAAGCTCAGTTCTTCAAAGCGCGTGATGGAGTGATAAGGCGAACTCTGGTCCTGCTGAATGACATGGACATCATAGCCCGCGTTCAAATTGCTCATCTCTCGCGACTGGCCTAAACTCGCGACAAAAAGAAAACGCAGAAGGAACATATATTACGCTATCAGTCAATCATCTTTTCCCCATGCAATGATCAGTACTCAAAAAAGCTTTTTTTTTCTCCTGATATGTCATCATGCTGTTTCGGTCATGATACTCACTGTCATGAATTTCGCCAAGAGACGGCGAGGATGAAAAACCTTCACCATCCCCGCCAGTCTGATCCTGCGCAGAAGAGGGCGCCGAGGCCAGGATCGAAGCTGATAAAGTTGCCGTAGGAGTCGTCAAAGGACCGGACGAGGTTGTGGTCGATGAGCTGATCTGCATGGTCCCGATGTCACCAGACAGCTTCGAGAGCTGATTAACTCCTCCTCCTCCTCCTCCTCCGATGCCGCTCGTCGTATCGTTGTTGCTGTTGAAGCTAGTGCCGCCGAAGCCAGAACCGCTGAAACTGGTGTTACTGCCGCCAAAGCCAGCACCGCTGCTGCTGAAATTCGTGTTGCTGCCACCGAAGCCATAGTTGGTGCTCCTGTTGTTGTTGTTGTTGTTCTTGTTCTTGCTGTCATCGTCAGGGCGAGAGGAGGACGTGGTAGCAGCGGTGCTGTTTGAGATGGCACCAGGGGCAGACGCAGAAGAAGCAGTCGCAGACCAGGAGTTGTTGTTCCCAGGAGCGTCGTGTCTGCCCCTCCAGGCGGAAAATATGTTGTTGTCCATCGTTTGCTAGTTTTTGTCGGGTTGAAATAAAGGAGCGAGGAGAAAATTTAGGAAAGGATGGCGAGTTTCTTTGTGGTAAAGTCAGACTGGGAGAGAGAGAGAGTCTGTCGCTTCTGAGAGAGTTGTATGGTGTCTGTGTGGAGGGGATTGGCAGCGCTGAGAACGTTGTGCGTGTGTTTGTATAGTTTGCGAGCGAAGTGAAGAGGGTGTAGAGGCGAACAATGAAGAGTGAAGTGGCGGTCGACATGAGAATTAGTCACGTGGAACGCCACCAAATCTTGCATGCCAACCTCAACAATGCGCCGCCCATGTCTTGCATTTTCTGTTCAAGAGAATGTATGAGGGAAGAGAAGCTGCCTCCGGTTTTTATTATTTAGATTTCATAAGGTCGTAGGAGACTCTAATGTACATGGTGATTTATATGAGTATGAAAGGAAAGGGAGAAGAAAGGGAGGGGCAAAAAGGATCCCTTTTAGTAACCATCGGCGCGCTTGATGTCGGCGGCATGGTAAGGGCTCTGAGAAGACCTTCCAGCAGCCTGGGCATAGGCAAGCTGCTGCTGCTGCGACTGGTCCTCGTTCAAGAAGGGGTTGGTGCCAGTAGGAACAGGGCCATCAACAGGGACAACAGGAGCCACCTTGGGGATCATGGCAGAATCGCTACGAACTTCTTCCTCTTCCTCCTCGCGACGGTGTCTCTCTTCCTCGGTGGTAGGGCGGGCAGGGAGTGGGGGCAAGGAGCGGTCGGTGTACTCATGTCCGACGTGGTGGGCTTCGACGACATAGGTAGAGTTGGGGTTGTAACCGGAAGAGCCGTAGTTGTTGTGGTTCTCGTTGTCGTAGATCTCGTCGCGGCGGATGTGTTCCTTCAAGCTGCGGAAGATGCTCTTGGGCTCTTCCTCGGTAATAGCCTTGGTATTGTTCAAGGTATCCATGGGGACGACATGGCCGGCGTTGGCGGTGATATAGGGGTTGGGACCGGCACCAGGGGCAGGGCTCATAGTGTAAGGCTGGTGGTGGTAATCGACACGGCGGCGGCGGCGGCGAGATTCGACGATCAAGGTGAGAACACCCTCAACAAAGGCAAAGAAGGCGAGGCCGGCGGAGCAGTACAAGGCCTGCTCGTCAAACTTGCAAAGATAAGTCAAAGGCTCGCCGTCCTTCCAGGCAGGGCAGTCAAAGATGTTGTTGGGGTTGATCCAATCGCCATTCTTGTGGTTGGTACGGTAAGCATCAGCCTCGGGGGTGTTGCGACCGACAGGGATGCTGAACATGATGCGCTGATTGTTCAGCCAGACAGGGACCACCCAGGCCGTGATACCCGCTGCAAAGACCATGGCCCAGATGAAGCGGAAGATAATCAAGAAGCGTTTTCCGCATCCTCGCTTGACTTTGGGAGCCTCACCGCCCCATCCGCCGTCAAGGTAGTCACTTCTGTTGTTGTAGCGGCTAATGCGGTAGACAACTTCAGAGATACTGACAAAAAGGAAGAGGACTCCAGAAATCCCGATTTGGGAGTAGAATCGCCAGTGGAAAACTACTTGATCGTTGTTGCGGTAGATGCGGAGAAAGTATTGGTCGAGGCCAAAGACAGCCACCGCGATTAATCCAATGAGGACTCTGGTGAACGTGATGAATCCGGCCAATGTCATTGTAGTTGTAGATCTAGTTATGTGCGGTTGGTAGGTGCTACAAAGGAGAAATAAAGAGGGGTTCTGTGGAGGTGGAGGAAGAGGGAGTGTGTGTTGTTGTTGTTACAGGTGGTAGTATGCAAGTGGAGACAAGTTGGTAATGGTACTGTGGAGAAGAATTAGAAAAAAAATTGCTGAAGAATTTGCTTTTGTCTGGAGTTGTTGTTGAGGTTGATGGAGAATTCAGAAAGGAGCGAGACCCAGGGGTCTTTATATACATCTCTTGAGGCGTTATAAAATGATTGAAAGGCTGTTCGCGCCACTATCCTCTCCTTGGTAACAGTGGCTGTTTCCTTTCCCGACGCCCCTCATTGCCCGTTCTTTCCTCGTCCCTCTTGACAAGGATATGGCTGTTTCCTGGAAGAAAGAAAACAACATAAAAAAGACAGGGCATAGCCAGGAATGTTACGACGTTCACTTTTATTTTGTCATTGTGCATACGCTTCCCTCACCCTCTACCCTGTTCGTGTGGGTGGGTAAGAGCAAAAAAAAAAAAACTAGGAAGTCGATGCACCTTTGCTGTCAGTGCTCAGGCTCGATCAGCACAGTTCTTCTTTTTCTATTTCTCTTGGCGTTCGCAAGTGGCAGCGGAGATTGTTTGTTCAGGTCCACCAATTGAAAAACAAGGAGCAGAAGTTTATCAGCACTCCGGATATACTCCTGAAGACGAGCTCTTAGATAGGAGACAGGAAGAGGATGAGCGGCAAGGTAAAGATGATGGTTAGGGAAAAAAAATATATTAACAGATGTTAGAGAGAATGCTTGTTACTCGGTAAGTCTGTTGGGGATATATGGAGGGAGTCGACATCGAAAAGCAAAGGGGACATGCACGATGGCCCAATGTAAAAATAATTTCCAAAAGCCCGACTTTTCCTTCCTTGCCATCAGCATCGTTTTCCTTTCCCCCTGTCAATAGTTTCTTGGCGCTGTTATTTTTCTTGGCAAGATTTCACTTGCCTTAATGACACAATAGCCTCCCTCACTATGCATTCATAAGAGAGAGTGAGGCGTTCGACACTCTATTCATGTTTGGGTTGTTCTCGTGCCTCATAAGGTGCAAAAGTGACACAGTGTAGATCGGGCAAGGCAACCAACCATGCGAACACAAAAGCAACATTCTCACACTAGGGCTTGTACGGCAGTGCAAGAAAAATGATGCGCATTTTATCTCTAGTGCAACGAGAAAAATCCATTCTGCTCCGTTGACAGGAATCTTTGTAACAACATAAACCTATGCTCTATTGTATTAAATTACGCGTCTCATTCGCAGCCAAGGGATCCACTGGAGAATGTCACTGTGGACCATTTAGGACACGAAGATTTAAGAATTTGAATGGTAAAGAGGCAGCTTTGTATTGTCCTGGTTACGCTTTTGTTTTTGTACTTGATAAGTGTGTGTGTGTGTGTGTGTGTGTGTGTGTGTGTGTGAGTGTATGTGCGTGTGCGTGGGCGCTTGATGATTATGCTAGAAGGTGGTTTGCCAAAACGAAGGGCGGGGGGGAGGGGGAAAGAGAGAAAAGAAGGGAAGTAAGGGGAGAACAGTGAAATATGAGACACATCCGACGTGTAGTACGCGTCCTTCTCTTTCTCTCTGTTCAATTGTCGGTTCTGATTCTATTCACTTTTTCTTGTGAGCCTTTTGATACTTCTCCAAACAATCGTCGCAGAACTTCCAGAGCTACGAGAAACAAAAAGTCAAGTGCAATAGACAAATGGTCAGTCGGCATTGCACCTTATCATCGCTTCCATCATGTAATCATATCTGTGGTACGAACTCCAGTTGTCGAGTGCCATTCGTGTGTTTGTACGTACCACCGCCAACAACGAATCACCCAACGTCCGGAGGTCGATATGAAATTCGCCCGCTATTATATTCAGAAATGCAAAAATACAACTGCATGTTAGACAAAAAGCAGGGTGTGCATAGACAAAAAGCATACTCGATATAAGCAAGGACAAGCCACAGTAAAATAACACAGGCAAAAGCTAATTTCAAAACTACATACCTTCTCCATCTTCCTTGACATACATTTCCGAGGTCTGGTTAGCCTTGACCAAGTTCACCAAGGGAATCAAATCGTCAGGGTGAAGCATCTGGAACTTTTTGGCCAGTTGATGTACGTCGATCTAGAGGAAATGGTTCAGTAGACAGAAGCATCGGTGAGTACTTGATGACCTGAACTATATATACAAAAAATCATGTCCCCGTCGCGGATATCGCGCATATATCTTGCAAATCATGGTTCCTGCACGGTGTCAAGGCATACCTTGTCGTCTTCGTCTCCCGAGACAGCAGCACTGCTGTTTGCTTGACTATCATCATCTGAACTCCGGTCATCCTTGATCCGCTTTGATTTCTCCTTTGTCAATGCTTCCCTTCGTCGCTTATGTGTCGATCCGTCGTTTGTGCTGTCGTTGCTTGACTCTCTGTCCGATGCATTAGTCGCAGGAGAGTTCAGCAGCTTCAAAAAGCTGTGCTTCCCGTCAATCTTTGAAAATGTCTATATCAGTTTAGGAAGATTGAGAATGAACATCGTACGGTCAGTCGTCGGGAATTCTCAGCCATATCTTATCCATTGAATCCGCCGATGATGGCAAAAAGACTAGGCGGAATTGAGGTTGTTCCTTACGATTGTCTGAGGCATCTCGTAGTGGTTCTGCTGAAAGTTGAGATCATGATCCAGTACGAACGGTGGCACCGACTTTTCGACAAAGTGCAGCATGATCTTCATGTCGAACTCGCCCCACCCCTTCTCCTGTAACACAAATGGATATTCGGTCACCTCTACGATATGACAAAAAACAACATGCAGTTGGTTGGTGAGTTCGGTACCCTGAGATCATGAGATCGGTTGAGCGCGAGAATATCAATAACAACGCGAGCCCATATGATGAGTGGTGGTTGATTTGTGCCAACATACTCCTGAGGGGTTGTTCAAAGGTCTGGTGGAGGATGTATTCGACATAGTCCACATAGGGCATAGGTTCGTCGTCGCCATTGGCATTCACGCCTGCTAAGGAGATCTTCCACTTGCGCATGGGGAATCCATTCTGCTTCTGGCCCTTGACGATGTTCTGGTCCGTGATCACCTAAGAGGTCCAAACGTTCGCAGGGGAGGAAATATGCATGTTTAGAATACCATTGAACGTCCTTTGTTGATTGGACAGGGTAGCACACGACCTTGACAGGATTGGTATAGCGGATAAAAAGACGAAAAGAGCCTTTCAGTTTGTAGGCTTCTTTTGGGAGCTTGTCGCTTCTGGTACCTTGATCTTTTTGTGGATGGTTTTCTATTGGTTCACGTGGATTTGCACCATATAGGGTTTAGAATGTAGTTAGTTCATGGTCAGCTTATTATCGTCATAAAGACCTAAAAACATCCAGGTCGGTTGTTGGTAAAAGCCGGGGCTATTTTTTTTTTTTTTTTTGTTTACCTGGGGCATAGTGATTGCCTATGGGTGTAGTGTGTTCGTGTGTGTTTGTGTGATTGTGATAAGGAGCCAAGGGGACTCGAGTAAGCGTGCGTGCCTGACTGGGAGAGTTTAGCGGACAGGTACGAGAATTGATTAGAATCCGAAAAAAAATAAAGACAAGACAGAAAACGATTAGTTGCCGGAATGCGGACATGAGAATGAGGTAGCGACAGACGCAGGATATTCAACGATGAAGGCGACATGTGTACAAAAGTTGGTTGTTGTTGTGATCTGGAAGAGAGTGAATTACCTTTTGTGTGTGTGAGAGTGTGGGCGGATGTGGGGAAGGCAAGGTGCTCACTGTCTGAGAAAAAAGAAGGGAAGGAAGAGAGAGGCTTGTTGACCACAGAAATGAGAGGCTGTTGGTTTTCGTGTTGCTGATTGCTTATTGTTGTTATTGTTTTTTGTGGCAGGTGGAAGAGGATATCGATGATCGCCCAAGTGGAGGCGTTGCTGCTGTTTTGGGGAAGAGGTTAGCGGGGCTGAGTGCTTTTTGAATGTTATGCGAAGGATGGGTACCAGATCGGCGATGGGAAAGGAAGATGGAAAAAATAGAAGGACGAGAGGTTCAGCCAAAGGAGGAGCCTGAACAAAAGACACCGAACAAAAAGAATAAAAAAGAACGTCACATTGGGTTGACAGATGGACACAAGGTGCTACCTGCAGATAAGGACCAAACCACAGCAAATGAAAAAGGCCGTTGGGCGAATTTTAAGACGCGAGTCCCGACGCGAAGTCAACACACACACACACACTCACAAAAGAAACGCGGGTCCAATGGCGGTTTATATTTACTTATTACAAGTACTCTTGTTAGGCGCCTTTAAGCTTGTACTGGCTGTTCTCGAGGCGGACGATGTCCTCGTCGGGACTCTGCATGATCCAGAGGCTGGTAAGATCGACGATCTGGAGCAACAGTGGCATCGACCACCACAGCAGTTCAAACGAGAACTCTGTCGTACCCATCATTAAAAAGAGTGGCGTCACAGAGACAAACGTCCAGACCAGGAGGCTATATCGTCCAATCCGGGTCGTATCCCTGATGATCGCCATACCGATCCCAAACGAGATTAACGAGAACAATGTCGCTGCGATTGGTGAAGTGCTATCCCGAAAGAATTGCGATGGATCCTCATAATGATCCGGAAACGATCCTTGCTTTGGTGCTCTCTTGTACCATGCGTACGCCGCAAACGCCAGATGCCTAACAGTTCATCAGTATTAAGTTATTGGTGTTAGTGGGTGTGGTCTTCATAGTACATGGTAATGGCATAATTCCCTGCCGTGACAAAAGGAGATCACTAGTTCTGACGCACGTGAAGATCTCCATGACGGAAAATCCCAGCAGTATAAACTATACCAGAAGATGTATGTGAATGCTGAGGTTAGAGCAGCTTTTTCTTTAATGGAAAGAGTGCAACAATCAACACAATGAGGATACTCTTGAGCCATCGCGACGACTGCATACCTTGAACCAGTCATTGGCATTGTCGTTTGCTACGCGCAGGGATTCAATAAGTTCTTCTTGCTCTAAAAGATACTCGAGATAACATTGACGCCGAGTTAGTACTGTGCAATACACAGCGAACGACATGCGGGTTGATTTGAGATGACATCGTATGGGCATGTATTAATACCTTCTTCGGGAAGAAAGTCGGGTTCGTCGTCTAAAGGCGGTCCTCTGAAAAGTTGTTTGGTGGCGTTTGGCCTCCGCTTGAGGTTTTGCAGTTGCTCCATGGCGCTCTTTTTTCTTTCTTTCTCACTAGTGTGCGTGTCTGAATGCAGTGAGTTGAGTGGTGTTGTGCGAGTTGAGAGAAGAGAGCAAAGTATCGAGTAGGTGAGTGATGAAAGAGGCAATGAGTGTGAGTGATGAATGAGGAGGTGAGGAAGAATGAAGAAGAAGAAGAAGAAGAAGAAGAAGAAGAAGAAGAAGAAGAGAAAAAAAGAGGAAGCAGCAGAAGCAACCACGTCTCGACAAAAGAACGTGACAGGCAATTGGATTCATCCTTCACTTTCACTCGCCACCACCGCGTACCCTTTCTCGCCCTTCTCTTCCTTTCTTGCCTTCATACTCCCTTTCTCCCTTTCTCCTTCTCCTCGTCCTTCTTATTCAACGGCCAGCCTGCTCCCTTCTTCCTTCTTCCTTTTCCTTTCTTCCTCGCATCACCCATCTCTCACCCCCCTACGCCACCCTCTTGATCTCCACCTTCCCTCTCTCCCCTCACTAACGTCTTCTGCAGCGCGTGCTGTCAAACACACCCTCACACATACCACTTTCACACTATACAAACGCACATAGCCACCGCACCTTATTTCTTTTTCTTTCTCACCTCTATTCCTGTCCTAACCACTCGACCATCCTTCACACACAACCTATTACCTTCCTACCACTTTTTCCTCTTCTTCACCTCCTCACACATACATGCCGCCTCAGCCAGGACAGGGAAGAACACCTGCTGCTGCCTCATCCAATTCAACTTCAGCCAACAACACCTCCACCACGTCGGCCCCACACAACCCCATCGCCAAGGTCATCTGGGAGGGGTCCATACCCATCCAGTTCTCCTGGGACAAGGCCGAGGCTGCCGCCGTAGGGTCAAGCGCCGTCGAATCCTTCTTTGTAAGTCGCAAGAACAAAGAGGCATTCACAGCGGTGACACTTGCTGATTTACAAAGGACAGACTTCACATCTCTTAGACCCAGGCAACAGTGCTTGGAACGCAGCATGGCAAGCCGCAAACTCATTTCTTTTTCTTCTTCTTGTTCTCTCATTACTATTAGTATGAGGCTCAAAGGTGTTCGTACTTTTCACTGCTGACGAGTCATGTCAGGAAGCACTTTGTCGACATGGCACTTCACTTTATTGGCGACGATGCCGAGGTCTGGTATGACTATGAAGGAACGCCTTTGAAGTGGTAAGCTTAACGCCCCCCTCCCCCCCTTTTTACAGTGGGCAATATCGACTTTCTGTTGCCAAGCAATTAGTCTTTCTCTCCTTGAAAACAAAAGATGGGTTAATGTTGCCCTATCTGCCCGTCTTGAACGTCTCGCTAATCGTCTTTACTCCTTTTCCTACTGTTCTTATGCTCTCTTTTCCGGACACCGTTTGTCAATTGAATACCAACGGAAACATTTGCGATAATGGACCACCAAACACCACAAAGGCATTATCCAATTGGACTTTTGTACGATATCCACGGACTCCAGGCATCGTCAGGTCGGGGTATGAACGGATCGTTGTTGCCCTGGAAGGTCACCGTTCACTTTCAAAACTTTCCCGGCGACAAGTTGATCAAGAGTCAAGCTGTTGATATTTGCCAGGATTACTTCATGGCCATGATCAAAGAGGTGCGTTGCTGTTTGACGTGGTTGCGATTTGCTGCTGCCGTGTCTTCTTTGACTGCGGGACAAATTAAGCACGACATGAAGAGCGGGCGAAGTGGAAGAATCATATTTGCTGCTATTTTGCTCCCATTTGCTGACCTGGCATGCTCTTTTTTCATTTTTCTTTTCACTAGGCCGATTACTTGCGCAATGGAACAACGAAAAAAGTCATGAACATGTCTAAATCGGACCAGACACAGCTTTGGGATGGATTGTCTTCAAGTATGGAAACAACGCCAATCTTTGATTGCTAAACGACGATCTACTATATCTTCGAAAGTACTTCCGAGCACTATGTCAGTTATGCAGAGATTTCTAACGACAGACGTTGCCTTTTGCTGGACTATGATAGACAACTATGACCGGTTTTGGGGCATGAACTACAAATTGATGCAGAACGACGGTGTCATGGCAAGGAATCTCCCCATCAGGATATACCTTCCCGAGAACTGCCCAGTGATCCAGGAGCCCGTCTCACCCATCGATGACAAAGGTAAACCGCACAACCCCCCGAAAGGCGGAGCAAATTAATTCTGTCACACCACAGCTGTCCTAACATGACCACTTTTCATTGACGCCCAATAGAACAACCAAAGACACTGCGGCAGATCCTTAATGCATCGCTGCCAGATTTGTTTCCACTTGTCGAAACAGGACCTCCCGTAGCAGGGGCTATGATCCACGGAATTATACCCAGCTTAGACACCAGCGCCATCTGGGCGTCGCAAAACATGTCCTATCCGGACAACTTTCTGCACGTTGTTATCATCTTCAAATGAACGAACTCTCCCTCCTCCTTTGTTCTTACACATTCAAGGCATGGATGAGACTTTGGGTCAAGGCGGACACGACAAGGTTCAAGATGAGCAAGCTAGACTGGCATTTTCAACGCCCCCGCACAATCCAACCCAATCCACTTACTTGTCGGTACAAATTAAATAACAAGTTGAAAAAGAAAGACGACGTTTTTTTTTTTGGCAGGTTTACTGCTATTGCTTTGCGCAATGAGAAGTTTACAATTTCTTTAGTCCTCTTTATCATTCTCTGGAATGACAGGAGCTGGGATCTTGACACCCTTCAGGTGGTAGGATGGTCGACGCCACGCCTTGGTGGTATCCCAACCAGACCTACTCTCAACCGCTTCAAAAGTTTTCTTGACCGCCGCCTATAAAAACACGAAATTCAGTCTGTTAGCCAAAAGAATGAAGACCTTTTCAACACTCCCAGAAAGCGGACAGTCATGTGGAGGCATAAATCCGTGCTTTACCTTTGCAGAGGCCAAGGGCCCGAGGGCTGCCAATAAGAGTCCAAGCTGAATGTTACTTGTAGGGATCTGGAATACCCCTAGAGGGCGATGCAAGTAGATCGCTTCTTTCTCGAGCGTCAAAACTGACACCGTACACCGCGAATCTGGATCGATAAAAAAAACAAGTACGACAATTAGAACGTAGAATGGCAGTGAGTACTTTTGAATGAAGGGTAAATGTCGTTTTATGTCTGTTTTTTGTTTTGTTTTCAGTGATCAATCATTACCTTGGACAAGAATCCCAACGGCGCCGGGTTCAACAACACCGGCCTCTAGCATCCTGTCAATGGCCAACTTGAGTAGGCTTGGAACCCTTCTTTGGTCGTCCTTCCTTGCTTCCTGTGGGACCACGCCTGGTTTCTTGACTTCAGCTACCATGATCGGGAACCCGTCCAGCTCTGCGAAATAGTCGGGGTAGTACTCTTCATCAAATAGGTGAGGTGTCGGAAACGGGTCTCGGCTCCTAGATCGTTAGATGAAAGACAGTTATTAGGGCCCGTTATTAGCATAGCAGATTTATCCCCAAAATATTTGAACCAAAATAGCACACTGTTTACCAGTGATCGACAACTTCAAGGTCGCCCATGACAGTATAAATAATCCCCTTGACAGCACTCTCCATATAACTATCCTCATTCAACCCCAAAACACCCGCCGCACTCGGGAAGGAATCTTGAGTCTGCCAAAGCGCCGGTCTCGATGTGTAAATGCTCAGCAATCGTCCTGCCAGTCCCTGAGAACTATATTTCTTGTCGTCGATGAAGGCTCGGGTTGCTTGATAGGTGTTTTGAGCTGCAAAGGCGGCAGTGTCGGCGAGAGTTGTGATGTCGTGAAGGGGTGTGTGTTCGAGGGTGGTAAGAGAGAGGTCTCGGTATGCGCGGGGCGTGAGGTGGCGTTTCAATAGACTTGGCTGGAATATGAAGTTTAGCGTCCTATATAAAAAAAACAAGCATCAGGGATAGAAAAACAGTTAGCAAAATGTATCCGCGGCTCACTTGGCATTTACATATCGCACAGGAGAAAAATATAACAACACGTTTCTTACAACAACTCGTCCACCTCACGGACTTCATTTTGCTTCCTTAACACGCCCCGCCGGACCTCCATCAAGATCTGCGAGATATCAGCACCATCAACAATAATCCTGGCGTCGGTCGAAAGTTGGCATGAGGTGGTTCCCCGCCCAACCAGTCTGTTGAAGTGTGTAAACTCGATCGAGTTTAGTGAGCTCCGAGTCGAGCTCTGTAAAGATGTTGTCCGGAAATCACTTGTTTCGTCCTCGCTTGATAGTAATGGTCCTAAGAGCTTTGATGTTGCAGCTTCCTGTTTGGACCGTTTTGACGATGGTCGGTCAGCCTAGGAAGTGTAAGGGGGAATCGAGCGCTCTAATTAATTGCTGTGATACAAATAATTGAAGTGATGAGAGCAACACTCTCGAGACATATTAGTACATACCTCGCCCTCTGTCTCGTCATCAGTCGACTCCTGAGGGTGCTTTTGTCCTATTTCCAAGGAAGGTGGCAGAAAAACACGCGCTTCAGTGCCAGTCTCCAATATCAAATGTAACCATCTGTTACAGACTTTATGAATAACCTTACCATCGCCATCGTGCATAAAAGTTCGGTATTCCTTGACATGGTGTGCAGCAACAATCTCCAGTTCCTGGGTGACATGAACCATCATGATTGACGTGTGATTTCGCTATAGTATTTGATACCATGGACACAAATCAGCGAAGGAACGACGACAAAATAGGAGCAATTTGAAAAAGAAAAAAAAGACCTAGCAAATGTACCATCATAACGGCAGTTTTGAACTCTGCCAACCGCTGCTTGATCTTGTGCTGCAACAACCGTCGCGCGGCTTGCTGTTTATTGAGTGACGTATGGTTGGCCAGGTATGGGATCGCAGCGTGGGACCATATGTTTTCCAGTTCGACGGCTCCAAGATGGGCTTTGGTCGCCTTTGTGAATCCTGTGAGGGTGATATCTGAGCCGGCTGTGGTCTCGAGGTAGGCCTTTTGGTCCTTGTCGAGTTTTATTTTTCCCATTTTGGTCAGTGATATGGTGGTTGGTGTTGGTTGTTTTATGAAAGAAACGGAAAGGCGGTGGAATGAAAATGAAGGAATGATGTGGGGTGTGATGAATGACTGAGTGAAACGGTAGGGCTGCTGGAGATAAAGTATCCCTGGAGGTTCAGGTAATAGCGACCAAGGGATAGGTCAGCTCAGACAATGGAAACGTAGAAAGGAAGAAGTTGGAGACGAACAATCTGGGCGGGAACCCTTGTCGCGTATTGAGGCTCGAGACGCGTTCTTGTGCTCGAAATTGGACTGCCGCTTGGGGTGGCTTGACTTGAAAGGGCTCTTCACTCTCAGTCTCAACCAGCCCAACCAACACCATCTCGCGTGTTCCTTTCATCAATTCAACCCACTTCTCCTTTGCTACCTATTCCATCCGTTTGCGACCTCGTCGTCCCTGCTGCAAGAAGCCTTCGTCCAACAACCTTCGACTTCAACATCAATAGGTCGCCTTTCCAACATCTCAGCAAAAGGCAAGTACCGACTCCCTCATCAGACACAGGAATCAGAGGGGAAACACAACAACAGCAACGATGGTGAAGGGAGTCCTTGACTGCCACTAGTCAGGCCGTTGAAATCAGGACTCCCGGGGAAAAGGCGGGCAAGTTCACTTTATGTCGAACTTGTCATAATGGCGCCCCACTGTTCTTGGAGGGGTCATACCCATACCCCCTTCCATAGCCGTTCTTCTTGCCGCTACTGACAAGGCGAGAATTCGGTGGTGAACCGTGGCGACTGATAGTTGTATCCAGTACTTCTTTCAGATGAAAAAGGCATGCCCTTTTCCCCCACTCTTGTCGCTGTTATCCTCTCTTTTTTATTTATGCTTTCGCGGTTATTTTTTTGTTTGGACAGAGTCCTCCAACTCGTTTGGTCAATTCGTTGGAGAGGTTTACTCTGAAGAAATGCAGGCAGACACATGTGTAAAGTGTCTGTCATGGCGCCCCACTGCTCTTGGGAATTATTATTTTTCCCATAGCTGTCTTTCTGCTGCAACTGACAAGGCAGAATGGCGGTGATGAGCTGTGGTGAACCTTTCATCGGTTTTTAAAAGTGGCATGCCTCTTCTTGAACAAGTTACCAACTCCGATGGTGTGCTTTTGGTAGTGCGTTTATTGGTGGAAGGTTGGTAGTAGTATTATGTCATTACATCGACTAACTAGTCATTTTTTTTTATTTCCTCTCTCTCTACGTATTAATACGATGCTGCCGAGTGGAAAGTTTGACACCAGGACAACAGGATCGTTACTCTCACGTTTACATGACGAAACGGGTGCAATAAACATGTTTCATTCACACCATCAAACCCGTGTAAGATTTTCTAGGCCGATTAATGGATGAGGCGAGCGAGAATTCACGAGTCGAGACAGAGAGGCACAAAGACGAAGCGACAATGACATATGTATTTATTTCTACTCCTGTCAATGTAACTATGTAAGAAAAAAAAGTGGGAGAGTGCGCTCACTTCCGTGAAGAGAAAATAACAGCCAAGTCCAACAGGCGTAAAACTACAAGATCAACTCCAAATCATCATCCTCTTCGTCCGCAACCGACCACAGACGTCCATCATCGTCATCGTCATAGTCGGGGGCCTTCTCGCCAATCGTGAAGATGCTGGAACCCATACCGGGGCGAGCATTCATTTCCTGGACCTTCAAACAGAAAGCATCGAAATCCGCTCGGTCCCTGCAGTAGAACGCCAGCAGCATCGACGGGTCAATTGCGTTGATGTCGATCTTGCGAATCGTCTCGCAATGATATGTCGAAAAGTCCTAAATATTTGCGATGGGAATTATGATTTAGACTCGCGTTAACATTAATTACACGATGCAGCCTCCAAGGCCAACGCATCAACCCCCAAAATAGACTTTACCTCTGCTGTGTAATCATTCAGATTCTTGGACTCGACAACGCAGCGTGAGTGGTGGGGGTCCAGGTAGAACAGGTCATCTCCTTGGTATCCAACAAAGTAGTACGACGACGACGGGCGACCACTATTAGGCACACAATCGTAACAAAAAGATAATCGTCAGCAGTCCTTTCCAAATACTTGCCACCTCTCTCAGGTAGCAACAACAAGACAGCGTATTACTTACCCAGCAATGCCCAAGGTCTGAGGAAACTCAAAGGTGGTCTTGATGGCATCGTTGTAGATAGGGTTCAGCTTGTCAATTCCAAGACGAATGGTCACCAAGATCAACAAATGTCCAAATCCGTTCGATTTCTTCAGCGTCGCCGCCTCCTCGACCTGGTCCTTGTAGATAACGCCGTCTGTTGTCACATACACGCCGAGTCCGCTCTCTGGGTAGTTGTGAACAAGTGCCCTAAGGAAAAACGAATACAAAGGAAACATGTATGTGTGAGTTGTTGCGTTTGTGGATAGTTTGAATGGTTACACGAAGTGATCACACACAAAATAGCAGAAGCAGCAAAGCGACTTACTTCGTGACTTGACTCGTGGTCGAAGGACCGAACCACTCGCCAATGTTTTTTCCCAATTGCTTTCCGAGGAGAGCAATGCGGTGCACTGAGAAGGGTGATCTTGGGTTCATATCGTCCAAGAACCACGAGAGAATCTGTTTATGTTGAAGCAGCGCGTAGCATTAGTCTTTGAGTCTTCCAGTCTCAATTACGGTTCGCGTAAAAGACTTGATTACAGGTCGAAACTACTTACCCGGACATATATGTCCCACATTGGATCGCCTGGTACTGGCTTGTTCCACCCTAATTATTATAAAAAGGAAAGGCGTGTATTGCATCAGAACACCATAACAACAACAAGTTACTCTCAGAAATAAAATGGGCAAAAGAAGAGTGGATTACCTCTTCCCATAAACTGTATTGCTAAGGCATTTGCCAAGAGTCCTTGGCCCGAGCGGAGCATGCAGCCCCATCCAACATCGGTGGTGAAGGTGCTGGGTTTGATAGGAGGATAACTGTGACGGTAGGTGCACCAAATCAGTCCCGAGGTAAAGTCCCGCTGAAAGTCGGTCCATTGGGTTGGTGAGGGTGGATAGAGCTCGCCCATCAAGTAGATGGGCTCATTGCTGAGATTCGATGGAGGAGGGACACAGGTCGACGACCTGCTCGCAATTGGATCATTGGCCTCATGTACAATTTGGGTGGATGTATCCTTGCTTCTCCTGCCAAGACTTGGCACTGGGCTGACAGAAGCCGATTTCCGGTCAGGGATGTCGAGGGAATATCCACGAGGGGGTGGGACTGGCTGCTGCTGTGACGAAGGAGGAGTCCGGTTCCCGCCAATAGACATGAAGCTCTCACTGCCAGCCTTGGATCCCAAGGAGTACGAATTTGCGAGGCGTTGATTCTTGGCGGGCCGGCCGTGCTGTTGCGAATGGATTGAGAGTGACTGGCTTCCAGAGTTGGGTGCTTGAAGGTGGGCCTTGGCAGAGTCGATGGTTGATGTAGTTGTTGGTGTTGCCGTTGACGATGACGATGACGACGACGTAGGAGGAGGGGTGGGAAACCACGCATGCCACATATTGACGACATTCTTTTTGAGATCCTGGGCCATATCCGCAGCTCGCTCGCCGTTCGCCTGGGTGAGGCCTAGGTTCGAAGCCACTGAGGGCAAGCCGACTCCTGAAAGATTGACACTGAAACGAGACCCCAAGCGAGATGCTGACTGTGCTGCTCCCTGTTCTGCTTCTAAGGCTTCTTGTCCTGTCCCTGACTCTGTCACTTCGGGTTGTGTTGCGCCGGACGGTGCTTGAGTTGTGTCTGCAGCCTGAGACCCAGGAGCATTAGACACTTTGGCGGCAAAGGTAGGAGGGGTTTCAGGCTCAGTGGTCGTCTTTGTGTTGCTGCAGTCATTGCTGGTAGTGGTATCGTTGGCGATTTCTTTGAGGTTGTTCTGGTCTTGGACTTTGTCGGGGTTGTACGATAAAGTAGACTCGATATGAGGGTCGTGGGCGCTCTGAGGATGGACAGTCACTGAGGAAGAGTCCTGGTGACCTTGCTCCTTCGTCAAAAGAGAGTTTGACGAGTCATGGACAACAGGAGTCGACGACGACTTGGAGGAAGAAGGAGGGGGAAGAGAAGGGAGTGGTGCTGCGGCGGGTTGGCCCTGTTGCATCTTGCGCGAGTCCATGTAGGTGTGAATGGAGGAGGAGAAAGGGTTGAGAGTGGGGGGCGGAGGACGAAGAACAAGAAGAAGAAAGGCACAAAGGACGCAGCAAAGGTAATAAAAAATAAAATGACCTTGCCTCCTTTTTTTTTTTTTTTTTTTTTTTTTTGCTTTCTGGCGCGAGGAGGAGAAGATAGTAAAAGGCTGAGTAGGGGAGGAGAATAAAAGAGTCGTCTATTCTTCGAGGGTACAGATGCAAAGTGAACAAGGCTCGGAAACAAACGACAAGAGGGCTACGAAGAAGGTGATGATACGAAAGGGGTCAAAGGTGGAAAAGAGACGCAAGAAAGAGAGAAGAGAGCAGGAACAGAACAAAGAGCTGACGATACCATGGCTCAGAGGGCAAAGAAAGGGCTTGTCTATCTCAAATTGCACAAGGCTCCTCGACTTTACTCTCTGCTCAGGTGACATCTAATTGCACGTGATCCCTCTCTAATTGACAACACATCCCTGTCAGACTGACGACGACGACGAGCCCCTTCTTTTTTTTTCGCTGGCCCCTTTGAAGATCTCGCTCACTCCTTCTTTCTTCTCCACCTCCCCCTTCAGCCTTTTATTTTTCATCCACACAAAGAAACCACTCACTCCATCCACGCGTATACAAGTCGTCACTTTTTTTTGACACTCCAGACAACAAGGCTAGATCAAGATCATCAACAACAACAACAAACAACAACAGCATCAACAACAACAGCACCAGTAACACTCAGCTATAACAACAAACAAACAACTCTCAACCATCCACATATATTCGTCATCAAGTCTACAGTCCACTATGGCTGATATTCCAGACAAGTCAGAATCCGCTATCCTTGGCCCTGACACCGCTGCCGTCCCTGTCCCCGTCCCTGTCGCTGCTCCTGTCCCTGTCGAGACTGCAGTCGAGGCGCCTGTCCCTATTCCCACCATCGAGAAACCTGTCATCGCTCCTCAAGAGACCCCAGCAGAAGCCACAACAGCAGATGCTGCTCCAGCAGCAACACCCAAAGATGACAACGCCATCATCACTGACTCCACAGCCGACAACCAGTCGTCAGCACCTGCTGCTGAATCTGCATCAGCGCCGGCACAGGCTGAACCCTCTCAAGGAGCCGACACAGTGATGGGCGAACCTGCTAACCCAGAGACCGCTGTCGAGACCAACCAACAGGAGACCTCCACCAATCAAGGTATCGAAACTGACGGGCCCACCAACGAGGGTGCAGAGTCGAGCCAAGCCAACTCGTCTGCTATGGAGACCGATCCCAAGGCCTCTGCCGCCCCTACAGCTAATGCCTCTGCCGACCCTTATACCGAGCAGGACGAGGGCTACAAGGGCACAGAGCTCGCGTCCTCCGTCCCCGCACCTTCCGAGAAAGCTGCTGTGGAGGCCAAGAGTGACAACGCAAAAACCAGTGCTGAAACGACCGGAGAGGGCCAGTCTGCCACCAAGGCAGCTCCTGCTGCCAATGCTAACCCGTCTGGAAAGGGGAACAACAACCATCACCCTCACCACAACAACAACAACTACAGCCGACCCTACCAGAGAGGTGGTCGTGGAGGCTTCAACAACCGCTATGGGTTTCAGAACAACAGTCGCAACTTCAACAACCCAAGACCCTTCAACAATAACAATAACAACAATGGTCCTAACAGCAACAACAACAACAACAACAACATGAACAACGGGCCTAACCATCAAAACAACAATTACAACAACCTCAATCACCATAATAACAACAACAACAATTTCAATAACCAGAACAACCACAACAACGGCGGTAACAGCGGCAACTTTTACAACAACAATAGCAACAATAGCGGCGGTAACAACCATCATACTGGTCCTGGTCCCATTCGTCGTGGCGGATTCCGAGGTAAGGCACCACCCTACTTGATAGTTGAGCATGATCACACACTTGCTGTATCTTGAGATACCATCTTGTGATTGGTCAATTCTCTTCCACACCTTTTGTCAAGACGCGTCACCATTTAACACTCTGGGATCCAAAAGTCCTCGTCGAACTCATTAGACTCGGGTACTGATACATTTTTATGATCTAATCCTTTGTTACTAGGTGGTATGCAAGACCAAAGACCCTACCGTCGTGAAGAGCCTTACCGTGGCGGTCGCCAGGGTGACCACTTCCAGCAGCGTCCTCGCGATAACTTCAACAACAATAACAACAACCAAGGGTTCAACAACAACAATCAAGGGTTCCACAATAACAACAACCAATACCAGAACCAGAACCAGAACCACCATGGCCCCCATCACCCCAACAATCACCCCAACAACAACACCAACAGCAACAACTTCAATAACCAAAACAACGGGCCTTTCGTTTCTGGACCCAATGATCAGAATTTCCAGCAGCCGCAGCAGAGACCTCCTCACTATCAGCAGCGCCAACAGCAGCAGCAACAGCAGCAGCAGCAGCCTCATCAGAACGGCCCTCCTGGTCCAGCTCATCATCAAAACCAGCAGCAACAGCAGCATCAAAACCAACAGCAGCCACCTCGATTCCAAGGACCGGATCACAACGATAGACAGAGACCTCCACGCGCCCCTCGCGGCCCTCCTCTGCCTCCTCAAGGCCCTCCTCAAGGCCCTCTTATGCAGAACCAGGGACCCCCTCCTCCTGGTCCGGCCAGAGGACCCAAAGGAGGTGATGTCAAGTCGATCTTTGACTATGCAAAGGGCATGCGTTGGGATCAGGTAAAGTACTCCTTGCATGATAAATGAGCGACATATTGCATGCGAAATTAGATTTGGAGCATTCATTAACTGTGTCTTCTTCTTTCCACTTGGAATCAACAGGGCAACCAACTTCCCGCCGGGTCTCCTAATCCAAATGCGGCACAGGATCCCTCCTTCCATAACGCACCAAATGCCGGACCACCCGCTGCTGCTGCCGGTGCATATGCTGCGCCCTATGGCCAGGCAGCTCCTGCTGCTCAAGCCTACGGTCAACAGCCACCGGCCCAGGGTTATGAACAGTATGCTCATCAGCCTCCAGTAGCTGCCCCAGTGGCTGCTGCTGCCGCCCCTTACCAGCAAGAGTGGTACCCTAACGGTCAGGTGAATGTGGCTCCTCCAGTTCCAGTTGGTGCTGGCGGGCCCACTCGAGGACCTAACGGACCCAATGGACGTGATTGGCAAAACCCCTCTGAGCAGGCGACTCCATACAAGCGCCCATCGAACGCTGGTCGCGGAGGCCGTGGAGGTGGCAGAGGCGGCTTTACCGGAGGAGCTTCGAACCGTGCAGGACAGCAAAACACACCTGGATTCAACAACCCAGCTGCAGCTGCAAACAACAACGCTGGTGTCAACAGCATTCCCTTGAACCAGAACAACCCATCCGCCGCTGCTACCGCCACAGGATATGGAGCTGCAGCTAACGGTTATGCTGGACGCCAACCCCCTTTGCCTGCTCAACCTCCACCAACAGCACTTCAGCAGCAACACCAGCAGCAGCAGCAGCAGCAGCAGCAACAACAGGCACAGCAGGCTCAACAGCAGCAGGCCGCCTACTCCCAAGCATATGCCCAGAACTACGGATATCAGGCTGCAGCCACGTATCAGACTCCTGCCGCTGCTACTGCGTACCAACAACAAGCACAGGCCGCAGCAGCATACCAAACACCTGCCGCGGGATATCAAGCTGGCGCCACTGCCTACCCAGCGGCCGCTGCAAACGGATATCAGGCCGCAGCAGCAACAGCTTACCCTGCTGCTGCGTATCCCGCTGGAGCTACCGCCTACCCGGCCACTGCCACTGGTTACCCGGCTGCCGCTGGAGCTGGTGCCTACCCTGCTGCTGCAGGAGGATATCAGGCCGCCGCTACAGGCTACCAACAAGCGACAGGCTATCAAGCAACAGCAGCCTACCCAACGGCCGCCGGTGCCTATCCTGCAGCAGGAGGTGCAGCAGCAACCGCCTACCCAGCCGCCGGTGCGTACCCTACTGCAGCAGGTGCTTACCCTGCTGCCGCCGCCACAGGCTATCAAGCAGCAGGATACCAACAACCAGCAGCAGGATACCAGGCAGCAGCCACGGCCTACCAGCCTTACCGGTAAACAGGAGACATGCAACGCGTGCTCCTCCACGTCCTCCTCTCATCACTACCTCTTTTGCTTTACCTGCTTGAATCCCTTCTACCCCCCATCACCGACACAACTTTCCCTCCATTCGCTTTCCAACTTGTGCGCGCAGACATGTTACTTTCGTTTTCTTTCTTTTTCAGTACCATTTTATTATTTTCATTTCAATCAAAGTTCTTTCCTCGATGTTCCACCCCTACTTTGCGCACTTCCTGTCACTGTCTCACTTCCTCACTGACAAGTCCCCCTACCAAACTATGGAGTCTTGCACCTACCTCCCGTCATCTCTCCCTCCTTTCTCACGACTTTTCCCACTTTGATTTGGATTGGGCGGCCTCTTTACACCCGGATCTCTGTATCACTGCCTCAGCGCACCATTTACGTTCATGTCTTATCAACTGGCAGATCTGGCCATCGTTGCTTTCTACAAAGCCTTTACTCATTTCAGAGCGAGTTCTCACTGGCGTCTATCGTCTCTCGGGGAGGTTTTTCGTTGGAGTCTTGGACACATGATTTTTGTCAGAGGAGCTCATTGAAGCGCAACAGCTGGAAGCACAAACAAAGTACGCATTGTGAAAAATTGGGTTATTGTAAGCATGGACAATATGGATATCAGCTTCAGCTACATTTTATTCAACGTTTTAACACGGGCTTTCCATTCTTCTCTCTGTGTTTGTAACTGGTCTTCCTCTCCTTTCTTCCCCCTGCTCGTTTTACCAGAAAGATCATTGTCTTTGTCAGCACAACCGTCAAGCGTTCACGCTCAATCTACTATGGTCTTTTGAGACTCCTCAGCACTCTGTGCTCACCTCTACACATCAATCTGCTCCCCTCCCTTTGTTCTCCTCCTCCCCATCTCACGTCCCGTCAGCCCTATTGTACAACCAACAGATGAGATGAACGTTGTGAAGCAACAAGACCAGAGACGTTATAGAGCGATCGACGCAGCCCCTTCTCTCCTCTTCCTCCTCCTCCCGCCACACACATTTATCTCTCTCAGTGCCAGCCTTTTCCATTTTCTCTTTTTTTTCTTTCCCGATTTGTATCATAAAGCAAACAGCTATTTTTTCCCCCAAAACACATCCCAGTATTTGGAGATACTGTTTACCAGTTGACTTTATCAACTATATCAAGCGCTCTCAGCATCAACCAAAAAAAAAAAAAAAAAAAAAAAAAAAAAAAACTGATGCTTTCAGGACAGTTGGTCCCATACGCGCCATTGGGTGTTGAGAAAGAATGTGCATATTTGAAATTGTATTGTGTACTATGCGGGAGGAGTAGTCTGCAGAGGAACGACTTCACAGGACTTGTGTCAAAACGAAAACAAAAACAGAAACAAAAACAAAAACAAATGTGCTTGCAGTGGATGGGCTCTTAAGCCTTGAGAGATGCATGTGGTACATTGAGCTGTGGCCAATTCGTCCATCTCTGCCTGCTCATCTATACTCCACATTACACGCGAGATCGTGAGCATGGACACAAAGTTCATTGCCGTCCTCTTTTTGGGCGCGTTCTCGGTCGCTCCTTGCAGCTTCCCTGCTTTGTGGATTCTTACTGGCTTTGCACATGACATCCAGAAACCTCGACCGCACACCGCAATACAGTTTCTGTGCCTGTGACATTGAAAAATGACTCTTAAACCCAGAGTGGTCAGGATGACATCTGAAGTTATCTGGGTACGAACAAAAAAAAATCAATAATTGTAAACATAAGGGTCCGGACTCCGGGTATCAAGGCCAGGTGCAGCCAAAGGCGACCAATGAACATATCTCGCTTGCGCCTTTTGTTGTTTGTTCATTTGCGTGTTTGTTTTGATTGTTGTGTTATCGCCTCTGAGTAAACATTGTTGTTCACTGTTGTTGGTAAACTTCATTGTTTTTCGCCCCTTATCCGCTTTTCAAGGAGGGGTTCAGAAACTGGAACAAATCGGCGGAACAGTAAAAAGTATCCTCAAATTTAACAGATAGCCAAAGAAAATGCACCCCACAAGCTTAAAATGTTATGGAGTTAGGTTTAGCGGAATTCATGATCTTGTGTCTACCTTTCGGGAGTGAATTTTATGAATTATGATAAGGTAAAAATAGGGACAGCAAGAGGGTGTTTTTTTTAAGTTGGAGGGGATTTTTTTAGGTTGGAGAGGGGTTTGGACAAGATCGACATGTCACTGGTTTGAAATGAACGTTGGCATGAAAATCACATGTGGTTGGAGTTGGCCTTGGCGTACTGGACGAAGAATGGCCTCTACAGTAGGTCATACCGAAACATTATTCCGCAATGAACGTAAGCCATGGATAATGCTGTTGCTACTCATTTTGCTACACTGCCATCGACAGTTGATCCTTTTCCGTTGGGATGTGGAGAATTGTCATTTCCGAGACCGCGTGGTTGGCAAGTTTGTTTACACTCTATCGAGGGCAGACTCAGATCGACAATTCAAGTGGATGCAAAAAAAAAAAAAAAAAAAAAAAAAAAAGAGTTGGCACATTGGAGGAACTGAGTGCATTCTCGGATCTACTTTCGATTGCACCCTCGACCCATTATTTGGAAGATGAATCGCCCATCGTTGCAAGAAGGCTGAACCAACGAGTTGACAGCGGTAAGAGAAGAAAAAAATGCTGGCATAACTAATTCCTACATTCCTGTGTCAGTAACTGGTGTCTGTTCTGCCATTTTCATGTTTGTTTGTTATCAATGCTTAACGGAAGAAAAAAAAATAGTTATGGTTCTGTATGACGCAATCACCCCAAAAGAGTGGAATGGTTGACAAAGAACCAAAACGCAGCACTACAGTTCCATGCGCCCTCTATACTAGCAAAAAAAAAAAAAAAAAAAAAAAAAGAAGAGGGCGACTATGTCTAGAAGAAGAAGAAAATGGACAAACGATGATTCTTGAAAAGTCCGAAGGGAGTTCCGTTCCAAGAGGGTTTTTGTTTCTTTTGCTGAGGTGACCAGGTATTGATTTTACCTTTTCAGATCTATTGAGAACCATGTCAGAAATTAAAGACCGGACAAGTGATCCTGTGCTCAGCTCTTCTTGGGATAATTTTTAATTCGCTGCCTCGACGATCATGATCGTCGTCTATCCTGCTATTCACGAACCAAGGTATCTAAATGTTTTTTTTTATATGTGGTGCCGACAAGTGGGGTCACTGAATGTGCACCTTGGCCCAACTTGTCGGTTCTTTTTTTTTTTTCATTTGTATGCAACAAAAAGAAAAGATAGCTGCTGAGAAAACAAAAAGAGAGGAGTACTTCTCCAGCGGAACAGGAATAGAGAAAAAAAAAAGTATTTGACCAATCACGAGCAATAGAATTGAAACTGATGCCTTCATCATGGAAGGAAAACATGAGCGGTAGACACCCGAGTAGTCGGCGCTCATAACCGAATTGGGACACAGCCAATAGCCTGTCGAGCAAGACATATGAACAAGAGTAAGTAAGCAGATAGACACAGAGAGAAAGACAGATAGACACAGAGAAAAAGACAGAGAGACAGAGAGAGACAGAGAGAGAGAGAGAGAGAGAGAGAGAGAGAGAGAGAGAGAGAGAGAGAGAGAGAGAGAGAGAGAGAGAGAGAGAGAAGTCAGCAGAGTAGGATAAGAGGAGGATAACTGTGAGAGAAAGAGAAGGACGGTGTATGAATTAGTCCCTGCAGCAACAAAAAGAAAGAGTAGAGGAGAAGACGGAATAATTACTCATTCGGTCCCCTAAGACGAGTGAATGAATGAATGAACGAGCTCGACGATATTGCCCATCTTGATGATGATCTCTGTTCTGGCTCAGCTCCCTGATCGTCTCCTCGTTAATATTATTCGGCCCTTCTTCTTAGCTGCGGTTTGAAAATAAGTATATTTTTCCCTTTTTTTCAATTTGGCCATGGCCAAAGGTGGATAGTTGTCTCCTTTTCCTTTCCCCAGACAGAGCAAGCCCACAGCAGCATATCTCCCCTCTCTCCCCATCTCCCTGCCCCCTAATCCCCTATCTCTCTGTCTTGTCTCTCTCACTCTACTCCTTCCTAAGTCTAACCCAGAAAAAGTATTTTTTCTACGAAATGAAGAAGCAACTGTAAAAAAAAACATTAATAAAAACAACTGACTCCAAAAAACATCTCCCCTCACTTTTCTTTTGGTTTTAATTTGTTGATATTTTTTTTTTTTTTTTTTTTTTTTGATGGACCTTTGTCGCATCTCTTTTTCTCATTTCAAACTCATTCGCTTTTTCCTCTTTTTCATTCTCTCTTCATCACCTTCACTTTCTGACATTTACCCAACACCCTAAAAAAAGGCGGTCTCCATGGATCGACCTTCCATTGCGCCCATTCAGTCCAGTCAGGATCAGCACAATTCCTCCGATGAGCATCATGCCAAACGACAGGCCCAGCTACTGACCTGGACCAATCGACGTACACGAGTGACCCAGGCCTGCGACCGCTGCCGTGAGCGCAAACGACAGTGTGGTACTACTAATTGATTTGGAGGCGACAATCATTTATTACAACTTCTGTCCCTCATACCCTCTCCGTGGCTAATTGATGTCCGTTTCTGTAATTGAGTATCAATTGTAAAAGAAGGGAACAAAAAAAAAAGAGGGACTGACAAGGAAAGACACAAAGACGAACTGACAGAACTCACTACTCAAGAGAGCAAAAAGAGGAAAGGATGGGCTGGATGCTCGTAAGACATTCAGGAACAAAAGACATTTCTGTCGATTAACATTTTTTTTTACACAAAGACATTCTTGTCTGTGTAAAGAGAGAATAAAGGGATCAAAAGGGTCGTGTGAAGAGGCAGTAGAAGCAGTAGGTATTAGGAAAGGGGGAGATAAATGGAAGAGCTTTCATTGCTGCACAGTGATACAAACAAAAACGGATCTGCTGCTGCTGTTGCATGGTTGACTCAACAGACTTCACAGCTCCTTTATGTTCTTTCTGTTTTTTATGTATGCCCCTGCTCTCCTTTGCTCTTTTCCTCCCCCCACTCCCTTGCTTCCTTCTCGACCCACTCCGCACATATCTCGTTCGCCATTCAGCTTATTAATTTCTTTGCTTTTTTTATGGTGTCCAATAGATTACCTCCTACCGAGATGTGGCCGTTGTCAAATGGTCAACAAGGACTGCACTTTCCTTGCTGTCCAAAAGACCAGAGGACGACCCCTCGGCTCATCCAACAGCAACACCAACAAGGGCGCGCCGAATCCATCGTCACAAACTACCGACACCAGCAGCAGCAGCAGCAGCAACAGGAGCAGGAGGAGGAGCAGCGACGCCAACGTCAACACGGCTCTAGACCCTCATCCCGACATCAACGATCGACGGGACAAGCAAGGACCATCATCAGCGTCTACTACGCGTACAACAGGACCTGCAGCACCTCTTGCTTCGAACAGGAAGAGTCGAGTACACATAACCTCCGCATCCGCTCCAGCTCTGTATAATTCGCACCTGTCCGCGCCGCCTCGAGACTATTTGCTCCTCACACCATCGTCGTCCACGCCAGCTTTATCGTTTTCGGGGAGGTCGCGTTCATTCAGCTCCATGACGGCAACGACTGTACCAGGGATCGCCGCAATGGCCGCAGCGCCATCTTCGTCAACGACTCCTGCGGTCCCCAACGCGTGCTCTAAGGAAGTCGTCGACCATTTACTCAGCCTCTTTTTCGAGCACTGTTTTCACTATTTCAATTTCTTTGACCCGTTAGCCTTCTTGAGCGAATATGACCAAGGAATTGTCGACCCTTGCCTCGTTGACGCCATGTGTGCTATCGCTGCCAGATTTTCAACCCACCCGGCCGTCCTCGCGTCACCGCCTTATCTCTCCGGAGAACCCTTTGCGGTCCGCGTCCGAGCCGCTCTCAGCCGTCAAGTTACCTCCGAGGTTACGATGAGCTACCTTCACACAGCACTATTGCTATCCTTCTACGAATACTCGTCTGGACGGTCTTTGCAAGGTTATCATTTCGGAGGAATGGCCTGTCGGATGGTGCCCGAGCTGCAACTCTATGATTTCCATTCAAGGATACATGGAGACGATGAGGATGGAGGCCAGTACAGCGAGGAAGACGATGAGGAGCACGGCTGCCGCGACTACATCATCGACGCCGGCGCTCAGTCTTCACCTCATCAAGTCCCTTCTCTCTCACCAGAGGAGGCATGGATGGCCAACCAAGTCAAGTCCCGCACATTTTTCTACCTCGTATTTATCGACACTGTAGCCGCGCTCTTGTCTGGACTGCCACCTGCAATCGATGCGGCCCAGTGCGAAGTACCTCGCCTCCCTGACGGTCGAAGAGATTGGTGGAAGAGAACGGATAGGAGGAGGAGCACGAATACAGGAACCATTCCACCTGTGTCAACAACACCCAAGCCAGAACTTGCACCGACACCCGAACTCATGCGCCAAAACAAATCTACAACACTCGGCAGTACCACATTCACCAACACCAACCCACGATTTACTCCCGGAGCGAGCCGGATATCGCCGTCAAGTCTATCACCAGCAGCACTACATTCGTCACCAAAGTTTACCCATTCCGCTAGCTTGCCTTGCCATTCTGCATCACCACTCTCGCCATCCTTGCCTCCTTGTCCTCATTTTTATCCTACTCCTAATCCGCCCACGCCTTCACCCTTACAGCCGGTCTCATTTTATTCCCTTCCAACGACAACGACAAAAACACCAGCACCCCGGAATAACGATGGACCTTTGCTGCAGAGTGCCTTCTCTCAGTCAATCCTCCGGGTTCTGAGTCGCCCCCAATTGCTGCTCGGACGCGAGCCCCTGGAACACTTCCGCACCTTTATCCCCGTCACAGCAGCGGTCATGAAACTCACTAATCACGGATGCGCATCTGAAACAGACAGCACCATGATGCTGACCGCTACTTGGCCCTTGTCCTCCTCTTCTTCCGCCATCCTCACCCTATCTAATCCACACACCGACGTTGACCATGTTCCGCCCTTATCGTTATCATCAACAACAACAGAAACAACATCCAGTAACACTAGTGATACCACCAACAGCAATTCATCAGGGAAAAGAGCTACAGCCATATCATCTCACTACAACACCAATAATGAGCTACCGCACCATCACCACCACCACCTTCACCCTCATTCACCACCACGTTTTCGCAACCCAAAGAGGAGGCGTGCAAATCACATTTTCACTTCCAGAGAACGCAAAATTGAGTTTGAGCAGGCGGACAAAGACCTTTTACGATGGGCGGAACAATTGCCAGAGGATTACCGACCGACGAATGTGATTGCGACCTTCCAGCAGCTGGAACTCAACTCTGTCAGCCTGTCCGTTTTTTATTATCTGATGGTGATGATCCTGCACCGACCCATATTGATGAACGCCCATCTTGCGGCGAACAGGAGTCATCATGGAGGAAGTGGAAGTGGAAGTGGAAGTGGAAGTGGAAGTGGAAGTGGAAGTGGAAGTGGAGATGGGGGGAGGAGGGTTTCGATGGTGGTTACAACAGCAGCAGGAGCAACAGCCGCGGTGGCGTCAAGAACCCAGTCAGAGGAGATGGATGATGAGGTGGTTGACGGTGAGGATGAAGGAGAAGATACAAGGGACGAGATTGAGATGAAGAACCAAATCGAGGATAGCAACAAGGACAATGTGCGGAAGAAACTGAAAGGAGGAGGAGGAGGAGAAAACGAGTGGGACAAGAACGACTACGACTCGGACGATGCCGAGGATCTTCAGATAATCGAGCGTTCGATGCAACAGTGTATTGAGGCTGCCCACGCTGTCATTGCCATTATCAGGAATTTTGATGATACCATGACAAAGTACCAAGGTGGGCACTATACTTTTACTGTTTATCTTGCTGGGACTATGTAAGTTTTCCTTGTGAGCCCTAGTATGTATGTGTGCTTAATTGTTGATGGGAACATTTCAGCCCTAATTGCAACACTCTTTTTTTTTCCCTCTCTCTCTCTCCTTGTTTTTTGTGTTGGTCCTCTCTTACAGTCTCATCATGCAACTGTCAAAAACCGAGGATTCTGCCGTAGAGAGTGAGATCCGCGAGGAGTTGGAGGTCTGCTTCCGGTTCTTTTCCATCCTCATCCCATACTGGAAAGACGCGGACGAGAAGGCCAAGGTCCTACGAGATCTCTTATCGACTCACGACAACAAAAACAAGCAACAAGGACCCGATAATAACGAGGAGGATGAGGACGATCAAGGTCATGAGGAGAGGGATGACGATGACGACGAGGGAGATAACGGAAGTGGTGGTGGCGGCGGCGTCGAGGACGATGAAGGGGACGAATATAGCGCAGATGATGATGGTGGTGCGGAGCAGAGCCTACAGGATCTTATTATTGCTGACGCGCTCCTAGATCTGTCGAATCGCCCGCCAAGGGAGAACTATGAACGGAAGAGAACCGCCTCGCGATCGATGCCTTCGTCGTCACGGAAAGCGGAAGCGGCTGCTTCTGCGTCTGATTCTTCTTTACCGTCAACATTGCCGCCGCCAAGACTGCCGCCACCACTACGGCTCTCGCGTTCAGGATCATCGCTGTCGAAGTATCGACGACTAGGATCTAAGAGCCAAATTCTGGCGCCAACAACGGCAACCACAGCCAGTCAGAGACGAACAACAATCCTTCAGTACCCACCTTTACCATCGGCAGCATCTTTACAGCACACAACCATACCTTCCAACCATTTTGCCACCACTACCAACTATGCCATTAATTCCGCCTTAACTACAACTGCAACCACAATCATGACTACAACCATAACTACTACAACCGCCTTTACTACTACAAACCCCACAGCGGCAACACCAATTTGTTTCGTGGACCGAGTCAGTAGAGGACAAGTTGAAGGATCCGTTGCAGGAGGAGGAGGAAGGAGACACACGATCAGCACTGTAATCTCTACATTCCTCAAGATGGACAAGACCCGCACCCTCCCACCTCTGCCACCCCTAGCACCCTCTCGCCACCATAGACATACAACAAACTGGATAGGAGGCGGGGTCTACCCCGAGTGCAACAACCTTGACGAGACGACCTTGATTTTACTCGAAAAGTTGTGTCTTAGTATAGAACCGCCATTTTAACAAACTAAGAAAAAACGACATACATTATTGACCCTTTTATCTTATCATCCAATGGTTGAGATGAAAAGAATATTATGCACAGGGGGAAAACCCCTACCCCCAAACGAAAAACAACTGCTTTCGGTTTATTTGAGTCTCATACTTACTGCCAGAATACCACTTATTGTTCCGCCAGGTTCAAGTAGGTTGCTCCAAAAGAACCACGCACATATGAAGGGTGAAAAAAGATATGCAATCATTGAGATGAGATAAATGACTCCCTGAAGACCAGTAAAGTTAATGCACACCAACACTCCAAGGGAGAGATCGACCAATCGTGGTCATCATAGGGGAGGACTAAGAAAACAAATGGTCACTGCTACTCGATTTCCAAGGTGTGGGACCCGGGCGACGGTGCTTTTTTGTGATCCTTAACGATTCATCCACAATCAGTGAGGATATTGGATGTTCACTAACTGAATCCCAAACCAAGAGTAGCTGCCCGCCCCCAACCTCAACCTGAGTCGAGGGCATAAGTGAAACACCGTCCCCAGAACCAAATAATGGGAACTAGAAAGACCTTCCAGTGCCCGGACTACCTTGTTCTAGAGCTGCTTCGGCAAGCTTCCTCCCCCTTGTAACCACCTCTCTCTCTCCTTCTTGTTCTCTCCTCTTAAAGAATGAAAGTTGATGACAATGTACTTGCCTTTCTGGCACGACGCTATTGCAAGGTGTGTTGGTTGGTCAAGGTGTTACGGTTTTGTCGTTGTTTAACGAACTACTCAGGGCGATGCCCTGTTAGCCAAAGAAGAACCGAGAATGAGCAACAGAATTAAACCACCGTGCTAGTACCTTTTTTGTGACCGACCGCCTGTGGGTCGAAGCGTGAAATTGTTGGAGTGGCAGTATCCTTTTCTTCCTGTCTTTCCTGCTTGTTCATGTCGATTACCTCCGCTGCACCCAAATCCGAATCGGTGACTCGACCATTTGACTTTTGAATTATTTTCTGCTTCCAGAGTCAACATCGTTTTGGAGTCTTCAAGTGTCAAATTGCAGAGTGTTTTTTGTTGGTGGCGGAAGTGGGTAAAAAGTACGTGGAAGACAGAGAGAGTAAAGCAGTGAAAATATGACGCGCCCCTCTTTTGTGCCCAAGTTTGTAATGAATTTTCATCAACTTGTGCGCACGATCCAGTTGCGACTTAACATTCGATGAGATGGACTTCCTGCTAAAAGCTCTCCAACGCGATTGCTGCTGCTACCTCCTACCCTTTCACCAGCAACTAAAGTACTAACTTGCGTTTACAGCCTTTACCTCTCCCTCACCGCTCAATGGCGATGGTTTCTCTCACTGCTGGAACCCATTTGTTGCTTGTTTATTATTCTACTACCACCGTCTCTTCTCTTACTTACGAGGTAATCTATTAATCGAACGCGCAATAATGAAAGGAAGGATAGGGTGATTAGTTGAGCGGGACAAAGTCCCTCCAGGGCAGAAAACTGATTGGTAGGAGACAGGTCCTCTGTACTTGTCATGTCAACTGTTGTCAATTACATCGTACAGGATCCAGCGTCGATCTCTCAAGTTATCGAGAGAGTTCATGTGTTGGTCCTGCAGAATAAGGCCTTTTAGGGTGCCAAGAAACGCGTCCAAGGGGACAAAGGCGAAAGTGACGTCTTTTGTTCCAAGAGGCTCTCATTTCAAAAGGCGCGGCACGCAGTCGAGACTCAGCACGTCACGAGTCTGCTTTTTTTTTTTTGCTTCGGGCCTTTTGCACACGCAATCGACAGGGCACGTCGACAGCACTGCAGCGACACCAATTGGGACCGCAGGATAGTGAACAAATGAAGCAGAAGCAGTGGTATGTTGTTTTTTTCTCTTTGGTAACTTTCATGACAAACACTTTGTTCTTTGCGAAATCTCTTGGCACGCATCGTCGAATGGCAGAAATGAGAAGAAAAAAAAAGAGGCAAAACAAAGCAGAGGAAACGAGAGAAAGCCATTCCTGGGTTCTGTACGTCATAAAGCCATAATTGTTGTTTCTTTTATTCTTTGTACAAATAGTCATGGGCGAAAGATGGAATATTTTGTTGGTGTGTATGTGTGTGTCCACGAGTGTTTGGCGAACAGAGTGTTGCTGAGGGACGCCTGGTCCCCGAGGACGTCGAGAGCTTTTTTAAATACATACTCCTGACAGTTATTTACAAAGACTCGCCGATAGCCTGATGAAGAGCAGCAGCGGTCTTGGACTTGCCAGCGGTCTCGGCAGCTGAGGCCTCGTGCAACCAGGTATCCTTGTTAACGGGCAACAGGCTCGCGCTTCCGAATCCGGTGCCTGCAGAGCCGGCAGGGTTCTTGAACTGGACGACGCCACGGCTCAAAAGATCCTTGAGCTTATCCTGATCGGCTCCCCAGTGCTCCTCCACCTCGGCGGCCTTGACCCAGAGCTGGTACGAGGCTGGGTTCGAGGCACGGGCATCGGCAAACAGACGGCGACGCTTGCCGGCGTCGGCCTCTTGGAGTGCTTGGGAGTAAAAGTCGGTGGGGGAGAGAGGGGACGAGGGGGCACCGGCAAAAGACATGTTGCTTGTTATTGTTGTTGTTGTGGGTGGATGGGTGGGGATGAGTGGCGGGTGTGGATGAGTGAAGAGGGAATGGAAACAATGAAATGCAAGAAACCAACGCCCTTTTGTACCAAAAAAGTAGAAAAGTAGAGAGAGGATTTGACTACGCTGTCACTCAGGGCAAAGCAACCCATCTCGCACACGGTATGCTCTCAAAATCTGTTCTTTGTGTGTATGTGGGTATGTGGTGGGCCACATGATCTCGACTACTGGGAACTTTGCTCAACAATTGGACAGAAGGGAGAGAGATACGCGGGTGTTGTTGAAAAAGATGTCATCGAAGAAGGAGAGGGAGAAGGGGATGATTTCCTAATGGAGCCATGATCACATATACATCGATTATTGCGAAGAGGAGGTTGATAGTAATAGAAGCATAACAACGCGATTCGTATTTTATTTATGACTTGCTTACTTGTATGCTCCATGGTGGTCTTATGACCGATAGATAGAGGGTGAAAGAGAAAGAGGAAGAGCATGCTTCTGTTTTGTTTAGATCTTCAAAAACCACAGCCAGTCCTCCTCTCTTTCTTTTTTGATGAACAAAACAAACAATGCATCCTCTACTTTCCTTGTTTGATTGGGCGTATTGCGCTATGTGACCTTGGCGAGTAGCATTTTCGTAGGCCTACAGACTTGATAGAAACAAAGGACGCGCCTTCCTATCCTACTCCTACAACTGTATCCTTCCAGGACACGCTTCGCAAGAGTCGCGTCGCTGTCGCGTGTGTGATTGATCAGTGGAGTGTTTGATCAGTCAAGGAGCTTCCATGACAACCCAGCGCCATCATCACCGTCGTCACACCAGCGTGTATATCTCTTTATCACTCTTTCCTTCGCTGTTCGTTTCTTTTTCTTCTTTTCTTTCCTCCGTCCTTCTTCCTTGATCTGTCCACCTTTTCTTCTTTCCATAAAACACAACAAAGCACGACAATACAAACGCAACACTCACACCACATTCACTCCTTAACTTCTATAAACAAAAAAAAACATGTCAATTGCGAAAGATATCGCTACGGAAAAGGCCAGTGGAACTCCCCATTCTGCTACTGAGAAGGTCCGTCGAATTCTTCACTCAGCTGCCGACAAGGCTAATGGAACCCTCCACTCCGCTACCGAGAAGACCCAGTCGGCCAAGCAGTCAACCTCCGTCCAGCGCTACATCGTCGGTCCTGACGTCTACACCAAGGAGTGCTTCGTTTCGGATCGACCATGGCCTCTCGCTGCGTCAAGTCTGAGATGCCGCTCGCTCGACTCATTCTTTATGTTGCCACGGTTCTCGTTGTTCTCGGATGTAAGACTTTTAGCGGGTTGTCCATCACCGTCCCCAAGGTATTCTCTCCCTCCACTTCCCACATTGCCTCTGCAGCTGACAGTTAATCGCCAAGATCACATCAAAAGAGACGAACGGGAAGCATATCGCTCAGCTAGAAGACACATCTTGTTCATAAACGAATAAGGCAACGTGGTCATGTCAAAGTTCGAGGTGCACCCACTTACTCCTCGCTTGGCACTGCTGAGAAGCGCCTGGGTCGGACTGGTCTCGATCCTGGCCACCCTTGTCATCTCTCCTGCCTTCGGATACACCCGCGTCCATGCTTTTAGTTCTCGTGCCGAAAACGAGAAGCGCAGGGGATCGGGTTCTGCATCAGCCCCCGTCTCGGATGAACGACCTATGTCGTCGACTATTGCGACGGGACCGTTTGAGGCGTACCGCAAGCAGCCAAGCAAGACGGGCACCGGTGGTGGCTGTCGTCATCCCCGACATGGGGCGAATGCTGCCGTTGAAGCTGTTTCTGAGGCTCTTGCTGCTACCTAGAAGCACACCGACAAGGAGGAGTAAATCGTTTTGAGCCTTCCTTTCTTCCTCTTTCATTTGATGTAAACTTCTTTTTGAATGCTCAGGCTGACACGAGCTCACAGTTTGATTTGCCACTTTTATTTTCAATAGTTCCTCTTCTTCCTCTTTGTACCGGGAGTAGTCATGGTTGTTTCTTGTTGTTCCCTAGTCCATCTTTTGCGTACTTCACGTAGATTCTTCGTAGCATCCAGCACATTGTAACATTCTATATTCGTGACGTTTGAGCTGTCAAAGATCGAGCAAGCAGCGACCCAGAGAGGACTCGCAGCAAATGATTGCTGACGGCTGCTGCGAGACTAACCATCGCAGGTACCTGAGAGTACCCTCCATGGGGAAGAAGATACGTCCTCGGCATGGCCGTGACTCGACCCTATGATGTCATTATGTGGCTTAGAGAAAACCTTATTCTCTCGTTCCACCGTAGGACCATGTAACCATCGACTCTTCAAGCACAAAACACTGTCGCCTTGTCGCTACAAACTTACAAGGGCCTCTTTTGACTCCAGGAGCAGGATACAGGACTAGCTCTGACGGGATCATCGTCTCTCTCATCGCAATCGTTACTCAAACATGCAATCAGACACGCACGAAGAAACATGAGCATCCCTTCCAATTCGACAGAATCTGCATGGTCGAAAAAGACGCTGCAAGAACGGTAGCAAGGGCCGGGGGGAGTGTTCATAACAAAAGAAAGTGAAGGGGAAAGGACAAACTGGGGAAGTGTCTCTGGAGCTGGTCTGCAAGGAGTCCGGTGTCTTACGTCCGGTCACCACTTGGCTGCCATGACCTTGGAGCACTATCTCGCTTTATTTACATTGTGGAACACACTCTGGCCAGATATCCCGTCAGCGACCTCACTGACGGGGGAGCTGGCCACTATAGAGAGTCGGAAAAATAAGAAGGGTTCAGTTCCGGAGGGGAGCTTGACTCAGCTGCCCTTGGGCCATGTAGCACAAGTCGTCACTATTGGCTTTCTCCTTTCTTTTTTCCTTTTTTTTTGTCTTTCATTGGCCCTGAAACTATAAAGAAAGGGAAAATATCCTCCCTATGGCGACCAAAAGATGAAGAGGGTTAATGCAGCAGCTCTGGGGTGGGTGCATGTGCCAGTAAGGCTGCCTACTAGTGAGCCGTGTGTGCAACAATGGGTGTCATGGCCATTGGCCTGTTCTGGGGTCGCGGCATAGTTTGTTCTTTTCCCTAGTGATTCAAACATTAGGTTATCCTCATCAAACTTGAGTGAGAGATACCTCCTCGCTAACCATATGTTTCTCTCTTTTCCTATAAACAAATGTATGGTTGACCGCTGGATTCCACTGGACACTTTTTCACTTGAGCGATATACGGGACAATTAGAACAGTGGACAGGTAAGTACTTTTCGGTCAGGATCATTGTCAACTGTAGTTACATAATAAAGCAACATGCTTTCCATGCACAATTACGACCGCATCACGTGTGTGATGGAATCCATCAGCGTTGGCGCCATTTTCTTCATTGGTGAATGGATTGGTTGATATGTTGAAAGAAAGGAAGAAAGGAGTTGGGACGGCAACAGTCAAACGATCGGAAACGAATAGGATGGAAGAAGAATATGTGCGTTAATTCTTTTTTGCGGTCTTCCTTGGGAAATAGGAGCCCGGTTCTTGATAAAAATGCTCGGATTGAACGAGGGAGAGGGTAGGGTCCGTGAGTTCAAGAAACAGAGTTGTCGTATGAGTTGTGGATGGTCATGGTTATCCCTCGATTCTGGTTTGTGTCCGTTAGCAGCCACGAAAATAAGTAGAGGGTGATCATTCTTCTCTTTCGGGCGATTGTAACCATTATTGTCGAGGCGCACCGCACCCAGGTCGGATGCTGTAATTCGATCTCCGCTTGCAAGCTTTTTTTTTTCTTGTGCGCGCCTTTCTTCTTCAAGTTCGAGCAAACTAAGGCGTTGTCTGCTCTTTCCAGCCTGTTCTCCCACGTTTTTTTTTGCTTTGTTGTTTTTGTGATTCCGCTCCTTGTTTCTCTCCTGCCACTCTCACACACCCCCAAGCCAGAAGAACAACAACAATCGACCAGTGACAAACATCAAACTACAGTAGACCCGTGCATACGTTATCAAAGCAGCCTTGATCCGTCAACAAAGCGGCTGCCCCCTCAGCACTGGCGTACATAACCCCACTGGGCCTTTTTTCTTCTTTTCTTCTTTCTCTTGCTCTCTTCACCCGCGACTCCTCTTTCTTCCTTCCTTCCTTCCTTCCTTCCTTCCTTCCTTCCTTCCTTCCTTCGTCGTCCTTCTCCACATTTTTTTTTGTTTTTTTGTTTTTTCTTTCTTTGTTTTCTTTCTCCTCTCCCTCGTCCTTCTCTTTTGTTTCTTGACACACTTCGCCCTTCTTCCTTCTTCCTTCTTCCGTGTCCCCCTTTCCCCACCTCTTTCTCGCCATTCACACCACCCTACAAAGGCACTCACTCGCACCTCCATTCCACACCCACACTCGGCCAACCCGACGACTCGCCCGTTGCAGCGCACTCTTTGTCCCTTCATCCTTTGACAGAGACTCTCCTTCCGCCTTTTTTGCCCTTGTTGTCATTTTTTGTTTTCTCTCTCGCTTCCATTGTCTCTTTTTTCAGTCCAGTTTTCTTTTTTTTTTTTGTCCTTGATTGCCGCCAGTGATTGATTTCTCTTCATTCTTCATACTTTCACTCGAGGACAATAAGCTCCCTTTGTTGTCAAAGCACACACGCACCACCATCACTTCGCTACTTTAGCTCAGACCCCCGCACCCCACGACTCTGCTATGCCGCCACGAAAGAAGAGCGCAGCCGCCAAGGGTCCCGCCTCGATCGCTGAGGATCTCCCTCTCGACAATAAGCAGGAAGCCATGGCAATGATCATCGAACGGCTTGAAAAACTCACCGACAAAAGGTACATCACACACTCTTCATTTTTTTTATAGCTGCAGTTACCAAGCAAACCGGACCAGTACTTCTCCTCCTTTGCCAAAGCAAGCGAACAAACGTTCAAGCAAAGAAACCAACAAGAGAGTTTTCTTTTTCTTACGCCGCTACAGCCAACTCACTCATTCCTTTCTCTCTTTTCTGCTCCTCTTTGTCCTCTTTTTCTTCGTCTTCGTCGTCGTCCACCTTTTTTGCGCTTAGTGGTCGCTCGGTGTCCGAGTTGTTCTTGGAGTTGCCTAACCGTGAGGACTACCCGGACTACTACCAGATCATTCAAACTCCCATTGCGTTCGACGTGATCAATGTAAGTTGGTACTCACATTTTGTTCCACCGTTACCAGAAGTTCAGGAACCCTCTTTTTTTTTTGTTTATTCTCCTTTTATCTCCATTTGCAACACCGAGGATCGTGGAGGAGACAAGCGTCGCACAGAGCCTCGAGGCAACAAAACGACTCGGCCACTTTGCTCACACACACACCCTCGCAAAAACCCTCTTTCTTTAACAATAGGGCCGTCTTAATACTGGACAATACACCGAGGCGACCATCGGCGACTTTGCCAGGGACCTCAAGACCATGATCACCAACGCAAAGACGTATAACCGCGATGGTTCAATGGTTTATAGGGATGCCACTTTTCTCGAGGTAACGTAAACCTATACCTGTTTCTCTCCTTTGTCTGTTTGCCTGTAAATGGGTCACGCCAATGATACGAAGCCGACGATTTGTTTGCAGTCTTGGATCTCGGATCGAACAAAAAGCCTTCTTCTAACCGCTTTCGTTGCAACAAGTAGGGCTATATCCTGGCGGCAATCAAAGCACTTACGACCAAGGAAGACCAGCAACCAAAGAAGGAGGAGGTTAGTATTATTATTTTAAACTGCATTCCATCGTCATATTCTTGGCTCTGTTCTTCTCATTAACATAGCAGTACTGTATTTGACACTTTATTCTGTATAGTTCTCTGCCGACTTTTGCCGTAGAATCTTGGATGTAATCAAGGACCATGAAGACAAAGGGTACAGTCCGACAATACACTTCGGAACGGACGAACATGTTGACGTAGAGAAGGCTGAGCACTGCATGGGAAAACAATGGAGAAGGATAATGCATACAACCCTAACTGACAAGTCCCCCTTCCCCTACTCTTCTCTCGCATCCCTACGAATAGAGGCAGGCAATTGGCGGAACTCTTTTTGGAACTGCCCAGTGCAAAAGACTACCCGGATTATTACGATGAGGTATTATACAAAGCGAAATTTAGTTCACTAGCCATAGGCTCAATAAGCGCAAGAAATGCACTCACACTCTATCGTTTTTTTTTGATCTATCTAGATTACAAAACCTATTGCGATTGGCGACATTGAGGAAAAGATTGATCGGAGCGACTATCCGACATTGGAGACGTTTGAGAAGGATATCAACCAGATGTTCGACAACGCAAAGCAGTACAACGCGGAAGGCTCGGATGTCTATCTCGATGCCGAGGAACTGCAGCAGCTCTTCTGGAAATCGATTGGCAAGAACGGACGAGGAAGGCAGTCAAAGGGAAAGCGCCCAAGAAAGCACGAGAACGAGCTTCAGGAGGTCTTCCACAATGGCGAGGTCTACAAAGTTGGTACGTTTCATATTTGCATCTTGCAAGTTCCCTTGAGATATATGTTATGGAACTGAAGCCGCTTTCTAGTCTCATCATGCTAATGGCTCATTTCGTTCCAATGCAATGCAATTAGGCGATTTCGTTCATATCCGCAACGACAACGATCCATCCAAGCCGATCATCGGATTGATCTTCAGTCTCTGGGAAGATGCCAAGTATGTCATGCTCTCCTCTACTATTCCTTATTCATGAATGACTGTCCTTAGCTTGAGCGGCCTTCTAATGCATTTTCTTTTGTCTGTCATAAATAATATTGTAGAGGTTTCAAGCGGTTAGATGCAGGGTGGTTCTTGCGACCGGAGCAGATTATTGTTCCTTATGCAAGTCGCTTTTACCCCTCTGAGGTTGTCAAGATGTCGGAGCGTGTGGACTATTTCCTGGGTGACGTTCAGGGACGGTGCTATGTGTTGCAAACCAAAGATTACATTCGCGGACGACCCGCATCATGGAAGGAGGGGCAGACCATCTACGTCTGTGAGCAGCGCTACAACGAATCCTACAAGTCTGTCACCAAGATCAAGAACTGGCCTGCTTGCCTGCCACCGGATCAGAAGCACGACAATTTGGCTCTGACCCCGTACCCTTACCCCCTTGTTCTCAAGAAGCTCCCAAGTGCATCGATGTTGAACAGGGTAGGAAAGCAGGACACAAGCGAACCTATGTCCCGAACCAGCACGCCCCAAAGCAGCGCGGCGTACACGGCAGAATCGGAGGCAGAATTGGAGGAGTCAGACGTATCGGAGGAACCAGATGAGCCATCACCCAGCGCCTCGCCAAGAGTCTCGCCCGAGGCGACATCCAAGATGAAGCCCAAGGCAGCACCCAAGAAGGCAGCACCCAAGAAGACTACGCCCAAGACTACACCAAAAGCACCACCGGCACCGAAAACAACGAAAATCAACAAACGTAAATCCTCTCTGATTCAGTCGGAGGTCCTTGCCGCCCAGCCGACAAAATCCGCCAAGATTATCAAAAAGGCAAAATCGTCTGAGCAGGAGTCTCTTGAACCAGAGGAATCAGCTCCAGTGCGACCATCGTCTCAAGTCATCTTTCATTGCGTCTACCCCAACCCGGGCACCAAGACCGTCTGCTCAGAGTAAGTATCAAAAGCAAATTGTGCAGTAGTAACCATGACAAAAATAATTGGTGGCAAATATTTACTGATAAGCCTACTTTTCAATATCGTCCTTCAACTATAGAAAATTCACAGATGAGACAGACCTCGCCCGACATGTATCTGAAAAGCACACTATTAGCGCTCCAAGACCCAGCCAGGCAGCGGATGTGGCAACCAACGGGACGCGTGTGCAGAAGGTCTCTGCAGGACATTCGGTCGAGCCCAGTTCGCCTTCAACACCCACTCCAGTCCAAACAGCACCGCCCACTATAATGGGACAGAGTCAGAATGCTTACCAAAACAGCCAGTACAGCGCCGTCGACCCCTACTCTACGCCATCAGGAGCTCGACCCACAGTCCCAAGTCAGCAGATGTATTCTACGGCATACCAGCAACAGCCACCACAGCAGCAGACGATGCAATACATGCAGTCTTCACACCAACGTGGCTTGTCATACCCTCAGGATTACAGCCAGTCAGCTTTGCATGCTGGAGCAACCCGACCACAGGCTTATGCTCAAAGCGCATCCTATAGCCAGCCTTACGGACAACCCTACGCTATGCAACAGCAACAGACAGCCTATAACTCTTATGGTCAACCGCAGTTCCAGCAAGGATACTCGACTGCTGGGTACCCGATGCACCAACAAAACCCGTACGCTCAGGCGCAGCCAGTCTCCCACCAGCCTTACCATCAGCAACAGCAGCAGCAACACTACAGCCAACAATATACGACACAGGCGACACAGGCGACACAGGCGACACAGCCATCTCAAAGCCGCCATTTGCCCGCACCGGTTCCATCACAAAGCCATCAAAGTCACCCTCAGGACTTTACTCAACAGCAGCGGATGGTTCAACAGCAGCAATTTGCACAGCAGCAGCAATACATGGTCCAACAACAACAGCAGCAGTTTGTTCCGCAGACGGCAGGCTACCACCAGCGGAGTCTTTCACACCAGTCCCAGTCGACGCATCAGCCGCCGCAATCGCAACAGCAGTATCAGCCTCCTTCGCCATTGACAGTTGTGGCATCCCAGCCATATGCAACCGTGAACCCTACATACCAACAGCAGGCGTACATGCCTCCTTCCAGTATGGCATATAGCACAAGTGGTCATGGCTCGTCGCTGTCGAACGCCTCTTCACACGGATCAACCACAACGTTGACGACTGCAATGGAAGGCGTTGGATTGGGGCTTTCGGGTGTGACGAGTGCTACTCATGGGCGTGTCGCTGCCCCAGCAGGAATGGCGGATGCTGTTGCCTCGGGTCCTGTTGGTTACATGAACGGCAACCTGCAGACCTAGGAAAAAAGATACACCCACACACCAAGCTCCATTTTTTTTCCATTCGTCTTCATTTTGGCGATCGTTCTGCCGCGTTTTGTTCATAGTTCCTGGTAAAGCGAAAATAAAAAACCTCTTCCTTTTGATTCTCAGTCTGCGTTATTTAGGGAGTTCGCCTTGATATCGTTACAATTGGTGGCGCGTTTCCTTGGAAGGGTCCGCGTTAATACACCCGTCAAGGTCGACATGTAGCAAAAGAAATAAGATCTGATATCACAGCAAGGAATTCAGTAGTAAAGCAAACAAACGAGCTAATCGAACACACGACTGCAACAAGCAGGTTTTCGTCGAGTAATATCGCCACACGCCATCGTCCATTGTCACAACACCTTTTATTTTGACAGTAACTCAAAGACGGATGCTCAAAAAGTAAGCATTAACATACATGTACGACATTCACTTCATTTTCTTCACCACTAGGGCTAATATTTCCATCATTATCGACGAATAATAAAAACAGAGTGCCATCACAATCGCAAAAAGTCGGATGTATTAATTTCCTGCAGCACTACCATGCCTTATGAACCGACTATCGAATCCCCACCCCAGTCAGAACCATTGTTGGTTAGACCTGTGGTGTTTTCCGGCAATTCCTCCATCCGAATCATACTCTAGGCTCTCGGCCATACCCGCCAGCTCTCTACACGATAAAACATTTTTTGCCAATGGCGCCGCTGGCGGTCCCCCTATCCGTCCTTTCAACACAGCTCTCAGGACTCTTCTTGGCCAATATAGTTCCCTGAAAAAGCGTAATTTCAAGGACATATCAAAACCATTGGTCCAAGGTTTCGAGACGAGAACTACGTTGGGTCCTTGTTAATCAGAGTCGTGATCTGCATCAAGGCACACAACAGAAGTTTGTACCTTTGCTGACATTTAACAGTGTGTGTGGGACAGTCCTGAATTGGGTCTCCGTTTTGAAGGAAACAATGCCTTCGGAAAGGAAAAAAGAAAAATAATACACTAACAGCGAACGAAAAGTTGAAAACTGAACAAGAGGGCCATATACATTCCTTACTGCTGGCTGTTTGGTTGGCTGTCTTAAATAGGAAACGAAACTGCAGCAGTTAGGGAAGGTGGAGGAGGGAGAAGAGAAGGGGCAGAGGAGAGGAGGGAGAGGAGTGAGAAGGAAGGGAAGGGAGAGTGGTGAGAAAGTTGGGAAGGGAGAAGGGAGAAGGAAAGGAAGAGAGAAGGTCGCAGAAGAAAAGGATATAAAAGAAAGGCTCAAGCAAACCAAAAGAGGAGGAGGATAGACGTGTGGATGGAAAGCGGGTAGGTTAAGGGAGGGATAAGAGAAAGAGAAAGAGAAAGAGAAAGAGTTAAGACAAAGGACGAAGCGAAGTGGGCTTTTTTGGTTACCAAGAGAAAGAAGATCCCTCTACCATTTAAATACATCCCGAGCGTTACCAATAAAGAAGGAAGAAAAACAAGGCAGATGTCATTCAGGCACGATCTTGCGGAAGACAAAGATTTTGTGGTTTTTTGTTGGTTTTTGGGGGGCAAGGAAGGTAATGGACAGGCAAACACCCCTCTTGACCAGCAACAAGTTGCCCTTACCTGCACTTTCAAGCCATGTCCTGATCTCCGTGGATTTTTTGCCAATGGTTGCTCCCCCCCTGTGGTCAATGGCTTGGTAATGACTGAGTTAAATTCGGTTTGGTAGGCAGAAGACGCGATCAGGATTCAGGGGGCAACCTATGGCTATTCGTGACAGCAACATTGCAGTCTTTGCTTTTCTACTGAGACTCAATTTTTGTTTTGAACTTTATTTCCAACATTGACGTCGTTCCGTGTTAATCTGAGTCATCAACCCGACAACGCACTGGTTTGGGAAAAGAGGGTCGAAGCCACCACAATGGGACCAAAGGGTTCGCACTTGGGCGAACCTTGACCTTTCGAATCTGCTCAACAGTCCACTCCACCTTGGACTTGGCATGCTCAAACGCCTCCATGAGTTGTACCAGTGGGGAAACGTTCAAGGCCTCGGGAGCAATGAAGGCAGTCGCAAAACGGTTCATAACATAGGTCGCCTCAGCACGCAGGTGCATGGTGTAGAAATCAATGGAAGGCTCTGAAAATAAAAGATAATATAAAAAAAGGATTAGACTACGACTGAAGGTAAAAGAGAATAGATGAACGAGGGGGGGTTGCAAACGCTTACCACGAACAAGAAGTCCAACAACACAAACATCCCCCTCTGGCAGAAGTATGAGTATCGAGTTTAACGCGAGTTTCATCTCTTGCCCAAGTTTCGTCAAGTCATCCCAAGCTTGGCCTTGGCCCCCGTTCCCAGCGATCTTGGCTTCCAGCAGCAGAAGAGAGAGTTCTTGTTTTCCAACTCGTGTTGTGACCGAATAGTCAGGAATCATCAAGTTCGAATTGGGTCCCTTCGTTTCGTCTTGGGTTCGAGTCCTATAAAATAGATATGATTAATTGATGCAAGAAAAAAAACGTACAAGACAACGGGAATTCAAGTGGTGACAGGCATAAATTACCAATTGCTCCTGGTATGGGTCAACTTGCCAAAGTAAGTGCGAAGAAGTGGCCACAGTTTGGACTTCAAATACGTGTCTTCATTGCTGACGTGGGTGTTCCAAAGTTGGGTCGTGCCCACCATCTCGGTCAAAATGGACTTTAGACATCGGTTTCGAGGTGGCAGGTCTTCCAGTAGGCGCTCAAACGCTCCTTGCTTGTTTTGTGCCAGGCGACGAGCCCATTGATGGATTTCTATTATATCCTCGTTCATGAGCGGCGGCACAAGGTCCTTGATCGCGTCGCAGAGGGCTTCCCATGTTTCATCCTCAACCTCCACTTGAAGGCCACCGGTCTGATAATCAGCTTCGATCAAGAAGACGAAGTTCACAGCCCTGCGAGAAACGCGATTCGAATGAGAAATAGTTGGCGTCTAAGGAACAAAGCAGCTTTGTCAGCCTATTAAAAGGAGATAGCACTTACAACTTCTCATGTGACTCTTTAACTGCACCATTCTCTGCGACAGCTCGATCTCTGTAAGCCATCAGGTCCGCTCCGATAAGCACCCTGTGGTGCTCCCAATAGCTCTGGACTTGAGAATCCAGGCGACCAGGACTAGTCAGGTAATCACTTATGTAGTACTTCGAAGGTGGGTGTGGAACATCGAGGTCATCAAGATAATTCCCATCTAAAGGATCTGAGGACGGAAAATCAGATCCAAGGAGGTGTCGAGGTGAATATATTGGCGGTGCCTCAATTGACGGCGAGTCGACGTCAAAACCTATACACAGTCCAAGTCGTTTGTATATTAGAGTTGGATGAGAAACAAGACGTTCGGCATAATAGAATGTTAATTGCCATCTTCCTGCGACAGATCAGGGTCCGACAGATCTGAAGAGGTGATGGTGAGCAGACAAAAAAGAGAATGGTCAGGCTACACGCCCTAGCAATAGAAAAATGAGTCAAATGTTTCCTAACCTTCCATTAGATCCTCTTCGTTTCGCGCAGCGCCAGACAGCGGGGCTGATGGTCCGGGCTGCTCCGCACCCACACCAGGCTCAAAGGGGCTTGGCGCCGCTTGTATGGGTAGACCTGAGGAAGCAGAGGGTCCAGGTGGTGAGCTCTGCCTGTGCTCGCGGCCAAGAGTTGTGGGCGATCTCGCAAGGTCATCGGTCTCATCCAGGATCAATTTTTTGGCGACACGTTCTCCCCCTCTAATGATCTCTCCGGCGATCCTCTTCAGCGTTAAATTGACTTGATAGCCTACTGCCCGATCGGCCCAGTATCCTCCGGATAGGTTGCTCTTCCAGACGTTGTACTCAGTTTGCAGGCGTGAACGATGGAATTGCGGTAGGTTGGTGGATGTTATAAGATCTGTATAGGCGGGATGTGCGTACCCTTCCATGTGGTACTCAAATTTGGCTGCAAAGGTAGGCATGGTCACCTCTTCCTTCTTGGCGATCGCATCCAAAGCCCAAGCTACATGCTTCTTAAATGGGGACCATGTGTTGATGCTTTCGTTGCTGGCATTGCTGTTGTAGTTGAAATTCTCGGTGGAGTCTTTGGGGTGAGCCTGAAAGCTCTGGTCGTTGCTCAATGTCCGCTTTATGTTTGACATGTTTTAGTCGAGGGAACTATCCAATGACCGCAAAAAGAAGAGAAAGTCAGGTAAAGTCGCAAATATAACAAGCGAGCACAAAGGATTCACGGAACGAAACGCAAAGCGAAAAGGGTATTTCTGAACATGTATCCAGTTTGCCATCCTGCCACGCTCGACTTTCCGCCCCCTCTGCCGCTCCCGCTAAACAGTGGTTGCTAAAAAAGAATCAGCGCACTGGAAGGATGTTGTATCTGGAGAAAAAAAAATCCTGCCACGCTCAACTTTCCGCTCCCTCTGCCGCTCCCGCTAAACAGTGGGTGCTAAAAAAAGAATCAGCGTCTGATGGCAAAGATTTTACAATTGCCTTCGATTGCAACTTTTACTTGCCTTTGAAAGAGGGTCGCGATGAATGAGTATTAGGCGAGGGTGATATTAAATTCACCTTGCACGAAAGAGGAAGGCAAATCAGTTGGAGTTGAGAGCGTAGATGATGTGGGTGCTGTTGATGAAAGCAAGGCGTGGAGTGGTGGCAACGATGAATGCAAGGCGTGAAGGGAATTAGGTGCAAGAATGGGAGACGCGTAGTAAAGGCGAAATTGGGACAATGGGTGCTTGAAATACGGCATCGAAGACGAAGTCTAAGCGCCTACTGCCTCCTATCTGTTTGCTTTGCTTGGATTTACGGATCACATACCTGTTGAGAAGTGGAGACTTTGTGAGGATATAAGGTAAAGTTAGCCGCCACCAAATCGAAATATCCCATTAATTATCGTCGATGTTGCTCTCCTTTGGTTGGTTGATGGCGGCGGTGGTGTTGCTGCTGGAGGAGGCGGTGGTGGAATTTGTAGCGGGTTCAGCGTTGGCTTTCGCCATCCATGGGAGAGAGCCGTCAGCGGCTACGGGGTGTAGATACTCAGACCGCTATTGTCGACAAAGATAGCCCTGGATGATGTTGGCCATATTTTCGGCGGCCACGACGTCGCGAAGAGGGGATTGAATATCGACGCGCGCAGAAAAGGAAAGCCAGGGAAAGGGAATGACAAAAAGGGAACTGAAGGTGCATCTCGAAGCAGACAAGAAAGTTAGATGGTCGTATATGCATAGTACCAAAGGGAGACAGACACAAAAACGGTGGACAAAATTCGAAAGAGGGTCCTTGTGTCGGTCTGTGTGATACGCTCACTGCACGTTTTTTTTGCTGACGGTTCCCTTCTGTTGTTGTGGTTCACCTGCGGACAGCCTTAGGCTCCCTACCTCCTTACTCTCTCCTCCGTTCTTACTTTTCCCTTTCCTTCACATTCGTTCGGCTCATTCCTTCCATCGCCCCACTTTCCCCCCTACTCCCGTGTAGTACAAATCAATTTCTTTCCACGCCCATCGCACATAGAGTCTTTCTTTCCTTCTTGTCATACACCCATTCCCTATCTCGCTCAACTTGACAATTATTTACTTCTAGATAAAAGCAAAGAAAATAAAGGGGACTACATGATACATGATCGATGGCTGACTAGTAATAAACGAGTTCCATGATCCGGTATTGAATCGGCGGTTTCTAATTTACATGGGAGAAATGAGGGTTGGGTGATTGTGTTCGAGAGACGCTTGTCTTAAGCTTATTCCGAGTAGGATGGGACGCGTGGGAGTCCGGTGCCTGGCCCTCCCTGTGGGTGAATAGCATTTGGATGCTGTTGTTGTTGTTGGTGTGCTGGTAGAAGTGGAGGCAGCTGTACGGGTGGTGGAGGAGCTATTGTCGAACTTGAAGAAGATGATGACATCGATACGCCGCCTAATCTCGACGCCGTTCGATCCACTTGCTGCTCCTGCTGTCCTTGGGTGTCTTCCTGTCCTTGTTCTTGTACTTCGTGCGACGATGGATGGTCACCGCCTTCACCAAGCTCTTGTTGTTCTTGCGCCTGTTGTCCCTGTTGGCGTGGTCGTCGCACGTTGGTCATATCGATGATAACGGCTTGGTTCGACTGTGCCTTTGGCATGTATGGCGGCAGAGGTTCCTCCATCTCAATCTCTTCTCCTTCAACTTCATTATCATCGTCAACTCCCACGACCCTCCTCCTTCCTGCTCCTGCAGTTCCTGCTCCTCCAGCGCTCTCCAACGACAAATCCGGTCGATATTCCACAACGCCATTCGCCTCTGCGGCCGCTTGAGCCGCCCGCGCTCGACTTGCCAGAACATGATCCTCCTCCTGGATCGCCCATCCCATTTCCTGTCTGTAGGCTTTATCCCGGTTCCGTTTATCCGTCAACAACCCCTCGGCAAACATCAACATCGTCCAAACAACCTCAATGATAGACACCGACAACTGCATCATACATCCGCCTCGCGTCCCCTCAGCCTTACAGTCATTACCTCCCAGAATCTTCACCAGGGGTCCCATACCATACACCCAACTCAACACAAACGCGGTGCAGATAAGTGACATGCGATAGATTGGAGAAAGAGGTTGATGGCTGAGGGAGTTGTTGGTGTAGAGGGAGTAGGAGTATGAGAAGAGGAGGGCGGCGTTTAGGGCGAGTTGTTGGAGGACGTTGAAGTCGACTTGGTCGGGGTGTTTTGGGTAGGAGAGGAGGGTTATGAAGCAACCGAGGGTTAGGAGGGCGATTGAGCCGCGGAGGAAGGGGATGACCTTGTAGAAGGTTTTGGGGGTCGGCATTTTCTGTGAGGAGGTGTGTGTTTGAGAAAGGAGGGTGGTAGGAAGGGGGGATAGGCCTCGCGAGCGAGGAAGGTTGTTGGTGAAGAGGGAAAGCGGTTTTGGCTGTGTGAAGGAGGAAGAAAAGGGAGAAAGAGAGAGGGAAAAGTAGAAAAAAAGAGGACTTGGGGGTGGAAGGGAGCAGGCTGAAGTATCGATTGCCCACGGGTGAAAGAGGAGGAGTGAGGAAAACGAGGAAAAGAGAGGTGGTGGTGGTGGTTGATTGTCACTCGGGTGTGCCTGGATTCTGTGTGAGTGTCTTATGGAAAGTGCTGAAAGATGGAAGGTATCGTTGAAAAGTTGATAGACGAGTAGGAGTGGAGTGAAAACAAGGGAAAAAGAAAGCAATTGAAAAAAGAAAAAGGAGGAAGGAACGAAAGGAGCAAATATTACAACAGCAACAGCACAAAGAGTCTTATCGAAGATGATTAGGAGTCGACACACAAGACGAACCACCCACCAAACAAAAAAAACAGATGAGGCTTCACATAATGCCTGCGTCTCAAATCGCCAAATACCTTTTCCGCCGTTTGGTGCAAATTTGCTCTGATTTTTTTCACACCACTCATCCCAGGCCGGCCAGGCCAGACACAGGGTCACTGTGTGTGTCTGTTGCGTGTGTCCATGTCGATATTTTTTTCTCCTTCGGGCCGTCTATCCTTCCAGCCCTTCCATTTATCCATCCTCCCCCTTTGTTGTCTGTGCGCCCACCACCCTTTCAATTTGTGATCGACCTAGTCGTGATTAGAGCTGCAAGAGAAAGGGCGTAACTCCATACTGAGGCGCCGCGTTTGCTCGTTCTTTCAGCAAACAAACTAGAACACGGATAGTGTGGCGGTGTTAATGAACATCCCCCCGCTTCTCATCGTCATAAACGACAAATAAAACCTTGCATATACGACAAGGTTTGTCAGAAAATAGTAATGACCGAAACCGTTTGATAGTAGACAAAAACATGAATCCCAAACAAGTGTGACCTAAAAAAAAAAGGTCCTTACCCATACCAGCGTCAAGAAGCAGTAAAAGAGAGATGGAGACAACGAAGGGATTTGTATTGTGCGCGTGCGTGTGTGTGTACAAACGGTGCATGTATCCACTTCCATTCTCCTCATCATCCTATGCATCTATTGCAAGAGATCAGACCAGGGCTCATCCTCGGCATAGTACTGTGGCACCGGCCGCCGGTAGGGGATAGGCAACGGTCCAAAGAATGTTTGGTCGGGTTCATCGTCCGCGCCACGTCCACTGCCTCGGTACCTCCGATTCAGTTCTTCCATCTCGTCTTCCGTCTCAATCATATACACCACGCCGAGCTCCCAGTTGCGGATATTGATACACAGCCCTTGCAAGTCCCCGCTCCGCTTGTTCGACATCGTGCCCCATGCCGATTCCGTGCAATTCGCGCTCCTGAAAAAGTATTAAATAGAGAATAATGTACATTAGCAAATATGACAGCAAATTGTCACAATAGGAGGCACGTTCTCATGCGTGCACAGACAAAGAGGCAATGATGAAACGTACCCGACATAGAACCAGCCCGCCAGCTTCCTAGGATCATCCGACTGTGGCGGTGGTCGGCTGCTAAGGGTCTGCTTTGGCTGTGCTGCCTTGGCCAGTATCACCTAATTTTAAACATCAGCAGAACCGGGAATGATGCCATTTAACACAGCTTTCAACAAACACGGATTCTGTCGCATTAGTGAGAAAGAAAATCACTCTTAACTCACTTTGGTGTGCATCAAGGAGCCTTGGTGCCGCCCTACAAGCTCGAAATCGTGCATGACGATTCTCGGAAACGCGTTCGAGTTCCAGAACTCGCGCCTCAAGCAAACAGTTCCTGCCCCAAGCTCTCCCAGTCGGCTGTTCGCGACATGATCCTGCGTAGGGAATATGATTTTAATGGGCGGGACTCGTTCATCAACATCGACCTTTATCCGCGGCCTGGGTGTGAATCCACGACTTGCCCTGTATATCTCTGCAAGGAACTTGACCGTCAGTTTTCCCAATGAACTCGTCTATATATGTTTCATCGCGCAGAAAGGACGTCCAAGTGGCGAAATGAAAAATAAGTTATATGAAATAACTCCACAATGTACTTTGCAAATGTAATATGAACAGCGCAGGTACCTGGTATTCCATGTCCCATTCCCGAGTCTCGGTAGTCCTTGTCTGCATGACTTTTGCTAAGCGGGCAATACCATAAGTGTGACGAGCATCAACCCGGTGCCATCCATGAACAGCTGGAACCAAGACAACCTAAATAGGTTTATGTCATTTCGCAGTAACAGGCAGAATGAAGCCGTTAGCAGACAGATCCTTACAACTAACGTCATTGCATGTCGTCAAACTGAGTAAGCGTAAATACCTTGGCTGGGCGAAAGTCAACACGTCTCACGGCGCGGATTATCTTGTCAGGGAGCTCCATGGCCGTCAAAAAGGCAAGCAATGTCGATCCAAACTCTCCCAGCTGCTCAGGGCTGTCCGACGATAACATTTGAAAGTCCTGGACATAGAGCGTGTTCACTAATTGTTCCCAGTCATGGCGCACCTACAAAGAAAGACGAAGGCATGAAGAACGTTAAACGAAATTGTACACATTATTTGGGAGCGCAGTATATGACTGAAGAAAGTGCATAACTCTTACCAGATTAGCGGAAGAAATAACCATTCTGACGAAAGTAGGGTAGAAGAGAACCATGAGCTTGGCGTGAAAACTGCCAAACGCTCCGAGTGGTGGGTGCACATACAGCGCCTTTCCGATTGTCTGGTAGCCCTTCTAAGTTATTAAAACAAGCATTTGCACACTGTAAATGATAAGTGCCATCTAGTTTAGGGTTGCAGCGAGCAAATATGCCTCCCCACTCAGTAAGTAAAACAGGACATTACCACTTGGTCATCTCGTGCTTTCCAGGTTTTGACGCGGCACTGTGGGATGCTATGGGGGATGTAGGCGTTCAGCCAGTCCTCGTCAAGGTCCATTGTCGTCAGAATAGCCTTCGTCAAGTGATTCCTGTTGACCAGGTCCTGAAAGCGCACATCCCACTTGCCACGATCCGTTCCAAGAATGTGTGTGTTCCTGAATGACGCGGTGTGGTACTTTGCGGGGTATGCGGCCGATGAAGAGGATGACGTCTCGAATGCGGCTCTGCTGGTCGACGGCGAGGATAGCGACGTAGGATGATTTCTGGGTGGTGGTACATGTTGTGCTTGCGGGCGCAACGGTACTGACATGGATGCAGATAACGGTGATGATGACGATGGTGATAATGAAGATGGTGATGATAGTCTTGCTGACGTTGTTGATGATGTGGGTATCGGTGCTGAAGTTGTCTTATATAGCTTTGATGAAGATGCTGTTGGTGTTGCAGACGATCCAAGCCTTCCTGCGCTGCTGACACTGTTGTTGAATGTGGGGGATGTAGGATGGTCAAGGGTCCGTCGCTTCCGTTCCCGGTCCTCACTGACTTTCCGAGACGGGACCGCTCCATCCGAAAGTGCTCGTTTCTTGATCCGTTCCTGGCGCTCTAGTTCCATCTCTGCTCGACTCATACCAAAGATCGCGGCCGGCGACGAAGGTGCCCTCTCTACAACTGCCACCTGAGGTGCTGATAACGGTTGTTGTGGTTGTAACTGATGCTGTCGCAATGGTCCCTGTGAAGCGGTCGCTGGGGGTGATCTAGAGGACGCCAACGAGAGTTCCACGGCCTTCTTGAAATCCTCATCCATTTCGCCCTCTTCCTCCTGGGTGTAGTCGTAGTTGCCACCACCGTTCATCACCGCCGCTGATGGTGCTGCTGCTGAAAGACTCCTTTCGAGATCCGACTCCTGAGACCGCATTTCTTGAGACGCCGCAGAAAGAGCCTTCACATACTGGAGATGCTCGTCGTCCATCACCTCCTCGTCCAGACTCATATCATAGTTGTTCCGAGGCTCTCTCCACTCTATTTTTTCGGCCTTGACTTCTGGCTCTGGGTCGTCTGTGAGGTCGATGAACTCGATGTTCCTCGTAGAACGAGCTACTGCTACTTGTTGTTGTTGTTGTACTGGTGGTGGCGGTTGGTGCTCCTGTTGCTGTTGTTGTTCTTGTCTGGCACGTGTGTTGTTGGCGCTATTGGCAGCTTCGAGAAGGGAGAGACGGATGGCCTCTGCAATTTCAGCGTCGTCTTCTGGGCCAAAATCCATTGTTGCCTTTGGTTATGTGCTTTTTTCCTATGTCTCTTGGTTGATACTGTTGTATACTGTTGTTGTTTGTTTGTGTGCGCGTTGAATGCAACTGTCGTTGACTCGAGAAGTGTGCAGAGATGACTTCTTATGGAACCATTCGGCACACAGCACAGGTAAGGAAAGCCTAACGCAGTCACATGGCCATTAACTTGTTCACGATAACATGGAAGAAATAGCGTGATCACTTCTTTCACTCTTCGAACCAGGAACAAAGGATCAGGCACCATGAGCAAAACGGCACTCATCCCCGCCTACTGTCAACGATGTCTAGCAATCGTACGGAGGGCAGCTCCCACATCAACAACAACTGCATGGTTAGCCCTGCGCGTTAGACCTTGGACCATATTCTCGACTCAACAAGCACCCTCGGCCGCCTTTTCTAGTTCACAGCAAATCCGCGAGGCCTTCCTTCGCGCCGGACCGGGGCGGGAACTCGGATCTGCAGCCGCACGGAGGCATCAGAGCCAACAAATATCTCAAGCACCAGCAGAACCCCACAACGAACTCGACCCCCTACCGTCCGACACTCCAATTGATACGCCACTCCCGGATCCCATAACCAAGTCCACTTCCCAAAAGTCAACAACACCACCATCACAGGTGACAGGATACAAGGAGATCGTCCTTCTCGAGACCGACTTCCGGGAACGGTTCATCAAGGGTGGCGGCAACGGGGGTCAAAAGATCAACAAAACAAACTCGAACGTCGAACTCAAACATTTTGAGACCGGAATCGTTGTCCAGTGTCAGGCTACTCGGTCCTTACCTCAGAACCGCAAGTTGGCGCGCCGAATCCTAATGGGGCGATTGGACGAGTACTATAATGGCGACCTGTCGAAACGTGGACAAAAGGCGGAGAAAATTCGGGAGAAGAAGAAGAGGATGGCGCGCAAGTCTGCGAGGAAGTACCATAGTAGTGGTGGTGTAAACGCGAAGGACGATGGTGATGATGATGGCGATGACGATGGCTCTGAGTACATGGAGGAGGTGGATCCGATGGCTGTGCCTGAGAGTGTTGTCCAATTGACGACTCTGGAAGAGATCCTGGCTGGAGACAACAAGAAGCCCTCTCGTAGAAAGTCCAGTCGTGCCCATTAAAAAGATCATATTATGGTTGCTATTATCGATCGTAGAGTGATGAAGTTGACCGTTCTGTCTATTTATGATGGGTCCAAGGAAACGGGCAGGGAGAAGGAGGGGGCATGAGCTGGACGATTGGCCATTGCTGTGCCCAGCAGCCGCCCTCAATTTTACCCTTTTGAACTCTATTGAGAGGTAGGTTTTCTTTTCCTCTTCACGTTCTTCTCCTCAACTTACCTCCCCTTTCTACTTCAACCACCCTTATCATCTCCACCAACAACCTCACAGTGGCATTGACATCATCATCCTTCTCGAATTCACCCTTGACGCTATCATTTATTCACACATGGCGGGAACACAGGCGTTCTTAAAGTACTCTGTACTTTCCTCAAAGCGACAACAACAGAAACGACATCAACGAACACTCAACCCCAACGGCAACTCTATCGCACCTACAACTCCCTCACAGCTCGCCCTTAGTATCGCAGAGATCCTTGAACACATCCTCACATTTCTCAGCCTAATAGATCTACAGGCCGTCGCTCAATTAGTCTGCAAGCAATGGCACTCTAGGTGCAGGAGCCTCGCCCCGTCCCCTTCATCTGGCCACTTTGTCTCCCAGACAACGGAAACCACGCCGCCCGGGGTCTGATCCATCTGGCCCACAACCTCACAATCCGAGTCATCCAATCCAAGCTTGCGACAGACCTGCTCGCCTCCTGGGCTGCAATGATGCGCATGATATCCGATGTCATCCTTGAGCGCCGACAATTCAAGCTACGTAACGTTCACCTCATGGAGGGCGTCGTCGTGAACCTGACTATTCAACTCCCCCAGCTACCTGTGTTGCCCTACTTGACAACACTCAAAGTCGACAGGGAGAACTGGTGGGACGTCATGCACCTGTTTGCGATTTTCAAGAGATGTCCCAACCTCGAGGAACTCATCATCAAGCCGACTTGGACTGCCCGATACGTCCATGATAACCTGTCTTCTCAACTGGACCTGAGAGATGAAGACGCCCTTGTCAACGAGATCCAAGCACCAATGATTCGACTCAGGACCTGTATCCTTTACGAAATGATGGTCACCCTCCCCGCTCTGATGGTATCTCTTGAAACCTGCCCTCGACTATCCGATCTCATGCTCATTAACACTTTTCGCTTCAATCGAAGCGACCATAGGTTTATCCAACTTTGGGACCAACAACCCATCATCAACCTAATCGGCACACACTGTCCGACCCTCAAAAAGCTCCATTACACCGCCCACGACAAGGTACTCACCGACCAGGAGATCACCTCGATCCTGGAACACTTTCCGGTCTTTGAAGAGTATAGTTTCGCGGATCGGGATGTAGGACCGACCTTGTTGGCAGGATTGAGAACGACTACCGATCGAGGCACGACGCTTCATCTCTACACTATTCAAGCACACCAGCCTCAACGCCTGCCAACTCTGCGCGACATCCTCTGTACGTGTGCACACTTGATCCATCTCAGGGCACTCAACATGGAGTACTACCATGAAGACATGGACTTGAACGATGTCCGCGGGCAGAACATGTCCCGCTGGAACCTCTCGGGCCATCGAAACCGAGACAAGGCAGGCGGTCCCAACCGCCAGCATGTTTGGGCGTGTCGCGGACTCCGGACTCTGCACATGACGGTCAGGTATCGATTGGCGGACATAAACTCCTCGGAGAATGCGCTGATCATGTTTGATTCTTGAGCAGGCAGTGTCCCCAGCTCCTGGAGCTGAATTTGAGGAGGATAATGTTGGACTTGTCGTTCAAGGGCGGACTCTGTCTGTTGACCCAACTTCAAGAACTTGAATGTATCAAGATCACCGCAGGATCCCATTACGAATTAGATGGACAGGCCCTGTTCTGGCTTCGCACAGCCCCTCGACTATCGACCATATTAACTACCCGCTTTTGAAAATCAAGACCAAGAGGGATGTAGAGAACTGAAGCCATCGTCTGCCAGGAGATGAAGCCTTCGTTAAGGCTAGCTGGACCAAGTTCATCAAGGACGGCCAAAGAGTAGGGGTTGACCTGAACAACGTCGGTCTGCGGCAGGGTTTGTTTAACTGGATGGGGGAACGATACAGATCTCGTAAAATGCGGACATGGCCGAAACTGAATTTTTTCAGAATCGAGATGAGGGAACGGAGGAACATTAGGGAGAAAGCACTTCAAAAACTGGAAGCCTTTGTTGCCAAAACTCAAACAGACGCCCAGCTTCACCTCCGCCATTCGCGCAAGGATCTATCTGAGGTCACCTTGCAACTGTACTATTAAAATAAACGTTTACTTGTAGAATAAGTGTGTTGCTCTGTGCGTTCTTTTCTGGGGAGAACTCAGGGTGTGTTTTTGAGTCATTAATGCGTGCAAGATTATTAAGGCCTAATGATGGTTAGCCGTCAATACTTTCAGGATGCGGCTTCATGCTTATCCCTGGTAAGACCCGACTGGCTGGGAAAGTGTTCTATTTTAATCAGCAAAAGTTGTTTGCCACCACTTTTCAGAAGATGGAAGGCAGCTCGTTCATTTGTTCATTCTTTGGTCATTACATTCAATACTCCTCCTCCATCTCCATTCACTCGTTCCTTTTCACATCACGGCTATCACCGTTCACTCGCATTGCCATACTCAACAGAAGCACAATGCGATTATGATCGAGGCATTCCAACGCGGCTGCAGTCCTTGCCTTAGGGGTTTGGGTTGTCTGTCATGTAGTTCCCAACACCCATACGACAGGATTTATCATTGCCCTCTTCTTTCTCCCCTTTTACATAGTGGCACACCCCGAAGTCACCTAAGCAAAGCCCCTTTTCATGTCACTCTTGTGTCGTGCGAAACATGCCATGTATAACGCTATTCAGATTCAGATACTCACTCCTTTTTACCGCTATTGCTTGGGTAAGGAACAAACCCCTTCTTCCCATCTTCCGCGAGCACAATTGGACACAATTACTACTGTAGATAAAATTGACGACTTATCAACTGTTACATTCTAACATTCAAGACATCGATTAGTCAATGCACCCCCAAGTACTCCTGGGGATCTGCTCGTATGCCTACATCAACACGCTCATCAACCTAGGAGACCGGACAACGCACTCTCATCTCTTTGATGAGAGTACGGCCGCAATAACGACAACATCAGCAGAGAATGGCTCTGCTTCAACCACTGATATTTTCCATCGGTGCAACATATCCTCCTCGGAGAGCGACAGTAGAATCCATGAGCATAGAGACTAAAAGGTCGTTCCGGTTACCTTAGATAGCGATATCAAGAACGCCACCTCTACCAACGAACCGGTAACAAAAGAAACAACCGCATCCGACTTTGATAACGTGACATGGACTCAAGACTTGCCGGTTCGATTACTCTCGGCACCCCTGGGTCTAGCCACCATTGCAACTCACTACTACTCCTTCTTGTATGCTTACGAGGACTCATCACCTCCACTGCTCTATAAAGGACAAGTCGTCTACAAGCCCCCCATGCCTCAGAATGTGCATTGCCTACCCGCTCATTTACATGGCCGCATGTCTCGTTGATGTGAACCCTGTTCTCAAAAGGTACATTTCTCAGAACCGGCAAAGCTGTCTACAGAACCTTAATTATCCATGCATGCTTGTATGGCATCAAGTGTGAGATGTTAGATTAGCTCATTCGACGCGTTTCATTATCCTCCGTCCATTCTAGATTTACTTGCTCGCGTACATGGCCCCATTGGACGCTGCTGTGTGCTTCCTCGCCGAGAAGACTAAATATACAAGCGTGTACTTACTTGATAACACCCACGGCCTGGAGCATCTTTGACGATTTTTACCATCCCCGGTCTCGCATTGTTTTCCTGTGCCACCTTCATCAAGTCTGTCTCTAAGTGCGACCACTGTCTATGGCGGCATTGTCTTTTCGCCCCCGCATTTAAGACAGTCCTCCGCTCCCAGTAACAACAACAGCAACAACAGCAGCAACAACAATGAGAGCGTGGTCTGTGAGCTTGTGAAAAAACGAAAAAAAAAACAATAGAGAGGAGGAAGTGCTCTCAAGTCTGATTCACAACAGCAACAACAATAGACATGTGGTTGAGCTGTAGCGTCGAATATTGGGGACTGAGTCGCAGACGCAGGGTATTGTGTATTCTATTTTTTGTGAGGACTCAAGAAAAGAGAGGTCCATGAGATCCAAAGCAAACAGCGTCTTATTTCTTGTTCATGACTCCCACTCCGATACTTTCGTTCTTGATAAGTGCTCCTCTGTACAAAAATGAAAAACTGAAGCCCTTTGGATCCTTGGCTAGCGCATTTGATGCCTTCACGTCCGAGAACGAATACGACGAATACAAAAGCTATTGCCCACTGGCCTCCTGGCACCTCATCTACAGGTTCGCTTTCTAGGGATGGCCACGCTCCGAGAGCCTTTCCGCCATTGTGGCAGCCTACTTCTGTGCCGCCGCCTGGTCCACACTCCCGACCAAGATTGTCATCCGTGCCTGGATCCGGATGTGGTCCAATAACAGCAGCGACGACGGGAGTGGAGATAGAAGGAGGGACGTGTTGTTTGCAATCAGGAAGATCCACTCCTTTCTTTTCCTCTGCCTTCTCTGATCGAGTACGTCTCGATCCCGCCATGAGACGACCTCGAGATTTCGAACCACGAGCGAGCCTGGATTTTATGGGCAGTCGTGTTCTGCTATGCGAGCAACCTGGTCTTTGCGTTGGTGCTCCTCTAGAATCTTTATGTTGTTCACTTAGGACTGGGTACTTGTCATGATTAGCAGCAGCTGTTACTGCTGCAGGGTGGCGGATTCGAGTGCTAGGAGAAGGTTGGAGGCAGGGGCGACGCGGGCGGTATTTCTGAGAGCGAGAAGAAGCCTTTCTTGCATGGCGAGGCTCCCTCCGTCCATGTCGTAGAATGCCCCCCACCTCCCACTAAAACACAACGAAGTAATAAAAAAGGTTTGTCGTTATTGTGGAGTACAATCATTGCACGATTTTTTGAAAGGGAATAATTGGCCATATGCATGGCACAATGGTTGTCTTGATCTTCCATGAGAAACCGATTGAGCCAAAAAAAAAAAAAAAAAAAAAAAAGCGAATGGGCGTCGGCTTTTAAAGTTTCATCGATGCCCACACTCAGAAGTGCGTTCCCCCGGTATAAATAACGAAGGGGTTCCCACTCTTTTGTTGGCCTTTCTCTGCGCTCATACCCTCCCTCCTTCCCCTCCTTCCCCTCCTTCATTCGCCAGAAGCATTTATTTCTGCGCCATCGAATGCCTCCAGCAAGCACCCAGTCCGCAGCGTCCACACGACGCGAAAAGATCGTTACGATCTCTAGAATATGCCTCATCCTCATGCTCCACAAGTTTCTCTTTGACGTTGCAATCGACTATCGCACCACCACAGAGTTTTATCTCCACACACTGCTCCTCTTGATCCTCCCCATCTTGGTCGGCTCCTTCCAAAACTTGAAGCAGTATCAACGATGGATTTCGTACTATAGTATCTGTAAGTTGTTGTTCAGCCACGATATATTGGCCCCGTCGAAGTCTTGTACATTATGTGATAAGGTCTTAACAACCAATGTCGGTATCGATACAGTTAACCAACCTGCTGACACCTATTTTCTTTTCTTCTCTATATCTTCGAAGGGTTACAGGTACAAGGATAGTTTTTCCACTTTCAACTACCCTCGAAGTCCGAGAACGTTCGAGACATGGTTACCTGAATATTAACAGCGCTCTTTTCCCACCACCCCTCGTCAATATTCAATTAGTTGATGGCAGACACATGGGTCATCGAAGATGAAATCTACATCCTCTCTGATATAACCATCTTTGTCTACATGGAGGTAGTTTTCCAACACTACTTGAAGGCCATCGCTGGCGGACAGTCAATTCCCCGCAGCATCTACTTTTCCTCGTGGGTCTCCAACACTACGTTCGAGTCCTACATCACCGCACACCGATCAAAGGAGAATGCCAACGATAATGAGGAGAGCAGCAACAAGAGGCAACCTGCACCCATTACGACTGCTAGCACTACCACAACCACAAGCAGGAGCACAACCACTGCGACAATCAAGACTAAACTCGGATACCTCCTCGCCACCACTGTCCTCCTCGTCACCGTCTACCAAGATATTAAAACCAAATACATGGACTACATTTGCCGTGACAGTTGGGACTTCTTCGACCCCTCCTTCGTCTCAACCGCCAACTACCTCACCCAAAATCCCAACAGCCCCGCCTACTGCTTTCCAACACTATCCACCTTCGAAATGGCCCTCTTCCGATGCTCACCCTCTTTCCATTACCACCTCTCTTCCTTCTTCCACATGTCTTTTACTCGCCTCTCCGCTCTCTGTTTTGCCCTCGCATGGTCCACCATCCCGACCACCGTCGTCGTCGCAGCCTGGAGACAGATGTGGAACAGTCCTTCTAGTCATAGGTTCAGGAAGGTTCATTATATAATCTTCATGTACCCGCTCAAGGCAGCGGTTCTTTTTTTGATTTTGTATTATACCACAGATCAACAAGAGGAAGCTGAGGGTGCCGATTATTCGGCATCGAGTTGGGTTGATGTTGAAGCAAAGTATTTGTTGGTGTGGTTCGTTCTCTTTAGAGCTGTAGCTAAGCTTGCGTTTGGGCTGGGGCTTATTTGGAACTTGTACGTCGCACATTCCAAGGACGCTACCATTGACAGCATTCCCTTCTCACACCAGGAGGAGAGGAAGGAGATGGAGCAGCAGGCATAATTTTTTCCATCTACGTGAAAATAAAAAGTCAAAGACCTCTTTCTTCAACTCCATAGTTTCAATATAAAAAAAAGCAGCTCATCATCGCGCCACGTGGATGTCTACTCTTTTTGTTTTAATCCTCAGTCGCCCCTCCTCCCTCACTTTTCGAGTCAGTTGAGAGTTCAAACCACAAATACCCCCTCTCAGCGTTATGGTTCTACCTCTATGTCATTTTACGTCCTCCTCTACCTGATAATCAAACAGTTTAAAGCCAATTATTCGATCGACTTTGGACCTTCGCGTTCACTTTTTTTTCTTCGTCTTTGCCAGCATGTTAGAAACGAGCTCTATTTTTTTTTTTTTTTTTTTTTTTTGGTAGCGGTGAAAGATAGGGTACTACGAGGGATGTTTCTATGGCCCCGCAATTCCTTCTCACCAATTCCACTGGGGGTTCCCAGCTTCTCAGAAATGAATAAATACCAAAGTCCTTTTTTTCCACATTCCATCCCACCCTCTTTATTCACCATCTTTCTCTGTTCAAACAGCTCCATATCCCCTCCTCATCATAACCTCTACCGTTTCTATCAAAACACCACAACCCCCTCCTACAGAGCCCACAAAAACGTTCAAAACAAAGTCCACTCCCGAAACCAAGAGCCTTCCTGCCGCCTAATTGAAGGACCAACCACCCTACTCCTCCTCCGCAGCAACCGCCGCATCATCCTCCGGCTCTGCTACTCTGGGGTCCTTCGCAAAGACCCCTCAGATGAGTCTCTACGACCCCTACGTGCTCTCCATAAACTAACATTCAAGGATCCCCAAAATACCTCCCTACCACGCCCTTGAGCCCCTTTCCAAAGATCCGATCGATCTCGACAGTTTGTGCCCCCAAATAATACCCGCTTCACGGCGTTCCACTTTGTTATCCTATAGTTGCTACATCCTCGAACGAAAAATAATAAAAAGATAGCGCCATGTCATGAACCAAAATTATTATGTTTATTTTTTTGTAGTTGGTCTGTTGATGTTTGTACTGGGTCCATGTAACAAACCGGGGGTACATTCTTTTCAGCCCCCCACACGCCTTGATCTACTCTTTACATTTTTTCCCATCACTTAGTTCTCCAAAAGGGAAGAAAGAGTGCGCTTCTCAACATCACTCATCTCACCAACGCTCTGAACAAACGAGGGCGAGTTCTGCTGAACACACTGACGGAGGAAATCAACCAAGTAGTTCTACATTTGAAATAAGAGAGAGAGAGAGAGAGTATTAGTATTTGCGAAAATTGTTCTCTAAAACATTTATACTCGAGGAAATATAAAGAGGTGCTTACCTTCATGTTCATCTGGTAGATAGGATCAGCCAAGATATCAGGATCAACCTCCTCCTCGTCCTCCTCACCGTCCATATCAAGACCATGTGCATCCAAAACATCAGACAAGAACGAGAACTGGTCCTTGCCACCGCGACCATCGTCCTCATCCTCCCAGTCATCCTCGCCATCCTCATCGTCATAGTCCGACTCCGCTGCCTGGTCCTCCTCTTCCTCAATCTTGTTCGTCAAGTCTGTCGACAACAAACGAATAATCTTGACAGGGACTGTTGTAATCGTGAACTGGTCAGGGGCTATATAACGTGTGCGACATAAGGAAAGAACTGGTTAGTTTGGCCTGCACCCAGTATGAAAAACGACGATAGGAAATGAGAATTGGATAGTGCGAGTAGATTGGCGGCGCGGTGTAGGAGGGACAAACTCTTCTTACTGTTCTTTGCTCTGGAACGGGTGACAATGCCTACAAAATCAATCAACAGTGTGGGGAGGAACGCGTTCCATCAGAGCATGCTCAAAAGGGGCCGGATGTGATAAGCAATCAGGAATGGAATGTAATAAAGAGAAAACTTACGTGTGGACTTGGGAACAATGAGGTCACCGTTGACTTGAACATGAGCGACACGAGCATCTCCAGACATGTAAATCTTAGTCAAAGCGACAGTGCTGACCTTCTGGTTGTAGAGACCCTGGAAGTCAGTGTGGTTGGCGAGCCATGCAGACAAGACAATATCCAGACCGCTGCGACCGTTAACGTCCACCGAGCTCAAAAAGTTGATCACAACCTCGTGCTGAGTCAAGCACAACTGAGCAAACACCATCACCAATGGCTAATGTCAAACGGAGGATTGATTGCATACTAGGGTTAATATTCCTCCCCAAATCCTTGTTTTTCATAAAGATTTTTGCATACAAGACGAGAGGGTTACCTGAATGAAGGTGGGGAGCTTGGCTTCGGCCAAGCGGCGAGTGACAGCATCCAAGAGTTGGGGAAGAATGGGCGAAACAAGGTCACCACCCTTCTTGATCAACTTCGAGATCAAGTCACCGACAAACAAGGCAGCCGACTCGGTTTGCGAAGGATCCAAGAGCTTGGCAATGAACTGGATAGTGAGCTCCAATCCAGTCTTTCCACTTGCAGCATCGCGCCTAATTGACATGAAATAGCAGTTGAAGTAATCGTTAATAATATGACTGTTGACAATGAGAGTGAGATCGCCTTAAGCAAAAGAGAACGAAGCACATACCATTCGGCAACCTGCTCAACACCCTTCTGGATAACAAAGGTGAGGCACTCTTGACCGCTCTGCAAAATATCTCTGTCGTCGGTGGTCAACAAGACTGACATTAGGTTAGGGAAGAACTGGGCAACATATCCGGCAGGCAGGGGGGTTTCAGCACCCTGGACAAGCGATTTGAGCATGTCAATAGCAGAGGAGACCATGCCCTTGTCAATGTTCTCGTTGTTGATCATGTTGACAAGAGTCGGCATAGCCCTGGCGTTCAAGGCAGGGTGCATAAACTTGTTGGCAGCAAGAGTGTCAAAGAGGTCCATAATATCCATCGAAATCAAATGGTCGGCAGGGTACTTGACCCAAGAGTCCAAAACCAGAGGTCCCAAAACGGGCTCCAACTCTGCAGCAGCTTGCTCATCAACCTATAAAAGATAATGCGGCAGCATGAGGTTAGCAATACATATGAATGACTCGAGTATGCCACTTGATATACAATGAAACATGTGGCCTTGCAAGGTACCTTGGAGGTGGTGATAAGGGTGCGGAGAATCAAGCTCAAGGACTCCTCGGTGGTGACCTCCATCATTGGTGCAACACCCTGAAGGATCGAACGCTGGTAGGGGATAATGTACTGCTTGTCAAGGTACTGGTTGAAGTTGTTCAAGGCCTTCAGAGCCGAGATCTTGACGACGGCCGAGGGGGAGTTCATGATGGCCTCAACAGCAGCAGAAACGTACTGGGAAGCGAGGTTGGCAGGCAAAATCGAGGCAAACTGGGAGGCAAAGACAAAGGAGCGACCCTGCAAGAAGGGGAACTCGTGCTCCGAAAGATTGCGGAGAACCATGTGGTCAAAGAGTCCAGCAACGTCCACAGGGGTCTGGGTGCCACTCTTGATCGACTCGCTCAGGTCACCGGCCAAGAGACCGACAGCCAAAAGACTCGACTCCTGGGCTTTCCACCAGTTGACGTTTCCGTTCGATTTTTCGTTGACCGAGCTATTGGCCTCCTGCTGAACACTCAAGTTCAAGGCATTCAAGGTTTGAACTTCAAAGTTATCGACCAAGGTCAACAAAAGATCCTCGGCAGCAATACGGACGTTGAACGAGTAACTGTCGTCTTCCTCGTCGGCGATGAACTGGTTGGGGTCAGAGATCCAAGTCTCAGCCTGATCGTCAGTCATTTGCATGTAGTTCAAAGTGTTCCAGACCAACTCGGCAAGAATGCCAGAGTTTCCATCCTGTCCGATGAATGCTGCCTGGGTAATCTTGCGGCGTCTGCATGCCATCTGAATGAACTCGAACTGAACAAAGAGCAACGACTCGAAACCAATAATCTCTCCGTCCGAATCCTGGAAGGTCTCTGCGGTGCCGTCGTTGGTGTTGACATGCTCTGAAAGGTACTTGGGTCTCAAGTGAAGCACATCCTGCCAGACAGCCGAGAGAATCTGAAGTAAATATGGCGCCATCAACTTGGGGAATCCTTGAATTGACAAGTTGATACACTGTATGCAAAGTATTGAAAGACGAACTGTTAGCAGACTGGTCGTAATTAATGTACGACCGAGAGTTTCATCGTGCGGATCAAATTGTTGTTGGGTGTACCTTGAGAATCTCGGTCTTAAGGCCCCACTCGCCGACCTCAATCTCGGGGTTCTCCGAGGTGCGCTTGTTCAAAATGACAATAAACGCCTCCATCCACTGTCCGATGATGGGTGTGAGATAGGTTTTGATAGCCTCTGGGTGCTCCTCTTTGATAGTGTATAACATCTCCACAGCGTTGCGGAAGATGGAAGCGCAGCGCGAACGGGTGGCGTGGGGGTAGATCTGCTCCGAGACCAAGATGCGCAAGAGCTCGGGGAAGAGAACAGGTGCGACCAATGGCAACTGAACGTGAGTGATATCCTTGTTGACGAATTCTATTTTTCAAATGATAGCGCGTTAGCTTAACTTTGCTCCTTTGATAGTTCCATTGCTCCATTGGCATTTCCGTTACTCCTTTTTGTTTGTTTGTTCCAGATCCTGTAACCATGAAAATGCCACTTACCAGCTAAGACTCTCATCGATCCGTGCACCTCATCCGTGGAGCCCTCCTTGAGGTGGCGAACCAAGACGTCCAAGAGGTTCGTCCACTGCTCAGGCCAGTCGTGATGTGCAATCTTGGAAATAACGTAGGCCTAGATGGTTCATCACGGAGGAGTTGGTTGTATTAGTTCCAACGTGTGGTCGCTGCCATAATTGTGCATAGCGAAAAAACTAGACTTACACAGGAAGCGCGGATACGGTTGGTGGGGTCAGACAGACCCCCGAGGACCATCTCGCGAACAACAGCCTTGGTCTATTTCACGTCCACATAAATTGTCCGGAAAGTCAGTCAGTCGCCTGTAGTTGCCATCAATTTTCTTGCAAACGCAGTTGGCTGTTGCAATACCTCTGCGGGAGGCTCAGGTCCGGTAAAGCGCGAGCTCTTCTCGGACCACTGAGTATCGACGTAGCTCTTGAGGAGGACGGCAGCTGAGTGACGCTGAGAGATGTTGCATTCCTGAGCCAGTGCGAGTCTGACAAGACTGATGGGGAACTCTATTTGCTCAAAGGAGGGGAGGAGCAGGTGGGTGGCGTCGTGTGAGTCTTTTGCTGATTTGTTGAGGAGTGACGAGGAAGGCTTTCTGTTTCTACCAGCGGGTGGATTTCACTTTGAGTTGGAAGAATGAGTGACAGGAGGCGTGAGATTCATCCCATGGTGTTGTTGTTCCTTGGAAGTAAGTGATCCCATTGCATGTGTTTATCCTGTCTCCTATGTTCTAATGTCGCTTTCATCGCCTCGTTTGATTCTTGCTGATGTTCTCCTTCGGCCAGATTCATCCCCTGGACGTGTCAACTGTTTGTTACTGTTGACAACAAGCAATGAGCTGGTACCTGGGTTGACCTGCAGCTCCTTGAGACGCAACTCTGCAGTGAGACGGGTGTTGGTGTCGGCAGACAGGGTGTCTGTGAGTGTTTGGAAGACGGCCTGGTCCATGGCGAAACAAATCAGTCGGAGGGAAGGAGAAGAGCGAAAGGATGGGGAGGTGAAAAGAGCAAGAGTAACGTATTTCTTCCCCTCTCGACCCTATGAGGTTCGTTGCCACCACTTTTTATTTTTCTGACAACAAAAAAAAAAGGTCCAATCGAACCTCGAAAGTGACTGGCTCAGAAGGGGAGGGGACGGTTCAAAAGCCACTTCTTCATTTCTACTTTGTCCAACGGACATGTTTTATTTTCCCAGTGGAACGTATTCGATATCATCTACAACAGGCTGTTGCTGCACCCCATACGACGCCATTGTCTCCCAGCACAGAGCAACAACCCACGTCATGGTACTCCACCCAGCAAAGAGCTGGCTCCCACAAATATCCGCCACATTCTCATAGTACCCCGGCGAGCATCCTCCTTTACTTGCAATCGAAATCAACGTAAACAACGCCGCAAACAGGCCAGCCATACACACCATCACCACAAACGGCAATCGGGTCCCATGATTCCATCCACCAGGGTATCGCAGTAAGACTGCAGTCCCGGCAAGAACGCAGCCGTTGAGGACAATGTGTGGTGTGATCACGAAGTTTGCCCCCGGGTATCTTCCGTCTTCTCCGTCTTCTTCGTGGGTAGGGTACTGGCGGGATCTTGTGAGGATGATGATGTTGAGAGCTGTCGCCAGGCAGACGACGATCCTGAGGAGTTGGATGAACTTGGCCGTGCTGAGGACTCTTTCGTGGCTGGTCATCGTTTTTTTCTTGGTATGGATGGGTGCTATGTGTTATGGGCAGGAGTGAAATTGGGTAGAAAGGTTGAAAGGTGTGGCATAGAATAGCGCTCTATATGTGGTGGCCATTGTACTTTACTTGAGGTATTTTGTTGCGCCCAAGCTGAAGTGCAGAGAAGAAAAAGAAAGGGGATGTGCCCATGAAACGGGTGAATACTCACGAATGAGGATCTGTCGACTTTGGTGTAGATTGACGCGACTCAAGCTTACACGAGAGCGCACATGGCAGTGCAGCGGAGACCATAATGAAGCGCGAACTACTAGACTGCTATGTGCACAGCGTGGCTGTCTCCTTCTTCCCTCCTAGGCCTTTGGTTTAAAACACCGTATGGGGCAGGACACAAATACATGGAAATGATTTAACAGGACGAGCAAAGACGTACACATGCACATACCACACACGCCCCGCGAAATCGATTTTCCCCTCCCATCCGTCTGCAAGACAAACAAACGCAATCGATAAATAGAGAGTCGACAGCCCATCCATCGCGCACAGGGTTGGTTGTTATGCACTCGACCACATGAGGAAAGAGAAACCAGGCACGGGTGCACTATTTGTCTGGTTTGTTTGTCTTGTTTTTGTTTTGGTATGCTTTGATCGATTTTAAAGGAATCGGCCCGGATGGGGCAGGGCTGGTGTGAGCGGAAAGGTACACGTGTAATGGCAACCAAACGTGAGAAAAAGAACGGCCGTTTGTCAACATTATTGCGAAATGGATATTTGTGAACCCAAAACAAAGCAAAACAACAAACAGGAGAGGGGTCAATGGGTCGACATCCTCTTCCCACTGGAGAAAGAGAAGAGCGTCCTAGTCTATCTAGTCCCATTTGTCCTTCTCCTTCGCTCACCCTTTTCTCGTTGGTTTTCTTTCTATGAGCGAAAGCAGAAAGACCCAATGCTTCCTCCCACAATTGCTCAATATTTCTCTTTTCTTTGACATCGCTTGGCATCAGAGAAAATGAGAGAAAGAGAGAACAAGGGTACCATTGCAAGAACCTTGTCTCACTCTTCTACATGCTAGATGAAGGAAGAAGGATGTAGCGTATTCCCCCCTCTCTGGACCCGCCAACTACGCTATCTGATTGCACTAAGATCATCCAGAGACGAGCATCCCATTCGCTTAGCAAAAGAGGGTAGAGAGCCCTTGCTTGACCCATTGCACTGCCACTCATCCCGCATCTCGATAACACGCCTTGGCATCTACAATGAAGCATTACTCTTTTTTTTTATTCGTTTGTTGTCCTGTCTGGCTGTACAATCATCTTCTTTTGATAGTAGGAGTGAAGAGGGGTGGGTGAAGGAGACATGGTATGATTCCTGTTGGTGTCAGGTTGAGTGTAGGCGTTTAGTGTATTATTTTATGGCGTATTGTTTGTTGCGCTTTGTTGTGCTGGATAGACGGGGCATGAGGTAATGCCGTAATGGGCAACTTGTTTGTTTGTTTGTTCGTTTGTTTGCTGCTTGTTGCTGTAGCATTACCGCTTAGGCCGAATAGGAGGGAGGGAGAGACGAAGGTATCGTGCCCTCTGCCCCTGATCCAATTCCTGATCCAATTCCTGTCCCTGTTTCTGTTCCTGTTCCTGCCGTTACTCCTGAATCCGTTCCTCCTGTGCTTGTCGTTATCGTCATCGACGTCGAAGGCAATACCCCTTCAGGGGAAGGTGGCAAAGACGAAAACGAAGTCGGTTCAAGAGGCAACACGGGAAAGGATGGGGTCGACGGTGACGACGGTGGAAGAGGCATGTTTCCAAGGTCATGGATCCGGGGCTGTCCAATTGCAGGTTTGGGCTTGTACTTGGGCAATGGTTCCACCTCGACCGGAGTCTGAATCGCCAATCTCCTCGCGGTCCTCCTCCTTCGTCCTGTTGAAGACTCTCCTGTAGGTCCAGTCTCGCCTTCCTCCAGATTTCTATCAACATCGCTTCCTTCATCATCCCCATGCTCTCCTCCCTCTCCTCTGGCCACCTCAGCAGCATAAGCCTCTCGTTCCTCCTCCTCCTCAATTCGCTGCTGCCGTTGAGCCAACTCCACATCCGGATTATACACCACACTCGTAACACTCCACCTCCACCTCTCCGACCCCACCTCCTCCTGCTCCCTCAACCGCGTCTGGAAATCCTTATCAACACACCTCTGATAATTCAACACCCCCTCCATTAACAACATTACAACCCACATCAAATCCATCGTCGACACCGCCAACTGAATCGAACACCTCGACTGTTGCTCCTTGTAATACGCAGCCGAACATCCACCCCGTAACCCAATCATGATTAACTGTGAGACCCCCGCGACGAGTCCTGCGATACACATGACCCAGACCATGGAGAACCGGTAGTTGGGTTTTAGACGGTAGGGGGCTAGGAGAGAGATGACACAGCCGATGACGACGAGGATGCTGATGGAGAGTTGTTCATAAGTCAGGAAGTTGCCCTCGCTGCTTGTGGCAATGGTTTCTTCTGTTCTGGTTGTTGTTTGGTTCGAGCTGGTGGGTGGAGGTGGTGTGGTGATGGTGCCATTGGTGCTGTTGAGGTCGGGTGGTGGTAAGTGGGGACCGTCTACTTTGAGGCCGATGAAGACTATGAAGATGATGACCAGACTGAGTAGTCCTGTCGCGATCTGCAGGGGGACGATGTATTTGAAGTAGCGGACATATGGCATATCGGGATGAATTAGGGGTTTTGTTCTATCGAAAAACGAGAAAAGGGGGATGAAGGAAGGAAGGAAGGAAGGAAGGAAGGAAGGAAAGGAGAAGAAAAATGGGGAAATGATTTCTTCGGATGAGAGAGGGACGAGAAGAAAGATAAGTTACTGGCGTTGGGCGTGAAAAGAGTAGATGATGGGCTGAAAAGAAAAGAAAGAAAAGAAGGAAAAGAGAAAAAAAGGAGATGGTGCAAGAGAAAGAAATAGAAGACAATGAGGAAGTATAATGACGCCGAGGAGAAGAAGAGAGAGAGGAAAAGTAGATGGGCCGACAAGCCCTCTTTCTCTCGAAATTCTCGATTTGCGCCATTTGCATGCAGCTTGTGCACATGGGCCCATGTTTTTTTCAATCGACTGTTGTTGTTACGGCCCTATTCAGTTGCTTTTGTAAAAGGGCAAAAACACATGGCGGCTCGTGCGTGCATCATTTTTCATTTTTTTTAATACGCTATCGACATTCCATATGATTTGAGCTGACAGACGGCGTGGAAAGTCGGATGGAAGAGAGGAGGGTGGAAAAAAAAAAGGTCAACAAAACAACAAAAACGAGTAATTTTTACTGTATCCGTGGAGAGAAACGAATATGGGGGAGGAGAAAAGAAAGGAACCGACAAGCATTGAAATTGTTGTTTTGTAATGCGCCTTACTTTTTTGCTGTTGGGTAACTTCACACACTTGCTTGCTAATATTTGCTCTTCGACTTTTATTTTCCCAAGGACATACACAGTTTTTGGTTTATCATTTATGTCTTCTTATTTCTCTATGTTGTTATAGAAGGGTTGAAAGGGTAAACAGGCTATTGGATGGACGGGAAAAAATGAGACAAGCTAGCGCATAGAAATTAGTGTATGCCTTCGCCAATTGAGAAGATGATCAACCAACTTTCTTAGTCTCACATTTTTTTGCCGCCACTTCTGTACTTGTGCAAATGTACCTTCGCCGGATTCCAGGGTCGGTCAGACAGAGTGGACTTCTCACCCATGCATGCAAAAGAAAAAACAGAGAATGGGAGTTAATCCTAAAGGGAGGGTGAAAAAAAAGCTTGGTAGGCGCAAGGTGTTGCATTGCATTGTTGTGCTCAGCTCATTTGGGAACGTGATAGTGTGTTAATGGAGTAATGTTTATGTTTATGAACGAGGGGAGTGAGCGAGCGAACGAATGAACAAGGGATGAAATCGGCGCCTACTGGTAAATGGTGTGAAAAAACATAAGAGCCCAGGTGTCAACAAAAGCGGACTAGGACATGAAAGAAGTCGAAACGGTAAAGCAGAGTCTTCAAATATATAGACACACAGCGCTTGGGTAAACAACAGACCTGTGCGTGGTTTTCGCGGAAAGAAAGAAAGAAAAGAACCCAAATACATCCTATCCACCAAAATTACACCCCATCCCTCACCTCGAGTTCCTCATCATAACTCCCCCACCGCTCAACGACAAATCACCCACAAGAAACGCGACAACAACCTCGACAACAAGCAACGCCATCACCACAAACGCAAAGATATTCCTGGTCCTGTAAACCCCACAACTGATCAGCGGCGCGTACGGCGCCACGTCTAGATGGTTGATGAAGCAGAAGTAGATCGATCCCGACCCCGGTGGCGTCCAATCGTATCCTCTTTTAGTGTTGGTGGCGGAGGTGACGGCGATGGGAATGGTGGTTGTGTATGGCGTTGGTAGTGGAGGTAATGTCCTTGTTCTTGTTAGTGGTACGACTGGTGCATTCTGTTTTCGAAGGATCGCAGTGATGATATTGTTGCTAGTAGTAGTCGTCGCCTCTGTACTGGTGGCGGATAGACGCGTCACACGCGTGTTCTCGATGGCGGCATTCTCCGTTTCAAGGACTGTCGGAACTGGCGCAGGCGACAAAGATACAAGGCCTGGAAACACCGCACCCCCATCCACCAAGATCACCCGCTCTCCAATCTCCTGTTCTTGCCCCTGATGCTCCTCATGCTCCAGACGCCGCAAAACCTCCCTTTTCTTCATCTCCATTCCTCCACCATTCACCAAAACCCCACCAGCGCCTCTCCCACCTCCAAAAGGATCCCCCAAACTCCTCCTTCCGATACCATCCTCAATATCCCCATACAACAACTCCCTATACCGCCTCACCCTCCCAATCTCTATCACAGGCCACCACAACACCCAAACAACCCCAATCGCCATAAACAAGCACCTCAACCCCGCATGATAAACTCCATCCCTACACCTCCTCACCCCTACCACCCTCCCAGCCCCCCTCAACCACCCGCCTTTCTCAACTACCAAAAACACCACTATCCCAATCACATACAAATCCGGCAGGAGGAGGAGACGATAGTACCCGTGGAGATCTGATTCTGAAGGCCCGGAGATGGGCGAATCCAGGGAGGAGGGGTCCGAGAGGAATGTTGAGAAAGGCCAGGGGAGGAGGGGGTAGAGTTGGAGGGCAAAGGTCCGTTTTAGTTGGGAGATGTGGATGATGTCGAGGAGGACCATAAATGTTGAAAGGACTATTGTCCCAGCCCGGATGTAGAACAGGGGGTCTTTTAGGATTGTTGATGGGATGCTTCCGGGCATTTTTTGGGACCTTGTTATTGTGTTATTGTTATTGTTTTTTTTTTTTTTTTTTTTTTTTTTTTTGGTGTGTATATGTGTGCAGGAGGAGAAAGAGAGCAAAAAAGTTGTTTGCAGTTTGATTGGTGTCTGTGCCGCTTTATTTGTACGCAGCATGATCCACACTTCCATGAAACCAACTCACAACACTACCTTTTCCCCGCCACGCCACCAACCTACCAACTCTCCCCTCCCTTCGCCACCTCCAAACTCCTCAATTACGTACGCTGTGGCAATTACATGGACCACAATTCACTGACAGCCAATGGCACCACAATTCACATCGAGCAGGACAAACGTATTGCATTTCATGTTATTTACATTAGTGTATTGAGTATACGTAGTATTTGTAGTCGCGTACGAATAGGGGCTCGACGCGTGTGTTGTAATAGGTTGTGGGTTATCTGTGGAAACCCCTCCTCCTCTTTCCTCAAGAGATGGCGGGGGAGCTGTGTGGACGGCGTGGTTGAATTGTGGTCTGATTAGTGCTCGATGGAGTCAGAGATGATGTAGCTCTGCAGCTCAGAGGTGGGGCGGGGCACACTGATCGACTGCTCAAACTCTGATCCTATTTTGCAAGAAGAAAAAAAAGGCGAAGAGAACCATGCTAAATTAGTCATCTACTCCAGTAAGTGCGACGTGACGACCAATGTCAAAATATTCATAACTAATCACCCCAAAACGTTACCTATGGAACTGCCATCCTCGCTGTTGCGGTTAGAGGGACGAGTGCGTGTAACTTCCAACTCCTCGGGCGTCATACTCTCACGGACGCTGGTCAACGTAGCCAGAACCTCATCCAGAGTAGGTCTCTTGGCAGGATCAGTCTCCCAGCACTTCTCGTACAGATCCTGGTATCCCTGAGGTGTACCCTCAATAGGAAGCTCACGCTTGCCGTTCAGGATCGAGACTGCAAGGGGCACATCTTGGGCCACTCTGGTGAAAGCACCATGACCACTGGTCAACTCCCAGAGCAAGACACCGAGGGAGTAGATATCGCAGCGGGCATCGAAGGCGCTAGGGTTACGGAACCGCTCGGGGGCAATGTAGGCCATGACCCCGATCAGGGGGTCCTTGGGTTCATCAGAAGAACCAGACTTGTCCTTGGGGTTGCTGGAGGAAGCAGCCAATTGCTCGGCACTAGGCATCTTGGTACTGGTGTACTTGGACTCGCCTTCGGGGGTAGTAAAAGTCTGGAGGGCATAATCGTCTATGCTACGCGCAACACGCTGTTCCATGACAGTACTGGCTCCAAAGTCGGTCAGCATGGCATTTCCGAGAGCGTCGACAAGGATGTTGCCGCAGTGGAGGTCGCGGTGGTAGATGCCCTCCTGGTGGAGTCGGGCGATGGCGGTCGAGATTTGGGTGGCCATGAGGAGCTTGTGGGACCAGTCCATATTGTGGTACTCGACCTTGAGGTACCAGGCGAGGGAACCGAATTCGGCGTACTTTGTGACGATGCAGAGCTTGTCGAGTCCTGGAGGGTAGGTGACTCCGTAGTACTGGACCACACCCTCGCAGCCCTTCATACGGCTGTAGATCTCGACCTGTACGTAATTGTGATGAAAAAGAAAAGGAAGTCGCAATAATATACGCAGGGGGTGAATAAAGGAAGACAAGATAACCACTGAGTGAGTATGTCATAATGATGTACGATGATAAGGCATAAAAAAAAGGCACAGACCGCGCAGGAACCCAAAAATTAAAGTTGATGCAGGGGATATGACGTGACGTGGTCGGAGGTCATGTTTCAAAATAATATGTTCAAGAGTCTTACCTCCTTGGTAATGACATTGAGCGACGCCTCCTTGATGGCGACCTTGATGCCCTTCCACTCGGCGACGTGGATGATACCCATTCCTCCGCCATCGACTCCGATCGACAGGTTCTCGATCTCGGCCGACGGAATCTCGTTCGATAGAAGCACTTTACGCTCCTCGGCCGTCAACGGGAATGGGAAGTACTGCTCCAGACCTTGCTCAAGCGACAAGGACTTTGGGTTTGCTGGTGCAGACTTTTTGGCGAGGGACGACGAGATCTGCTTGAAGAACGACGATACTGGTCGCTTGGAGGTAACGGGTGTGTCCTTGTTAGTGATGGTGGTGGTGGTGGTGGTGTTGACGTCAAGGTTCGATTGCTGGCCTGAGACAGAAACGGAGGCTTTGGTGGTTCCTGCGGCGTTGTGGAGTTCAATATCGTCCAGCTGGTTGTGTGTAGATGTAGAAGAGTCGTTGACCGTTCGAAGTGTGGGCGAAGTCTTTGAAAGGTGGTCGTGTTTCTTGCGGAGATCAACGTCCTCCGTACAGCACTTTGTCAAAATGTTTCCCATTATGAGGAAGAAAAAGTAAAAGAAAAGAAAAAAAGAAGAAAAGAAGAAGAGGGAGGAATCTGGTAAAAGTGACTAAAACGAATAGTTTGGAACCGACTGCTCAGAGAAATGTAATAAAAGAACGATAATAAAAGGTTCAAACGTGCACAAGTGAGAAAGGGGTCAAAGTGTGCTAGCGAGAATGGTTAAGTGGAATAAGAAGGGTCTGGTGTGTCTTGGACTGGATCGGAGTCAATTGTAAAGTAAACAGGAGAAGAAGGAGGGAAGAGATGAAGTAATGTTGTGGTTTTTGTTTGTTGCTTGTTGTTAGTCGGACGGGTTGTCAATTAAAGAAAGAAACTTGTTCGTTGACACTTGAGCCAAGGCGGTGTGTTTTTGCTGGTGGACAAGAATAGCGACTCTCTGTTGTTGGAATAGAAACATCACATTCGCATAGTTTGGAGTTTAGGCATAAGGAGAAAAGAAAGAAGGAGCATATAAGAGGTGGTTAGTTATTTAGTCTTAATAAAGAGATCTGACGCCGAGAAAGGGATAGTGCATGCAGTACGTATGCGCGTTCTCCATTTCTACACTTACACCACCAGGCGGGCAGGTAAGAAGAAGTAAGATTCAGGCAGGGAGTAACAAGAAAACGTAATAATCTGTTTGCATTGTGCTCTCGTCACCATGTCCGTCCTCTCTTACTCTAGCACTGCTCACACATGTCGAAAACAATATGCGATACTATCAACGAATGGCTCTCTCTCATTCTCTCTCATTCCCCTTCCTCTACTTTACATCTCTCTTCCTCATCCTCCATGGCACTATTGTTGCTGTTTGCTCCTGTCATGATGTCTTTAGTTTTTCCCGCGCGATCGCATTCACATTTGTGAGCAATGTGACCCCCATCCTCTAAATATACAGATCCCCACCGAATTTGCGCGTTGTGTCGTAGTATATGTGTGTGTATGTGGCGGTGAGGGCTGAGGCTGGGGGACTAGCAAAACTCACGAGTTGAGGAAACAGTAACGACGAAAAAAATACTTTGGGATGTGGACAGTTGGCATATTGAAAGGGGCGATGAAACTCGACAAGGAGCAAAGCAAAAACAGGAACAAAGAAGAGAAACAAAGGTACGGATGAAGAAAGTATTTTGCGCTGTAGGGTGAAAGTGGTGAGTAAGGAAAGCCAAGAAAAGAGAAGTGAGAGCGCGACAATGGGCAATGCTCAACCCATTGAGGTGCATACTTTGTGGCACCTCAATGATCTCAAATTAGAAAAGGATGAAGGGTGAGTTCAGATACGCACCCGCGCCTCAGGGTCATGAGAGCAAGGTTGCTTACGCATTGTTTTGATAGAGCGATGATACATTCTTGCATGGCCCCCTCCCCTGGCAACCCTCATCTCCAATTTGCGGCCGCACAGCGCTTGTTTTACAAAGCAAGAAGGAGGAGAGGAATGCGAGAGAGGAAAAAAAAAAAAAAAAAAAAAAGAGATGGAGGGAGATTGGGTGGGGTAGAAAGGGAGTCGGAGCAAGAAGAGGAAGGAAAGTGAAAGGGAAGGGTGCAAATGATGGTGTTACAAACAAAGACAAGGGGCCCGATGGATGGGTTCAGGATGAAACTCAGCCAATAACATGGCGCACATCTCCTTGTTGTTGTTGTTGTTGTTGTTCTTCTTCTTCTTCAGCAGAAAGACAAGACAGCCATTTAGAAACGGGGCCAGGGGGGTAGAGAAAAAGACGGAATTAGAACGAAGAGACAGGACCCTTCTTCTTACTGTTCTTCCTTTACGCTCCTTCTCGACACACCCCTTTTTTTTTGTTCCGATTTTGATTTGCAAAATGAGAAGGAAAAGTACTCCCCTATTGCTTTTGTTACGTCTTCTGGGTACTGGGAATAAAAAAAAAGCGGGCTACAAAAGCCCACATTCGAGAATGAACAAAAAAAAAGGGAGAGGGCGAAGGGATGGGGAAGCAGGACCGAACCAACACCGATCGAAAATTAAAAACTCAAAAGAAAAAAGTGCGACATTTAACCTGACGAACCCACAAGAAAAGGTCACTCTATATAGGAATAGCGACAACCATTTAAATCGGTCATAGGTGACAAAAGAGCGACAACTGGGGGCACAATCGCACTCCTCTCCAACCTTTTCCCGCTCTCACTTCTTTTCTTCTTTCGCACCTTTCCAACGTTTCTCTCTTTTCCTTTTTGTTCTTTGCCTGATAGAGTTTCCGCGCAGCAGCAACATTCACCACCACCACCCTGATCTCATGACGGATGCGGTTGCAATACGATAGCTCGGACGAGGAGAAGGAGATAGAGCGAAGCAAAGGAAAAGTGCCTGCGAGAGACTTGCCTTTAGAAGGAAGGTGGTTTTCTGACCGTTGGCGAGAAAAAAAGAGCAGAAAGTCGGCGAGGCAAGTTTCTTGTTGAGAGGGGTTGAGTCGTTTTATTGGTGAGATGCGAAAGAGAATGGAAAGGAGAGGGCAGTGGAAGGATGATGATGAAGAGTGGTGAGGAATGAGAAATGGAATTGAATGAAGAAGAAGGAGAAAGAAGGACGCATTCGAATGTGGCATTAGACAAGTGGGTTGAGTTGATTCTCAGTAAGAGAGGGTACTTTATTTGTAAATAGTGTGGGGCGATGCTGCATAATCCAATAATAAAAACGATGTCTGTTTGGATGTTGTGTTGTTTGTGAAATGTATGACAAGACTGGATCCAATAGAGAGAAAGAGAGAGGTGTGTTGTTGCCAAAGCGCGCAGTGTCCAATGTCCATTGTCCATTGTCCATTGTCCACTGTCCACTGTCCACTGTCCATCGTATGAGAAGGGAACGGAAGGGGAGGGAACGGACGAGACAAAGAAAATGAGAAGGAGAGGGTCACTTGATGTGGGTCCGGTCGAGTGAACCTGCCCCTTACATACCATTAGACCTTTAGACTCATGCACGCCCTCAACAAAAAAAACATTTCTTGCATGGTGTTCACCAAGGTATAGCTATTGTATCGTATGCTGTACATGTATGTGCTACTATAAATAATATGCAGTTGCCAGGCTGGCAATCAGGTAGGCAAATAGAAGTAATACCCTACAGTAGAATGCATTATTAATTGCACAAACAATGAAAGGAACTGGCCACCATGCAATTGCCAAATCAAGGCAGCCTGACAAAGCACAAATAACAAACGAGGAGGAGGAGGAAGGCGCCAGAAAAGGGTAAATGAAAAGAAGAAGAAGGGGACACTAATGGAATGAAAGGGGACGGGAGCCCAACATCAAAAAAAAGCACATCTCATTGGTCGGAGACAAACACAAGACTGCCGAGATGAGGGTGGAGACCGCACATGCCAATTCGCTTCATGTATAATACCTATGGTATCCAGATATCCAGATATCCAGATATTCAGACATAGCTTGCAAGAAAACATTATACGTACTGGCCATTTTCATCCCTTGGACAAGGTATGCAATGGGCTTACTGGGGCCAATCTAGCAACCAGTTAGACAGTATCTTGTTCCCGATCCTGTGCGCTTCTCGTTCTTAGTCAATGGTGCTTTGTTGCACGCCTAGCAAATGCCTTGTTATTTCCTCTTAGCAAATGCATCCTTTGCTTGAAGAGAATCGCACCTCCTGGCATTGTTTTGATTGAGTGGGTGTGTGGTGCATCAAAATGGAGTGTACAGTACAACAATCGCCTCCTAGGTCGAATAAATAACAGTTTCAAAGACGAGGGAACGAAAGCGAAGGTGGTTAAAAGCAAGGGGAGTGTGCCAGATCCTGACCCTTCCCCGATCTAGAGCGCGATGACGCCCCTTATGACGCCCTTATAGTGCTCCTTATGAGCCCAAGTAGGAGGCAGAGATGCACTCACCTTACCGATCCATTTGTCCCTTTGCGCCGATCTGGGGCACAGTTAGCCCCCTTTTTTCAGCAAAGATGCGCACTGTGCCCTCTGGTCCTTGGTTGTGCGTGTGCGCTTCGTGCTGTTGGTAATGTTGTTCTCTTCCCACCTGATGGTCCTCTCACAGCGTGGCTTCCATAATTGCCCTTGGCTTCCTTCTCGACATATCTACTAGAGACAGCTGACGTGCTGGGTAATGCTCTCTGGTACGTCCATGAACATCTTGCCCCACTGCGTAGCTAGGGCTTTCGGCACTAGACCTCGGTAGATGAGACTGACTGTCCACGCGCTCGGACTCTTTTTTTCCGGCTCCTCCTCCTCCGATCCGGGACACCGCTTGTTCTTTCTTCATGATAAGCTCGTCCTTTTCCTGTGACCCCACTAAAAAATTGACTCTGTCAATTAGACATTAATCGGTCAATTAAAGAGGCAGTCCTCATTTCACTTGAGATGATGGCTGCTGCCAGTGAGCCTTTTTTTTTCTTGTCCTCTTTGAATCAATACCATCGCGACACACTCTCACCGACAGACAACCATGCAACGGACGACGACGACGGCGACGCGACAGGGGCTAGACAAGGTCGCCACAGAAGGTAGCAGGACAGCACCTACTGCTCAACCAACATACCCCCTCCTCAAGATGACCCTCGTCGCCATGTGCAATCTCACCATGATCTACTCAACCCTCATATGGATTCCCACCTGGCTCAACTCCTACACACATCAAGCCGATCAAAAGCAAGACACCACCAACAACAACAGCACAACTCTTCAGAACGCCCCGTTGCCATCACTCTCATGGACACTGGTCACACTCTTCGGTCTCCAGACAGTGTTGGGGTTGGTTCAGTGGAGCCTACACTCATCTTCCAACAAAGGAGCCAAGAAGAGCAGCAAAGGTGGTGGTTCTTCGTCTTCTGTCTTCAGTGTCCTCAACACCTCAATCGCTATTGGAGCTGTCGGGACTCTGATCTGCCACGTCTTTGCCGTCCTCTTTGGCGCCGGCATCTTCAAGTACGCCTCTCGTTTATTCTTGTTTGCACTGTGTTAATATCTGTACTGGACATCTTGATCTAACCGTACTCTTGCTTGTCGATAGCCAAGCAAAGGAGACGAGTCAATTGGCGGTATACCTTTCATTGCTGACGTTCTACCCTGCTTCTTTCGTCTTGGGAACCGATCTGAAGAGCTGGCTCAGGATCTTTGTCCACAACAGGTGAGTAGTAACAGGTCACCCACAGCTCGTATATTATTATCAATGGCTGGGTGCTCTTTTTTTTTGAATTGAGTGAGCGTGATCCACAAAGAAACATCTTTTTATTAATACGCTCGTTCTCATTTCCAATTGTATATTTTTAGCCCAGGAACATATACGGAGGCAGCGTTTTATTGCCAGGGGATGATGGCGATCTTTGGTGCCTGGTTGGGCTCGATCGTGATCCCACTGGACTGGGATCGTCCGTGGCAGGCGTGGCCCGTTCCTTGTGTCCTTGGAGCGTTTATGTTTTATTGTATTGGGACAGTGGTTGGACTGGTAGTCAGCGTTGTGATGCGCCAAAGGGCAGCTAGGAACGAGTTTGGCATTGGATCAGGAGCTGGAACTGCACAGGCAGGAAGTAAGAAGAACAAGTCTCAATAGAGCTGAACCCTTTTTTGTCGTTTCTTAATAACACCCTCTTCTGACTATTAGTTGTATCATTTATCAGACCTTGCATTCCTCACGAGAGGAATAAGGGAGAGCACACTGGACGAGGGAACAATACCATGAGCATCAATGACGATGAACAACAACAACAACAACAACCAAAGTGCAGACGCAGGTCCGAGGGTGTGCGTGGGTGGCAACATGACCGAGGGGAATAGGAGAGGAGTGAATGAATACCCTCTCGATCTCTCTTTCTCTGTCCTTCCCCCTTTTTTTACTTTTTCGAGAATACAGAAAACAAAGAAGAGAAGAAGTCGACATGACATCGTATTGATGAGCTTGTCGCTCGATATCAACCATGGTCCATGGCTGATGATGGATGTGACAAGGTCGAAGGGTGTGCCAAGAGCGTATCAAACAAGGGTGTCTTTCATTTATTTACTTTTCATCCTTGGGCTCAATTACACCTTGCTCCACTTCGCTTCACTTCACTTATCCTTATCCTTGTTTTTCTTTCCTTTTTGCTCTTGTTGCATCATACACCTCTCCTTCCTCACTCCCCATCCCTTCTTCATCCTTTTTCATTCTCCACACCCATTCACACTTACTTACACTTGTCACCATCGACGCTTACATACCACCCTACTACTACATACAACCCGTCTGACCGACCGACCCGCTTCGCTTCCCTAAATCCATCTTTTCGCCATCCCGTGTGTGTGACCCAACAAACCGCCCGACTCTACTCTCCTCACACTCGCTTCACCCACCTTAACTCTTCCTCCTCCTCCTGCACCCTACTCTGCTCTCGCTCCCCCTCTAAACCATCTCTACCCTGCACTTGCACTGCACGGCACTTCAGGAACAAAGGAACATCTCCCCTGAAAAGAAGGGCATCTCGCCACACTAGAATAACAGCCAACAATAACCACAAACGAATAACGTGGCGATCTGAATCGCCCAAGAGGAGGAAAAAAAAAGAAAAGAAAAGACAAATACATTCGCCAAGGGGAGAGGCAGGATTCTTTTCAACCGACGCACCCACACCACACCTCCGTCGAAAACCCCAGGCACCGCTTCACCCACCTTCTTCCTGGATTACACCACAGTTGCTGCAAATCGACCTATTCACCAAGGCATACACAGAAGCACCAAGCTGCCGGTGGCGAGAGAGAGAGGGGCACAAACCATTCACGAAGGACAGTCAGTCTATCTTCGACTTTCCTCCACCCTTCCTTCACCTCCAAACACGTCGTCATAGTTTCGACAACCTCACCGCCACCATAACTGCCACTCGCTATTATTCATCATGAGCAAAGGAGGCAACATCAAGGTCGTGGTCCGTTGCCGGCCGCTCAACAGTCGAGGTATGACTACATGCAGTAAAGTGTCAGCGTGTGAGAGAGAGCAATGGTCTACCAACAATAACTCGCATCTGACCATTACATCATTCTTTCATGATATATAGAGATTGCAAAGGCATCAGAGTGCATCATTCATATGGACGGCAATATGACGACCATCACTAAACCAGACGGACCGGAAGGCTCAGGAGGAGGTGCCACAAAGGCATTTTCGTTCGACCACTCGTATTGGTCCTTTGACAAGAACGACTCCAACTATGCAGGTCAGCAACGGCTCTATGAAGATTTGGGCGTCGAATTGCTGAACCACTCATTTAATGGATACAATACATGTATCGTTGCATGTAAGTCAAAAGGCCCTAGCAAACTCAGCATACCTACAATTGGAAAAGGGGGCCTACGTTCCTTCATCTTGTCCTGCAGAAACTGATTCTTGCATTTTTTTTTTCTTTCTCTGTTTGATGTGAACACATTGAAATAGACGGACAGACTGGAAGTGGAAAGTCGTATTCAATGGTGAGTGTGAATGCGTCAATCCACCCAATGGTAGCCGGCAACAGGAATAGAGCAGGATATTACGGAACATGCAGGAGATCATGACAGAGGAGGATACTTTCATCCACAACCGGTCAACCCTTCTACTACTTGCTGACCTTCTATTTTTGCTCGATTGCTTTATGCATGTAGATGGGATACGGCGAAGACCGTGGCATTATACCCCTCTCCTGCCACGAGCTCTTCCAGCGGATAGAGAAGAACAAGGATCCAACACTCAACTACCGAGTCGAGGTGTCATACATGGAGATTTACTGCGAGCGAGTACGGGATCTGCTGAACCCCAAGAACAAAGGTCACCTGAAAGTGAGAGAGCATCCATCATTAGGACCATACGTCGAGGATCTGTCCAAACTGATGGTCACCTCCTTCCAGGATATTGAAAACCTCATGGACGAAGGCAACAAGGTATGCGATGCAGGAGGTTGGTTGCGATCTTGACAGACATTTGACTTGTATAAAGAGTAAGGTGACCAACTCAAGAACCTGCCGTTTCATATCAACTAGGCACGAACGGTGGCTGCAACCAACATGAACGAAACGTCAAGTCGATCCCATGCAGTATTCACGGTTCTACTGACACAAAAGCGATTCGACATTGAGACGAAGCTGGAAACAGAAAAAGTCTCGCGAATCTGGTAAGTGCGACCAAGCGCCCTTTCATTTTATAATATGCTCCACTTGAATGCGAAGTTTGTGCCTGAATGCGAGCTGATAGACCCGTTCATTTTATGTTCTAGTTTGGTGGATTTGGCCGGAAGTGAGCGAGCCAACTCGACAGGGGCGACAGGAGCTCGGTTAAAGGAGGGCGCCAACATCAACAAATCACTCACAACCTTGGGCAAAGTCATCTCCGCCCTTGCTGATGCGTCCAGTGCACCCGTGGCGAAAAAGGGTAGCAAAAAGGCGGCCGAAGTGTTCGTACCTTACCGCGACTCTGTAAGTTCGGGTGTTTGCTTTTCTTGAAAAATGCAAACTGGGTGATCGACCTTGATCCTAAACTAACACTGCTCTCCTTATCACGCTAGGTATTGACATGGCTATTGAAAGACTGTCTCGGTGGAAACTCAAAGACGACTATAATTGCGGCGCTCTCACCGGCAGATGTCAACTACGACGAAACACTGAGCACCCTTCGTTATGCCGACCAGGCCAAGCGTATCAAGAACAAGGCCGTTGTGAACGAGGACCCAAATGCAAAGCTGGTCCGCGAGCTCAAGGAGGAACTTTTGGAGCTCCGTTCCAAATTGGGCGTTTACGACCCTCTGGAAGCTGGCTCAAATACCAAGGCGTCCGACACTGTTGTGATTGTGGATCTGCATGGAAACGCCAGGACTCTTACCAAGGAACAGTTGCAGGATGAGGTGCAGGCGTCCGAGAAGATCATGTCCGAACTGAACGAGACTTGGGAGGAGAAGCTGCGAAAGACACAGGAAATTCAACAGGAACGTGAGCGGACACTGGAGGAACTCGGTATCTCAGTTGAGAAGGGACATATCGGACTTCACACGCCCAAGAAGATGCCCCATCTCGTCAACCTGAACGAAGATCCCCTCATGTCGGAATGTCTAGTCTACCAGCTCAAGCCAGGAAAGACTCAAGTTGGTCGGTTAGAGTCTGCAACCGCGGCAGACATCCGCCTTTCAGGAACCAACATCCACGACGAGCACTGCTACTTTGACAACACCAACTCGACCGTCACCCTCTACCCCGGAAAGTCGTCAATGACGATGGTCAACGGACTCCGAATCAGTAAACCAAAACGATTGCGGTCAGGATTCCGAGTCATCTTGGGCGACTACCATGTTTTCCGCTTTAATCATCCTGAGGAGGTCCGCAGAGAGAGGGACCAACAGACCAAGGGCTCCCCGACCACAAAACTTTTCACTTCAGCGGACGCCAAGACCCAACCACAACAGCGTACTCAGTCTAACAGCATGGAGGATGACCGCCCAGACGACCGGCCTGATTCTCCAATTTCGTCCGCTTCTGTTATTTCGGAGTTCGTCGACTGGAACTATGCACGTAAGGAGGCTGTGATCCACGCGCACATGCTGTCGGAGGCTAATATCAACCAACTCAAGGACCAGGATTTGGATGTGCTTTTCGACAACATTGCCAAAATTCGATACTTGCGCAAGAGCGTCCGGTCCGACAGCCGTGGAGGTTCGGTTCTAGATGACGATACCGAGTCGAGATCTTCAAGACTGTCCTTAATGGACCGTTGGCACGGCGAATCTCCTTTGACAGGAGAGGAGGACGACCGAGAGAGTCCTATTCCACCTCTGGAGTCGTCAGCGTTAGCTTTGAAGGAGAAGCTGAGGATCGCAGAGGAGGAAGTCCAGCAGATGAACCAGCAACGGCAGGAGTACGAGGCCAAGATCCAGAGTCTTTCAGCGGCAGAGACAAAGTCGGACGAGCTGCTGGCTGAAAAGGCGCTGATGGAGGAGAGGTTGCAGCTGGCCCAGGACGATCTCGCCGCGAAACTGGAGGAGCAGCGGGAAAAGTACGAAGAAAAGATGAAGCGGATGTCCTTGATGAGCCTAGCCAGTCGGTCATTGGACGAATCGAAACTCAAGGGGAACTTGTTGCCGCTGTACTCGGACTATGAGCTGGATTTGATCTACAAGACCCTGGGACGCTGGAAGCAACACCGAAAGATCCAGATGGCAGAAACGATTCTAACCAATGCCGTGATGATCAAGGAGGCCAATATCATCAGCCGGGAACTCTCAAAGCAAGTCGTCTACCAGTTCACTGTCATCGAATCTGGACCATTGGCGAATCCGAGCTCAGCCTTGGAGAGCACCTCGGGATTATCAGAGTTTCACAGCGACGAGGACACAGCGCTCTATGCCCTCAAGAGACCTTGCGTCGGCGTCAAGGTCATCGACAACAAGCACAACTCGATCTACATCTGGTCACTCGACAAACTGAAGGCCCGCTTGCACAAGATGCGCAATCTCTACAACTTTGTGGATCGACCCCAGTACAGGAAGCACTTCAACATGGAGGACCCTTTTTACGAGTCGCCTGCTCCTCGGTACACGTTCATTGGAAGTGCATCGACGATGTTGCAGAGTCTTTTGCAAAACAAGTTCAAGGAATCTGTGGTGCCCATCATCTGCAGGACAACGGGTCAGATTATGGGCCGTGCACGGATAGCACTCACGCCCTTGAGCCATAATGGTGCCCGAAGTCCCGCTGCACAGGCAATGTCGCCAACCTCGCCCTTTTCTCGAACCAATGGACACAGCCTGGCCGAGAGACTTGACGGACAACAACCACAGTCGCAAGGATCGTCATCTGAATCGACAGGACCGGAGGATGAGGAGGAGGAAGTGAAGGAAGGCGACCAGCTCTTGTTCGAGATTTCGCTCGTGGCAGTAGAGGGACTCTCTGAGCAGCAATATACCCAAGTCCACGCCCAGTTCAGGCTGTCCAATCTCACAGGGGCGAGCATGGTCAAGCCGAACGGATCCCCTCAGGTTCCCGCCCCAAGCGACAAGGTATTTGCAACGGAGGCTGTCAGCGGATTTGAGGACGAGCCCATCTTTTTTGGGTTCTCTCAAACGCTCTCCATGATGGTGACCGAGCCGATTCTGGAGGTATTGAGGCACGGGTCTTTGCTCTTTGAGCTCTTTGGAGAGGCCAAGACGACGACGTTGGCCAGCTGGGAGAAGTGGGACCGGGACCAAGAGGATCTTCACCAAGGACCTGTTGCTCAAGTGCAGGCAGTCGTGACCAACGGAAACGGCACAGTCGGGCGATCGCGAGGACCTTTCGGAGGTAAATCCGCAGGGAATGTAGGCGAGCGAATGTCGGAGGATGAGCTGATGATGGAGGAGCATCATGATGTTTTGGCGCATGTTCAGGTCTGTGAGTTGGCGCCGTCGGGAGAATACGTCCCTGTCCAGGTGTTCTCCAATTCGACAATCGATTCTGGTTCGTTCCAGTTACGACAGGGTCTGCAGCGGCGGATTGTCCTGGCATTGTCGCATGCCTCGGGCAGGCAATTCCCATGGCATCGGGTGTCCAAGGTCCAGCTAGGTCGCGTGCGTCTATTGGACAACAAGGGTCGTATTACAGAGTCTCCATCTTGCGAGGATGTGACGCTCAGTCTTGTACCGGGACAGAAGGTCGAATACCCGACAGATGGAACCAGTCTCTTGTCTGTCCAGGCCTCTTGGGACAGTACATTGCACGAATCCTTGTTTCTGAACCGGGTGACGGGAGCGAATATGCGAGTTTTGTTGACATTGACGTGGTTTGTTGAGGCTGAGCGGTGTATGGATCCAGTATGCTTCCGGATGGATATTGCGGTCCAGATTCAGGATCGGGAAGCAAGGACGAGTGTACCGGCGCATTCGCCCTATCGACTGATGTCGTCGCTCTCGTTCCTAGCAGGAGGGGGATCTAGTAAGGTGGTAAAGAAGAAGGCGAGTGGGCTGTTCCTGTTGAGCCTGCGCCCGATCGTGGCCAAGAAGGCATCGGAATTGTGGAGGATGAACACGGCAGCAAAGTATGTCAGGGGTGAGGAATTTTTGGCAGGCGTCTGGAGACCTCGAGGTGTTTCGTTGGTCAATGGATACAGAGCGACGAGGGAGGAGATTCAGAAGCGAGAGAATGTGGAGAGGACGCGGCAGTGGCTGCAGCTGGAGGAGAAGCGGAGAGGTGTCTTACCTTGGGATTCGGCCTCGGTGTCGACATTGTCGTCGTCTGGAGTCACGAATAGCCCGTCAACTGCGACAACTGCACACACGCAAGAATCTGATCAGAGTGGGTCAGAATCTAGTGCTCAGGAATCTGACGCGTTGGATGAGAAGAGCCGAAAGTTGTTGCAGAAGGCGATTGACCTCTGGCGCTACAAGCCCATCTCCCTCGACGAGGTTGTGATCAGTCAGGATCCGCCATCGTTGGATACTGACAATCCCGAGGCCATCAAGCAGCCTCGTCCATCACCGCGACTCCAGTCCGAGGTCAAACTGATCACCAAGAGGTATATCTTTGTTCTAGGCGGTCTTTTACTTGTGCGTACGTATTTGTGTTACCATCCATGGTAAGAACATGCCGACTGACTTGATGTCCACTCTCTATCGCAACAAATAATAGCGACAACATTTCCAAGAAGGGATACTTGTTCTACCCTGAGGACCGGGATGAAACCTGGATCAAGCGGTGGTTCGTGATCCGGCGGCCATACATGTACATCTATGCCCAGTCCAACGAGGCCGACGAGCTCGGCGTGGTCAATCTAACCCATGTCCGTGTCGACCACCAAAAGGATCTCGAAAACATGCTCAACGTACGTTATTTCCACTACTGCTTATGTTTTCTTTGGTTACAGTGAACAACTCATGTTGACCTCAGTCAGTTAACCCCGCCTTCTATTTGATATTTCTGACTTTCTAGCGCCAACATGTGTTTGCGATCTACACGACGAGCAACGCATACTTGATGCAGGCCCCTACTCGCGACGAGATGTGTTCATGGCTCAATCACCTTGACCAGTTCTTTGACCTCTCCCAGATCCCATAATCTTGTTTTCTATCTTTCTTGTACCTTTCCCCTCGTCATTATTAATTCATTTTGTTTTTTGTCTTTTTTTTTTTACCCCTTTCCCCCTCTTTGACGACCTTCAAAAAATATGACCCCGTCCATTTCTCACACAAAAGCATTAAAAAAACCCCCACCTTAATAGATGAGAATAGAGATAACGCTAATAAATACGCTTTACCAGGATATATCTAACAGTGATTGAAGTTTATTTGTGTTTCTTACTTGAGGGTAATGTTGAAAAGCCGCACAGAGTGGTCGACTCCACAGGAGGCCAGTTGCCATTGACGGGTATCGCCCTTTGTCACGCGCCACGACAGGCCGTTCACCGTACCTACATGCGTCAACCTGTTTGTAACAAGAACATAAAAAAGAAGAAACAGTAAAGGTATCATTAGCAAAAAGGGGAGGAGGGGGGGCGTAATAAAACAACAGGCAAAAAACGAAATCGTCCAAAAATAAACTTACTCGCGCGAGATCTCTCCAAGAGCGACCCAAGTCTCGGGCTTTGCAGCGTCGCATCTAAACAAAAACACCCGTCCATCCTCCAACCCAGCCGCCAACACATGCTCCTCCTCCTCCTCTCTACCCTCCAACCTTGGCGCAAACTCGACAGCCGTAACGGCCTCGGGCAACTTGATGGTCGCGATGGCGGTCCAGGGGGAACCGGCGGCACGGGTCTCGGATGCAGATTTCCAGATCTTGATGGTCTTGTCGCGGGACGCGGTGGCGAAAAGGGAGTCGTCGTGGGACCAGGAGCAGTCCCAAAGAATGCGGGCGTGTGCCTTGTTGCTCGCTACCAACTTGTATGGGTCCGCCGCTACATTTTGGTATCATTAAAAAAAAAATGAAGAAAGTTAACAATTGATGGTCTTACGATTCCATACTGCAAAAGCAAAAATTAACGACACAAAAAAAAAAAAAATCACATATCCAGCTCTTGGAAACTCACCCTCAGGATCCTCGACGCGCTCAAACAAGGACCAAAGTCGATCACGCGAAATACTCAACAAGAACCGATCATCATGCGAGAACTTGACCTTGGTCACCGTCAGTGTATGCGACGTCAAGGGATTCGGCGTCTGCTTCCACCCCTTCCTAGCATCAAAAAGCCTCACCCCCGCCTGATCTGGCGTATGAGCCTTGCACGCAGAAGCGACCCACCGATGATCGTGAGACCCATCGACACACATGAGCTCATATCCATGTCCAAACAACTTCTCGACCTCGGGCCACAACGTATGTTGTAACAAGTGTTCCTCGAACGGAGGCTGGCTCATGGTCTCAACTAAAGAAGTAGGTGTAGCACCAGTAGAGACAAAAGCCTGCTGGGAAAGGTAATCCTCCGACTCCTGGGCTTCAACCATTGCCGAGATATCGCCCTCAAACACCGCCTTATTCGACAACCCCAGCGCCGGCAAATTAGCCCCCACCGGCCTCTCGCTCTCCTCCGCCAGGATACTAATATCACCACTCAACTGCGCCAAAGACCGAACGAACGTCTGGGGGGCATCAAAGACTCTCAGAACCTTCTCATCCGAGCCACTCACAAAAGTCCATTTGTCCGTAAAGGCAATACACTGAGCGTCGTATCCATGGATCTGGGGGCGAGCAATCTCGTGCCATGTGGAGACGGGGGTTCCTGTGACGGTATCGGTGTGGCGCCAGGGGGAGTAGAGACGGGCGGTTTGGTCGAGTGAGACGGAGATTAGGTAGGATTGTGTGGGGTCCCAGGTTAAGTCCTGAACTGAGGCGTAGTGTCCACTTGCCGGCACCTGTGGCGCCCACTTATCTATAGTCATCCATATATTAAAATGTCGTGTTAATCGGTGGATATTAACAAACAAATAAAATCGTTTCATGCATAATCCCGCGAGTGCTTACCTCCAATCTCATTGCCCTCGTTCTTCCAAATATGAAAAGCACCATTATATCCATACGCCAGAATCCACCGTCCATCAGGCCCAAAAAGCCCTCCATAGAACCCAATCGTGTTTCCACCAACCTCACCGACCTGGGTATTATTAACCCACACCCCTGTGGACTCGTCAGGGCGCCAGATCATCATACTCTTATCGGTCGATGCCGAGAGGAGACACATGGGTTGGTGGTAGACGCCGTTTTGCAAGGTTGCGGGTTGCCAATTGATGGTGTAGACCCAGTCGTCGTGGCCTAGGAGGAGGGCTTCGAAGATGACCGAGAAGCGTTTTGTGGTTGATGATGGTGTGTCCATTGCAACGTCGATGATATGTGCCTTTGTGCTCAACTGTGTTCCCGACTTTGACCTACAATAATCCATTCATAGCATAAGTAAATAATAGTTAGGAACAGCTGTTTTTTCCTTGAGCTATCGAAGTTCCACGTAGTACCCATCAAGATACTTAAAAAATAAACCACAAGAAACGTACATTTCCTCAAGACTCTTCAACATATCTTGGGTCAAGGCAGCCTCAGACCCAGCCTGGACGGTAGCGTCCTCCGCAGACACCTGCTGTGGTGAATCCATAACTGCAGATATCCTCCAGATACGAATATACTTGTCCTGAGATCCCGAAGCCAACAACAGATCACCGTCCTGCAATGTGTGATGGTGCGATGCGTTCTTTCCATCAGTTTCCTTTTGCTGCTGCTTGGTATCGTCGTCTGTCGAGTCCTTGGTGAATGTTGCGAAATCCAGAGAGCGGACCCAGTTGTCGTGTCCCTGCAGCGACAACACTTTGTCAAACTAGATCCAGAAATAGCAGCATAAATAAACGTTAGTCGAAGATCCACCAGCTCCATGTCGTTAAGCAAGGTCAAAGAGGACATGAACGCACCTGCTTGGATTGCATGACATATATGCTGATCCGGTTGTCTGTGCTGCCGACGGCCATGACGGGGACAGAGGTATTGGGCAGAAAAGAGATAGCAATTGACTGGGCGTACTTCTTGCCCACCTGAATCGTCTGTACGCACTCCACTTTGTCTATCACACAGGTGAAGGGTAGTAAACAAAAAAAAATGTCAGCACTTTGTGTCCTTGGTTACGCCTCCGCCTCCTCTCTTGCCCAAAAATGACTCACTGCATGCCAATTGTTCGTCATACCTGTAACTTCATCAACCTCAGTACGTTCCCAGACCTTAATAGTCCCATCCCCCGACCCTGTCGCAAACAGATCCTTCTGCTCCGGAATACTCCTGGCCCTCATAACTCCAATGGTAACCACTGATCCCGTATGACCCTCCAACACCGCAGAGCACACCCATTTGTCCTCCTCCTTCTCTCCTGTTCCTGTAGACTTTTTCTTCCAGACACGAGCAGTCTTGTCAGCAGATCCAGAGACAATAGCGACGTTTTTCTGTGCGAGCTCGTGGCCGCGGTTGAGGAATGCGACGCAGTTGACGCGGTTTGTATGTCCCTGTAATGTTGCTCTTACGCCTCTTCTTGCCGAGTCCTGTTATGCCCGTTTGTTGGCGTGGTTGTTGTAGTTGTAGTGTTGAGTCGAATGATATATATGTTTTTGAATAAGAGAAAAAACAACTCTGTTAATGGACCATACTACAGCATGATCGGCTGCGGCTCTTTTATCTGCCCTCCTTTCTTCTCAAAAGAAAAAAAAAAAAAAAAGGCCGGCGAAGTATACCATAGGGTAGTAGAGAGCGACGGAGTGATGGGCTCCAAATGCGGCGAGTCCGTCGGCACCCCAGGCGAGCGCCTGAGTGAGTCTGTTGCATCCGACACTGATGTGTTCCTGAGTAGCCTCCATGTCCAAGTCAAGTTGTTTGAATGAATGGGAAACGAACGAAAGTAAAAAATGTGAATGAGTGTGGATGAATGAGCAAAGAGGTGTTAGAATAAAATAAACAGAATTGTGACTTCGAAACGCGCCTCGGTCATTTGTCTCCTATTTTGAGTTTGAGAAGGGGAGGGAGAGGAGGGATTTGAACGCGACACGCGAACATCCCTTGTGTACTTTTATGAAGACAGAGCGCGTCCTAGACAATGCACCGTAGTAGCAGCATGCTCAGGCAGTTTTTTTGTAGTGATCTTGTCTCCCCTTCTTTAGCATTTGCTGATCTACCGCCAAGATCACCTATTAAGGGTGGCAAGTTTGATCATCAAAATACCACGCACCTTTTTTTTCTCCCTCTCTCTTTCGTTGTCTTGCTCCTCCTCAACTCACTCACACAGAAAAAACACCAACAGCACTAACAGTAACAACGAAAAAAAACCCCCTCCACTATGGTAACAAACAATGGAACCACCACAGCCTCCTTGAATGCAACCACCACCGGAAATGCTTCAAATAGTAGCTCCTACTTCCGCCCCTTCGCGAGCAAACCTGTCTCCCAAACCATCCCCATTACTCCCGAGATTTTGTTGTTGCCTCCGTCGTTTTCTTCAGTAGCATCATTTCTCTTTCCAGCATGGCGGACTAACCACAATTTAAACATCATCCCCTCCGCTTCAATAGCCCCCTGTACCCGAAGGTGTCGCGATGCCTCCCAACAGGTCTCCCGCCACGATCCTGAACAAGATCCGATCCAGCTCCACGACTACTCAGCTCCAGGAAGAGAAACAAGCAAGTCATTGCGTGGAGGAATTCATCAACGAAACCGCCAGCCATGAAGACGCCATGGCGGCACCAATTGCGCCTACCAACTCCACACAGAGTCCCGCTCCTCCCAAGCTCAAGGCGAGTACAACCAAGGCCAAGAAACACAAGCGGGCAAAGAACCGAACTGACGGCAAAGCATCCATTCTCACCAGGTTCGCCTATTTCAACAATTAGCACTCCGCCACTCAGACCAAGGCTACTGCGCTTATTACGTCTACCGAGCGTATTACACCCACGGTGCCTACTATACCTACTACGCCTACCACGCCCGCCGAACCCATCAAGCCTCCTAAGCCTCCCAAGACCAAGACTAAATCCAAGGCAACAGGCCCATCCAAAGGCATAGCTGGTTTCAAGAAGTTCAACCTTACCAAGAACAAGAATGGATCCAAGACCGCCACCTCTGGATAGCGCGCATCTGGTCCAAAGTCCTCCAAACCTATCGAGAGTGTCCAAGCTAAACGAAAGGTCGGATGGATCTTAGGCGCTTTGCCTTTTTAGTCTTGATTACTTGGCGCTGATGCCTTTCCTTATCATCTTAGTGTATCTCTTTCTTTTTTTGGCTCCTCGGATCCCATTGCTAAGGAGAGGTATTCTGCAGCTCACATTAAACGAAATCGACAATGTCCATACCTTGGGTCAGCACGTGTGCAGTATATAATTTTGACGGCGTGTGTGAATCGACTTGCTCCCACAGTCAGTCCTCCTTCTTCTGCCTCAAGCGCACAGGTCGTTGTTGATCTCACCGATAATGCCTGAGAGCAACTCCCTTCACCCACTTCTGTATTCATACTTCTCTTGCCTCGAGTCAGTTCGACATTTTATCGAGCAGCTCCAGAGGAACTTGGAGGGGCGACAGGACGAGATGACTACTTGGTGCCCCAAGATGTCCCAAATGATGATGGATGCGCCCAACCTGATCAAGGGTGCAGGACAGGAACAAGGCGGAGAAGCAGAAGCGGGTGCACTGGCCGCTGCAGGGATGGCTCACTGACTACGACAAGTCTATTCTCGCCAGTAGTGTCCATGCTTGCAAGGCCGTCATGAGAAGATCCAGAGGTTAAGTTAAAGACGCCACTGATACCGCGTCATACACCGCCGATGCCCCCTCTGGTAGCGCTTCTACTGCTTCTCAGCATCGCTTAGAATAAGCGGTAGTGCGGGACGCGTCTTCGTGTCCTCTACGGATATGCGCATAACCGTGCTTTTTTTGCCTTCTATGTCTTCATATCTTCGTAATCTCATGTCTCATGGTAACTCTTTTTCGGATGTGCATTTTCTTTCCTGTCTCTCTACTCGCGAAGCTTATTTCTTTGACCGTTCTTTTTCCTTTCTTCTATCTTCTTTCCCAAAATACAATGATTTATGCAATTATGCCTTCCCTTTTCTTCCTCTTTTCCTCTTTAATTCTCTGTTCTCGCTCAGCAATACCTTCCTTCGCCTAACCTTCTTCGTCTCCCAGCAAACAACCAACGCTTTGAAACAAACACTTCACATCCAATCATTCCATCATTCCATATCTTACCTCCCTCCTCTCACAACAGCCACACTTTCATTTCGTCGTCTCTCATTTCTTGGCACATCCCTTCTTAGTCATCAGAAAGGATCATCAACATCAACATTACTTATACACGCTATCTACGCTACCAATGAGCCTCCAACTGCGCTCTTCCTCTCAAAGGCTTTTTCTGCTGGGCGAAGTAAACATCTCTCACTCCAGAAGAGCTTAAATGCGGAGTCGAGAAAATGGTTTAGGGGGGTAGATGACCAAGACAGAAAAGTCGTTGTCTAAATGAAACCATTCTACCAGCCAACCCCGGATTTATAATATATATGTCTTTAATGACTGCAACTGAACGTTTTCTTTATTATCTTTTAGACTGGCAACATTGGTTACGATCGACTTGAAAGAAACGCCAATATTACACGCGTTCATGCGCAAGCGCTGAATGGGGCCCTCCGAAACATTAAGGCACGCGATGATCCTTCACCGCCTCCCCCTGTTCCTAGCTTTACACCGCCACTTATTTACGTACCGCTCGCTCGGAGGATGTCCTTCACGGAAAAACGTTGGTTACAGGACCGGATGTTGTTGATGGCCGACACAAGATCGATCGGATGGTTTCATGTTCGCACTGCAAGGCACGAGTTTGGATTCAGGAACGGAATAGCGGTTGCAAGCGATTTACCGCTATTGTCGATATGCTGTTTACAGGGACGAGTCAAGCTGCCAGAGATTGCCGTGAACCCAGGACTTTTGGAGTTTATTAGACACATTCGCAACAACATTCGAAAATACAACTCGCCGCTGCACAATACCTGAAGTCAAATTAATGAGGCTTACAAATATCCCCGCTGGGACTTAGAGGAAGGGCCATCCAAGGATCTCCTGAATATATTGCGAGTGACGAGAAAAAAAAATGGATGTAGACAACGCCAGCGCGACCTTTCCCCAGTTATTAAGATCGCTGTCTTACTACCGGGCTCAGCTGGGCACAGGGATATTATTCTTCAGGGCAGAGATGGAAACTCGACAAGTATGAACAGCGGCGCTATGGTTCAATAAGTTGAACTCTACATCCCCAAGCGTGTCTTTGGCCACGGCCAGTTGTAAATTGCTCACCTACGCTGCAGTATTCAACAGTACTTGAAATTTTCATCAAGGTTGGCAAAGAGGATGCCCGTATTAATATTTTTGAATGACTCTTTGAAGAAAACCCATACCCCTGATAAACACTTTACAGAATACATCCCCTTACACCCCCGTGGAATCGCTCACGGGTAACCTTTCTAGTCACCCTTTACCTTAGCATCCAAGGTACATGTCATGTGAAAATAATGTGGTGGCTTAGGTGGCACATTCTCTAGTTGCTATGTCGTTCGCTTCATTTCTGTGCTGTCCTTTGCCTCCATTTCCATTTCCATTCCTCCATTCCATTTCTTTCCTTTGCCTCACTGCCATTGCTGTAACCCACTCTTTCGCGCCCATTCACTCCAAACCTCTCTCTCTTAAAATTGTGTACGAAATTCCTCTCCCCTCCAACCCTTTCTCATTGCAAACGGCAACTCAGGTAGTGTGTTTGACTTGTGCATTCGTTCCCTCCTTCGTTTTATTTGAGAGCATTCGTAGTTGGACTACGGTTCCCTCTGTCGCTGCCAAAGTTCACCGGTGGATTGTCATCGGTGTCCACCTTCCCTTTTATTGTTGCTTTCTACAATCACTGAGGTTGGTCGTGTTGGTTTTGACTACGGTCATGGGGCAGAGGTGGCGAATGCTCTGCTTGTAGTTGGACTACGGTTCCCTCTATCGCTGCCAAACTTCACCGGTGGATTGTCATCGGTGTCCACCTTTCCTTTTATTGTTGCTTTCTACAATCACTGAGGTTGGTCGTGTTGGTTTTGACTAAGGTCATGGGGTAGAGGTGGCAAGCAATTATTTGTCCTAATACTTGATTGAGATATTTTGTATCAAGTCTTACACAACTTTTTTAAAGTATTTGACATGACCAGCAAAAAAATCCTAGACTTATTTGAGGAGTGCAAGCAGTACGACCCTGTCACCTTCTTCAAGCGGATGGGGTATCGCTTTCAGAACGAGAAGACGCGAGCGCATTCCACCTACTTCACATTGATGTCCCAGGCCAGAATCTCCGCTGAATGGGACGCGTATGCTAAAATCATGGCCGACCAATGGGACAAACAACGAGCCGACGGCACTGTTGCGAACTTTTGGGGGCGTCTCCCAAAGAACTCTTCCGACAAGCTGGCGCGGGCGCAGGTAAGATACTGTTGGGAAACATTCATCGAGGAAGGGCAAATGGGATGATTGACACTCTTTACTCACATGGATTTCATTGTCGTGATAGGAGGACCAGGCGATATTCAACGTGAAGCGTCTCTACAAAAGGGATAATGCCATGTCGAAGATCCTGGACCAAGGCCTTTTAGAAACCGCCCGTTCCAACGTCGCGGCGTCGTCGTTATCCAAGAAGGTATGAACTACATTTTATATTTTGTTTTGTTTTGTTTTGCGTGCGTTTCTCATGACTATTGTTAACATGCAAAAAGCCCTTTGTTTTCAACACCTCTCTCACTGTGGCAGTCAGGGAAACCTACCGACGTATCCATTTCAGGTACTCGAGCGACCCTTTGTTTAATGGCCATTGTTGTTCATACATGAAGTCAGGTAACTAGTACTGCGACGTTGGAGCGCTGGTGACGATGTACCCTGTACTAATTAACTTCTCGTCCCTTCTACTTTGAAAGTACCCTCAGCTAAAGGACTAGCGAATCGAGCGACACAAGAAGCTGGGCAGACCAAGATTGACAACATGGCCGGTAAGAGCAACTTGCTTGTTGTCTGGCTGACGCGGCTGTTTCATATTTCGTGGTTTGCTAATACCTTCCCCACTCTGACTGAAATGTTGCCATAGGTACACCAAAACCCTCGACGCCGGCAGGCACCTTCAGTACTGGCAAGCACAAGATGAATGCTTGTACCGCCGAGGAGCCATGGCGACCGTTGACATTTGCGTTTATGGATATTGTAAGTTAGGGAAGCTAGCTTGGAGAAAATGATATCATCGACATCATGTAGTGATCAGCAGCAACTAATTATTTACTTTAAACATGAAGATGGACGGCAAGGACGTTGCCGCGTTTCCGGAGCCCGTACCGGGCATGAATCGTGAACGTGCACTGTTGTTCGATCATGCTGTCACCTCTTTGAAACAGTACCAAGACCAAGATGTTCAGGACAAGAACGTTGTGCTGGTGAAGGATGCACAGTAAGACGCAAATCTTCCTATATATGCATTGAGTCGTTTTTTCTTCATGAAGCGTCAATGTAACAGGGAACCCTTTAATCTCCTTCAATAGAGTTGCAATGTCGTTTATCTTCAACACGATGTCAGAGCGAGCTTGTCATCATTTTGAGAAATTTCAAGAAAAAGAGTTGGTCGAGACTGCTAAGGCTTCGAGCGTTATTGACGGTTTTGATCAACATATGTGCTCGACCATTCTCAAAAAATATGCTCCGAGGCTCGCGAATTGCAACGTCCAGAAGCTCATGGCCACGTTGATCATTGACCGAGGTTCCATCTTCGACAAGTACTCATATCAGGAGCGATTGCCGGCAAGCGTGGAGCTCGAGAACAAGGTTCTTCAAATCCTGATCATCATGTAAGTGTTATGGATTCAAGCCAAACTACATGCTCTCACTTCATAGCCACGTCAACTTATTATATTTTTGTTCACTTTTATATTGATTGTTTCTAGTTGTGAACATATCCTTCGGCCCCCTTTCGGCAAATCTTCACCGTCGGAAAGCGACTGCCTCCACGTTTGGATGTCCATTTTCTCTGTCATGGTGGACAAGTTGACAATTCATACGTAAGCAAGGCGATGTTATGATTTTGTTTGGTGCGTGTTCCTTCTGCTGTATTTTTTTTATGTTGGTTATGCTAAATAGCAAAGCTGTTTATGCAACTGTGTAGTGGAGAAAGGGTGCTGGGGTCATCAAGAATCATGCGCAAGCAACAGTCAGCCGAGTTTGGAGATATCAGCGAGAGTGACCCCAAAGTCGACATGCTTTTTGTGTACAATGGAGTGGAGATCTCCAACGTAAAGTTTAAGAACCCTGGCTCCACTGAGCGAGACCTTGCGATTCAAAACAGGGAGAATGTCCGGTTAGCCCGGTGTATACAAGAAGCTCATGCTGCTCTCGGTGTTCCAGATCCATCAGTACTGATGGCCGACGTTGCAGGTATGATGAAACCCGTTCTACCGAGTGAAAAAAGGCTTCATTGTCATATTAATCATGAAAGATACGCGTACCCAAGCTTATTTTCGTTTTACTTGTTGTGCTCGTAGGGTTTGTTGGCGTGATCTATCAAGTCGGGCCGTTGAAGGGGATCGCCGTCACAGGAGAAACAGCACATGCTACAGTGAGTCTGCCCCTAACCCGCGCTACTTTGATGGCATTCCTAGAAGACAACTCTCTCGCCATAATTTGGAACTACGTTGTAAGTACCATTTTTTCCTTTGTCGTCTAGTGTATTGCTACTCATCGCAAAGTCTGTTCCTTTTGTCTAACGTGCTTCACGGCGTAGTCTCGTTTGGAGGCGCAGGGGCAATCGGTGTCCGATGCGAAGGAGCTTCATGAGCTGGCTCTGGAGAAGGCGAAGCTTGAGCGAGTCAAGCGTGGGCGGGACCAGTCTTCTCACGATTCACCACAGGCCACGGTCCAGATACGATTCCAGGACGACGTAATACTGACTCCTTCGAAGAAGAGAGTCAAGATCCTCACAATTGCACACATGAAAGATCTAGGCGAGTCTTTTCCACCTCCGTCACCTTCCTACCGTGATTCCTTGTAGATTGTTCGTTCTTCAGGTGGAATAAAGTGCTCGAACGCCATGGCAGCCTTGGCAAGATCACGTTGACGTATGAACGGACGAGTCGTGTGCTTCTGTGCTTCTACGGTTCTCCACTGTTGGTCGTCTTGATTGTGGAGGTGTATGTGTCGCCTCCCCTATTTGGAATGAGATAGTACATAGCGATTTTTTAACGTTTGGAGTGAAACCGTTAAATCCATTAATGTGTAAGTCAACGTTGGTGGCGCAAGTCACAACGAACAGTGTCCATGGTCGTCCATTCATCCAGTTATTCTAGGCACATAAAACACAAATATACTTTTTGATAATCAGTCATCATTAGCTTAAATTAGGACCCTTTCGCCCCTGGCTCTCCCTTCCGCTCTTCTTTCTCTTAGTCTCTCTTTTTTGCTCCCCTCCACTCTTCATTCGTTCATCTTGCTTCCCTCCACTCTTCATTCATTCATTCATCTTGCCTCCCTCCACTCTTCATTCATTCATTGTTTCCTTTCACTCTTCAAGTCTTCAATCATTCATATTGTTTCCCTCCTCTCTTCATTCATTCACTCTTCTTCGCCTCCTCTCATTTGACAACTCATTCATTCAGCTTCGCTCTCATTCATCCATTCCTCTTCTCTCATCCACATCCCTCATCGCAACAATGCTCCAAGTCCTAAAAAGACTGCACAGTCTATGGTACCTCATCCTCACCCTCTCATCCCTCTGCCTAATCGGAACCATAGTCTTCTACTCTCTCAACCTCGGATCCGAACCCAACTCCAAGTATCTAGTCCCCCTCCTCGCCTCCATCATCACTGTCATCATTTTCGCCTATGGCATCTGGGGGAAAGCCAACCCCTACCTCATGCCCACCTCTTCCCCGCGTTCCAGCCCCTGTACCCGAAGTGTGCGGCACTTTGGAACGGGTCTCTTGACTTTGCTATGGTTGACTTCGACGCTTTTTTTTGCGACCAATACCTTAGCCTTCGAGAGAGTGTATTCGGGGTGGACGCTTCTGATTGCGATTTTGATTGCTGTGGAGGCCATTAGCTCAAGTCGGTTGGGGAGGGAGCAGAGGAGGATTTTGAAGGAAGAGGAGAGACGGGTCGAGTTTGAGAAAGTTGCGGGGAATTCGGGGTCGACTGTTGTTGCGGCCGCAACTGATTTCAGGAAACATAAGAACAACAGTCGAGATTCGGGGCTGGGGTCCTTGGGGGACAACGATAGGAGTATGGACAACAACGGTGGTGGCGAGGACGAGTTGACGGGGGTCGAGATTGTGCGTCCCGAGGCTATTGACTTAGCGACGGCCATCTACAACCAACAGATCCTATTCGAGTCTGCTCAACGACACTATCATCAACAATACCAACAATACCTCATTCACCAACCCCACGATGACAACGCCAGTGGTGATAACAACGGAGGAGACGGAGAGCAGCTGGAAGGCAAGTACGATGATATCTTGTTGGAGTCGTCCTACAAGTTTGAGATCCCCATGGATGAGTCCTACAACAACAACACTGGAAAACCTTCGTCTTCAACACTTCCCGCTCGTCCAAGTTCCCTTTATTCGTTATCTTCCCCGTCCAGCAACGAAAAACTACACCTCCCCTCCGCACCTCCAGCATCCTCACATACATACACATACCCTTCCCCGCCAAGAGCGCCACAAGAACCAGCAACACCCACGTCCTTCTCCCCATCCTTCTCTTTCTCTCCATCATCATCAACCTCAACAACAAAGGAGGCACAGAGGATGAGTGTACTAAAGAACGAGATCTCACCGGTCGGGATCCAGTTCATGGAGGAAACCAATCCGTTTGGGGACAAGGATTACCAAGCTGCGACCGAGCTTTCGGCCACTGCACCTCCTTATGAGCTCTCCTCGACAGAGTCGTCGTCGCCGTTTGTGCAACTCAACTTTGGGGAACAGAATAGTGGTAGCGACCACGGCAGCCCATTCAGCAACGATGTCACCCATAGCAGCTACAGCAACAACAGGGCAACAACGCCAACATCAGCAACAGCACCGACAGCCATGACAACGGCAGCGGCACCGACCACGAGGTGGGACGTAACGAAAGACCTACCACGACCCCAATAAAACACAGTGGAGCACTTTTTAATTTATAATTAGTACCACATGTCTATGTACTTCTCCGCCCTTGCTCTCTCCATTTTTATGGGAGCTACAGCCCTGGTGTGAGAAAATTCGCATGTTTCGTTTGCTTATCTGAAACTTTGGTCTTTTCGAGTTTTGAAGAAAAAAAATACCCCACAGGCAAGTACAAGCCGCAACAAAACCAGTCCCACCTCTTCTCTTGGGGCGTTCGTTTGAGAAAGAAATGTGTACCGTTTTTGATCAGGTTTTCTGATGTGGATATGACGTTTGAAAATCAGGTATGTTTGCACGTTTTTCTCTCGTTTATTTCTTTGTTTGTTCCCAGGAGCTATCTTTACCGAAGAGAAAAAGAGGGGGAGCAAGGAAAGGGAAAACAGGGGAGGACGGATGCAGGATTGGAGCGAAGGGAGAGAGACGTCCAAGTCACGGACACACACCCCTTCCTTGTTGATTCGCTGAAGATGATTCATGGACAAGATTCCATGACTTTTTTTTTTTTTTTTTTTTTATCTGATCAACCACAAAGGGGGCAGGACAGATCGAAGGCCCTTGATCAACACCTTCCCTACTCTCTTCCTTCAAAAAGACCAAGGCAAAAAAAAAATACAATGTGCTCACAAACACTTACAACATCAAAAACAAACAGCTAGAAGGCCAATGTTCAAAAGAATGACAATGCACCCTCGTCGCACGCACAAACACCAAAAGATGTAGTCCCCCCCCCTTCCTCTTTTCCCCAAAGAAAAGATAAATAAAAACATATTTTCATTCAAAGTATGAATATGAAGGATCTAATAGTGAATATCAACCCGCCAAAAAAAAAAAAAAAAGCTGAACACCAAACATAAAAGCTAGAAACTACAAGCTCGTCGTGGTGGCGATTGCGGACATCGTCCATGTACTGAAGAGATCGGGGTTTTTCATAATCAACAATGATAAATAAATGTTCATTTGATTCCTCGTTGCACACAAAGAAACAGGGAAAAAATAGGGGGGTGAGAGAAGTGGGGAAGGGGAGGAGGAGAGGCAATGTCTTAACTGAGATGTGCACTTGATTGTTTATGAGAGGATTGGATCCAAGGGATGCTCGAGCGAACATGTACTGTGGAGGAAGAGAACAGTTATCGACTATGATACGGAAAAAAACATGAAGATAAACATTATGACACTTGGATGTGCCGGAGGGTAATTCAAAGAGGAGGCTTGGTTCGTATGACGAAATACAGGGTTAGTTTTCATTTGACGAACTCTCTATTTATTAGTGTGCTCAATAAACTGGTCAACAACCACCTTCTTTCTCGTCATTCATTTTCCCCCTACATTTTGACTCCAGACTGGATATAGTCTTGCCCGCAATGGCGATATCTCCCATTGGTCGCACTTGATAAAAGACGCCAACGAACTCTACAACGTTGGCAGATCAGAAATAAGTCTCGTAATTTTGTCCAGCTAGACGCGAAACGTCAACAAAATACAATTGCACTCACCATGCACATCAGCCATGAAAATAGAGGGATCTTTGATTCCCAACGAGATATGAGCTTGCTGGATACAGCGTGCAAAGCGCACATTCTTGCGGCTCTGGATCGCAAGGTCTGTCTTAACAGCACGCTTGAACTCAATATTGGATAATTCAGCTCCTTCATGCATGAAAATACAGTCCGCTTTTCGTCCAGTGTCGCTAACATCGCCATGCTCCAGCGACTGCATTTGGCGCATAACTTTCGAGGCTTACAGCATCATCTCACCCCTGAAATCAAATTCATATTAGTTGCGTCTCTATAACGACCCGAGCTCTAAATAAGAATAACAAGTGCTGATGACTTACGTGTGCAATGATACCTTGTCCATAATCACTTCGAAAATGGAGGTCCAGAGAATTAGACAGTCATTCTCTGACGGCGACTCTGTCTTGAACGGCGGGTGCAGCACGAACTTGCATCTAACGGGTTTAGGAGACGTTCAGTTAATACTTTGGGAAAAGAAAAGGCGTCATGCACTCCTCAATGCAGCTATTGTGCTAATGCTTACAGTCTAGTAAGAATCTCCAGTACTTTGTCCCTCATCTCAGCCTCTGGCGGCAGACGCTCGCAGTCCATATACTTGCTAATAAGCACACGGCGGCTCACGATCACTTGCTTCAGAAGGCCATTGACTTCGTGTTCGATAAGACATTTCTGATACTCCTGAGCGATCGCGGTCGATGGATGGGTGTTGAACTCCTGGACGGTGCTTAATAAACATGCCTGATCAAACAGGTCTCGGTGATGCTGCCAGGAAACAGGTAGAAGGGTAGAAGGATGTAAGGAGAAGGATGTAAATTTACTTGAACAACATCCTGTATGTCGACACCCATGCCTGCAGCCTCGGTAGCCAGCAGGATCAAGATATCCCCATCCACGAATTTTTTTCATGGTTGTCCTCTTGTACTGTTCATCTAGTGTTGAGAAGTACAAGCCGAGTCTTCCTCGCAGGTCGGGCCTTATCCTCTGCAGACACTTGAAAACACGGATGAGAACAGCGATCGTCTCAAAGTAAACGATGGTCTTCTCTTTGTGCAAAAGGCTATGGAGGCCTTTCATGGCATCCTTGGGCTGAGTGTGCACCTCGAGACGCACGTTCATGCGAACCTCGTTCACGCGTATCATCGTCGCCTTGGACAAAAAAAGCTTCGCCTTAGTTTGTAGGATCGCGTCCGCTGAGAGAGTCGCTGTTAGCCCTACAAATGGTACTCCAGGTGCCCAGACACGCAGATCACCCAGGCGTGTATAGTCCTCGCGAAACTTGCCCCATTTCTCGACGCAGTGCACTTCGTCGATCACTATTGCAACCAACAATATTCGCCAGTGCTCGTTCCGCTAAAGGTCTTGAAGCAAATCCGCTTTGCCGCCGCTGAAAATGATCTCGGGGGTGAAGTACACAGCCCTGTACTCGCCATTTAGTACGCGTTGAATCGTACCCTTGTTAATGGCATCCGAATTGGCGCCAGTTAGAACGATGTAGGGTATGCCGGCTGTGGCCAGTTTCTGTAAAGTTGTAGGGCAAGATACAATGACAGAGGTCAGTCGTGTAACAAGGACATTTTTATTGAAGGTATGTACAAACAAGATTGCTTGAAAGCTACCTGCTTTCGATCCTCCATCAGAGATATTACGACGGTCACGGAGCGAGGCCAGAGCGCCATTGGCAGAAAAAAAGCTAAAGTCTTGCCCCAGCCGCAGGGAGCGATTAAGACACAATCGCTCTTCGCTTCAATGTTATACAAAACCTCCAGTTGCTCCACCTTTGGTATGCAGCGGAAAACTTGTCTGCAAGTGTTGACGGTGTTTGACCGCAAAATAAGTAGGGAGGCCTAAGAAAATAATAACAGTAATAATAATAATAATAATAGTAATAATAAAATAAATAGATACAGCGTGCGTAAACAACATGCGAAGGATGATTAAAAATGCTACTATACAAATGACAACCAGGTCGTTCGTTATATTAAACTTACGGCGTTATCGTTCTCTTGAACTGATGGTATATGTATCTGGTGCACAACTTGTGATGGCGACGATAGAAACTGCAAGGGCGACGTGGAGACAAACGATGCTGGCGTCGAAACACATAGCGTTGGGGTGCAATCAGCCTTCCTCGGTGTTGACATTCGCTTGGTGGGCATGGAGACGGGCTTTTTCGGCGTGGAATCATAATCATCCGAAGACGCGTCCGAATCTGAGGAGTAAAACTGAGCTGGCGACGACACTATCCGCTGAAGTGGCGAAGAAAAGCGCACAGGCGATGTCACTGCTCGCGCAAGCGGCGACGGTACAGTTTCATATGCAAGTGGTGTTGTGGGTCCACGAGAATGTCCAGGTGAGTCGATATCCTGTAGTCTCGTGAAACAGGAATGCAGCGAAAGGTGTGCTTCTTGTCCTGACTGACATTCTTGCCCAGGCACCCAAAAAGGGTTTGCCAAAGATTCTTCTGGAGCGGTGAAGTCCATGGCGAGCTGCGAGGATATTGACACCGCTGGTGTGGAACGCGCTCCAGTCAAGACGGGCGGGGCTTCAGTAGCTCTTTGCGGAGTACCCTATGCAGAGAAAAATACAAAAGGTCGAGAGGTTCGTTAGGAATATGCTTGGAAAGCAGAATGATTGCTGTCACGCCAATCATCAGTATGCACTCACTGGATTGCTCCTTCCTGGGGACGACGCGACGGACATGTTGGTGTTAAAGGAGAACAGCCCTGCGGGTATGTCATTGAGCTATACGATGTTGAGGATCAGAATGTCAGCAAGCGCGATGACAACTAACTCCTAACTCCTGTATCGACATGTGCCTTACCTTGCTAGTCCTGCGGGGAGTTCCAGGAGTGTTGGGAGTTTTAGAATGGCGCTTGCGAAGTGTGCGCTGGGTCTCTTCACTAGGCGGATTGTCACTACAACAGAAATCATGAAGGAAGAGAATGCGAGAACGATGAGATGACTGAACATCGGATGTTTTGAATGCAGGAGCACGCGCATCCTCAAAAAAAGAGTGCGCACTTGAGATGCGCGTCTTTACCTGGCCTGTCTTTTGTTGCCTAACATGCTGTCGTTTTTCTCAGCAATGCAGAGGAGCAGATGTGGGAGGAGGACTGCAAAGGAAGATAAGAGCGAATGGTAGCAATCTTTTATAGCAGAGTGAAACTGTGCACCACTCAGGATCACGTGGGCAAGAGGCCTTTGGAGCGCCCTTTTTTGGATTTTGTCCCAGCAGGGATGGGTTCAGAGCTTCTTATCACCTTGCCGCCGTTCTCACGCTCTTTTCATCCCTTCTTGCTTTTCTTTTTAACCCCACACCTTTCATCCTTTCCTCTTCTTATTTTCTTTCACCCCTTGCCTTCTCTACATCCCGCACCTTCTCCACATCCCGCACCTTCTCCACAACCCTCACTCTTTTACAACCATCACTTTTCCCCTTCCCCATTGGTGCTTCACAACACTATGGCTGAAAACCGTCTGAACCTGTTCTGTCTCGTTGATGGCGAACCCCAGTCGAACGTTTTCTCCGTCAAACCTACACCAGCAGACACCGTTGATGATCTCAGGGTGCTCATCAGTGCCAGACTGGAAATCGACACGCTCTCCAAGGACCTCACCCTCCATCGCGTCTCGATTCCCGTTGTGCCAGCCAACAAGCGCAAACCGATTGTCCTGAATGAGGTTGACTCACCAACAGAGCTCGACCCAACAGACGAAGTTTCCGATGTCTTTCCGGAAGCACCACCCAAGAAAACGATCCACGTCATCGTACAGCGACCCTCATCAGTTGCGGGCAGGAAACAGACTATATCCGAAGCTTTCCCTAATGGTGCGTATACATTATTAGGTTCATGTATGCGGGGAAATAGTTTAATTCTTAGAATATTAGTCGTTACAACTAACTTCTATTTGGGGGTTTCAAACCTTGACATTTGATGGCTTATAGCCAAAATGCGCCCTCCATCAAATGCGCCTTAGCTTATTTTGAAATACACCACCTCGAGGGCAGATGTATTTCAAATAAGCCATCGAAATCAGCGCTTATTTTTTTTGGCCAATGTCAAGGATTGAAACCCCCTAATATTGATATTAGGGTTGGCCTACCAAATGCCGGGACCTCTGCTGAGAACGTCAGGCGGGAATTGGATATATCAACCTGATCCGAAGCTTTTGGCTGCACTGCGACCGGCGATCAAGGACCACTATGACGACTTTAAGGGAAACCGCCGCGATAAATCGACCATGCCATTGTACCTATTCCTTTCCGGAGCCGGAACAAGAAAGTCTCGCAATGCACAGGAGTTTCACCGCTCTGCATTGAATTGCCTCACCGACGAGGATGACCCGGACCTGAGAGAAGGGACCAAGAATGCCTGGGTGTTCCATGTCACCCTCGAGAACGTCACCAGTCCTTCGGCAAAAGAGCTTGACGATCCAATCAGAGCAATTGGCAGTAGAATGCTCTTGCAGCTTCTCCCTGGCAAGGAACTCTACAACGTCCTGGAGGACTACGAGGAGCCGCACCCGATTCAAGTCCTGAGTCTTGTCGCGAGGGGTCTTGACCGAGATTTGAAATCGGCCACAGTCATTCTGGTGGTCGATTGGTTGCAGTCCTTCATGACAGATCCCAAGGATGATCACAACAAAGACTCTGCCTTCTATAGAGCATTGACACGCATTGGAGATCTCGCGCTCGGGGAAGTATTTCTGATGGCACGTTGCACCGCAACTGTTACTTCTCCGGTTGAGAAGGTGTTGGCGTCTACGCATCGAAACCGTGTTGTCTTGCCCGTCGCATCCCTGACGTCTCCGCATATCGAGAGGGATGGCTTGTCTATGGCGGTCTTTGATGAACAGGACCATATTATCAAGGTCCTTGTGAGCGATTGTGGAGGTCATGGAAGAGCTCTTGAGTGTCTGCACCAGGTTGTCGTGGCAAAAGGCGAGGATAACGTCGAATCGCTAATGAACTGCCTACACTTCAAGCTTCAAGGTCATTACTCAGAGGCGTTCCTGATGTCGTCGTCTACAGCGCAAGCCATGGCGCGAGCGATATTGACCCGAGCTCAATTGGACCCCGACAAACCACTTGCAGGAATGGACAAATTGCCCGGGGAACTCGCCATTCCAGGGTTAATCCGGTATGAGCAGAAAAAGGGTCTTGGCGCAGAAGGATATCTTACTGCACCTTACATCTGGGTTTGGCTCATGTCATACGGCAAGGATCCCCTCCTCAATAACTTCCGTTTCAATGACGGCCAAGAGCTCGAGTCGAAGATGGATCCAAGGTCACCACCAGGTGCTCAGTTTTGGCAGCACTTCGAACATTTCGTTGCAACCTTCCGCTGCCTCAAGTCAAGGATACTGATGGATCGCGAACGCACAAGGATCTCGGCAATCCATACAGGGGCACGTTTGCATGGCGACATCAACTTTACAAACCGTCACCTAAAGTTGACAGTCTCCTCTCAACACGTCAATACCAAGTCCTACAGCCATCGAATCGTCTCAGCCGTTCGGTGCGAAAACAAGACAGTGAATGTTCGCAAGGGCAAACATTGTATTATCAATGCACCATCAGCACCTTACGGCGACAGCTTCACCAGACTCGACGCACAGCCGTTCTGCACTGAAGCTCACCAGTGCAAGCTGATAACTGATGGCGCGAGGATCGACTACCAAACAGAAAGGCGAAAAGCTGCATCTGACAACGATTTCTTCATGTTATTCACCTCGCAAGATCATCTTGACGTCGAGCTTCCGCCACTATCCGGGATCGTGGATGGATCAAATTGGGAAGAGTACTTTGGTCCATTTGCTAGCAGAGCATTCGTTTTCGCGACAACTGGCGCCCTCGATATCAACTTGGCTCAACGCAGGGACCTCGAGCGAATGAGAGGCGTCGGGGACAGAAAAGCTGAAATGATCATTCAGGAACGGTCGAAGAGGAAGTTCGACAGCTATAACGACGCCGACAAGAGGCTCCGTGGCGTGGGCAAGACAGTGCTGAAGAATTTCAAGTTCTCACAAACCACGTAGTGTGGATGGTTAGCTTTTTTCGCTGCGTACTCTTTGCGTGCAACAGCAATAAAAACAACCATTAATATTGCATGTGCATTTCTGGAACCCTACGTCCGAACACAGTTTATTTCTTTGCCTGATGTATCTTTTCGCCGAGGACTTGTCAGACGGCTTATAAACATTGTACGAGATGGGAAACCCACTTCATGTCCCGCCCATCCCACCCATTTAGTTTAGTGTTCTACCTCGCAATGTTCCTACGTGGATGGTGAGGTTCTACAGTGCTCCAATCAATTGATCAACCAAAACGCGATTTAGTCTTTTTTCTTGAAATGGCCATTCACCAATGTTCTGAACGAACCTTAGATTCCTGTCATTCATTCTCTTGATTCGTAACCTCATTCATCACCACTTTTCTTTTTTTGCATGAACCGACATCGGATCATCGCCGGAATTGAAATGCTTGATCTTGGTTGATCAATTAATTGCATCGCATGTAGTGGCGAATGATTTCCAAGTAAAATTTTACATGGGTTTAGCACGGGACACACTGTTTTTTTGAATACTACTATGTCAATGCAATTTCTTCAGGTAAACTGAAAGCAGTTCCATATAGAGCACATCAAGTGCGATCTAAAGTTCTTTGATGTGCGAAGCCAGCTATTCTCAATAGAGTGCAATATCATGACAAAATGTGAAATCGTGCTAGATCCATGTAAGAAAACATACTTCAACGATACCTTCTGTAAATGAGATAAACGCTTTGTGCATAACCTATTTTCTAGATCGCATACCATGTCCTTTGTATGGAACTGCTTTCAGTTTGCGTGAAGAAAGTGCATTGACATAGTAGTATTCAAAAAAAAACAGTTTGTTCCGTGCTACACCCATGTAAAATTTTACTTGGAAATCATACGCCACTACATGCGACGAAATACAGGGATAGTTTTCATTTGACGAACTCAATAAACTGGTCAACAACCACCTTCTTTCTCGTCAATCATTTTCCCCCTACATTTTGACTCGTATAAGTTTGGAACAACGGGGATTGAGTTGTACTTTCGGATGTTAGGGGATTATATAGGCCGCGATGACTCCTCCATGTGAAAGCCCTCCTTTCTGGACCTCCAATCGTGAGAAAGAACCTCGATCCTGGCAACTTCGGAAGAAGGAGGAGGAGATCTTATGAAATGAATGGAAATGATAGTAATTGAGACAGTAAGAGAAAAAAAGGAAGGTAGAGAATTGTGTATTGAAGTGTGGGCAACTTTGCTGTGAATTGAAGATGACATAGTAATATCATGTGTAGGGGAAATACAGTGTGAGAGAAGTATGTGAAAGAAAGGAGATTGGCGGGAGGTTGTTGCTGTACTGTAAGGGGTGATAGTCGATGTGACAGAGAGCCAGTAGAGTGGTTTCTCCTTCATTCCTCTTGCTCGAGCAATACATTATCTCAAGGATAAAGTGTGCCCGACGAAGGAGGTTAAAGAGAGTGTGACGAGTATGAATAAGGCGACACAGACACAGACAGAGATGTAATGAGCCTCAAAACAGAGGTCGCACAGACAGGAACGAATGTTTTTCTTTCAGTAGAGAGAATATGCATGCATTGACCACAAGCACCTGTGTCTACAACGGAGAGAGAGAGAAGAGGTGAACCCCCCCTTCTGCCCCCCCCCCCCCCCCCCCAGCGATCTTGGCTTCCTTCATGACGCTCCCCCTCATTCGCGCTGCTACGGCTAGGAATAACCGTCTTCTCACAGGGTTTTGGCGTTTAACAAAGGGGAAAAGGGTCAATGCGGGACGGACTTCATCGAAATTCGGACACAGAAAGGGGAACTGGAGAGATTGGATGTATCCATTGCTCAATTAATGGGCGCTGTTGAGCATGACAAGCATGGTCGGTTAACGATTAACGGAAGGGGAGGTAAAGAAGCAAGGCCTTCTTCTTCTCTCCTCCTCTTCCATCCTTTCCCTTCCTTCCATTCCATTCCTTTTCTCCTTTTTTCTCTGATAACACAAAGAGACAACAGACAACCGGGTGGCTCGGCAGGGTCTCATGGTATGTCATCACACTCTTCACTCACTGTTGCTGCTGTACGATTGTCAATTACACAACTATATCTTAATCGACACTCTTTTTTTTTGTTTTCTTTACAGGAAGAGTCGCTCACTCTTGCTCTCTGCCTGGTCATCAGTCGGAACCATGTCTCCAGCTTCCTACACCAGCAGCTCGAACGCCAACGTCTTCGTCACCTCTACCAGCAAACAGCAAAAATGTCGTCGCTGCAGTGGAGTTCCTTCGACCGACAACGACGACCATTCATCATCGACACGGCACTCCTGATCCTCTTCATTTTTTTTCTCTCGACGATACACAATCCATCATGTTCGACCACCAAGGACCACCATTCCGATCGAGCTTTATGAGGAACCACACGTTTATCAGCCCCGCTCTTGGATCTTTTCCTAGAGCATTATAAGGGCTGGATCTCTATCAGGAACATAATAACTCGTCCGCTTCAGCATATATCAGGAGTTCAACAATAAAGCTCGACACGTACCAAGAGCACAACAGAGCTGGATCTCCACCAGGAACATAATAACCCCGTCCGCTTCAGAAGTTCAACAATTAAGCTCGTACACACCAAGAGCGCAACAGCTGGATCTCTATCAGGAGCATTATATGGTCAGGATCTATACCGGGATTACCATAATCACACTCACCTTTCATTATGAACGGCGAATCATCGATGCGATTACGTTTTTGTCTTCATCGATGATCCAGTGTGCAGCCAGGTGTACGTATGTTTTGCTCTCTTTTTTTTTTTTTTTTTTTTTTTTGTCTTCGTTGTGAGAGGGGCTCTTCTCGTTTAGTTCTTCGTTTCTCAATTGCTGAACCCAAAATTGACCCCTCTTTTTTTCTTTTTGTTATTGCCACGTTATCGCTCGCGCTCCCGCCACCAGGATCTTTCGGGAAACCCACTTCGCCCGCGACGGGGTTCCCAAGCTTTACAAGACATCGAAGAAGTCTCCCACTCCTAAGTTTGTAACTTCAGATGATGGTGGGTCTTCTGGGGATGAGGTACCAAAGAGGAAGTCAAAGAAGAATAAGCAAGAGTCATCGGATGAAGAACCATCTGATGATGGTGGCCCAACGGCACCGTCCGCCCTATCCACGACTGCCGATATATCAACATCCCTGGCCTTCTGTACAATAAACACCTTCCGTTTCTGCCTCTATCTTTCTGACCCTCTCATCTCTAGTTCCTGCCACTGTCACTACACTTGTCTGCTCCCCGCCTTTTTTGCTCCTATCACAGTGACATACCGACAATAATCACAGGAGGTCAACGACTGCTCCTAACCAGTCTTCCATCAAAGATCAGGACGTGGGATGGGCTTTGCGTTCTCGCCGAATGTTTGAGCGTAAAAGCAAATGCAAAAAAAAAAAGATGGCCGCTGATCTTCACCAGCAGTTGAAGGGGTGTGTATGCTGAAGAAACAAGCCAAGAAAAGAAATAGCGCTCTTCAGATCCATCTTTTTTTTTTTTTTTTTTGGTGGCGCCTTGTCCTCTTGTGAGCTATTGTGCCTCTGTCGAACGACTGACCTTGTTCATATCATATAGTCAATTGCAATTAAGGTGAAGAGCGCATGAAAAAAGCAACAGAGGATGATGATGTGTGAAAAGTACGTCGTATTATTACTCGAAGCAGCGATTAGCTCTAATTATGCGTGGGGCGCTCCTGTCATCCGTCCAATTGACACGGCCAGCACCGATGGAAACCGCTACCCACTCTGCCACCGCCAACGTCCATCCTTGTACTTGTAATATTCCTGATGCAAAACTCTCCTCCGTCTCTCCCTTGTACGCGTATACCGAAAATCCATGATGCTTGTTATGGAAAATAAAAATCTTCCTTAGACGTAGGATCGCTTTCCGCTGGAGAAGAAGGTCCTGACAACAAAGACCTGCATCGCCGACATGACAACAATCAGAGCAGACTCGGAAAGGGAGAACCAGAAGATCCTGCTCTCGGTCGAAATCACGGTCGCAAAGTTCCTGTTCTCCCTCGTCTTGAAGTACTTTTGCATGCGGTCAATCTGGCTCAACTCTCCGCTCAAACGGAACAACGACTCGTCCATTGCATTAGTGTGGGCCTGGGGGCCAGTACCCTTCTCGTTCGTCTCCAACTGGGCAGCTCGCTTCTCGTGCTCGATCGAGATCTCGAAATCGACGGCCTTCTCGGCAAAGGTCGACATGTCGTTGGAGAAACAGAACGAGTACTCGCCGACCTCGTTACCGGTGAAGACATAGTCGCCCTGACGCTCCTTCTCGAGCGAGAGGAGCTGCTTCTGGTTGGGGTCCCTGACATCAACATCAATATCGAACGATCCACCCGATTGGACCTATTGTTGGATCAAAGGATAGGAAGGTTCAATTGCAATTGTTAGATACGTTTGAGGTCTTTATATTGTTCCTTGGTTGCATTCAGCCTGCTGTTTGGCGTTGATTTGTATCATGTTGTCGCGGTTGTGTCCTTGGATCCAGAACTAAGGGAGAAAAGTGGTTCCTGTTCTTTAGTTATGCAGTTGCTGTCCTGTGTCCTTGTATCCTTCGAGACCCTCTGGTACGGCCGTTGGACAAATATAAATAGCAGGGGTTTGTGTCTTGCTGTTGCTCAGCTTGTTGTCCCTGATGTGCCAAGATGAGACCCTCACTTGCTATCCTGTAACGTGGAGATGCAGAAGACGATAGACTACGAGAATAATAAGAGGTGAAAGAAGAAGGATGTCCTTACGGCAAAGTAGAAGGCGATCTTCTTCTTGGGGATGTCGTTCCAGGCGTAGAAGCAGGCACGCTCGTGGGCGGCGACGTTGTAGGTGAGGGCGGTCGCGTCAACGACGGGGGAGATGGTCGAGACGGAGAGGAGGGCGACCAGGGCCATCAGGGCCAAGGAAGCGGCAGTGGAGAGTGGTGATGGCATTGTTGTTATTGATGTGGTTGTTGGTGTGATGGGGGTTTGGTGCGAGGAGTAGGATAAGGAAGAGATGGTTGATGATGATGAACGCGATGAGAGAGACAGGCAGCCACACGACTTCAGCCCATGGCCCCGCACAGTGTTCTGTTTGAGTTCCACGTCACAGGCACGGTTTTGAAAGGTCGATCCGTTATTTCCAATCGTCAATACGATGATTGGAAATAAAGAGAGAAGAATGATCCTCCCGCCCTACTCGCTCTCGCGCTTCTTCTCGCACTTTCCAAAAGTCAGAAGAACAAAAGAACAAAAAAAAAGGGCGAGGGAAAAGGGCACAGAAAGAGAGAGGGGAACAAAGGCATACATACTCGCGCGCCGAATCTCTTTTTCTTTTTTTCTTTTTTCTTCTTCTTTTATTCTCACCCACTCACTCTTCGCACCATCACTTCTCCCCTCTACTCCCCTCTTTCAACACAACACATACATCATGAGCGTAAGTCATGCAACCCGCACTGTCCTAACACTGTTGACGCTAACCTCAACTCTTGCACACAAATCCACCCCCTTGCTCACTACCGTTCAAACTAACCCTTCACACCTCTCTCCCCTGCAACCACAAATAGGCTGAAGAATACAAAGCCGAGGGAAACAAGGCCTTCCTCGCCAAGGACTACCCCACCGCCATCGATCACTTCACAAAGGCCATCGAGCTTGACCCCACCAACCACGTCCTCTTCTCCAACCGCTCCGCCTGCTACGCCTCCCAAAAGAACTATGAAAAGGCGCTCGAGGATGGCGAGAAGACCGTGGAGTTGAAGGCGGACTGGTCCAAGGGTTATGGTCGCAAGGCCACTGCTCTTTTCGGATTGGGTCGCTACCCCGAGGCCAACGATGTTTATGAGGAAGGATTGAAAATCGAGCCCACTAATGTTCAGCTCCAGAAGGGACTCCAGGACACCAAGCAAGCCATGGAGAAGGGTACGCTACCACGTCCTCTTTTTTTCCTCCTTTTCTAGTACACGTTTTGGATTGATGGCTGGGAGGGAGGCAGCAAGCAGGGACAGGATCAATACCCTGGACATCAATCAAAATGTGGCTCGGATCACCCGTTCTGACAAAAGGAGACGAAATGCGAGAACAAAAAGGCGCAACAGGGATGAACAACGAATATGTTTCTTAACCCAATGTTCGAAGTGCAAAGGGAACAGGACTAACAATAGCATGAAAGTGCTTTATGGATGTACAATGCGTGGAACAGGAAGGAGCATAAAGCAACACCGCTAGAGCATTTATTTAAACAGGGCATCGTACGTTTGCTACAAACCAGAGCAAGAACGCAAAACTAACAACATCCATTCCCCTAACAACAATGAAAACTATAATAGAGGCATCGATGGGAATTGGTCAGTTCTTCGGACCTGACGTGTTCACAAAGATGGCTGCCAACCCCAAGTTGGCTCCTTTGCTCGCTCAGCCTGATCTTGTGGAGAAGATCCGCGCGATCCAGGCCAACCCCAACGCCTTGAACCAGCACATGCAGGATCCCCGCATCATGAGCCTCTTGATGGGCTTGATGGGTCTTGATGCTCGTGGACCCGAGGACTTCCCTGGCGCTTCAGAGGAGGATGACACACCCGCCCCCACCTCTGCTGCCCCCAAGAAGGCCGAGGAGCCCAAGGCTGAGGAGCCCAAGGACGAGGAGATGCCCAGCGAGGAAGAGTTGAACAAGAAGGAGGCTTTGAAGGTCAAGGATCTTGGAAACGCCAGTTACAAGGCCAGGAAGTTTGAGGAGGCTTTGGAGCACTACACCAAGGCCTGGGAGCTTGACTCGACCAACGTCTCGATCTTGACCAACAAGGCTGCTGTCTACTTTGAGATGGGCAACTTTGATGAGTGCATCAAGACCTGCGAGGAGGCCATTGATGTTGGACGCGAGCACCGTGCCGATTACAAGTTGATCGCCAAGGCCCTCGGTCGTATCGGAAACGCCTATGCCAAACAGAACAAGCTGCCCGAGGCCATTAAGTACTACGGCAAGTCCTTGGCCGAGCACCGTACCCCCGACATTCTCGCCAAGCTCAAGGAGGCTGAGAAGGCCAAGGCCAAGGCTGACAAGGAAGCTTACAGGGATGTCGCCCTCTCGGCCGAGGCCCGTGACCGTGGTAACGTCCTCTTCAAGAAGAGCGACTTTGTTGAGGCTGTTAAGGAGTACACCGAGGCTATCAAGCGTGACGATACCGACCCCCGCGCCTACTCAAACCGCGCTGCCTGCTACACCAAGTTGATGGCTATCAATGAGGCATTGAAGGACTGCGAGACCTGCATTTCCTTGGACCCCAAGTTTGTCAAGGGATACATCCGTAAGGCCGCCATCCAGTTCTTGAAGAAGGAGTACACCGAGTGTCTCGAGACCTGCCAGAAGGCCAAGGATGTTGATGTCGAGAAGAAGAACACTGCAGAGATTGACGGTCAGATCAACAAGGTCTACACAGAGATGAACCGCGGCCCCGAGCGTCGGGAGGGCGAGACTGAGGCTGAGACGATTGCTAGAGCACAGCAGGATCCCGAGGTCCAGAGGATCATGTCTGACCCTGCTATGCGCAGCATCTTGCAGCAAATGCAGGAGGATCCCCAGGCTGCCCAGGACCACATGAAGAACCCCATGGTTGCTGCCAACATCCGCAAGCTCGTCGCCGCTGGTATCATCCGTGTTGGCAACTAAATAACTTCATTTTTTCTGTTTTTTTCTTTTGCAACAATACAAAACTCACCACCATTCACAAGATCTACGACTTTAACCACAATATCACCGTGTTACGTGTACAGAGATGGAGAGGAAGAACCCCAAGAGATTAACCGGAGGTCCTGATTCAACAGGTTTTTGTGCGGTGTGAAACGGGGACCCATCGTCGCTTGGCACCAAATTTTTTTGGTCTGTCGAATAATACGTCGAGGGGACACATGAGATTTTTCCTCCACGGCCGCTGCAATAAAAAATCGCGCCTGTTTGTTTTCTTTACATTCCATCCATTCCCACACGCACACACGCACGCATCCATCAAACAACATCACCAAGGAATCAACGACTACAGCAACAACCCTCTTCTCACAGGATAGATACAAGCAGCCGACCGCAAGCCAGCAGGACCGGACTACTGCTGCATCAAGTGGAACCGGACAAACGCACGCAGTAAAGCAACTCACGCAACACACACACACGCACGCAACACCAATACAGCAAAAAAACAGTAAAACAGCAACGATGACGTCCATGGAGTATCGATATCTGGGCAAGAGCGGACTCATGGTCTCCTGTCTCTCCCTCGGCGGATGGGTCACCTATGGCACGTATCATCTCTCTTTCGGAACCCCCCTATTGCCTTTGCCTTCCTCACGACTTGAATCTCGTGTGTATTTTGCTGTTTTCCGTTACCGTAGGACAGAAAAACTAACAAATATGTGCATAACCACCGTGCCCTTGCTTGTTATAGGTGGTCAGGTCAGCCCTGAGGTTGCCCAGATGTGTATGAAGACTGCATACGACAACGGTATCAACTTTTTCGACACCGCCGAGGTAATATATATGCTCTGCTCTGCTTTTTGCACCATGGGTTATGCCAATGTAACATATTGGATGGATCACAAAAGGGATAACGTTTAACCTAACAACATCCCTTCCCCTTCCTTCTCCTCTCCCTCTCCTCCTTCCAAAACCAACCAAACCCACCTACAAAAATAAAATAGGTTTACTCAGGCGGTCAATGCGAGATCGACATGGGAGTCGCGATCCGCAAATTCGGCTGGAAGCGGTCTGACCTCGTCATCTCCACAAAACTCTTCTGGGGCGGCAAAGGACCCAACGATCGAGGCCTATCCCGGAAACACATCGTCGAGGGTACAGATGCGTCGCTCAAACGGTTGCAATTGGATTATGTCGACTTGCTTTATGCGCATAGACCGGACCCGGATACGCCAATGGAGGAGATTGTGAGGGCTTTCAATTTTGTGATTGAACAGGGGAAGGCGTTTTATTGGGGGACGAGTGAATGGTCTGGGCAGCAGATCAGTGAAGCCCATGCGGTTGCTCAGCGGTTGAATCTTATCGCTCCCTTAGTACGTCTTTTTTTTTTTTTGGAGTTGGATGTGTGAAAGGGGGCGTTGCGAATAATTACCAGACCTGTTTTCTGTCGAAATTGCTCTAACCTTACGCAACCATCCTCCCCTCCAAACAAAAAAATAGATGGAACAACCGCAGTACAACATGTTCCATAGGGACAGAGTCGAAAAGGAATACCTCCCGCTCTACAAAAACTTTGGTATGGGCGCCACGATATGGTCCCCCCTCGCTTCAGGCCTCCTCTCCGGAAAATACAACGACGGCGTACCCCCAGACTCGCGCCTTGCCATCGAAGACAACGCCGTCATGAAGCGGCTCCGCGAATCCCTCGAATCGGAAGATGGACGGGTCAAAATCCAAAAGGTTGCCCAGTTGGGTCATATTGCACAGCAACTTGGGTGCACGACGGCACAGTTGTGTTTGGCATGGTGTTTGAAGAACCCCAATCTGTCAAGTGTGATCACGGGCGCCAGTCGGCCGAGTCAGATTGAGGAGAATGTGAAGGCGTTGCAGGTTGTGCCGCTTTTGACAGAGGAGGTTATGGAGGCTATTGAGGGCGTGTTGATGAATCGGCCTGTTCTTGACTACAATTTCCGTTCTTCTTGAACCCTTTTTTTTATTTTGTTCTCGTAGGCAATCCAACACCAAAAACTATATCAGAACAATAAACACAATAAACAATACAATGCGCAGATCTTTGTAATTTATTTGTGAATGGTTTGTGAAAGGGGTATAGTACATTAGTGTGGGGGGTGTGTGAGGATGATAGATGAAATACTCATCAAGAAAAATTGCGTACGGCATTATTAATTAGAAACGGTAGCAGTCGCCGACGCAACAACAACAGGAACCTCAGTCTCCTCAGCAGCATGCGGATGCACAGACCGCTGTTGTGCCGTTGCAACTGCAACCACCGCAACCTGTGCCGTCGCCGTCGCCACCGACGACACCGGGCTCGTCACCGTCGAACCCGCAGCCGCAGCACTGGAAGTAGCTGTCTCATAGATATTACTAGTCTGAATCGCCTGCTGCAGCTGTCCCGTCGCAGAATAAGCACTACTCCTATATGTGAAATGGCGATTACTATGCCCACCGCCATTCAACCCCAACTGTTTGATCGACCAACGCTGCGACAGCGACCGTTCAAACTCGGCGAGTTTCCAAGAAGACGCAATGCCCTTGAAGATCTGTGAGACGACGTCGGCGCGCCAAAGGAGGCCGTGGGTTCCGCCTTCGATGATGCTGAGTGTGCATTGTGATAGTCGCTGTTCCATCCAGTCCACTGCCTCCCTTGAAATCACAGCATCCTATTAAAAGTTTGGCAAAAAAAAAAAAAAAAAAAAAGAAAGGCCAATGGGTTAGCACGAGAAGACAAAAAACGCGCTAGTCGACAATAATTACACTGACAATTGACAAAAAGCGACAAAGTTACCTTGGTACCCCAGAAGACGTGAACTGGAAGGGTAACATCCTTATAACTGAACCCGAAAGAATGATACAACTCCAAACAAACCATCAAGTCATTATTGGCACCCTCCAGACTCTCTGCCATATTATCCTCCAACATGGCCGTGACAAGCTTCTCCCGATCATAGTTCAAGATATTGGGGTCCGATTTCGAGGGGGGTTCCTTGGCAGCAACTGAGAGCGACTTGTACAACAGACTGGCCGTACTTTGGGAGGATTTGAGGAGAGTTGTCGGGACGTGTTTGATCCACTTCATGCGTTTAGCGAGCGTCAGATGCACCCAGGGCGACATCAGCCAGACGGTGCCGACGATTCGTGCTTTGAGGCGGAGCGCACAAGCCATGGCGTAGATGGCTCCACAGGAGTGGCCCATCACCGAGAACTTTTGGATGTTGAATCCGTTTGCCATCTCCTCAACAATCTCTGCCATCCTCAACGGTGTCCATGTCTATCAGTGTATATCGAAAGAGAACAGAGGTTAGCTTTACTAGATTACTAACAAAGACGGTACCCGACCAAATGACATGCCGCTTCGGAGTCAGAAAAAGGGAATTACCTCGGGCTCGGTGGTGTGGGACATACCGACGCCAGGTCGGTCAATACAATATATCCTTAACGAATGCTTGAACGCCAAGTCCTCAAGAATGATCGAGTAATAGCGCATGCAACCAAGTCCTAGACTATATTTAAACAATCGCGATAACAAAAACGGATGCAAGGGGGGGGGAGTAGAAGAACAACAGAGTTAGTATTATGAAGACACATACATGCGCATGCAAATCGCGCACACAAAACGTAGAAATGGGCAAAATATACATGTGAGGATTATATGAAATAAAATGAAATGGAAACCACATCGGGTTGAGCAGCGAGAGAAAGAGAGGGTGCAGATTCGAAACAGGTATGAAAGTAAACAAGTGAACCCCATCCCGAACACAAAGCAAACATGATAAGGCAGTGCAAAGCGTACGCAAAGGAAAGGAGAGGATTCACAATCTACTATCGATCAAAAAAACATGGAGGCCATGGTCGACACTTGAATTTTTGTTTGTTGGGTGAAAACAAAATATTATATGGAGTTCTCAATTGAAATTGAACACAAAAAAAGTGGAATGGGGGAGGATGGGGATGGGGGGATGGGTGGGAGGGATGCACACAGCCAAAACGTGTGATAATGGAACACAGGAACGAGCCAGGCACGAACCCACCGATGAGGCAACGTGTGAGTAATATAAGCCGACTGTACACAAACAAGAACAAACGGCAAATGATGTGGTAAACAAAGACAATGGAAGGCAGAGAGCAGAGCATGCGCTTGCATGGACATGATGTTGTTCAACGAAGGAGAACGGGAAAATAAGGGAGACCCATGCACCATCCCTTCAGTCAGGCATATATCCTCCTTTTGTTTCGCCAACAACAGCAGCCAATCAGTCCATTACAACTCTCAGACTTTTGTTCTGAAACAACACTCGCAGACACACCACTCCCCCTCGATCAATGCTATTCAACGTATATGCATTCTCCCCTATGCCTTTCACAATGCAACTCGATTTCTTTCTCGTCTTCTTGCGTGCATCCTTATGCTTACACAACAACAACAAGGCAGCTTTATAAATAAGCGCAATAAATAAACAACGAAAGGTGGTGCAAACACTTACAAACAAAAGACAGGGTGGCCACAGGGGTGCCCAACCTCGGCAAAGGAGACAAGACGGCCAGAGTACAACTCATAACGTTGGTTCATGTCTACACACCCGAGTGTCGCCTCGACATCCGCCATTGTCGGGATGCTGTCGAACGACCTGAGGGAGGCCGCTTCGGACATTCGTCTTGACATGATGAGTGAGAATATAAAACGGTCTTGTTGGTTGCTGGTTGGTGGGAGATGGTTGAATGAGGTTAGGTTGCTTGCTTCCTAATGTGCGAGTGAGAGGGGAGGTCGATGGCGATGCGAGAAAGGTGAAGGAAAGGAAGTGTGGTGCAGGGGGTGGGGAAGAGGTAAGAGCGAGTGATGAATAATGAGTGAAGAGAAGGGAAGGTCTAAGGTGAAGAGAAGGGATGAGGAATAGAAAGGTAGAGAGAGGAGCGACAACGTGAGAGAAGGCAAAGCCAGCAGAAGAAGGTCAAGAGAAATAAAAGGTAAAGAGAAATAAAAGGTAAAGAGAAATAAAAGGTAAAGAGAAATAAAAGGTAAAGGTAAAGAGAAATAAAAGAGAAATAAAAAGAGGCGGAAGGGCGAACAGGGACAATCGAAAACGAAAAGGGGAAACTTTTTTTTATTCTCGTATTGCGGCTGGAACGTTGCAATGGACACCGAACTCGCTCACTAACACACCGATCAATTGAACATGACCATGCTCCACCCACAACCCCACTGAAGAGAACATCAGTTGTTGATATGCCGTATTGGCATTGCCACTGATCATGGGCATCCTTAACAGCAAGAGTAATCCACTCCCCTTCTTTCCCCCTCTCTGTCCCTGACATTCTCTCTCTCTTCTACCCCCTCCCCAAAAACGATACTTCCAACCAACGACCATTGATCCCATGGACCCAGAGTTATATGAACCCGAACGTGTTTGTGCTCTCGTCTCTCTTTCAAAACGCTCTCGACTCTCTCTCTCTCTCTCTCTCTTTTTATGGCTTTCAGTTGAGTTCATATATACTCTGATTCTTAGTCAGTTCATTCAAGTTCAGTCTGGGTGTACACGCCATGTCCTATCTATTTCGTCCCAATAGCGTTACGTCCCATTGCACTCCCGACAGCCAAACATGTTGGTCAATTTATCCGCCCTAAATGCCTTTGTTCAAATCTGTACCCTTTTTTATCCCCCGCATTCCTCTTTCCTCCTTTCCCTGCAATTGTTCTTTCAAATGAACGGCTTCGGAGAAAAAAAAATGATCAAAAGGGCTTACGACGACGGAGAAAGCGATATTACGAAGAAACAGACAAACGATGGAAAAAGCGAACCGTGTCCATCTCTCTCTCCTCGTTTTTTAACGGTACACTTTTGTTCATTCGCCATTCATCAATTACCTATCCGCGTGTAAAGTCTCTCTCCGACCAGCACCTGGGTACCCAGAGCAAAAAAAAAAAATAGAACAAAAAATAGTGAGCGATAGAAAACAGAGAGAGAGAGAGAGAGAACGACAAGAAGAGGAGGAAGAAGAGGAAGAAGGCACAAGAGATCAGGCCGGGGTGCATGCATGGTTCGAGATCTGTTTGTTTCGTGCTCTCCAGGTCCCCTGGTTTTTTTTTTTTCTTCTTTTTTTTCTCGTCTGTCAGCGGTCATTCTTGTTTTTTGTTGACTTGGTGTCTCCTTCTGTTCACCAATCATGAACATGTGGGCGTAAGTGTGCAATACCATATTGTATATTTACCCTGTAGATCGCGCCCGCAAGGAGAATAAAAACGCCATAACGTTTTGTTTTCTTTCTCTTTTCGGAAAGGAACCCACTGTTTTTGTGCACACGTTGGTTGAGATGACTGTCAGACTCCTTTTTTCTTGCATTCAGTTGTTTCTGGCCAGAGGTTGGGACCAACAACAATGGATCAAATCTTCGCCATTGTGCACATACCTCTTTAGTGCCTCTTGTTCTTCTATGATAGAGGAAAGATATAAGTGAGATGAGAACAACGTAAGGAAGATGGGCAATGACCCAAGGCTGAAGAAAAATAAGTAACCCATTCGTTTTCCTCGTTAGATATTGTCACTACCCAGTTCCTTACCCTTCCCTCCTCCGATCTAGGGGTTAGCACCGTTTTTATTTTATTTTTCAGGGACGATCAGCGAACTCTCTCATAGCGTCAGGTACTGAGGTATTCGAAAAGGACGCTAAAACCACAAAAAATAGCAACGACAACAAAAGTGATTATTAAATCGTCCAAAATAGGCGCGCAAAGAGACTGTTACATGAAGGAAGTGACCATGCATCGATGAAGAGCATGCACAATATGTCCCTGCAAATGCAAATGCAAGAGAGAAACGCATGCCCCTACCCCTAATTGCCTCCGTCATTGTGGCCTATTGTTATATTTTCACAGCCTTTTGCTCTCTGTTCGCATGGGTTTCGGACTCCCACGCTGCCTTCATTTCACCATCGATTGTGCATCCCATGCCTTTCTTCTCCTTACACAATTCAGCTACCTTATACCACATACTCACTAGTAGTAATAAGGGCCTCTTTAGACCCACCATCGATTCATTTAACTATATTCACGGAACAACGCTCCGCCTTGCGCACTTTCAATCTTGCCTTTATTTTCTTGCGACATCCCGACATGCCCTATCCCTGTTTTTTCTTTCTTGCCCTTCCCCTCCTCCTCCCCTTTAGCGCAGTAATTTTCAGCCGGTTTTATTATATCGATGCGCACAAATGAATGGAAAGGTGGGTACCATAGCAAATGTACAGCATGTACTGTACACTCATTTTTTTTGTAGGTCATCATAACCTCTGCTCATTCTCTTTTTCTGTATCTTTCAACACATCCCATCTACCCATTGCTCTCTTCAAAAACAGCAACAGCCCTACGAGCTTTTGAACCCAGCATTGGACCCACCAACAAAAACATTGGACCATCCCATGTCCATGCCATGTCCATACCATGATCACCTCCCTCCTTCCTCATCTCCCCTTACCTTGCCCCCCTTGCATCCAACATGCGTTTTTCATTAAACTCTAATTCCTTTCCTCTTCATCTCACACCATGCATTACCTAGAGGCAACTCCAAAACATTGCCCCATTATTTTATCTTCGCACTCCCTTCGGACAGATCGATATGGGCGTCCCTTATTCATCACTTTTCGGCGCTCTATGCCGTCTGCTGCTAATTCAATTGCTCAGGTGCGTTCAGGGGCTTGATCTGAGGGTAGTTTTTGTACTCTGTGTGCTTTTCGTCATGTTAGGGAATTGGAGTTGTGAACTTGATTTGTCAGGCGGCGCTGATCCTTACCAACCCTCTATTTTCTCTCTCACCCAACAGGTGACAAAATTGCTCTCATACGGTCATGCCTACCACTTTCAGTTCATCAGTCCTCAGCCACTGACTCCAAATGGTCTGGATGGCTCAATCTTTCCTTTGCCTCCTTTACTTTTGCACTTGCTTCTTGTTATTTTTGTCCTTTCTTTTGGGCTTCATTTGATGCTCCTCTTTTCCTTCAATTGCTTCTTTTGAACTTCAACGGCACGATAACTTTGAACAACAGAGTGAACTGCGTGCGAACAATACGAATAAGAGTAGCATGTTGTACTTTCATTCAAGCATGAGACGTAGGTTCAATAAAGGAAAGGGATGATAAGAGAGAGAACCACGAGCAGTCTACATGATGGATAGTGGGGAGGTGGAGGGTGTTCCGTGAGGGTGTATGTGGCTTATCGAAAAACGCCACCAACCTCCTCAGACGCTTCTAATTGGTGGAGATAGAAACGCGATCGCGTTTTTCTCTTCTAGGCAGATCAGCCTCCTCGTTGACCACCTGCAAGTTTCACCCTCAGGTTCTCAGAGACACCTTTTATCCTTCTTACCCTCTCCCACCATGTCGACGCCGTCAACACAAATGGTTGATATGGCCAATTTGAGAAGGAGGGACAAGAGAAGGAGTGATGGCTGATTTAGGTTTCGGTCAAATTCTTTGTATAAAGTTATTCCGCGCTTTGTCTGTTGCATTTCTCCTCTGTTTCTCCACAACCCATCTGCTTGTCTCTTTGAGTGTTTTATTGACGTTGTTAGTGTCCTTTAGATTCACGAGTTCCATGGAACCTTTAGAATGAGACACGGAAACAACGAGGTGGAGGGTAAGGGTAACGAACTGAAGGTTGAAATAAAAGGGCGAGGGATGCACAAAGGGTGTTGCAGCGCAGAAAAAGGAAGTGAATAGATATTTAGCGAAAAGTTCAGCCTAGGAATGCCTACCCATCAAACATTTGGGAAGTGAGGGAAAGAAAGAGAGATGCGGACCCACGGTCCTATTGCGTCATAGGTGCGGCAATATCCCTTCATTGCACAGGAAAACGTAAAGGTGAGCCATACTAAATAGCAAAAAACTAGAGATGAGACCCAGAGACCTACACAATAACAGTTCTGCATGGAGGCACAGGAATGAAGAATCTAAACCCAATGTCTTCCTAGAGTGTTCTTGTGGATCTTGGTACACCCAACATGGCGCTTTTGCGATCGCTTCTCTGTTCCACCTTTTCCCTATCCGTGCCTCTCTCGGCTCACACCCTCGATTTGTTCGGCGTTATGTTGGTCTTTCATGTGTCGACCGGAATATTGTGAGAGAACGAACAATGCAATATTATTCAGCTTTAGGCCCAATCGCCTCAATCATATCTTCATCCGAAACAAAGGGATGCTCAAGTGAAATGTGCAAAAAGACGTGAAAGACAGTGGAGAATCAAGATATTACGAAAAAGCGCGTCTAGTTTTGTCCGGCTATTTCATGACCAAGTAGAAATACCATATCATTTATGCCCATTATCCATCCATTTTTTTTCTTGTACTCCCAATGCACTCTGTCATAAAATCCTACATCCTCCTTTCTGTGTTTTCTTTCAGCTCTCAGAATTTTTAGTGGTTGTAAGGGTTCTGCCTTGCCCCATTATGTAAACAGCTCAAAGTACCATGCAGTCTCCATCATCCAATCTGCCAAACATTTCAGTCCAACTTTTCTTCTCAACCAACTAACTTGCCAGCCGAGGAGGCACATGGTCGCCTCCATTTGTGGCGAGGGAACAAGAAAGCAGTAACAAGAAGGAGGAGCAATGAGGAAGGAAGGTGGGTGGATGATGTGAGCTCTCGATGCTTAAGGTTTTATTTTATTTTTTATTTTTTTTTGTGACAAAAGGAAAATAGGACAGGTGAAGTTGACATAGCCCACACTAGGCTAGTTGACGAGACGAAGTTTGTTTTCGACTGGAATGTGGAGGAGGTAATTTGTTACATAGGAGGAGGCGCGACAAGAACAAAGATATCAAACGACAAGTGCAAAGACCTCCTGATAGCTTCCTGCAGGGAAAGTTCTTTCAGCTCCTCTCTCCTCCTTTCAGACGGTTAAAGAGGGAACGGGCATTCCGTCCAAAGAAGAGGGGTTAGAGGTATACATTTGCGCTTGTATGTCTACAGAACATCGGACCGCAACAAGAAGCGAAGGGCCACCTTCACCCATGGGTAAAATATTGCACAAACTTTCTTCTCTCCCCACTCACTTTGATTACTCCTCCCCTCTTGTCCCATCATCGAATCGCTTGGACCCTTCATTTTGAGAGCAAACGCCGACATCATGCATGCACTTGTATGGAGATCAGAAGTGATAAACGATCTCAAAGGAAGGGAAGAATGGAAGGAAGACGGGCGTGTCTTTGTTTGTTTTCCTCATCTTTCTATGGTACTTTAAGGAGAATGGAAGGGACCGGTCTCGGTCCTCGGGGCACACATTCCATGATCCATGTACTCTACTCCATGTACACTTTTCACAAACAACTATCCCCGTCCTCATTTGCGTCTTCCACACGCACCCCCCTGGATTTCTTGTACTAACACTCTCCAGCTCCCGGTTGAATAATTAACAACTCCAAATGGGCCCTCCGACTCTCTCTATCTCTCTCTCTCTCTCTCTCGCACATTGGCGTTTTTCTTGTTCTCCATTCAATTCTAGCATGCTCTTTTTGTTGTTGATGGAGTCGCTAGTTATTAGGCTCTGATGATGCTTGATTTGTTTGATTTGTGCAGTTGTTCCGTATGGTGAAACGGTAAGTACAGAGGTGTTGTGTTCTTTAAAGTCTGTTCCTTGTTCCTGAATGTGTTTTCTCGATGGATTGCCATTCACCCTAACACTTCGAAAAGTATATAAAACGGGCACGTTTTCTTCACCATTTTCTTCTCCTTCCTTAGCCCTCCTTGCTCTTCTACCAATCACCACCTACATCCCTCTCTAGCTTCAGGTCTCCCCCCATCCTCTTCATCTCATCCATCCAACACCTACTCCATAAAGAATGAAGTTCCTGTCAATCTCCGCCGCCATCGGAGCATTCCTTCTATCCTCCCTCGCCCACGCAGATATCTCCAAAATCGTCCGCGTCGACCAAGCCAGCCAACAGTTCATTGATGCCCAAGGTCGATCCCGCCATTTCCATGGAACCAACATGGTCAAGAAAAAGTTCCCCTGGCACGCGGACATCAACAACTTTGTTGCGGGGTATTCTCTTGTGGATAGGGATATCCAGTACCTCAAGGATTTGAACATCAATGTCATTCGTCTCGGTAAGTCCCTGGTAGCCTTTTGCTGTTGTTGTTGTGTCTGTGTTTGTTGGTGTTGTATGATAATGGTAACTGACCATTTGCACCTCATTCCCATGGTTTAATGAATACTGTGGTGTAGGTGTACATTGGGCGGGTGTGGAGCCAGTCCGTGGGCAGTACAACCAGACCTACCTGGATATCACCAACACCATCATCCAGAGACTGCAGGACAATGGAATCTATACCCTCGTCGACCAGCATCAAGACGTCTTGGCCGCCCAAACCTGCGGCCACGGCGTTCCTCTCGTAAGTCATTCCTTCTCCCTCTTCTCCTCTATCGTCTTCCAACTTGAACTGTTCATAAAAAAAGAGTAGACGACACCAAAACCTAATACCCTCACTCTTCTCCCTTTCACTCCCTTCCTCACATTAACAACAAACACAAAAAATAGTGGTTCGTGAAGCCAGACTGGGTAGAACCAGCCCACAGGATGCCCTACCCGCAAAAGGCTCCCTTCGCCGTCGACGCCAATGGTGTCCCCTCCGACGCCGACTGCAATTCGATCGACTGGGCCACTTCCTACTTGGACTATGCTGTCGGAAATGCATTCGGTCGTCTCTATAACAACTATGATAACCTCGGCGATGCCTGGGCTGCTTACTGGAAGGTTGTTGCGTCCAAGTATATGAACTTTCCAGGTGTTATGGGTTACGACCTCATGAACGGTATGTTTCCATTGTTTGGTTTGCGTTCTTTGTCTATTTTTTAACTTTGTGTATTTGTACGTTGTGAATGGATACCAAGGAGGGGATTGGGTGCTTTGACCCCTCTGACCACACCCCTGCATAATGCGCCGTAAACAAACATCCATGGATGAATGATGACACTTACAAAACGACATCACGATTTTTACATCTAATATATAGAGCCATGGGTGGGTGACCATATGGCAGACCCAACACTCCTCGTACCCGGAGTAGCAGACCACAAAAATATGGAAGCCCTCTGGAACAAGGGCAACGCCGCCATCCGCACCGTCGACCCAACAACCATCGTCATGTTCGAGGGTTCAACCTACGACATCCTCTCGGGCTTCAACAACGTCCCTGGTGGGGATGGCTCCAAAACCGCTCAATCGTACCATTATTACAACCCTCCACAACTCGGATCCATCGAGACGACCATCACCAACCGGATCAAAGACAATAACCGTCTCAAGACCACGGGTATGCTGACAGAGTTTGAGATCTGGGATGAGAGTCCTGCGGGGGTCGCCAAGTCGCTCGAGATTGCTGTCCAGGCTGATCGGTACCTCCAGTCCTGGGCCGCCTGGTCGTATGAAGAGCTGTTGAATTGGACGACGGGTGAGCCGTCCCCTGAACTATCGCTCATTTATGCGCGTTCTTATGCCGAGGCGACGGCAGGTGTGACAAAGACGTCGTACTTTGAGGACTATACTGGAAAGTACTGGGTGTCCTGGGCTGCCAACACGGCGATTACTGCCCCTGGTCTGATTCGCATCTCGCAAAAGGCTTACTACCCTGACGGCATCCGTGTCATCTCCAACCCTCCTGAGGCGATCACGCATACTATGGAGAACGATGGTGTAGTGCAGTTGCATTACACCAGTGCTGCGGTCAATGGTCAGGTTATCTTGTCGAGTGTCCAGCCCTTCTACCCTACCGGTGTTCTCAAGAACTCTGCCTCTGGCGGCAAGTGCATCGACATCTACCAGGGCACCCTCAATGCCGTAAGTATTCCCTTCTCTTCATCGTTCCCTCCCTTCTCGCTATCCTCATTCTTGTTAACAATTTGCTAACCCTCTTCTCGCTCTCTCTCTCCTTCTCCCTGCCTCGACAACTCATTAGAACAACCCAATTGCCCTGTACACATGCGGCCCCTCCTGGAACCAAGTCTGGAAATTCAAAGAAGGCACCATCCAACTAGCATTCGACCAATCCCACAAGTCGAACGCCTACTGCCTCGACACCCAACAAGTCGCCCCTACCGACAAGTCCCTCAACATCGTCCTCAACCCCTGTGTTGCCAACAAGGCCTCCCAACAATGGACCACGAACGCTGCAGGCAACATTGTCAACACTGCTTCCGGATACTGTGTGGATATCAATGCGTCGAATTATAAGGATGGGACCAAGTTGCTGGGGTACACTTGTGGGAACGCTCAGGCGAATCAGGTTTGGGCGTTGCCTAATGGCACCAATGGTGTCTGGCAAGTCAAGCTTTGAAAAAAAAAAAAATCGCTTCGTGATTTGATACCCTCCTTTTCCCTCCTCCTCGATCATCATACAAATAATTCTTCACTTGCAAAGACTGGATCTTGCCCCTCCCGTAATAAAAAATACATTCTTTCTCCCTTTATTTACGCTTGCTGCCTGACGAAGTATCCGGCTTTGACCGTTGTTGGTGTTCAAGGTCCCGGGCACGACTCTGTTGAACCAACCTGCCAATCTGGGTCATCGTCAACCCACCTGGCCCCTTGATCTTATCTGGATCCAACTTGCTGTCCTTGTTTGAGCTGTTACTTGTGGTAGAAGTGTTGGAGGATCGGGAGGGGGAGGGGGGTGTTACGCCTGGACCGGAGCGGTTTGAAGAGGACGAAGAGTTTTGGATGAGTAAGGTGCTAGAGAGGTGTCTTGACTGGGAGGAGTAGGAGTTGTGAATGGAAGAGTGCGTGAATGCGTAGAGGGATGAGGAGGAGGTCTTGGTTCTTGAGGTTGTTGCTGACACTGTATGCCACGCCCTGGTGGCAGGAGCGGAGAGCGATGTGAATCGACGCAAGGACATTTAGTTTTCTTGAGCGCCAAAGGAGTGATGTGAAGAACAAGAAGTGCAGCACGCTCCGGACAATTTTCTCACCCAATGAATGCAAGTCACAACGAAGCATTTTTTTTTTGTTTGTTCCATGTTACTATTGTACAAAATGGTCCTCCTGCCTGCCAATGATCCGCGAATGCCTATCCTCAGCTTCAGCTTCAACCCTTCCCTCCATCATCCTTTCAACCCATATCCCTTCATTCAATCATCCACCCAACCGCCAAGCCAAACCAGCCACAAAAAATATCCACCTATTATCGACGACGGATGGTATGAGGAGCCTCAACGTTGGGAGGCAGACCAATCAAAGTCTTACCATCCCAGGGACTGCGACACGAGGGGCAAGTCGGGTTGTTCATGTTCGCAAAGTAAGTCTTTGCACAGTGCTGGTGCAACCTCGCCGCGCACGCCGCCACGTTACAGCGTTGTCCCTTAGTGATGATCTCCATGCACAGCGTACACTCCTGCATCTGCTCTTCGTATGCTTCCTTCAAGAATGACTGCAGTTCCAGAAGTGTCCTCGTCGACAATGACAATGCTCCCTTCCTGGTTGGTTGTAGTTACACGAATAAGGAAGAAGATAAATGTCAGTAATTGAGCCCCGGGAATTTGTATTCAAAGACCTCCAACGAGGAAAAATAATAATATAGGAACACGTACTTTGATCTGATGAGCCACTTGTCCTGAACAAACCGGCTGAGCAGGTCCTCAGCACCGGCCTTGGTCAATTGTAACGACTTGTTCTCCTTGTTCTTCAGTTTCGAAGCCTCGTTTACAGCCGCCGTCGAACTGATGCAGTACAACTCATCATCCGCCGTCACAATTGCGTCCAGCTACGTGTCGACAAAGCATGTGAGAAATAGTGTTAGATAAATGTTTTGTTTGTTGTTGCGACCTACTGATAATATGTCTTCAATTGCTCCATCTGTATGTTCGCGCAGTCTTTTGTCACTCACCAAGTGTTTGAAGTATTCGAGTTCCAGAGGAGTGTATCCCGTGGCGACCTGTGCAATCGTTTGTTCGTTCGTGTTTGTCTACGTATCCATGAATGAAAAAAAAAGGTGGCAGAGACGGTCAATCGAGAATGCTTTTGCAAAATAAACAACATCCAGGCTGATGCCCATAGTGGTTATCGTCGAAGGACGAAAAAGGTGTATGTACCAGGGTCAAGATTTTGTCTCCGTTGTCCTCATCCTGCGCCCTCCTGATCTCAAACTCCAAACTGCCGAGGGAATTATTCACAGTGTTGATGAAATCCGTAAAGTCATCCTGGTCGAACGGTGCTATTCAAATGAATGGTCCAAAAAGGAGGGAAGGTTAATTGATGAATGGTACAGTCAGGCACAAACGTCATGGTGGTGTTTGTGTTTGTTTGTTGTTTTTGCCACCAATTTTTGTGCTTTTTTCCAGAGGAGATCTAGGTGTTGAAGACATGCCTTTGGTGGCTTGACAGACGTGTGCGTAGAGGTCGATGGCGTCCTTCTCCTTCATGAATCGCCTGGAGATGACGGCCTGGAGAAAGAGGCGATGCGTGTCTGAGTAGTCCTGCGTCGTCATGGCCTTTGGGGGGTTGAAGTGTCGGCTTGTTGGCGAAAGACAAAAAGAAGAGAAAAAAGACAGGCAGGCGCAAAAGGTAGTCAAAGAGAATGTACAGAGTAAGCCACTCCAGCTTTCACACTCAAAGGCGTTTTATTTAATTTTTTTTAGTTTAAGAATATGAATAAGAAAAGAAGGGTGAGGCTGCTGTGGTGGGCCAATAATCCGCATTGAGTTTCAGCCCCCTCCTCTCGAAAGAGGAGGCGACCTACAGCGTATTGAACTTATAGAAGCTGTGTGCCAGAGGCCGATTTCAATCTTTTCAAAAGAGAAGAGAATTGCTGGTAGCCAAAGTATCTCACCAGCGGCTAACTGGTGTCCCCACTAGGGAAGGAAGTGCACTTACGCGGACTTTACCCGCTTGCAATTGACTCTTGCCGGATCACTTTTCAAACGAAAATTGTCACAGCCGTAGTTGTTTCCAAGCAAACGCTATTCAGCCCCCCAGAGCAGTCTAAGGGAAAAATTTCCTCGCGGATGGAGCGATGGAGTGATTCTTATACTGCGGGACTGTCTGATTCTCGTTGTTGTTCATCTTTTAAACTCATTACTTCAATTCGTTCCATGGGGGTCAAACACAAAAGAACACTCCTTTCAATTGAACCCAATTGAGCGGTAGAGTGGGGACTGTTTGTCAATTGGGCAGCACAAGTAAGGACGCCTCTCAAAAATCAACGCTTTCACTCTCTTTTCTTCCACGACAATTACCAGACGCGCCTCTTCAAGTTCAGGACCAGTAGAGGAAACACATCACGTCGATCCCGCAGACACGCATCGAATCTTACATCCACCACACAAGCTTGTATAAGGACATCACTTCAATAACCACCAATACAACCAACATCTACCCAACAAAATGAAGGAAAAAGAACTCTTGGCCTCATTCCTGGTCGGGAGCGAACTGCACGACAGCGTCACCTTCACAAAGTTCACAAGCTACTTCCCACTCCACCTCAGGACCCACCCCGAGATCAAGGACCTCTATCGGGCTTACATGACCAGCCGCCACAACGTCCGCAACAAAGTCAAGAGGAATATCGAGATCGAGGCTCGGAGGAACCCGTTTTATATTAGTCCTCAGCATGTGCAGGAGCAAGAACGGGAGCGAGAGCTAGGGGGGAAGAAGGAGCTGGAGCGGGATGACGAGCAGATGGCATTGGAGGGGTTTGATGAATTGGAGCCGGAGGATATGGACTATTACATGGAACTTGATGTAAGCGGTCTATACAGCAAAGTGACAAAACTCTCTGCTTTTGTTTTGGGCTGTTGCAATGAAAGCCATAGGACTAATTTTGAACCTATTTTTGTTCACAAATAACGGGAATGATATAGGACGTAGACAAGCATTTGACGCTGGACAAGGCGATTCAGGAGCTGGTAGTCGCTGAAAAGATCTACAAGAAGGAAGTTGAGAAACTGGAGCTAGAGTGCAGCGCCATTGCCCAGGAGTTTCAAGAGTACGTTGCCAGTGTTACTTTGTTCCAACCCTCAGAAGGCTTTTGTCATTGTGTTTTTATTTCAGCCATTGACATTTTGTTCTTCTTCCTCTCCGTTATGCTGGTTAGTCTTGATCTGGAGGTGGACTCGGTGAAGGTCCCTAATCTACCCTTTGAAGGCGTCAACGAGGCAGCATTGGCCAGCGACTTGCAGGTAATTAGACTTCCCGTACCAGCTCTTCAGAACATTACGTTTTCGTTTGTCAAGGTTTATTACTGTACCTATTTTCTGACCCTACCCCACAATTTCATCTTTGCCTTCTCATAGAGCTTGATAGCCATGTGCGACGCTCTTACCAGCGAGGCAGCAAAAGCCAAGAAGTAGCACTACCTCACTCTATTCATCGCCATCCAAAGAAGACTTTGCCACAAACTCGCCCTTTTCGTATCCCTGTACTATTAGCCCCTCCCTCCCCCCCTTGTATTCTAATGAAAACTTAATTTGCTCCGCTGCTTGCCCAATTGCACCCCCGGAACTCATTTCACGCATTCATTGTTCGTTCAATTGCTGGATATTTTATTTTTGAGTGACATGGCTTGTACTGGAACAAGACACGCATCATGACCGGAAGAGGGAGCACTTTTTGAAAGCATCCTTGACTTCCTGACTCCTACGAATAGGCCCAGTCGAGATGCACGTCAAGATATCCTCGGGTTGTTCCCTCCATGTGACATGAGGCACGTCCAATCCTGAAAGGCTTGCAGCCAAAGTCTCCAGCTGTGGCAAGTTCTTGATCTACGTATGTTTATTTTTTCGCGGAAAGAAAAAAAAAGGATGTGAGATATGTGTTGCGCGTATTAGTTTTGACAGGCCGACTGCAGTGTGGGAATGAGAAAGAGATAGAGTTGTTTGTTGACTCGTACCTCAAGGACGACTTTGTGCATGTTGTGGAGATCTGAGAGGTACTCGCGTGTATCTGGGAGATCCTTGGTCTTGTGAAGGACGGCTGTCGTGGCGTGGCATGCCTGTGCGATCACACTACACATCAATGGACATATTTCATAGAAAGTTCAAGGATACGATTATCAGCTTTTGTGCACTCGTGTATATCCTGTCGGTGACGAACCAAAATGTGAATGCGATTGGTGAACGCATGTTTACCTTCCAGTGGACCAGCCAAGGGTCTACGAGTTGACAAACAAGTGTGAATCGTCAGGATGTTGCTTGGTTAGTTCAGAATGGGAATATATACAGGCGAGATATCGAAAAAACGTCCAGGTCAAGTGAACGGAAGCAGAATTGTTTTATCTAGACCTTGATGAGATCCTTGCGGATAACGATAAACATGGTCAAGTGCTCAGACATGGCTTTATCGTTTGGGTATGGTGGTGAATGGAAAGGGTGGAAGTGCGATAGGACGTGAAAGTGTGCAAAAGGGACGAGAATGAATCTGGGTTGGACAAAGCTAAGCCACACGTCGGACCTGAAAACATTCATTCGCACAGACTGACGGATGATTGGGTCCCTTTCAATGAATGTTGGACAGTGTTTATGCTGTACCAGCACAAAAAATGAAGTACGAACGAGCCGATTGATGAAAGTGAAGGACAGAACAATAGGACATGTGCTTGTAAAGCATACATTGGCGTCTATTTTTATTTCCCTGCCCATCAACCCTCATGATAGATAGTTGGCACACTGCAGATCATGTAAACAATGGCAGGATAGTTGACAAGGAGATGAAAGATACTATCTGGGCATGGTACTCGCAACCATTGGTCGTTTCTTTCTCGCCACCCAGCCAGTATACTCCACAAGAACTCGCACTCGACTGACACTGCCCGACAGCTCGCCAGCAGCATGAAGCCGTCAACGGGGGTACCCACTCCTCGACCGATGCCACGGGGGGAGTTTTTTTGTAAGGGTTCAGGAAATCTCTTGAATACAATGTTACGGGGATATACGCCCTCTCTGCCTCTTATCTCACCATTGTCAATGTGAATTTTCAGGTTTCGTAGAGTGGTGCACAGCGTGAGATAGTGACGTACAACTAGTCGTGGCCGGGTTTGGGGAGGTAGAGTCCAACTTGCTGAAGGGTTTGTCCTTGAGCCTTATTGATGGTCACCGCATAGGCGGGACTGATGAGAAACTGGATCCTGCGGAACTTGATTGGAAAGGCGAGGTCATCATCGGCGTTGGTTAGTGGAAGGCAGGGATAGGGACGATGTGTCCGCGGTTTATACCAATCATGGTATCGGGGCCAAATCAGTAAGCACGCACGCCTTCCTACCCCTCTTTTTGGTCCGCATTTCTCTTATCTTTTTGTTTACTCTCCTACCTTTCATTCCACTGTTGTCCTCTGCCTTGGACCTACCATCCTTTTTCCTATCCTTTCTGTTATCCAGGTTTTAGATCCTTTCGAGGCCAATAAGGGGGGCGGAGGAGAATGACAAACTGATCGGCAGCAAGGTCATGGTGGATCTAGACCTAGTGGAATGCGGTGTCGGTGCGTGAGTGCGAGGTTGAGACCCAGGTGGTAGGTACATAGGATGAAGTGCAAGATATCATGGCTATTCTCTTGGAGGATGTGATCGCGTCGAACAGTGGGTTTGTACGGTTTATATACCAGGAAGACATGGCATTGATGTTGTCGCCCTCGAATGTTATCGGAGTTGAGGGCGATGAGGTGATGATTGAGGGTCGAGGTGGTTGATGGATGGAGGCGAAGGGGAACGAGGATGATAGAAATGCCGTGTCGGTGGAACTCATCGTGGTTGACATGGATATTCTGGGGTGGCGACAAAGGCGGTGGCAGTAGAGAGGTAGCCCAGCCATCCATCCACCTTTTTTTCCCCCTACGAAACGCGTTATCTCTTTTCTTGTCACTATCGCAAACACAGTCAAATAAAAAAGCATATTGTTTCTTTTTAAGTCTTCGTTACTACTACCAAGTTTGACTGGAACTGTCCCATCTGGCAAAGCACTAGATAGTCTAGGATGGTGGCAACTCCAACACTCTTTCATTCCCGTCAGTTAAGAAATGACAAGCGCTCCAGGGACAAGAGAGTCGCTTTCTCAAGTGCCTCCAGCTTCTCCGGTTCACGCCACATGGTCCCCAATCCAGCATCCGTGTTCAAGAATGCGCTCACCGATCCTTCTTCTAGTTCTTCAGATCCACTTCTGAATCTAATCGTTGTGGATGCAGACTTTGCGGATATGCTACTCCTACTGCCAGGACTGCTACTGCTGCTAGCGGTGGTGGTAGTGGTAGCTGCAGAGGTGCCTAGACTTGGTGTCGTGTCTGGTGTTCCCATGCTGTGTTGTTCCGCTGCTCCAGAGGTGTTCATCTCAAGGACCGCCGATGGCGCAGATATGACAGGGTTTGGCTGCTCGTCCTCATTATTGTCGCCCTCACGCTTGAGACTAATGCTGGAGAGCTGCTGTTCGGCTTTAACTGCGTAAGCGTCGAGCAGACCTTCTAGGAACATGGCTTGATCGTTAGAGGCGGCCCAGTATGGTCCCAGTATACGAAAAAATCGGATGCAGGTCAGCAGTCCTTGCTTCGCTTTGGCCAAGCGCGCTGGATCCTTGCTGGTTGTGAGCTGCAGTACATGGCTAGTTGGTTCGTGCAAAAAAAAATATGCGCACAATGTGAGTGGATCAAGCGACTGGTTAAGTGAGCAAACCACAAGAATAAATTTAGAGGGAAAACTTACGCGGTGCCGGCGATGAAGATGGCGAAGCTGAGATGGCTCCCTCGGATCCTGACAAGCCGCTCTGTAAACTGATTGACAATGTCCGTGATCTGATTCGCAGCGTCATGACATACTTCCAGGGCCATCCTCAAGAACCGTTGATCCTCCGCCTTAGCATCCTTGTCCGGCGCAGACCTATCCATCCCTGGCGCGTCGGTGTCGACACCAACACTGGTCGTTATTTCTGATTTTCCCGTCGCACCATCCTGCCTCGATAACTCCCTTTTCCTCTCTCGGTCATTGTTAGCGGCCATCCCCACCCTCAGCAACGCAGGTCGATAGAGCGATATCCGGAGAGTGTAGTAATAAAACGTGTGGTGGATAATGTTGATGTCGGTGCGCCAGACAGAAGACTTTGCACTAGTTGGCATACAGTCTTCTGGGAGTTGTCGCCTCCAAGCCTCTGCTGCTGCGTCGAGTCTCTGAATGACTGGTCCACTCTCGCGCCAATGGCGTGATGTCAACTTTGTATCGCTCTGCTGGGTTGTTGGTGTTATTGGTGATGCCAAATTGGAGATGTTGGCGGTTGGAAAGGAGGATGATACGGTCTCGGGGACGACTCCAGTGTTGGTGAACCTCCAGACCGATATGCCAACTTGAAGGATCGGCACAGTCAGACTCGGATCTCCAAATCCTCGAATAGGGCGCGGTCGTAGTGCCTTGCCCAGGATCAACACACATGCTGGGTTTATAGCTTGCTCCTCTCGCTGCGTCCCGATTTGTCGCTCAGACGCTTGCTCCACCCACCAGTCAGCCTCAAACGGCACAATCCAAGGCTCAAACTGCGTGGAATCAAACAATGGTGGAATACCACCAACCGCAGAGTTAGCAGCATCAGATCCCAAGAGAAAGGCAAACGTTCGGACTTTGATCTCGGCCGTCACCCGCTCCTCCTCCGAGTCATAAGGACCAGTTATTTTTTGTGCAAAAACCTTGTGGAGCTCAAGTTCAGTCGCCATCCTGCCTGCGATGCCCTCAAAGCGATAACCTCGAAGATGGCTTCCTGAAATGTATTCGTAGAACCCCAGCAGTATCAGTGTGTGAACAGTATCAGTAGTCATCTCCACAACAAGCGCACCCATCCGAGATCTGATCTTTGACGCAAAGGGCTCTCCAGACATGCATGGCGGTGTTGTGACGACTGCTGGGTGATTTGAGAATCGGGCTGCGACCGCACAGACGGCGTTCAAGAGACTGAGGTTGAGAGTGCCCTGGGAGTAACTCTGGAGGAATCGGGCAGGACTGAAGAAGTTGAAATCTTCAAAGCAAAACTCGAAGAACACCTCCACTAGATGGTCCTGCACCTCCTTTGAGAAGGGATCGGATGATGCATCGGGCCACGTTCGTTGCTCCAGCTTCTGCGCGTGCGCCTCCCATGACCGTCGCAGTCGTGCATTTTGATCTGAAAGTGTCGTGTCGGTAGTACTCGTGGTAATAGTAGTTGATGAACCCAATTGGCCGACGGTGCTAGAGAGTTCTGATTTCACACCTTGTTTGGAGCCATCCAAGGGACCACGCTTCTTTTGGGGCATCAAGAATGTACATTCGTAGTTGGCACGTAAACAGCGTGTACATGCAGGTCTTTGGGCGTCTATCCAAGGATTAAAACAATAACAGAAATGAGACCGATAGTTAATCCTCGTGATGTCATGTATGACAAAGTTTCCTCTGAATGTAAAACACACATACCACAGGCAGATCTTCTCTGCCGACAGCGGTCGCAGGCTTGGGTGACACGAGTGCGTTCAGGGGTAGAGGGCGTAGAAGAGGTGGTGCTGGAGATAGAAATTGACTCGAACGGTCTCTTTTTTTGTCGTGAGGGAGGAGGTGTGACGGAGGGGTCCATCTGATCTGTTGGTTTGTGAATGAGTGAGCGAATGAGGGAAAAGGAAAAAAAAAAGAGGAGAGAGGGAGAAGAGAGATGAATGGAAGAAGGTTGATTCGTCAATTCATCGTTTTGGTCGAAGAAAAAAAAAAAAAGTGGTTTCCGAGGCAGTGGCAGCTGATGAAAAGGAAGCCCTTTATCTGCATATTCAACAGAACCGAGTAACCTTACTCTTTCTACCCCATAGTCCTCAGCACAGGCACCGACGTCCAATTGGTCATGGGCCATAGACGGAGAGAAAGAAGGTTTTCTCTTTGAAGGACCTCAGAGCCCTGTCTCTGTCGAACCAAGCAAAAGGGGTCCTACGACAAAGGTGAATCCTTATCTCTGTCTGTCCCTTGCCGCTGCGACTGATCAAACGTGGCTTAGGTTTCTTCTCTCCCAACGTGAAAAGGGACACTCTTCAGCTCATGTCACGACAGGTCAACAAGCAAGACACAGGAAAACCATAGTCAGCCTCTCACCATTCTAGACACTGGCATCTGGTTCATCGCCGGACACTAGAGTAATGGCAAAAAGAAAGATGCGACAATGCGACAGCCACCGGAGAGATGACATTCCAAGACAGAGGCAACATACAAGAGGGTAAGGTTGCAGCTTTGAGTAACTGTATGATAAGGAGAGAAAAATAAAGTCATGTTTACCGGCCATAAAGATGTTTGCATCCAGGACATCGGTGTTGTGGATGCAACCCGATTTAAGACTGTCAACTCGCGAAGACAGAACTCTAAAAGTATCTTCTTGCATTCACCAAGACAATGGAAGGCGACATCACGACAAACTAATCTGGAGGCACCCCACTTCATTTCCACTCCCACTCTACCAACAACCCGCACTCTCACACCCCCACAATGATAACAGCAAAAACACCAGCAACCAGATATTCGCATACCTGACTCCGCACCAACAACAACTTCTTGCAGAACAAGTCTGCCACCAATGGCGAACCATTGTTCACTACCGCTTTCTCTCTCTGACGGACAAGGCTTTCCCAATGAATGTGATGGAGGAAGGAGTGGCAAAAGTTCGCCCCCTTGGGCCGATGGTCAGTATTCTGAGGATCGATCCTACATACCATTGGGATCTCCTCCACCTTCTCGCCGTTATGGATGCGCTGCCTAGGTTGGAAGAACTGTACGTCGAACCGCACAAAATTACCGGTCGGCGATGGCGACTCGCTCCTCGGAGTCACTTCTTTACCCAGGAGCAAGAGAACCAATTGACTGGATCTGTTGACGAATTGGCTACAGGAACACTCCTACCACCACCTAGAACACAAGGTGTCGTGCTGACGGAGACGAGGATTTGAGTTCTGATGATGTTGGTGCGGCAGTGAACGTGCCTGCCATAGAGGCAGTGGTCCGTCGGTGTTCGCTAGTCGAGGTCCTCAAGCTATCCCAGACTGTCGATTATTATCGGGATGAAGAGACTACTGAGGAGAGTGCAAGGTGTTCAGATCTTTTGCCGCATCGTCGAGGCTTCTCTAAGCGGCTGCGCGAATTTCAGTACTCCAAGTTGAGGAGGACTCTGACGGTTCCTGAAATCCATGTTGTACATTCGGTATCGCCCCGCATGCATGTCACTACAAAAGAGACTGGAGATACTGCTCCACCACAACCTCGAATGGGTTTCTTGCCCCACCACCACCAGCACCTCCCAAGCATCTTGTGGTCGCCATCCGGGAACTCAGCCCGATGCAAGACTATCAAAACCCTTAAGACTAATTGACTGACTGCCTTTCGGTTCGGCAGGATCCGAAAAGCGACCTCGCTACCGTTCCAAAACATCCTCCACACGATCATATGCACTTGTCCGAACTTATTCGCCTTTATCGCCTTGTCTGTTAATTTCTACCTCTTGGAGTCTGATGGGTCTTATAGGATGAAGGATGGTGAACTGCCCAAGGTGGCGGAACTGACAAGAGGTGCCGTTATTGGGTCGACCGCACATGAGAGGAGGAGGAGGAGGAGGAGGAGGAGGAGGAGCGATCGGATTTGCCTCCGTCGCACCGACGTGTAGGAAGTTGAGGACGCTGCGTATCTCGATAGCGAAGGAGGACAACATGGACTGTGCACGATACGAGTCCACGTTGGTGATTTTTGGGTACCGAAGTCTCGCCTGTCCTCGGGTGGAGGAGTTGAGTATCCGGAGTAAGTGGATTTCGTAGTACCCAATACACAGCACGCTGGAAAATAAATACAAAGGCCGCTTTTTATTATATCGAATCAGATTCCAGAACTTGCCATGGCTCGAATGCTGTCGTGGTACTCTTTGCCCTCTGGACGTTGGACTGCATCGTCAAAGGCCTTGAGAACCTGCAGCCTCATATCTGCTTCCTTCTCATCCCACTCTACCGCGCTGTCCTTGTTCGTCTCAAGATGCGGTACCGCGCTTGTTGAGCTGCTGCTGGGGCCAGGATGTGCGCCAGGGACCTTGCGGTGCAATCCGATCAACCCATCATCCATATATATCTCCTGTTCTTGATCCTGCGCCTGCTGCTGTTGTTGTTCACCCACCTCCAACAACATCTTGTTGGTATTCTTCTTCCGACTGGACCTCCAAACTGCCGGGAACATCCCATGTTCCTCCTCTCCAACGTCCACATCCTCCCCGCCACTAACCTCGAACTCCCCCTCGAACTTCACCCTACCTCCACCCGTCTCACCCCTCCTCAGATTCTCCGGATTAGTAGGATCATTATCCAACATATCCAAATACACATGTGGGTCATAATACGCCGCATCAATCAAGGCCTTGACAGAATGGTACCCCCAAGCCAGTTCTCCCTTTGAAGGGTCCCACCGCTTATACTGGTCCAGGGCCTTTTGCTTGTAGGGTAGGAATTGGGGTAGGGCGCGAATGAATTGTGCGGATCTGTGGGATGGAGGGTTGTAGTATGTATATGTCCTGTAGAACCGGCTATTAAGATGAGAATTTTAACCACAAGAAAGAAAAAGAGCGTTAATTGAGAGCTGAAGTTATGGCTGGAAGGAAGGTGCGTCCATGGCTTTGATGAAAAAAAAAAAATTAAGAAGGAAGAGAGCTTACAAGTCCCAGAGTTGACGGGAGGCGGGCCAGCCTTGAGGGAATTCTTGGAGGAGCTGCGTGGCGACGTCCCAGCAGGCCCTGTGAGTCGGGTTCCGTCCAACAGAATCCCGATCGTATTCTCCGCTTATGCACTTGTGCGATGCTCCTGGGTACTATTTTTCAGTATATGTAAATTGACTACGGTTAGCAAAGTGCAGAATAATGATTTCGGCACTTCTTCAAATATCACTTCTCGTACAAAGAATGCAAAGACGTGAACCTTACCTTGCGCTCATACCCCAGAATCAGATCCCGGAGCTTCTTCTGGAACTCGCCATAATCCTTCAAGGGCTCAATATCACTCCACCCAGTCTCAAAGATATCCTCATCCCGCACCCCAAGAGCCCTCAACGACTGTCGGAACTCATGTGTCCTCCCCGTGACAACATCCTGAAGCATCAGATCCATTTTGTGGGGTGAGTGTTGGAGTGTGCAAGGGGCGGCACCGGAGACAATGTCCCGGAGGAGGGCGTTGATCCCATCCGAATATAGGTGTACAATGACTTTTCGGCCAGCTTCAATGTGTTCCCGGATTGCTATTTTGAGAAAATGAGATGAGTTACGACTGGGGTAGCTTAAACCACAATGTTGAACTCGCCCTGTCGGTTAAAGTAGTCAGCCAATGAGATCTTACCGAGGGCCATGGCCAGGGCATCATCGTCCTGATGGGGCACATAAAAGATCGTCGGTGTTGTCTTGACACCTCCACCAACTCCTCCACCATTGCCATCACTGCTAGTCGCCTTGTCTGGTGCCTTGTTCTTCTCTTGTTTTCCCTTCTTGCCATGCTTCCCTTTCCCCTTCTCCATTGCGTTCTCCTCCTTGTGATGATGATCCTTTTCTCTCGCCTTCGACTTGACCTGCTTCAACTCAATCCTCCCATCACCCTCAGTTACATCATCCTCCCCCTGCCGCTGCAACTGCATCCGCATCTCCAACTCCTTCCTCACAGCCGCTTGGGTAACCCTCCGCTCCTCCCAGATCTCGGTTTCTGCCTGATCACGGCTCTTCCCCGACACCCGTGCCATCAGATCCAGAAACGCCAAATGCTGTTCATCCCGCTTTGGTACATTGGAAGTGGTAATGTCCTGAGGTGAAGGCAGATGTGACTCTGAGATCAATCCAGAGGCCAGAACTCGTCCTGAGTCTGCAAACGATCCTGTTGTAAATGGTACGTCAGCCGTTTCGAGTGCAATGTGGCTATAGCCATTACTCCCATCAGCAGCATCGGCATCAAAGGAGGCGTGCTTGGGAAGAGCAAGTCGGAAACGCCCGTCTAATCCCGATACTGCTGCTGAAGCTGCTGAGAAGGTGACAGAGTTTGATGTATGCAACGCCAAGATCTGTTGCTGCTGCCGCTGGTGTAGTTGCAGTACTGCCTGTGGAGAAGTGTCGCCAATAGTAGCGGAAGTAGTGGCGACGAGAGATCTTCCTGTTACTGGTAGGGCATTAACTCCACTACCATGGTTGCCACTCTGGCAGAAATAGTGACTAGGCTGTCCCGCAAGGAGGACGAGTCCGAGCGCTGCGGCAGCACAGAGATTGAACGGGAAGCGGCATTGGTGCCTCCTGGGTGGTGTTCCGGAAATAGAGCCACGGCTGTGTGTGTGTGCGTTGTCGGTGGTAGAGGATATGCGAGTTGGGTGGACAAATTTCGAAGGAGTAAAGGTGTCATAGGTGGGGGTCATAGTCTTTTTGGAGGCGATGCAAAAAAGGTGGCTTGATTGCAAGAAATGGAGTTCTCAAGGCAGGTCAGTAGAGTGTCTTGGGAAAAGGTGGCAGAGTCAGTAGGAGGAGGAGGAGAGGAAGGGTGGCGGTGCTGCTTTGTGGCGTTTGGATCGGGTTTGGAAGAAGGTGGGTGTGGTCCGTGTGGAAGAGGAAGACTTATGATTGGGTGATTTAGTTGGGTATCGAGTGGAGGAGGTTGAGGGTTTCGAGGAAGAGGAATGAGAGAAACGAATGCAGAGAAGAGAATGAAGGAATGAAGAAGCTGAAAGAAACAACAAAAGTGGAGACTAGAAAGTGGCAGTTAAAAGAAAACAATGATAAGAAGAGCAGAGTGAAGAAAATAATAGACGACAGGACCAGGCGCGTAGGTGATGATAATAATGTTCATAAATTTGACTGGACTAATGCAGTCTCACGACGGTGAGGAAGGGCCACATTACATTAGCACGACTGACTGTTATCCAGGAGAGAACAGTATCTGGAATCATGGCATCATTGCATTCATGGCCTTGGAGGGGAGAGTACATCATTTGCTAATGAGCAGAGACACCATATTTTTCATTTTTGGGTTGTTTTATTGTTTTTTTTGGGTCGGGTTTTTTTGTGTTGAAAGCAACAAGGTCGACTGCCAATTGTGCTGCTGCCTGACGAAAAACAACGAACGAGCTAGCAAACGGTCGTCAGTCCAGGTCCTCCGCGGTAAGTGGGGAACCTCATAGGAGAGCAGTCTGAGGAAGGTAAAGAAAAGGAAAAGGGCGAAGAGAAAAAAAGGAGAGAAAGTGGGAGAATATGGCACATGGGTGAGATTACAAGGGTAGAAGCTAACAAAGAAGTAATAAAGGAAAAGCAATAAAGGAAAAGCAAAGAACGAAGGGAAAAGAAACAGTAGAGGAAATGTACAAGGAAAAGGTGATCGAATCTTAGTCAAAGACAACGCAGTCTGAAGGAAAAGAAAAGAAAGAAAAGAAAAGAGAAAGAAAAGACGACTGCGTTGGGAAGGTAAAAAGGGCACACATGATTAAGAGATTCAAGCCATGTGTGACTCGGGGAGGGTGTTGTCCTGGGATCCTTGAAGGTCCAAGTCAACAAGACGGGCCATCATGGATTCGTACAACCACTCGAGCATGTTGGGATCCTCCTGTGCAGGTGACAACGGCCGACTGCTCGAGGTCTGGCAATGGACAAGATCGTAAACCAACTGGATCTGATCCTCTGTCATATCATCAACCTGGGTCAACGCCCAAAGATTCTGCTGCAACTCCCAGTCCAGATCAGCCACAGCATCAGCCTTGGCATCAGTATTAGCCTCGACAGCAGACTCTTTTACGGCAGCAACAGTCATTGATGGCAGGTTGGCAGACATGTATGTGAACGTCTGCATCAACTCCAACACCAACTCCGAGACGGTGAAGGAAGAGGCACCAGACAACCGGGGCTCTACAGGCTTGAGATCAAAGGTCATCCAGGGGCGGTCCATCGTGTCGGCATCGAGGGCACCTGAGGGCTTGTTGTCAAATTGAAACTCATCGCCAAAGCAAATCTCGGGGATCAGGGTTCGGTGAACCATGATGGGGTTCTTGTCCTTCCATGAGCTCTGGCTGGCGCTGCCCGACGAAGAGTTGGGTACATCCTTGTGCAAGTTGGGTGTCAGGATGGGTGATTGGGGTCTAGCCATGGAGAGCGTGATGTTGCTCTTGGCATTGGGGTTCATAGCTGCGGTGACATTGCGGTTCATGATCGACGTCAAGAGGCTCTGGTTCTCCTTGGATAGAGGCGTCGAAGGTTCAGGAGCCAGAGTTGGGTCGGTACTTGTTGTCGCAATGGTTGCGGGGTTAATGCTGCTGGTGGACATGGTCGCCGCTTCCAACTGACGACGGACTACCTCAAGTTCATCCTTGAGACGCTGGTTCTCGTCTTGCATCAAAGTCACGGCCTCGCGCAGGTGGCGAGCCTCGGTCTTGTGGAGGAGAACTTGACCCTCCAAGGTGTAGATATATTCTATAACAATAGCGAACGTGATGGTATTAGTATCAACGAATGGACCCATTCACAACCGATCTAGCCGAAAACACTATCCATCATGGCCGAACAAGAAGGTTGGATAAGAAGGGACGAGAAGAACAATCTACAAGAATATCAAAAAATAAAGGGGGTGGGCCTTTGCAGCGCTCCATGCTTTTCTTTGCCTTTTGCACCCTTGCCCTTGGATTCAAACACGCAATATCTTGATCTTCTCCTTGTTCTTCCTTTCCCCTTCTGCCCCCTCCCTCTTGCAAATAGATAGATAGATCCAAAGGCCAGATAGTAAACGGGGTTTTCACCGACGTCAATGCCTGTCCACTCACCCTTTCTCCTGACCCTGAAGTTGCGGGCTGAAATCTTGTTGCGAAGCTGTCTACGCTCCTTCGAGGTCATCTTTTTCAAATCTGTAGACGAAGGGATATCGTCGGTCTTAATTCCTGGCTGAGTCTTGAGGCCATGGGATGGCTCTGCCCCCTCTGTCGTGGGCTCGACTCCCTCCATTTCGTTATCAGACTCGTCCTCTGACGCCGGTTCCTCCTTGATCTTGACCAGTGCCTCCTCATCGGGAGAAGGGATCAAGTACTTGGTGGACTCGAGCAGACGAGCCAGAGTCTCCTCGATCTCTTCACGAGACAACTTGCCCGTGAACAGCTGAGGGATCAGTGGTGTCTCGACCTGCTGTTGCAGCAAGAATTGGAGTGTGGCAGCAGAGAGGGTTGTGTTGGCGGTCGAAGTAAGGGATTCGGGTGTTGGCTCGGGTGTTTGTGTCTTGCCCTTGCTTGATGTGGTGGAGGAAGAGGTTACGCTTGTGGATGTAGAGGCGGCGGATTTGGAGGCACCAGAGGAAACTTTTGTGGTTGCTGCGGCATTATAAGTTGTGGAGGCGGAGGATGAAGACTTTTTCGAGGCGGAGCTCGATTTGGCCTTTGATGATGTCGTTGATGAAGAGACGGACTCTGTCTTGGCGTGCTTTCGGGCGGGAGTGGAGGCGGGTTCGGGGCTGGTTCGTTTGGCGGTCGAGGTGGACGATGATGTTGATTTGTTTGCTGTTGATGAGGAGGCTGCTGTTGCTGTGGATGTGTGGAGTTTTGAAGAGTCGATAGCAACGGTGCCTGTCGATTTGATGACAAAGTGATCAGGTGAAGGTATGACCATAAGAGCAGATAGCAATAAATGAGGGCGAGAAAAAAAAGAAGGGGCAGTGGTTAGAAACTGAATGATACGCGAGCAATAGGAGGTAGAGAAGAAAGTGAGGGGCAAAGGGAAGGGCAAAGGGCAGAAGGCAAAGGGGGGTGAACATGGCCAACTATGTTTCCGACACCTCAATTTTCCCACCCAAAACCACGCCAGAGAGAATGTAGCGCGATCAAGACACTGGCACACATATCGCGACGTTTCGTTCCATCGTTGCTGTGTTTCAACCGCTTTTTTTGTCTGAACGTTTTTATCTTTGTTGGATCTTTCACTTTTCCCTCCTGTTGTTTCAACTTCTTGTATTGAACTAGCCATCTTTGTTGAGAGTGCGCCGTTTCTTTTTCTCTTTTCTTCTGCTAACCGCATTGTTATGTGTACGTGCCTTTTTTTTTTTTTTTTTTTTTTTTTCCTTCTTCTGTTGTTTCAACCTCTTGCATGCTGGTTGGACTCGCCCTCTTTGTTGTGAGAGTTGCTTCAAGACACTGGGGTAGTGTAATCGCTGTGTGTGTGGATATGTCATCCCTATGGCGAATGTATGTGCAAGGTGACCAAGAATAGAACTATTAATAATGCAAATGACGGACTTACTCTGAGTTGTTGTTGTCGTTGTAGCAGAGGCACTTGCTGCTGCTGCTGTAGAGATAGTGGCCGAGGTAGAGGAGGAAAGGGAAGAGGGCGAGACGGTGGTGGCCTGGGGGGCGATGGTCAGCTGATCAGGGGCGATCAGGGTCATGTCTGTGTCAAAGATCAGCGGTGACTCGTCCGAGGCGAGGGTCTGCTGCGGGCTGAGAGGGATGGGGTTAAGGAGCATCGGCGAGTCCGAAGGTTCCTGCTTGATGACCAATCCCAATGAAGAATCAGCAGTGGTATCTGAGTCCGTGGTGGCGACGACGGGGAGAGGATCGACAGCAGCAGCGGAGGTGAGGTTGTTGCTGTTGTCGATGTTGTAGTCAGAGTCGTCGATGTCGGCAGTGTCCCCGAGATAGAAGGAGGCGAACATGGCGTTTGCAGGGTCAGACGCGTCGAGCAAGTCGAGCTCGATGAAGTCGTCAAACATTGGATTCGACATTCAGTCTGTGGGAGGAAGGAGGAACGAGGTAGGAGAAGTGTTGTGTGAGAAAGAGAGAGAGCAGGAGTGGAACAAAAGGGAAGAATAAAGGAAGGGGAAAAAAGAGTTACGAAGGAAAGAAAGAAAAGAAAAAGAGCGCGAGAGGAAAGAGTCAAATAAAAAAAAGGGGCGGGGCAAAAGGAAAATGGAAGGGAAGGGAAGGCAAAGGAAGGGAAGGGACAGAAAAAAGAAGGGGGCACAACTCTCACTTGAGGAAAAAAAGGCGACAGAAACAAGAGTCAAATTATTTGTCACGTACTCAAAGCAGTCTGTCTGTTTGTGTATGAAAAATAAAAAGAGAGAAGAATGAACAACGGGCAAGAGGGAGCTGATCTCAATAACGGTAAAGACGAAAGGAAGGAGTGAGTATGTCTCCTGTCAGTTGTCCGTTGGTGGCAAAGCGTGGCGAATGCAATGAAAAAAGTGATGGGGGAAGCCAAGGAAGGTAAAAGGCGACGCGAATTGAGGATCAGTTTCTTACAGAGTGTGAAAACCTAGGGCTGTGAATAAAAGAGTGTCAGGATACAACGGCGAGGTGGATGAGAGTGAGTGTAGGTGGATGACTACAAAGGCTGATGGTTTTGTTGGTGATGGAGTAGAATGGGAAGAAGAGGTGAAGAAAGAAAGAAGAAGGAGCGTAGTCGAAGAAGATATAAAAAGATCAATGGGGTCATTCCCTATTGAATTGCAATTTCGCGAAACAATAGTAACAAAAGATATGTGTGTGAACAGACAGGCAGACAGACAGACGGGTCTTTTCTTTGCATGGTGCCCACATATGGAGGAATGAAAACACAGAAAGAGACTCGCTGGTAAAAAGAGTCAGCCACTCATACCAGCACTGCAGACAAATGAGAAGACAAATGAGAAATGCATAAAAAGGGGTGGGCATGATAATGGTGATGGTGATGGTGATGCAAAGAACAAGGAGCTGATTGATTTGGTGATAGACTCATTCACGTAGGTCACCATGGGATCATTCGAGAGCTTATTGCTCACACTTGTAAGCAAGCATCCTTTCTCAATCTTCTTTATTTTTGGTTGCTGCCCCACTGATCAGCAGGACAAGCCGGGGCAATGGCGCAAGGGTGAGGACATGGGTACACAACAGCAACCATCCAGCAACAACAACAAGAACAACCAATAAGGACACATACAAACAAACTATGTAACCGTGATAGCGCATTGGCACAGACCATCCACATCAATACGAAAAGAGGAATATTTCAACCACAATGCGGGAGAACACTCAACACAAATGGATCGAACCGCAGAAACCCTCTTCCTCTCCTTCACAATTAGCATTGGGATCAAATAAGGATAGGGGTCAAAAGAAGGGAGCCCATTCCTTCTTGGTATGTATCTATTTCTCTCTCTTTCTTTCTTTCTGATCCCAGTTGCACCATGGGCCTGAATTTCCTTTCTTTTTTGTTTGCATATCGGCTGTAAATTGAGATTTCGTGTCGTGAACGGAAGAAGGACAGGCGAACAGACATTGGCCCCTTTCTTTCACCCCTACTCTCATTTCGAAATGCCCTTTCAGTCTCCTTCCCCCCCAACCCTACATCCCTCCATCCCTAGCGAATATAACAGCCCATGGATGGTCTGAGCAATTGAATGGCCTGGCCACTACCAACCTTGAAACTGATCTGCTCCTCCGTTTTTGTTTGTTTGAAATGACCATGACCCGCCTTGACTTGACCTTCTCCATCCATCCATGAACGTGCATCCTCAGAACAAAGAACCGCCCTGAACGGATTGTATCTTGATTCGATCTTGATTCGGTTGCTCACTTTGCCCTCCTTTTCTATCTACTCTTTCATTTTCTATCTAGAAAGTAAACAGGGAGACTTGAAAGGGCTGGCTGAGGTGAGCACGATCGAAGGGCAAGGACTCCAATGAACAAATTAGAAAACAGCCACCATCTCTCCTCCTTCAAGGGACACTTCCACACACAACATAGCATGCACCACACCTCCAAAACATGGCGAACCCTCCCTCCCTCCCCTTCCTTTCTTCATTCTGTCCCCTCCGCTCCCTCGTTCACACTCCCTTTTCCCCCTGCCTAATTGGTCTCTTTCCCAGCCATGCTCATCCCTTCTGGAAGACCTTTTCTTCTGCGAGTTCCTCATTTCCACTCCCCTGCCCTCCCCCTTTGATTTTTTCTATTATTCATACCATACCCCGTCACTCATAGCATAGTTTCCCACACAGACAAAGACATACCCACCCACATTCACTGCTTGATTACAACCGTACATCCACACTCCCGACGAGAAAATGCAAGACATGGGCCCTGTAAACCCACTCTTATCTACCCTCCAACCAACCAAAAAATGGAACGCGAGGGGAGATTCATATCACCAATCTGACACCGAAGGGGGGACACAACGCGAAGCGCGAACCATAAAAGCCCTTTCCTTTCCTTCCCTGTTCTCTCCAAATGTGTGGTGCTGAACCCGGGAAGGAATTGGGTCATTCTTCCCGTTGTTCAACTCTTGCATAACATTTTCAAACACGTACACTTTTACAAATTATGTACGCAGCAGTGGCATAGTTTGTATAGAGTGGGAGTGGCAAGTTGACCTGGGGGTGCGGGACCTGCTATTCAATATTTATGACATAGCTGGTTTTCGTGGCAACTCGAGGTTTAGATCGGTATACAAAGAGGGACTTTTGAGGGACTTTTTGCCACCAGTTCTTTTCACACGCTCTCGAAATGTTATCAAAAGGCGCGCACAAGCAACACATCTTTGGCCATTGGTGGCAGGTAATGGTCTGCTATTATTCCTCAACCACCTACCTAACCACACTGACGAACCAACACTGGCCGTGCCCTGGATGAATGTTACCGGCACGCAGCTCCATTGTGTGTGTATGCAAGGATTGTGAATTTGTTGGTTTGGTGGTGCTTTGCCACCATCTGTACCGTCAAACCATACCTGGACTCCCAGGCAGGTGCCCAAAGACACAAGCAATCAACCAACAACAGCATCCAGGAACACGCACAAAAACACATGCGATTATCATCTCATGCATGTTTATTCGCAAGAAGTCATTGTTACGAACAAAAAACACATCGCAAAGTTGCAAGTACACCCTTTTGCGACGTTCCTTGCAAAAATCTTCAACGTCGGTGCGAGTAATGCGACGATGGTGACTGCGACTGCTGCTGTTGCTGCGATCGATGGGATGGAGGGTGGCGCAGAAGGTCATCAGGGGACCGCTGGTGATGAGAGGGTGGTTGCTGAACCGGCCGTCCTGGATGTCTCGCTGACCCAGGTCCTGGCGACGACGACGATGTTGGTGGCGAGTGCATCGACGACGGCGAGTACATCCTTCCGCTGTCCCTTTCTGATCGAGACATCTCATGTTGCTGCTGCTGGGAACGATGATGGTGATACGACGGCATATCGGAACCTTCGCGATATTGCATGAGAGGTTCAGGCTGTTGAGAGCGGTAGACAGGAGGGAGTCGCTGGTTTTGCATTGGTGGCGGCGAATACGATCGCCGCATTGATGAGGAATGCTGCTGCAACGGTCCCGGTCCATCTCGAGGTCCCACACCAACACCTCCTAGGCGACCTCCTCGTCCACTTCCCACAGCGCGATGGTATCCCGAAAACGAGCCCGTCGAATCCATAACCCTCGCAGATCCTGAAGCGCCAGGAGATGGTGCACGGGGGGATGGCCCGCGATAGTCGCCATAATCGCCTGCAGATGCCTTGGATTTTTTGTTGGCAGCGCTCGAGTTTGATGACTTTGAGCCAGCCATGTCCTGTGAAGAGTACGAAACTTGACTGGGGTAAGAGGCATCGCGGTAGTATGGTTGTGGCGACCGCCGCCTTTCGTGTCCATAGTCCCGTCCCTGAACCGGACCTTCGTCAATGACAAGTGGGTCAGCATTCGACCCAGATCCTTGGGCAACTATGGAATGATGAAGGGAAACAATATGTCGTTAATAATTGATACATGTAACATCTCAAAAAAAGTTGGTGGTTGAAAGCAGCAAAGGGCAATACCTCCAACCGAGTTTTTTCTCTTCTTGCTGAGAGATGGTGCGGCAGAGCCGCTTGAAATGGGTCCACCAGTGTATGTGAAATGAGTTCTTGCGGTCTGATGCTGCATCGGAGGTTGGGAAGGAAGTCGCGATTGTTGTGGTTGGGGGGGCTTCGATCCATGCTGTGCCTGAAGATGTGGCGGTTCAGGCGTTGCTGTCGCACGATGAAGGTTTGCAGGCGAACGAGCAGAAGAGCTTGTCGCGTTGGGAGTTACACGACGGGCGACTACTGGTGGAGAGTCCCTTGGACCCGCAGATATATCGGGCTTGACAGCACTCAACAAAGGACTGGAGGCTGTGTTGGCAGCCGAGGCCGAGACCTTGGTGGGTAAGGTAGGTGAACTGGTGGGCTTGGCTGACGAGGCTGTGGATGCGACAGTAGACGTCGCTTTGGCAGGTGTAGCAGAAGCGCTAGCGGTTGTCGTCGACTTGGTGGGTGACGTGATAACATTCGTTGAGGTGTTGCCAGCTGTGAGCTTGGTTGACGAGAGTGATTTTGTGAGTTTGGTCGTTGAGGTGGTGGGTCCCGCGGGCGATGCCACAGCCTTTGGAGGTCGAGAAGCCGCGCCCCCTGTCGCAGCCTTCGTCTTTGTTACCAGCACTGGTTTCGTAACCTCAACCTCCTTCTTGTCATTCCTTTGCTTCTGGACCTTCTCCTTGAGCTGACTGTATTGCCGCGAGATCTCATACGATGTTGTCCATCCCGATGGAAAGGCAAGCAGCAACTAGAGAATGAAAAGAAAATATTATCTTCATAAGTACTTTGCCTCGTTATCGCACTCATTTCAATGGCACTTACGGAGGACCTTCCACTTACAGTTTGATAAGCGTCTTTCCTGGTCTTGGAGTCTGTGGGTGGTGCTGGGTAGCTATTCTTCACCGAGTGGAACTCGTGCTTCGCTTGCCGAATTTCCATGAACATCTCCATGGTCTCCCACAACAGAAGTCGAAGGTCATGGGTCCATGGGAACTTTTTCTGAAATTTCCCTATTGACCATAATAACGCTCAAGTTAGCTCGCTGCACATATGCGGATCGAATTCTTCAATTACCGCCCCAGTTCAAGAATCAAACGCCAATGTACCTTCGTCGCCACTAAGGTTGACGTCGCCATCTGCATCCTGAATAGTCGCCTGGTTGGCCAGACCGGACGTGAGAAGAACCTTCTTGGTCCGCTCTGTGAATTGCCCAATATACTTTGTCTTTTCGAACTCCAAGTCTTTGATCCAGTTTGGAAGCAGCATCCTGTATATGAGTTTCTATTGAGCCCAGATAGAAAGGACGATAAATATACTGTACGCCATACTTGCGCATATCTTCCTCGACAAAGGTCAACCACAACGACCTCTATTTTTTGCCACTTACTCGAAGAGTAGTGCCCTGGTAAGGGATGATGGACCTCAGGTGGTCAAAGTACACCTCTGGTATTATCTTTCCTGATCCTTTGCAGTATTCGAGGGCCTTGTGACCGAATGTGAACATGGCTGTCCGCACAGGGGCCGGGAAAAGACCTTCCCAGGGTTCTATGAAGAGTTGAAAATGAAGACAGGTTAATAACAGCATACAACAAGGAAAATAGCTTGCAGGGCATTAATGATGAAAAGCGATTCCGCGTTCATTACCCTTCTCTGCAAGTTCCTCGACGGCTCGGAACGCTGATTTCAGTTCGTCAGGCAAGGGTTCCTCTGGCTTGGGTCCAAGTTCCACGACCTGGTCATCCGATTCGAGGCCGTCGTCTCTCGCGGGCCCTTGGCTGTTGCTCATTCTCCGGGGAGCAGGAGAGGACGACCTAGACTCACCCTCACGACTCCCATCATTTGAGGGCGGCGTCACTTTGTCGATGGTGTCCGCGACAGTATTATCGGCACTAGTGTCCATAGCATGCGGTTCCTGAGTTGTATCATCCTCTGTCAGCGCATCATCTGTAGCTGGATCAGCAGACAGTGAGCCATCCTGTTGAGCTTTTGAGGCTTTAGCCTTCGATCTTGATTTCACCTTCAGGGGCGAAACGGGTCGTGATGGGGGTGGCTGGGGTGTTGAGCTATCTTCCACGCCGTCCATTAGTGTTGGTGGAGGTGAGTCGACACGGACTGTAGGAATAGCCGCTGTGGATGTCGCTGACGATGATCCTGTGGCCTTGGCTCCAGCAGTGGTCTTGGTTTTTGATGTAGTTGAGGCTTTGGATGTCGTGGCGATGGCAGACTTTGATGCCGCAGGGTCGCTGTTAGGAGTAGAGGTCGTAGAGGCGTCTGCTGCGGCGGATGATTCCTGAGTAGTGACAGCAGTATCGGCAGCCGGGGTCTTGGTCGTCTTTGCCTTTGCCCTCTTTGGTGCTGGCGCCTTGGTTTGTTTGTCGGAGTCGTTGTTGGTGTCGTTGTCGGCATCATCCGCCATTGTCACGGTCTTGGCTTTAGTCGTCCGCTTCTTCTTTGGCGCTGTGGAGCCTCCTTCACCATTTGATGATTTGCCGCTAGGTTTCCGCTCTGTCTCGCTCACCTCTGGCGTCCACTCAATTGCACTCTCGACAATCGCCAGATTCGACCCCTTGGCTGTAGTTGTCCCCGCCGGCGCTCTCCGCCTACCGCCTCCTGCTGCTCCTGCTCCTCCTCTCTTGCGAGGCGTACTCCTAATTAGAAAAGTAAATATTTTTGAACGACGTTAATTTGACGGTCGGATGGGTCAATGGCACAATCAGTACAGACGAGAATAAGCCTCGGAAAGATAAACTTACGGCTCGTCAACGGGCACCATGACGAGAGGACCACGACAAACATAGAATCCGCTCTCTTTGGGTCTCAACTTGATCCCCATAGACTGGACCATTGCTTCGCTGTCGTCAATAAAGTCGTCGTTTACGTCGTAAGATTCAAAGTCCCAGCGACTCCTCTTTTTCTGGGGTCGACCCTCCTCATGTGCCTATCAATTGAAGACGCAAATAATATAAATGTATATCAGTCTATGTTGTCAGTGCACACAAAGAGAGCGAAAAGTGTAATTTTGGACCATTTCGGATAATTGGTAAGTTTGTAAAATGTAGGCAGGGAGCAAAGGGATGAGGGAGCATGTGGGACGAGAGGGCCAGAGAAAGAGGGAGGAAATATGAGCCGGCGTCAGGATAATTAGGGGAAGGGAACCAGCTAAGGCTGATGATAGCACTTAAAGAAAAGAAGCCTTGTACAAAACAGAGTAGGACGGATGATACATACCCTCCGCTCCTCCTCGTCTTCCTCGTCGAGGACATAGTATAGCTTCTCGAAACGGTCCATCAGGTTATCGAGAAAGTCCTTCTTTGGCGGAGGGTTATCGCTGTCGTTATCGTTCGAGTCCTCCGAGTTGTTGTCTGAGTTGTCCGAGTTGTCCGACTCGCCAACAGACTCTCCGACGTCCTCGCCATCGCCATCGACTTCGCTGTGAACTGCTGACTCGGGTCCGGTCTCTTCTGGTGGGTCGACCTCCATGGCGTCTGATGACTCAGGCTCTGCTATCCGTTTTGCATGTTGCTGCTTCTTTGCGAGTTTGGCTTCCTTTTTGCGGGCAAGAGCTCGTTGTGCGTGTTGTTGGGCGACGAGGTCGACAAAGTTGACGATGGTGTGTTTGGAGAGGTCGACAAAAACGCGGACGCCATCGTTGGTTACTTGAGTCTGTTCGCCTCTTGGTCGTGCGAGGATGTCGGCGAGCTCTGCGTCGGATCTGCTGAATTGGTGTCCTGTTACTCTGATGCTCGCCTTTGACGACGAGCCTTGTTGGAAGGACGATGGCATGCGTACAAGTACGTGTGTGTAAGCTCTCCTGTGGATTGAATGTGAGTTTGTGTGATGAATCTGTCGTTCAATGGTAGCGGTGGGAGTTTGGTAGTGGCGGAGTGGCGGAAGGGAGACGAGGAAGTGAACGAAGAGGTGAGAGCGGAGAAGAGAAGAGAAGAGAAGAGAAGAGGTGGAGGTGGTGGCAAGGGAAGTGAAGAAAAAAAAAGGGGGGGGTGGGGGAGGGGTGGAGAAGAGAGAAGAGAAAAATAAGGGACGGGAGGGAGGGGTACAGAAGAGCTGCCGGGTATGCAATGATCGCGGTGACGACAACAGTTGCAAGGTGCTCAATTAAATAATAAAAATGATCATGAATGGTAGTGGCCTCCACTTTGTTCCTTTGTGGGGGACGCACCCAATCCTCTTGTTCTGGGCGCACATCCACATCCTCTCACACACAAATATACATTCATACATACACGCATAACCCGATTTGTATTCATCACAGGGGTCAGATGTATCTTCCATCCTCTCTTTCACTGCTCTTTTGTCCTTCCTCCCTTTCTCTCTCTCCCTCCCTCTCTATCTCTCGTCCAACACCTCAGAAGAGCACGCAACAATGAGATATGTCAATGGATCGAGAGCATGCCATGTGCGTGGGCAATTGTCAGTTTCAAAATAAACTTTTTTTATTATTGTTATTATTATTATTTTCATTATTCATATCGGACCATTCCAACAACAAAAGAAAAGTTGCAGTTCCATACCACAACAACAGCCATCATACACCCAAGCTTCTTTTTCTCCTCTTTTCTTACTTCTGCCGTCATGAACCACTCATATGACGCGCTTTTCTGTTGTCAACAGGAACGCGACCAATTCGCGTATCAGCATCGCACATATCATCGCACACATCATCAAAATTTGGCCTTGTTCAATCCGAGGCATTGTCACTTACAAACACCAAAGAAAAATCTGAACGGTCCGATACTCTGCCCCCACAACTTTTTTTTCGAGAAAATATCAAACATAAATAGCAAAAGGGAGGAAGTGGAGGAGGGAGGGGAATGTTAAACACAGAAGTGAAGACCAGGGCACTGCGAGCCAAAGGCCGTGTAAAAGCGTGTTAACGGTAGGATTTGTTCTTCCCCTGGAGAAGTTGGTAGCCACCAATGTCATAACGATAATAGACAAGCGGTTGTTCAACTGGGGTGAGTGTTTGTGTGTGAAAGGAAAGGAAAGGAAAGGAAAGGCAGTGTTCGGGAGAAGAGCGGTGTAATGAAGAAACAAAAGATTCGATGGTCATCTGGATGAGCGACGCTAGTTTGAAGAATCACTTTTTTTATTTTTGAGGAGATGGTGCATACGATTCGAACAAGCGAGTAGGGAGGAGTGAAGATGGAAGTAGGGGTAGGTGAGGAGGAGGTGCGAGGAAGAGAAAAGAAAAGAAACGAAAAGAAGTGGCAAAGAACGAAACAGAAAAATCGGCACCACTTGAGGGGTGTTAGGTAGTAGCGCCAATCGCATGGTTAAAACCATTTTGTGGACTTTCGCCATGACCGATCGGCAGCTTTGGTGATAATTACTCGGAGTCTCGCTGTTCAATGGCAAGGAAACCGGTAGAGTTGACGAGAGTAAGCTAATGAAGAGCTGGACAAGCGGAATCATGCGAAGGAAAACAGGATCTGCCAAACATATCGGATTGCTTGCAGATAGACAACGGGATATTTGGTGTAGATGCCTAAGTTTTGATCCCTTTTTCAGCCTTTTTACTACTTGAAGTATGTAACTACATTTCTACTGGCAAGGGCATCGGCCAACGAGTGTCAATGCGAACAGAGAAAAGCACCAGAGACTGAACCACGGGCAATTGCTTGGTTCATAGAACTCAATTGTCTCCCTCGTCCTCCAATTCCCGCCTATCATTGCCAAAGTCCAAGATGTCAGTCCACTACGGAGAATCAATTGCCGAACGGACGGACGTTCTTTTTGTGCACTTTAACACTTTAACGCGTATCAGTCCACTTTTAAAAAGGGTTTTTGGGTTTTCCCTCTCGGCATCTCTTCTTTTCTTTTTCTCTTCTCAATCATTCACACCCATCCGACAAACAACCCTCATACCCACTATCCTCTAAATCACCACCAAAACACAACAAACAAAAAATGTCATCGCTTGCAAACCCTGTGAACTGGGTCCTCGCCGCCGTCCTAGGCTACATCTCCTACAACTACTTCACCAGCTCCACCGCCCCTTCACCTCCAGCCCCCCGTCCAAAGCATGCCGCTCTCGTCTTCCGGGAATACACCCCCAAGGAGTTGGAACCCTTTAATGGATCCACGCCTGAGACTAGAATCTTGATGGCCGTTAAAGGAAACGTTTATGATGTTACCCGTGGCAGGAACTTCTATGGCCCAGGTAAAACACTATTTCACTTGCACGCTGTCTCTTGCTTTTTGTTTTTTTTGGATGTTTGGAAGAGGAATGAAGGGGTATCTCAGGAACTAGGATTGATGCAGGCGGATTGACCCGTTTCGAGAGACTTCAGGAAGTATGGAGATATAACCTGGCAGGGGGAGTGACCAGCCGGGTGCAAGGAGGCGTAATCAGGAAGAACGAAGAGGCTACACTCGGAATGAATGTGCAACCGGGATGAACGAAGTTAGATCTTGACCAATGACTTCAATCAGATGCAACAAGCATCACATCATACTCCAGCAGTAAGGTTGCAATCGATAAGACAGGAAAAAGGTCGCAATCGATAAGACAGGAAAAAGGTCGATAAAGCACAGTCGGTTGGCTATATCTCGATCATTCGAAGGAAAGGACTGCGCGTGCGCATGGATTAGGCTGGACATTTGCACGTAAAGATAGAGGCGAACCGAACCATAGTTTTTGTTCCCATCCTGCCGAACACAGCATCGAAATCAATTGCTTCTTTCCTTTTGGCGGACCTTGGCCTTCCAAGCAACACGTCATGCTGCCAACGTCGGTTTATTATCATCATACGACCCTTTCATCCGCCCAACCAGCTGAGGCTGATAAACTCCCTCCTTCTTACACTTTCACTAACACACACATCCCTCTTTCCTCCAAAACAACGACAAATAGAGGGCCCATACGGAAACTTTGCAGGAAGAGACGCATCCCGCGGACTGGCTAAGAACTCCTTCGACAAGGATATGCTCAGCCCCATCGACGGACCCATCGATACTCTCACCGACCTTGATGATGATGAGAAGGAATCCCTGAACGACTGGGCTGGTCACTTTGAGGGCAAGTACCAGCTCGTTGGTAAGCTGATTGAGAACAAGGATTAGAGAGGTCTTTAGTTATCGCTGTTTTCTTTGTTTCATCGTTTTTTTTCTTTCTCTTGTCACTTTATCTCCCAGTGAATAAACAAGAGAACGCTTTAATTAATGTAACTTGGCAAAGAGGAGAGAAGTTGTAGTAAATGTTTCTTTCTAAAGAAGCAAGTGATGAGAAAAGAGAAAAGTGGCCAAGTGGGTGGGGTATCTGACTGACGAATAATTAATGTGAATAAGTAAAATGAAGTAAAAAAATGTCCTTAGGGAGACATGACGGCGCCCATGCTACCACGCCGCATGTTCTCACTGCTCCCCCTCGAAACCAACTGCTGATCCAGCTCTGACACATTATGCCGTCCTTGCACCAACGAACTCGTGCTGGTCGACGCCTGTTGCATATTCATGACCATCGGACTGCCCGCCCTGGCCATCGCCACTCCTGCAGCTGTACTACCCACACCAGTAGCGGTGCCGAAACGACCACTGCTGACGCTGGGTCCGTGGCCGGTAGAGGATCCGCTCTGGTACCCGGCTTCGCCTGCGGACTCTTGGCCGGCGTCGATGGATGTCATAGCGCCACCGCCCGATTCAAAGTTGATTCCGGAGAGGAGTCCGGTGGACCGTTGCTTGTATCGGGATCCGATTGTGGGTACTGCTGGGCTGCTGGAGTGTTGGTGGTTGTGCTGACTCCTGTGAGATCTTGGAGACGAGGTGGAGGAAGACGAGAAGGGGACGGCGCTGGCGGATCGGAAGGGTTGGTTGGAGTACTGTTGCTGGTTGAATTGAACCTGTTGTTGTTGCTGCTGTTGTTGTTGTTGCTGCTGGTATTGTTGAAATGTCTTGTGGTCAATGGACCCAGTAGTCGAATGGCCAGGGGGTCGACGATCCATGTACCCCTCACCTTCATCATCCCCATCGCCACCATCCGCACTCCACTCTTCCCGCTCGTCCGCAGAGGTCACAAACCCGGATGAAGAGCCAAACCCAGAGTTGTGGATCTGGGTCTGTAACATGGCCGAGCCTAGGTTGACGGTCGACGAGGGGGCGGATGAGGAGCCGTCCTGGTGTTGTAACTTGTACCGCGCCATGGGTGTCAGAAGCGGGCTTTGACCTGAGGAATGGATCACAGTGTTGTAACTGCGAGATGTCGATAGGAGTGAGGGCATAGGGACATCATCGGCCTCCTCTTCAGGGATCCAGCCTTGCTTCCATGTGCCTCCAGTAGCAGACTGGTCGGGGTTGTTGATACTGTTGGGGATCGACGAGGTGCTGTTGTTGTTGTAGTTCCAGAGTCCCGACAAGTTGGTGGACGATGCAGTCCGAGCCGTCAGCTCAACAGAGTTCTTGGTCTGCTTCTGAAGCAACGCAGTGTTAACTACACATCCATCAGTTCCAGTGCCACTACCACCGGGCCCCATCTTGTTGCTAAACAACGATTGCGAGTCGCCGGAAAACCGCTTCTTGTTGATCCGGAAGAAATTGGGCTTAGTCTTGGGTGGACCCCGCTGGGCCGAGTGAGACGAATGTGAACGATGGAAACTCATATCAAACATGCCTCCAGGTCCTCCCGCTCCATTGCCAACAATGTTTCCCGCACCTCCCTCGGGGATAGTGTTCAATCCAGAGGTCCCAAAGCTTCCTGCAGGGGTGCCACCATGATGACTCGTCATACCTCCCATAGGCATCGTGTTGGTAGTACTCGAGTTTCCATCATATCCAGCAATTGTAATCGCCTCAATCATTTCGCCAGGTTGGCCGTCCATAGAATCAAACCCTCCCCGAGGCTCCGGCCAGATACGAGACGTGATTGACCACCAGACCGACCGTGTGTGGTGGACCACTGAGAGGTAAAACACCTTGAATCCAAAACTGCGCCCATACGTAGGTGTCGACCCTGCTGTACCGGATTCCAACGCACTGTAGTCTGCATTCGAGGGTCCACTCGTCCGACGGAACCTGCCAAAGAAGGGCAACCCTCCTGCGCCACTGCCACCGCTATTAGACCCTCCAGGGGAAGTAACGCCGCCAGCAGAGCCCAACCACCTCCGGACGGTAGGCCAAGTCTTGGAAGATCTCGACCGGTAGACCCAAAAGATGGCCAGGCCAAAGAGCACAATCGCCAGCAGCATGAAATGGTTGTAGCTGTCGAGCATCCGTTCAGGGTAGGTGTCCTCATGTGGTGCCTTGTGGTCCGGTGGTGGCAAGATTAACGTCGGCGAATGATGCTCTCCTCCCAGATGAGGGTTAGGAGCGTCGAGGGACCCACTTGAGATCAACAACATGGCTCCCAAAGTCCACGTCACCTGGATGTCCTTGATCGCATTGATGCTCTGAAACGGCGACCTCCAGTTCTTCTTCTTGATCGACTCCTCCGCCTTCTCTAGGACCTCACTCGATTGCTCCTCCGACCCCAGAGCACCCTTCTCGCCAAACCGGGGCAGTCCAAACCCGCCATGGAGCACATTCGACAGCCACGCAGACTTAAAACACTGCATCTCCAACCGCTCCTGAAGCTGGTCCTGAAACTCTGGCCGGTCCTTGATATCGTCCCACTCTGAATTACAAAACTCGGCCGATTTTCGCTCAAACTCTGCATAGTCATACGCACCTCCAAGACCCAGGATGTCATGTGAAGAGTACCAGTACTCTGATACACCAATAAACGTGTTGATGTTGAAGTCGATGGGCGGGGTATGGACTCCATTGAAGAGACAGGGCTCGTCATGACACTCCTTGTCCTTGTTCAACAAGACTTCGACCTTCTTGAGACACTCCTTGAAGGATCCCGAACCTATCAACGGTACATGAGGCAACGTGTGTGTTTCGCTCAATTGCAAGTGTTTCGGCAAACAGGGGTCCTCGATCGTGGTCTGGACACCGGGTTTTTCCTTCTCCAGTAGCTCCTTATTGGCCGCCAGCAGGTAATCCTTGACGTACCGCCGCCGGGCCTGGTTCGATCCATAGCCGAGGAAGGTGGTAACAAAGACGTTGTACTCCAGCGTATGTCCGTCCAGTGTCCGTAGATGAACTGCCATCAGATCGTTGGCGTGTTCCCGTGATGCCTCTGGTGAGGGTTCAAAGGCGATCTGTGTACTAGCGCCTCCCATGTCCAGAAAGCCCAGCGTGTGGCGATGTGAAAAATTGTCGTCCCCACTGCTGGCGCTGTCCGATTGGTTGTTGCCTCCAGTATTTTCTGATGATCCATGGGAGTCGACGGCGGGGACCGACCCTTGGTCATCCGAGTCGTGCGATTCAGAGTCGGACACCTCTGGCTTGATCATCTTGACTCCGCCATTATCAAACCCGCCCATAAGATAATTGATCGCCACCCATCCATAAATTCCCTCCTCCTCACCCGAGATGTTCTTGACATGAGTCTTGCAGTCCCCAATGTGAAAGTTGTAGTTGTCCTTGATGTAGTTGCAAGAGTTGGCGAGGATCTGTTCCCGGATGTCGTCCTGAACAAGACGCAGGCCAGCAGTGGCGAGGACGTAGATGGGTGTGCGTGCGATTTCTGATTCGGGGATGATGGTGAGGGCGTGGTCGAGGAGTGGTTCCAGGTGCTCGCCTACATCGTCGGGCCTGTCCTTGAAGTCCGCGATGCCTTTGTTTTTTTCATGCAAAAGTAAAGGGGAAGGCAGGGAGAGTAGGTTAGAAGTGGAATACCTCAACGATGTGTCCAGGTGTTATACATTCAAAGGAGGGGGTGAAAGGTGCACTTTTTGCCTTCGATGAATGATTCTTTGGGTATGTACCCCTTTGTCTCTGTCCTTTTTTCCCTCTGTCCTGATACACTGACCGACAGACTGAACTTTAACAATCGGCAGCGTTCAAATTTTTTTCACCATCTACCCCCCAACTCCACTCACTCCTCAGACCTCTCTTTCGCCCAACAACAACAACATCGCCCCTCTCTCTTTCTCAGCCCTTCTCTCGTTTGGAAGACGGGCGTCCTCCAGATGAAGAAGGTTGTTACCTGGCTCAGTCCGTACAGTCCATTCGCCAGCATGCACAGAATCCGATTCCACCCCAGGTTCAATGGTCGGCAAGACCCCCGCGATCTGACTATGCGGTGCAGTCTGTAGTATATGGTTGCGGTTGATCCAGCTGTAGATGTGTAATCTCGATCCTGAAGAGCCGGCGTCGATCACGATCCCGAACTGTCGGTTCTTTATCCATTCCTCACTGTGCGGGATTGGAAGGAATGTCGACATGATGAGAGGAGCTCCGAGAGCTTAATTGAAGCGAAGGTAAGGTGTGTGTGCAAGAGAAGATGAGCAATATGGGAAGAGAGGAGTGTGAAGTACGTAGAGAGAGTGAAGTTGCGAAGTGAAGAAGGGAGGAGCAAGAGAAGGGGGAGTCTAGAGAAGGGAGAGGGAGGAGGAGGTTGACGGGGCGGGGCAAGGGGTCATGAAGCTGCTTCTTTCTTCTTTTCTTCTTTTGTGAAGAATCGAAAAGGTAGAGGACAGAAAGAAAATAAGAAGCAAACAGAACGAGATAAAGAAAAGAAAAAGCAAGCTGAGTAGAAAAGAAAAAAAACGCTATTTTCCCGTCCATCGCTGGTGGCTATTTTATTCTATTTTCATCTTTGTGTTCAATCCAATTCAATCGCCTGTGTGTCTGGTGGGTAAAAAGGGGATCGCTTATTGCCATTGGACCCTTCCTTTACTTGTTCCATGTCAATGTATCATTTGATGCACTGCTCCATGTCTTTTATTTCTTCATGCCTACCCTTCCCTTGATGAGGTGGAATCTGATCGATTCATTACTGATAAAAACCGTTGCTTTGATCAAAAGAGGAGCCATCAAGGTCCCAGGCACAAAAAATAAAGTTTTATCAGTGGGCGGGAATACAACGAGAAAAGGGTTGCGGGACCTGCCCACGTGATGTCACTACCGTCCCCCGTTGGTTGTCATCCATCCATTGGACAACCCTTCTCTCTTCTTTCAAAGTCAAAAGTGCGCACAGCCTTGTCACTTCTCATTTCTACGCCTTTGACACCATTCCAGTACTGTACCATTCACCCTTTTTCCCACAGACATATTGCAATTTGTTTGATGAATCATTTGCATTAGACCCTGAACAAGGGACGGCACCAGGGGCTTTTTAGTTGTTTGAAAGCTACCTCTCATCAATTGCTTTCAATAAATGGCCAACTTGCTTGTTTTCGAGCGTGATCAAAAGGCAAAACAGGGTCCGAAGCAGGGTTGCTAAAATGAGGACAGGGTTTACAATTCGTTTAAATAGACCCTGCAACAGAATAAGATTGCATCATCGCCCTAGCAATAGCAGGGGTGTTTATTCAGGACGAAAAAGATGCAATCCATCCGTTGGTTCACAAACACGCATTGATTGAGAGAGAGAACCATGTGGACAGAAGGAGAAGTGACTGTTTACAACTTTGTTTCGTCCCTGGGCGTATTCACTCTTTTCGTTCTTTGTCCTTTGTCCTTTCCACTCCTCTCTACTCCACTCCATCCATTTCCACTACAGCAACAACTCCTACCAAAAAAAAATGTCTGAGATCCGTCCCGAAGAAATCAAGCAGGCCTTTGCCCTCTTCGACCCCCAAAACACTGGCAGGATCGAGCCCCAAGAATTCCAAAAGCTCCTCAACGCAAGTTCTCCTCCCATGCTTCTCTTCCTCTTTGTTCCTCTATCTTTCTCAACAAAAAAAAAGGCTGGAACTAACCTCCTCTATTCTCATTCCATCCAACAAAATAGACCCTGGGAGATGAAGAATTGAAAACATCCATCAGGATCCCAACCCACCCTTTGTCCCTCGAAGAGTTCACGACCCTTGTCTCACGCTACAACAAAGACGAATCAAAGGACCCCGAAGAGCCGTATATTCGTGTCTTCAAGTCTATCAACCGTGATGGGTCTGGACATATATCTGCTCAAGAGTTGAGAGTCGCCTTGGAGTCCTTCCTTGGACCTAATGTTCTCTCTGAGGTAATCTTAGAGACGAGTTTTCCGTGGAGGAGGATGGTTGAAGTTATGGGCAAACATGGGGAGGAAGGCGTAACAGCTGGACAAAGAGACAAAGAAATAATGAAAAAAGAGGGTGGGAAACGATGACCGAATGATGAACTCATCAAAATCGATAAACAGCATAGCGCCAAATAACTATATGCTGGGCCCCCATAATCAGGCTCTAATCAATACACTAACAACTCAACATAGGCCGACGTGAACGAGATCATACGGAGGGAGATGTCTCCGGCGATGGAAGAATCACCCTCGAGGAATTCCTTAAAATCGTCCACAAGAGCGAGCAGAAGCACCGTGGCGAACAAGTCATCTAAATCCCTTCTCTTGTTTTTCCTCTTTTGCACCATATTACATATTTACTTCACTGGCAAATAAAAGAACATCTTCAATTGCACAGAAAATAGAAAGGACAAAAAATGTATTCATTAGAAAGAAGCAAAGCTAGTCGTCGCCCTGGTGGTAAGAAACCTTACGCATCTCGCCAAGGACTCTCCTCGCCAAAGTCAACTCCTTCTCCAATTTCAAGATCTCGACCTGCTGTCCCATCTCCTTGATCTTGAACTCGTGCGCATTCATATTCTGGTAATCCACGGCGTTCTCCCTATCCTTCATTTCCCGCTCCATAATCGCCTTCACAGCCCTCACAAGCGCCCTCGACGCCTCCGTCACTGCCTTGGACGCCCGCTCCAGATTATCCTGCGCCTTGGACATAAAGTTGGCCTTGACCCTCGATGCTGCCACTAGTTGTGCTGTAGCCGCTGCAACCTCGTTCGAAGCTACCAGTAACTGCTCCATCGAATGTGTCTTTGAAATCACTCCATCCGCAGTCTCAACCAGCAGCGTCGTCGCGATAGCTACAGCCTTGGCCGCAGAGATCAGACCCTCAGTCCATCGGTTATTCTTCTTGTAGTACGCCGCATTCGTCGACGACCCACGGCCCTGTGCAACGACCTCTTGCTGCGAGATGGTCGCACACTTGATCAAATGCCCAATCGCCTGCATCATCGCCATGGCACTCTCGAGAATCGACGCATTCACCTGCAACTCAATTGCCGACAAACCATCATTCTTGGGCTTTGCCATCAACGCCTGCAAACGCGCCGTCGCTTCTTCAATCGTCCTCGCCGCATTAACCATCTCCGTCTCCACCATATCTCCCAGATCCAACCTTGAAGGATCCAACTGGTTATTCTTGGGGATCAAATGCTCTGCAGATTTCGCCAACCGCTCCATCGCAGCTTGGACGGACTCATTCGACTTTTCGATCGTCCGGATACTCCCCTCAGGCGATAGACCACCAATCCTGGAAGACGTCACGTTCGTAAAGAACTCCTGCGCCGCCACAGCGGACGACTTGGCATGACGGATAATCTCCTCCGCATCCTCGTCCTTCTTGGCCAACCTTGTGATCCCCTTGGCGTTGCCCAAAACATCAGCCAAAGTCTGGGAGAGGTTCAAGGCTGCACGGATAGCTTCGACCTGGTTGACCTCGCTCGAGGGGCGGAGGTACTGGAGTAGGGCGAGTTCGAATTCCGTGGATGCGGTGTGGGCCTTCTCGATCATCGACAGTGTGAACTCGGGTGTTGCATTCTGGTTCCCGAGCTGCGTTGGCGATTCCAGGTCGTAGATGCTCTCCTCCACCTTGCTAATGCACGTCTCCAAAATCGAGTCTGGAAGGTAAAGTTACACAAAAATATAACTGCATGTTAGTAAGCCATGGATTGACCCAAGCGCCCATTGCAAAGATAGCAGTGACTTCTCAAGCAAAATGCATGCCAACTCACCAAGGATATGCTGCATCTTGCGTTTGTGGGAACTCATCATCTGGTCAAGGCGCTCTTGCTGCACAGCGGACTTTTCGCCCTGTCCGTCGCGCAAGGTCGCCAGTTCGAGCAGAGTCTCGTCAAGACCGCTCTCAAGGACAGACTTCTCTTCCTCGTTCTCGATCTGCATACGCTCAATCTCGGCCTTCTGGTCCTCCACTTGGCGCATCAGCGAATCAATTTCGCGTTGCCGGCGCTAATGAATTAATAGACAAGGAGAACGTCCAATTAGTATGCAGGCAGTTAACGAGGTGCTGTTCTTTCAAGACAAAATAACCCCTAGAAACTTACTTTAGCAAGGTCTTCAAGGTCTTGCTTCTCCTTATTGAACTTGGCAACCATAGATCCAACCTCAGAACTCTTGGACCGCCCCAAATCCTCGACACGTCCATTCGCCGTCTCCAAATCCCGCTTCAGACGAGCAATCTCGTCATTCTGGGTGTTTTGCCATCTCAATAACTCGTTCTTGGCACGATCGCGCTCACGGACCATATCTGCCATCTGCAAGTTCTTGTCCTTGATCTCCTTTTGCATTTTCTCCATCTTGTCGACCGCTTCCTGGGCAGAGTTGGCCTTGAGCTGGACAGTCTTGAACTTGTTGAGGAGATCCAGGTGTTCTTGACGCAGTTGTGAGTATAGCTTTGCCAGTGCCTCGTACTTGGACTTCCAAACGTTGATTTGGTCTATTTATGATTTGTATGTGTGTTAGTATATTCATGATATTTGTGATGGCATTGTGCCAAGTGCATTATGGTTCGGTAATAATACCTTGGATGCTTCGGATCATCTCATCTTTGGAGGCGAGCTGTTGCTGGGCGTTCATGTTGACCAACTGCATCTCCTGCTCCAATCCCTTGACTCTCTATTACCAAAACAACATCAAAGAGTACCAGTGTAAGTAACACAATTCATTCTTCAAACATTGTATGAGGTAAGTCAATAAGTAAAAGCAAAACGGTGAATGTACCCGGTCATATTGATCAATGAGCATTTGGTCACGCTCGTACTGTCCACGAAGAGCCAGGACATCCCTCTCCAACTCCGCCAAACGCCCCTCCGCATGCCGCTGCATCTGCTCCCTCGCCAACTGCTCACGCTGTAACCGCTCCCGCTCCGTCTGGAGCCTCTTCTGCTCATCAAACTCCTGCTGCAACTTCAACGCCTCCATCTGCTGCTGTTGTTGCTCGAGCTCCCGTTGCTGCTGCAACCTCTGTTGCTCCAAATCGTATTCGCGCTGCTTTCTTGCAATATCTCGCTGCTGCTCTGCCCAATCGGGACCGGGCGACTGTGGAGGTGTCTCCCGGACAGGCTGCTGCTGGCGAGGGGTGGCTGGTTGACGGGTGGGGAGCATAGGAGGAGAGTCGCCTCCGATGAGACTGGGTGGGTCTTGGGGCAGCTTGGGTACGCTGATCAGGCTGGTCAGGTACTTTAGGTTCGAACACTCATAGTAGAACTTGATTAATGCATAGTGTTGAGCGTTGTACCGTTGTCTCAGCAACACCAGTCCCTCTGGATCATTCGTGCCTGTTGATAGTATTGGCCATTGAGAGGGTGTTTGAAAACGGTTAGTAAAGTGCAACAAGTATGCAAGTATGCCAGCCAGAAAGAGAAAATAGCCCTTTGTGTTTACAATGGAAGAAAGTGAGACGTACGTCTGTGCATGGCACGCAGCATGCTGGTTGCAAACTGGTAGATGGCATAGGATTCCTGGACTAAGGGAACCAATGCTGCGATTCGACACTCGTTGTCCGACGAAGGACGAAAGTTGGCAAAGACAAGCTTCTGGAACTGGTCAATCTGGTCCTGCAAATTCATCAGGTCGCTAATTGTCTCGTATCTATGTGGAAGCAGGAAAGGAAATAGGTTTGTGAGATTTGAGCCCAGAGCCTTCTGTCGTCCACAGTTGTGAAAAGGTGATAAGACGTACCCTTCGTTGGGATCGTCGATGCCTTTGAGCGAGATGTACTCGTTGTAGTCAAAGGTTCCGTTGAACTCGGGATGGTTGCTGTGGTACCGAAGCTTAGAGTGCAAAAAGTCGACATACGCCCGAATCAACGTTGCATAGCCTAGAAGTAAACAAACGAAGCAAAACGAGCATGACGTTAGGTCATTTCCAAATGAGTGCATAAAATGAATGAGTCGAAGCAAATAAATCAGTGACAAGAAAAAAGGACTTGCCTCGACTGTCGAATTGTTGAGTTGAGCGAGCGCATTGATCCAGCCAGCCAGTCTCCTTCTGCGCATCCTTCAACGCCTACAGAAGAAAGAAAAAGGAAAAGAAAGGTAAGCAATACGTACCCTGGTTCATAAGCAATGACGCTGTTGCTTTTCTACTATCGATTTTCCCATTTAAAGAGAGATGATTCGCTTACTGAGGGGTGTCCCTCTCGGATGATCTTGTGGACAGAGATCAAGGCCTTGAAGGTCTGCACTTCATCGCCCAGCATGGGCTGTGACCGGAATCCTTGCCACAGCGCTGTCGACGAGCGGTAGTCCCATGTGTACACAATGCATGCTATCATAAACAAGTCAATACGATATGTGAGTTTTTTGTTCATTCTACCTTTGACAACAGAAACAACACAAAAGCCCTCTCTCCTTCCTTCGTCCGGATGCTATCCATTTCCACAGCCCACGAAATGATTTGCGTTTCCAAAACGACACAATTGCAATCCCGTTCGCCTCTTCGTTTGCTCCTGAAGAATGTCGACACAACAAGACTACAACAGAAAAGTGCCAAGCATCAAACACATCCTCCCTCTTTAGATACCTCGAACGTGTTTCTGTTTGGGAGCAGTCTCGTCAGGGCTTGTGGCCTTCTTGATATGCTGCTGCAGATCAGCATCGGCCCTATCCCTGTTCAATGGGCGCGTCATTGTCATGGCTCACAATATTTTCTTCTTGGCTATTTGTTGTTGAATAACAGTCTTCTATGCGACAGAGAAAGCTGTGAGCAAAAGGGCAAGTGTGAGTGCAAGCGAAAGTATGTCTTCCTGAAGGTCAAAGTCAACGGAATGAGCGTGTTTGCATTCCAGAAAAGCAAGCGCAGATGAATGGCAAGCGTGTGTCTTTTTATTACCAGCGGCTGAATGGTTGAAATGAGTTGACCAGTGGGAGGGAAGGAGTTGAACGGTGTATTGCCAAGAAGGAAAATGGGAGAGAAGCAAAGGAAGGATAATGAAAATTGAAAAGGAAAGGAAAGTGAAAAGCAAGGAGTAGGCAAAGAGGGAAAGGAAAGAGGGAGGAAAGAGGATGAACGGTGTATGTTTTGTAGCAGTGATACGGGATCATGCCAGAGTACGGTCGGCTTTTTGTCTGTTTCGCAACGCTTTGATCGCACGGATGGGGGTGTGACATCTTTGTTCAAGAGAAGAACTGAGGATTCGAGCACTACAGTGGCTTTAATACAATGACGTCTGTTCCAGTCCACCCTAATAGTCTCGTCTGTCTAACACTTTGCTTTTGACGATCCAATGGGGCCAAAGGCACGGTGCCCATCGTGTCTTGTACACCATACACTGGCGACGTACCTAAACGACCGTGGCCTCCCTGGACTCATTTGCTCACAGTTGCCGATTCCTTTCCTCGTTCAACTCAATTTGTGACTGCGATAACTCTCAATTTTCAAACCACGAAGTAGTTAAGCAACCTCCCATGGACATAAACTCTCTGTTCAATCCAACTTTCATCAATCGAACCCTGCTCCGATGAGAAGCAGTCCAGCCGGGAGTATAAAATAAGCGTTCAACTGTGAACTAAATTGCTCTTCACCCGCTCTAGCTTTTTGGCTAAGATCAAGTGTAGTATCTGTTCTTATTATTCTAATCGAATAATATGGTGGCTACGGCCACCAATCGATTAATTTCATTTTTGAACCACGCTGGTCAAGCTCTGGCTTGCTACCTTGACCGGCACTGGTGTCCTCGGTATTGCACTACCTCCGAGTTGTACGCCGAACTCTTATTATCTTCTCTATCAAAATTAAAAACTTGCTACTATGTGGACATTTGCTTTGGGTCCATAAAAAATATGAATGCGCAAGGTGGCCCAAAAAAGACATACAGTGACGCTGGCGCAGTCTTTACAGTAACCTTTTGTTTATTTTGTATCTACCTTGTCGTAAACAATCATTCCTCTTTCTTCCTTCCCTCCCTCATTCACGTTCACATCCACGCGTCACTCCTTCCTTCTTTTCTTTCTCAAACTTACATCACCTTCCCTTGCACTCTTGAATCAACAATGACAGGAATACTCAACCTGCCAGAAGAGATCCGCCCATTCATCGGCAAGTTCCTCGACACAAAGGCCATCCAAGCCTGCCTTCTCGTCAGCCGCTCCTTCCACCAGTCCTTTGAACCCATCCTCTGGCAAAAAGTCGTTATCCGACCCACCAAACCCGACCCTGGCTATATCAGCGCTCTCAGAACCCGAACCTGGGACGTCCACAACTATGTCATCCACGACACTGTCGCCTCGGAGTTCTACCAGTTGTCCTTCCCGCATTTGAGACGTCTGCAGTTGTCCGACAAGGGGCATGAGGTTTCGAATAGAGCAGACAAGAATGAAGATAGTCATCCTCTTCCATTGATTTATGTACAACAGGCTAACAACCAGACGCAGCTCGTCCGGCTCAACCCGACTACTCAGACCCTTGTCGTTACTAACCTGCCAGCGACGCCCGATGCCGAGTTCTGGGAGACTATCTATTCCGCTTGGGTTAGCCCTCAGATCCTTCATGCCACAGGACCCGTCGCTTCGACTGAAGAAGCCGCCATCGCCTTCTGGAGAGCCTGTACGCGATTCTCCGAGCTCAGTCTGCTCAGCCTCACCGTCGAACCCTCGCTCATCTTCTCAACCCTCACCTTCCCTCGTGTCCGCCGTCTCAACATCCAAACAACATCCGGAATCCACACCCGCTGGGACAAACCCCAAGACCACCTGGCCCTCATGAAGGCCTGTCCACAGCTGAAGCACCTCACCTGGGACGCCATAATGCTTTCGTCGACCTCGCTACCATCCCCATCGGCTCTACTTTCGGAATTCCGACAGGCGATCGAACTGAACCATTGGCCCTACCTTGACAGTCTAGAATTCTGTTGGCTGTACAACAAACTCGGCAAGGAATTGGCACTATTACTCGACGCCTTCCCAAACCCCCTGATGGCTCTTCGACTCAGGACATGTGCTTTCAACAGTCATGTATTGGCGGTGCTGAAAGATAAAAAGTTCGAGTCGCTCAGGATACTAAAGATCTATGCCAATTGTGGCATTACCAGCAAGGCAACCCTCGACATCCTAACAAGCTGCCCCAACATCGAGGTCTTCCGGTCGACACATATCTATGCAGGCGATGTTAATCCTTCAAAACCCTGGGTTTGTAAACGCCTCCGCAGTCTCACCGTCTGCTTCATCCATCGCGAATCTACCTCGAGCCGTGCAGCATTGGACCAACAAGTGTACACACAACTTGCAAACCTGACCAACCTGACCCGACTTGATCTTGGACAGTACTCGATGGGTTATACGACTTCTGACCCAGAGTTTCACCTCAGGGACGCAATGAACACGCTGGACCTTCGACTCAAGGCAGGACTGGGACAGCTCTCGACATTGACCAAGTTACGGTTCTTTGGATACGCCTATTCGTTCCAAGTTACGGGACAGGTGGAGCTTTCGTGGATGATGGAGCATTGGAGAGAGTTGAGGACCTTGATTGGGCAGCTGGATGGGATTGAGCGGTCGGCTCTTAGGGCTATGGAGGCGCGTGGAGTCGAGTACCGGCTGTCTGCGCGTGAATGTTGAAGGCAATGAGAATGAAAAACTAATAAAAACATCGATTCATTTCCTCCGCCCCTTTTCTCCCAGGTGTTTGTTACAGAGACGGTGTCCATAAGTCGACGAGTTTTGGATTTATTTACACTCATATTTCACGACAGATCCATGTCCGGAGATGCTAAAACTTTTGATGTGAGATACCTTTCTCGGCAAAGAATCGACCCACTCTGGCGTCTTCATCTTCAACACCCGGAACTCGCCACAGAGACTCCTCAGGCTCGTCCAGTGCTCAGTCATCCGCACCGCTTCCTTATTGTGGCCGTGATCAACTGTACAAGTGCCACAAGTGGCGAGCCCGTCACTACGCGAATCCGTTGATTGCTGATCGTCTTCTAGGAATCGTTGGTGGAAGCTTCGGACGTCCTCGAGATTCTTCGACCCCTGTATTGATTGGAGTAGGCCTGGCCAAGGTCTCGACTCTCGTCCCTGGGTTAAAACTTCTTGTTTTATTTCATCAAACTGGTAAGCATTGTGTTATGGCCATTGTCAATATGGACACTTTTAACACGTGTTGGTGAGGATGAAGGTTGACGCGACAGTAGGTTGTGTTTGGCTGTGAGAGTGTATGACATGGTTGGGAAGGGAAGAAGAAAAAATAAAAAAAAGTCAGAAGTACCTAAAAGTAACCTTTTGCGGCGGCTTAACGGTCAGGTTGTCGTCCCTCCTGGGGTCATCAAAGGCGGTGCCCATCTTCAGCTTTAGAAGGCGTGGGAAGACAATGCTGTTGTACTCTTCCGTCAGGGCAGAGTGGACAACGACAGATTCGGTATGTGGGCGTTTGCACGGACATGGGCTGGTGGTATGGCCGACTTGAGTTTGAGGGTCGAGAGGGTTATGTGTGACCAGTAGTGGGGGGATGAAGGAGGAGCACAAGGAATGGCAGGTGCGGATGCAGGAGTGGAAGGACCAGATTGTCAGGTGTTTGCGATGAGGATGTGAATCTCGTCCGGGAGATCCACCATCCTTGTCATTGCGAAGAGGAGAGGAAGCATTTGTGAACGAGAGACAAGAGGAGCGTGAAGTGAGAAAGAAATAACTCTCATATTTATGAACTTTCACAAAAGAAGCCCACCACTGGTGCTGATGCCATTCTCGGCACCCATGAGGAACGAGTGCTGTGAGAAGACCGCGCCAGGTTTTCAGCTGCGGCAGTTGGTGAGGCATGATTGCTCTTTCGTGGTGTGAGTGACTGTCCTTATCGCTCTCTTTCACTCGACCCATTGTGGGTTGTTGTCCCGCCCTTTTGTTACTCCTCCCCCTTTTCTCCCTTCACTCCCCAACTCATCTCACATCCCTCCATGACAATGATTCTCGACCTCCCAGAAGAAATTCACCTGCTCATCGTAGAGCACCTCAACGCAAGATCCATCTACGCCTGCATTCGCACCTGTCGCTCCTTCTACCGCTCCTTCGTCCCTCGCCTCTGGTCTGACCTGAGCGTCAAGCAATACAAGCGTGAACCAATAAACGCAGACCTTGTCCGAGCCAACACCCACCTCGTCGAGGCCATCAGCTACTCCTCAACCCTCACGGACGACTACTACACCATCGTCTATCCTCGCCTGCACACCCTACGATTCGACACAGTTTACGCGGAAGGGAATGTGCCCACCAACCTACAAGTTACGCCGCTTCAGAAGGTCGAGTTTGCTCGCCATCATCCATCTATCAGGAAATTGATCTACCATCACAAGGACACTCTACCAAGGGAGTTCTGGGAGGTTGTTGAGACAGAATGGACAGAGCTAGAGTCTTTGGAGATGTCTGGTAATGTCGAGGCCGATGCTGTGGACCCCTTTTGGAGGGCATGTGATCGAGCCAAGACCCTTTACTTTTCCCATCTGTACCTCCCCGAGAGCGTTCCTATCCTGTCGACACTATCTTTTCAGCGTCTCCAGGACTTGAGGATCAAGAAGTATCCTTGGCAGAAATGGACTCCTCACAGGATGTGGCCCATGCAACTGCTGGAGCAGGTCAGGAGTTCAGAGAGACTCCAGCGTTTGGCGTGGGATGTCAATGACGTTGCCTTTCCTGCCCGGATGATCATGGACGCATTTGCAGAGGATTGTTGGCCGGACTTACAACAGCTCATCATAGGCGACACGACTTGTTCTGATCAGGACTTGGCAGGAGTCCTTGGAGCAGTGACGTCCCGGAGGTTAACTGTCTTTGAGTATGCGAACGGCAAGCTCGGACCGTTGACATACAAGTGCTTACAGGAGCGGTACTTTAGGCACTTAAAAGATTTGAACCTTGGGAAGTGTACTGGCGTGACAAGCGCGATGGCTCAGGAGATCCTCATGGAGTGCACACAACTTGTCGACTTTGATGCCCCCCACATCTTTGTCCGAGATATCGTCAAGGCGTCGAAACCATGGGGCTGTTCAAAGATCCAGACTCTGGTGATATACATCGCCAAGCAACCGGATGACGAGGCAGGATGGGATGGCCTCGTCTTTGAGCAGATTTCAAAGTTGCGCTGGCTACAGAGTCTGGACTTGCAACGGGATCCCCATTGCTCGTACTTTGAGGAAGAGTCCCGACCGGAAGAAATCACGGATCTGGCGACACTGGACTTTCGACTCGACGCTCGATCGAAAACAGTCGCCGACGACCACAGCGGAGGAAATGAAAGAGGTGGTGTCGCCGATATTAGGTGCTGGTCAAGTTTGGTGCAATTGAAGGAGTTATCGTTTGATGGCGACCGACAGGCACTAGGGATGGACGAGCTTGTGTGGATGACGGAGCATTGGAGAGACCTGTGGTGTATATGTGGGGGGTTCAAGGGGATTGTGAGCCCTGAAGACTGCATCAGACGGGATCATCTTTGCCTCCAGTCGGGCCTGTGGATCTTTGACTAGAAATTCTTGTGTGTAAATAAATTTGATTTTTGCGACGACTTCAGATATTGAGACTGAACAGGTACAAGTTCGCACAGTGACCGACAACGAATCCTTGTCCAAGGCCCTTCGAGATTCGGAGGTGTTGGATTTGTACCTGCGAGACACTTCCTGGTCCAGCTCCGCCGGCTCAATAGACACTTGCACCGGTAATTGCGATCCCAAGTGTTGGATAAGCCTTGTGTAGCTGATAGAGTTGATGTTTGACGAAGATCAACAGACATTGGATGGAGGAGGCATTGTGGGTAGTTGACTGTATGTCTTTTAGGCATTGAATGGCGCATGTTTCGGAACACCCCCTCTCGAGTGCCCCGAGGGAAGGATGAAATAAAGCCAGCTGTTTTTTACTGCACCCCCCTTGCTTCTCCCTTTCCTTTGTTTTAACTGTTCTCCTTCACCCAACTGATTCATAGTGTCCTTTCTTCCTCCATGACGACGATTCTTGACCTCCCGGACGAGATCCATTTGCTGATTGGAAAACACCTCAACGACAAAGTCCTCTTCTCTCCCTCATCCGGACCTGTCTCCCCTTCTACTCTGCCTACTTGCTTTGCTTCTGGTCCTACCTCTATCTCGAGTCCAACCGACGCAGAACCACTGACGCCAGCCTTGTCCGAGCCAACGCCCACCTCGCCGAAATTATCGCTTACACCCCCGAGCCTGACGGGGCGACTACACCATCGTCTTCCCTCATTTACACACCTTGCAAATGGACTTTTTGTCTAGATACCAAAAGGATCCGTAGTACCCCCCAAATCCCACTTGCCTTGAAGATCCAATTTCGTCAGCACCATTCGTTCGTCAGTAGGTTCAACTACCAGCACAGAGAGGTTCTACCAAGAGAGTTCTAGGAGACTGTCGAGACAGAGTGGACCACGGTTGGAGGATGTGGCACTTTTCGAGACTTATTGAGCAAGATGCCGCCGATGTCTTCTGGACGGTCTACGATCCGGTCATAAACCTTCGTTTGGACGATTTTATCCCTCCAGAGAGCGTTCCTATCCCGTCAACCCTTTCTTTCCTGCAACTTCAGGAATTGAGTGTCACAACGTCCAGCTGGGGAGTAAATTCTCTCTCCGACGATGGCCCTTGTAGTTGCTGGAGCAGTTGAGAGGTCGTAAGGCCTGGGGTACCTGATGTGAAGTGCGTCTGATGTACCGTCTCCTATTCTGATGTTCCAGGATATGTATCGAAAAGGATTACTGGCCAGCATTGTGCGGACTCACCATTGACGGCCGTAGATCCGCCGACCATGATTTGGTCAAGATGCTCGGGTTGCTTCCTTCACGCCAGCTGACGTCCTTTACCTGGGTGCGTGGTGCCATATCCCCATCCTTGACGTACTGCTGTTTGCAGGAAAAGTATTTTGGGGCACCTGCTGAGAGCTGAAGTTTGCGGATTACAAGGGCGTCACGAGCGACATGGCCCAGGAGCTTTTGCTGGAACGTGTTCACCTTCTTATTCTCAATGTCCCATGTGTCTTTGTCCGGGATGTTGTCACTCCGCCGAGGCCCTTGAATGTTTGAACCTGGAGTGGTTTTTTTTTTCGTCTTTTTTTTTTTTTTTCTATCGCCGATATCTTTCTGGTCCCTCTCCTCTGCTCGCTTCATACTTTCTGTTCTCATTTACTTTTACTTGCATGCGTTTCTTTGGTTGTCTCGTTGTTCATTAGGTTACTCATTTTATTCTTAAGGATGAGTGATTACATTAGTAGAATTAGGTGTATCATGAAGGTGGTAGGGGAAAGTAGAAAAGAATATTAGGAGAATATTAGGAGAATATGTAAAGAGGATTACAATGGTACATTAAGGTAAGTAAGGAGTGAATGAAGAATGATAAAAAAAAAATATACATGCAAAGTAAAAGAAAGACAAGGGTCTTCTCTCTCTCTCTCTCTACTTTTGCTTGGACCGATCCATGAGTTTGAACGCAAAAAACGCCAATACATGCCAGCCTAAAAGAATAAACGCCATCGCTTGAAAACACCACCAGAACTCGCCCAATTCATATGTATGCGACAAAGGCTCCTTCTGGATCTCTTCCCATGGCCGGGCTTGCACCTCGCGGAGGTAGATTGCTTCGATCGCGTATCGAGGGGCGGAAATGACCCAGAGCCAGCGGGTGGCCGCGTAGCCGCCGGAGGCATCGGAGGACATGACGTCGGCCAGATCGGGGGCGTCGCCCGAGAAGACGATTGCCCAGGCGAGTGTGAACCCTGTGCCGACAAGGGCGACGCGGTTCTGGGGGACCAGGGCTGAGAGGAGGTAGCCCATTGCGAAGGCGACGGCGTAGAGGCAGACGATGATGAAGAGGAGGTAGAAGTAATTGGACCGTTCGTTGAAGAAGATGACTAGTGAGATGGAGAACATAATTCCTGCCAGGACGATTCGAGGGATGTCGGCGATGACTTTGGCGAGGTAGTAGGGGAGGGTGAGGAGGCCGGAGGATTTCTCGCGCCAGTAAACGATTTTCTCGTTGCCGAAAGTTGTGGTACCGACGGAGATTCCTGCGAAGCAGACGCCGAGGGCGATGAAGACGCCGACTTCTGTGAGGTGGTCAGTTGGGTGGATACAGGCAGGCTGGAGCTGGAAGGGCGTCATCGCACAGACCAGATCGGGCTGACGACCGAGGTAATCGAACCTTGACGCGGCGACTGAAATGAAAAGCCCACAGCCCAAGTGCAGTAACTGGTCGTACAAGAACTGCCGTTGGTTTCTGTAGATCTGTAAACGAGCCCGGTTGAGACAGAGCCAGAACATGACGAAGGGGTTGGCGGTGTTGCGGACGGGATTGTTTCGACGGAGGAAGAGACCCTCGATGGTTTCAAGGGTTTCTGCAAAGACACCCTTCCACCACATGCGGGTCTCAATCAAGAAGATCCGGATCGATTTCTGGACGGTTTCGACAAAGTTCAGCTTCTCGGGTGGAGGCGGCTCAGAGTACATGGAGGTAAAGTCGCTGAGGGACACGGAGGGCCGAGGGGAGGAAGGGTTGGAGCGTTGGTGGAGGGAGTCCTGGGGGGAGAGGCTGACGGATTTTTGGCGGCTGTGGCGTTTGTGATGAGCTTGTGATGGAGGGTGGAGGGTGGCTGAGGATGCAGAGGATTGGAGGGCATGTGAAGATGCGTTGTTGGAAAGAGTAGTCATGGCGAGGGCTTCGGGGAGACCATGGTTACCAGCCTGCTGGATCGAGATGGCCGACTGGTTCAGGTTAGAGTACGAAACTAGTGCCGAGACTCTTGGGTTCAGGTGAGGCGAACTTGTCAAGGACGAGGCAAGGTGGGCACCTGACGGGTGGCGGTACTCGACTCCGTTCCTGGCATCGGCATAGTACGTCTGGGCACGCTTGCAATACGACTCCCAGTACCGCGACAGGTAGAAGGGCTTGAATTTTTTCGTGATCTTGGACTTGACGTTGTTGGAGATGACATCCATGTAAAAATCAGAGGGACTCGAATCGACCGGGATCGGGAACCCAATGGCTGCAAAGTAGGCTGGGGCCTCTGTCCGGGGGCCGTGGAAAACCACTCGCCCGTTCTGACCGAGCAGAAGCAAGTCATCAAACTGGTTGAAGGCAATAGGACTAGGCGAATGAATAACTGCCGCGACAGTGAGCCCCTTCCTCCTTGCAACAGACTTCAACAACTTACAAACATCCCCACTCGTACTGGAATCCAATCCAGACGTTGGCTCATCCAAAAACAAGATACTCGGCTCCGTCACCAACTCCATTCCAATATTCACCCTCTTCCTCTGTCCGCCCGAGATCCCCCTCTGCTCTGCATCACCCACCACACTATCCATCGTCGAGTTGAGCCCCAAGAAATCCACAATCTCCAAAACCTTTTCCGTCTTTTGGGAATGGGTCAAGTCGGAGGGGAGACGCATGTATGCAGAATGGAGGAGGACGTCGTGGACAGTCAGTTCGCGCATCATGACATCTTCTTGGGGGACGAAACCGATGAGCTTGCGGTAGTAGGAGAGATCTTGCTCGAGTCCGTTGACGCGGATTTTGCCTTCGTCTTTGGGGACTTTGGAGGTTAGCATTGAGATAAGGGTTGTTTTTCCGGATCCTGAGGGGCCCATGATTGCGCATGTCCTTCCACTGCGGAGAACTCCTGATACGTTCTATTGGCATGGAGGGTAAGTATTTTTGTTAGTTAATTGTTGAAGAAAAAAAAAGTAGAACACTCTGTATGCATGCAACATGATGAAATGCAAAACAAAACAAAACAAAAAAGATGTTGTACCTGAAGAATGGGTGTGCCATTGGGAAGGGTCAAGCTCAAGCGTTCAAACTCAATATCGAACATCAGCTCGACCCGCCCAGAGTTCTCAACCTTCATATTCCTCACAGAAGTCCCCACACTCATCCAATCCTCCTCCACCTCAACGTCCTCCTCTGGCGAGATCTGAACCACAGCCTCCTTACTCGTCAACTCAATTGTCGACTGGTTATTAGGATCCGTAACATGGATACCCGGCTGATTATCATTACCTCTAACCTGCTCCACCCTTGAATCATCTTCATCCTCAGGCAAGAGAAGGCTATCATGTTTGGCGTGGTGGTTATGGATCCATCGGAGCCGTTTCTCGAGATGGTGTGCCCGGACGGCCTCGATGCGGTTGTGGATCCAGAAGGCAATACACACCCCGATGATGAGGAGGAGGGCAAAGAGGATGAGGCCGAATTTAGAGGCGGAGGTGCTACCAGGGGGACATGAGGCCAACCAAAGGCAAGATGTCTATTGTCAAAAGCAGAAAGGTACGTGCGTTAGGTGTACGTCCGAGGAAGGCCAAACTGAATGTGAAAAAAGGAAGGCTTATCAGGTAACACACTTACTCCTCCACCGACAGAACCGGCGGGACAGTATTGGTTCTGAGGACAGATGGTGATGGACCTTGTGTCTTCTGAGCAGTAGTAGCCCGGACAGCAGTACATTGGCTGCGCTGTGTTTGATGGACAATAAAAGCCCTATGAGCGGTATGAATGAGGATGTGCTTGTGGTTAGCAATGAGAAATGAAAACGTATGGGAGGCAGAGGGGTTTGGTTGTGATAGGTTCTTACGGGCGGACACTTCGCAGAGTGCTTGGGCGACAGACAAAACGATCTAAGTGGATGGATGAAAGACGTAGTCGAAATGGATAATGAGTAAAAAAGGATTCGTGGAAGGGAAATGGTAGGGAAGGCTGGCAGATGGGTATGTATGTGTGCATGTAAATGCTTACCCTGCGGGGCAACCCCAGGTGGGTGTGGATGAGTTTCCTACTGAAGCAAGAGGCGTTTGGACATATTGGCAGGATGGTCCACTTCCAGCCTAAGAAAAACAGGAAGTGAGGAGAGTGGAATATCAACCCATCCATTGTTAGAGGTGAATGAGTTTCGATAGTATAAAAACAAACAGTAAGGGATATTGAGTGAGGATATGAAAGAGAGGGATGGAGAACGTACAACGATGCCGGGGGCATTGACCAGCTTCAGTAGGCCATAGTACTCGACAGGGTCCATTGAGGGTGTATGTCGCTAGGCCTGATCGGAAGAAGGTAGAATTTGTATGTGTCTGTGTCCCTGTGTGCTGCTTTGTTGTTGCGGAATTAGGTTGAGAAATGTGTGTGACGATACAAGGGTGAAGGAGAGGGAAGTCTGAGCGTGGTAAAATAAATTAAGGGAGATGGGAGGAAGTAAATGCGAAGAGTAATGAATGCGATGGAATGAGTGAAAAGGTGAGAATGAATGACAGGGTATATGGGTACGCTTGTATGAGTGCTGTGTTTCTTGAACCAACAAGGAGAGGGGCGATCGTCTCCTTTTTATATCCTTCCCCTGCTCCCCTCCCTTGAGGATGGCACCCGCATTTCGATTCAATTGATGAATGGTCGCTGCTTTCAGTTATGACTTGGCCGTTATTCTTTTTCTTGTGCTCACACATTTACACACTCACACAAGGTACAAACGGCGGCTCAGCATTCTTTGTATTCAATTCTGGGCAACCTTACTTACTTACGTATCCTACTACTCATCGCTCCGGAGTTTGTGTGTGTTTCGCTTCGCCTCGCATCGCACACATATCCGCATATACACAATCCTCTAGAGGAAAAAACCTATCCGTTCCTCTTACTAACAACTGCATTCGCCGGTTTTAGTAACCCAGCGCACATACGCAACAGAGGAAACCGGCAATTATTTTCCCCTCAGCAGTCGGTCAGTCGCCAGCCATCCCTCTTCTACCCCCTGTATGTTCAACCCCGACATCTCTCTTCCCTCTCTTTGCTTTTTCCCTCTCCGTATCTCTCTGAATGCCCCGATATGGGTTACCCTTGAACCTCCAAACACGAGCATACTCAACCTTGTCTGTTCTTTTCTGCTTGCTCTCTTCCTTGTAGGATGATGGTGTGATCAAGACCAGAACCCCTTTGCGTGAACGTAGCGTCATTGTTGTCAAGCAAAGGTTTCTCTCTGTGATTGACTGAGTGGACGAAAGTTGTATTGTAGTTGTTCCGGCAAAGTGAACAATTGGCTGATAAGTTGGGGCACATATAATAGTCAAGTGCAAAAACAGTGCTTTGCCATGCTAATGTGTTGCCAAGACGTCCATTGCCAACAACATGCATGCTCTACTGCTTTGTTTGTTTGTTTTTTCTTATTGCCTGCCATTAGTTGCCAGCATATGTGTATCCCATCAAAACGGGTCATCATTGAAAAGAAAAATGTTTATTTTTGGTTTGAGTTTTCTCACAGTCAGATAAAGTTGCCAGGGGATTGAATGGCTATCGACAGACATAATTTATTTATTTTTTGCTCATTCAAATTAAACGAGGGTTGATTGATTCAAGGTGCACACGTTTTTGACGCTCAGATACATTCATTCACTTCTTTCACATGCGAATGAGTTCATCCTTCGTCGGAGCCATGTGTATAGCAGAAAAAACAAGGTCTCCTTCTTCTTTCTCAGCAACCACTTGTCGTTGTCGTCGTTTTTGATCAGGGACACACACATGTTACACACCTACTCGTACTGTACTCGACGTTGAAGTATGACCGTACACCCTTCCCTTGAGGGGACCCTGCACCAGAAACGGAAGACCGATTCCCTGGACTATCACCAGCTATCGTAGCACTAATAAACGACAAACGCACGGGCATACTCTACATCACAGGGATCTGATCATAACATCGACTATAATAACACGCCGGCATGCATATGCCAGCAGCCTTAGCCGCTATCTTCTTTGCAAGGAATGGTACTGCTTGGCATTCTCAACATATCTCGATCCTCAATTGCTTGATTGCTTCATTGCTTGACATGAGACTTTTTTGCCACGTTGCCAACTTAGGACACAGCTCCTGTATTGGTCACGGCAAGGCAGAGGGGACACAAACAACAAGTGCGTCATTGTTTACACTACCTCCACTGTTGGCCTTTCTCGACTCGCTTCCCACGCAATACCTTGAGGACGCGAAAATATCTGAGTGGATTTTCAACTTAACTAAGAGTTGCCAAGAATGCGACTCCTGAACCCGTGGTTGTTATCAGGCGCAGGGGTCACGATCTTAGGGACTAAAGGTTGAAGAGGAGAGGAGTAGGAACTTGTGTTTCTCTGCTTTCTCTCTGTGTCTATCTGTCTATCTGGAGCTGTGCAAGGGGTATGCCATCGTTGGTATCGATGGTGCTCTTGATGAATCTCGAAAATGCAATGTTCACTTCAGAGTGTGTATTGGGGATCAATATCGAGAATATCTTCTTATCTCTGCTTTCCCTGTTCCTGAGTACGAAAGTATGGACTGGTTAAGAATACTCATTTGCTGTTTAGCTATTGTCAGGAAGGAGAAAAGGCATTTCGTAGCCAGTCAGAAACAAAGGAGAGGAGAGACTAGGTCTAAAATGCTTTTATGGGAGCCAGACACCCAACAATTGCAACAAGTAAGCGGTTGACTGAACATCTCCGCATCGACGCAAAGAAATAAAAAAAAAGCGCCAGGAATCTCCCTGGCTCCCTCCTCACTGACCGAACCGAGCCGCAAAAGTGAGGCGAAGAGAAGGGGCTGGTTGAGCTTTTTGAAGATCCCTCTCTCTTTTTCACTTTGGGTGAGCAAACAGAAACGTTGATTGCGTATCTGTTAGTTGTTCGGTTGGAATAACGGCCAAGAGCACCATAGGAACCGAAGACGCGTCTATTGTTCTGCCAACCGAAAGGTTGAGGAAGAAAATTATTGGTCGTTGCCTCTCCATGCATTGATGCATGCCCCCTAAAAGAACCGTCTCTCTCTCTCTCTCTCTTTTTTGCTTGTTGACACACAAAGGGTGTGAAAACGCTACTTCCTACACACACTCCTCCATACATTCACGGACACTGCATGGCACAAGAGGACAACACACCACGCCTGATCTCGAATGTCGCCGTGCACAACTTTTACTCTCGGCTGCAGACTCGCAAATCTCACTCATCAACAACTGAATCCTATGATTCCAAGCCTGGCACGACATCAGCAGTAGACCTTCCCTTGCCAGGGGCACTCGACTCGCGTACAACTACGATCGATAATGAAAAGCTGGATCAAGAAGGTTCACTTTCATTGAACAATACCGCTACAGAGCCTCAGGCTGCTATCCCTGTCAGTGACCATCAGGCTCCTCGCGAGACAACAGCAGTAGCCCAACGGGATCTATCCACCAACAGCAACATCAACAAGAAGTCCCCGCAACCAGCACGCTGTACAAAGACCAAGAACAAGGCCAAGACTAAGGCGATCCCCCGCAAGGAGTTCGGGGCGATCAAGAAGAAGCTACGCAAACGGGAGCTTCGACGCCAGAACGCGGTCGAGATCTGCAGGATACGCGCCCTTGAGGCTGCACAGAAACCAATGTAAGTCAGTCCACACTGTTTGTGTTTGTGGCGCAGGGGAAGTAATTGATGTGGAGCAAAAGGCACAAAGCGACACGAAGGGGACACCAAAACGTCACACACAACGGTGAGAAGGGGTTGGAAAAGAAGAGATGGCCCTTTTTTTGTGGTGGTTCACTCTCAATGTTACTCTTGCTCCTTCACAGAACACTTAAAATATTCTTTTCTTCCATTCCTCATTCATTCAACAAAGACGACGATCACGATGGGACTAGGAACGCCAGACTCACTGGCCCTGGAATACGCATCAGCAATGACCTTGACTACCACCACGACGGAATCACCAACCCACCTTAGCTCGTCACTCTGGAAAGTCTTCTCTATCCCCGAGCTGATAGAACCCATCGCCAAATACCTCAACACCAGCCAACTCCTCAAACTCGGACTAGTCAGCAAGACTTTCTCTCATATCTTCCAATACCAGCTTTCGCTCACGCTCTTTGCAGGCGCCTTCCACGATCAACCCTATGGTCCGCTAGGTATCAATCCCATCCTACCGGACGCCTTCCGTAGACTGGCTCCCCGCGTCGGGGCACTGACTCTAGACTTGCTCTGCTTTCGAGACAAGCCGCAGAACGCTATGCTTAAGACCGTCTATGAGTACAGCGCCGTGCCTCTGCGTCGGCTTCGCATCACATACTGGGGCGAGGAGTTGGGTGTCCTAGAGGAGTTGCTTACACGGCTGCCGAACCTGACAGACTTTTCCGTCACATTCAAGTCGAGCTCCAACGCCACCGCAGTCGCTATGATGCTTACCAGAGTCGGGAAAACTCGCCAAGCCGTAGCAGCAGTAGGAAATGGGAATGCTCATGGATCATCTCTACAGCAAGGTGGCGGCGGTGGTCTACAGTCGCTGGTTATTGAGCTTGATATTCCAGAGGTGAAGGCTATAAATATGGCCGACCTGAGTGAGCTCGTTGAAGTCTGGCCGGCCCTCACATCCCTGAAACTCGCTTGTATCTCCCTCAAGGTCAACGATCCTGCCCAACTACAACCAACGACAACGGGAGTCCTACCGCCACCACCTCCTCCTCCACCAGGGTTGACTGCAGCAGCAGTAGCAGCGGCAACAACAACAACAGCGTCTCTGCCTCTGCCTACAATACCACCATCTGACTCTACTGGTACCTTGGAAGAGCCCTCGTTCCCGCGTATGGAATCGCTCGCATTGACAGGATGCCCCCTCGAACCACTCAGCCTCCGAGCCCTGGACAGACTATTCCCCAACCTCCAGGAACTGGAACTCGATTCGTGCCCAGGAGGGTGGTACCGGACTCTTGCAGGTATCCGCACCTCCCAGAACGAACCAAACTCAGACCTTACCTACACTTCAGATGTTCCGCTCGTCCATCTTCGCAAGCTGAGCATCTTATTCAGGCACCAGAGCTCCCGTAACAAGATTCTAGGTATTGTCAAACATCGGCCTTTTTTGACTTGTATCAAGACGGATATGTTGCCGGATACGAGGGACGAGCTTTTGGAGGTGGCGGCGTTTTGCTCTGGAGTTGAAGTTAGTGAGTTGGTCGCTGCGCCTGACCCTCCGTCTTTTCTTCCCACGGCTGTGGTTGCAGATTCGACTTTGACTGCGAGCGCTGGTATGAACGAGGGTGTTGATGCTGGTGTAAATGTAGGCGCGACCTCGACCTCGAGTTCGACTGCGCCCACTGATGTGGGTACGAGTGGAGGTGCGGACGCGAGGACGACGATGAAGGATATGTCAAGAGTCAGGAACCGGATCAAACGACTTTCTATTCAGACGTACGCGTCTCCACCACGCGCCATGGATGTGATCGAGAAGTTCTACAACGCTCCTGCTTTCCGCCACCTCGAGTATGTCTACATGCAGAACGTAAGTCGCATGCTTTTTCATTCACTGCTGTTGAACACGACATGTCATTTTCGTACATGAACAATCACAAAATGGGATAAAATGATAATTTAGCTAATATTTCCATTGTCATTTATTTGTGAATGCGAAATTAGTGGGAGCTGTCAATGAAATTGTTCCCATTTGCAAAAACGTTGCGAGAACTCAACCTTGGAGGAGCGGAGAGTCGTTTGCAGGACGACGAGTTGGTGACATTGAACTTGATCTTGCACCAACTCCCTGTTCTGGAGGACCTCAAGCTTCAACGATGTGTCGACGGAGCTGCAATGTTCAAGCTTTTCAAGGGTTTTGGACGAGAGCCCCTCTCTCAAGACGAAAGTCAGCAGGGACAGGTTCATGGACGACCAGCCATCAAGGCCATATCGCATGGACAAGCTGACGGACTCTCATATCTGCGCAAGATGTGGTTGTTGTATAAAGAATTGGACAACAACGACAACAGGCGCTTGTCTCTGGACGGTCTCAAGACTGCGGTGCTTGATCGGTTCATGTTCCTGGAAAAGCTGAAAATCCAGGCTTGGTTGGAAGCGGATCTGCCCCCCACGGAAGAAGTTTTTCTGTGGCAGAAGAAGGTTTTGTTGGCGGAGGCAGCCATGGGAGGAGAAAGAGAGGAAGGAAAAGCGTCATCGTCGTTGGTGACCAAATGTAGAGTTGAGTTCAACTCGCGGTCGCAGACTATTGTTTCTGTTGTTCTGTGAGAGATAGGAAGGAAGGAAGGCAAGAAGGAAGTTGTAGTGAATTGGCGAGTTTGATTCTTTTATTTCCGTTGGCAAATAAAAATATATACATATATATCCATTCAATTCCGCGTGCAGGAACCGACGCACTGATCAAAACAAGTCAAGCAGCCCCGGACTGATTTACTTCAATGATATGCAGTATATCACTAACTGAAATACTTGATGCCCCTTGCAGCAAACAAGCACTTCAGCCTCTTGACATCATCGCCCTCACCGACACCCTTAAAAGTGCCTCGAATACACACCAGATCCTGCCAATGTTCCGTCATCCACATGGCTTCCTCCATCCCAAGTCTCTGTTGGCCATCGTCAAATGTAAACTCTTGTAGCTGCACCAAACTCGACAAACATCCGATACCGCCACTTTTGTGGACACTGTTATCGCTATTTCTACCTCCATCTCCACGTCTAATGGTGGTTTTTATAATATCATTGCCGTCGCTGTCTTGACTGTTGCTGTTATTGGTGACGGTGTTGATGTCGATGGGTGCGGATGACGGCAATGACAAAGGTCGAAGATTCAAAGTCATCAAATGCTTTATTCCGTTCACGCCATACGGATACCGCTCCAAGTACAGGATCCTCATCCTCCTCAACCTCGAAATCTGCTCAAACACTCGTTCCTCCCACTCTGCCTCATCCCCATCCTGCTTGGCAATATACACCACCAACCTCTCCAGCCTCAGACAACCCCACGGTTTCGAAGCCGTAACAATATCCCGCACAAACACAAACGGCACCTCCAAAATAACGAGGTGAGCACACTCCATCAACACCTCCTGGGCCATCATACTCGACACACCTGCACACTTTCCAACATCCAGCTCCCTCAAATGATCAAAGCACTGCATCTCCCTCAGACAATTGAATAACAGCCAACCGAACTCATGGCTACCTCTACCTCCATGAACATCCAAGGCCGTCAACCTCTGCAACGAAAGCAATTCAAGGATCTCGACCATATCTTCTTCGGAGCATGTCCTGTCTTTCATCATCAGCTCGCTCAGGTCCGGCCAGCATCCCTCTGCAAGCGCATCCTGGATTATCTGAACAGGAAACGGGATGTTGGGAATATGCCACTCGAGACGTCTCAGACCTCGGGACGTCTTCAGAACCCGCTCGAGCAACGCCAAAGGCCACATCTGGTACCTATACGGCTCAGACGCCCAAAAGTACTTTACGATCGCCAAGCTCTCAAGCCGTTCAAAGGACAGGGTCGACAAATAAGCAAGATCCCCTCCCAGAAACAAGATTCCGGTAAATCGAAGATGACGAACCCCTCTACTTCCTCTTCCTCCACTGTATCCACTACACACCCTCCAGAACGTATTAACAGAATCCTCATCAACAACTCCCGCCATATCCAACTCCTCAAGTTCCTTCCATTCCGCCCCAACAACCTTCCAGAACTCTTTCAACTCCTGGTTGCGATGACAAAAGGTCAACTTCCTGATATGCGAGTGCTGTCTAGCAAAATGCGCCTTCTGCTGCGATGGCGACAACTCTGCAACTTGGTGAAGCTTACAGGCATTGATGGGACCTTGAGAATCGTGGACTTCAGATCCTACTGTTCTATCAAATCTTACAGTGCTATCAGTCATACTGGCAAAGGGCCCGGAATAAGTATAGAACCGCAACTCCCGCAGGCGAGGACAATCAACCGTCGTGTAGTGCTTTTCGGTCACTACTGCAGGGTAGGCAAGACGTTCATCAAAGTGGGCGTTGGCGCGGATAACGGATGGCTCGACCTGGTGGATAAACGGTTTCACAACCACGTCCGCCCAGAGACAAGCTGTGAATGAGGCATGGAAGGACCGACAGACAAGAATACAGGATAAGATCTGTGGTCGTGTGAGATGTTCTGCAATGAGTGGGTGGATCTCGGGTGGGAGGTCGAGAATCGTTTTCATGATAAAAGAAGACGGGTGAGAAAGAATAAAAAGGGGGCAACAGAAAAAGTGTGAAAAAAATTGGAAAGAGGCGGTACGTTGTAGAAGGAAGAGAGCTAGGAGGGGCTTGCAAGATTGGTAAATGGAAGGAAACGAGAGAAAAAAGGAAGACAGGGGCAGGAAAAGATGATAAAAGGACTGAGTGAGGTGTGGGAAAAACATAATCTCGCAATACATGCTCGTGTCAACGCTCCTTCTACACACGTAGCTCTCAAGCGTAGTACTCGATACTCCTCGTACCAAACAGCCGCCCCATCCTATCGGCATCATCCACCCCATCACCTTTGAAGTCGCCTTTGAGTTGCAACTTGTCATCCTTTTCACACCTGAGATCGCCAAACGAAACAGACAAAAACGGACTTACATAGACATCCTGATTCTCATAATGGGCTCCGTAACTTTTGGACAATCCACTCTTACAAGAACTAGTCGAACGACTAGAATTCGTGACCAAAGTAGACTCCCCAGTAATCAAAGAAAATAGCTATAATACTCAACCTGACGGACCAAAAAGCGACACTTGATCCTGTCTTGGTGACAAACTAACACCTAGGTATGAAGGAACATCCCATATTGTGCACTGCAACGCCGCAAGCGGGGCGTAACTAATCCAGGAAAGCAGGGTGGAGGCGTGGAATCTGCTCGGCCGCGTGTGCCATCGTTAAGGATGCTGACGGCTTAGTTAAAGGTTTCGTCCAGTGTGAGCCAGACCTGTACATCATCCTCGATTGACAGAGCATCCGACAGCGCAAAGAGAATCTTCATGGCGCCAACCTAGGAGTCAACGCACATTGTTCCGACTTTCCACAAGAAACATACGTTGCACGTCTGGCCGATGATCTGTATGGACAAGGTGTTCATACCTTCGATGCTCTCAAACTTAGTAGCAATCTCGTCTGCCGCCCGCTTGCTCCAGATCAACGTCCGTGCCAAGTCGCCCCGGTCCTTCTGGAAAGATGCGAGCAAGCTTGTTTCGCCGACGCCAATGTCCATGGTTTCGTGATCCTTGATCACGACATCAGGATAGCAGGGCGATTTGTCCCAAGTTCAAGAATACACGAAAGAATAAGGACCCGGTCAGGGAGGCGGTAGCCGTGCTAGGTATGCAAAGTTGGTAGAGCATGGACGAAAACGGAAGAACGGAATGTGAAAAGAGTCATCAAAGGTCGGCAAATATTCACCAGGTGCACCAACACCTACTGACCGATCCTGGTTTCGTCTGGTCGATCTATAACTTGTAAGAGCATGCCCAGGATGAAATGGCTTGTTTGATCAGTCTCGCTGATGGGAAAACAGTTGATGAGGCTTTGCGCCTTAGAGCAAGAGTGATCGTAATGCGCTCTTCGGAGCCTTTTCGATGGTTTCCTTCATGCCCACACGACCTGCCTCCACGCCATGCCGCGACAATGAAGCCTTCCTGTACGCCTAGAAGCAAAGTGGTAATAATAGTGCGTTAGTGCGTCAAAGTTAATGTTAGCACACTGCACATACGATTGCACATACATCCTTTGCATCGCGACAAACTTTCACTCCGTCCATAACTTCCTCCGGTGTTGGGTACTCGACACGCGTATCAAGGGGATCCTGCAATTGCTCGTACTTAGTGCCACAGTATTTTCTTTGCAAAGATGTCGGCCGATTCTCGAGGAATAGCATTCCCGATAATGCCCTAAAAGAGATATGACAAATCCAATACGAGCATGGGTTGCATTCAATCCGAAATAATGCACTGTCCTTCAACGTTCACAGAGTCGGCGAGATTATCCGCATCGAATCTCAATGCTTGACGGTGAACTCAAAGTCCCCCTTCTCGATCACAGCGTTCATTAGCACATGGGACAGGGTTCGAGCCACATCGACCGGATCGTCCTCCTCCAATGGTTCACTGTCGTAATTCTATAATCAAAAAGATTAAAGAAATTCAGTGTCTTGACAACATTGGTATATACATGTTGAGCAGAGAAAGCGACCGCGTCGTAATGTTGCATCTTCGACAGGAAAAGATTGTCGTCTGTGACGTTCTTCGCCCGTCCGTCATTGATCGGAATAGAAAAGACGCAGCAAGAATTAGCAGGTGAAATTGATGAGAGCAAATACAACTACGTAACACTGCAAGTCCATGGCGCTTACGCTGATCATTTTATCCTCATCTTCGACGGTGCGAGCATGCTTGCCCAAGTTTGTATCTGAGAGAGTGAGAAGAGAGGAAAGATGTGTGTTAAGTAGGATTTTGATCCCTACACTCCATTCATAGCCTGCACCCTTCGACATGTTGACAGTTGACTTACCACCATGTGGCGCTTCACGTGTGTCGTTCTCATTGGACACTTCCCCAGATTCCCGAGTGGGCCGATGACCTTCATCGAGTACATGTAGCAGCCCGCTTGGCTGGGGATGTTGATGAGTCGCAGCCTCCTCTTGCTCGACCAGTGCCTTCAATAGGGGGTTTCAAACTTTGACATGCCCACATTCAAATCGAGCGTATTTTCTTGGCGGACTTCCTTGACGGCGCATTTGGTTACACGCCGTCAAATGTCGAGGCCTGAGCCCCCCTAATTAATCGTAGTTGGTTAAAAGGGAGGTGTTAGTTTTCCAGCACTTCTTTCTAAGCTGGCGAACCATAACTTAATTATTGCATACCTCCTCAGGTTCCGGCGCAATGACCCAATTAGTCCATCGTAGTACTGCGTATAGCGAATGTAAAAGTTCGAATGCCTACATCGATTTTCTTGTTTTTGCTGATGGTTGAGAGCCTCTCCATGAAGATCGATTCTTTACTATAGCTTGTCAGGAAGCTGGACCATTTGTGGATTTCTGTCTCCGAAGATTAGCGTTGATGGCGAAGGGTCGTTGTCCAGAGCCTTCATTGATTTTGCCACGTTGTTCATTGAGGGCTTAAGTGACTGTTTATTTGAAGCCCAGTGATGTCAAGGCGTACGACGCGTATTTTCAATCGTAATCAGTAATCAGATTTCCAGGCTACAACACAGGGTAACGTTGCTACTTCACAGACATGCGTTCGTTCGGGAAGCTTTTTCGGCCTCTCGCACTTCTGTCTGCCAGAGGCGGTAAGGGATGCTGCCATCAACGTGCGCTTTGCCATGTAGGCCAGCACAAAGAGGTGCTTCGTCCAGCGAGTGGCCGTCTTTGGGCAAGTTGATGTTACATTTGCGATGAGTCTCAGTGGGGGTGCGATGGTATTGCCACTTTGGTATGTTCTATGCCGGCTATCCGCATGCGAGCAATTCTGTGACGTTTCGTGGAACGAATTGTGTTCGTTCACGCCTGCAGGAGAAGTGCAAGATCTGGAGGAAAATTATGGCATAGTCTTTTAAGCAGACAGGTAGCATCTCTACAGGCCACCATCACTCTGAAGAGAACTGCCGGAGAAGTTGTTGTAGAGAGTGGACGCATCGCCAAGAAAGTCCTGGAAGAAGCCGATAACCTCATGCAGCTGCCCACTGATCCCGAAGTTGGAGACTCCTCAGATGCACTGGACAACAATGGAGCATCGCCGTCCGCTTCGACGCGGACTTCACTGTCTGTACAACCTGTTCCCTCGTGGCCCCCGCAAACAGCAACTCCGACAAGCCCGTCCGAGGCGTGGGTGTCTGGCTCGGGTGTCTGGCTCGGGTGTCTGGCTCAAAGGACGACCTACAGCCTGCATTGTCAACACACGCGTCAGACACAGTGCTGAAGGATTATAAGTGGACCCAACTTTATGCTAAGTCTTGTTGTTCAATCTAGTGCATATGAGTAGCAGTCTTTGATCCACTGTATTCCCTTGTTACATTCATTTTCCACAGTCGATGACGAGGACCATCCATCCTTCACTACACCACCAGTTTGTTCTTCTCGACACTTGCTTGGAAAGGATCTCCCGTCCACCGATCCCGTGCATCCAGATTCTACACCTGGAACTTTTTGGATGGTCCTGGAGGAGTAGACTCTAACGTAGATAGCTATTGGGTGCATGGTGGGGTTGAGATCGGTCGCGCTCTGATGGCGTGCAGGGATCGGATTGTTGAAAACGGTGGTGGTCTTACAGAGCCTTACGAGATATTTTAAGTAGCCTTTAACTTCAGGTGTCAGTAAGATGAGGGTATTGTTATCCTAAATTTTAGATTGACTGCAAACGATTTTGACTGTTTCTAATTGCGCTTCAACCTTTTCCATTAGAGCCGTTGAGCCGTCAATTTTGTCTTCCTAGTGGAAGCGGAATATCAGACGGGGGCATTCAAGGAGAGGTCGAGGACTCTTTCTGGGTTTCCCTTTGCGATGCCATACGAGATCCTATGCTGCCATTCGCGAATGACGCCGTCGCAGAGGCTCATCATTGGGCGCACCGACTTGCGCTGAACAAGCCCGATGTGTTCACCCATTTGTTGGATGACACTCTACTGCAGAGCCGCGCTCTCAGTCCATCTTGACAAAGATGACGGACACTGCACAGATCTGGAACACCCTAACGCGCAATGAGAATACGTACTTGAAGTCTCGACTGGGACCGCTCCTTGACACGTACTTTGATTACCCTCTCTTTTTTCAGATAGGACTCCGACGCAGGAGGACAGAAGACGTTTTGGATCCAGCTTGTTGATCCCTGATTATGCAACCACGACGCAGGTTGGGGAGCTACAAGTTTCTCTCGTGCTGTTGGAGGGTAAGATAGCCAAGAACGACGGGCTCTACCAGATCTGTGACCAAGCTCAACCAAGAGATGAAACTTGCACTGGATTTGATTCTGAAGCTTCAGTCTGAGGACGACGTTTGCGTCATTGGTGTACTCGCTCGGGGTATGTTAATATGTTTGCACCATGTTATGTCTAATGTTATCGAAGATCACCTACTTTATATCCTCTTGATTCACGTTGCCGTCTTCTCACCATCTGTTCTATCTGTTCTTCCTTTCTAGAACCGTTGGTGGAGCTTTTTACAATACTCGCCGTGTAGTGCTTTTCGGTCACTACTGCAGGGTAGGCAAGACTTTCAACAAGGTGGGCGTTGGCGCGGATAATGGGTGGCTCGATCTAGTCAAGAAGCCACGGCTCAGGACGGCGCTCGACAATACAGGACCCTCAAGGACATCTTTGAGAGGCTGGAAGTTCTTCGCCTGCAACTAGGCGGGGGGAAGAAAAGGTAAAAAGATGCACATTTTTATACATTGGTTTGTGATAGCTATATGAAAATAGACTTTCTGTCAATCTCATACATTATTTTGTGACAACCTTGTAGCACGAATAATGCTGGCCAAGCAGAGGAGCCTAGGGATGTTTTTAACTGTTACGATACTATCGATCGCCCTCCGGAATGTCGCCCTCGTTCTCGTGGTTCTGGAAGACCTTAGAAGTACCGTCAACGATACTCCATCAAGGGCCCGCTCTCAGCTAAAAAAGCATGACCCTCCAGAGACCATGATACAATACCAGTTGAAGCCGTGGAAGTCGCCACCAGAGCCACCAATGGGTCCGTTGATCAATACCACACCGCCCAAGGTCACTCCCAAAAAAACACATCGAGAGGTGGAAACAATGGACAAAATGGAACTAGTCGATGCCATGTAATAGCAGCCGAATGTCGGACAAGGACAAGAGTCTGGCCCAACTACCATGGAGTCGTCGCTGTCGAGTGTTGAGGCAGAGAGGATGAAGAGACCGAGGAACTGTCGCAAAGTTTTTCAACCTGTCCGTCAAGCAGAAGGCTGTCTACCAGCCTACCTTCAAACACAGACGATGACTGGACCGTAGGAAAGGGCAGACAGTTGAGGGGGGAGCTTCCATCAGCCAAATCGAGACCAGCCTACCTTCTCGTCGTGGCCCAGAGGCGAGTATCAGCAACTACACACAGAGAGAGCGGGAAGTGGAGGGCCATCTCGATTTGTTCTATGACAATGTGGTCCTGAAGAAGCACCAGTGGGACGCTGGGAAAGCTCGAGCAGAGGAGCATAGATTGATTGCCGATCATCTCTTACAGCTTGTTGGAGGATCGACAAGGGCCAAGAGAGACGAGGACAACAAGATTGTTATTGGCGTGGGTCTTGGGAAGGTTTCTTCCAAGGTCAGACTATCATCTTTGCATGAGTCCTTCCAGTCAAAAAGTAAGTGTGTAAATTACAGCCAATTGTTTGCTCCTGACGCTGAAAGAGGCACATATTAACTTTTTTTTGCCCTTTACTCCTTTTATTTTTCAGGCCCGATCCCTTTGCAACATCGTCGTTAGCGTCAAACCCAGACTTATAGAGAGTTCGTTGGCCAAGTTGACCTCCGCCGACTTTCAAAGTGTCAAAAGTACATGCACCGCGACATCATGGCCGGCCACAACATGTGTAATGCCATTCGAGGACACTTGCTCGAGCAACAGCGGCCACTCTACCTGCAGCCCCAAGACAGTGATGGAAACTATCCCTTGATGCAGGACAGACGTTCCAGGCCACGCCCCGGAGAGTTTGGTAGGCAGAAGGGGGTCAAGCGAAAGGCAGGAAGCGAGGGAGAACAGTCAAGTCAATCGAACAAGAGAGTTGCATTAGCATAGGTTTTCCTATTTTAGATACTTTAGAGTTTAGACCATGGTCGAGTTGCGGAGGAGGGCGAGCGATTTACTCACTTCGGTGACGTAATTCTCGCGCCTATGGTCCTGTTTCCTCGCGCTGCCTCCTGTTTCCTTGCTCCATGTGCTCTTTACCCCACATCCTTGCTCTTTCGCTTTTGTCAACACTCTTCCTGTTTCCATTGCTCCCTCGTCCCCGTCCGTCTACCTCACTAAGGTAATGTACTGCCGTTCCGGTGTATTTTGTTTTTATTTGTATCGGGTTTAAAACATGGACTGTAGACATCCTACCCTTTGTGCATTGGTTCTTTCTTAGTGGGGCTTCCGTTTAGTTCGCGACGGAAGGGCGGAAAGTGGAGTGTGGAGAGGATGACAGTCTACGTTCGAACACCATAAGTTGCCAGCACTGGTTCTTTCTTAGTGGGGCTTCCGTTTAGTTCGCGGCGGAAGGGCGGAAAGTGGAGTGTGGAGAGGATGACAGTCTACGTTCGAACACCATAAGTTGCCAGCACTGGTTCTTTCTTAGTGGGGCTTCCGTTTAGTTCGCGGCGGAAGGGCGGATAGTGGAGTGCGGTGTGCTTGATCAGCTTCATTCTTCTTATGTCTCATTGTGTAAAGATTGACAGCTAACTCTGAATTTGTCCTTGATTTCATTGCTTTGTAAGCTTACATCATGAATTCCAAGAAGAGCAACAACCGCAGCAGCAGCAACAGTGGCAGTCACAAGCACAGCAGGGACTACAGTACGCAATAGGGCCATATTTCTGGTTACGGGAGAGGCTTTCACACAAAGAGGATATCACCATGCCTGAATTTTGCAAGCAATTTGGGTTCACACGCGAACATGACGCACACGCAGCCTTCTCTAGCCTTCTTTCAACAAATCCGCTGTCCCAGTCCTCTAGAGTGGCAGTTGGCGAAAAGTACAAGACATGACGACTCAATGGTGGCGCAGCCTTTTGGGCATCTCGGATGGCAGAGTACAAAATCGATGTCTCAACAAATAAGACTGTAGGATATCTTGTGGATAGAGGCCAATATTTTGCAAGCAGGCTTCTCCCGACCTCAAGGTGATCTCAAAGGTTAGTCGAAGTCGTAAAATGCTCCATCTTTGTTTCGACCGTGTTTTGCAACATACAGTAGCCTTTAAAAATGAGGTATTCGGTCGCTGTATTACTCGTCGTGCAAATGCTGATTGTTCAACATTTGACGCTATCACAGAGTCATATGCTCAATCGTCGACAGCCTCGGATGCGCTATTGGATGCGGAAACCCCTGCTGACGAGTTCGAGCACGATCAAGACACAGAATTGCATCGATCAGCAGGTACGGCAGCAGGCAGTAAACGGCGACGAGCTATATTGGAAGGGGGTCAACAAGAGCGAGAGCAGCCGCGACAGAAAAGGAAGGGTCAACAGCAGCAGCAGCGGTGGCTGCGCAAGAAGGAAGAAGACCTGTCACCTCAATGTTTCTTCGACGCGGCTACAATTGTCCTTCCTGGGCTTGAGATTGAGGGCATTGACGTTGGAAAGCCGTTCAAGCGACCGCAGGAGGAGGCCGCCGCCGTCATTAACGATGTAAACAGGGCAATGACATTGTATCAACTCTCCTTCCAGGCTGGCATCTATTTGTGGCAGAACGTTCACACCTCTTATTTGCCCAAGGACCATTACGATATCGGCAAAGCCATGGCTTCCGTGGAGTTGCTCAAGACCTTCAAGATAAAACTGTCGCTGAAAGTCAACCGATAATCTTGGATCTCCAGCATGCTGAGACCTTACTCTGTTGCTGAGTAATATCTTGACCAGAAAGTCTGACTGCTGTACTTTTAGACCATAATGGACGTGGTTGAAACTGAACGATACATCAGAACACCAACCAAACGCGTTGAGGACGATGAGGAGCTTCCCGATCGGTATCGCCCACGGCCCACCAATATTACCCCTTCTACAAGACCGTTCTTTTTTCAAACCAGACGCATAGTTTATGACATATTCGCCCCAAAACATCCCGTACTCGGCTCCATTGATGTACCAAAATAAACCCATCTCTCGCTCTCTATTCTTTTTATCACCTCACCCACGACCGTTGCGAGAATAAGCAACTTCGTCACCTGTCTGTAACCGCTTTTACCGAATGTAAGGGGTCGGACATATGTGTTAGCATGTATCCTAGTTTACCATGTTGTTATCTCCTTGGCGGAGGAAAGTGAGAATGAGAAGGGTAGCAAGTGGAAGTAGGAGATAGTAGGAATGTTTCGCGGTGCGAATCGCTCAATTTCGTCAGCGATATGCCCCTCTGTGTCACTCTCTTTTCTCTCTTTTCTATCTTCGTTGCTGTCATCCAGGTACATCAGTAAGTGAGACTAAGAGAGCTCGTTTGCCTCACCCGCACTTGATCTTTCACTCTACCTCTGTCTTTCTCCTTGCCTCCTTCCTCACTGTTCTTATAGACAATTGCAGCTGACCACCAGTGCGAGAAGATCAGGATAATAAAAAAACGTCTTTGAGCGGCGCCATCCTTGGCATCACCGAACCGTTCTTTTTTTTAGTGTTCGTTGCGTTATGACTGAGTGTGGCATTGAAACGAGCATATCAAGTAGAGTACATTCTTTTTTGTCCACCGTATCTATGCTTGGATTTACGGATCTCGCGGTATGGCTCCGTAAATCCAGACATAGATTGGACTTTTTATTTTAACTCTCCATCAACCTTCGCGTCTTTGCCACTGTCTCTCATCAACACGTTTCTTCTCCTTACCACTGGTAGCGATCCCTTCACCTTCGCCTTCTATACGCACGTCTTCCTTCACTTCACGATATCTTTGATGCTCAGTGTTGGTCGCTTTGCCTTTGTCTCATCAACACATTCTTTCTCCATTATCCCTACTCTCTACGCTTCTATCCAGCAAGCCTTCCTTCTCCATTACCTTTCAGTCGTGTCAATCAGTCGTGTCAATCAGTCGTGTCAATCAGGCGCCCCATACTTTTTGATGCCTTCCCCTCTCATTTTTGGTATTTTCCTTGATTGGTTCTGTTCGCCGTCCTCGAATAAGTGACGCTTCTCTCTTCCATGTAAAAGTGCGTCTCATTAGTACCCGTATTTTTCCCTTAAGTCTGCTGTCCCTCTTTCCACTGTCTCCCCATGCCCTTGTAATTAGCACTCGCCGTTTTTCCCCTCAGTGTTATTCCACCTCTTCATTAGCCACTGCTCTACCCACACCCACTCTTTATCTCTCACCTTGCCGCCTACCTCCGCACCGATGTCTCACGCCATTTTGTCGCCTCACTCGCGTTTTCGTAATCACGCACTCTTACTAATTACACGCCTGCTGTCAGTACCCCCTTCCCCTATATCTATCGTCCACCACCTCCTCCATCTTGCCGCTCATTCTCGCTTTCACATTCGTAAAGGAGATCCGTATCTATCGCAAGTCAGCCATTCTTGAGAGGTTAAGACTAGCCCTATTTGCTTGCTCGCATATTCATCTCGTGGAATCATTTGGAGCTGCGTTCTACCCTACACTGTGTGCTGCCCTATTCATCGTAAAGAAACGAATGAGAGCCTGGATTATTATTGCGCAAATCGCGGCAACAACCGTAACATCTTGTCGGATATGCTGGTTCTTTTTTAGCAGCCACTGTTTAGCTCGGATTCCGGGCGGCAGAGGGGCGGAAAGTGGAGCGTGGCAGGGTGGTAACATGAATTGGCTTGCCCATCATTGGGGATGACCGCCTTGTTATACGGGGTGTCGCAAAGCCGCAACAACTTGCCATATACCCTTGTTCCTTTGTTCCTTGTGACCCATCTCGGAAAAAGTTTTAGGGATAAGGCATGGCCTGTGGGGGTAGGGGATATTACTTGGGTGACAGGAGAGAGGAAAACAATGAGGAGAATTGAGAATGGAGGAAGGAAGAGAGAGATTGATTGGACTCCTGAATAAAAGAGTGGGAAAAGAGGGAAAGAAGAGGAGAGGAAGAAAAACCAAGTCCAAGAGGGGGCGGTGAATGTGGATCTGGAATTAAAGACAGGACACAAGATACAATAGCGGGAGTGCTAAGTGAAGCACTGCATCCTACAGTAATTGTCCATCGAATCATATTTAATAGTCCAACAGACCCCTGTATGTTTGCCCTATACTTGTAATTGATGCCCTACTCAAGAAGGGATTCTTTACTTTTTCACGCTCACTGCCTTCTAGGGACTCTTCGACAGTCACCGGATCCCTCTAATGCTCAGTCGTCCATAACACTTCTTCCAGTCCAACAGTCTGCCGGCCGCCATCTAACGTAAACTCTTACACTGCACCACACTTGACCAGCAACTAATATCGGTACCTCAAAGAATTGAAAGGGAGACGAGTCGTTCCTTTCGTCCCTCTCTCAAGAGAAAGACCAGCTATGGTACAGCAAGAGAGTCATATCATCAAGTGATGATCAATGTAGGAAGTCGGTCTCAAAGTCCTTTATCGTTTTGATCAGCGGCCGGCTGGTTCCTGCCCCGTCTCACCTCTTCCTATTTAACCTCCCTCTTTTATTTTAACCGTCCTGGACACTTTGTGAAGTACGGACCCTGACGCTGGCTGTGAAAAGGAGTAACTCATCTATTACATTATTTACACTAGTAAATTCGGTGCTCGTTTAAATGCCTCTCTCATAAAACAACCGCTTCATTCTAGCGGCAACATCCCCTTCGGCACCTTTGAAGTCCCCTCGGACAACCACCACGTCTTGCCAATGATCCATCATCCACAACGCCTCTTCCATCCCAAGCCTCTGTCGGCCATCGTCAAATGTAAACTCTTGTAGCTGCACCAGACTCGACAAACATCTGATATCGTAAAATCTCTCGCCACTACCACCACTATTACTACCACCGCCATCACCGCCCCTGTCCTGATTATTCCCAGAGGTCTCTGAGCTAACTGGAGAAGTCAACAATTGATAATCCAAAGTCTTTAAAACCATAATCGCATCATCCTCTGCCGTAAACCACGTTCGCTCCAGGTCTAGAACCTTCATCCTCCTCATCCTCGAAACCTGGCCAAACACTCGCTCCCCCCACCCGGCCTCGTCCCCTTCTTGCTTAGCAATGCGGACAACCAACCTTTCAAGCTTAAAACAGTCCCAGCCTTTCGAAGCTGTAGCGATATCCCGCACAAAGATGTAACGCGCATCCAGACTGACAAGGTGCACACACCCTATCAGAATTTCCTGCACCATCGTGCTTGTCACGCCTTCGCATATCCTAACATTCAGCTCCCTCAGCCGACTAAAGTACTCCATCCCCCTCAGACAATCGATCGACGGCCCACCTAACTCACCGGCAGCTGCACGACCTTTAAGGTCCAAGACCGTCAACCTTTGTGAGGGTAGAGCGCTGAGGACTTCGACCACATCTTCTTCGGAGATCGTTTCGTCCTTAATGACCAACTCGTACAGACCCCGCCAGCATTCCTCCGCAAACGCATCTAGGACCATCCAAACAGGTAATGGGACATTGCACATGCGCCACTCAAGTCGTCTCAGACCTTTGGATGTCTTCTTGACTTGCTCAAGCAACAGTGCTGGCCATTCCTCACATGGAGGGGGGGTTCTTTTTTCGATGAATTTGTGAGACCATCAAGCATTGGAGTCGTTGGAAGAAAAATATTGACAAGATAGGAGCACTCTCCGGAAGGTTCGCTCTGTTATGGAGATGTTATTTAACCCGCTCACAACCCCTCCAGAACGCGTCCAGAGTCCTCGACAACTCCTGAAAAATCCAACTCCTCTAGCTATGTCCACTCTGTACCATCAGCCTCCCAGAACTCTCTCGGCAAGGTTTCGTTGTGTTCGTATTCAAATTTCCAGATAAAAAGGGGGAGGTCGAATAACCGAATCTTCTGGGCTGGTATAACCCCCGGGTAGTGGAGCCTTTCATTGCCCCAGTAAAGAGTGATCATCCGGAACCTATGCAGTCGAGGGTAATCGATGGTGTAGCACTCCTCTGTCAGGCTCGGCGAGAAGTGGCGGCCTCGATAAGATAAGCATTGGCTCGGACAAGGCTGGCGTCGATGGCTCCGCGTCGTCTGAACACGTGAGTCACGTCGGGCCAGAGAAAGGGAGTGTGGAGGATGTAAAAGGGGCGACAGGTTCGGATAAGGGAGTATATGGACTTTGTGTTGAGTTTTTTTTTTTTGGTAATGAGTGGGTGAGTCTCGTTGAGGAGATTCAGAATGGTCGCCACGAGGAAGAAGAGATTGAGTGAGAAAAGAAGAGGAAGAAGAAGAAAAGAAGAGTTGATCGCTGTACTTGGAGAAGAAAGGGCCAGTTCCAAGGTTGAGTAAAGAGAAAGGAAAAAAAGGAAAGAAGGGAGGATGAAAAGAGAAGAGTCGAAATTGAAAAGGGTTGAGCGTTCTGCGGGAATAGATACAATTTTCTCGCATGCCCGTTACAAACGTGTCAAAGCCCAATGTTTATCTCTCTCAAACATCCTCATAATGCCTTATACCATGTTGATTCAACAATTGCTTCAACCTGTCACTACTTGCGATCCCAACAGCGGCCCGAAAGTTGCCACTGATACACGTCAGATCCTTCCAATGCTCAGTCATCCACTCCAACTCGTCAACACCCATCCACTGTCGGTCGCCATCAAACGAGAACTCTCTCAGTTGCAGCAGACTGGACCACCCTCTGATATCGCCGCTACCGCCATTGTTGCAAGATTCCAACATCGTCCTACTGCTGGGGAGTCGCAAGTCCAATGTCTGCATGTACATAATGTCCTGCGACCGGCTATCTTCATCATCAACAAACGAAAGCCCATCCGGATCCCCTTGCAGACCCAGAGTCCTCACCCTCTTCAACCTCGCAATCTGCTCAAACGCTCGTCCGTCCCAGTCAGCTTCATCACCCGCCTGGCTCGCAATATACACAACCAACTTTTCAAGCTTCAAACAGCCCCAGCTCTTCGAAGCCGTAGCAATGCTCCGCACGAAGATGTAGGGCGCCTCCAGGTTGACAAGGTGCACACATTCTGTCATAATCTCCTGGACCATACCACTGGTCACCCCTGGAGCCTGTCCCAGCCTCAAATCCCTCAGGTGCCCAAAATACATCTCTTTCAGACAGCTATATATCAGCGGCCCAAATCTCCCGCTCGAGAGCTCAAAATCCGTCAACCGCCTCGATGTCAAACTCCTGAGCACCATCGCCACATCCTGATCAGAGCAGGCCACACCTCCAATACTGAGCTCACACAATTCTCGCCAACAGTTCTTCTCGAACGCATCCAAGACCAACTGGACCGGAAAGTCAATATCCCTCACACTCCATTCCAACCTCTTCAGATTCTCCGACTCCTTGGCTCGCTCCAGCAAGTGCACAGGCCACATTCGTCGAGGTAGGCTCTCTTCCCAGGAGTACTTGTTGATCGTTAAGTCCCTAAGTCGCCGAAAGGAACGAGTGGACAAAATGGGCATGCTCGCCGGATGGAAGGTCACGTCCATCAGGTGCAAATTCTGTACCCGCTCACAGGTTCTCCAAAACGCATCCACCGCATCCTGTTCAACAACTCCCATAAACATTAAATCCTCCAGCTGCGCCAACTCAGTTGCAACAACCTCCCAAAACTCCATCGACAATGTATCTTTTTGCTGATAGTTCAACTTCCTGAGAAACGGATGCCGCCTCAGAAAGTCGATTTTTTCTTGCAGCTGGACCTGTAAATGATCGTCGTCGCTCCCGTCCAGGTAAAAGGCCAGCATCCACAGCGTATGCAGGCAAGGGTAGGTGATGGCATAATAGTCCTTTGACAGGGTGGTCGGGAAGGAAATAGTCTCAATGCGGTGGGCGTTGAGCCGGACTTGGTCTGCGGTGATGACGGTGCTCTTGTTGAGGTTTGTGAGGCTCAGGTCTGACCAGATACAGGGGATAAAAGAAGAGTAGAAGGAGCGGCAGACGCGGATGAGGGTGTAGATTGACTTTTTGGGGAGCTCTTTTCCAATGAGCAGACGAATCTCGTCCGGAAGATCGAGAATGGTTGTCATGGGGAACAGTGGGTGAGTGAGTGAGTTGAGTTGTGTGTGTGTGGGCAGGAGAGTGGATGGTGGATGTCAATGAAAAGAGGAAGGAATGAAGTGTGAACAAGGTCTGTCCCCTTTTTTTATTCCTCCCCAGGCTAAACTCTAACCAAGACAAGCAAGACAAAGGACCAAACAAGGGTCCAATCTAAACCCAAATCGACCCTCGCAGAGCAACACGTTGCCCATATCGATGTTCAACCCATGCGAGAAACAGTATGCCTTTTACTTTCCAATGGCATGTAGGCTTCCTTGCTTACTTGTTTCCGCTATTACTAGTCGTAAGAGATATCCCGCACCCCCACCTCATTAACGCCCCCGAGACACACTTAGCCCAATTGACCGCCAGCCATCGCCCAGTACGGGGCAAAAGATTTTGCAGGAACCGAACACGACTGGAGTCGTTGTTTGGCGAACGCCAACTGCTCAGGTTTATTCTTGCATCATTATGTGCCTACATCCATCGAAATACATGCGAGGACCTCTTCCTCTTCTACAACACTTGTATTATGTCCATGAGTCAATGGCAATCGCTGCTGACCCCGCTTGCTACGACAACGACGATGCTGGCGGCGGTGAGGGTTTCTTACTACCAGTCTTGGGCTTATCCGTCGTCGTCGTCTGGTGCAGCAGACTCATCTTGCTCAAGGACTTGACCGTCGCCTCCTCAACTGCTCCCAACGACTCAGCATCCAGCCACACCGTACTCATCCCAGAGTCCGTCGTCAAAAACGCGCTCGACGTCTCATTCACCCCAGCATGGCTGACTGTCAACCGATCAACAACTGCCTGCCCTGCTGAACCAGCTGAGTCCGAACTGCTGTCATTGATCGCACCCCTCTGGTGCCCTCCTGATCCTGGGTCAGCGCTTGATCCATCAGCCATCGCAGTTGTTGCCGTCTCTGATGCAGCTGTTGCTGCTGCAGCGGATTCTCCTCCCATAATTCCTGACAGGTCTCCTGCAAGAAGGGATTTTAGGAACTGCAGTTGGTCACCTCCAATTGCCCAGTATGGACTAACATCATCCAAAAACCGGAAACACGTCTCCAGCTGCTGCTTGGCACGCGCCAACTGGTCTGCGTTCTTGCTCGAAAACAAAATCATAATAAGCCTATATGCAAAAAATTGAAAACTCTCGGCATTAGCACACCTACACTGTCATTTTCTCCTCATCCCAAAATCACCCATACCGCTCAATGCATGAACCGAAATACTAAACAATAGACTTACACAGTGGCTGCGATAAAGACCTGGTAGGACATGACGTTGCCGCGGTATTTGATCCAGTCATGGCTATAGTGCTCGATGATTCCGACAATCTCGTTGGCGGCAAGGGAACACGTCTCCAGAGCCGTTCTCAGAAGCGCCCGGTCATCGTTCACCGCCTCCTCGTCCTCGTCCTGATCCATGAGGTCGTCAGTACCGCTGTTGTAACCGTCTTCCTCGCCATTGTTACCAGGGTCGGCGACACCACCATTGGCATCCAGCCCCTGCTCTATGCTTTGATGATGTATTGCCGCCTGGTTGGCCTGGACTAGCGTCGTCGCCCTGATCAGAATGGGTCGGTGGAGCAAAATCTGGAGGACGAAATAGTAGGTCGAAACTCCCATGGCGTTCATATCCACTCGCGAGATGTTGATCCTAGCTCTCCATGGGTCATACTCCTCCGGCACCTTGTTCCTAAAGTTCTCCAGCTGCTGTCCTAGATGGATATATTGCGCCTTGCGTTCAGGACTCGAGAACAGGTTGGTGTTGACGTGTCCTGATTGCTGAGCGGACTCGTCTTTCTCAACTCCAGCATTGGTGAACTTGGCAATCAAGGGCATGATTTGGAAGATGGAGCAAATGTGCTCGTAGGACCCGTATCCGCGAATGTGCCGAGGTCGCCTGATCCTGTTTAGAACCAGCTCTGTAAAATCGTCCAAGGGCTTTTTCTCGTGTCTGTCTTGTCGTTTGTCAGCCCACCACTCAATGTCGTCACTTGGGATCGCCACGTTCTGCCATGTGTTGCCCAGCGAAGGTGGAAGGCCCGATATTGCTGCTGAAAGACAGTCGCACAACAAAAGATACGAGAATGTCCTGACATTGACCTCGAAAACCAACCGAGCTTCCTCCGAAGGAAACGAATGCCGAATCTCCAATTTACTCCGGGGGATCAGCTCCTGCGCCATCCTTCCTGCAATTCCCTCGAATCGATACCCGGTTAGACTGTTTCCTGTGCAGTACTCGTAGAACGATAGCAACGCCAGGGTGTGTACATTGTCGATCGAGTTTTCCATGATAAGCATGCCGATCCGTGCTCGAATCCTTTCCGCCCAGGGTTCTCCTGATGTATGTGGTGGGTTCTTGAGAACGGAGGGGTGAGTGGAGAAACGTGCTCCGACCATGCATATCGCATCGAGGAGCGTGGGGTTGGCTGATCCATTGGCGTATGATTTGAGGAACGCGATCGGGTTGATGAAATGGTGATCCTGGAAACTGTACTCGAAAAACAGCCCGACCAGCTCGTCGGTCACCTCCTTGGAGAAGGGGTTGGTGGAAGGAACTGCTGAAGCCGTTGTAAACAGTGATGTGGGCAATGGTATAGGCGGCGGTGTGCCGACGACTGAAGGAGACATGGAATAATTCGATATGCTTGAGTAGTCAGAGACCTGCGGGCTGGGATCCGGAGAGGGTCTGGCATCGAGTGAGGAAGCATTACTCGTCCTGTATGTTGACCCCACGGAGGGGAAGAGTGCTGTAGGTCCACTTGTTCTCGAGTTTACAATGTCATAGGAAGAAGGTGCCCGGTTCCCAGGTGGAATCGTGGTCGATAGAGAAGGGCTAGTAATCGGACATTGGATGTAATCGCTGAAGATATTCGACAGCTCAACATCAAGTTGCCCAGCGCTCCTGCCCACTGGTTGAAGTCCTTCGTGCTCTTGCAACTGTTGCTGGTGTTGTTGTTGATGATGTCGTGGATGTTGCTGTTGAGGGAACTGTTGTTGCTGGTGTTGCTGTACTTGGTGATGATGTTGCAATTGGTGCTGCTGCTGTATATTGTGTAGTTGTTGTTGTGGGTGCTGTTGTGGGTGCTGTTGTGATTGTCGCTGTTGCTGCAGATGTTGTTGTTGTTGTCTTTGTTGTTGCTGTTGAAGTAGCAATTGGTGATGCTGATGCTGTTGTTGTTGCTGTAGAAGTTGACGTTGCTGCTGTTGCTGTTGAAGCATCTGTTGCTGCTGAAGCAGTTGATGATGGCCATCCTGCTGCTGCTGCTGCTGGTGGTGGTGTTGGTATGGTATAGACAGACTTGGAGGTGATTGGGACCGGGGTGAAGGCAACCGATGGTAGTTATCCTGCTGCTGCTGTAGCTGTTGTTGCTGTTGTTGCTGTTGCAGCTGTTGTTGCTGTTGTTGCTGCTCTTGTTGCAGCTGCCTCTCTTGTTGTTGTTGCTGCTGCTCTTGTTGTTGCTGCTGCTGCTCTTGTTGTTGTTGCTGCTGCTGAGCCCAATTGACCTGCGACGAGTCTCGAGGATGATTGGAGGTATCTAGAGTGAGCTGCTCGTGAGACGCCTCCTTTTTGATAGCACTTCTAGCTGCGGGTCCACGCTTCTTGGGTTGTATGAGAAAGGTGCAGTCGTTGCCGACTCGTTCACACTGCGAGCAACGAGGTTTTGTCAGGTCTATTGTTTTTTGTTGGAAGTAGCAAAAATAGGATATCAATTAGACAAACAGAAAAAAAACCTCAATTGCTCTCACACTCTCCCCCACACCACAAAGACGACAACCCCCTATTGTATTTTCCTTTGTCCTGTAGTCTAGAGCAAACCCCTTACCACACTTGACTCTGCGTTGACGACAGTGGTCGCATGCCTGGGTGACACAGCTGCGTTTGTTGGCTCCTAAGGACCCGTCGGTAGTAGAAGAGGTAGATGTAGAAGAAGGAGCAGCGTCGGCACGGCGCTTTGAGGTCTGTTTCTTGTCTGGTGCTGCTGACCAGTCCTGTAGAATCACCGAGTAGTCGAGTAGCGATATGGACGAGTAAAACTGTTCGTCCATTGTTGTCTTCCTGTACTGATTTGAATGAGTGGGGGTGGGCGAGTGTAAAGCGGTATAAGTGAGAGTGAGAGAATGAGCGCCTTTGTTTGTGTAGTGATGAAAGAGGGGTTTAAGAGTGAAAAGAATGAAGAATGAGAGGAGAGGAGGGGTTGATTTGTCAAAGAGGCAAAGAGCCAACAACACCCTCCTTTGGAGCTGCAGACTCCACCCAAAAAGTGACGTTGGAATTGTTTTTTTTTTCCCGACTTTTCATTTTCCGCTCCTGCTCAACCATGGCACCCTTTTTTTTCTTTTTCTTTTTTTATTTTGACTATTGGCCAATCCAACCATTGGCAACCATCATGTATCTCAGTACTCAAAGAACCGCATCTTCTCAACAATAATCTCAACTGCCGGCCACCGCTCCCTCCAGAGACCAACCACCTCCTGCCGCATCTTGTTCACAGCCCCTTCGTGCGAATCAACCCACTTCAGCTGCAAATACTCCAGTCCTGGCCAACTGCTCAACCTCTCTCTTCCACAGCGTGCTTTAACCTCCCTTTCCCACTCATGCACATCCTCGACTCGACCCACCAGACCCAATTTCAGGTCCTCGCCGTCACCAACCGTCAATCGGTTCCCACCGGGTGACCGTGGCTGTGAAGGCGCAGCAACCGATAACATTGACAAACTCGGGAGCCACTTTGTTGTCGATCCTTGGGGCTCCTTCAAGATCCACCCCAGATCCCGCTTGGTAAACCCATCAAAATGTCGTCCTGTCAGACTCAGCTTCTCGAGTCGCCCCAGTCGTGACAACAAACAGAACCCAGCCTCCATCGACACAGTTGTGCTCCAGCGCCGCATCTGAAGATCCCTCAGGTCCGGGCAACACCTGCTCAGGTATCCAAAAATGATCAGACTGTCCAGAGTTGAAACATCTTTGCCCTTGCCAGAGGCGGCGGCTACTCCCTGATAGACGATCCCTTGGTCGTGGTCAAAGGTGACATGTAAAGTCCTGAGTCTGCGACAAGCCCAAAGTGGTGGGAGTGTATCCTGGGTGTTCTTAGGCTTTGATTTGATGTTGTTTTGACTGAGTCGTTCTTGCTGAAGGATGTTGTTGATGTCAAGGTTTTCAATCTCCAGGACGACATTAGGGGCGAGGAGGTGTTGAAGACAAGGTGCATTGCACAGGAACTGGTGAAGAGCGCCTGCACACTGGACATCTGGGACTCGATCGCGACCATTGTTCCGCGGAGTACGTTTCAGTTCGAGTAATGTCAGTCGTTGATGGTGGTTCGTCAGCAAGAGAGAGTCAGTCGATTGCAGCGTCCTGCATAAAGGGGTCTGAGGTGGCCTGGACTGGACCGACGGAGATAGCGCCATGGACGGCAGGTTCATCTCAATGTCCTTGTCAGAGAACGACCAGCCAGTAAGACTAGGCGGTTGGTAGTCGAGAAACATGGCCATGTCCGCGTTGGTCCAGCCCCAACCTTGGACCGAAAAGTGAAATGTTTTCAAGAGGAGACAGGATGAAGCTACTCGGCGGATAATTCGGGTACCGTCCTCCTTGGTGAACTGGGCTGGATACGCCTGCCAGATACTGAGCTGTCGGAGGGGGGTGCATGCATCAATGACGGTTTCCACTGCGCCCGGTGTCAATATTAGGTGGTCAATTTCCAAGGTCTTGAGCCGATTCTGTACAGGTAACGCCTCCAAGGGCGACTCTGCTTCCTTGGCCTCCAAAGCTGCAACAGTCCCGCCTATCAGCGGCATCAACATGGGATGTTCGGTATTGATTTCAAGGACCTGGAGATTGGGGCACACCCGGAGAATGAGATGCAGAAGGAAACGGTCAGGTCGTTCCTTCAGCTGCAGACGCAGAATCGAAATAGTAGTAGAACAGCGGTCTAGGACAGGCAACAGCGGCTTCAGGAAGTGGACAGAGGCAAGTTCGTCGCCAACATGGACTTCCCGCAACTGGATCTTGCCTTCGGCCTGGAGACCATCGATAATACCAAGGAGTTTCCTCCAGCGTTCATCTTTCCACTCTGTCACGTCCTGAAAATGCGATCTTTTGGTGAACAGGCTTAGGATGCGCGAGGTTGAGAGGCTGGCGACGAAGACGTTGTATTGTGGTTCGATGAGGTAGAAATCCCAGGCGGTGGGTGGTGGGTCGGCCATATGACGGCAAACGGCGTGCCACTGCTTGGAGACGAACTGGACAACGGTTAGACGACGACGGTTGGTGAGGAATGAGAAGATGCATTCAAGAATCTCTGGGATGGTCAAGGCCATGGGCATTGGCAAGGCTGGTTGTTTGGCCATGGACTGACGCCTGCTCTTGAAGGGTGATGCCATTGTGTGAGAACGAAGGAGAGATGTAAAGAGAAAGGAGTGTAGAAGGTTAAACGTGCAATCGAGAGTGATACAAAAGGGTGCGGGCTGAGGAGGGACAAAGCACAAAAAGGGAAATTAAAGGTCGAGGGGCACCTGCCACGAGAACGACAGACAATTGGACACGCAGATAAACGCGAACATGTGTAAAGGTGTAAAGAGAAGGGAAGTTGTTTTTTTTGTTGAATAAAAGTAAGAATGGCTATGCCCCCGCCGGTTTTCCACATGGAGAATTGGCACTATGGCCTAACTCCACCTGGCAAAGAATGGCGATTGCTGACTTGCAGGAGAGCAAGGTCAGGTGTGAACCTGACCGAGCTACAATCCCGCCGCATCGGTCTCGAAGTAGCCGGCGCCAGATATACATCAAGAAAAAGTTTCTTCTTTACGAAAAAGGATGCCTAATGCCGGGTGCTGAGCCAGCCAGGACTGACCGAGGGTTTTACCCCCTGGAGTCACTGGCCAACAAAGCCTACTTCTGATAATTTTTTAAATTAAGGTCGAGGGAGGCTTCTCTTTTTATACTCCTGCCTTGGAGAGCAGTGACTGTTGAACAGTGACAAACAGACTCCGGCTGTTCGATCCCAGCTTCTCTCTAGTGGAAATGAGATGTAAATGACGGGGTCGGTTCCATGGGGATATTCAACAAATGCAAATTCGATCAACGATCAAATTTTTTTCACAGTCGTTGTGACCATCAATCTGTTTACGTTTACATTTCTTTTTTTTTTTTTTTTAGGAGTGTCTCTGGCACTACTTTCACACCCGGACACTACACAGACGGACAGACAGACAACTTGACAGCACTCTCAGTACCTCCGTCTCTATAACTCTCGACTTTTCACTCCTTCACGCACAAACACGCCCTGCATCTACCACATTCATCGACACTACAGACACACCCTCACAAAGGCACATAAGGACATAATGGCACCTCCATTCAACAGAGGCGGAGGACGAGGAGGTGGGGGAGGACGGGGAGGCCGCGGTGGTGGAAGAGGTCATGCACGTTACGGTGTTGCCCCAGGAGGTCGTCTCAAGACAAGCACAACCAACCTGCCCTCTGCCCTCAGCGAAGAGATGGAGCAGAGTAAGTGACTCTTCGTACTTTAATAACAGGTCCACTGGTTTATTTACAGCCGCAAATTGTTCATATTTGCTAACCACTACTCAACTCGACGCGATAACCCCCCCCCAATAGGTTCGTCGACATTCTTTGCTGACGGCGACGATCGCAACTTTAGCAAAAAGTTCAAAAACAAGGCTGCCGGCAGGAAAGTTCGCAGGAAACAGGAACGCGCAGAGAAGAAGAAGCACCGAGCACCCACACTCTCCAAGATCGAGATTCTAGCACGGCAACAACACATGGAACCACAGACCAAGACCAGCAGCAATAACAACAACAAGGATTCCAACAACAAAAACAAGAAGCGGAAACTGGGTCAGGACCACTTGGAGGTTGACTTGAACGAGCACGAGGGTGAGACTCTTGTCACCGACATTGGCAAGAAAGCATCTTCGTCAAAGTCAAAGTCTGCAAAGGCCACCAAGGAGGATAAGAAGCCTGCCCTATCCAAGGACGTCAAGGATATGGACGCACGCCGATTGGAAAAGCTGGCAAAGTCGAACCCTGCCTTCTACGCCATGCTTCAGGAGGACGGTGTCGTTGCAGGAGGTGGTCCAGGTTTCGAGGAGGGCTTTGACGAGGATGAACAGTTCATTCGCCACTACGAGAAGAAGCTGGGTCTCAAACGCAAGGACTCTGGCAAGCTGGCCTCCAAAAAGTCGTTCTTGGATGACGGTCTTGGAGATCTGTTGGAGGGTATCGAGCTCGGATCCAGAGGCAAGAACGCCGCTGCTACACCAAGGAAGGCCGTTGTCGGTTCGTCCGCCGCTACCACCAAGGCTCCTGCAAAGCCTGCTGCTTCAGTTTCCGACAAGAAGAGGAAAGCTCAGGAGTTCGAGAGCGAGGAGGAGGATGACAGCGAAGACGACGATGAGGATGAAAACGATCTTGACGGTAGCGACGTGGAGGAAGGCTTCGGCAGCTTTGACGAAGAGTTGGAGGGTGTTGATCCTGATGATATGGACGACTCGGAACTGGGCGAGGACGAGGACGAGGACGAGGATGAGAAGATGTTGGGAATGGGCTCGGATGAGGAGGGTATGGAGAGCTTTGATGAGGAACTAGAAGGTGTTGGCTTTGAATCGGACGAGGACGATAATGAGGAACTTGAAGGATTCGACGACGAGGATAGCGAACTCGGATCGGAGGACGTTGATGGCGGAGAGAGCGAAGACGGTGAAGAGAGTGACCAAGAGGACACAGGATCCAAGGCAATGGCGACTCCTGCGGCGCAAGCCGGAAAGTACGTGCCTCCACACCTTCGTGCAGCCGCCGCTGCTGCTGTTGCCACAGAACCTGCAGGTGGTGGTGCTTCTGCCCTGGCCAAGGCTATTCCCCGACAAAATACCGAAGAACTTCTTCGACTGCGCCGCCAGCTCCAGGGATTGCTCAACAAGCTGAGTGAGAGTAACATTGAGGCGATTCTCATGGACATTGAAGCCCTCTACCGCAAGTACCCCAGAGCAGGTGAGTCTGGGCTCTGCATTATCATTAATTGTCTTCTTGGTTTGTTATTGTATTGATTCAGCTTCTCACCTTCAACTTCTGTTTTGGAACATACAGATGTATCTGAGACGATCACGGATATGATCTTGAGCGCGATCTCTTCAAAGGCCAACTTGCTGGATTCGTTCGTCATTCTGTACGCCACGGTGGTCGCCAGTTTGTATCGCCTTGTTGGTATCGAGTTTGCCGCCCACTTTATCCAGACTCTCGTTGAGCAGTTTGACGGACATCACGCCCTGGCCTCCAGCACCAAGAGCACGGAGATGACGGACGAAACCCTCAACGCCGTCAAGCAGTGCACCAACTTGATTGTACTCGTCTCGGAGCTGTACAACATGCACGTCGTTGCCTGTGTCCTCGTCTATGAGCTGGTCCGCTGGTTCATGACAGAGTTGTCTGAACTGAATGTCGAGCTCGTGGTCAAGATTGTCAAGACTTCTGGATACCAACTTCGACAGGATGACCCAACAACTCTCAAGACTATCATCCAGGAGTTTACCGTCCTTGCCAACAATGCCTCGGCCAAGTCTGGATCGGGATCTGCTGCACCTATTTCGTCCCGTACTCGATTCTTGCTCGAGACTTTGACAGCTCTCAAGGCCAACAGGATGAAGGGTCCCTCGGCAAACTCTACGACATCAGGAACGATCACAGAGAGCGCTGCCAGGATGAAGAAGTTTTTGTCAGGCTTGAGCAAGAAACGGACGACGTTCCCCAGTGAACCAATGCGTGTGGGTCTGGCGGATATTCGACAGGTCGGAGCCAAGGGCAAATGGTGGCTGGTTGGTTCCAGCTGGAAGAACAACATGGTTGGAGAGGAGAGCTCACGGAAATCGACCTCCTCCACGACCGCTGACGATATGCTGGAGGCTGAGGACGAGCTGCTGAAGCTGGCTAGGAAGAACAAGATGAACACAGATGTGAGAAGGAGTATCTTTGTGGTCTTGATGAGCAGTGAGGACTATATCGATGCCTTTGAGCGCCTCATCAAATTGAACCTCAAGGAGGTACAGCAGCGCGAGATTGTCCGCGTCGTCCTCCACTGTGCTGGAAACGTAAGTCCTTAAGTCATATCTTTGTTTGATAGTGTGGCTGCTGGAGTTACAAGGCAAGTGTCACTGACATGTTTTGTCTTCATCTAATAGGAAATGGTGCATAACCCATACTACACTCTTGTTGGTCAGCGCCTTTGCCAGCATGACCACTCGTTCAAGATCACATTCCAGTACGCGCTTTGGGATCTATTACGCGAGATGGGCGCGAGCGATGTTGGTGGCATGGAGAAGGTCAAGGACGGACAGGTCATTGGTCTGGACGACGGTATCAGCAACAGCGACGGCAAAAAGGTGCCCCTCCGTCGCATCGTCAACATCAGCAAATTGTACGCCTTCCTCATCACCTCTCAGGACCTCAGTCTTGTCATGCTCAAGACTGTCACCTTCACCTCCCTTCCTGCCCAACCAACTCTTTTCTTCCAGCTCTTGATGACCAACATCATCCTCTCCTCCCAGCCTCAACAGCAGACACAAAAGCAGGAGGGGTCCAAGGAGAAACCTAAACTGAACGCCCAGGCTGTGGCAGATATCTTTATCCGCGCTGCTGTCAACCCTACACTGGCACAGGGTATCATTTTCTTCCTGCAGGCGTTTGTGAGGAAGGGCCAGGTCTGCCAGAACGAACGCGAGAAGGAGATTGTCAAGTGGGGATGCAACACTGTCCGTGAGGTCCTCCAGAGCGCCGTCAACACTGGTGGCCGCTTCTAAACATATTTTTTTTCATACCATCTATCATTTACAGTAGCTGCATTAACTTACACTAAAAAACAATTGCATTTTTAACCATCCTTCTCAAAATTCGTACCATTCTCAATGCGACATCCGAAGCTCTTTGATAAACGCAGAATGCCTGCCGGTCATTTTAACAAACTTCCCAACAACCGCTCGTCAGTGGCGAGTGAGTCCTTGGTCGTTCCAGGGCAGGTCCCGTCTTCATGCGTGGCTAGCGAAGCGCCACAAGGCCAGAAATCACCACGGGTGATGTAACCGTATCCTTGACTACAGCCACTTCGGGGGCCTGTGTAATTGGATGTCTTGTTCTTGGCAAAGATACCCTGGGTCTGCTCCCACGCGATCGTCGCGGAGCACCGAGGTTTCCAGATCAGCTCCGAGGCCTGCGCCTCCAGGTAGCCAACAAACTTGTGAAGGACTGTCTTGGCGATGGACATTGGGGTCCGGAAGACCGCGGACCATTCAGTCAACATGCTCAAGGGGGTGATGCCGCGGAGGAGATCCGACACGTTCCACATCGGTTTCTCGTCTCGATCGGGAGCTGGACTACCGCTGTGCACGGCTCGAGCTCCACCGATGGAGGAAAATCTTCGTACATGATCCGCATCCGAAGGGGGCCACCAGTGTATGGGTACTGGCCTTGGTACCTGACGACCGCTGTCCACCGTGCGTTTGTATTCCCGCTTTCTGGCTGCGTTGTAGCTGTTTGTCGCCTGCACACCCCACTCGTTAATCTTGCCCATGGCCTCCTTCCAGATCTCAGTGGTGGTCTCGGCTGCCAAGGGGCATTTCCAGACATGATCGTTATCCTCCTTCTCGAGCTCGCATCGTCGGCATACGCATGTTGGGTACAGGTTGGGCTTGCGAGCCTGCATGGAGTTCAGAGTGGGCAGCATTCCATGCAGCTTTTTAGTGTGATGTGTTCGTTGATGGGAGTCCTTGCTGTTGCTGTAAAAAGAAGTGAAGACTGCATGTCTGTTGTGGACATACGCCAAGGTCGAGTTCCATTCCACGTCCTCGATGTCAGGGATCGCCCTCTTGACCCGTCTCTGTGATGTCCAGGCTTGATGGTGACGGATTGTCGATTGTTGTTTGAGGAGCTGACGTAGATCGATTTCAACAATCCCGCCGTAACAATGTGCAAAGGTCGTGATATCCGTCTGTTGAGTGAGATCCACCATCCAGGGCACTGAACCACTCTGTGCTGCCACCTTCGCCGCCTGATCCGCAAGCTCGTTTCCATGGATGTTGCTGTGTCCTTTGACCCACACTACGTCGACCCTGCCTGGCCGAGATTCCACAACCTGCCGAAGCACCGCCCAGATACCCGCATATGTACTCCTGAATCACTTCCTCGGTAAGGTGTCCCGACGATTCTTCACCAGGCGACTATACTGTTCCACCACTGACTGATTGTCCAGCTTGACCACAATGTCCTGTTCCGGTGGTGCTGACAAGACTGTGGCTAACAAGCCCATGAGCTCGGCCTTAGCCGAGGATGCGTGACCGTCCGTTCGTCCTTGTACTGTCAGAGGGTTGTCCTGAGTGAGATCCACCACTCCAAAGGCCTGGGATACTTCTAGCGTTCCCGAGTTCAGAAGAGATCCGTCAGAGTACAGGACGCGAGGGGTGGAGTTGTCGACTTGTGTGTCCTGAACTACGCGCATGGACGCCGCCTCTACTGGAGACAGGCAAAGGGGGCCGATCTGTGTGGTCGGGGGTCCTGGTACAGGTGGTGGTTGGACTTGATGGCGTTCTTGCAAAGGAAAGCTAGCATCTGTGTCAAAGGCTGGTTTGTATCGTGGTTTCGTTTCCTTGAGGCTGGATAGGATCTCTTTTAGGCGAGCGACGACCAAGCGGTGCTGTTGACGGAGTGCTTCCTTTTCCTTTTTCTGCTGCAGTCTTCTGGCTTGGTGTTGTTGACGGAGTGCTTCCTTTTCCTTTTTCTGCTGCAGTCTCCTGGCTTGGTGTTGTTGACGGAGTGCTTCCTTTTCCTCTTTCTGCTGCAGTCTCCTGGCTTGGTGTTGTTGATGGAGCGCCTCTGTTTCTTTCTGCTGTTGCAGTTTCCTGGCTTGGGAGGGCAGGCGGTGGTTCATCCGAGGACTCACCAAGGTTTCCAGTCAAGGGGTCTTTCAGGCTCAGAAAATTGGTGGCGCTAATCTGCTGGCACAATCTACTGATCCAGACACCTGATTGTCAGATTTCTAATGGAATATCAACAGAAGTTCCTAGTTGGTCCAGTGGTCAGGATTTGTCGCTCTCACCGACAAGGCCCGGGTTCGATCCCCGGACTGGGAATTATTATTTTGCTCCTTCCTGAAAAAATTAGGGAGCTGTTTCCATTTGATATTCAGACACCATGCTTTTGGAGATATGTCAGAATATCTTTTTGTACAGTCAGAGTAGCTGCTGTGTTCACACACAATTGAAGATATTAAGAGCTTTTCCCTCAACCGACACGACCGTCTCAACCGCATGGGAGTTTTTTTCCTTTCGGTGAATCTATTTGACAAATTAGACCATCTGGCTTGCCATGTATTCAAGATTCCGCAATGGAACTCCCTTTCTTGATGGCATTATATCGGCGTTTCCTGAGTGCCTCTTTCGTCAAATCGACCCATTTCAAACAAACCTAGCAGTGGCGGATCAAGTATTTATTACGCACGTTCCCATTTCAAGTCACTGCTTAAAACAACGTTTAGATCCACTTTACTACGGTCGAACAGTTTTTTAAAAGAGAGCGCCCTATGAGTACAACATGTCTGATTTGTTATTCTGACATCCAATGTCATATTATCTTATTCCTTTTTGGTACCTTACGGTGCCCCATAGCAATAGCAATTTCCTCTCGTTGACTTCGATTTAGAGTTCAGGCTTTGCCACAGGTTGATATACACGTTGCCTACCCAGCCAGCCCCTAGCCGCGGCAACAATGTCAACGGGGTTTGTATGGCACTTTGCTTGACACATAATCGGATGTATGGCTATATATGGATCATAGACAAGGTTAAGGAGCATGCGACATAAGAGTATTGTGATAGAGAAGCAGGGAGGTGAGAAAAAGGAATGTGATCGCGTGTGCCGGCAGTTCACGGCTAGTACTAGACGTTGAATTCCGAGTCATGAACTTCGAACTTCTTGCTGGTTCTCTCTCGCTGGTAATCTCTGCTTGGAGCTTCAGCCGTTTGCTGCGTGGTCGGGCTTTTGGTGTCACCATATTGGGCTCCGCGGGAGCTGGCAACGGTTAGTTTTCAATAATGGGCAATGATTATCGATAAACCATGGCCATGGTCAGATGTCGAAAATCCAATGGCACCATTTAAAGGAAAATAGAAGGAAAACACTATGGGGCACACCGTATAAGGCCCCAAAAATGGGTGGCAACGTATCTTAACCATCTCCTTTCTTTTTTTGGTGTTTTTGGCAACCTGGGCTGCTCGTTTGTTTGACAACCCCTTATATTTCCTACGTTACGTCCATGCTGCTATTATTATATCTTCACATCGATAACGTACTGATAGTGACACCAAAATACAAAGAAGGGATTCTTGCAGGGCGGTGTCTGAGACATTGCAAAAAAAACGCCTACCTCAACAATGAAGGCAAGGTTCCAGGAAACAATCAGTTTTCTAATAGAGCATGGAAAGATAACTGACATGGATGGGTTGGGAAGCATTGACTAGTGTTACATAAATCTCCATTTTCGGAAAAATAACTTTGCACTGACTTGGCGCAGAACACACAGAGGGCTGTCAAATAAAACGAATAAACTAGGTTGCCTAGTAGATTAACCCTTCTTTTTTGTAGAGAGTGGTGCTGATCTTCATTGCCTTCCTGAGAGTGGGTTGAGTTGAGACTCTTTCTCACACTGCTGCCGCTTCGCTTTATTACTGATCTTTTTTTCGATGGTTGAATATTAGAGAACGCGTCCAGGCTATTCAAAGCACCTAATTGGTCCTGTGCGCTACACACCGTTGCAGTCTTCTTTGAGGAATACGCTTGTGTTGCCAAGTGTTCGTTGTAAACTCTGTGATTTTCACAGCAACAACCTTTACATATCCTCACCACTCCTAGCAACGTCCCCTAGCATGAACGACGTACAATTGTCCAAGATTGGGCTGCAGATCGATCCGTTGATGAGTAGTTCTCTGGAGTTGATTACGAGAAGAGACCGCCAGGCGCGCGATAGCCACCGATCGATATATTTGTTGTGTGCGACCTAAGATAGAGTGAGAATGTGTTAGTGGACTGGAAGTTGATGGACGAAGAAAGGGAGGGTAAAGGTGAGGGAAAGGTGAGTGGGAAAGAAGAATGGAACAGAAGTCGTGGCTGAAGGTGTGAATGAAAAGAAAGAAAGAAAAAGGAAGGATACGATCAGCAGAGCGCTTTCAAATTTGTTTCTTTGTCAGGCTCTCTCCCTTGTGAGTCTCCCATGGCGCCAGTTGGTTGGTCTTTGAGAGACGATGTGTTTGAGTGAGCTTTTTTTCTGCGACGGTTCAAAAAACATAGCAGCCGACTCTATGTGGATCAGGAAAAAAAGAAACAAGTTGATTCACTAAAAAAATAGGGGCATGCACTCACTTCAAAAACAGACCAGAACAACATAATTTGCGCTGTGCTGCGAATGTAAAAGGGAGCGTTCAGAGGAACAGCTGGACTGGCGCAACCATCAACGTGCATGCAGAGAAGAGCACAATAAGTGGTTGAACGCATCAAGTGAGAGAATATGCTTTCTCAGTAAAAGCAAAGAGCGTGTGCGTGTGTGAGAGAGCAGGTCTTGTTGAATATAGTGCATGCGAAAAAGGGGTGGCATATTGGTCACTGCATCTCTCTTTTTTATAGTTCAAGGCACCAATTTTTTCCAGGGATGAAGCATAAGCATGGAGATTCGTGGAAAAGGACTATCAAGGAACGATCGTTGCTGCATGTGGTAGCTCAGTGCACATACAACGCGGTAAAAATGTCGTATCCACATATGCATTCACTTATTTAGCCTCTCTTCCCAAATGGCACCTCAAGCAAAAGTGCAAACATGGGTAATATGCCATAGGCCAAGGCCTGAGAACCGAATGTAATTGGGATCCGCATCGCCGCCTTTCTATCCTTTTGGCGAATCCCGTTGGGTATTCTTCGGCCCTTTTCCGTCCCTGTTGTTGCTGTTTACCTTCTTCTCCCTGCGCGTACCTAAAAACAACGCAATACGTTTCTGCATCTCAGTATTCAATAATTATTGCCAAAGTAATAGTCAAAACGACCAAAATCGTTCAAAAGGAAGTAAAGATGCTAAGAGGGTGTGTCGCCAAAGAAAGCGGAGCACGAACTATTACAGGTGACAAAGATCGAAGCAGCGTAACAACCTAAACACAAAGCGTACACCACCACTCAGTTATTGCACACAAGAGACACCGATTTGATTAATCGCACTAGAAGAAAAAAAATGAGCGTGTGGAATGATAGCCGCATGAGAAGAGAATTGAAAAACGTGAGATGAGGCGAGACAACGCGGGGAAAGAAAAGGCAAGAGTATGCATCGAAGGAAGGAATCGGGAACTAAACCTCTATGGATAATGGTGTGCTAGAAGAAAAATAAAAAAGACGGACGGAATACACTCAAGCTGTAAATGTAAGAGCCATAACGGGACCAGCATTGACAAGGAGACAACTGCACAACGACAAATCAATATCAAGAGTGCCAAGGGCAATCGGCGCCTTTTTTTATGCCTGAAATTTGGTGGCGTTTGTCAATTGACACAATTCATTGCTGGATCATAGCTGACAGAGCCCGACAGGTATATGTGGGGAAAAGCTACTTAGGCACACTAGCAAGAGGTCCCACACGGTTACAACTAGACCGGAAAAGCTTGAGGAGGAGGAAGAGGAATAGGGAGAGGGTGTGGTCTCAACTAGATCACTGGTGACGACAAAATGTATGCACATCATCGGGCGCACGGTAAAGGTTCTCAACCTATGTGAATGTGATAGAAAGCAGGCGGAATATACTGTCCTAACGTTCACTCTAGGTATCCTTTTATACTATCTAGTTACACTACAGCTACGACGACTGAATTGAAAAGAGTGGGAAGAAAAGTGTAAAAAAATAAAAGGACCGATGACTCGGGGTTGAACATACAAACAGGTGGGAGCCAGGCTTCATCAAAAAAAGGGCCATGAGGTTGGTGACAACAGGAGAGGGCGAAAGTGAATGTGAAGGGAATCATCAACGAGAGAAAGGAAGAGAAGGGAAAAAAAAGATGAGAATGTGAAAGTGTACAAGAAAAACATTAAGAGCATTGAAAAGAAAAGACAATCAAAACAAACGAAGGTTTATCCGGGTAGACGACCGAAACAAAGCTCTTTAGGCCGTAGAAAGTATGAAAGAAAGGAAAGTCAAACATGCTTTTTTTTTATACAATTTATTTCTCTAACAAAAGCACAGAAAAGGCATTTGGAAGTAAAAAGGGACAACGGACCAACTTTGAGTGCGCCATCCACCAAGTGCAATTCGGTCCGAAACCTGGCTCTGCACAACAATTGTCGCTGCTCTTCACAGCTTAAACGGAAGAAAATAAAACTAGATACGAATGAAGGGGATTCTTCCCATCCTCTCCATCATTGACAACCTCCTCCTTCCTAACAAACTCTCCAACAACCGCTCGTCAGTAGCGCGTGGGTCCTTGGCCGCTCCAGGGCACCTTCCATCATCATATGTGGCTAGCGAAGCGCCACACGGGCAGAAACCTTCATGCGTGATGTAACCGTATCCTTGGCTCCAGTCACCTCGGGGGCCTGTGTACTTGGATGTCTTGTTCTTGGCAGAGATACCCTGGGTCTGCTCCCACGCGATCGTCGCGGAGCACCGAGGTTTCCAGATCAGCTCCAAGGCCTGCGCCTCCAGGTAGCCAACAAACTTGTGAAAGTCTGTCTTGGCGATGGAAATTGGGGTCCGGAAGATCGCGAACCATTCAGTCAACATGCTTATGGGTGTGATGACGCGGCGAAGGCACCACTGACTGACATTTTTTCAGGCTTTTTTTTTTTTTCGTACGCGATTTTATTTTTCTCAGAAACAGCTCGTGCTGGTAATCCAAACATAAGGAACTATTAATGTGGACCCCATCCCAGTTTGCCATCCCCAAGTCACAGTCCGGTTCTTTTAACACTGGCTCTGCGCAACAATCGCTGTCGCTCTTCACGACAGAAACGGAAGAAAATACCAAAGCTATCTATCTAGTTATTACTCTCAACTAAAACGCCTTCATAAACAACCAGGAGATAGCAAAAGTACTTCCTCCCTGTGTCGTTTTTCAAGTGGACGACGCCACCTCCATCCATGCACAATTTTTTCCGGCATTTTTTTTTTTTTTTTTTTTTTTTTTTTTTTTCGTTTTTTTTTCTTCGGCATGGAAAATTGGTGGCGCTAATCTGCTGGGACAATTTACTGTTCCAGGAACCTGATTATCTGAATCCGACTAGCAATCATCAGCAGAAGTTCCTAGTTGGTCCAGTGGTCAGGATTTGTCGCTCTCACCGACAAGGCCCGGGTTCGATCCCCGGACTGGGAATTATCTTTTTCCATGAGGATGACTGACTTTTTTGTGAGGGTCGATGCCTATCTATCCTCGTTCGTCTTTACATCCACTTTCCTTTTGCCACTCCACCCTCTCTTTCAACTTGCTTTCTTCACTCTTTTCCCAACTTCGACATTCAACACTTACTCTGCATACACACAATGGTTATACTGGAGTCGTACTGGGGCACACCGATTTCTATATGAGAGGAAATGACAAATGGGCGATGCACTAAAAGGATGGCTTGGGGTGAAACCCTTGATGTGACCTTCTGAGCAGAGGGATGCCAATGGTGGTTCATGCACTCCTTTGGCTGGTGGTCATGCAGGTGCGCCCATGGGTCTATGTGGACAGCAGCGAGACTTGGTCTTCTGGCCTGCCATGGGAGTTGTGGCCCGTTGATTGGGTTCCTTTACATCTTGTTTTCATTGTCTTCTTCATCCTCTAATGTCTTGGGCGAGTCGCTTCATGTCAAATGAGCGTTCATCTCCCAGATGATCAAATATCTGATGAAATGGCCAAGATAGGGTTGCGCAAGAATTCAGGCCCAAGACAACGCTAATAAACCTTGAGATTTTCAATTGAATCATGTATTCGTACTTTCAAACCAACTCAATCAATTCAATCTACGCAAACATCGAAGACGAAAGAGGAAATGTTACATGTATCCAAGGATGATAGAAGACCATGCCCCATTCCACCTCCGCAAGGCCTTCAGATCCAACACGCCACTCAACTCAACCACCTGGACCATTTTTGACAACGCAAACGCATCCAGTTCCATATCTTTGGGTGATGACTCGAGAATTTGTTCCATGACTCGTGAGATTCTGAGGAACACTCTGCCGCGGTTGTAGTCCAGGCAGATGACGCGATACAGCAATGCGCGGTCGATCCTACTCAGTTTTTCCAGGTTCCAGAAATCTAGGTTGTTGGGAAAAGAAAAAAGATGCACGATGAGTCAACAGTTGCTAGCAAAGGCAAATAAGTCATTGAGCAAGCAAAGCAAAAGGTAAAAGGTTACCTCCGTTGTCTGTAGCGGGACGAGCGAGTTCGACGAACAGGGCCGTGGTCTCCTTGAGCAGCAACCCTCCGCAATCTTTCAGCAGTCTCTTAAAGTAGCCCGTGAGTGTAACAGGGTGTACCGTCTGGATTGGATCCCGGTGCCTTATATCCTTCTCCTGCAATTCCTTCAAGTAAGGGATCACTCCACCAGCCCGGAAGACCGCCTGAACCGCATTTACGCTCGACGATAGCCGGAACCATGTGGGTGATTGGTGCGCGTCAGGTCTTTCGCGGACACATTTCTCGAGTACCCACAGAACTGCCAGGAGTTCATCGCGGGACTCGTCGGCAAGGACGTCTCTGCAGGGTGGTTCAGAAACCGAAGGGTAGTCCAGACTCATGCGTCGGAAAAAGTGGAAGATGTTGCGGGCATCCAATTCGTGGTGCGTGGTGTCGAATTTTGTGAGGCGGTCCATGAGCGGGTCCCAGACAGGGTGACGCTGCAGGCCAAAGAGGTCCATGTTCTCGTAGGCGGATGAGTAGCAAGTCGCTGATAGCGTTGTTGGTGACGAGGAGTTTGATGAACAGGATGTCAACGAAGGGGTACATCCTGACGACGACGGGGATGAGGTTGAAGAAATGGAGGATGCACCTGAAAGAGATGATCCGTCGCGTACACGTCCACTCGCCACTGTGACGACAGGTCTCAAAGGTGCCACCCGGTCGTCATGGTCCACACCATTAAGGCTCAACCTAAATGACCCTTGTCCCTGATGACTGCCGGCACTATCAGCAACCCCACGCGTCATCTGTTGAGCTGTAGCAGCTGCTACAACCGGTTCCTTAGATTCCTCCTCCTTAAACACGGCCTCAAACTTTCGGATAGCTTCCTCATTCGCATCGCGGATCTCCTTCCCAGTCGGCGCAGGGGTACTGTACTGATTATACCGCAGCTGAAAGGGCTCCTTCTCGCACTCCTGAGCTTGCGCCAACACCATCGCCAGGATCTCGTGTGATTTCTCCGTCGCTGTCGCATCAACTTCAACAATCGCTCGGATGATGCGGTACAAGTCTTTGAACTCTTCATGTAACGACGACGCCGCACTCTGGAGTGAAAATTCGTACAGGGTCATGAACGAGCGACAGGCCCACCCGCGGAGATGGGCTTTGCGGCGCATGATGTCGACCCGCCACTGGTTCTCGAGATGTAGGCGTTTTTCTTCTTGCTTGGTCAGCGGAACGGGGGAGATGGCGAGGTTGGATGGGTGGGCCATGAACTGCGAGCTCGATGAAGAGACTAGAGGGTGCCCTCCTACAATACTTCCTCCTCCTCCGCCTCCGATCGCCGAGTGCCTGAAAGAGTTGATCACCGTCTGGATTGATTGTGGGAGAAAACCTCCACCTCCACCTCCATTTCCACCCACACCGCCTAATCCCGCAAAGCTGTAGTGACTTCCTCCGCTATGATTGCTGCCGGCGCTACTGCAACCACCACTGCTAGTTGAGCTCAAGAAGCTGCTAGTGAACGTATGCGTGATCGACGACTGGTAATGGGAATCTGGCGAAGTCGCCTGGCTGTACGACGTGGGTACACCTGCAGGGAACCCTGACAGGAAAGGTGTTCCATCTGGGTAGGAAGAGTAGTACGGATGACTGTACCCGCCTTCGGTACTATTACCCCGGGCAGATTGCGCAGAGTGTAGTGAGATGGGTGAAGGGATACTCTGCTTGATCGACGTGATCATGCTCGCGATGGTTGGTCGACCTCCAGGGACAGACGTGTGATGACGATGCTTCTTGAACGGCGAAGCTACCGACGAAGGAGTTAAAAGTGCCTGTTGTTGGTTCGAGATGTGCTTTTGAGGGCTTTGGATATGCAGGTTGCTGCCATTGAGGAGATGACCACCGTTGCTAGTGTTGATGTTGTGCATGGCACTCGCATGATGAGCAGGTCCCTTGGATAGAATGCCATTTTTGATGTTGTTTGCAGTAAGCTGTATGACACGATTGGGAGGCATGATGACAGGAGGCGATCGAACTCCGGGGCGGGGTTTGGTATCGCGGGCAAAGTTGTCCGGGTGACCAAAGGGCCGCTCCAGCTGGTCATAAATCTCGTTCATGGCCTGAATGGCACATCCAATGTCGGCCATCACATAGTCCTGGTACTCCTTGAGAGCCCGGATGTTCTGATGCCTGAAGCTGCGCTCCTTCTATTCTCACCCAATGTTTGAGCATAAACGACAGTTGGTAAGAATTGAGTGTACGGTTGCTATGCGGCATTTTACAACATAAGTAGAGTTGCCGAGCGCAAAGATAACAATTGCTTACGAATTGAAGAGATCTCCATAGGATGTTGAAGGGGATCGACTTTGAGTGTGCACTGGAAATGAATGGATACAGACTGGCCGATGCCCGCATGAGAATAATAATTGCTATTCGTAACACAAGTAACAATAATGACATGGGACACGTGTTAGTTAGATATAGAGGTCAATGCAACGAAAAATGAGAGAGAGAACTTACAAAAGTCAAGGACCTCCTCGAGGACTTCCATGTCCTCCAGCTCTGGTCGATTCTTCTTCTTGGCTCCTGCATTCGGATAGCTGGTTGTAATATTGTCTCGACCTTCCTTCTCGGCCTTCTCAACATCGGCGCCACTGATAGTCGTGCGGGCTTCATGGTTGGGTCGGATCCAAAGACCAAACGCCTCGTCCTCGTAATATGATGTCGGTATTGTCTTGTTCAGCTCCCAATTGACAATCTTGTCGTCATCGACCATGTCCCATGAAGACCCGTTGTGCTGGTGACGACCGTGCTGTTGCTGTTGCGTTCCTGTAGGATATCCATAGTCGTCAACACCCATGTCGTGGTCCATAGGTGAGAGTGGCAAATTGTTGCTGCCCTCCTTGGTGTGGTTGTTACTGGTGTGCTGCATTGGCATTGAGCGAGAGGGCGAGTGAGGTAGGTGTGGTTGTGGACGGCTGTCAGGGCTGAAAATGCTGGCCAAGAGCGATGATTTGGGTGCCTTGGGCGATATTAATGATGCTGAAGAGTCCTTTTTCGAGAACAGCATCGTCCCTGTCATCTTTGCCATCTTGATGCCAGAGGTTATCGACTCCTTGGTCAATGATGAGATGGAAGTCGAAGACAAGGACGAAGCTGCTTCTGTATTACTAGAAGCAGACTTTATACTCGTGTCACTCCCGGGCTTCTTGCTTCCCAGCAACGACCCGCTAATCGCCAGGAACTCGCCAAACTTCTGTCCCACGTTTCCTCCTCCTCCCCCGATACCACCTCCTCCGCTCTTATTCTGGGGGCTCCCGTTGCTTATCTTTCTCTTGCTGGATAAGAGTCCGCCTCCATTGCTGCTGGCGCTACCAAGACTTCTGGAGCTGTTGATACTCTCTCCACTGCCATGTCCACTGCTACTGCTGCCGTTACTGCTCTGTCTCATCGAGTTTCCTCTCTGCAAGGTGATAGTGTTGTTGCTGGTGTGGTTGTTGCTGCTGTTTCCGGAAAGGAACGGCGCTACTCCTGCTGAATGAGACATATCCTGGTCGCGGTCACCGTTAGTGATGTTCTTGTTATTGTTGGCTCGGACAACTCTCTCCTTGACTGACATGGCTACAGGTGGCGATACATCGGAATTAATTCTTGCAGTCTGCAGAGGTGGTTTTCCAGGAGGAAGAGGTGTTGAAGGGGCGGTGCCCACGGGTGAGCAAGGGACGGCAGCCACGGGTTTACGACGCACACTGGCAGATCGCGGGGTCTTCACTGAGGTATATATCTCCTGTGCGCTGCCTCCTTGTTGCATCTGCGAGATGCCTTCGGAGCCGGTAGTAGGTTTCTGGGTCGTGATGGTCAGTGGTTTGTGAGAGCGTAAGGAACGAGTTCTTTGCGCTGTACGCGTGTTCATGTTCGCTGCACTGGTATTGGTGATGTTGTTGTCGTTTGCGGCGATGAGGCGGGGGAGAGGGACTGGTGGCTGTTGTTGGTGTTCTAGTGGTTGGTTGAGGGTGCGTGTGCTGGCACTTATGGCCTTTGAGGAGTTGCCGTTGATTGAGCTTGTCGCCAACATGTTTGTGCACTGGTAGGTGAGATATTGCCTATTACAAGGATGTAGTGAAGGGAGAGAGATGGGGGGGGGGGGGGGGGGAAGAGTGAGCGACGCGAAAAGATGTGTTGTGCGTAGTGAATGGGTGGAGAAGGCAACGAAGAAGCACGGGAGAAGCTGAGTACGCCTCAAGTCCTCCGAAGCTGTTCGACTTGGGGTGGCTCGCCGACAAAATGGACCGCCTTTGTTGGTTTGCGTGGTCCAATACTACTATCCACAGGAGAGTTGTCATTCTTTTTTGTCCTTTCTTTCTTCTTTGTCTGCAATTGGGGATGTAGATGTAGGTGGAGTACATGTACGCCCAAAAGTAGGCATCAAAGGATCGTATGGGGGATGGTTGGTTTTCTTACCTTGCTTCTGTGAGAGTAAAGACAGGGCGTTATGAAGGAGAGACTGACAGGGATCGGTGTAAGCGGTGAAGGGACAAAGCGAGGTGCCAACTGTCAAGAAGGATGTTGAGGGACGTGAAAGAAGAGAGAGAATAGGAAGTATAGATTGTGGGCCAGTGCAGGGACTGCAGGGAAGGGGCGGTCGTTAAAAATTTAAAGTAAAAAATATGTCCTGAGAGTATGCAGTTGGAATGAACACTTCGCAAACAATGAAGAACGAATTGTTAATGAGGGTGATGAAGGGGGTGTAGGCAAAAGGAGCAAAGGAAAGGGAGAAGAGAAGGCAGAAACAGCTCAATTGACGGTTGTGTACAATGGTCATAACTATTGTCCGTTTCTGTTTCCCCTTTCAAGAAGCCTTATTATTTCCTTATTCCAGTTTACACGCTTCTGGCTTCCATCTTCCCCCACAGCCTCCGTATGTGTATATGTATATGTGCCCATTCAACCCAGCGGACATGCTCACAATGATGGAGATGAATACCGTTGACCGCTTCTATCAGGGCGCATAAGAATCTGTATTGGGCACTCGTTTATCTCTCCTCTTTCAGTTACCGCACTGCCATCGTATTTTCCACATGAATCAAGCAAGGCTTCTGTTAATAGCTGCAAGTTGTATAATATTATTATCGAAGTTTAGCATCATACTCAACATTGCCCAAGGATGTGCTGGCGGACCCAGGTAGTCTCTTCGACAATCCATTCATGGTCCCCATCTCCATCCTCCTCATCCATCTCATCCGCGCACACCACCTCCTGGAAACCCTGTCCATTCTTGTACCCAGCCATTGAACTTAAATGTCGCCCCGTATTCCCATGCTCCAACCATATCATATCCTTCCACCTCAGCAACTGCCTGCCAGTCTCTTCGTGCTTCGTAGAAGGCGAGTAGGAGGGTGAGCGGTGAAGGATCCAGTCGTTGTCAGAGTCCTCGTACTTGCACCCACTGACTTCGCTCCGGTCTTCATCGTCGTGGTGGCAGTTACTTGGTTGATGGTCCCGAGACGAGTGCAGAAACAGAGTTGACGAGGGTGTCGATTTGTACACCATCGTATGGTACCCGCACACCGCTGGGGGTGAAGAAGGACACTGTCCTATCACAGCCATATGTTCCCCTTCGTCTTCTTCCCCTGGCGGCAATGTCCGCCGCCGTGAACCACATACACAGGAGAGGATCATATCTTCTTCCAGTTGTACCCACTCAGCCTCATGCCCTGAATGGTCCGACGTCTCGCGACATCTTTGACAAAGGTACCCACCAACCCCTCCAGCACTTCCCTCGCTCGAGTAGCAGTCACTATCATTGACAGCAACAGAGATATTGTTAGTTCTCTGCATACAACAATGACAGGTATAACAGAAACAAAGAACAAGGACCTTACCTGCAGAAGGAGACCCACTCGCCAGCACGGGCAATGTATCGGCACCTCAGGACGACATTGGTCCCTCCAATACGTTCATGCTGTCGACAATGAGTCGCACACCGGAACGCGCTGTTCTCACCACACCCACACTGCAAATCTTCTAACCCTCCAGCCACTGTTGCCAGTCGTCGTTCATATGAATGGCCCTCGTGAGCTTCCTTGACAAAGCACCCTTCACAGAACACCCACTTTGCATCTATCTGACACGACTATTTCGTTGTATTTCGTTGAGTGTAAGGAAAGGTCGTAGATGTTAGTAAGAAGAAGGGGCGTCGCAGTTCAATTGATACTCCTCAGTGCATAGTTACCTGGCATCGGTAGTAGAACATGCCGTCCTTGATCTTTGTGGCGCACAACACAGTCTGTCGATTATGATCATCCCAACACCTCAATTCTGTCCCTGCCACCAATCCTTCTGACACAGCCTGATCCTGAAAGATACCAGGATCTCCGCAACGGCAATACAGCCCCTCATTCCAATGGTTCACAGCCTCCTCAGTCTCATGGCCCACATGCTGTGCCGGAACGAAGCACCGTCCACAAATCCAAACATCCTCGTTGTTCTTGGATACATGACATGTCCGACATCGAAACATGACTTCCTGTCTCTGGAAGAGATAGCTGCAATGGTGCGACTGAGCCACTGGTCGGAATTCTTGTGGGAGGTGGTAGTTGCAATCAAACGCCTTCTTGAATAAACTTGGGTCGCCACATCCGCATCTCACAACAACATCCTCCTCCACTTCAGCTTCATCCTGCTGCTGCTGCACCAACGGATGCATAGAACCGGTGCTGCCTCCGAACGCGCCCTGACTGATCCCGAGTCCGTCAACAACGGAGGCCAATGCGTCATCTGCCAATCCAGTGCTGCCGCCGCGTTTGCCGTGTATGTCACTCGAGAACTGGCCAGCACGCCATTGGTGGGTCACACAGTCGGAGGCAAAGAAGCATCTACTGCAAAGGGCCACACCGTCATGAGTGCTACAGTCCTGACAGTGGTAAACATCTTCGTCCTGTTGGAACACGTGCATGCATCGATGCTCTTCACTGACAGTCGCCGCCGTCGTGGTCAGAGTGTCGTCTGATTCCGTAACCGTTGAGTTGTGACCAGTTGGAATGGTCCTGAGACGATATTCAACCTCTAGTTCGCCTGGACTATGGTAAGTGCAGATCAAGTCGTCCCTATAGGAATAGCCATCTTCACAGCTACAGCTGGATCCTGCCTCTGCCAGTTGTACCACCACATCGTGTTTGTAGTGGTTATGCTATTGGAGAAGTACACGATTCAGTAGAGTAAGCGCGTCAGCCATTTGAGTGCCGCTGTACTTCCTCTCTTTGCAATTGAGCTCCTTGTCACGACTTACCGAGTGGAAGCATCGGACACACAGGGCCCTGTTATCCTCTTCATCGATCAAGCAAGACTAGAGAAAGTGGAACAGCCAGTGAGTAAAGCATATCACTGCCGCCATCATCAAACAGCATGAAGTGAACTGACAAAGAGGTCTCTTATACCTTGCACTTGTAAATAGTTTCGCCTGGAAGGAACATAACCCCGCATGGTCGCCCCTTTGCAAGCCCAGAATACGCCCGTTCAGGTTCTGCGCTATGTACTGAACAATGCAAGCCATGACCGTGGCCATGTTCCTTGAGTCTCGCTGGATCCCCACACATACAGACAGAGTCTCCCCAAGAGCACTGCAGATACATCGAATGATCGGCATGATCCGAAGCTATCCACAACAACATAGTAAAAAATGATTACTGTCAGTCACATTACTTCAAACATCTCGCCTGAAGCAACAATATCTATCGCCTTACCCCGGAAGCACTGCATGCACAGAACGTCGGCAGGACACGTCCGACAAATGACATACGTCTCGCCATAAGGCAAAACATGTCCACATGCTCCACCTCTTGCCCGAGGGAGGTACTCTGGCAGCTCCATGATCGCATTACGTGTCGAGTACCAGTACGACACCAACCATACTCGATCTCCGTACGCAATCTTCCATTCCTTTTGCTTCCCAGCCCTTGTCCTTGCGACGACAGTATCCCTTGCAGGGAGGATCATCCATTTTGAAGCCGTGTATATCTTATTATCGCACGCCACTAGGAGTCACGATTCAAAAAAGCTCAGTCGTTAATTGGGTGTTGCAGGTATCGGTCATGCTTAACCATTGTTGCTCGAAGACAACAGAGAGAACTTTACCAACGTTCTGATGGGACGATCCGGTATGGGTGGACAGCCAATCCCAGATCCAGGCATACTGCAGGCTGTTGGCGTGACGCAGATAAAACGTCCATCCAAACTGCACCACCGCCTTGTCTTTATCCTCACTCTTTCTCTGCATTGTGCCTATACTTCCGTTAGCCGCTGTCTGTTCAACTCCTGCGCCGTTGCTCATGCCCTGGAACAACGACATTGCACTTCGCTTGGTTCCACGACTGCTCGACCTGTTGCTACCCATTGACTTCCTACTTGAATATCCATTGTTCAACATACATTCAAAAGTTAGTCCCTCGACAGTGCTTTTTAGACAACCCTGAAATAAGAAAACGAACCTGGAGGTCAGAGCTGAGTCATCCTGAGAATTGCGCCGTCCACGCTTCGACATCAAGATATCGGCAATCTGCTGCTCCAACTCTGTCGGCGCCTCCATCGCCTGGCTACTACTCGGCCGACGCGTGCTACTTATACTGGCACCGCTGGTATTACTGATCCTGGAATCATCCCCCGCCGCAGGGTGGATCATCAACTCTCGTCCGTTTAGCGCCACAGTCGGATGGTTGGTGATCGAGTACCGCTTTGACCGCAGACTCTTTGCTGAAGCTGGCTGTTGCTGCTGCTGAGCATTCGCCGTTGTCGTGTTTGCCGTCGTTGTTGCTGTAATGTTTACGGCCGGAGCTGTAGCAGCTAGGGTTTGCAAGAACAAGATCGATTCCGATTGTTGCATTTCGTCCAGGTTCTCGAGCACCGAGAGTGCTTCTGGGCTTGGGATACAGCTCTCCAAGTATCCTCTCCGTACCTGATCTACCGCCAACAAGAACTCTGTATAATCCTATCGTAGTTTTTCAGTGCCGTGAGAGGCGCGCGGTTTTAATACCTGCAGTGTTTCAGCTTTCAAGGTGCACAAGCAACAATAAATATTTACATTCACAATAACCAGCAACCAATGTTGATTACCTTGATGTGAGGAGCTGCTTTCGAGAGCCCAGAGCTTGATCCCTCTACAAGTGAAGCACCACCACTACCATTACTGCCACCACTAACTCCGTTCTTGGCTCCAGACAGCCGATTCTTCAACAGCGCCTGCCAATGCTCATCCAGCGCACTCAAGTGGTGCTCCTGCAACGCCGCCGCATTCGCAGAATAATACTCCAAATACAGCCCTCCACCTGGCACCACCATCCCTCCCCTTTCACTCCCCTTTTTCACCTCTACTTTCACCTCCTCCTTCTTTCCACCTCCTTCCCTCTTTCCCACTTCATTTTCATCGGCTTCCGTGACAACACAAGGTCTCCGAAACTCTTTCATCACCCGCTTTAGCCCCAACCCACCACCACCTGCTCCCCAAAATCGCGCCTCAATCTCCTCACAGGCAATCGATTGCGCCCGCAAGTGGACCATTGCCAAAGTATGCCACGGCAACGGGATCGGCCTCTTGTCTAAAAACGTATTCATCTCTCGATGGTATGTCCGCATCCCGATACTCAATGCTCGTTCCCGGATCAGGTTCTGTAGTGTCGTTTGCAGCTCTTTGAAGTTGAATCGCTGTTGTTGTAGTTGTAGCGGAGGGTGGTGAAGAGAAGGGTGAAGGTGTTTGTTCAGTTGTGCCTGACATGCCTGTATCCTGCAACACAAGATCGCTCCTATTGTAAAAAAGGGCGAATGCTCAACGTCAATTCAAGGTCAACGACTTCTGTTGCACAGACAAAAAAAATAAAAGAACAGACTTACCAGAGAACATCTTAGGATACTCCACCTCACATTCCTCCACGCCAGACCCACAGCCATCAAACGACATCCACAGCTTCCGGATCCATTGATATCGCTTCTCGGCCTTGTTGTCGTCAACGCTATAATCACACAAGATCCGGAACGTTCCCGTCGCGGCCTCGGCCCGAATCGCATCAACCTCTGACCCCCTTCTACTCCACTCAACACCCACCGGCGTAGGTGCTTTACAGTTCACACCATCAAACACCTTGCACACTGTATCCAACACCTTCCAGCTATCTCCTGTTTGTTCGATGTCGTCATAGTCGTCAAGGACACTCTCCAGGACGGCTCGTCCTTCGTTCTCGTCACCGTCATCCAGATCCTGGTCCTTATCTACGATATTCTGTCCGACCCAACGCCATTCCAAGACCGCCTTCTCTCTTGCATCATTCCTTCCTTTACGATCCCCAACAAGAGGCTGCACCAACCCGACAAGTCTCTCAATATCCTGCCGTGTCGCTTCCAGACCAGGAGACATAACCGTCAGATACGTCGAGCAAAGACTCAATAGCGACCAGACGACTCTTTCAACTCCTTCCATATCCTGATTGGCCAATCTTTCGTCAGCAGCCGTGTCATCATCCGCAAGGTCTTCGTTGTTGTCACCCCCAAATAATAGATGCAACCTCCTCACAGCCTTGGAGTCTCCTCCTCCTGTTGCTGCTGCTACTTCGTCATCATCCTGAGAAGTATCAGGCGGAGAGATCCATCCCCAGACACCCATCGAAAACCCTGTTGCTATCTCCTGTCCTCCAGATGTCGTCGTAGTCGTCGTTGATGGTTGAGCATTCCATCCATATACATCCTTGAATGCCGTCCACAACGCATCCCGCACCTCCCGATCCTGACTCACTAACCAATAGAGGAAAAAGAAGGAAAAGTGAGACGAGGAAGGTATTTGATGTTTCTGATCATTTCATCGCTTGATCAAAACACAAACAAACGGACAACTCACAGTAAGAGATAACGACGATTGGCTGGGTAATGTCTTCAAGCAGCGTCCTGGTGGATTCAGGGACTTCAAGGCTCCATGGACTCGCAACTGGAGAGGTTGGCGACGACAAGGAGGACGAGGACGAGGACGACGGAAGTCGAACCCTGACCAACTGGAACACTGTCTCCATGCCCTGTACTTTTTTTTCTTCCTTTTTTTGTCACACAAACAAACAACTGTTTTCGCCTTGGTCAGAATATAAAACCGGCTCGTTAGACTGATGACCGTTCTTGAATGCCGATGTACAATGAAAGAACTTGTCAATGAAGGACAAATGGAGACGAGAGGGGAAACGAGAGGGGAAACGAGTGAGTGTGAAAAGGGAAGTGTGAAAGAGATAACGAGAAAGGGGAGAAAATGGGAGCATGCAGTAAATAAGGGCACGGTGTCGAGGAATAAGACAGGTTCATGTTTGCATCGACCTCCTTGTTTTTTGTCGCAATATTTTTCTGCTCACACTCTTGCACAATTTCTAATCCCAGCCGTTACGAATCATGCCATGGAATGGTCGGATAGCGCGTCGTAAACAAGCCAGCGTGTGTATTTTTTTTCTCGTTTTATTGAGCAGAACCACAAAACCGTCCTCACGACGATCTAAATTCAGTTCTTGGGCTTGCCGCCAAAGTGAAGTCCTTTGGTCGGGTCCCATCCTCTGTTATTCTGTTGTCCGCTCGTTGGTGCAGGAGGGTAAGCTGGTGGAGGAGACGTTGACTGAGGCTGGTGCTGCTGCTGCTGATGGTGTTGTTGCTGTTGTTGATGTTGAACATGCCCCTGTGCCTGTGCCGGCTGCTTCTGCTGAAACTGCTGCTGAAGTTGCTGAGCAAAGTTCTGTGGTCCCCCTCCCGCAGAATCATCCATGTACCCACGACTGTTGTTTGGCGTGCTGTAAGGACTGGGTCGACTGTGGTCAAATGCTGAAATCGGCACCGTTCCGGAATGGGGAGGAGTGGTTGTTGGTGCTGCAACTGGTGATCCTCCAAAGCGAACTCCAACACTCGGATTCCATGCGCCGCCTCCTGACACTGGAGGAGGCGCGCTCGCTACCTCATAGGGCGAGGTCTGGACGGGAATCTGCGGTTGTGTCCGGTTCAAATCCATCGCCGACATTCCCACCGTCACCTCACTATTGATAGTACATGTGTAAACGACATCATTAGTTTTGAGGCTTCAAATCGACAACACATCAATGTCCTAACAGCGGACACCCAACAAGGCATTGGGTCGTACCTCAAGTAGTCCTTGGCCTCCATCTTGCGGGCGAAAAAGTAATCTCGGCAGTTATCACGCAGGCGTACTAAAATCTTCTCGAAATCTCGGTGGAACTATCACACATAACAAACACAACGGTCAAGTAAGAGGCTTGCACTCGTACATATGCTGCATCGAGTCTCACTCAAGCAATAAAAAAAGAGGGAGAGCATCGAGGTGTAGCATACCTGGGTGCCCTCCTTGAAGTTGGCGAGGATACCCTTGTACTTTTGGAACGCAGCGTCCAGATTTTGAAGTGCCTTCTCGCGCTGGTGAACCATAGCATTACTTCTCCTCGACGCAACGAATGCCTTGTTTGTTTCCTACACAAAAAAGTAATCAGCGGCATAATAAGTTAGCGTGTGTAAGGCGTCACAGCCTCATTTTACAGAGGAACATAGTGCAAGCATGTAGCGGATGGAAGACGTACCTGGATGGCTTCCATAAGGTCTTCTTGAGTGGCGGTCTCCTCCTTGACGAGTCGCTTGTATCCATCATACTTCTTCAATTGTTCCTGGAAGAGTGCCTCAAAGTGGGCGGGCTCAATCTTGACCGCAGACGAATTTGCAGTCAGCTTGTTGGTGATCGACACCAGCGCTGGTCCAATATCATCCTCGTCCGCGATCCGCTTGATCTCCTCCAGCTTGATCCGACGCGCCTTGATCATCTGGTCTACTTCCTCCAGCAACATCTTCAAGTCGTCCACAATCTCCGGGTCTGATGATCCTGGTGCGCTCGTAGTATTCGGCACAGCTCTTTCCACCTCCGCCTATGGTCATTGGGGGAATTCTAGTCGTTAGTATATTCACAACGAGGAGGCAGTATTCGCGGAATCATGCCTGCAATCGAACAAAGCCAAGGTCTTACGCGTCCGCTGCTCAGGAGCTCCAAGGACCTGCCCCAGGTGGTCATTAGAGCCTCCAGCTTGTTCTTGACAATAAGATCACTCTTCCTGGCAGTCTCCAAAGTCTCGCGATGTTTCCGCCCTTGCTCCACGAACGCAACCGTCAAAGATGCAGATGTGGGCCGGTTCCATCGTCCCTGGAATCGTTGTCGCATCGCTTCATCCTCGTCCGCTTCCTGCTGTAAGGCTTCAAAAATCTCGTCCAGGATGGCCGAATTTTGCCGAGAGAGTGTCCGCACAGTTTCCATCATGTCGTGCAAGCCCCGAACGCCTCCCTCCGCATGAATCTCATCGATGTGTGACAGCAACGAAGGAGGCAACCCCACCGGTTGCTCCATCGCCTGCAATGCTCCCGGCAAGTTGAGCGCCTGCATCTGGCTGTTATATAAAAGTATCAGTAATATAAGCAGCGTCAGTATGAACATACCATATTTCGTCTGCAATTACACGATGTCCGCGATTGAAGCGAGCGCGCATACCTGTAGCAGACTCCGGTGAGCTCATCAAATTTACCACCAATGTCTTCTTTGACGATCCGTTCCTTGCGCTCCGTGTAGACACTTGCGGCCTGGTGGACCGCAAAGGGGACTAGCCTCGAAAACAATGGCACGCCCAGAAGCATGTTGTGCTCGTTCATCAAGGGCACAGGGTTCGAAATCTCGGGGATGAGCGTCGGCTTGCTCATATCAGCCCTTCCAATAGTAACGAGAGTCGCCTCTGCTGGAATCGGCTCCAGGTAGATGATATCGTTATCCTTTTCTGCCCGCGACAAATTCTTGTGGATGGCCTTCTGGAGCGATTTGAGGTCATTTGTCACAGTGTCCCGAAGATCCCGTTGACTCAACCCTTGGTTGACAAGCCTCTCTGCGATCTGAAGGCGAGCGATCTCCTCGCCGTACTTGTTCTGAGAAATACATTCGCACGACTTTCTGTACTGCGAGACTGCATTAAAGTGAAGCGCCTTGGCCTGTATATGACTGGTCCATGAGCTGGTGAAGAGCGACGACATGCTGCTGTGGGTTGCGCCTTCCAGAGCCGCCTCATAGTAATCCGCGACCTTGCCTGCCAGTTTCGAAATCAATCCATCCTTAATCTGGTCTAAACGACACATGGTATGCAATGGACGATACATTGGTTAGTTTGAGCCTCATGGCTGCCATCCTGTTCTTGGAGTGTGTGCGATTGCTGTTGTCCTATGTTACACATACCAAGAGCGCCTTTCTGCCAGAAGCACTCCTGAGCTTGGGCTAGCATTAGCTGGACATAGACAGTCAGAGCTGCAGTCGAGATGTCCACTGTTGGAGCAATCCTCAACTCCGGGATAATTGTATTGCGTAAATGTTGGAAGCTCCCCGCCGCGTTCTAGAAAACCATCCAGTTGTACGATGAAACGAGAAGCGGACGAAATTGTGAGTTTTTCTTTCTTGGCACGGTGCTTGGCAATATAAAACGATCCAACGAATATGTCCTTGGCGTAAGCAAACGAAGTGTACCTGGAAGTACGAGTAAGCACGCTTGAGTCCCTCTGCCGAGTTCCTGTTCTCGTTGTTGCCCAGTTGAGAGTACATAGCTCCAATGTTGAAGCAGACGCATGCTCGCTCATAATACATATTCCTGAACGAATCTAAGTATTGACAAGAAAATACCAAATTGTCAGTGGGCGTGTGTCATCTTAATACCATGTGTGCTCTCGTGGTCGTATGTTTGCTTAAAAGAATAAATATCTGATGACCCTTGTTTGAGTATAATTGGACAAAAGTCTTGTTTTTCTGTATCGGACGTACTCATTTTCTTGTCTGTGCTGTTAACGAGCGCCCAGGGAAACTCAATGCCGGTCTAGATAGTGCATCAGTGTAAGCGGGAGGTGGTAATTGTCAGTCAGTGAAGGGCATGCATGAGAGTGTAAGTTCAGCTTGCTCATCAATGGTCTCACAGTGCGCGAAGAGATGAAGAGATGAACTTACATCGATAGGGAACTTTGAGCTGATAAAAACCAACTGGGCATGATACCTGATGGAAAAAGCCATTGAAATTGTTGGGGACAGCAACCGACGCAGATGGTGGTAAAGACAGCAGACGGCAATAGAGAGAGACAAGGAGGGAAGGGACGAACATGAGTATATATTCGTTTGCGCCTTGGACAAAAAAAGGATCTCCTCTCGGATATGAAAATTTGCCAAGACCTGTGTTGTTGACGAGCATGAATTAATCCGGGGGACGTACTTGAGGAGACGGTTGAGCGCGTTTTGGTGGGGCTCGAGGTTGACGATGTCTGCCCTGAGCTCGTCAAGGACGCGAAAGTCGTCCTGGTAGGTGTCTGGGTGTTCAGCATATGAGGTTGAGATGTAGTCGCTGAGGGCCTTTGTCATCGACAGGGTCTCTGTCCTCTTGAAGTCGATTGCCAGCAAGTTGCTCATGGCTCCTTTTTGTTCCGTGCCGTGTCTAGTTGTATGTCTGTCTGTCTGACTGGCTGTTAGTGTCTAGGTTGGTGCTCGTATATAGCGGTAGTAGTGTCGTGTGCTGTTCCTGGTTGTTGGGATTGTGTGTCTGTGTGAATGCAAAAGAAGGAAAAGAAGAAAGAGGAATGAGCTCACCCTTTTTTTTTCTTTTTCTTTTTCTTTGTTCTTTCCTTACTTGTCCACAGACCACCAAGGAGAGTAAAATGATTTTGCCTCCACCGGGTCTCGAACCGTGCCCCTACCGCAACCAAGAAAAAGTCCATCGTATCACTTCAACCCCTATGTCTGTCCCCGAGAACTAGAACTACGATACCACTGAGCATGTTGCCGCCACCGATTCCTTCAAGAACACGCCCTTGCTTATACTGTTTTCTTGTGGACACCCTCACCGCTATTTTTCGCCAAGCTCCTCGGGTAAGTCACATGATGCATATCGTGTACCACTCTTTCTGCTCTCACCACACCGCCGCTTTTTTTGAGTTTTGATGGAGAGAGAGAAAAAAAGAGACGACCCCCTGAGTGACGGACGAACGAACACACGAAAGAGTCCCTGGCCTGGCGTGCTCCGCTTTGACTGGCGCGATACTCTGCACGCATAGTGACTGGTTGGATGAACCCATAAAACCCCCTCCCTTCCTTCTTTTCTTGACTTATACCTCGTCCGTCTCCTCTTCCTTGTAGGTCTATCTGTGTTTGTCCAGCATGGGGAAAACAAGGAAAGAGGCAATAAGAAAAAAATAATATTGGTTCGCCAATGGAGCAGAGGGACAAACTCAAATGAACCGCAGTCTGCTCTTGTTCTGCGCATCGTTGTTGTCTCTCGCTGATGCCATTTACTTGATTACTGTGAACAAAATGGAATGTCTTCCTTTTATTATCAGTTGTTACCCGTTATTATTTACTATTCCGGAGAACAACCCCAGAGGATGCAAAAGACTCATGCATTGAAGTGGACCCAGATGCACACAAAAAAGAAACGACACAAAACCTCACCTCCTTCTTTCCTTCTGACAATTTTTCTTTCTTGTGTGGTAAACGCAAATGAGGTAAAGCTGCGGTATAAAGTGTGGTAAAGAACATGTTTTTTACATGCTCTGAAGTTGTATTGCTCTACTCCGTTCTTCCTTCGCCAGTGTTCCACGTTCACGTCCCTCGACTTTCTCCTTTTGTTATAGTTCTTTGCTATGCCATACAGAGATAGATACCTGGGGTCGCCATGTTTCTTCACGAGGACTCTTTTGTCTTGCACTCAGCGTCTTTTTTCTATTGTTACTTCTGTAGAATTTGTTACACCTCGTTGATGTCACAATACCTTTCCTTTCACTCTTTTTGTTCCTATCAATGAATATCAGTTTGAAACATCATTCGTGCATATGTCAGCGAAGCAAGCTCTTCCTTGTCAGGTCCGTCATGTTCATGGTTGACTGTGGTTTGCGAGTGGGAAAAAAAGCGAGGGTTTTTTATGGCAGAGAAAAAGTACAAGCAAGTAAAAACGACTATCAGAAGAACAAAAAGAAGACGGGAGAGAAAACTACGCGCGAAAGAGAATGGTGGAAAGCAAAAAAAAAAAAAAAAAAAGTTACAGGTAGTAAAAAACACAAACGCGCGTTGAATCGGAGGGGAAGGTGAGGGGATTTTTTTGATTGTTTTTTGTGTTGTTATTCCGTTGTCCACTGTGTGTCGTCTGTACTGGCGAAAAAAGGAAGAAAACGAGAGCAAATACAGAAGGGCAAAATAGAGAGAGCAAGAATAAGCCTTGGGGTCGAGTGCAACGACGTGTGTGTGTGTGTGTGTGTAGGTGTGTCGTCGACGAGAGACACCAGAGCTCACGGCGCCCTCTGATTTAGCGGTCCTCAGCCCACTCGTTCTCCTTCTTGATCTGGGCCTCCTCCTCGGGTGTGAAATCGTTGACGATGTTGAAGGCCTTGCGGATCTCCTCGGGGGTCTTTCCCTTGATGATGTTGGCGACGGTCTTGCAGCCGACGTCGAGGAGGGGCTTGATATCGAGGTAGTTGGCGGCGAGGATGATCTCGAAGAGCATCTCCTGGTCGACCTGCATAAACTTCATATCCCACTCCTCGATGTCGTTAGAGCGCTTGCGGGGGTCGTCGGTCTCCTCGGGGACCTGGACAGGGTCGTTGCGGTGGTGCTCGCAGTACTCGATGACCTTGGTGAGAACGGCGGAGGTGACGTTGGGAAGGGGGATGGGCGAGTCGGACTCTCCGACGTCCTCGAGCATGTTTTTGATGAGGATCGAGCGCTCGGCGACTTCCTTGTCGACCTTAAAGTCTTGGTTGTCTGAGGAAACGAGGATGACGGTCATATTGTCGTGAATATGTATTGGTCTGTCTGTGTGATTTTTGTTTGGGCGAGTGAGTGAGTGGGTTGGAGGGGAAGGGAAGGAGGGGGAAGTGGCGGATAAGGAAAGGAAGGAAAGAAGGCAAGAGAAGATTTATGGCCAATCGGTTTTAATAGCCTCCTGGCTTTAGGCTCGTGGCTTAGCAGCCATACACATACCTACATGGCTACACCACGCTCTCATTACCGATGGCAGAGGAGTCGACAGAAATTGACACGAAGGCAGTGGTGGTGGTGGTGGCAACACTCTGACTGTCGGACTTGTCACTATGTGGCAAAACAAAGTTCTTTTTCAATAAGAAAGGGGACACAGCGACCACAAAGGCACACAGAAGCCTCGTTAGTCCACTCTTGGACATCTTCCACTTGCTTGTGCTTGCCACCAGATATTATTCGCTCTCATTCTCCTTTCTACACTGTCTTTGTTTCTCTGTCTTTTTCTTGGGGTTCCATTCATACATGACATGACCACTATCATCGACTTTTGTCTCTGTGTCGTTTCTCTTCTCGTCTCCTTACCTTTTTCTTTTCTCTTCTCTTTGTCTTTTTTTCTTTTCGCTCCCCTCTGTCGAGAAGAACAGAAGGGACACAAAGAGAGAGATGACCAAAGACAAAAGGCTTGTTCACGTCAAAGCACCCTTCCTTCTTTTTTGCTCTTCCTTGTTCTTCTGTTGCATCGTCTATGCTATGAGTAACCACAAACGACACCAAATAATTGAAAAAAGGCACACACAAAGCATGCAATTAAAACAAAGAAACAAAGAAAGGTGTTATTGTTTGAACATACAGCCAGGAACAACCTATTGCGTCCACCAAATCTCCTTGCCTTTAACTTGGCGCACCTTGCCAGACACTGCAGACACAACTCCATCTTCAGAGTCTTCCGATAGTGCCATTCTCTCGTCATCATGGCTCTCCTCCTCGTCCCCCTCCTCTAGCTTCTCCATCCTCTCGACACGTTCCCTGTCTGCGTCTGCCGCTGCTGCGCCGACGACAACGGTCGTGGCAATCCTACCGAACGCAGAGTCAGACGAGGTGGCGTTATGGTTGGAGGCGGTGGTGGCAAACCTCTCAAACGCGGGCTCAGCTCCAACAATAACCGACCTTCTTCTTCTTGGGGGCTGCGGCAATCGTGAAAAATTCGGCCCAGGGCGTCGTCGCCTTCCTCGTCCTCCTGAATCATATCCATTCATACTGTTATTATTATTGGAGGCAGTGCTCTCACTGCGGCTCCCATCGTCATCCTCCTCTTCTCCCTCCGCCTCCGCTCCTTCCTCAATGACGTCCTCGTACAACCCATCCTCATACTCATCCTCCTCAAATCCTTCATCTTCATCCTCATCCTCATATTCTTCTTCCTCCTCTTCTTCTTCTTCCTCAAAACCATCCTCCTCTGCCAGCCTTGCCTCTTCCTCCATAGCCCTCCTCACCGCCTCCACCCGCCGAAGTCGGTCTCGACCAAGAGCTCCCATGAACCCAAGCATCAATGCCATCAAACTATTCTGCTCCACCAACCGAACCAACTCCCACCCGTGTCGGTCAGGAATAGCTGAACCAGGACGAGGCATCTTGCACATCCACGCATCCTTGAGCATATTAGCTGAGGTCCACTCGGCACCATTGGCTCCTCCCGAAACTGGACCTCCGGGAATACCTACGGCAGCCCCTGTCCCCAGCGTTGGACTAGCATGGCCCGTGGGTGGAAGCACCTTTGGACTCACAGCAGATAACGGTGAACCAACAACAGTCTTACCCGCCATGCCAAGACCATCCAAAGGAATCCCCAGCCCAAGTGCAGGCGGCGGCACGCCAGGAAGAGGGATAGGAATGGGCAGAGAAGGGACGGGCTCCGGTTTCCCGTTCGGCTGTGTAGCCCCTAACTCATCCTCATCCGAAGCCTCAACTCCCAGCAACAATTCCTTTAGGATTTGAAGTCCAATCGACTGCTCCAGACCCGTATGCTCATTCAACCGGACCGCATTCTGACCCTTTGCTACCAACAGGCACTCTGTCAAAACTCGAGCCCACTCATCCTTCTCGGTAGCAGAAGACGTGCCAAAGAGGTACCGGCGCCTCGTCCCCAAATCGTTCAACAGTGAAATCTGGAAAGTGTGGCGCATAAACTGTCGCTCAATGGCAACAGTGTGCTTGGTTGGCAAGTTCTGGAGATCATAGAACTGCTCAGGTGATCCCTTGTCGGAAACAAGCCGTGGATGGATCGTCAACGTTTTCTTGCCAGGAACCAGACCCGTGATCTTGAACCGCTGACTCCGGTGTGAACCGAACTCTAGAACTGAGGGCTCGCACTTGAGATCGCGTCCGCCGACATGGATCGAAAAATGCGGATTGAGGACCGGCACAGTAATGGTAATAGAGTCCGAGGGGATCTTGAGTGTCAACCGTGGGGGGAGAACTGCAGGCGAGATAAGGATAGGCCACAGCTTGCGCGCAGCGACCAAGTTGGATTTGGGGTTGCTGGTGTGCGTGTCCATCTTGTCGAATTCGATATCGAGGGGCTGGTGACTGATCGACAAAAAGATGTTGAGGAGAGTATCCCTGGAGACAATGCGCTGTTGATCCAAGAGCTGGAACATTTCCACAAAAGAGTCCTTGGTCGGAGTCGGGAACAGCGTCAAATCATCCAGCTCCATGGCCAGGTACTGTTGTGGTGCAGGCACCAAAGGTGCAGGGAGGGTCGACTCCATGACGGGTGTCGAGGGTATGGTGGGCGTAGACGGTTGAGAAGCGACTCGGGGTCTGACAAGGGTGCCAACTTCCTCTCGGTCTCGGACAATTCCTGCTCCTTCATTGTTGTGCAGTTGTGCGTTGAGGACAATCATGGCAATGACCAGCTTGTGGGCAATGGATGCGTCATAAACGACAACATTCACGTTGACCTCGTACCACCGTCGGGTGAACTCTTCCAGTAAATAGTCGACACTGTTGAAGGTTCGGTCCGAATGTCCATTGGAGCGCTGAGAATCGACACGATTGGGAAGAGAGAGGCGACTAAGCAGCGTCCGCAAGGCTTCATCCAACAAGACTCCTGCAAACTGACACTGATCCAAGAATGCTCTGTAGACATGCTTGTTCGCCGGGTTGGAGAGGAACAGGGCGAGTTGGGTTCTTGACAACTCTGGTGTCTTAAACAAGAGGTGGGCGACAGAGACTGGATCCGGATGAAGAGCGCGTTTTTGGATAAAGGTGTTGAGCGCCCGGATGGGACTTTGGTCAAAGGTGTGGATGAACTCTGCGAGGACAGGGGGTATTTTGCGATTTCCAGACGATCCTGCATCGCCAGACTTTGAGTCATACTTGTCTCTGGACAGACTAAGAGAGATCTTTTTGAGTTCAATAACATCCTTGACTTGGAATCGACTATCGATAGTTGGGTGGCCGTCCGACATAGGCTTGGCAATGACCAGGATGTCGCTGAACAAGAAGAGATATCGATCCTTAACGGTCGAGGTGTTGATGACCTGCAAGATCTTGCCGTGATGGATACACTTTCGCGGCGGGTTGGTAAGCGAGACGGGTTTCTTTTCCGTGAATGGTATTGGTTTGACCGCAAGAAGGTTGGTCTTGGATGACTTTTTGGTGGGCGTGTTTGACCTTTTGCTGGTGCAGCTGCTGTTGCTGTTGACCTGTTTGGATCGAAGTCGAGACTGGTCAGGTGTTGAGGGTGGTTGAGCAGGCAGAGGTGGGAGAGGTGGGAGCGGTTGGTTGACTGCAATAGGCGCCAGGGGAGGTATCGATCCGAGATCAAAGCCAAGGGCAGCGTCTCCTGGCGGGTGAAGAACCACCTGTGGTCGAATTTCGGGCGATCGCGACTGTGGCATCCTGGGTGTTGAAGTTCCCGAGCTAGGAGAGGGTGGGACGGGAGAGAGAGGGTGGATGGCAGACTGGTCCTTGGTGCGAATAGAGGGTTGTCCTGCTGTTGGTGAGATCAGTCCTGGATACAGCCCATGGTCCCTCACTCCTTGCGGGTCTAATCATGCAAAAAATGAGGGCGGATGGGTCGATTAATGAGGAGGGGTTTTACTGTCAAGCGTGAGTGCATTTCTGGCAACATTCGCATTACTGCTATCAAACAGGGATTATGTTGTTGTTTCCATACCCGACATGTTGAACATGGGATGTACTTTTCCTGTCCAAGATGGTTGTTGTTGTTGTCGTTGCTGCAGTTGTTGCTGTAGTTGTTGTTGTTTTGAGTCCACAGCAGTGTTGGAAGAAGACTCTGCCTCAATCTCGAGCTCGACGTGTCCTGCGATATGGTGGTCGTAATCAATCTGCCACTGCTGCTGCTGACTATCCTCATAACTGTCATGGTCACTGCTCTCCCGCTGTTCACTCTCCGAGTCACTGATATGGTCCCGACCGAGTCCTGCGGATTTAATCCAATGTCGGGCGTGCTCTGCGGCGGGAGACCCAAAGATAGGGGAGTGTGACAAATGGCTGCTGTTGGGTGATCCTGGCAATGGTCGCAGCTGTATCTGTGTTCCTGTGGTCAGCAAGTGTCTAGGCTGGCTAGCATCCTTGGGGTGCAAGTGTCGATGGGTCTTGCTCTGGAGCAACGAAGGACCTGGAGTGGCTATGGGCTGCTTCTTGAGCAGGGCCTGGAAGCTGCGTTCTATTTCTGAAGTGTTAAACTGCAGTGCTCTCTCTGAAGATGAACTCGCAGGTTTTGTTGTGAAATTGCTTGTTGAATGGAGATTCTGGTCGATTGTGGTATTATTACTAATGTTATTGATCCAGTTGCGATGGGAGGTGGGCATTTCGCCTAGGGAGGTGTGCTTTGTTGCGGTAGGTGAGGACGGGGGCTGTGGTTGTGGCTGGGAGGGTGCAGGCGAAAAGGGTCTTGCGAGGTCGATGGATGGACGGGTGGGGGACTGAGGGATGGGGTCAGAGTGGTAGAACTGGTTTCCACGGGATCGCGAGGGCGAGACAGGCGAGGCAGATGTAGGTGATTGGGCCGAAGAAGGCAAGGAAGTCGACCGCGAGGATGGAGACGGAATCATTGAAGGAAGGAATGATCTCTTTTTTTTGGATGTTGTTAAGTTGTAGAAGGAGGGGAGGAGGTATATGCAAAGTGTGAGTGTTTGTGCTTGTGTTGAGGCGAAGGTGAAGAAGGAAGAGGATGACGAAAAGAAGAAAGAAAAGAAGAAGTAGAGCGGTTTAAGAGTAGAGCAAAATAAACAAAGAGGCGAAGTGAACACAAGAGAAGGTGAAGAGGGAGTGGAGTGGAGTGGAGTGGAGGGGGCAGCACCAGGCAGAGGAAGGGTAAACAGGAACGACAAAACAGAGAGGCTGGCTGGCATGAAAAATAGAACAGACGAGAGCCGTTGCCTCTCTTCCCCCCTCTTCCCTCCCTTTCCCTCGCAGGAGACCAAACATAAAAATAAATTGCTTGCCAAGTTAATAATGCACATGGCCCATGTCTGAACCTTCTTCTTCATCTGTTGTTTTGTTCTAATACGGTCATGTACTATGACCTGTTGTACTCCAGAGCAAATGGACAGTAGAGCAAAAGGGCGAAATCCCCATCTCTGGCTCGCCCTCACTCTTCCCGATATTAGTGTGCATATTTTTGCCGCCAACTCGAATCGAAGATGCGTCCTCCTCTCTCGTTCTTCACACTCTCTACCTTCTTATCATCTCCACCAAGCCGCGAAACGCGAAACGCGAACAATCGATTAAATTAATGATCAAATCACTGATCAAACACAAGTCAGACAGACCATGTGCCGCGCGTCGATCCATCCGTCCATCGAACATTCGTGTTTTATCACCATCTTCGCCCATCATTAACAGTGGTGAAAAGAAGTCGCCTAGCCGCAGAAATAGGGGTGAGGCTGTACCTCGGCGTCTAACCTAACTCTCACCCAACTGTGGTTCAAGATGGCCAAGAGCGTGTAAGAAGTCTTCCAGGTCCAAGAGTTCTGCGACCTGAACATGTCGAACGCTCTTTCAAGTCTCCGCTCAATCCTCCCGTTCCTTCGCCTACCCCTTCTGGCGCATCGCAAACCCAGACCGAGTCTCCCTCCGTACACCCTTCTCTGAGACATTGGTACTCTGCTATGTTTCTCTATCTCCGACGACTGGTGCTCGCATGCAGATCCCCTTTGACAACATAGTTCGCGAATGAATCAAGTGGCTACTTTACATCCGCTTCATCATACCCATCTTTGTCGCTCCTTCTCATCCTTTTCCTTCTTCCTTCTGTTTGTGCTTTGCCTACTATTGTAACCACAGATACAGTCTTTTCCTAGCACAAAAACAAAAATTGACAAATCAACGGAGTCATTTAAATGATTGCTATGTTTATCATGAAAAAAGACTCTTGCTTTCAAATCCTACAAAACGCTTTACATACATGCAACATTACCAAACACCATTTTAGTAGGCGCCGATGTTGGCAAGACGAGCACTAGCTAACTGACTCTTGATAAACTCCCGGTCGACATCGTGGCTGTCCTCGACCTCGCCCCAGCGCTCGATCTGGTCCAACACCTCCAACTGCGCTGCTGCCCACGCCTTCTCCACCGACAAGTGTCTCTTCACCACCGCCAATCCAATCAAAAACGACTTTGCCGTCAACGTCGCCCTCTCGAATGCTATCATTGACCATCATTCCGATAAGTGCAAGATAACGGTTAGTATGGTTGTCATCATTTCCTCTGAACCCTTTTTAACATTCATTCCTCATATTAGCATTGCCGTATTCGTACCAGAGAGCTCAATGTCAGTCATAGAATTGACGATGTCCCGCAACTTGGCCTTGACATGATCCTCCTGCTGGACATAGCTAATCCCCTGGGAGACCTTAATCTCCAACCCATACTCCTCCTTGACCCACTTCAAGATCGGGTCCCAATGCTTCTTCTGTGCCTTGACAATCGACTCAGGGAAATCCTGTTGGTAGCAGATCGAGTCCGTATCCAGAAACTTGATGAGCCTGTTCAATGTCTCTTCCCGCAGCTCTGCGTTTCCAATAAACCCGTCAATCGCTCTTGCCACCAACGATGTCTATATGTTCGTAGAAGGTAATTGTGGGTGATTTTGTCAGCATAAAGAGTTGACATTGAAATAAGGTAACGTAATAACCTGAACAAGCCGCCAGTGGGTCAGTTACCATGGGGAGGGAGTGTGACTTGAGGAGCGCCTTCTGGCCATGCCACTCGCCGGCAATAAGAAGAGCGAGATGCTTCTGATCCTTGGGCAGCGTCAATGGGTTTCCAGCGGGGGTCTTGAGTACTCTTCCATCCAATGTCACCTCGATCCTGTCTATTTTGCGCAAAGGTGTTCACCATTGTGAGATGTTAGATCTTTATCTCGATCATGCGACCCCTGAGTCCATGACGACATGATTGCAAGGTGAATCAACCGTTTGAAACAACAAGGATATATTGCTGTAAGTGCTATTACCTCCAACCTCCTTGATGCTAGCAGTCTCCCAGAAGCGCTTTCCAGATACCTCGGCGCCTATTCGAGCGGACAAAATGTTTACATCATACAGGTCAACACATGGATCACATTGGATATTGAACCATGGTAGGATTGATCTGGCTGGCAAAATATGCTAATCATCCTCCCCGATCCTTCGCAAATATCTTTCACATGGAAATGATCGCCATATCCAAGAGGACGAGGTTGAATGAACAATTAGTCCAATATGTCGTTTGTTCCACGTACGGGACATCTGATCGCTGAGGGTGGCATTGGCGTGGAATGAGCGCAGGCGGGTTGAGTTAGTAAGAGGACGCGCAGGCGCTGCGATCTTTGCTGCGAGTGTGCGGAACATGCTGGTTTTGTTGTTTAAGAAGGAGAGGTAAAATGAGTGACAAGAATGAAAGCGAATGCGTTTTGAGTGTGAAATGCTGACAAAAGTACAAACGCAAGTGACTATTGGCAGTTGTAGACCAACAGCGTGCGACTGAGGTTGGTGGCAATCGATCCATGTTAGCGGAGTGGCTTAGCACGATTCCGATTGTTGTTCGTCCTCGTTTCACGCCTTTCGGACGACTCGCCCTCCCACTCTCTCATTGTTCAAAGTGCGGAAATTGTGATATATTTCTTTCTTCTTTACTCCTCACATCTCCCCCATCCGCGCATTCAATCGTTTTCATTCATCTCCCACTCTTCCCTCCGCCCTTTCTTTCCGGCTCTCACTCACCCTCGTCTCCGCACATCCACCACAAACTATACAACAGCAAACATGTCCGTATCAAGGCACCAGGTTCTCGGAGCTTACAGAAACCTCCTCAAGGCACAAAAGCTGACCTTCAAGGGTACGTTTCTTTTCTTCATTTATTGCGCACACACTCGCTAAGCTATTTGTGCGACTAAAGGTACTCATTTAAATGAAACAAGTTGGACTGACCTCGTCGTATGTTCCTCTCCTTGATAATAGGTGACTGGGCCACACTCGCAGGTATATTATCAACACCATCCCCAAGCAACAGGACACAGGCAGCAACGTACACATGCTTTGGAATACCCGCAGGAATTGGGCAATTGAACCGAACTGGAAAACAAGCAATCCCAGCAAAGCGAGAACCTCTCAACTTTGACTCAAGACTTGAGCAATTGAACAACCCCTGGCTATCGGAAACCGAGCTCATGGATCACATTTGTTCACGTTTGCAGCTGAAACAAGACGGTGGTGCACATAATCACCTCAAGGATCGCCACACTATACCGAGAACACCAAACATCTTTCGCCACCACCCCCGCCAAGAGCAACAACACTATCAGTATCGCCATTGACACCATCAGTGTCCAGGAACTTGGACAACTGAACAAGGAACCCGGAAGGACCGGAGCCAACCTCTAAATAAGCCTACACCCAACATCCTAACCCACGAAATCCCCCCTTTCCTTATTTTCCAACGTATCACAGCCGCTCGGGAAAAGACATACACAGAATTCAACCTCAAGCGCAGCGAAACCGACGAGACAAAGATCAAGGAGCAACTCCACCTCGCTGAACAAGTCGCCTCCCTCCTCCGCCACAACCTTGCCCAAGCCGTCCAAGTCGATGGCAATAAGAACCTCTACTGTACGCTACCTATTAAGACTCTCGGTTCCTCTTCGTGCTTTCTGAAGTCTTTAGCACCATATTTTTCTGCGCAGGAGGCAAACACGAAAGAAATAATATCATCGTTTTCGCTTAGGTCCACTAACATTTCTCTGTCTCTTATTCGCACCTCCATAATAGCATTAAAGCTGAACGAGGAGCACGAGTTGGGTGATAATGAAACTCTCCGCCAGGCTTCCAAGTTGCGCCGCCTCAAGAACCAGCAAGCTGGCGGACAGCCCTCCACCGGTGGCGGATGTGGCTCTCCCTCTTGCTGCTCCGGCCACTAAACCAACCGCCTCTATTCTTTCAAGGGCACTTATTAAAAATAATTGTATTCTGACACACTTTTGTTCTTTCTTCGACTCGGCCCCTTGGGTGAAAACAACTACTCGAATAGAGGGAGGAAAAAAATGTCCAAAAACAAAAGAAAAAAAAAAAAAAAAAAAAAAAAAAAGGCTCTAGTTCTCAAAGACAGTACATACTAGGTCGTCATATGTAGAACAGATGGCTGCCAGAAGCGACATGTCCGACCGGTGCAGTCCCAGCAACGGTGCCATAGAGTCCAACGTAGGATAACTCTTCAAAAAATCCTTGTCCCGCGCCATGCTGGAAAGCATCCGACTGCTTTGGTATAACTGGTGAAGTCGGTCTTCCAAGTAATTAAGGCACTAAATATCAACATGCAAATGCAAACTCTGCGGTTACTACATCGATCCCACACAATTCTCGCCATAAGGGCCAGATCATAAACAAAACAAATAAGAGATATTTACGAGCTCTGCGGCGAGACCGCTGCGGCCGAGGTCAACCATCTGATGTAGAGTCGAGTCCATGAACGAACTGGTGGAGGCATGGGGTAGCCGAGTCACAGGTTCGCCTCGCAGGTCTAACCCCACTCCTCCATTGAAACCTCCACCGTTGACACCTCCTCTCATATCTCCAGAATCCAGTATCGCTTGAGGTAGAAGTGCAGGTGCCTTGGCGCAAAACACGTTACACTTCATTGTGTTCACATCTGCCACTATACACACCGTCGACGACACCCGTTCCTGAATCTCAAAGTGACGCATCGTATCCCGCATGTCCGTCTCCATAAAATGCTGGAAGTCAAACTTGGGAACACCCATCAGCGCAAAATCGGACATGTATTTGTCACAGTACGGTGCCATGAGCGATCGTCCGTACGACTTGCAGAAAAGTACATCTGCAGGCAAGACATTTTCCTCCTGACTATCTCCTGTCCCGTTGCTGACGCCATTGACAGCTCCGCTGCCATTAAAGCGTGGAGTGCTAGGAAACGGGGGGAAAGAACAAACGACCCTTGACGGTGGCAATGGCACATCTGCAAGAACATCCTGTGCTGGGCAACCAGAGTCGTGTGCACTCCGTGGCGCATCCGTGCTCAATGTATCTGAAGAATGAGTTCGGGACCGCATCGTGTCCACGCGAAGCTGATGACTGGGTCCATGAACAGATGAATGCCGATTCTGTGATTGAAATCCATTCTCCTCGCCCGCTGCCGAGACTCGGTCAGAATCTGCACGGCTCTCGATAGTGGTTGGGGTTGTAGGTCGGGAGTGGTAAGGTGTCGACTCTGTGGAAAGAGAGTCCTTGGTGTCAAGTCTTGGTCGAGAGGTGTCAAACAATGGTCTCCGGGAGACCGAAGGCGTGATGGGTCTATCGTTGTCGTTGTGAGCCATCAAGGTTGGTGTTGGAGGCTCTCCAATCGAGGTCAGTCGAGAAGAGACGGATGCACGAGAGACGGACAGGCCGCGAGTCACAAACGTATCGATCCTGGGTCGCTTCGGTATACTGATCGATCGCACCAGTGTCGCCGGACTCCCGCTTTCATTTTCCTCTGCGAGTTCGTTCATGTTCCTGGTGGGTGCAGGTGGGTTCAGCAGCGATTCAGGGTCATCCCTGAACTCTGTCACGCGTTGGAAAACCTCATTACAGCGGATAAAGTAGCTGAGGATGAACAGTAGCCGTCGGACAAAGCTACCGTTCGAGCCCACCACAATGGTTCTACTGATCCTGGAAGATGTCCCGATGTTCCCGTACAAATCGCTCAGCTGCGCCCAGAGCGGGTCGTATGCTCCCTGAGGATTGGCCTGTCAAATATTCAAAGGAAAGTATAGTGATATCAGCATGACTACTTGATTGTTCGCTGCAACGTTTCCTTGGTGGCTGACAGATGTGGTAATGAGGTCCTTACTCTTACTAATGACTGGTCAATGGGGGCTACCGTAGGAACCCAGGACATATGGTGACTCAACACTGCTGTGATGACTTCCGACACCAGCTGACCCGACGCTGGACTTTCCTCCATCAAAAAAGTGAGCTCCCCCATAAACGACGACGAGTAAGTCGATCGTTTACTTGGATAGGTGTTCATGTTGAGCCACAGAGGCGACTATTGTAGTAGTAGAAACGACGTTTGTAAGGCACTGTTAGTATAATCGTGCCTACTGTCGGTCGCATACATGGAATGCACGATCGATTGAAGATATCTACTGTGCTGCTGTTTTTTCAGCGACATCCCAGGCGTACCTGTATCCGTGGCGCGCTGTAGAGCTGATAGATCGCCTGCTGGAGTCGAGCCACTGCTTCCTGAAGCCTTGGGTCCTGCTGAAAAGAAAGTCTCGCCAGATCCGGTATTGATCTGACAGTCCCGTTTCCTGACAGTCCCGCTTTCTATATAGTTAAACACGGGGCGCTCAGAAGTTAGTGTTGTCTGTAGAGATCATATATGTTTACATATGTTTCTAAAATGGGTTCCAGGATTCATCTTGTGTTGGTGCATACAGCGTTCATCATCCGACGGCAGACAGGGAGTAATAGCTCCAGGCATAATGCCTGGAGGTGGTGCAGGCGTGTCTCGATCAGAGCGAAGTGCGAAAACACGAATTCCCGCAACCGAGTGTTGTCGTTGACCTCGATGAAAACTGCAATTGAGAATGATTTAGATCGCGCTGCTTGAGTAAGATATGGCTAGGAAAAAGTCAATGGAAAAAGGCAGTGCACGATGATGAGTTCCGTGCCCTTAGAATTAAGCAAACAGGACATTGGCGGGAAGAAGCAGAAGGCGACACAACATACCTTGGCGTTGCCGAGACTGTCGAGATGCGAAAAGGAGCTGGGGAGGGGAGTGGGGTTGAAGGTGCCGTTCTCCATGCTGGTTTGACTGGCCCGCCTTTGCCTACGTATGTCAAACCCTGGTCTTGAGGACCGTGTCCGGATATGAGAGGCATTGGGTAGTGAGGATGAAATGTTCCCGTTCCTATTCTCGTCTCGGTCCCGATCTCGAGTGTAGGCGGACTCGGGTATAAAGGCTGTCATGGGTCGTGAGGCACGAGGGTGTGTTCTGTAGTCGCCGTGGCCGCTGATGGTAGACATGTAGTTGACCTCTGCGGTCGTAGCATTTGCGCTGTTGTTGGACGAGAAGGAGCCTCTCCGAGTGGATGCGACGGTGTAGGCCATGACATCGGTTGGGTGTATGCTGAAGGTCTTTGTCATCATGATCCGGGCGGGCTCGTTAAGGAGATGGATCTTTGTCGTTGAGCCCTTGTAGGCGAGCGGGGTTGTGCCGAACATGAGCTTTGGGATGATGGATGGGATCTAGAAGGTGAAGGAACATAAAGCAAAAGAGGTGTAAGAAAACTGGTGATGCGTTTGAACAGGTGAACAAAACAACGGCGACCGATGGGATGATCCACATCGTCGAGAAAGAAAGAAAATATATCCGCTGTATGAGTTCGTCGTTGCTCCGTCTGCGACGTGATCTGGCGTCATTCGAGAAATATTTGGATGGGAGAGGCTACAAAAACGATAGATGCGATGCATGCATACATGTAATGTACTCGTTCCTTTCCGATCTCTTGTAGCCATTTGAACACAAGACACGCTTTTGATCCGATCTCATTGTCCAGGGTTATGAAGGAGATAATGTTTGTTTTCCTGCTTGCTTGTGGAATAGGTAGAAAACGCTGAATGTAAAAGAGTCCTTTTTTCTTACAATCTTTGTTGTGCGGCGGACGGGGACAGTTTGGCTGCCGGCGAGGTTGATAGGGAGGGAACGGTCGCTCCGGAGGGAGCCAAAGAGACTGTTCATGCTGCTGCTCTTGAAGGAGCTCTTGGCAGGCGACGGGCTGGGTGATTCTAATGGGTTGAAGTCTGAGCCCGAGACTTGCTGGCTGTCAAAGAGGACGACATCATGGATTGCGCTGACCTCCTGGCACATCAACACCCGGATCTCGTTTGTGCCAAATGGGGGCAAGTTCCAGCTGTGTCAATTCCAATGAATACATCCACGAAGGAGGTAGGAAGAAAAGACGCAGGTCAGATAGATACAAACAATTGATCCATGGTTTGTCAACATTCAAGAAAAAGGAAGAGAAAGTGAGCTGTGAGCAGGAAATCGACGAGGACGGGTAGAGGAGGAGGAGGTGGAGGAAGAAAGGACGGATGAAGAGAGGGAGGGCTGAACAGCACGCATGGTAATGAATTGTTATTAATGTCCTTCGTATTTTCATATTGGAATTGGTATGATTTGCTTCCAAAGACGGACTAGTGTTACTCCCTCCTTGTTCTTGTCTTTGTCGTTGTGCTTGACTTCCTGTCTAACTGTTTGTTGTACATGAGCTCGATCGCACGATCGTTGATCACCCCTTCTTCCTCTTCTTCTTCTTCTCAATTCTTTTTTTTTTTATTCTGCTGTCGGCTGTTTTGCCTGATCGAATGAATGCAGCCGGCGGCGGTTGTTATATAGGAGGCAGGGTGTGGGGTGATGGTCAAGGGTTGAAGGAGAGAGAAAAGGGCGTTGCGTATGTGTTAACGAAGGAAAAGGAAACGGGACTTGCCATTCCTGCTCGAGCAACTCGCGTGTGTGCTTGTCCTCGGGGTCGTTTGCAGAGAAGCCCTTTGTGAAGAACTTTAGCATCTCGTCTCTTATGTATGTTGTGTTTGGTGTGGATTTATGTTGAACTGAGAGTAAGAGTTGGGGTGATGAGGACGAGTGAGAGTGTGAGGGTGTTGTGAGAGAGAAGAGGGAGAGAGGGGAGGGAGAAGGGCGTGGACGAGAGGGTGAGTAGGGGTGGTTTGAAGGACAAGAGACAGCAAAGAAAGAGGAAGGGAGAGGAGAGGGGAGGAGGAGAGGAGAGAGAGGGGAGAAGACGATGGGAAAGAAAAATACAGAAAAATAGCGCATGGATACAGACAGCGCTCCCTTGGTCATTTTAAATAGAAAAGAACGACCGACTCCTCCTCTGCTTCCCCTTTTCCCCTTCTTTATTGTTGCTGTTGTTGTTGTTGTGTCTTTGTTCATGCCAATGGCTCCCACTAGACATGTCCCAACAGAGTGTGAGAGCATATCGTCCAACAAGGTACGACCGACACATGGCACACCCACTCTCCGGCCGAAAACCCTTTTTTTTTTCTTTTTGGCTGTTCACAACAGACATCTCGCGCTCAACGACGCTGATTGGTCCCTCCCTTTAAAATGGCGACCTTTAGCAGCAATGCATGGCCCGATGCCCATTCTCTATCGTTGCACTGTACCAGTAGCACACATGCCACACATGCACGAACATTTGCTCCTCACCCCCTACCTCACACTTCTTCACCGCTAGCTTGTATCAACTCACACGCTAACCATTTCAAACAAACCAAACGCCTCTGTCCCTCTGCCATAAGCAGCGCGATTAGAAGAAGGAAGAAAAGGGTTCTTTGAGTGAGAAAAACAAGCAAGTTGGTGGCGTTTTTGGATCTTGACCTAAACTCTGCACGGCTCGTCTACAAAAGAAGAGCAACGCGCACTTTTACTGATTGCCATCTCTCCGGCGACCACACATCCAGGTATGAATTGTAGATGTAAGCTCCTTTGCATCTACACGCTTTGCTCTCTGTTCGACGTACGTAGAAGGATCATGATGAGCTAGAGTGCCAACCAGCCAACACACTTGTTTAATTTATTTGGCTGCACTATGGACGATGACACCGAAAGCAAATGACTCCTCTAGTCGACTCGGACATTGCGCCCTAGATGTGACAACATGGGGCGGATAAACAGTCAATCGATCATGCTCATAACGTTTCTTCTTTTTTTGCCAAAATGTCTCCGTATTTTCACTCGAGTAGATGGATGAACTACTTGCATGATACTCTTTCGTACGAAACATGAAGGACAGCGTGTACTCGATGCGGTTCATTTCCGGAGATGAGCCTAGGATGCTGGACGTAGGCTTCATTTTTTCTGGTTTTGTCAATGGAAAATAAAGCGATTCCTGTGTCTTTTCGGTTCCTCTGTCGTGAGTTAACACTCAGATGCGCGATTGTACAGAAGCGCATTAGTGCAGCATGATTGATTTCAAGCCTCGATCCTAATCTATCTATTTTTTTATGCCTGTTAAAGCAAACGCGATTGTACTAATCGTTTCTATGGCGTCTTGGACTCGCGATTGTAGTAATGACGAGTATCTGTTTTACAAATCTAACTCTCTCCTCGCCTTCCTAACTCTTAATAGCTAAATATAATTATTGCTTTTTTCATATTTTCTCTGACAACCAGCATATAAAAGGCATTTGGAAGTTAAAAGGAACTGCAAACCAAAGTCTTCAATGCACCATCAACCAGTTGCTGTCCTTTTTTTTTCGTACACAATTTTATTTCTCTAACAAACATACCAGTCGCAGTCCGGTCAAAGCGAAAGAGAAAAGAAACTGTCTTTTTTTTTTTCGTACACGAGAAAAAGAACTGTCCAAACTCGGATTCGATCCAGGCATTAGTGTCACATGACGATAAGTCTTGAGTATGATTTATGCTCTAATTTTTAAGCCACTGGCGAAAAAAACAGCAAAGCGTATTCGCCAGGGGTGTTGGTTAAGGGGTATAATCCTTTGTTCGGGTCAAAGGGGCCCGGGTTCGAGTCCCGGACACCCCCCACAATCGCGGTACATTTTTGCCACCTTATTTTTTTTCACTCCTTGTCATTAGTAAAAAACAACGAGGTTTGTACCTGGGTCCTGATTTTTGATAGTGTTAACGGTGAACAAAAATTGGAAAGACCAACAACTCGACTGATCAGTGGCCACATAATGTAGTTTACGTCCTCCGTTTCATCATCCACCATTTTTATGTCCAGTGGCAAATATGTCCTGTGCGGCTTGCGTCAATTGCATGCATACTATTGTACTGTACGATGTCTTCACTGATTTTTTTGTTACCCGAAATTGACCAAAAAAACGTAAGCTGAAAAATAATATAAGGCGGGAATGAGAGGGAAAGGGATGAGGACAATGAAGGCGAAAGCTAAATGAAATCGCCCACTTAGAAAGTAAAATAAAAGAGGGTCAAGCAACATACAATGAAGTAACGCTGAAAACCTCTTCGGACTCCTCATAGTAGAGGAGGCAAGTGATATCGACAAAACGGAGAAAAATTCGAAAATGTGCTGCTGGAAGAAACAAACAAAGGCTAACCCAAGATACAACTAAGCTACTATTGTAAAGCGAAAGCGGGAACTGGCACTGACGATAAAGCAACTGGAACTGCAATATGTGAACACTAAAAGCCCCACGGGCAATCGCCTTTTTTTGTGCAGAATTTTATTTTTCTAACAAACAACACAAAGGAGGTATAGAAATAAAAGGGGACTATAGAACAAACTCTTCAGTGCACCATACACCCGTTGCAGTCCGGTCCGGGACTTAGCTCTGCACAACAATTGTCGCTGCTCTTCACAGCTTAAACGGAAGAAAATAAAACTAGATACGAATGAAGGGGATTCTTCCCATCCTCTCCATCATTAACAACCTCCTCCTTCTTAACAAACTCTCCAAAAAACGCTCGTCAGCAGCGCGTGGGTCCTTGGTCGCTCCAGGGCACCTTCCTTCATCATGTGTGGCTAGCGAAACGCCACATGGGCAGAAACCATCGCGGGTAATGTAACCGTATCCTTGACTCCAGCCACCTCGGGGGCCTATGTACTTGGATGTCTTGTCCTCGGTAGGGATACCCTGGGTCTGCTCCCATGCGATCGTCGCGGAGCACCGAGGTTTCCAGATCAGCTCCGAGGCTTGCGTCTCCAGGTAGCCAGCAAACTTGCGCAGAACCGTCTTGGCAATGGACATTGGGGTCCGGAAGACCGCGGACCATTCAGTCGACATCCTCGTGGGAGTAACGCCGCGGAGATCCGACACGTTCCACATCTTTCAAAAGAAAGTTAGCATTTGTGCCAAAGGCTGGCTTGGGTCATGGTGTCGTCTCCTTGAGACGAGAAAGGGTTTCTTTCAGGCTAGCGACGACTAAGCGGTGTTGTTGATGGAGTGCTTCTTCCTTTTGCTGCAGTTTCCTGGCTTGAAAGGAAGTCGATAGGTATTTTTTTTTAATTTTCACGTGGGCAGAGATGAGGCAGGAAAGTTGGTCACAGCACGCAGAGTCAAAGAGGGACATGGAACTCTCTGCATCAACCAGAGCTGACGAAGAGGTGGCCGAGTGGTCCAAGGCGCCGCAACCCTTACCAATACATTTGATCTTCTCTTGGAGTATCAAAATTATTGCGGTCTGTTCTAAGAACAGTCGTGGGTTCAAATCCCACCCTCTTCTTTTGCTCCTTTCTTTCTTTTTGCGTTCTTCCTCTTCGTTTGCTCCAATGTCATTGTCTGCGCCTCCGAAGCGAAAGCCGTCATTGGTGCCTACGTTTTTTTTTGACTTCGTTCCCCACGTTTTCATAGCGAAATTTTTGACGCCACCAATGATGGCCTTGGAGGCAAAGCGTCTTCCTTACCAACATTCACTTTGGGTCTCAGAGCAACAGAAATGTGAACACTCAATCCCCTCGTCCCTCCTCTCACCTCATGCTCACGTGTCTTTCCCCTCGAACATGTTCCATCCCATACCATCTCATCACCGCAGAGGACTAAAAATAAACTTGTCTTTCTCCTTTTCTCATCGCTATTTCTCTGGACAAAACATATCGCCGACGCAGGATGTATTCCAGATATATAAGAACGATGTGGACGAAGGGTTTCATGGCGACGCAATGATTTGTACGTAACTCTGCATAGGAGTTAGTCCTTCTATGCCTGTTTTAGTGCAATCTTTAACACGATAATGCGAAAAGGGCAAGGAGGCGTCCCTGTTTTGAGCGGAGTTTGTTGGAGATCGACGCCTCCATATCTGAGGAGATGGTATTTTCTATTCACTCCTTTTCTGTCTTGTAGCGTCGCCTGCAAATATGTTATTGTATTGGTTTATTACGCCTCCACTCGTACTCAATGCTTCAAAGGCGCTACTGGCAACCCCTTTGTTTTCTCCTTCACATTCCTGTACTTGGTGCCTTTTGCGGACAAGAGTGTTATTTGTCATGTGGTTGACGTCGCATTTGATGTCTCTGTACGGAGCTGACACCGACGGCATCTCCTTGAGACTTGGCTGTCGTTCTTGGCTTTTTTCAAGAACAGGACACGATATCGTTGACAACCGAGAAGGATGGTACGTAAACGAGCTAGACCCCCCCCCTTTTTTTTGTCGTACACAATTTTATTTCTCTAACAAACAGCATAGAGAAGTTATTTGGAAGTGAAAGGGGACTACAGACCAAACTCTTCAGTGCACCATCCACCAGTCGCAGTCCGGTCCAAAACCTGGCTCTGCACAACAATTGTCGCTGCTCTTCACAGCTTAAACGGAAGAAAATAAAACTAGATACGAATGAAGGGGATTCTTCCCATCCTCTCCATCATTAATAACCTCCTCCTTCCTAACAAACTCTCCAACAAACGCTCGTCAGCGGCGCGTGGGTCCTTGATCGCCCCAGGGCACCTTCCTTCATCATGTGTGGCTAGCGAAGCGCCACACGGGCAGAAACCATCGTGCGTGATGTAACCGTATCCTTGACTCCAGTCACCTCGGGGGCCTGTGTACTTGGATGTCTTGTCCTTGGCAGAGATGTCCTGGCTTTGTTCCCACGCGATCGTCGCGGAGCACCGAGGTTTCCAGATCAGCTCCGAGGCCTGCGCCTCCAGGTAGCCAACAAACTTGTGAAGGACTGTCTTGGCGATGGACATTGGGGTCCGGAAGACCGCGGACCATTCAGTCAACATGCTCAAGGGGGTGATGCCGCGGAGGAGATCCGACACATTCCACATCGGTTTTGGCGATGGACATTTTTTTTTTTTCGTACACAATTTTATTTCTCTAACAAACAGCATAGAGAAGTTATTTGGAAGTAAAAGGGGACTACAGACTAAACTCTTCAGTGCACCATCCGCCAGTCGCAGTCCGGTCCAGAACCTGGCTCTGCGCAACAATTGTCGCTGCTCTTCACAGCTTAAACGGAAGAAAATAAAACTAGATACGAATGAAGGGGATTCTTCCCATCCTCTCCATCATTGACAACCTCCTCCTTCCTAACAAACTCTCCGACAACCGCTCGTCAGCAGCGCGTGGGTCCTTGGTCGCCCCAGGGCACCTTCCTTCACAATGTGTGGCTAGCGAAGCGCCACACGGACAGAAACCATCGTGCGTGATGTAACCGTATCCTTGACTCCAATCACCTCGGGGGCCTGTATATTTGGATGTCTTATCCTTGGCAGAGATGCCCTGGCTTTGTTCCCATGCGATTGTCGCGGAGCACCGAGGTTTCCAGATCAGCTCCGAGGCCTGCGCCTCCAGGTAGCCAACAAACTTGTGAAGGACTGTCTTGGCGATGGACATTGGGGTCCGGAAAACCGCGGACCATTCAGTCAACATGCTCAAGGGGGTGATGTCGCGGAGGAGATCCGACACATTCCACATCGGTTTCTCGTCTCGATCGAGAGCTGGACTACCGCTGTGCACGGCTCGAGCTCCACCGATGGAGGAAAATCCTCGCACATGATCCGCATCCGAAGGGGGCCACCAGTGTATGGGTACTGGCCTCGGTACCTGACGACCTCTGTCCACCGCGCGTTTGTATTCTCGCTTCCTGGCTGCGTTGTAGCTGTTTGTCGCCTTCCACCAGTTGGCTTTTTTTTTTTTTTTTTTTTTTTTTGTCCACGATTTTATTTCTCTAGAGAACAATTCATGTAGGTAATCCAAAAATAAAAGGGCTATTTGTGAGGACCCCTTCCCAGTACACCATCCCCTAGTCACAGTCCGGTTCTAATAACGCTGGCTCTGCGCAACAATCGTTGTCGCTCTTCACGACAAAAACGGAAGAAAATACAAAAGCGATCTATCCAGTTATTACTCTCAACTAAAACACCTTCATCTGAACAACCAGGAGATAGCAAAAGTACTTTCTTCCCAGTGTCGTTTTTCAAGTGTTCGACGTCACCTCCATCCATGCACATGTGTGCAACGCTCCAGTTGGCGTTTTTTTTTTTTTTTCGTACACAATTTTATTTCTCTGACAAACAGCATAGAGAAGTTATTTGGAAGTAAAAGGGAACTACAGACCAAACTCTTCAGTGCACCATCCACCAGTCGCAGTCCGGTCCAGAACCTGGCTCTGCGCAACAATTGTCGCTGCTCTTCACAGCTTAAACGGAAGAAAATAAAACTAGATACGAATGAAGGGGATTCTTCCCATCCTCTCCATCATTGACAACCTCCTCCTTCCTAACAAACTCTCCAACAAACGCTCGTCAGCAGCGCGTGGGTCCTTGGTCGCCCCAGGGCACCTTCCTTCACAATGTGTGGCTAGCGAAGCGCCACACGGACAGAAACCATCGTGCGTGATGTAACCGTATCCTTGACTCCAATCACCTCGGGAGCCTGTATATTTGGATGTCTTATCCTTGGCAGAGATGCCCTGGCTTTGTTCCCATGCGATTGTCGCGGAGCACCGAGGTTTCCAGATCAGCTCCGAGGCCTGCGCCTCCAGGTAGCCAACAAACTTGTGAAGGACTGTCTTGGCGATGGACATTGGGGTCCGGAAGACCGCGGACCATTCAGTCAACATGCTCAAGGGGGTGATGCCGCGGAGGAGATCCGACACATTCCACATCGGTTTCTCGTCTCGATCGGGAGCTGGACTACCGCTGTGCACGGCTCGAGCTCCACCGATGGAGGAAAATCCTCGCACATGATCCGCATCCGAAGGGGGCCACCAGTGTATGGGTACTGGCCTCGGTACCTGACGACCTCTGTCCACCGCGCGTTTGTATTCCCGCTTCCTGGCTGCGTTGTAGCTGTTTGTCGCCTGCACACCCCACTCATTAATCTTGCCCATGGCCTCCTTCCAGATCTCAGTGGTGGTCTCAGCTGCCGAAGGGCATTTCCAGACGTGATCGTTATCCTCCTTCTCGAGCTCGCATCGTCGGCACACGCATGTTGGGTACAGGTTGGGCTTGCGAGCCTGCATGGAGTTCAGAGTGGGCAGCATTCCATGCAGCTTTTTGATGTGATGTGTTCTTTGATGGGAGTCCTTGCTGTTGCTGTAAAAGGTGAAGACTGCGTGCCTGTCGTGGTTGTTTTTTTTTTTTTTTTTTGTCCACGATTTTATTTCTCTAAAGAACAATTCATGTAGGTAATCCAAAAATAAAAGGGCTATTTGTGAGGACCCCTTCCCAGTACACCATCCCCTAGTCACAGTCCGGTTCTAATAACGCTGGCTCTGCGCAACAATCGTTGTCGCTCTTCACGACAAAAACGGAAGAAAATACAAAAGCGATCTATCCAGTTATTACTCTCAACTAAAACACCTTCATCTGAACAACCAGGAGATAGCAAAAGTACTTTCTTCCCAGTGTCGTTTTTCAAGTGTTCGACGTCACCTCCATCCATGCACATGTGTGCAACGCATCAACCCAAAAAAATAAAAATGGTTGTCACGCGCCTCCTGGACAGGGGAGGCTAGCGCGAAAAGAGGGGGGGTGTCAATGGTGCTTGCGCACCTGTGTGGGAAAAAATAAATTTCTTCCCACACACCTCCATGACTTGGAGGCGGGACTTTGACACAATGCCACCATCATTTGGCGACGCAGGTCCTTGTGTCAGAGACAGTATCTAAGACCCATAGGCAGACTCGAAAGAGCTGCAGGAATATCCATGCCCCAAGGCAGTCCCCACTTGGACCTCATGGATAAGGCCTATCCATGCACTCCCGTGCTTATAAGGGTAGTCAGCCCTCACACCGACCTGGACAGGGGGCCGGTTCTTGTATCCGTCAACTCCGTAGCGTGTCTCCTTGTGGATGGGACCAAGGACCTCTCGCAAAGAGGTGGAAAGACAGACGACCAACTCCATTCGACTGACATTCCGTGCGGCAAAGGGGGACGAACTCTCTCCCATTCGCTCCATGGACCGACACGATGACCTCGTAGCACCAGCCTTGAAACTTCCAAGCTCTCCGTGCATATTGCCGACCCTGGGGGGTAGACTCCTTGGCAATACTGGCGCCAACAGTGGTCCTGCTCAAGGTTCTTGTCGGTGATGATGGTTGGATGGGTGGATAGCCCCGACGTGGGGATGGAGGTAAACGTGACTGTTTTTGGAGACGAAAATGGAATTGGAAAGGAAAGAGTCCCTGTCGTGGTTGGCGATGGACTTTTTTTCGTATTTTTTTTTTTTTTTTTTTTTTTTCGGCATGGAAAATTGGTGGCGCTAATCTGCTGGCACAATTTACTGTTTCAGGAACCTGACTGTCTGAATCCGACTAGCAATCATCAGCAGAAGTTCCTAGTTGGTCCAGTGGTCAGGATTTGTCGCTCTCACCGACAAGGCCCGGGTTCGATCCCCGGACTGGGAATTATCTTTTGCCTCTAATCCCTGGTAGAGCTTATCGTCTTTTTTTGGTTGCCTATCTAGGGTTAATATATTTGACAACCCCTCAGCTTTCCGCACTAAGTCCATGTAACACACTTTTTCTGTTTTTGAGATAAAAACACTAGCAGGCTGGCCGGGGGCGATGAAGAAAAGAGAAAAAACTCTTTGGGGCGACTTGTTCTCCTTCGCTTTCTCTTTAAGCATTGTTGGTATGTCCTTGAAGGCGATCATTGAAGCACCAGTGTTGAATATGGCACTTTTAGGTATCTACAAGCCGTGTTTGATGACGACAAGGGACGTAAGCTTCATGAAGTGGACTGCAGGGGGTCTGACAACCAATTGAGCGCAAAAACTGTGAGTGTATGTTATAAAAACAAGACAATGTGGATATTAGAAGGCAGTGCTGCTGATGGCAACGCAGCACGCCTTGACGGCATGCTCAGCACGGAAGGAAAGAGGAGCTGAGCATTATTCACAGGCCATGATCGTCGCCGAACTGTACCAGAGCTTGATGGAGCTGAGACCATTGAATCGAGTATAGGAAGTTGGTGTGAGCGGTGTATTCATTTATTTTTGTCACAAAGTGGTTAAACAAAATGGAGCGGGAAGGAAGGATAATGGAGTAAAGGGAGAGGAATAGGAAAAAAAAGATACAATTACAAACGCAATTAATGAGAAGACAAAGTTAAAAGGACAACAAATAATATATGCAAGAAAGTAGTACTAACAGTGAACAAAGAAAACAAGGGGAAAAAAGGCAGGCAAACACAAAGAAAACTGAAAGAAAACTCTATACATTACAATGATGCACCGGCAAAAAACAACGAGAGAGCCATTGAGGGAGTAGGAGGGTATGGCGACAACAAAGAACACCTGGCGGCTTAGAGAACTAGCCTGCGGAGGGTCTCGCTCAGCCTCTTGAAATCAACAGGTTTACTGAGGTACGACGTGAATCCGCTGCTTAGACACTGCTCCGCCACATTCGCCATCACGTTGGCGCTCAGCGCCACAATGGGGATCCGCCTTTCACCATCCTCCAGATGTTCGTCCTCCCATTGCCGGATCGCCCTCGTCGCCTCGTACCCATCCTTTCCTGGCATAAACAAATCGCACTAGATGTGTATATGAAGACAAAGTATCAGTTATCATATAAACTCGTATCACTCATGCAGAATAGTAAAAGCTGTGCCATATCGTAAGTAAAAGAGCTTACGAGAATGAGAGAAAAGTGGTCTTTGGGCTGGCTCATGAACTTGTCGAGACACTCGTTACCATCGTTGGCAATGACAAGCTCAGCCCCGACCATCTGGAAATATCTTCGAATGACTTTTTGGTTGGTAAGGTCGTCTTCTGCTAGCAGGATCCGAATATTCTTGCCCTCCATCGCATCATGCATCTGGCTAAAAATCTCCTTCTGGCTCACCACAACCTGCTGCGCCGTCCGCCGCTTCACGCTCATCTTGCCATTGCCAACAGCGCCTCCAAGACCCCCACCAATGGTTCCGTTGGGGCTCGCAAGCGTCTCCTGGTGAGTCACAATATCGGCAAATGCCACATGCAGCTTAGCCTTGGTTAGAGGCTTGAACACCCACTCAATGTTGGAAGGGATCACCTTGGGCATCGAGGCCTCCAAGGATGATTTGGCAATCTCCATCGAGGCCTCTTCTACCTTCACAGCCTCCATCACCGCAGCTCGTTGAATCGGCGTCGTGATTACACAAGTTACCACAGTCGGCTCCACCAAGACTCCTTCCTGCTGCATAGCCGAAAAAATGTCCATCACAGACATGTAAGATGCCAGGTTGATGACCAGATAGTTGTACTTGCCGGCCTTGGTTGCTACTTTGCGTCCTCCGACCAAAAACTCCACGCCTTCTTTCAAGTCCGTTGCAACGTCGATCAGCGGGTCGAGTTTCTTAGGAACCAGTTGCTTGATCAGGTGCAAGATCGTCTCTCGTGCATGCAAAAGGTCTGCTACAACAAGGATTCGAGCCTGTTCGGGAGCTTGGCTCGCGGCTGTAGAGCTGGTGACGCCGGCAGTGTTCGTCAGCGACCCAACGGAGGAGTTGGCGGTCGACGTCGACGACTGCTTTGAATCGATAGAGGATCCTGCCGAGTAGGAAGATGATGACGACGATGATGAGCTCTTAGAGATGGGAAGAACGTCTGGTCGAGTCGTACTCGCCAGAGCCGCATTCGCCTTCCTGTTCTCAGCAACAAGAGCCTTGTTCTCCAAGACTTTGGCCGGGATCGCCAGCTTCATATCGAGCGCCGGGTTGGGCAAACTGGCAGCAATCACTGCTACTGCTGGTGGTTCGCCCACAGGAGGATTGGACGGAGTAAGCTGACCCACTTTGAGGTAGCGGCGGTCGTCAAGGATGGACTCTGTACGAGTCATTGCTGTGGCAACATCTCCAGGAGGAGACTCGGTCGTTGCGGTGACAGTCGTAGTGGTTGCTGAGGCTGTGGTCGCTGCGGAGCGTTGCTCAGGCTGGTCCTCCTCGTCAATAGCCAGTGTCAAGTCTGCAGTCAAAAAGTCTCCTCGCTTGATCTTCTTTGTCGCCGATTCCAACGCCTTGGTGGCCGCCTTCTTGGTGCTCTCCAAGTCTGGCTCCGCAAAGCACATCTCGCCTGGGATCAACTTGAGTCCAGTGACATGCTTCAATAAGGCTGGATCCGACACACGCTTTTTTGAGTCCTTCATCAGCGGAGGTTTGCCAGCAAACGATTCCACTCCCGATCCTGCTCCCGATCCCGATCCCGTTCCCGTAGGCAATCTGGCGGCTCTATAGGCTGGCTTGTTGAAGTTCTGCATCAGGCCGTTGATTCTAATGTCCTCAGAGGCTATGGGAGTCGTTGCCCTGGCAGTGACATTAGGCGGTGGAACCCGAGCAACAAACGTGAACGAAAACTTGCTTCCTTCACCCTTGACACTCTCGCATGTAATCTTTCCTCCATGAAGCTCGACAAACTCCTTGCTTAGGACTAGTCCCAGACCGGTGCCTCCGTGCTTCCGAGTCGAAGATGTGTCAACTTGAGAGAAAGGCTTAAACATCACCGCTCGCTCTGACTCATCAAATCCCTTGCCGGTATCCGAAATCTCAAATTTGATCGTCAGCACATCTGGGTCTGCATTGGGTTTGGCTGGCACCAATGAGCAGCGAGAGAACACTTCTCCATGCGACGTGAACTTGATCGCATTCTACACATAGATATTCAGAATGAAGAAGGTAAGCAAGCGTTATCCACCACCCGCATTGTTTCTTCCCTTCAAGGATGTAGATCTACCAGGAGGGAAAGCGATGAAAACTGACTTGGACACGTTGCTAAGAGCACTTACGCCGATAATGTTGATCAAGACCTGGCGCAGTCGCACACGGTCTCCAACAACTACCTCTGGGACTTCGTCCTCGACCAAGAATCCCAGCTCCAGGCCTTTTTGAATAGCCAGAGTACTGAGGAGCTCGTTCGCGCCTTCGGTCATGGCGTGAACACTAAATGGCTCCATCTCTAGCTTCATCATCCCGGCTTCGACCTTAGAGAGATCTAGAATGTCGTTGATCACCAAGAGCAAGGCGTCTGCAGATTGCTGCACTGTGTGAACATAGTCCAACTGTTCACTCGTCAGATCTGTCGTGATCAAAAAGTTGATCATGCCCGTAATACCGACCAAAGGCGTCCGGATTTCTATGAGGGAACAATAAAAAGCGGGCAGTAATCATTAGCGAAACGTGTGAATGGAACATGGCGTCTGCACCCTTCATCGTAAGGATATATGTATGTCCCCGCATAAGTCTCAGCATAAAGGATGCTTACCATGAGACATATTGGAGAGGAAGCGGGTCTTGCTCTCGGTCGACTTTTGGGCAGCGTCGTGGGCCTCCTTGAGTTTGTGCTCCAGTAGTTTTTGATCGTTGATATCGGTGCAAGTTCCAAACCACTTGCGACCTTGCTCTACAACCTCGACGCTGATACACTTGACGAGGAACCATCTGTACTTGCCGTCCTTCCGCAAGAGGCGCATCTCCGTCTGGTACGAGACTTCTCCAGGACTCTGGCCAAACGCTGTTCCGGGGGAAGTTGATTGCTTGTATTCAGGGTCTTCATCGCTGAGCGAGGGAGGACCGATGTCGTCATCAGAGATGTTGGTCGGCAAGAAACATTTGGCGCGGTCATCCGGGTGACTAGAGTAGTGGTTTTAGCGCAGCAATAAGCATCGTTAGCACACTGATATTGTTGCCGGAGACTTACTCATCAGGCAACTGCTGCATTGCTGTTCTTACACATGGTCCATGAACCCCAGTCCAGAAGCCTGCTCAAAGACCTGTCCTGAGAAGGTGAACCATTTGGCGTTGGTATAGGTCAAGCCAACCTGAGGAGCTGCCGTAAACACAATCTGTGGAATCGCCTCGGCCAGCAAGCGATATTTTTTCTGTAATTGAAAGGAAATAGAGAATGGGTGGCAAGTGTTAGTCAAACGAAGAAAGGAAAAAATTGGGCGCAATGCTTCGAAAATGAGCTGTTGACTGATAACGCTGCTGCTGCTGCATATACCTCGTTCAGTTCCAGTTCCACTTGACGGTTCAACTGAAGCTCCGCAATTTTTTGGTCGTGAATGTCTGTGCTGGTTCCAAACCACTGTACAATGTGGCCACTGCAATCTCGAACAGGTACCACCCTGCCCAAGAACCAACGGTATTGACCGTCAAATCGACGCACTCGGTACTGAGCATTGAACATCTCACCCTTCTCAAAGCTGTCCTTGAAAAGCGGTTGGAACTTTATCTCGTCGTCCTTGTGAAGAATGCCTGTCCATGGCTTGTGGAGCAGGTGCGGGAGTGGGATGCCAGTATACTGCATAGACCGCTGATTGAGCCAGGTCAGACATCCTGTTTGTGGAGAGAGCGTGCTGTTGAAATAAAATATAGGGTTTAGTGCTTGTCGTCAGATACAGTGCATTTTCAAGTCCTTGTCGCAGGCAACATCATTTTTAGGGTCCAATCTTACAAGACGTGATGGGCGATGGCATCCACTATCATCCGTAGGAGTCGGGTCCTGGGAATTTGAGCATGGCCTCCTTTCTCAGCGAAGCCATGTTGACGTTTCTTATGCTTCCGGCCAGTGGCGTGCCTTTCGTGGTGCAGCCCAGGAGAAGCCAGACTAGTGTCGTCGCTGTTGAAACTCCAGCCGCTACCATGTCTGCTCAGCGGTGCCCTCTCCTTTTCAAACTCTTCCCGAGATGGTGCTTTCCACTGCGACTTGAACGATCCTGCCTCAAGCTGACCAGGATATTCCCGATCGAATGTCCTTGAGTGGTGCGCAGATGGGGAAGCTACAGGCGAGGGTTCAGGTGAAAAGGCTGCAGGTCGGCTGGATCCAGGATGATCCAAAGCTATACCGAATTGATGCGGGGCGAATCCAGGCATATTGGGGGTGTAAGGTGAACTGGGGACTGGGCTCTCTGTTGGTGGCACTTGGGGCTGGTATAGTTTCGCATGGTCTTTGACACTCTTGCGTCTTCTTCGAACACCTGAGCGTTTGCTAGTTGAAAAAAGATGACGCTTTGATGTACCGGAAGGTGATGCCGAGTGGATCGAGCCGAAACAGGGAGACTCCTGACCTGCCAGACCAAGATCGTTCTCTGTCGTGCGTGGGTTGGGGAGCGATACTGGCTTTTTGTCAGTCTCTTCTGCTCGGAGAGTTTGCCACATCCCATCCGGGCCATCAGACTCTTCCGTTTCGGGCATTTTGGGCGAAGTCTCTGCTCGACGGTGACCATTCGCCCAATTGTTGAGTACTGCGCCGTCAATGTGGTGCTGCTGGGTGCTTTTAGTGCCCTGATGTTGCTTTCCAAGCATACGCTTAGTCTGGGGCGCGAGAGGGCAAGTGGCGCTTCCTGTAATGTCTAGGTTGAGTAGGTTGAGGCTGCGGTGAATCTCGTCCGTGGTTGAATCCAGATTGTAGAAAGATTCAGGCTGTTTGCCATCAGACAGGGAATCGCCTTTGCTGAACCGTTCAGGATCAGGCGACTGGAGCATGAAGGGATTGAAGGGCGAGTCGTTTGGCGTGGACGTAGCTGTGGTGTCAGACTCTATGCTGGTGAATGTGGAGGGGCTCCGGGTGTCAACGTCATGGGGTTTAGTGCGGCTGCTCTTGGTCGAAGCCACCTTGCGATCCATCGCAACGGACAAGTCACCATCAGGCATGTCCCTCCGCAGCGAAGGCCTTTTTGGTGGCGCAGCTGAAGACGTGGTCGAAGAGATGGTGGGCGTCGACAGTGGATCATCCCGAGGTATTGACGCTGGCACGACCGGGTCCGCAGAGTTCGACTGTCCAAAGAGAGGGGACAGTTTTGACCGAGTGTGTCCTGATCTTCCGTTGACAGGTGGATGGTCCGCTTTGGGTGTCGCAAGGTCTGAGGGTGCCATGTCGTTGGTGTCTTTCATCTTCCGCCTGATTGAGTCTGCAAAGGACTCGTTAGTGCGGGAACCTTCGCTTATGCCAGAGGTACTGAGATCGCCCCATCGATTTGATCTGGCGACCATATCCTCCAGTCGAAGTGCATTTGTGATCTGATTGGCCAAGAATGGGTTGAGCTCTGTCAAGATGTCCAGCGCCTCTGGTGGATAGGGGATTTGGTCCGCAAGAAACGATACAATGGCGACTGGCATGGCTGGGGGTCGATGATGTCTGATGTCCGAGGGCAAATAGCGCTGGTTGTTGTGGTCGGTCGAGCGGTAAAGTGGGACATGGATCAGCGACCTGGCATGGGCCATGACCGAAGGCGGCGGAGGGGGTAGGGGTGGTAGGGATGGCAGTCCATGCGATTCTCCTGTAGACATCGGAGGTCTGGAAGATGTGCAAAATCGCCCCTGAGGAACCTTGTGATCCGAAGGACTGCAGTTGTCGTCCTCTGTTGACTCTGATAAAGGGTCGGGCGGATCAAATGTGTCGTCGTCCATGGCAGGATAGGATGTCAATGGCTGGAAGAAGAATGGGTTAATGGTTGGGTCTTCCTTGATGATATTGGGCGATGGTGCCGGAGACTGTGACCAGGTTGGGTTGAGTCCCTGAACAAAGTCTGCATATCCTGCCTTGGACTGGGCTGCGACAAAGTTGGCTGCGTTGCTGAATGCTCCTGACATGGCCGACTCGACAGGAGGAAAATACGATCCCTCAGAGTCGTAACGAGATGAGCTCGAATCCATGTCTACAACATGACAAGAGAGAGGGAGAGAAGAGAAAAAAAACGTCGATTATGTCGGTCAGTAACAGTGTTTTTGTCGCGCATCCCTTTTTATTCTTGCATGTTTTTCGTTTTGTCTGTCAACATCACTCTATCCTGCGTCGATATCGTTTGCCTGTTTCAGGTAATGTAATCCGGTGTCCTGTCCTCCCCTGGATGATGTAGCCTTTTTTCGATTGCGTTATTTCTTCTCGCCTTTACTCCGTGCTGTCCTTGTGGTCAGCGGATACGGTATGCTTTGTAATGACGAATGGTGGTGGTGGCGTTTCGCGGTGTGAGTGGGTATGTGAAAGCGCAGGATGGAGTGGTGTTTGTTGCTTTCAATTATGCACGGTTGCGGCAGCATATGTGTATGTGGGGTACAAAGAAAAAAAGGAGTGTTTGCTCAACCATCGGTGACGATGACGATGTTGTTTGTTTTGACGTATTGTCTGCCCTTTTGTGCATGTGTGTCCTCTGTCTGTGTGTGCATGTGCGGTATCAATTGCTCTCCTTTTTCTTGGTTGTCTGTGTGTCTGAGACCGTCAGTCTTCTTTCCTCGCCTCCATCGCTCAATTCTGTCATAATCCTCCTACTCGAATAACAACAAAAGCAACAACAACAATGAACAATGACCGTCATCTCTTGTCATCTCCTTCACAAGGCCATACCTGAACCAGCATCGTTTTCAAAGCCCGAGGTGGCCGCAGAGGTGCTATTTCGTAGACCAAGAGCTTTGACAGCGCCGCCGACCTCGATCTCCACTCCATTCATTCGTCTAGCTGTTGTTGTTGGATCAGTGTCGGTATAGGAAGACTCATCGTCGTCGTCGTCGTCATCGGTGAGGAATGGCGGGCGGGCCTTGTGACTTCTCCTCCGGCTAGCTTTTGAGCCGACGTACTCTCGGGTGAGGACAACAGTTTTCCCTGCGCGGAGGATGCTGTCGATCGTGTGCTCGTTCAGGAGGGGTTCAGGGTCGTATTCGAGCGATTGGAGGTTGGAAAAGCATTCTGTGCCGTTGGAGTGGATGCCGTAGGCTCTGAGATGGGATGACCGCGAGTGTTTGATGGCTGAACTGCTCGAGGACGAGTAGGAGGAGGCGCTTGAGGCTGATGACGAGTATCCGGCATCGAGCGGCGCGTGAATGCTCCAATAGTCGCCGTGATAGTCCTTGCTGTCGGGGATATAGTCGAGGGATGAGGAGGAAGAGGGGGGCTCGTGTGCCGTGAATTCGAGGCGTACATGGTGACGACTGGAAGAAGAGGAGTTGTTGCTTCGGATATTGTTGTAGCTATGCGCGCTAGTCGTGGCACTGTTGGTGTTTTTGTTGTTTTTGTTGTTGTTGTTGTTGCTGCTGCTTGCTGTAGGAGAGGAAATGTCGTCATGGGGGGAGAGGAGGTCGTGGTGGTCGCTGTTGGGCGAGGTGTCCTTGGAGACGGGGTGGTTATTGCTGTTTGTGCTAGTATTGTTGCTGGTGTTAGGATTGTTGCTTGGGTTAGGATTGTTGCTGTTGTTGTTATGGTTGTTGAGATTATTACTCCGGTTGTTGTGAGCTTGTGCTGCTCGCCTCCTGGAGAAGGAGGAAGATGTGGAAGAGGGGGAGGAGGAGAATGACGACGATGACGACGAAGGGAGAGGTAGCGACGAGAGGGAGATACGAGGGCTCTGATGGGGATGAGGATGATGTAGATGCGCTGCTGGGTTGCTATCTTGAGAAGCCGGTGTCGCGCTTTTCTGGAGTCGGTGGTGGTGGTGTGCAAATTCGTCTTTGGGCGTAACAGTGTTTTCATCCAGGAAGTGATACTTGTAGTCCCAGTGGGCCTTGAGACCCCAAGGACGGCTCTGATGGAGGTTGTTTTCGATCGAGGACGAGACGGCCGTGGGATCCTGAGGTAGACAGAGGGTGATGCGGGTGGCGTGAAACCGCTGGGAGAGGATCTCGGTGATGGTCTTCCAGAGGCGGTGGATCTCTATATCTGCGCTGACGGTCAGCGACAGTTCCTGGACAGGGGGGAATGCAGGATCAGGCGTCTGGGCGACCATGGAGACTGTTGGTGGTGTGAAGGGGTTGTTGCTGCTGTTGCTGATGGATGGTTGCTGCTGCAATTGTAGTGGTTGGGGTGGTGCGGTGGACGAGTACGAGGACAAGGAGGAAGGAGCAGGTTGTGGTTGTAATTGTTGCTGATGATCTAAAGCGACTGGGCGCTATACAATGTATTGTGTGTGATGGAGCGAGTGAAGGGAATGATGGATGGGTCGGGGAGTGAAGAGAGATGGACAGTGAGCCGTGAAGGGGAAGGACGTAAAGGAAAGAGACATGGAGTGACAGGTGAGGTGAGGGAGGGGAAAAAAAGGGAAGGAAAAAAAAAAAAAAAAAAAAAAAAAGAGTTAATAAAATAGGACATTTTTGCCGTGGTGGTGCAAACGGTGTGAGCACACACTCAACACCCTTGTTCTTAATGACAAATAATAATAGTTTACATGGTGCGAGACATGGTGGTTGTTGTTGATGTGTTTGTGCTTGTCGTCGTCGTTGTTGTTGTTGTTGGTGTTGCTAATATAGCTATTGTTGTTATTGTGCAGGCCACGGAGAGGAGCGTTGTTGGGTGAGGCTGAGAATGAATGGGCAGAATAGGAATGCAGCAGCAAGTCAGAAGACGAAGAAGAGGAAGAAGAGGAGGTAAAGGTAAAAGTAGAAGCAAGAAAAGGGAGAGAAGGAAGGGCGGAGAGGGTGGGAGTGTTTGATTTGTTGGTGTTGTTGGTGTTGGTATTGGTGGTGCTGTTGCCGTGGGTTGGTGAGGGTGTGGAGCGAGGGGAGTGAGGGGTGGAAGTATGAGGGAACTGTTGTTGTTGTTGCTGCTGGTGCTGCTGCATGGCCAGTGTTTTTTGTACAGGTGGGATGAAGACAGAGGTATAGGGAGCAAGAAGTGATATGCAGAGGTATTATTATTACTGTTGGAGGAGGGTGGTAGGGAAGGGAAGGGAAGGGAAGGGAAGGGACGGATAAATAAATAATGAAAAAGGGAAGAGAGAAGAAAGAGAAAAAGGGATCAACAAAAGAGCTTCTTTAGTCCTAGGAATTCCTTGCGAGTGGGTGGGGCTTACTTGCTACAGTTCCGACAACGGCATCGATTGGATTCAAGATCGGAAAGGGAGAGAGGGAGAGGGTGAGAGGGACAGCAGAGTGCAGGGATAACAAAGAAAAAAAAAAGAAAAAGAGACAAAGACGACGACGCGACAACAAGACAATTATGAGGGGGTTATACTGTCACTCTACAGTCAGGACACATCGACTGTCACAAAAACCCCATATGTCATCTCATAGCAGATAAACACCTCAAAACGAGCCTAGCTTGATCAAGCACTAGCGCTGCTTTTCTTGCCTGTGCTAGTGTGCGCCTCGACTCTCCTACTCTCCTAAGCCTTGCCTGCTGGATGCACTGCTCAATTGATGGCAATACGCGTTTTCTCGTATCAATCGGGAGTGGAGAATGATCCATGACAGGTGTCTTCACTGCCCTGGGTTGTTTTCCATTCTCTGAGGATACCAATGCTTCTGTAGAAACGTCTATATCTGACTGTGCTTGAGGAAAAGGTGAGAAGGAATAAGAAAGCGTTTGAATAGAGCAATTGATATGACTAGGAGAGAAAAAGGAGAGGGAATGAAGGTCGCAGAGAGGAGTGAGGATGGAGAATGGAGAATGTAGGTAGATGTAGATGTGTTGGGAAAGAAGAAATGGAAAACGATAAGGAAAGAAAGAAACAAGAGCAAGAAAAAGACATTAAACAGACAGCGTGGGAAGAAGGGAGAAGAGCAAGAGCGAAAGAAGAAGAACACGAAAAAGACTCTTATTCATGTTACAGAACGAACAGTTGCATACTTTGACAGGACAACCCTTATTGAGCACCCCCCTCCCCATCCATGGCAACAACAACAACAGCAACAACAACAACAACAACAACAACAACAGCAACAACAACAACAACAACAACAACAACAGCATTGAGGAAAAAGAACCAGGCGACTGCGGATCGGGATCGGGAGAGCAGGGGAGAAAGTGAAAGAGACAGAGACAACAGGATAAAAAAGAAAGAAGGGTCAGATCTGACTTGCGTGTGTTGTCTGTGTGTTGTGTCCGATGCTCGCATATCTCAAGAAATGCATCGCCCAACTGTGCCTCCCTGGGCCAAGCCTCCATTCTTATTCGCCTCGAGATGAATAAACGACCCTTAATCACAATGGCACGCGAAGGACAAAGACAGTCCTTTTTACTAAACAATGATGTTTCTTTTTCTTTTTTTGGAGACAAGGAAGCACTCATAGTCCAACATCCCATACCCCACCAAAGCATACGACAACAATGGCGGCACTCAACCCAACGGACATCATCAACGCAGGAGAACATGTCTTCATTAAGATGCCAAGCGACAACGTCAAGTGCATCGTCCTCAAGGCTGGCAGGTATGATTCAGCTAGCCTCTTTCCTTTTTTTTTTTTTTTTTTTTTTTTCCTCACGAGTCAGTACAATAATATTTACGAAGGAAACAAAGGCTTGCAACATGAATTTTTACGAGTATAAGGAGAGAGAAAAGGAGAGATATATCAACAGAGGATGAAAAGAACTAATACCCAAGCTAATTCCGATTTAACGATATGTAGCTCGGTGTCGTTGGGAAAGTTTGGAACGTTCAAGGCGAACGACATTATCGGGCACGCATGGGGAAACTCGTACGAGATCTACGATCGTGACAGCAAGACCCGTGTGTACCACCCAGAGGGTATCAGCGAAGTCGAGGAGACCGCCAACAATAACCGCGAGATTGTCGACGATCCCACTTCCCAAAAGCTTACTCTTGATGACATCAAAGCATTGAAGTCGGAAGGACTCAAAGGCGAGCTTACTGGCGAGGTACTCTTTCACTCTTTACCGTAATGACCATGGACATCAACTCTTTAAAAACAGGAAATGGCGACAATATCAGCAACGCATGGCCAGGGAGGAAGAACAGCATACACGGACTGGGAAAAAGCAGGCAGATCATGGATCGATCTGTTCAGGATGTTTTGAGCTAAAGCAGCTGTAAATGGACCGTACAAGAAGGGAACGTCATCACGGATTATAGCGTTCATTCTCTAGTGCAAGAATCTCGCAGTAACACTCTTCTTTTTGCATACACTCCACTCCAACAGGAAATCGTGAACAAGCTGAAGGAGAGCCACGCAACGTTCGACAAAAAGACCGCTTACTCGCAGGCAAAGTACCTACAAAAGAAGGGCAAAAAGTTCCACAAGGTCTTCACCCCCATCAAGCCCACCGCCTACTCCGTCAACGAATACTTTTACGTCAAGAATCCCTCAAAGATCAGAGACATCCGCATGGACACCCTCTCCCAGCTACTCTCATACTCGAATGTCCATTCTGGTTGTAAGCTCTTGGTCGTCGACGACACTCAGGGCATGATCGTCTCTGCACTCGCAGAGCGCATGGGAGGTAGGGAAGCATGTTCTCAAAGATTCGCTAACGGTTGCTCAACGACAACCACTAGCACTACTTGAATGGGCGTTCTCACCTTAACTGAATTACTTATTCATATCATTGTTAGGCAAGGGAACTATTCTTGGTCTGTATGATGGCGACAACCCTCACTACGACATTGTCAAGTACATGAACTTTAACCAAGAGACCCTCGACACTATCAAGGTCCTTTCCTGGCTCCGCATCCACCGCCCAGCCGATGAGAGTAAGTCGCATTGGACACTAATATCTGCAAAGGCAACACATTGACTGAACTTGAGGTTCGAGTCAACATGAGGGCTGACCAACCTATACACGAATTATCATGGCGATAATAGAGACACCAGATGAGATGCAGGATGTGACACAACTGACAGGAAAGGACCTGGAGGGATACCACAGACGCCTGAAGGCGTACAACATTGTGGAGGAATCACGCAAGATTCTCTTCGAAGGCAATTTTGACGCCCTGATTGTCGCTTCGCAGTACCAGCCAGAATCAATTCTCGAAAAGCTGTTGCCTTACGTTGCTGGATCAAGACCCGTCATTGTCTACCACGGCACCAAGGAGGCACTTTTGGAGACCAGCACCTGGATGAGGAGATGTCCCGATCTTTTGGCCCCTCAACTCACCGAGAGCTGGCTCAGGAAATCACAGGTCTTGCCTGGCCGCACACATCCCGAGATGTCGACCTGGGGTACAGGAGGATCTCTCTTGACCGCCACCAAGGTGATCGATCAGCCTGTCCAAGCCGCCTTGACCAAGCGTGAGCGTCTCGCCATGGAAAAGAAGAATGCCGAGGCCAAAAAGTTGAAGCGTGCACGCGAGGAGGCTGAGAGCGCCACCTCCTCACCTGCCCCTGTTGCTGCTGCTGCCGCTGTAGGAGACATCGCCGATGAGGCGGTTGAGGGAGTGGAAGAGGGAACCACCACTGCAACTACGACTGATGGTGGTCATGAAAGTCGGTCTATCAAGCGCGCTAAGCAAGAATAGTGAGAGCGCGCACCCAAATAAACAATTCTGTAACATCTGAACTGTTTTTGAGAGAGACACCTGGTACGTATGTGTAATAATAGTGGTAGTTAACCACAGGCGGCTAGATTTTTATGCGTTTCTTTATTTTGGTCCGCAGTGAGGAGCTTAAAACATGAAGGAAATAATGATTTAGTTGGTGGCGGCGATGGAGGCCGCTGCAGCGAGGCGAGCCTTCTTCCGCTTGTTCTTCTTGACCACACCAGCATCCGTCGTAGCATCACCGGTGGCAGCTGGGGCGGCAGTCTCGGCGTTCTTGCGCTTCTTGGAGGGAGCCTTTGCGGCATTGGTGGTGATGGCGGTGTTGCTTCCGTTAGCCTCGCTCTCTGCCTTTTCTTCCTTTTCCTCCTTCTTCGCCGCGTTCTTGGCCTTCGTGCCCTCCTTCTTGGCCTCGTTGGCTACTGGCTTGGCTTCCGTTGTCCCTGCTTTCTTGGAGGTCTCCTTCTTAGGCACGGGCTTGACGTCTGACTTGGCTTCTGGCTTGTCTGCTGGCTTGTCGGTTGACTTGTCAGTTGACTTGACTTCCGTCTTGGCTTTCTTGGTTGCTGGCTTGGCCTCCTTGATGTCGTCCCTACTGGCTGCTGCTGGCTTGACTTCCTTGATGCCGTCCTTCTTAGTTGCTGCCGGTTTGGCCTCCTTCTTGGCCTCCGTCTTGGCTGCACGCTTCTCCTTCTTGGCCTCATTCTTGAGTGCTGACTTCTCCTCCTTCTTGGCCTCAATCGTGGTGACTGGCTTGTCTACCTTCTTTGCTTCCGTCTTGTCCTTCTTGTTGTTGCCGTCCTTCATGATCTGCTTGTCGCCCTCTCTCTTGGCTCCAGTCTTGGCCTCTTTGATGGAAGATTCCTTGACCTGCTTATCCTGCTCGACGACCTCCTTTGCCTGCTCGCCACCCTCCGTGTTGGCTTCCAACCCGGCAGCCGTCTTTGCCTTCTTCTTGTTCCCAGTGGCCTTAGGTTCCTTGACCTTATCCTGCTTGGTCATGGCCTTTTCCTTTACCTCGATTGCTACCACCTCTTTCTTCTCATCCTTCTTGGCTGGCGTCGCCGGTGTCACTGCTGTAACCTTCTTGATGGTGGAAGGAGAGTTGGTGTTGTTGGTCTCCTTGGCGGGCTTGACAGCTATGGCAGCTTTGGGTTTGGTCTCCTTTGGGTCTGTCGTGTCTGAGGGTCCCTTGTGTCCCACAACGTTCACAATCGAGTCATCGTCAACCACGTGGTATAGCGTCTGGTCTTCGTGCATATCGAACTTGCGCTCCGTCTGAAATCCCTTGACTATAAATCCCTTGCTAAAAGAGAGTGGTCATGAAAAGGCAAGATGTGTTAATTGTCAAAATAAACGCAAGTTGTATAGGGATCGATATAAGAGAGAGAAAGAGAAAAAATAGAGAGAAGGTCTTACGAGCCGGGAAAGGATTTGAGCTCCTTGACTACGTCCTTTTTGAGACTGGAGACCTTGTCCTCAGGTTTGACTAGGACGAGGAACTTGATCAGATCCCGAGCGCGTACATCGGCGGAGATTTTTTCTGGCTGGTGACAGTCTACATGGACATTCACCCTGTACAACTTCCTTCCTGGGAGCGACACCGACATTCTGTGCTGCTTGGCTGATTGATTGATGGTGGAAGTGTTCGTGATCAAGTTTTAGTCCAAAAGAAAGAAAAAAAAAATGATAATACGTCACATGACCGTTCCTCAGATTTGCATTCTAATCAGTGGCGTTTCGGTTCCAAGGTATTCATGCGACCCAAGTTGTGCAACCATTCGGCCTCCTCTGACAGCTCAATTCTTTCAACGCTGACAGCCACTGACAGCCCTTCCCTGTATGTAGTGGATTGGGTTAGTCAGGCCTGGAACGTCGGCACGATTTGTGGAGGATCTGACGTCAATTAAAAAAACAAAAAAATAAAAGGCGTTTTTTCAGTTCGAGAGTGGTTCCTAGGACGAATGTTCGTAGTTTCAACACACACAAACCAGCGGGACAGCCAACACACGACGCTCACTTCGAGGCCCAACGTCAAGTGTCGTTGTTCGAATGACGTCGAACAAGGAGGAGGCATTTGATTCTATTATCGTCTAACCCTTGTCTAATCAAGGCTCTATATGATTAAACATGGGATTGACATTGCAATCCTCTCTACCTGCAGCATCCATCACTTTCACCGGACCAGCTAGCGACTATGTTAACGAAGAGACCAAGACCTCGTCTCCCGACTATGACGGCGATGACGAAGACGAGATGGGCACGAAAGACAACTACCACTACATTGCCAATGTCAAAGTAGACGGCTATCCACCACGGCACACGCACAAGAGACCAATGAGTCAGCGATGCCCTCCTCGAGTTTATGGCCCTTGTTCTTTCGTTCTCCAACGAACAGTCTTTTGTCCTCATGGTCATGACCAAATATTCCCTCGCCACTATCTCAGTGCATTCATACCCTCCGTCACCCTTCCTCAAGAAAGAAAAGAGACAACAGTAACAACGGGAAACGCTCAAGACATTGAATGATTACTTTCGGGTGTGTGTGTGTCGGGGGGGGGGGGGGGGAGGAAAACGAAATGGAGAGGGAGGTAGAAAAGAGTGCTATATAGGAGATGGAGGTGGACTACCGTCGATTTCTTCATGAAGACCCTTGTATCTCTCGACCCTCTGCGTTCATAACAATATGACTATGGCTATTGACGATAATGGTGTTCTCATGAAATAGAAAAGAAGCATTACGCATAATTATTAAATTAAGTGTTATATGTAGTCATCAAGTGAAAGAAATATAAGTATTCTACGCGGCCGCGGAGACCATGGAGTCGGATCTAGATCTAGGAAGGATCCACACATCCGCGTCCAATTGCCCAATAACTGTCCCCTGCCTCGACCGGATATCATACAACGACGGTTCCAGTCTCCAGCCTTCCTTGAACGTCCCTGCCGCACGCGCTCCTCCTCCTCCTCCCCACTGTTGTTGCTGCCACTCTCTCATCCTCGCAGCACTACCAGATCCATAATACGAGTCCTGTGGTCCTCCTGGTCCTCCCCACAAATTGCCGCGAGTAGATCCATGCGGCCCAGCACCAGAAGCAGAGGCAGCGGCAGTCTTTTGCAAGATCCGGCTCAACACCTTGTGCAGCGGCAGCTTGGCCGATCCAAGCTCAATCATCGTCTGCCGCTTTGGGTTCAGTTTCCATACCTCAACCGAGATATTCTCAAGCATACATGCCGCCATGACCTCGGGCGTCAACATCAATTGACACTGTGCCTTGAAGTTGAAATGCTGTGGATGCACCCCATGTTGCCGCTTTCCTGGTCCTTGCTCCTGTCCAAATCCACGTCCCTGATCTTTGTTCCTTCTCTGTCTCCGCCGAGACTCCTTCCGTCTATCCAGCGATCGCTCTCTTCGCCGACGCTGCTGATTGACGCGCTCTACCTCCTCGTCAACGTCTTCCTCCTCCTCGACAGACGGAACCTTGCGCCTCCTCTGAAGTCGCGACTGTCGTCCTCCCATCGCGCCACCATGCCTCAGATCCTCATCCTCAGTGCTCACCGAATAGCTCTGTCCCGTGCTGTAATTATCCTCGGCCCCGCTAAAGCTGCTTCCAGTCACAGAGGAGTGGTACTCGGGTCGAACTAGGCCCGACATACTCCTCGAGGGGAACAGGTCAGGCGTGTCATTCAATAGGTCGCCCGGCCTGGGGTTCATCCGGATCTGCAACCTGTCGTTGGAACTCAAGCGCCTCCGGTGATGTTGTTTCCAAGGTCGCCCCGGATCCGCACCCATCGTTGGGAATGTTTCAGGCGGGTATGATTTAGATTTGCGAGGTTGATGACCCGGCAACGATGACGACGATGGTCCATCCTTCCTCCTACTACCACTGCTACTCCTCCGCCGCATCGTGCCCTGTCGGTGCTGACGGTGATTTTCCTGCCGATACTGCCTGCTACTACTGTCGGGACTTGTCTGGAACGACTGGTAATGACCATGGGCGGTAGCGGCGCTCTGTTCCTGGGCTAACTGAAGTCTTGCGAGATCAGACTTTCGTGCAACCTTTTCAAACTGAATCGGCTTCTCAGAACGTCTCAACCCCCTGGGTGTCGACTCCGAGCCTTCTCCAAGCGAGTCTTCCCGACGATGTCCGGCACCACCCATCATCGACGTCCAAAACTCCTGCCCTCGTGAACCCCTACCAGACTGGCGGATAAGCCTGGGTGACCGCGTTAAATTCTCCGGCACGACCGCCAACCCCGCTGCTGTATTGCTTACTGTTGGTGTTATAGACTGGGATTGTTGTTGATGCCGCCGCCGCTGCTGCTGCTGCTGAGATTGATGATGATCTTGTCGTTGTTGTTTCGAGTGTGGTTGTTGCTGTTCTGGTAATGGAAGAGGGTGATATTTTTTGTGCTTCGAGCCTTTCAACAGCCCGTGGGAAGTCAAATAGGCTGTCGGGATACTCAGCTCGAGTTTGAATCGGGATTTGGATGGCCAGTAGGGAAGGCTCTCGTGGTAGGGGCGAAACCGACTGTCGTCTTGGTGGTCATCCTTCAACACCGACGACCGAAGGTGTCTTGCCGAGCGTGTGCGCACCTCTTCCGGATCAAGCGCAAGGCTTGTCTTCATTCCTGTTGACAATCAATAGTGAATATAATTTGTTAGAGCCTTATTTTGTGGTCAACACCAGAATATATGGAAATAAAGCCAGGCAGTGTACCTTGGAGCAAGTCTTCGCCTCGAGCGAGGACAGAGTCAAGGCGACCGATGGCAGCAGCGGTAGCTCCAGAGCGAGGTCTGGACCGGGAACCTTGGCTGTGGTGGGTCGTCGTGTTGGTATCTTCCGATCTGCGGTGTCGGTAGAGCGAATCGTCCTGCGACGGCCTCTGAACTCCGTTCCTAGCGTGTCTACGATACGACGCGTCGTATGGAGGCCTCAAGTCAGGGATGGGAAGCTTGATGTTGGGATATTGGTGGGACGACGAGTCGATCGATCCCACACCGGCAGCTCCAGCCATGCCCTGTTGCCGTCCGTCACCACCGCCTCTGCTCCCGCGAAGATTTTGGTTTTCGTAGGGCATTTGAGAGGGTCCAATAGCATTCGGATGAGGATGAGAGGGAAGACGACGGTGACGATAGGTTGCTGGCTCATCGTCAAAGCGCAGCGATGACTGATAGTGTAGATGCGAGTCGGGGTGTCGAGGGCCTACTAGTGGACGTCGGTCGATGATTCTAGCGCCTCGCTGAAGCTGAGGTACCTTTTGCTGCTGTTGATGGTGCACCGTAGGGTCTACGACCGCACTGGGGCTGAGAGGATGAACCGGTGGTGGTTGTTTGGACGGAACTCCTAGTGAGGGGCGGACTCGATGCATTTGCTGTTGTTGATGGAGTGGGTGTTGTGGTGGTGGGTGGTGATATGATATTGAAGAGTGCTCTGTAGGATGGCCAGAATGTTGGTAAGACGGCTGGCGATGGTGCCGAATGGAACCCTGGCCATTATGTGATCGATGATGATGATGATGATGATGATGAAGTGCTGTGGATCGTTCATCGTTATGGATGGACGCATTGGACGTGGAATCGGACCCCTCGGAGGTATCACCAACATCCGATGTATCCTGACACCAGGCCTGAAAGACAGCCATTCCTAAGACGGCCCTCCTGTTAAAGATGTCGTGGTGGGCTAGCTTGGGATCATTGTTCTGCAAGACTGTAGTAAAAGGAAACACGCCCGAGAAGGTGCCATGGATGTTCCGGAAGAGATCAGCAAGGTTGGTGACCGAGGCCAGGATGGTAAGATTAGGCGTGATCTGGATCTCGAGTGCCAAGGAAGTCATCTCAAGAAAGTAGCGGTAGAGTTGGTCAAGAGAACAACGGACGGGATAGGCCACCGTGACCGGATAGGCTGCATCTGGTAGAGTTGGTAAGGGTTTCGCATCTGCAAGTGCAGCAGCAGCAGGAGGAGGGGGGTTGGGAGTGGTGGGCTGAAGGGTGGGGATTAGGTTAGACACGGGCTGAACATCCTGTCGTCGCCTGTTCATTGGAGGAAGGGTATCGTCAACGGCATGATCCTGCGGTTGCTGGTTGCCCTTGTGAGCATCGATATCTTGAGTGGCCAACGGTGTTTTGGAAGACGAGGGATTGTCTTCTTTAGACTTTTTGTTATTGCCGATGCGGAGAGCGTTCATGAGCCGAGCTCCGCCTGTTGTCCAGGGTCGGCGAAGAAACTTGGCAGTCATTGAGCGCGGCTGTGGCGCGGTTGTCAATGGTGGCAGTGCGCTGTTGCTAGCGATAGAAGACAAGGGTTGCTCTTGTTGATCTTGTTGTTGTGGTTCTGGCTGTAGCGGTTGATGGGGAGTTTTTTTGTCGAGCTGTTGTTTACGCAAGAGGGCTTGGTGCACCTCAACGGAGGGTGGAAGAGGGCTGTTGAGCCTGGGGAAGACAGCGAGGGACGAGGCAGTGTCTTCGTTCCACCAACGGATGGTGACCTGGACGCGTGAGGGGATAATGGTATCTACAGAGTCGAGGATATCGATGAATTCAGGGGTGAGGGTGACGGTAGGGAGAGAGACGGCGAGGAACCGTTGGACGGGGCCTTTGAAGGCTGGGGGGAGAGAGTGGGTGTCATGACTGGAGGCCGAGGCAGAGGCAGAGGGGGCGACAGAAGGAACGGTGGCCTTGAACATGGCTCTCTCACTCTCTTCGATTATATCGCTACTACGAATCTTGTCGCGAGATCAGCTCGTAAAAAAAAGTTTGTCGGGGTTATGCTGGTTGAGCTAGTGATGACAGGGGCACGCCTTGCTGGAGAGGAGGGATCGTGATTGTCTTTTGCGATGAGTTGGGGGGAGGGGGTTTGATTGATCGCTGTGGAGGAGTGGGTGCGAGAGGACGGGAAGAAGGGAAGGGGGAGCAAGGAGAGGTCGGTAGGTCGGTAGGTCGGTATGAAGGAAGGTAAGAGGAAGGGGGGCTGCCTAGAGGGGGAATGCCATGGGGATGATGGCGACGGGGGATGAAGGGAAGGGGAGAGATGTAAAGAAAGGAAGAAATAGAAAGAGGGAGTGATTGAGAGAGAGGGTGTGGTGAAAGGAGCAGGAGGGTACAGAGAGAGAGGGGGAGGAGATAGACTTTTTTTCCCAATTGATTGATGATGGTTGCACGATGCTCAATTTTTATTCGCTTTAGTTGCTGCTGATCAAGCGACTCACTCACTGATTCTCATCACTTCATCAATCTCTTTTGAGACTCAACACAAACGAGAGTGAGACCTCAGTTCTATTCACGTTCACGTCAATCAACACAAAAAAAGGGGAGACACAGGGGAGCTAATATGAGTGGGTCTCCTTGGTATGTGGTGCGTTGCTGAACTAGAGCAGCAACCAAACGAGAGTAGACGATGATGACCAAGAATAGAGAGGTCTCCGTGGCATGACAGTCGATCGATAAACAAAAAATGACATCTCCACCCGCGGGATATCGTTTCCATTCCTCTCTCCCCCTTTTCTCTTCTCTCTCTCCCGGATGCCATTTCTGTCTCTCTCCCTTTTTCCCAGCGTCGGAGGCAGAATGGTAAATGAGGACGTTGTGGAGCCAATGTCGCTCTTTCCCTTTTCCCCTTCCTTCTTTCCTACTTCTCCCATTCATCTTGCCCTTTTTGCATACCCCTCTCCCCCCCTTTTTTTCTTTCTCGCCTCTTCTCCTCAAAGTGCTAAAGGCGGCTCATATCCTCATGTCCTCCGAGCCAAACAAACAAAAAAAATGGCGAGGAGTTGCTAACGAACTATGCGCTCCTATGTTAGTGTCACCATGTGTAGTTTTCAACATGAAGGAGAAAAGACGAAAGGAGGAGGAGAGCTAATACAGTTGAGCAATAGGATCTGGCCTGTTCGCCTCTCCTTCGTTCATAAGTATCGTTTCTGTGTGCTCGCGAGCATGGTTCTCAATTGTCGGAACAAAGAGTCTGCTACGATGCTCAGATGTGTGAGCAAGGATTACGAGAAAAACATTCATCCCCACGTTTCCATGCATGACAGCATTGCTCAATTGGTTCGTCCCAGCATTGGTTTGAAAGCGAGAGGGAGAGATGAGTCTATCTCGTTTTGTCAACTAATGAACCCCCATTGTGAGAGCACCACATCTTTAAAACAAACAATTCACTCTCGCTCGCCAATGCCTCTCTGTCGCTTCCGTGGTCAGTTGCATTAATGCGAAGACAAATAAATAAAATAACGTCAGAGAACCCTGCCAAAACTGAGACTATAAGAGGAGCATGCACGCATGAGCATTGAGAGTTTCTTTTGTGTCTTTTTGGGAGAGATACTAAAATATTGATTAGTCGTTCTCTTTCCTTTCCTCCCATGTTTGTGTTGCACAAAGTCCAAAGTCGGAAAACTTGTATGTCTGGATTCGTTCTTGCACGCCAATTATTGTACCGATTCATGTACGTGAAAGCAAACAAGTGTCGTTGTGCCGGTGGTCACGTGTGTACAGGCACTGTCTATCCGCCAATTGGCTCCAACACGCAAGCGCGATAATGACGTGTATGACCACTCGCTTCGTTGAACCCTTCTTTCTTTTCTCTGTCCCTCTTGCACACACACAACCAACAACGTCCAATCCATTTTCTGTGACAACAGCAACGTGAAAGACAACCATGCCTCCCGCAAACACCATCAAAGGTATTTACATCAGTTCCGCAGCAGGGTTCCATTCACAATCAAGTCGCCTTGTCCATTTACATCTTCCACTTGGTATCACTCAGCCAGGTAGCGTATTCAAGTTTTGTTCCTGAGGTATCCTAACATATTTAGCTTTACTACTGCATGGTCATATCTAGTCAATGTCAAGTGGAGTGGAAAGAAGTTTGACGATATCGAGCTGAATCTGGACGAGCCTGGATTGGTGTTCAAGGCGCAGCTTTTTGCCCTCACAGGAGTCGAGCCCGATCGACAGAAGATCATTGCCAAAGGAGGGATGCTCAAAGTACGGGATCGATACTGCCGGTGCTTCTGAAGATATGTCTCCTGTATTCTGTCACACCCGTGCTAACGGTTGTCGTTGTCGATTACCCATTTTAGGATGACACTGACATGACCAAACTTGGTCTGAAGGCTGTAAGTGTTCAATGTCGATTCTTGCAAGGAGGCATTGCCAGTTAGCATATTATTCAGCCGAAATGCAGATCGTTAATCTAGCCCACGTACCTTTTCCGCTCATAGGGCCACAACTTTATGGTGAGTCTCATAGATACATTGTAACAAGTATAGTGTCCATCATAGCGATGGGGACATGATATTAATAAGGCACTGCCTCCTATTGTTTTGATTAAATAGATGATGGGAACGGCAGGGGAACTCCCCAAGGCACCAGAAAAGAAAACCCTCTTTGCAGAGGATATGACGGAGGCGACGCTGAACAAAGCTGTGAGTAACTTGCGCCAGTAACATATGCGTGTCACTACGCGTCTTTCACAGTCGATTCATAGCTAACATGCAGAAAAAAACTTTCTATTTATCTTTAGATGGACATTCCTATCGGACTCGTCAACCTCGGTAACACATGTTACATGGTACGAGTCACTTTTCTTCATGCAATCTTACAGTCCGCGTGAGAATAATTGCGTGCACTTATGGCTGATCACTTTACATTATATGTCGACAATAGAACGCCACACTGCAATGTCTCCGTGTTGTCCCGGAGCTCATCCAGGACCTTCAAAAGTACTCTGGCGGCACTGACAACCTCGACGCAGGAAGCAACATGACCGCCTCCTTGCGCGATCTGTACAGACAGCTGAACGCCTCCGGATACGGTGTCATGCCTGCAGGGTTCCTTACTGTACATCTTCCGTTTCTTCTTCTTTCGGCGCATCGTCATTATTTACTATGATCACCAGACAACTCACACATATGTTACTTAATTTCATGGACACTCTAATAGTACTTGCGGAAGGCGTTCCCCCAATTCTCTCAACAAGGACGGGATGGCGTTTGGATGCAGCAGGATGCAGAGGAGTGCTGGAGTCAGCTTATTTCTACTTTGAAAGCAAAGCTTCCTCCTCACACGGAAGGGAAGCAGAACGTGATCTCGCAGTTCATGCAGGGCGAGTTCACAACTACGTACGTATCGTAGATATTTCATGTTTTGTCTTGTTTGTTGACGCTTCACGGCACCTGCTCGGAACTAACAACCAGTGTGTATTTTTGAACCCTAGTCTGAAGTGCGATGATGCCCCTGAGGAAGAGGCACTTGTCACCAAGGAACCCTTTGCCAAGCTCGACTGCCATATCTCAAGTAGTAAGTTCGCTGCACGCACATATTTAGGCGACGGTTTGTTCACAGCAACTTCCACTCATCGAATTCCCGCTCTCTCAACCGTTTTACGTAGACGTCAACTACCTTCACAATGGCATTCTGGAGTCGCTAGATCAGAAGATTGAGAAAAACTCGGCAACACTTGGACGGTCAGCGGTGTACACAAAATCGCAGAGGATCTCTCGTCTCCCCGCCTACTTGACCGTCAACTTTGTTCGATTCTTTTGGAAGCCCACAGAGCAGGTCAAGGCCAAGATTTTGCGTAAGGTCAAGTTTCCATTTGAGCTCGACGCCTCCCAGTTTTGCACCACTGAGCTTCAAGATAAGCTTAGCAACACCAAGATGAAGCTCCGGGAGCTCGATAATGCCGAGACTTCTCTGAAGCGTCGTCAGAGATTGGACAAGGAGGCGGGTCGCATGGAGACGGACGAGATTTCCGATGAGCAAAAGGCCGTCCAGGCTGCTCAGGCGGCATTGGAGAGCTCTCTCGATCCAGAATTGGTGCAGGATGTCGGCTGCAATCCCTCGGGCCAGTATGAGCTGGCGGCTGTTCTTACTCACATTGGTCGTACCGCTGACTCGGGACATTACATTGGTTGGGCAAAGAAGGGCGATACGGATGAGTGGTACAAGTACGACGACGAAAAGGTTTCTCCAGTTCAGAAGGACGATATCATGAAGCTCGACGGCGGAGGTGAGTCCCTTTTGTCTGTCTAATGTTGCCTTCTTCGTGTATAATTTTGTGTCTTCTCGGCTTTTTTTTGGACCACATAGGGGTCACTAATATATGACGCTATTTATTATTTTTTAGGAGACTTCCATGTCGCCTACTTAGCCCTTTACCGCTCACGATCGTTTAAAGCCAAGTCGGAGCCCGTTAAGGCAGAATAAATAGATGTACAGCTGGCAATGGTCATCATAATACAAAACACGCCTTTACATCACAGCGCACCTCTTCTCGCAAAACCGGGATTCATGGATTGAATACGAATAGCAGCTGATAAACATATGCTTCTTGACGCGATGACGGGCCAATCAGGAAGCCCTGCTAAAGCTTTCCACGGAAATCATGCCAGCTTGCGCAACTTTTAGCAGCCAGTGCATGCCCTTGGTTCATTTGCTTCCAGCCTTGATATGCCAAGTCTATTCTGCGTAACAAATCCTCATCAATCAGATAATATACGTTTGTTGACGTCTGTCGCGCAGAATGCCACGGATCCGAGCCTATCTCTGAAGAAGCTTCTGGAGTCGCGCGTCGGCGCCAAGTCCATCAGAGGCAGTAGCGGGGTCCGGGATTGTCAGTTGTCTGCGGCAGGAAACCTTTAGCGCTGGATCAAAACGGTCCGGGTCCGGTTTCTTGATGACTACAGTCTTATGCGCCAAGTACTGACGAACCATCGTTTACGGATCTAAAAAAGAGAGAGGGAGAGAAAGATATGGTAAGTTAACAATGTGGAAGCCTTTTACAGCAAAGAAAATGAAAGAAAACGAGATCGAGTCAATACAATCGTCAGTTATGGTCTTCATGATTCCATAGTTTGTATTGATCCCCATCTGGGTCAAGTTCGTGGTGTAAACGTTCTTCGACACACAGCAGAGAGCTGTCAGCTGCTTGCGGCTCAACTCCAGGTGTTTGGTCACAACCGCCATTTCATACTTCAGGAACTGCCTTCGTGACAGCGTCCGCATATGCCTCCACGTTCTCGTAGACGACCATATCAGAATCCCCCGACAGGACTATATCGCCAGACTTGAAATCATCAGTTATGGCGAGATCCGCTTCGGGCGCAACTCCTGGCACGATCTAGCCTTGTCCGCGTAGATATGTGACCAACGCCGCCCGAGAGTCTTGTCCAAGGTAGAACGCACCACGAAGCTTGCTGTCGAGTTTCTTGAAAGATGGCTTGCGCGGACTGTGGCCTCCCTTCTGCGAATTTTCCATGCACTCAACACATTCTTCAGTTCTGCTAATGCGCTGCTCTGCTTTTCCTGCCTCAAGACGCCTGTGTGTTGCTTCTCGACAGGAGAAGGTCCATCGAGGTGGAGCACCAAGGTTTCCTTGCGCAACCCACAGGAGAGAAGATGCCGCACGATTTCTATAGAAAATGTGGATGGGTTATTTAGGTAGTGATAGCGAAATTGGGTGTAGAATGATACTAATAGGTTCACGCGGAACTTCGAGCTTGGTGATGGAGGTGTACTGGGGAGTTCTCGTATGAGTTGGGCACGTAACCCTTCCCCCTTATGAAGGCCTAAAGAGTATGTGTCTTTTGGGAAGGAGTTGGTGGTGAGGCATGACTGCTTATTTCGATTAATTTCACGTAATCCTTCAGTTATTTCCTATCCAGCAAGGAAATGGAGTCTTAAATTGATGCCCACCAAATGTATGGGTGGTACCATAGCAAGTGCCGGCAGAGACAAAAGCCCAAGACTAAAGTCCAAGTCAAACAAAAATCTAAGCCAAGGAGGTATCTCAGATTAACGGACTTCACGCCCACCATTGCATGAGTCTGACCATATCAAGTGAGGGTGCGGGCCAAAAAAGGGACCAACAAAAAAAAAAAAAAAAATGACCAGACGAGTTATGGAATTACCGCTCACCACATGTATTGGTAGGTCCGCAACCAGTGCGGGCAGAGACAAACCTCTAAGAGAGTAGAGGCCAAGGCTGACTAAAGTCTAACAGAATAATGTCCAGCCAGCCAAAGGTGCAAGACAGCAAGTGTAGCCAGCGTAAAATGCAACTTGGCGCCATGAGATTTTCGCCTTTTTTTTTTTCTTTTTTTTTTTGTTGGCACAAAGTGCAACCAGCCTTGTTCCATTCCTTTAAGCAATCCCAAACGTTTTTCAAGGTGACCTATACATTATCCCCTTTGTTTTTTTTCTTTTCCCCTTTTTTTTCTATGCGTATTTTTTCTTTCTGCTTCTCTCCCCACCCTCGTTTTACTATAACTGTATTTCTTTCTGTAGAAACCTGATATCGTAGTGTGCAGCAATTCTCCTCTTTTTTTTTTCTTTGTGTACTTTGCATGAAATATATTTTCTTTTTGTGCCTGCAAAAAAACTTTTCTATAGTATTGAGGAGGTTTGTATGGGTTTAGAGGAGAGCGGAAATGACGGGGCGGCGATGGCAGCCAGAACGGCGGCGACTTTGGAAGTAATTGAAGAGACGGCGGCACTTCCGGGCTGCTGCTGAATAGGAATTGCCACTGATGGAAGCACTGGAGAATCAGCCACAGGTGCAGCGGCAGGAGCGGGTCCGTTGCCTGCAGCAGTAGAGTCCTCCAGTAGGAGGATGAGGAAAAGGAGCAACAGGAGCAGGAAGACCCTCACAAGCAGCGCATAAGTCTGTAGCACCATCGCAACGGTCGTCGGATCACAGAAGTAGGACCCACACATCCTTGGATCCAAGCCCCTCCGCTTTGTGTCCAAGGTAGCTCCACTGAAGTGATCCATCTTCCCCCACCCCCTCTCTTTATTTTCTCCACAGACGAACGACCGACGATCAGCAACTCAAATTACATACACAAAGCCTGGGTAGCAGACGCGCACTGATGTAATCACATGCGCACATACAAAGTAGACTGGTACCAATCAAATCCTTGAAACTTTTCATTTCAAGTCCATCTCTGTCTCACTCTCTCTCTTGCTCCTAATCTCTTCCCTCTTTACGACCTTCTTTCTCTCTCTTCTCTCTCTCTCTCTACCTTCTTTACGACTTTCTCTCTCTCTTCCCTCCTTACGACCTTCTCTCTCACTCTCTCTCTCCCTCTCCCTCTCTCCCTCTCTCCCTCCCTCTCTCTCTCTCTCTCTCTCTCTCTCTCTCTTTGTTCAACACTCTTCTTCATCTCTCACACCAACAACTCTTATCACTCTCACTTGTCCAACTCGACCTCAACAACACCAGCAACAAAAAATGTCAAAGTACGACGACGACGGGTGTGATGATGCCGACACGTACGAGCTCAACCAAATGCAGGACGGTGGCGATGGCAGCCACCACGACATCCTGATGGATGCATCCCAAGACGGTCTCAAGCGAGACCTTCGGCTCCGCCACATGATCATGATCGCCATTGCTGGTACTATCGGTACCGGTCTCTTCCTCACTTCTGGTTCGACCATTGCTACTGCTGGTCCCGGCGGTGCTCTTCTTGCCTATACCCTCATCGGTATCTGGCTCATCTTTGTCTCGCAAGCCATCGGTGAGATCGCCACCCTCCTCCCTCTCCCCGGTGCCTTCAACGCCTGGGGTAGCCGTGTCTTTGACGAGGCCTTCTCTTTCCAGATGACTTGGATGTATTTTATCAATTGGGCATTGATGATTCCCGCAGAGTTGTCCGCTTCCGCGCTGATTGTGTCGTTCTGGTTGCCCGAAGACACGACGTTCCCTCCATGGATTGTGCCCCTGATCATTATCATCTTGATGCTCTTTATCAACATTGCTGGTGTCAAGACCTATGGTGAGCTCGCGTATTGGTTCTCAATTCCCAAGGTTGTCACCATCATCATCTTTATCATCTGCGGTATCCTTGTCGATGCTGGAGCTCTTGGTGGCCACACCTACGGATTCGAGAACTGGAGGATCGAGGGTGCGCCCTTCAAGGGCGGCTTCACGAGCTTCATCACCACCCTGGTCTCGGTCGCTTATTCTTATAGTGGAGTCGAGATGACCGGTGTCACCGCTGCTGAATCCCGCAACCCCCACAAGCACATCCCCAGGGCCGTCAACACCGTGTTGATCCGCATCACCTTCTTCTACATCGCCTCGATCTTCTTGCTCGGATCCATTGTTGCCAACGACGATCCCTTGTTGGTCAACACTGACCATTCTGCTGCCCGGGCTCCTTTCACCATCGTCTTTGCCAAGGCCGGTATCAAAGGTGCTGCCCACTTCATGAACGCCATCGTCTTCACCTCGGTCTTTTCGGCCATCAACTCTGATTTCTATATTACCACCCGTATGTTGCTGTCGCTCTCCCGTAACGGCTGGGTCCACAAGTCGATCGGCCACATCAACTCGCGCGGTGTGCCCGTGGTTGCCGTCGCCGTTGTCACTGCCTGCTCCTGCCTGTCGTTGATCACCATCTTTGTTGGTTCCGGTGTCGTCTTCCAGTGGTTCATCTCGTTCATTGGCTCGATTACCTTCCAGTACTGGATCTATATCCTGTTCCTCCACTTCCGCTTCCGCTACTGCTGGAAGGCCCAGGGCCGCGCCGTCACCGACCTGCCCTATATCGCCTGGGGCTACCCCTATGGCAACATCCTTGGCGCCTTCATTGGCTGCTTCTGCATCGTTTGCAACTGGTACCTGTCGGTCATCAACCCTCCTCAGCACCCTGGTGCCGGTGCCTCGGAGGAGCTGATGAATGCGTACCGCAGCAGACGCGAAGAGTATATCCAGGGTATCTTGGGTGCCTGGTTCCCCTGGTTCATATCTGCGACCCTGTTCTTCGCTTACAAGTACATCTGCGGTACCAAGCTCATCAGGGCCGTTGATGCCGATCTTGACACTGGTCGCTTCGTTCCATCCGAGTCTGACAAGGAGGACTTGATACCCCACGGCCCTCGCTGGAAGCGCATCCTCAAGATATTTGTCTAAAAAACAGACTGTCATAATAATCACCTACAACTTGTACAACAGAATTAAATTCTCAACCCTGTATTTGTACGTGCGCTCTTCTTCATGGTGAGTTCTCTAAGTAACAAATCTCTCTCTGTCCCTCTCTAAATCTCTTCTCTCTCTAAATCTCTTCTCTCTCTTTTCTCTCTTCTCTCTCTTCTCTTCTTCCCTCTGCAAAATCTCTCTATCTCTCTTCTTCTGTAAAACAAAACGGTTGCGCTCTACACGCGACTTAAAGTGCTCCACAAAAGTGCTCCACAAAAGTGCTCCACAAAAGTGCTCCATCTTTCTCTGAATTCATCCTTTTTTTTTTTTTTTTTTTTTTTTGGAAATGCTCATCATCCTTCTTTGCAATCAACCCCGGGATGCCTCTCGCTGATTGTGGTCGTGCTTCTGTCGGAGCTATACCCATGTCAGCGATGACGTCATTATGAAATAAAGTCTTAAAAACTGATTGTGAGATGGATCACTTTTGTCGTGAATCAGCATCCTTCTTTTTTCTTCGATCTTTCTTTAGCTACCACTTCATCATCTTCTATTCTTACATCAACTCCTCTCACTACTAAACATCATGCCGCCACCAGAAAACAAAAGCGACAAAAAAAGAAAGAGGATCTCGCCTTCGGACAGAGCCGCTGCCATTCAGCTGTTCATTCAAGGATAATCGGCTCGATAGGTTGCGGATTCACTCGGGATCGGCATCGCAACAGCAATCAGGATCAGGAAAGACAACGAGGAAAACATACCGCCTCCAAAAATGGGCAGACCTAATAAGATCTCTTTAAAGTCCAAAGAGGTTCTTGGTCGCCAGATTAATACTGGTCAACTTACAACACTTCGGGGTGCCCAGCGATTCATTCAGGAGAGAGATGGCGTGCATGTGGATGTGGAGACAGTGCGGCGAAATCTACGACAGCAAAAGATCCGGGCCTATGTTCAACAGAAGAGGCCTGATCTAAAACGGAAGCACATGCAGGAATGGCTTGCATTTGCGCGGGAGCACATCAAGTGGACGGTGGACGATTGAAAACGCGTAATGTTCTCCGATGAGAGCGTCATCAGTCGCGTGGGATCCTTTGGCAGGAACTACTTTTATAGTGATCGCGGGCACAGGTGATTGCTACCTCACCAAGTTCATTCAACGCCACAAGCCGGTGGAGGGAAGATGATGGTGTGGGGATGCATCACATTTATTGGCGCAGGAGACCTTTGTCGGATCAACGGCACACTCGATTCGGAGTTCTATCGCGATGTCCTCAACGATTATGTTCTCGCCTCCTTCAAGTGGTATGGTATGGATCGAGCAACATCCATTTTTCAGCAGGACAATGCTCGAGTGCATACTGCGGGCCTTATACAAAACTGGTTTCGGGAGCATGATGTTACAGTTCTTAAATGGCCACCCAGCTCTCCTGACTTCAACCCTATTGAGCACTTTTGGGCCTACATCAAACGTCGTCTCTTTCGACACAAACAGCCGCCAAAAGACATAAACCAGCTTTGGAAGCGTGTAGAGAAAATTTGGAGAGAACTTCCTAGTAAACTCTTCCGTAACCTGAATGAAAGCATGAGGCCACTGCTCCAAAGCAGAGGAGGTGGAATAAAATATTAAGGATGCTGAATCACGACAAAAGTGATCCATCTCGCAGTTTTTAAGACGTCATCACCGACATAGGTATAGCTCCTACAGAAGCACGACCACAAGGCCTAGGAATCAGCGAGAGGCATCCCGGGGTTGATTGCGAAGAAGGATGATGAGCATTTCCAAAAAAAAGGATGAATTCAGAGAAAGATGGAGCACTTTTGTGGAGCACTTTAGTTTAGTTCATAACTCACTCTTTATTAAGCACCAGAAAAACACACAACACACCTCGGAAACCGTTACACCAGAACCCAAACTGCACTCACCAATCTAGCATCAGCTTTCTGACTAACTCCAGTTCGTACCGGATCTGGCCTTCATTTGCAAGCCCTAGAGGTCCAAGGTCAATCCCTTCCATACCATCGATAAAGGTTGCGGCTTTCAGCTTGTCCAACTTCATTCTTGATCCAGACAGATCAAAGTTATTCAGGTATCGCTCCACAACCGGGTGCAATGCTGGGTCTTCCATTGCTGTAGCGCGGCTTTTGATGGCGTTCCAGTCCTCGTCAGAGAATGCCTTACGCGCTCGTTTGTCTGCCATATATATCATAAATGAATGCATGGGCTATTGCAAATATCATACAGTGCTCCAATCAATTGATCAACCAAAATGCGATTTCGACATTTGTTTTGAAAGGCTCATTCATCAAGGTTCTGAGCAACCCCCAGATTCCTGTCATTCATTCTCTTGATTCGTAACCTCATTCATCACCACTTTTCTTTTTTTGTATGAACCGACATCGGATCATCGCTGGAATTGAAATGCTTGATGTTGGTTGATCAATTAATTGGATCGCATGTAGTGGCGAATGATTTCCATGTAAAATTTTACATGGGTTTAGCACGGAACAAACTGCATTTTTTGAATACTACTATGGAGGACGTCCACATCCTCTATAATATAACATGAACTGCAATGCAGACATGACCTATTGGGTCTTGTAATAGTACTTATGTACACAGTAATGTCTACATACTCTGGTTGATGAATGGAAGTTGTATAAACTATTCCCACAATCTTCCCCAAATTAAGGGTCGCTTTTGAAGAAAGAAAAAAGAGAAAAGAGAAAGGAGGAGGACATGTTGTTCTTTCGAACAAATCTATAGAACAATGGCCGCCTTTCTTTTCTCAGACAGACAAGCAAATACGAATACAAATCCATCCACAATACATAGAGTTGGTATTTCTCTTTTTTTTTTTTTAATTCCAACTCCCTTCAACTCACAACACCATTACCAGTAGTCCTTTCAACTCGATACATGCATCCAAACTTTCAGCTTCATGAATGGCTTTTACTTAGAGGAAAATAAGAAAAACTGTCTTTCACAAACGTTGGAGGCTGTGAAATAAAGACAGCTGATATGAAAAATAAAATGTGCAATGTCCAAGATCGCCCTCAAGCAACAGCCACCTCAATCTCTTCCTCGTTCGATCCATCAACTTCCTCCGGAGGCGACGAGTCGTGAACAGCACCACGCTGGACCAACAACTTGCGGTAGATCGGACTGAGACCAACGGCTCCCTTGAAAGTCAGATCAGCGGCGCACAGCCGCCCAATGTGAGAGCCCCAGTGCATACGAATCGACACATCTCCTGCCTCGACATTCGAAATCCGCCACACTCGAACAGACCCATCATCGGAACCAGTGACAAACTCCATCGGCACTACCGGATTCCATGCTACGCTTGTGACGGCCTCTGAACATCCATTAACAACAGCAACACAGGACCAACTGTCGACCTCGCCTGACCAGAGTTGAGCCGTCTTGTCGCGACTGCCAGAGAGGATCCACTTGCCGCAAGGAGAGTAGGCGACGCTGAGCACCGCATCTGTATGGCCTTCCAGATTAACGTCAGGCTCTTCCGACTGAAGGCCTCGAAGCATGACCGAGGAGGCGTCAGTACCGAGTACAAGTCGCTGGCCATCTGGTGAGTAGTCCATCGAGTGTAGCCAATCTGATAAACATAATTCCTTCAGAGGTTGGCGAAGGTCTGTCTTTCGAGGATCAAAAAGACGAAGTCTATATGAGCGGGGTGAGTCCGATGGCGATCCAACCGCAAACTGATCTCCGACGGGGGAAAACACCACGGATCCTCCCAGGCTCCTCAGACTGGCTCTCTCACCCACCACTTTGCCTTGATCATCAGTACTATCAAGATCCCACAGTCGTGTAACCCCGTCACTGTCGCCTGAGGCCAACCACCGCCCACAGTGCGAAAAACTCACATCAACGACTGGGTAGGGGTTAGGTCCGAGGATAATGCGCTCAACAACATCGGTTTGGGTGTTTAACAGCCGAATCTTCCCGGACTCGCAACCGTTCGCCAAGCAATGGCCATTCGGTGAAATCGCGACCGAGTAGACATTGGGTGCGGACGGTAAAGGAATGGACCTGGAAGCTCCTGTAGAAGAGTCCCAGCGTTGGATGGTGTTGTTGATACGATTAGAGATTATACACAGACCGTCATGGGCGTATGCAACAGTTCGAACCTTGGCGGCAAGTTCTTGTGTGTTAGAACTCGACCGGTTGATGGTGTTCACCTCCCAGAGTCGAATAATCCCGTCCTGATCTCCTGAAGCAATTTGTAGGCCATCTGGGGAAAAGGTACAGATAGTGATCTCATTGCGATGACCTGACAGCCTGGAGATAAGTTGTCCACTCGATGTGTCCCACAGTCGAACGATGTTGTCCCTGCTTGACGAGACTATCAACTCGCCATTTGGAGAGAATGCAACATCTTCTAGCCAGTCCGTATCGTTATCGAGAGTTAGATCCGTCTTTCCGGTGATGGCATCCATCAGGCGAATCTCGCCTCTTCTCACACCAGTAATGAAGGCGAACTGCCGTCCATCTGCAGAAAGGGCCACGCAAGGAGCACCAATACGGGGGATGGGCCAACCAGCCTCTAGTGCTCCTGTCTCCGGATCCCACACCCTAATAGTTCCATCCCTGCTCCCCGACACAAGTCTCCGTCCATCGGCTGAATATATAGCGCTTGAAACGTTCAATTTATGGCCGTTCAAGACAAAGACGCACTCTCCTGTCTCCGTGCTCCACAACCGAATCGTTCTGTCGGAGCTAGCCGATGCAATTTGCTTGCCACAGGGTGAAAATGCCACTGAGTTCAACCGCTCAGTGTGCCCCTCCATGACCAACAAAATCTTGCCACTGACAGTACTCCATAATCGACAGTTCCCGTTTTTGTTCCCAAGCGCAAGGTGTTGGTTGCAATGTGAAAAGGCGATACTCAGCACCTCACTCTGTTCTTTGTGTTGACGGACTCGAGTCCATTTTGTAGTGTCGTAAGTAGTAACGCCTCCATCACGCAGAGCGACAGCAAATGACTTCCCATCAGGTGAAAAGGCGATGGCATTGACTGCGGCGCGTTCCTCGATCAGCTCCCCAAACCGAACACTATCCATTTGCGCATCACCGAAATCCACCTGCCTCAGCCAACTCCTTGCAAAGTTGACACCCGTCAAATCGGCTCCTTGAAACTGAGCATAGTCAAACTGACAGTCGGAAAGATCTGCACCTGGGATCCGGATGCTTCGAAGGTCGGCGCTGTTGAAATGGACTCCTGCTCGGACAAGAATGGTGATGGCGTTGGCGGCAGCGGTAGCAGCACTGGTATCTGTCTTAGACTGCTCGATGACGGCTAGGAGCTGCTTCCCGATATCAGGGTGCTGCTTGACTCGCTCACACAGGAACTGGATGACCGATGGCTCGGCGAGGAGGCTGCGCTTGAACAAGGGACCTTCGGCGTCGAGCAACGCAGGGTCAGTGGAACTATCGGACTGCGGAGCAAATTCATCGCGGTCGTTGTGACTGTTGAGATCAAAGACAGCGAGAGAAAAAAAATACTCGAGCATTGACCGGTGTATGAAACGGTATAAATTTCCAGTGCGGGTGAGCGGACTCGATTCTCGCAGCATTCGGGCCTCAGGGTCAAGTCCAAAAAACTCAGCTCTCCACGACCTCTTGTCCTTCACGTGGACATACTGTACCACCGGGTTTCCGTCCTGGTGCTCAAAGATCGCCGACGCCAGCCTGGTAGCATAGCCAACACCCATCGAAATAAACCCCGCCTCCAATAGTTGATCCAGCATATCTCGATCCTCCCTGGTCAAGACGTTTCTTTGAAGCCGTCGGCTATTGACAGCCAGCCAGTGCCTCACAAAAGTGTCGTACAACTCAACACGGGTGATTTTGATGGCCGACAGATCCTGCTTGCCCTCGGTGACTCCTGGCAGCGCCTCCAGCGACAGTGAGAGAAGGAAGGGGTTCTTGACAATATCCATGAGGTTGGGGATGGTGGTCAACCTGTCCATGTAATCCTTGGTGGTCCAGGTCCGTGGCTCGAGGGGGACGTACTGTTCGACATAGTCCTTGATCTGCTCCTTGGAGAAAGGCGCGATCACGGCCTCCTGGAAGAGCTCGGTAGCTTGGCGGGTGTAATGGCCAGTGCCGTCGGGGATGAACCGGCAGCGGTAGTCTTGACCAAGATACTGAGTCCTGCAGGAGATCACCATTTTGACGTTCCACTGACCTGGGCGGTTGAAAAGGTTGCTGGTGTGAAGGTTGACGGTGAGCTGGCTCTCGTCGTACCCGTCACAAATGAGGACAAATTGGCAATATTGTTTCATCTCCTGGATTTGTCCCTCAGAAAAATTGTTAGTCCTCAGATGCTCCCCAATGAGATCCCTGTCTGGTTGGTAGATGGCGGGTAAGTTGATGGACAATGGGATAGAGCCGCTGCGGGTGTATGTGCGCAGGAGCTCGGACTCAAGGTGCTTGTTGAAGGTCGACTTGCCTGCTCCAGAGTCACCCAAGATCAACATGACCTGTCGGTTGCTGGCCAGGAACTCTTGGACCTTCTCCTTGAGGGGGAAGAGTTCGTCGTCGCGGGCCTGAAGGTTGGCCTTGGCCATAGGAGCGATGTAGACCGGCAGTTTGGCCTCCTCTAATCGCTGCAGCCGGAACTTGTGCAGTTCATACTCTAGGTGCGGGATGTTTTGGACCTTGGCAAGGAGTGGCGAAGTATCTGGGATAGGAAGACGGGCCCTCAGTGGGTAAGGGTGCTTAGTCAAGGCACTTTGGTTCACTGTCAGATCCTGCAGCACAGGACGGGCGGTCTCACTGACGGCTTGGCCGAAGGAGGCGCATAGCTTGGTTATGATGGTGAGCATCCATGCCTTGACACTCTCATCTCGGCCCCAGTCTTGATCGTGCTGGCAGAGATGACCGAGGAGAGTGGCAGCTTGCTGGCGTGCAAGAATAGGCCAAACTGGGTCAATTGCAATCTCGCCCATAAGCTGACAGATCCCCCACTGGAACAAAGGATCGCGACGGCAAGGAGCCTCAAAGATCAACACCTTTAGATCTTTCAGTTGGCCAGCTTGGGCAAAAGCATAGGCAGCCTTGACAGCAGGATACCAAAGTCGCTTCTGGCCAGATCCAAGTCCCTCCTTCAAACTATCCAGGACACCTCGGCCGCTCTCCATCAACGAACAGATGCCCTCGTACACAGTACCAGCCACTGATATCGTGCTTCCAAGAGCCTCCTGCAGGTTACCCAGACCTTCGAGTACCGACGGCAGATCCAGCTTGAAGACGGCAGTGACTTTGACCAGACCGTGAACCACACCGGTCGAGTGCCTCCACACAGTTTGAAGAGCGCTCTCGTCATCAGGCACATACTGGAGAGCCTGGAAAGCATAGCAGGCCTGGTAAAGTAGATAAGGGTCCGAGCTCTCTTTCAGTCCCGACAAGACTGCCGACAGTGGCTCATGTTGGAGAACACGATCCAGATCCTGTACTTTGTGGTCCGCCATAACATCGAGAACCCTGGAGACAGCTAGAGTAAGGTGGTAGGAGTGTTCGGTCGACTGATGATGAGTGCTTTCTAGGCGCTCCCTGATGATTTTGAGGATCTTAACTAAGTCATCCGATTCCAGGTACCCAGGAGAGGCAAACTGAAGCAGCTGAACAAGACCTTGCAACATATCAACGTTCAGCATACTAACATCGCCAAACCTCTCAAAGAAAGTCGAGAGCAGCTTGTGGTAAGGCTCCTTCTGCAAGACGGGTCCCAGAATGACAATCTCGGCGATCTTGGCGGAATCCTTGTTGACATCCGCAACAAACTGTTCCACCACCCGAGTGGCCAGCCAGCGCAGGCGATCCGCTTCCATCAAGTCGTTCTTTGTCGTATCCAGCCAGTCGAGCTCGGCCTTGGCGAGGGCGGGTTCCTGAAGGACAAGGGGACCACCGTTGTCCGCACCTTCTACAGTAGCTGCAACGACTAGCGACAATGAATCTTGAAGAAGTAAGGTATTGCAGTAGACCAATTGCTGCGTCATCTTGATGCGTTGCTGAAGTTGTGGCAACTCGGTTTTGATGGTTGGCTTGGGCACATCCTCGTTAAAAATGTCCTCGAGAATACACGATGTGTAAAGGGGTGCAAAAAGTACCCTCTCCTGCGCGATGCTGGAAGGGGTAGACTGGTTGTCGCTTGTAAGAGAAGTAGACCGGTTGTCGGTGGTACAAGTAGGTTGGCTGCTGCCTGAAGGAGAGCTGCTGACTTGGGAGACAACAGACAGAGGTTGTGTCGATTGTTGTGACGTATGCTCATCCTGCACAATGCCGGAGGAAGGAACAGAGTTGATGTGGCTTGAAGGCTCACTCTCGACCTGGGTCATGATGGAGGAGAGCTTGTTCCCTGGGAGCACGTTGTCGACCTGGGCGACATTAGACGACGGTCGGGTGGACTGCTGTGAAGCAGGTCGAGAGTGAGGCGACTGGTTTGAGGCCTTGGGCTGGACCTCCTTGGACTTGGCCTTGGAGAAGCCACAGAACTTGAGGAACTTGTCGCGCTTCCTGATTCCAACAGTGCTGTTGGCGCTGTCGCTGCCAGGGACATGGAGATCCAATTGGTCGATAGGATGGTTGGACATGGTAAGAGTACTATCAGTGTAAATAGGAGCAACATAACTATTAGCAACTACTTGTCCAGATGAGAATAATTTGACCACTTGCTGCTCCATGTGTTTACCTTGGTGTTTTGAGCGTCTGCATATGAGTTTGGTTGGCAAGATGGATAGGTATCGAAGAAGAACGAGGACAGCTGTGGAGGCAAGAAAAAAAACAAAATCAATTATTGTTTGTGCCTTCGGAGGCTCTTTAATACCATCCTATGAGGGATTGTGCAATGTACTTAATTTACTTACACAAATGTAGAGTAGCGGATCTTTTTATTCTTGCGTGTTTGGTTCTGTTGGGTGTGCAATGGGGCTGTAGCTTTAGGCTGTCTATAAGAGAAATATAGAGGAAAGGGGTGAGAAGAGGCCCGTAAACATGCACTTGCTACGTGTCTGGCGTATCCCATAACATACTTTGGATTTGAGCGTGTCGTTTTTTGCTTTTGCTGGATCAGTTTGTTCCTTTTATGCTTGTGTTGGTGTTGATGAGGTTTGGATTGATCGTTCAGAGGAGAAAGACTCTTGAACGAGGTTGTCTAGAGAGTTGAAGGCTGTCTATAACAGTAATAGGAAAGGGGTGAGTAGAGGTCCATATGAGGATCAAGTTCTATCTGAGTGGGGAAGAAGAGAGTTTCTCTCGACGTACTTTTTGAGTCAAGGCTTGTAGGTTCTTTTGTCGGAATTTGTGCTTTTGTTGAGTTGGTTTGTTCTGTCTCGGTGATGTCGATGGTTGGCTTTGCTGGTCAGAGGAGATCGTGTTTTTGAAAATGGACAATAAGGAGAGGAGCAATTGTTGAAGGGGGAAAGTTGAGGTTTTGTGTTTGTATGTATGTGTGTATGTTTGTGTCCTTGTCGCGTTTGTTGTTGTTGTTATTGTTGTTCGTGGCGTTGTTGGTGAACGATTTTAAGAGGATGAGCCCAGAAGAGCGCGATATTGCAATGCAATGAACTGTGAACTGTGATATGAGAGAACGAGAAGAGCGACGGTGATTCGAAGAAGTGGAGCTGAGGAAAGTGATAAAGGAACAGAAAAGAAGAAGCAACGAACGATGGGACAAATAAAAAGTACACGTGTGGAGTGTGTGAGAAAATGAAAAGGAAAAGGGAGGAAAAAGAGGGAGGAGAGGGAAGGAGGAGCAAACAGGACTCTCTCTCTCTCTCTCTCTCTCTTTTCCCGTTTGTATGTTTATTTGTTTGTTGATCGTTAGTGCATGGTCCAAGAATACGCCTTTCGGGGGATTTCTTTTCTTTTACTTTCCCGTGCATCTATCCCTGACTCATTTCCTTTTTCTTATTCTTCTTTTTTTTGATCGATGCCTTGTTTTGGTTCGGTTTGCAGAAGCCAAGAAGTAAGGATAACAAAGGGACTAAAAGAGTGTATCAGCCCTGATCGTTGTCAGTTGCCCTTTGTTCTCTTTTCTCTCCGCTCCTCGTTAACAATGCCACCAAGAAAATGATCGACTCAAAACAACACCACCAAGAAAATGAGTAAGACGGAGCAGCAAACCTTGCGCTTACTTATTATTTTACTCACGGCGAACGAGACGATAAACAGTGCGGATCTCGCCATCGGGCATGTCATAAAAGTACACCATCACGGAGAGAACCACCGCATCGCCCGTAACAGTCCATTCTTTCAACATCCCAAACCCCTCTACTTCCTGCTTTGAATGCAGCGCAAGACTGGTGTACACGTTCTTATCATGGTTGGCAGGCTGTTTGGTCCTCAGCACAGCAATCAGCCCTCGAAGCGTAATATCCTCTCACCCATCCAGGAGCCAATCCTCGACATTCGTCAACATCCCCGTCATAAAGTCCAGCATGTACGCAGCATACAATGTTGATATAGCGTTTGATATTGGACAGAGACATCGTCAGGGAGTGCAGTTGTTCGACGACTGGATTTGCGAACAATCAGGTGACCTCCTTGTAGTGATTAACCTTCCTATGCATGCTGACGAGCCTCTGCTGATGATGGAATAGGCCCGTGTCAAATGATACTAACGACGGAGCTGTGAGAATTCGGCGTCTAGAAAGTACATCTGCTCAGACCCCACCCTCTTGCGAGACGGGCTGTAATGGGTCCATGGCGCCCACATCGAGATTGAGGTTGAGTATATGTGCGAGGTAGTTGAGCGAAGAAGGTACCGGGGGCGTCACAATGCCACTGACGTTGGTCTCACCTGTGACTGTGTATATCGATTGTGGACGTATTCAAGCGGAGATGAGGTTTGAGACGATGCTGTCGGCGGCGGTGGTGAAGGGAAGATGGAGGAGGAGCATGCGGGTGAGGAGTTGGTAGCCCTTATCTGTTCGAAAGAGTGGAGTGTCCTTCCCGTTTTCTGAGAAGATGGAGAGGGGGGAAGGGGTTGGAGTAGATAAAGGGAAGAGCGACGCAGGCAAGGTACTTGTTGATGCATATGAGTTGGGAGTGTTGCCAGGGGTTGTTGTCTGTGAGGATGATGTGTATGATGTCAAGGCATGCGAGTGGTAATTGCGTGAGGGGTCCATCAAGGTGGCGGGTGGTGATGATGAATCAAAGGAAAGGAAAAAGAAGCAGGGTGGTAATGACAATGAGTTGGAGGGCGAGAAGGTCATTGAGAATGTGGGATTGAATGGATGAGAAAGACAGTGTAAAGAAGGCGTTTGGGGCGGAAGTGGAGGAAAGGGTAAAAACAAACGAACGGTTCGACGCCACATTTTGTACTTACTGGTCACGCTCTCCTCATTTCACCATCACTGCAATATGAACTGAGTCGTGGAGATTCGGATCTGAAGAGAGTGAGCACACTTCGTACCCATGGTCTTTGCGAGCCACCGTTCTCTGTTTGGGAAAACCAAAAATGCCCCCATTCTAGCGTGTCAGAAACTACAGGGTACAAAAGAGAAGTGTTGTGGTGAGCAAAAGAGAACGGAAAATAAAGACGGCGCGATGTTGTGGCGAGAGAAAGAGGACTCTCCTTTTCTTTCAAAGCACATTGATCCAAACCTTTACGGTCGAAAACTCTTTGCATAATCATGCAGTGAATTGGTATGGTAATGATACTAGATATGTGGGCCATAACTCTGATTGTTCACATCTTGCGAACAATTTGGTTCAAAAACTGACTTCGCGGTCACTTAATTTTGGGCGTTGGGGAGGGGTTGTGCATGCATTTGTCTATATCTTTGTTTATGTTTATGTCTATCAACGCCGCTTTTCTCGAGTATGGCAAACGCTCATGCTCCTCAGTCGTCGCTTGGATGGAGTGAAGCGGCCAGGAGCTGTTTGGACTAATGCCGGGGCGATGCTTTGGCTTCTGGTAACACGAGGGACCGCAACCTTGAAGGGCTTGGGAGCCGCTTGATTGGCACTAAGGGTCATAGGTGTAATAAGTTTGCGTCGGATCAAGCACTCCTTCTCTGACTCCTCTGATTCCTCCTCTTCCATCTCCTCTGAATCGTCTTCCTCAACCACCTCAACGTCGTTAACGTCCTCGTTCTCATCCAGGGCAACACCCGTGGCCTTCACTCTCTTATTCGCCACCTCAGCTTTCCTTCTCGAATTGCCCCAGCGGATAGACTCAATCAGATACCTGACACTCTTCGTATGCTCGCCATAGGAGGCCTTTCACGTCCAAATTATCATATGGTGTTTGTTACATCTCTGTAGATCTCGACAATATCCATAGCAACTATGGGATGAGAATGTATATATGATACCAAGCATATAAGACAACCATTGTAGCATTTTTTGTTCAACTATCCTACTAAACACCAACCTATTCTCCAAACAACAAAGTCTTCTTATTTTTCGCACACCAAACTCTTGAATGTGTCCATCTACTATTAACCTGTAACCCTCACTGCAAGATTCGCCAGAGTAGTTCTTGTATGTGATCATTTAAAGCACTTGTACTCTCAACTGCATCTTTGTTGTAAAATACAGGGGAGAGATTACATTTTAAAAAAACATGTGCTGTCTATTGCTATTTTATTCCGTGTTCTGTTGCCCACTATAAAGAGATATGTCAGCTATGGAAGTCAACACTCCGTTCCTTGGGCTTTGGATATTTTTTATATGCCTTTTATATCCTCTGCACATGAAGGGGCCGCCTAGTGGATCTTTTAAAAGGTGTTGACAGATATTATTATACAGCAGTGTATGGTTGCAGAAGCGGGATATGTATGGCCTTCAAAGGTGTATACACTGCAGATTGTAAAGGCTTATTCCAATGATGTTATAAAATGTTGGTATTATTGTATCTCACAGTATTGGGGACTAAAGCATCCAATCTGATGACAGCCTATTGGAGGTCTATTATGTGGTATTTGTGTTATAGAGTGCAAACAAGAGGGAGTACTAAATGCATTACTCATCATATAGGCTGCTTCCATATCGTCGTGTTTACTACAATTGGAGATCATGATAATAAGGACATTGGAAGATATCGACCGGAATTGTAAGGAATAGGCCCGTTAGTTGACATGTTGTAGAGGCTACATAATATACTGTACTATTCCACATACTCTTATGTATGCAGTAAAGTATGGGCATTTTCAAAAAATTGTTATCGCTAGTCAACCATATGGCATTTCCATACATAAATATTCTCATGGCTCTAACAAAACACTTCCAACAACTGCTTGATGACCATTGGACCTTCCTTGACGCTGGATGACCAACAATTACACCACGTAATAACCATCGTACTGTAAGCAAGGAGATTGGCTTTATGGCACAAATAAAAGAGACTCTAAATCGACGCCTTGGTCCCATTCCAGTGTACTTCTTTCTTATTGTCATCTGGCCAAAAGTCAAGTATCCTGGGCCATACAAAGAAGTGGAGAAAGGTCTTTTAATGCTCTATCATCTTGCCAAAGGAGTATCTATGGATGCAATGGAGCCACACATGCCAAAAAGTAGTTTTCATACAATGCACTCTGTCTTTTACAAGAAAGAATATACTTTGCACAATAAGTACATCACCAACTGTATTACCACTATGTTCTCCACAATTAAAATACGCCTATTGTCTGCAAAGGTAAAGAATCCTCCATTATTTACGCATGTCACCTTGCATCTTGATGGTCATGATACAAGAGCAACATACAAAGGTGAGAGCAATGCTGATATGTACTCTTACAAGCTGAAAAAGTCAGGGTTACGCACACAGGTAGCAATGGATTGTAATGGCATGGCTTTGTTTGTCTCTAAATCTGCACCTTGCAAGAACAATGCCGGTGGAACAATGCTGCTGATGATGAAGTTGGACAAGAGAGTGCATGAGTTGGATTGCATTGCTCTTGATGGAGGGTATCCACAGTTCTTGAGGAGGCTTATAGATGAGTCTGACACTCTCACACCCTAAAATTTCGCTCATCCATACCGCAAAAAGAAGAACAAGGACCTTACACAGGAAGAAGCATTCTACAACTCCACCTTTGGTAGTTTCCGCTCTCAGATGGAGTCTCTATTTGCTGATCTTGGTTCCACATTTGAGAAGCACAACAATCGTGCTCCAGTCTTGGTGGATAAGAAACAGACATATAATTTGCAGTTGAAGTTGTCTTTGCTTCTCTTGAACATGAAAAAGATGGTTGCTTTGTTGGCGATTTCTGTGGAACCAATTCATACAGCCTGGCTGCGTGAAGGATTCGAGTATCCAACAACGGAGAACGATGTTGAGCAACCAATGGAATATGTTGATGTTGGTGCACTGATGGAGGATGGTAATACAATGGCAAAACTGCAGGAGGAATTCCTTGCTCTTGAACTTCATGATGATGTTGATGAGAACCAGTACTCTAATGAGTACACACCAATGGATCCACCAGTAATACTGTAACCCGGCCTTTCCATTGCGCTTTGAGGTACAAAGCAGCAATTAATGGATGTTGATAATGGTGTTGATACTGGTGATAATACTGGTAATAATAGTGGTGAGGAACTGTAGACATATTGCAGGCTTTTTAAAAGAATAAACATAAAGTGCTCCAATCAATTGATCAACCAAAACGCGATTTCGACCCTTTTTTTGAAATGCTCATTCATCAATGTTCCGACCGGTCCTCAGATTCCTGTGATTTATTCTCTTGATTCGTAACTTCATTCATCGCCACTTGCCTTTTTTTGCATGGACCGACATCGGATCATCGCTAGAATTGAAATGCCCGATGTTGGTTGATCAGTTAATTGATTAATTGCATCATTATTTTCTTTTCAAAGTACGGAGGTTTTTTTATGTTCTATCTACCTTCAGACTTCAATGACGTACTTCTACAATCCTATATGACCTTCTATCAAAGTTTGTAGTTCCTACCCAAAGTCTTTTGTGCATGACCTATATGCATGACGTTACATGGGTTTAGCACGTGTTTAGCTATTTTTTTAATACCACAAGCTCAATACACTTCTCAGCTCTATCTCTCTAAAAAAATAACGATTCTATAAATCACGTGAGGGCGCAGCCCGAACTAAAAAAATGTGAGGGCCGTGGCCCTCACCAGTATCTTGCGCGTAGCGCCAGCGCGAAGCGCCAGTATTTTGTGAGCGAAGCGAGCGATGGTCACGGGCAAGGCCATCAAGAGTATCTTGCGCGAAGCGCGCCAGTGTCCTGTGAGCGCAGCGAGCGTACGGGCACGGGCTAAGAGGATATGAGGGCGTAGCCCGAATCAAGGGGCTTTCAAGAGGATGTGAGCGCAGCGAGCAATGGTCACGGGCGCGCCCTGGCGCGACAATCGAAAGTATCTTGCGCGAAGCGCCAGTATGTTGTGACCGCACGGGTACGAAAGGGAGAAGATCATGTGAGGGCGTAGCCCGAACCAGAGGACCTTTTTTGCGCCAAGCGCCCGTACTTTGTGAGCGAAGCGAGCAATGGTCACGGGCAAGGCCATCAAGAGTATCTTGCGCAAAGCGCGCCAGTATCCTGTGAGCGCAGCGAGCGTACAGGCACGGGCTAAGAGGATATGAGGATATGAGGGCGTAGCCCAAATCAAGGGGCTTTGAAGAGGATGTGAGGGCGTAGCCCGAACCAGAGAAACTTTCTTGCGCAAAGCCCCAATATTTAGTAAGGGCAAAGCTGTAGCTGTCAGATACCTGTTGCCGCCTGCGGCAAAAGGAAGCGACCGCTGGAGCGTGGCCGTCTGGGCCATCTAGCGCGAAGCACCAGTGTGCTGTGAACGAGCCTTTTTGCAAGCCTACTAAAAAGCAAGAAATCCTCTGGCGTGATGTAGAGCAAAGGGTAGTCAAGGATATCTTGAATATACTGCGAGTGAGGGTGATCCGAGAGAATAATGAATACAAACAAGGCCAGGGGGATGGCTCCCCAGCTACTAAGATGACTATCTAATAAGGGAGGTCAGCTGGGCCCAGCTGGGACCAGGGATATTATTCTTTATGGCACAACAGGAAACTCGACAGGTATGAGCTCTACATTCCCCAAGCGTGCCATTGGCCACAGGTAGTTGTGAAAAGTTTACAGTCACACTACAGTTGAAAAAGGAAAAAGGTAATAGGCAAGTGGCACCCGTATCTTTAAACGAGTCTTCTTCAAAGACCCTTCAAACACCCTTCAAAGACCCACACCTCTCACCCCAGATCCCCTTACAGCAACTTCCGGCACCCGTGGCATCGCCCACGGGCAACCTTTCTATCTCATATACTAAAATCCATGAGGGATAAATCACATGATATAGCAAATTTTCTGTAATTGCATAATTGCACAACCGCGTGGCGTCTCCATGCTTGACATCATGTTATCGACAAGATCACCCCTTTTTTTTTAACCCACCCCTTCTTTTCTTTTACAACAACAAAAACTGCAACAGAAAGCAACAAACAACAATAGCAACAACAGCAAGCAACAAATAACACCAGTAACAAAAAAGACTTCCACCAGCATGGCATGGACAAACGTGAGACATGAGAATGCAGACGCAGCATGGCATGGACACATAAGAGGACGCCGCATGGCATGGACAGACATGAGGATGCAGCTTGGCATGGACAGACAGACATGAAGATGCAGCTTGGCCCTTTTTTTTCGAAAAAATGCACCAGAGTCATGATGTTAACACCAAAGTGAGAACGTCACTATCAGAGTGGGTTGCCTACGCATATTACCCCCTCTAACGTGTGTAATAAAATATCCCTCTCTTTCTTTCCATTGACATATTCGACCATACACCATCCTTTTCAGCATGGACAGACATGAGGACGCAGCTTGGCATGGACAAACACAAAGACGCGAGCACACAAACCACAAGGAAGAACAAGAACGAAGAAGACACCAGACACCATTCTACTGAACATGATCAGAGAATAGCAGGGTGACGGTATGTCTTGGCATAGGGAGAGTAAAAAGATTGTGATATTTCTTTTTTAGAAAAGCGTAAGCGTCTCATAATTGTCAGTATCGATTCTCTTTAATCCTTGACCACATTTTGACACATCTTCTACAGTCTCAAGTTTTATCCTCTTTAACATGGGCAAACCATCCACGCCTCTTTATACCCGTACCGGTACGCGCTCTTCCGCTGCTGCAAAGTAAGTCTATGTCAGTGTCTGTATGCAACTATGTTCTTTTTTATATTCATTTCTGTTCATTCCTGACCTTTAGTACTGTTTCCTACTTATCGCAGGCAACAGTCCTCTTTGAGCCCTAAGGTCTTGGTTCGGCAGCTGCGGCGCATTGTAAAGGGTGCACCACTCTCAGTAATCGCAGGCGCTGCAACACAGACGATGCGTAGAACGACAATGCAACTATTGTGAATGTCTCTGATCCAATCCCTGATGTCCCCATCAACAACATGACCTCAGATATCGACAGCAGAAGCATCTTGATCTCAACGACTCCTGTTTATGACCCTGTCCCCAACAACATTACGTATTTTGAGGATGCGTATACACACCTCCGGAGTTTTAAGCCCAAGGTTACCACTGTTGTTCCCCACTCCAACGCCAACTCCAAAGGTGAGTGGGCGTCGATTCAGGGTCTTTTTTAGGACCACTTCAACTCAAGACCAGAAGCAGGAGCAGGAGCAGGAGCAGGAGCAGGGGCAGGTTGCAAAAACCGTCTCTGCCAACAATACACCTACTGTCGCCGTCCCTGTCACTGGTCAGGACTCGGACAAAGAGTATGGATTCAACGACAACAATGATTTCATTGACGCCCTGGATGGTGTGCTGACGAACGGCAACTTTGACTATGTCTTTTCAATGGCCATTCACAATGCCTACCAAGACGGTACCATCAATAGTGATCGCCCGCCCATTGTTGGGACGTCCTTGGTTACGTTAGACAAGCGAGGGCGAATGATTGTTGAAGAGGAGACTGACGAGGAGTCGGAAGCGGCACTATCGTCCACCGCCATCACCACCAGTACCACCGCACCATCACCAGCACCACCAGCACCATCACCAGCACCAGCGCCGCCACTGCCACAGCTACCGCTACAGGATCTAACACCGCCGCCACTGAAGGCTCAATCACTGCAGACCAAACAAATGCAACAAGTAAGGAGGTATTTCTTTTGGACATTTTTTTCTCCTGAGTCTGACCATTGCAACACCTTGCTTACTATTTTTTCTCACTCTCTTTTTTTTTACTATCGTTTGTATAATAGCATCCTTCACGCATCGAGATTAGCGAATTTCGCGATATGAGATACCTCTCTTCCCATGAGAGCATGTGACGCATCCTTGAATATCCTTTGTACGGTCATTCACCTGCTGTGTAACGTCAACAGGTCCATCTCATAGGCCAGCACAACGTCACATACGCGGATCTACTTTGTGTCGCTCGCCGTAACAACGACAGTCAACTGATGGCCTACTTTAAGCGGAACCAAGAGGACAAGGACGCACATAAATATACATACGCCGAGATTCGCGAGCATTACACCTACGACCAAAACAATCGCAAGTGGGACAAGAGGAATCAAGAGAACACCTTTAAGATTTCCCGGATCTACTTTGTCCAGCCTAGGGACGGTGAAAGGTTCTGTCTCCCTTCTCTGGCCGCCTTTCCCACTATGCCACAAGACATCAGCGACAACACTATCCGCTACATCCCAAAGTCCGCCTCCGACCACAGCGAAAAATCGCGTGAAGAGCTCGCCAAGCTGGCGGGTTCCCATATTCATGCCTTGAATGTCGAGCAGCGGGTAATATTTGACGAAAGCATCGCCTCTGTCTCCACACCCGTCCGCCCCCGAGGGACCAACCTCTATTTTATTGACGGACCAGGTGGTACCGAAAAATCCTTTCTCTACAACACACTGATTGAACAAATCAGTGGTGTTCTGAAAAAGAATGTTGTTGTCCTCGCGTCATCCGGTATAGCAGCTCTGATCCTTCATGGTGGACGCACTGCACACTCTGTCTTCAAGGTCCCCATTCCAGTTTTCAAAGACTCGACCTGCAATATCACCCGCGAGCAACAAGTCGGATCCATTATTCATGCGGCTGACCTCATCATCTGGGACGAGGTACCAATGATGCATCGAAATGTCTTTGAGTCGGTGGACCGGAGTATGGATCGACCCTTGGTTCCTTTCGGCGGAAAGATTGTCGTGTTCGGTGGTGACTTTCGACAGGTGTTGCCGGTGGTTGTTAATGGATCTCAGTCTCAGGTCGAGGGCGCATGTCTAAAGATGTCTGGCACCATTTGGCCCAAAGTCAAGACACTCAAGCTAACTCGCAATATGCGAGTCATGGAGGACAAGAGCAGCCCTTTCTCTTTCGTCGATTTTTTGCTACATGTGGGCGAAGGCAAGGAGCAGACATTTTCCTTTGACGACTCTGACGATTATATCAGGATTCCAGACCATATCCTTTTTACGCCAC